ATGACAATTCTAGAAACAAGCACTTCCGTCATGCAGGGAGGAGCCCAGAAGGCCAATCTTAGAGATTTACAAAGTAGATTACAGAGTGCAATGTAATAAACACTGGTATATTAGTAGTGTGCCAGCAAGTCGGGACCAATTAATATCAATCGTAGATGCACTAAACCCAAGATGGGGAGTAACTCGGCACGGATATAAGCATCCACGAGAACATCAAACTCCGAACACATGGTTTGATGTCAAATCTGGAATTACTCGCCATGTGCACTGAAGAAACACAAAACAACCTTGGAAAAACCCTCCCAAGAAACCACGACCTAGAAAGTCTAGTATTGGTATGTTTACGTCCTACCTTGAAAGTTAGAACCGGGGTTGTTCTTGCCAGGATCCCCAGACTTCGCATGGTACGGGGGCGCCGATCGCTTACATTTTATTTTCCCGCACGAACCGACCATGCATGCCGTTTCTGTTTTTAGAATTTTAGAATTATATAATGGGGAGACAGGGGATACCCTCCAATAAGCGCGGATACCATACGGTAGGGCTCAGAGGAAGGTTAGTTGGGGCTTGTTGGAAAGTTCGACGACAGGCCCGAAACAGTGGTTATGTTGCACTTTGCTTTGGAGACGGGTCTTGCTTTGCTTTTTTTGACTTTATTTTTGGTGAGCGACCGATAAATTTAGCTTGGATGGACTGGACGTTGTAGTACAGTACAGCATACAAGCATAGCCAGTGACGAATTGATGTCAGTGTGTAGGTAGGCGCTGGCCCCCGATATATTCTTAGACACGATTCCATGCAGGAATTGAGGTTCTGGAAGGGAAGTGCAATCATGTTCCGTTTCACGTGGTCTAGTCGAGATGTTGGATCTGGAGGTTGTGGGGATTGGGGCCGCGACCGCGGATAGGATGGATTTGTTTTGGCCCTTGCATCAAGAAAAGCAGCGGGAAAACGTGGACATGACCAGAACGAAGACAAAGACGGAACAGGAAGCGATGCGGATAAAATCAAATCAAATGCGAAAAGGAAATAAACGAAAACGAAATGCACGGAGGAGGTGGACATGGTTCGCGAGAACGAGGGCAGTAGACGTGATCAATAATCCAAAAATCAGCATAGCGCCGTTGACAATTTGTCATTCCAGATCAGCCACGTATGTTTGTCAAAGATTGTGGGATAACTCAAACTGATCTTCACATGGACCTTAAGGGGACCCGAGCTTTCTCTCCATGTGGGCCCCCTTCTCCATCAAATCCAAGGCCTGCAAAATGTGGCTTCGGAGTCGCCGTTGTTCCCCCAAAACAAAAATCCCAACGGCAATTTGCTATACAAAGTCCTTTGTGGAACATCTGGACCATTTGAAATAACATGACAACAAATTTCCCGGTCCACGGGGAGGGCTTGGTATCGGCTAGATGGGACAAGTTCATTCGACAAGTTTATTCATCCTTTTTAAAGATTTCTCCTCATGGAGCCTCTTGCGGACTAGTTGGGAGAGGATTTTGGGGGCCAGAAGCGAGCACTTCACCACACATAGGAGTACGGAGTACGTATTCGTAGTATCCGGAGTAAGTACCCGGACTACATGTACACTTGGACGTCCTAAGTGGATAGGATTGGATGTCTGGAGATGACCCCATCACACGTGGGTTGAGGGAACGAAGATCCCTGTTCTTGGATTTGACTGGTTACTGAATCGATCAGCCCTGTGTTTCAGGGTGGGACATTGTTGACATCTTAATCGTCAACGGCCTGAACCTCTTACCGGCCCCGGAAAGAAATGCCACCTGGCGATCATTATAGTTTTTTGTTGTTCTTTTTTTTTTTTTTTCTCTCTGACTTGACCATTCGCATTGACGCAATGCCTACATCGTAATTTTAATCCGTGGAGACGAATAGGGTTGTTTAGACGGAGTTAGAGTTGCTGCATCTCGTAGGGCGGGGAGGCCCGTGAGAGTCGGTGACACCGTTGACATGTTGGCATATTACTAGTCATTTTCCAAAGTCCCCTACTCCGGATAGTAGTGCTTTAACCTAGAATGGAAGGACTGGGGGAAAAAGATCGGGGAAGAGGGTGATTTGTCCGTTTGGACCATGAGATCATAATCATAATTTCCATAAAATCCCACTTAATTCCCATGTGGTTTTTATGCTAAGAATTCACTAAGAATTAACGCCGGAATCGCCGATAGATGGGGTCACTGCGCCTCACTCGGATCATGCAGTGGTCCATGATTGGGTACTCTGGGGGACAAGGCTAGTGCCAAACTAGAAGAGACTAAACACAACTAAATAACACTAGGACAAGACCGAACTGTGGCTCATGACAGGGTTGTGGCTTGCTTCGTATTGGCTTGGGTCGGCCACTCCGTTCCTGCCGCTAACGTAGGGCTTGGATCAACTCTGGGTCAAGCTCCCCCAATTAATTTACTTTCTGGGACTTCGTTTGCTGTCAAAAAATAAAATAAAAGAAAAACAAGAGAGAGGGCTTGGCTGAAAAAGATGAAGATCAAATAATCTGCGGAACCACCGAAACTAGATTATTCCTTCGCTTCTTCCCCTTATCTCATCTTACTCCACTGTATTTTTTTTTTCTTTCCAGACCCAAATGGAACAATTTCCCAGCTGTCATGGTGGAGAGAAATTTAGAGTAGGGAGTATGACCTCAACTATTTTCGGTGAACCCGAACATGGTGCCATTATTGATTTCCATAATAAATTCCATTTAATAGAGGGGAAGAGAAAAAAAAAGAAAAAGAAAATACACACCCCCAACACAACCAAGACACATCGCACATATAACCCTGGTCAAAACCAGGCCAGATTCCAATGAACCTACTATGCGGCTCTTCCACTCAGAGGCCAGCACACTCAAGTTAACATGGTCAGTGATCGTCAACCACCAAGTCCAAGCGGGCTTAGCGTGGCCCCAAGACGAGTCACTCGCGAACCCACCAAGGCCCGACCGTCGTCGGAAGCCATCTGGGCTCTCGATTGGGACGAGCAGTTCGGGGTCTCATTTCACATTTCATTTGCTGTCATCCAATCAAGCCCCACAACGCGCCATGCACGTCTGCCAAAAGGGCGGTTCTTGTGGGGAAAGATGGGCCCGTCAAAGATCGGCAACCCGAACCTCTGGGAAAATTACTCCGTATCAGATTTACATACTATACATAAAGTACCTGTCGCTCCTGCTCTCCCTGTCCCCTTTGCACCCCGGTTTGGGTTTGCTCGCTCTCTAAAACCCCCTTTTTTTTACTTTCTTTGTTTCCCCCCTGCCAGGTTGACGGATCCAACCTATCGGGATATGTAGAAAGCTCGTATAGCCAGGTCTGGAACATTTCAAACAACGGGCAAAAACGTATATATGCCTGGTTTCTGGATCTGCAGCGCACATGTGCAAGGATCTACTCGAATCACCTTCTTCATACCGCCCATGCAGAAAACAGACATCTGGAGTACAGAGAGAAGAGTCGATGGATGATATCTGTACTGCGTAACGGACACAGTAACTTCGTATCTCATGACAAATCTAGATCCGATGGCTCGGAACTTGTACACAAAACCCACGGACCTATCCACCGATGCCATCATGCCAATGCCTGGAAATTAGGGAAATTAGAAAATCAATCAAATCAGTATTAATACAGGGAAATATGGGGCGCCCTTCCCGTGTGACGATCGACTTGACAGGACGGTCTCCATAGGGCTATTGGCATGGACTTCCAAGGTTCCATCCATGGATCAGGCCGATCACTACGCTAATCTGTAGCCAAATCTAGGACAAAATGCCATGCCGAACATCTCCTTGTCCCCAGTGGATTTCCATTCTCCAGTCTCCATTGTGATATTGATTTTCCCGACAAAAGAAAAGAAAAGAAAAAAAAAACGACGTATCCGAAGCGGCATTGACTTCCGTCCGCAATATTGACTTATGTATATTACTGCAGAACGTCAAGATGTCACGGAGAAGCCCGCGACCCGTGTGGACGGGAACGGATGAACCTTGTTACTTGTAAGGCGGAACAAAACACAAACAGACAATGAGGATTGGATGTTGAATATTCAAGAGATTCAGATATGCGTAGGGCTGTTAGAATTAATGCAGGACTGGACGCCTGACAGGGAGGCTGAGTATGCGTCGAATGAAGAAATGACGAGAGTTAGGAGTTCTCCGAACCGGAATTTGAATACGGGAGTTTTCCATCTGCTCACCAAGCAATTTTATCATGGGGGTCCCGGGCGCTAAGCATAGCCCCCATGTTCAAAGTTGTGTGTACTGGTACTGTCAGTGTCGGTATTTTTTGCTGAATTGAAATGCTGCATTTTGTGATTTTTAATCATTTCTTTTTTTTATTATTTTCTTTTTTTGGATTTGGATTTTTTGGATTTTATTTTACATTTTTACATTTTCCATTTTACTGTACATTTTAAACAATTTGATTTTTGGCAATTTTTAGCATTTCTTTTTTATTTTCCCTCTTTTTTGAAACTAGATTCTGCAACTATAAACTAATTGTAGCGCGCAACAATGCTCCTATAATACTCCTCTTCTTTCCCCCCTTCCTCACACAATACTGCTTCCCATTCGCTTTCCCTACCTTGACGTTGACCTTGTCATATCTTATCTTACGGATTGTATATAAGACCTTGCTTCTCCCTTTCTTTTTTCTTCTGCCAACCTGAATGATTCCATCTTCATCGCATACCAGGTGCCCTATTACCCGGGTGTCAATCACTGCACGTTGCCTTGTATAATCTTTCCGAGGTTCGCACGTTGGGTTGACGGGCCGCAATCCGAACCTTATCCCTTGGTATGTTAACCCGGGGGGAAAAGCAGTGTACACAAAAGAGACAAGAAAAAAAAAAAAAAGAAAAGCTAACCAAAAGAATTGTACACAGATATATATTCTTGCGTCTTTTCCTCAATCATCTTGATCAAAGGAATGTCCCTTGCGGAACATTCGGACTTTGTGTTATTCCCGAATCGTCGATCCAAAATGCTCGCCTTTGAAGCTCCCAGATCAAAACAGCCATACTTCCAGCCCATGATGGATCCCAATTTGGACATGTACTCATACTCCATGGATGGCATGCAACAGTATGCCCAAAACATTGATTACTCCCAATCATATTTCGACGCTCCTCTCTATGCCGAAACAGAGATGATGCAAAAATACTCCGAGTTCCCTTCTATGCCCGCCACACCTCCATCCATCGCAACATCTCATGCCACAGAACAACAGATCCCCACAGGTTCCGCAGCATCTGGACCTTCCATTGCTAGTGCAGCTTCGTCTGCTACTGGATCTCCATACTCAGGACCCGCTTCCGTGTTTCAAGATAATAACTGGCTGAACACCAACCATGGACTCGGACTGCCGGCGGCCGTGATGCATGATATCTTCCCCAATGAATACATGGGAGGCAATCCAGCTGACATGGATGGATATTATCGGGAGAAATTACCCGACCACTCTGTCGGTAGGTTCTGAAGCAAATTCCATCCCGCGCCATTTTTTTTGTTTCTCCACCTAGACTCGGTTCAACTGACCTCAAACGCTGCAGATCCATCTCTATTGATTCAATCCTTGCCCGGCAATACCCTTATGCCTACAATCTCATATCCCGATCAAAACAGCACCTACTCCACCGTTCCTCAGAATTATCTTCCCTGCTCCCCGGCGACATCACCCGTCCCATACAGCGACAATGTGGAGCAACATTCACCAGGGCTCCACTCAGTTCCGCACCCATCCCCCCTGATGATGAACTCAGGTTTCCACTCCCGGCCCGCGTCGGTGTACGACCGCCGTTCCTCAATCTCTTCCATTCAGTCTCGTCGCTCTCAACAAAGCCCTGCCTTGAGCAGCATCGAAGGTGACGACATCAAGGAAAAAGGACAATGCCCACACCCAGAATGTGGTCGCATCTTCAAGGACTTGAAGGCCCACATGCTCACTCACCAATCCGAGCGGCCGGAAAAATGTCCCATTACCAACTGTGAATACCACACTAAGGGCTTTGCCCGCAAATACGATAAGAACCGCCACACTTTGACCCACTACAAGGGCACAATGGTTTGCGGCTTTTGTCCTGGATCCGGCTCTTCCGCTGAGAAGAGCTTCAACCGTGCCGATGTCTTCAAGCGCCACCTGACCTCCCTTCACGGTGTGGAACAGACCGCACCAAACTGCCGCAAGCGCAGCCCGTCTACCTCCACCAAGAAGGGTACCAATTACAGCAGCGATGCGACTGGCAAGTGCTCCACTTGCTCTGCAACATTCAGCAACGCCCAGGACTTCTACGAGCATCTGGATGACTGTGTGCTGCGGGTTGTGCAGCAGGAGGAGCCCTCAGAGGCAATTAACCAACACCATCTTGCGGATATTTCTTCCGACGAGGACGTGAAGAAGACGATGGAGAAGCACCAGTTGCTGGACACCACGGCTGGATCCGTGGAGCAATACGACGACGAAGATTCCCACGACGATAACGACTCTTATGACCTCGCCAATTGGCGCGCCACCGGCCGCGCTTCAAAATCCAAGGCCTCCTCCCGCGCCATCATTGGCAACGGCAACGCCATCACAAAACACTCCTCTTCCTCCACTGCTCCCGGTAAAGCGCCCCGCGCCGTGGTGACTCGTCGCCGCAACAACCGCGGGAATTACCCCCAATCCTGGGGATGCCCCAGCAGCAACATGAAGAGCAAGAAGCGGGTTCTCTGTGTCTTCAACGGACAGCGTCGTCTATGGAAGGACGAGATGCTGCTGAACAACGAATTCGAGGTCCGCATGCCACTTCCAGGCGGTGCGGGCGACGGTACAAACCGCCAAGCCTACGTGACTGACCTGGATGTGGAGACTCTTAAGCGTGCTGAGGGTGTTCTCAGCGCTACTGATGAGGAGCGTGGACCCTGGCTCGATGGCCCATCCACCCATCTCATGGGCCAACCTGCGAGACTTATCCCCGATATGTTCCAACACGACGATGAGCTATCATTCAACGACCTCATGGGTTGAACGTGTTGCTGAAACTTCCTTGATATTTTGAGCGTTGCGTTGCCCATGGCATTGTTTCTTCTTTTTCTTCTTTTCTTTTCTTGTCTTTTTCCTTTGTCTTGTTTCCATATTGCAGCGAGAATTGGCGTCCCGTCTGAGGCTTTACGGATATTGATACCTTGGGCGCGATTCGATGTTGGTACGATTTTTCTATGTCACTTCTACTTAGCAAGCCTTTTGGTCACACCTATAACCCCGACCCTGCTGGCTCGGGTGACATGTCGGAGGGTGTTTGGCACAGGAAATATTTCATTTTAATGGATATGAACAAAAGGATTCCACTCTACAATCAAACAATCTTCCTACTTTATTCTACTCTACTATTCTAGAGAAGCTTCACAGTCCAGTATTCTACCATAGTTGTTTATTTGTTGGGGTTCGCGGGCGGTACCGCCTTCCGCCAGATCTCCCCACGCAATCTCCCCGCGCCATCTCCTCACGATCGATCCACCCACGTTCAATCTCACATCACACAACCATGCAACTCGGTCTCTCGGAAAGTCTGTCGGCGCTGGTCGCCCGCCGCTTCGTGGCCGCCAAAGAAGGCAACCATCTCGTCTTCTCGCATACACATCTATCAATTGTCACAGCTGCAGGGATCCCCGTAAGTCACGTACCCTGCCGAGCTCGTAACCGTACTCGTCGTCATCGTCATAACTCCGGGACAATGGTTAACACGAAAAATTCCCCAGTACCAAGTACGCTACTGCCCGGCGCTGGCGAAGAAACCCACAAACCTCAAACCCGAGCCACCCAAAGGCCCCAAACCCGATCCATTCGAGAACCCATCGCCAGAGCTCCTGCTCGCCCAATTTCCTGCGGAGAAACCCTCGCATGCCCTCGTGCTCAACAAATTCCCCGTCATCCCAAACCACTTCATCCTGACCACAACAGAATGGCGAGAACAAACAGACCTGCTGGAAAAAGTCGACCTGGAAGCCACTTACGAATGTCTACGCTCGTGGGGAACCGACAATACCAACATCACCACCAAGCCAAACGGCACCGGCACCGATAAACCCCGCCTTTTCGCCTTCTTCAACTCCGGCGAAGACAGTGGCGCAAGCCAACCACACCGCCACCTCCAATTCCTACCCGTCGAAGCAATGCGCTCATCCGGCGCAGAAGGCTGGGACCCTCTTATCGAACTCCTAGCCGCCCAAAACCAATCCAGACCAGAGTCTACACCGCGAAGATCCTCAGCTACATCTACCAGTGTATCGAAGAGTACATCCAACGCCACAATCGCATCGCCCGCATTCCAATACCACGCCCACCTCCCATTCGCCCACTACGCCCTCCCGCTCCCCGCAAACCCATCCTCAGAAACCCTGCACGCAATCTACCTATCGCTCTACCGCGCCGCAGCACTGGGAACAATGAATCGTGATCCGACGAAGGAGAAGATCGAGCTCCCATCGCATGGTCCCGCGGCTATTAGCTACAACTTCGCCATGACGCTGGATACCATGATGATCGCGCCGAGGAGCTCGGAGACCGCGAATGTTCCTGTTGATTTGGAAGCGGCGGCGGACACGGCTGATCCGGGTGTTGTTTCGTTGAACGGCACGATTCTGGCTGGTACGCTTATGGTCAAGGCGGAGGCGGAGTGGGATGCTCTGCGGTTTAAGCCGGATAATTTGATCCATGCTTTGCAGGCCGTGGGATATAAGAGGGTTGATTCTCATCGGTCTGGGGGATCTTTGCTTTGAGCTTGAGTATACTAGTAGCTTTGATAAATAGCATTATGTACATGATTTTTTCTTCTCTTCAGGTGCCATTTATTTTTCGCATGTCAGAATAAGATGTAGATGACGCAAGTCAACAGCGAAGGACCAAACACCTATACTTCATCAAGAGATTATCATCTATCACAAAAAAGCTACTATCATATATCTATTATCCACGCAGACTCGTCTACGACCTCTATCAGTCCGCCACACACTCCACTCCACTCCACTCAAGCTCGCACCCCTTTTATTAATGAGTGATACACAAAAGCCAAGCAAATGGCGAAAAAGGTGACTGGAATTTTCCGATCTCTATTCTTACCGTTTCCCGAGCACTGAAGATCCTGTCCCGACACGCAACAATTCAAGAGCCTCATCTGGGCCACTACCACAACCTCCAAGTTTAAGTCGACTCTGGAGCTTCCTGCCCGCGGTGTAGATTGGCGTCGAGCCGATCGTCTCCGATCCCTTTTCAAGGCCGATGCTCGCGCCTGTGTTGTCCAACGCTTTGCAATCCAACCCGCCCTTCCCTGTTCTTGCTGTAGGGCCATGCACGGCCCGTTCCGAGCCTGTCGCGTTGGTGTCCTCCTGATTCTTCCCTTCTCTTCCCTGGCTCTTTCATGTACCAGCTGCCAGTTTGGCAGCAAGGGTCCGAAGTCGCTTTTGATTCTCCGGCCGTTTCTCCTCTTGCGGGCGTCAATCCTGAAACGGCTGCCCAAAACATCTCCCTTCTCACTCAATCTGCCCTGAATGTTCAAAAAACTGTTCAGACTGCTTCGAATGGAGTCAATTTGAGTCAAAATCCCCAAGCTCCTCAACCTTACAAATCTTTACCTCGGAACCTTGTCACTCTGACTCCGAATCTCTCGGCTCAGAACGCACCATTTCCGTAGTGACGCGGAGAACGATGATGAATAGACTCAGGGATATTGTGTATAATGTGCAATATAAGTATGAATACTATTCCAAGTTGACCGACGCTCTATTTGGCCACGAGGTCGTGGAATATAGGCTGGAATCATGGAAATCTGGAAAGGGTTGAGAAGACCTGGAAGCTGTGGGGCTGAAGAAGAAAGAAAGTTACCTCTGGTAAAAAATTATATCCATACCCGCAGCTCTCAAGCTGGAGGGCTACTCCACGGCTTCAAATGTTTGCTCAAGATATTCAAATGTTTGAGCGGTTGGGTATATGTATTCGAATGGCTACTACGTACATTCACAGATATATGGGAGATTCAAAGGATAAAAGTACGAATTTCTTTTTTTTGGAATTAAGTGAACAGAAAAATCTTGGGTACCTGTCCCCATATCTCGCCTTGGTTTCAGCTCGAGTCGAGTCAGTGTCCACTCTTCCGAATGGAATTTCAATTGTCACCCATATCTTTGTGTCATCTGGGGACCGCTGATTGCTCAGTCTTATGACGATTTCAAAATGCGAAGATTGTAAGGACGATTGAGAGATGCGACGATTGTAAAGAAGCTCGGTATATGCGACGATTACAAAGATAATTCGAAGGCGCATGCTAATGCGCAAAGACGATCGGAAGACGCATGGTAGGAGGCGAAGACGATTGGAACACGTATCGAATGTGCAAAGACAACTGAAGCCCCCACGTACTCTTGTCCGCAAAGGAAGTCGAGAGACGCAGACGAATGCGCAAAGACCCGTGTAGGATATGAAAGGACGAAAGGTAATGCAAGCCAATGTTTCCCAGCCAACCCAAGCTCTGTCTGTCTTCGGAATTCCAAGGCTCGAATAGCCTTGGAATTAAACTTTTACCCGGTCCCAAAGTTGAAGGGAATCGAAGTGTTGGAGAGATCCTAGGGTTGAGGAAAATTGGAATAAGAATAGGTGGGTGGAGGAGGAAAGAAAGAAAGAAAGTTGCCTTGAGACAAATCGCGCTATTTATACCCATAGGTTAGAGGTTTCTCTAGCACTTTCTCAGTCTAATGTCTTTGAGCACTATCTGTACTCAAAGGCCTACTACATTCCAACATTGAATTAATTGACTGATGCTGTTTAAAGTCGAAAAACGGAGAGCAATGACTGTAAAGTCTAGTAGCTTCCCTTGGGGAATGTGGACGTGCTATGGTAAGGTAATTAAATTACTCTACATGGACTGCATAAAAAAATCCAGAAACCATCTCCTACTTCTGTGCTGTGAGGCGCCTTGCTACCAGTTTGTCCTTGCCCCGACTTGTAGGTTCGCGAGATGCTACTTCGATTGGGTGTATGTGGCCCTTCTTGTTACGATCGCAGGGCACCGTGCCTGCTTGTTGACAAAAGAGATTCGTAATGCGTATGCTCCATTGCCTCCTCTGTGGGGGAGGAGATCCCAACATTCAAGGCTCGCTGGTAGGACGTTCAAAGGACGATAGCGCAAAAACCACATTTTGGAACCAACCCAAGAAGAATGAACTAGAAACCCAGTCCCGATGTCTCACCTGAACTCAGCCCACTCTGACTCGATTCGGTGCTCTCTCCAGAGCTCTTTCGGAAGAACTTCAATCTCTACTATATCTAGTAAACTTATGGATATTTCAATAATGAATCTCTTGAATTGGTAGCTACCAGTCCAGCTGAAGTAGCATTTTAACAACATAAATCGCCAGACTCAAACCCAGGAAACCCTCATCCGGTAAACTCCCAAGCCCAGACACAGCAACTCCAATTAAAATACACCAAGATAAATTCCACCATAACCCCGAAAACCAGAAAAATCTGTCCCCATTATTCGAAGTCGAAACCAACAAGCACCATGTGCACCTGCCCCACCTCGGCGATAGAAATTAACAGTGGAAAGTGCAAAGAAAGATAAGAATAAAACAAAAGCCCACCGAGAAACACAATGAAGCTCACATCGCAACACCAAATATCTCGCACCACTTCTTCTTGCACGTCGCATTTCCAAACTGATAACTGCCCCCATTCGCCCAGATATACTGGGCGACCTTCTTCCAAGGCACCTTCGGCGGTCCGCCGTTCTGGCCCTGATCATGACTTCCATCCGCGTCATCACCGGCCTCGCGGGAATCGTCCCTGTAGACAGAGACAGCCTCGACGAGGAGGTCGATCTGCGTAGATGGTCAGTACGAAGTAACAAAGAGACAAAAAGTGGAAGAGTGAAGTGGAAGAAAAGAGTGAAGTGGAAGAAAGTGAAATAAAACTTACATCCATGCGCAACCACTTCGGTTTCCGAACCCGTTGCTCCTTCACCTTAGTGAGAGCGCGATACCGGCCTCGAAGCGTCGACTCCGCCTCCTTGAAGTTGCCCGTTTCCTTGATTGCCTTGTACGTCAGCCCGGCGCGTCTGCCTTCGACTAGCAAGCGGTCCCGGGTGTCGCTGTAGTGGAGCGTTGCCTGTAGCTGGCGCGGGCTCGTATTTTGAATCATGGGCGGGGAGTCGGGGTGGCAGAGAGATTGCGGTGTGTGTTGCTGGAGAGGAATTTGGTGGTGAGCATGCTTGGAGCCAGGTCCTAAGCGCTGGTTTGAGGGGTTGATCTGTTCGGGGTGTGGTGTGATGGGGCTGAAGGTGCTTGGGATTAATGCTGGCGTGGTCCTGTGAACTTGCTCTTGGTGGAGCGGGAGTGCCTGCATAGGCGGCGGGATATGTGGCTCTCCATACATGGCTGAAGTCTGAGCTGACTGGAAGTACATCATTGGCTGCTTGGGGAGTATGGGTGCTGGTTGAGAGATCTTGTAGCCCTGGCTAATGGGATGATCGATTGGCCGTTGCCATAATGTAGAGGAGTCTGGAAAGGCTGGGGAAGGCTGCGTCCAGTTTTCTTCGAGCGTGGGCCAAGTCCATTGGGTAGAGGGTTCTTGGAGGCGTAGGTCAAGGTGAATGGAAGGTTCGTGAAACGAGATATTCGCCTCGTTGGCCATGGGCATGAATGGGATTTGAGTCTGAGACACAGACGCAGATGTGGTCTGAGTCTGGAACTGACTCGCAGGCTGGGTCTGCAAAGCATAGTAGGACCCGGTTTCCCAAGTGTGAGGCTTATTCTTTTGCACATCCACAAACTCATATGACGATGAAAGCGAGGGGGTGTTTTCGTGTTCTGAGAATGACAGATCCGGCGCAACCCAGTCCATATCATTCATTGGTATTGAGTTCATGGTCATGGGAGGCGCAGGGAATGGGAAGTAGGAGGTATTGGAAGAGCCATATGACGACTCAGCGTAAACACTCCCATCACTCGAGCCCGTATACTCCATTGCCGGTGAGACAGTCGCACTTGAGGTTTTTGTAGAGCGATAGGGCTTGAAATCGTATGGTCTGGTAGGATATTGGACGAAACGGTCTGAGGTGGGCTGGTCCATTGGAAAATCCATTTGAGACATGTCGCGCGGAGGCGAGAACTTTTGAGAAGGGCTGAAAGAAGGGGAGAGGCGATGAAAGGAAGATTGTAAGTCTGAGTTGGAGGAGTCCAAATAACTTGAGGGGCTGTCCCGGGGAAAGGAATTGATAGCCTTAAGAGACGCAGAGCGATCAGAGGTAAATCGCGGACAGCACGTTATTCGCTCAGAGCCCCACGGCCCCTCGTTTCGTGCGGACGCAACTATTGCTTTTACCATGGCGAGAAGATAATTCTGACGCGCGTGATATTCACCGCAATTGGATTGAATTAGGAGGTTGTACACGGGTTGTCACTGTGTGTAGATTACCGTGGACTTTGTATTCTTTGCAATGCGCAACGGCTTGACGGGTGGCAACTGCAGGAGAATATCAGGCTCTGAATGTATGGAGAGGTTTCACCTGCATCTTTTATATCTTACCTCGCTTTTATATGACTTTAGCTTCAAGAGTTCTAGAGCCCTGTTAAGATGCAGCACTTAGAGTGAACAGGGTATATACGATCTATATCTATATATAGATAAGTATACCTGTAGCTAGCTACTAGTGGCATATACTAGTATCTTTCAGATTGAGTCAAGAATAATCTCAAGTGCTGATCGGTGTGATCAAGATGGCGGGTAAACCGTTGGATGCAATGCGGTCTCAGATCTCACGGAAAGCGGATGATAAGGATAGGATGCAACTCGGTGAAGTGGTCAAGGTGAAGGGAATTATCATAAATAAAAGATTCAATTAGAATTCAGAGATTAGAGGAGGATAGAAAATAAAAGTAGTGTCTCTCCACAACGAATGTAATAAAAGGCAATATAAACCCCCCAACGTGATGTTGGTATATTATTATACATAAGCAACATTGCCCTGATATTAGAACGTCGGCCCTAATGACCTTGAAAAGGCGTTGGATAGGGGGAAGATAGACGTTGAGCATAATTCCCGAAATGAGACCGTTAACCCTAGTCGGACTAGAAATCGGGACTTTAAACTACGACGATCCACTTGCCGCTCGTTTCAGATCTTTCTTTGTATGTCTTAAGTGCTCGCGAGACTAGATTTGGGCAGGAAGAAAGTGAGACACCGTTAGGATGGAGTCTTAGCTTTATTGTACCAAAGCACAGAATCAGACGTAAAGAGTATCAAGTGAGAAACAACCTGAAACCAAAACATTGAGATATTTCTTGCATGAACCCTAATGTTAAACTGATCTCCGGGCTGTTTCGTCGAATATACATAGTATCCATACCCAATTCCAAGTACATCTCATATCTCATCCTGAACCAACGCAACCCCCGTACTTTCTTTCCTTTTTCCCTGTTGCACCCTAGTAATGCCCCTCAAGGGGGCCGAATCATTTAAGAAACATCACCCAAAAACAAAAACAAAAAAACCAACAGCCCTAAACCAGGTCAACCCAAGCATTCCCGACCCCCGTAAAATTCCCATCTCCACATATCCTGCCAACTACCTCCACACCCCCCATCTTAAATCATGCTTGGCGTGGCCCATTTACAAATGTTCCATCCTGGACGGATAGCCACATAGGGCTAGCTGGGGTGGGATGCTCAATCATCCGCACCAATGAGAAAAGCAAGCTGGGCCAACAGTTGGAGCGGAAAAAGCAAATCTAGACTTATTTTTGTGGATTTACGTCTATTTTGGCTCGACGGTTGGTTTTAGGGGGTCTCTCCTCTTGGGCGTGGAGTGATGTATCGAACATGTTAAGTCCGGGGATGCGATCTGCCGAGGACATGGATATTTGCAGGATTACTGCCCGATCGACAGCAGGGTTGGAATTTGGGGGATTTTTTTTTTTTTTTTTTCTTTTCTATTTCAAAAAAAAAAAAAAAAAGTCCCTGCAATAGGAGCTCGTCTAGTGGCGTTCAGCGCTTTCTTCCCTGAACATTGAAGCTTGGAAAGATATCTAGTCAGCAAAACAGTCTATAATTCCAAATTATATAGAGCGTGACAACAAGTAGTCCTCGGAGTGGAAGTAGAACATTAAAAGAAGCTTGGATCACTCAGCAGTAGTTAAACTTGAATAAACTATCACTAAATACCCAATCCCCACTTCAACCCCCAGTCCAACACATCCTCAGCTCAATTGCAAAGAAGCTTCTATGTAATTCCTTTTTATTTTCCCTTTTTCCCTTTTTCCCTTTTTTTTAAAATTCTACGATGGGATGGGCTGGGTGGCGTTGAAACCGGCAAGAGCGACATCCATAGTAAACCCGCCTGCATAAAAATGCGAACGAGCAAAGGGTGTGCCCATGGTTCGATCCACTCGGAACCCCTTCCGCTACCATCCGCTGCCAGTCATATTGGAAGTATACATGTCGGTCTTTGTTGGTGATGCTGTTGGTGTTTATGTTTATGTTTTTGTCTTGCCGCGGAGATCCTTTCCAACCTCCAATTATCTCAGTACACCTGGACCTTTCGGCCGGGGGTGGGTGGGGATTGGATTGGATCTTCGGGCGTTGGACTGCATATGCATGTTATTTTCCAAGGTTGGCTCTTTGTGAGTCTAGATTGCTTTTTCGCTAGCTGTTTTGGCCTCGGGGATATTTCTCAATATGCGGCGATGTCGGGGGATGATCGACGTTGGCTTGTTGGTGATTTCATTTAATATGTCTATTTATGAGGAGATTCGTTAGGATAGATGTTATTTTTATAGATGTTGCAAGGTTTTATTTGGAAATGTTCCTAGCTCAAAGGGTATCAAAGAATATTGATGCATGGAGACAGCACTTGAGTGAACATGTGGAAATTGGAGCATAGGAATATCAACATTGAAGTGCAGAACATTTGAACCTTGGAAAAGGCTCAGGTCCCCCACTAAGTCGACGTACTTACTAGACGTCCATTATGATCTTTTCGGACTTGCAAGAAACAACTATCATTCTAGAATTGACTTGAAGAACCAGTATGAGCCAATTGCCAGAAATTAGATCCGGAACAGAAAATAATCTTATTCGCGAGACAACCCGGACATCTCAACGGCCAGACCTGCGATGAATCGAGGCGGATCATGGATCTGCATGGCTTGCTGCAGATCATCCCATAACGGTGTCCCCCAGGACATGTAGGTATGCGCTGTCGCGGATATTGCGCTAATTTCACTCAACGAGCAGGCTCCACGCCGTCGCCATGTCTCTGATTATTCGAACGGTTGCTAAAGGTCTCGGGGGGAGCTTGGGATTTAGTGGCAAAATCATCCGTATGACTGCCCACGCGTAAGCTATGAGCTGCATCGAAAGACGGTGTTTAATCCAGGTAGCCAGCTCGTGGACTTACGACGATGCTTTGAGAGTTAGAACTTGTAAACTTTGTTCTATTTAAGGCACTTGAGCTAGTAGCTGAAAAGTGAATGAGGCGATTTTTTGAAACCTGGTGAATGGGTATCCATGCAGAACATAGCACGCATTGCTGCCCGGCTAGACAAGTCATGCTTCTCATGCTCCTCCCCGATGATACTGAAAGAGCCGCATCCGAGTGCCAATTTCGTCAACCACCGCCCACATCACCGAGAATGAGCCTCTTCTCCACCTACTGACAGTGAAGCATGTCGGTCAGGACCCATAGCGGACCCCCGATGATCCGCAATGCTCGGGGTCAGAGTGCAACGTTTTCCTTCTCCGTTGTTTTCCTGTTTCCGTCGGCCGGCTGCGTCCCTCCGGTATGCTAGACCGTCCAAAAGTCGGTCAACCAAAAGAACTGTTACCAATTAGATTTTTCCTATTTGGCATACGAACTGAGAAGAGATAACTGACCAGTCAACAGTGGTAGCGTGAAAGCGTACAGGATGATTGGCGAGGTCATGAAGGAATAGGCTAGCGGGAAGTGGCTGGCGAATGACACAAGACCCGCTAGAGAAATTGCAAGTAATGCTCTTACTACCATAGATATGACGAGGTGCAGCCGACGTTCGTGCCGACGGGAGAGCATGGCGAACGCGCTGAAAAGACCCATTGAGAGACTGGCTCCAGCAAAAAAGTAAATATACACAAAGGCCAAGAGTTTCATATACATCTGAAGAAGTTGATGGCTATCAAGGAGGCCAATGTCGACTTTGACTGGGGGCGTAATGTCCATGCTCGAGAACAAGGCCGCAGTAACATTTCCCATCAAATCACTGAAGATATGCTGATTGTGGAATGCACTGACTGTTCCAGGCACGGGACAAAGCGGCTGCGTTGAAAGATCATCTAGCAGACTAGAGATTGCCACCCACTCTTGCGTGGCACCACGGCTAAATGGAATCTCCATATCCGCAATAGTACTTCGAATGAGTGCGATCGCTTTTTCTTTACTTGGACGCGTCTCCTCACACACATAGAGAAATGTTTGTGCAAGATACTTTAACTTCAACGTGACATCCAAAGTCAAGGCCAGGATTTGGGAGCCTTCAAGCAGTAGGATAAGAGCCACGTGGAAGGGGAAATGTAGCTGCGCCCAGATCTGCTGAGCGACCTTTCCAAGTCGACGCCCCGGGGAGAGATCGAAATAAACCTGCCATAGTAAATACTGTATGAGGTGCGCGGTTAGCATTCCACAATCCTGCAATCGGAATTCACGGGGATCTGAGCATACGACGTTGGTAGTCACTCCCAGGATATGAACAAACGACCATTTAGTCCACCCACCCGGCCGAACCGTCTTGTTGACAATTCGAGTCACCGCGATGACCCCCTCACCAATGATGATCAATGTGAGAAGGCCCATGCGGACATTGAGGTAGGTGTCCTGAAAGCCAATCTCTGGAAAAGCACAAGACACGCCCATTACCGTCCACATTTCAACGCCAAAAAGGACGAACCAAACGGTCCAAATTCTCGGGGGGATGTGATGGCCTCGGCTAAAGGCGAAGAACATCTGCAGAAGGTTAGGGAAACCCGTTGAAAGGTAACGTTTTTGGTGAAAGTGAAGGCTTACCGCAAGGTAGAAAATCGTCGTAGTCCAAAACATTATAGCGGTATATGCAATGCCCTTGGATGTAGCTTTCATCGGTTGATACATAAACGCAAGGGTGATGGTGTATTGTGTTGCCAACAGCATTCGACTCCCCGCAAGCATCAAACTTAACGATTGAAATGCCCAGAGATTCTCATCACGAACGCGGGTGGTAAAGCGAGTCCCAGCGGATGCAAAACCGATCATGGCGGCAAGTTGTAGGGCTTTGCAAGTTCGTTCGAAGACCGAGTCTTGGGCAAATCGTATATCGAACAAGGTGACCTGTAGCCATGTGAACCAAATCACCCCAAGAAATCCCACGTAGGACCCCAGGGCTGAATAGTTAGCATTTCTGTGTATTTGACCGGGATCAAGCCCTCAGGAGCATACCGTTCACATTGTTGATTTCATGTGTCGCAGTGAAAGTCGACAAATTCGCCACAAAAAATAGGTCAAAGAAAAGTTCGATGGAAGTTGTGTCTGATCGACGGTAAAGACGAGGTTTCGCTTCAGTCTTGTTGATGGGGCTGACAAACCACGACAGTGGACCATTGCGTACGCTGCTTCACGTTAGTAGAAAAGTTCAACGCGCAAATGGTTTACCTGCTCAGGTATCCATGGATATATACTGACGGGTGATCTGCCGGAAGTGTACTACGGGGAACTTGGCGAAATATGAAAAACAAGTGAGGTGGAGGCATGATGAAAATATATTGTGTATAGAAGAACCTTGAAAATCGGAACTCGGGGTATCAAAAGAATCAACTCCATATTTGAAAAGTGTGATGATGTTGTCAAAAACAAAACGGAAGGAACGACGGTTCACGTCGGAAGGTATGGAGAAGGAAAGAACTCATAACATGGATTCATCGGAGCTGGAATTTGATGGCAACGGCGCTCCGATGCTTTCCAGACCTCGTGACTTCTCCAGTGCGCCTGCTGATGTATCTCCGTTCGTAACTTGATCGCCACCGGCTTCCTTCTTCAGTCGTTCATAGTTATCTCCTGCCTCTTTAATCATGCCCTGGATTTCTACCTCGCGAAGGGCGATATCAGCCTTTTCTACTCGCAGGTCCTCCATACGACGAATCATCTGTGTCTTGGCGTTTTCCATTCCTGCCAGAGCAGTACGCATTCGGTCGAAACTGTTGGCCAGTTTAGGCAAAGATGTCATCTTGGGAGGCGTGCGGGGTCGGTCGGTATCTTGCTTATGTCCCATCGCGGCCTTGGTCTGCGTAGCTTCATAGGCGGCCTTTTCTTCGACATCCGAGTCTTCCTCATCAGAAGGTCTTTCGGCGTCATCGATGAGTTCGCGCATGGCTTCACGCTGCTTGCGCTTTTGCTCCCGTTCCGCGTTCTTTCCAAGTGAAATCTTTCCATCTTCCACATATTCCTCGAATCCTTCGGCAAAGTCTTCATCGTCTCGTACAAGCCGTGTGTCTTTCGAGTTTTCTGCTGTCCTTTCACCCCGTGCGATAGCGTCCCAGTCATCGTCGCTAATAGCACCATCGTCAAGCGCCATAAAGTCCTCCTCTGTAGAATTGGCGGTGTGCTCCAGGGCCAAACGGGCCCTCCGGGCTTTCTTTTCCCGAATCTCAGCGGCACTGGGGATGGCGGCTTGGCCAGATACGGTCATCACCTCGCCGAACTTGGCGGCCACATCGACCGTCCTGTCTTGCTCGTTATCGGTGGTGCTCTTCGGCGTCGAAGGGGTCGAGTCGCGTAGTTCTTTGAGGTAATCATTGCTATAGCTGGGCCGATCTTGATCACGGCCAAAGCGCTCGGAGAGAGTTTCTGCGGCGCCTGAAGGAAGTTGGTTGCGCTGAGTGGCGCTGCGCTCAACAGCCTTTCGGCCTAGACCATGTCTTTTTGGAATAACAACTTCGGAAGGTTCATCTTCTTCATCAGCCATAGATGTTCCACCGGGGGCAAAGGACATGCGCAATTTCGACTTTGGTTTCGACTTAGTTGGCCGCTTAACAACGGGCTCTGTATGCAAGCCTATCAGTTGGACAATTCCCCACAGCTAATATAGTAATGTCACATACCTTGCGTGGATCCCCCATCTTCCTCCTCATCATCCCCACCAATCTTCCGTGGTTTCCTTCTGTTTGAAAAAGCGGAGCTCATATTTGGCGCGATTGTGATGTTAGTGCGGCGTGCAGGAAGAGGTGCGCCGTGCCGCGAGCTCATGAGCTCTTATTTCTCTTATCGCTTATCCGGGTCGCGGATCAACCTCTCTCCGGCCACCGATACCACAGCACCGCGAGATGGGTTCCACTCGAATCTTGTCAAACCAGCAATCCGATTACCAGCTTGCCCAATATGCCTCAAGCTCAGCCGGAATTGAAGAAGGTGTGTGATCATTCCGTCGCTCTCTGCTTACCACACGTCTTTCCCCCACTCACAATTACCGCGCAGTATATGGAGAAGCGGGTCTTCTGCCAGTTGAACGGCAACCGCAAAGTTATTGGTATCCTTCGAGGCTACGATGTACGTCCAATCCTCCCCTCTTCGAATCAAACACCCCAGTGCAGCTTGTCCGATCATTTAGAGCTAGGATATCCTTCTCCGCTCGTGAAAGATCAGCCATCTGCCAAACAGCCATCTTCCGAAAGAACCACCACTCACCCATTCCTTTCTAGGTGTTCATGAACATTGTCCTCGATGAAGCTTTTGAAGAGAAGGCCGGCGGTGAGAAGGTCGCCATTGGAATGATTGTATGTTGTTTGGATGATTTATCCTATTTTACCAAGCCAGACTAACAGCAGTAGGTCATCCGCGGTAACTCGGTCGTCATGATTGAGGCCCTTGAACGGATTAACGACAAATAAGCGCACCACGCACAATCGATGACATTTTCTCGAGGGAGATAAGCGCGCGGCTTTGACCGTAGCTGGGGATGATCATAATGGCACAGGGAGTTTATCGGTCGGTTGCTCATCCAGGGACCATCAAAACCATGTTTTTTTTTTCTGCTTCTACTACTTCTGCTTGTTTACTACGGAATATTCTTTGATAACCTGAACAAATACCACCCTGGGTTACAGCGGAATTTTACAAGATAAAAGGACAGGTGCTGCGTTCGAGCTCTCATCCATATGCTGCAACCTTGGAAGCAATCTACAGGGACAGGAAAGATTGCGTAGGCAAAAAAATAATATGGAATATGGTATTATCGATGAAGGTACTAATTGACATTTTCGCGCCTGAGACCATGCTTGTTTTTCCTCCCCCTGAATGATCGAGCCCTTGTTGCAAGAAGAAAAAAAGTAAGAATTCAATGAAGATCGTAAAAAATACATGGTATTGAAGGGCAGGGGTCAGGGGTTTCATTTTGGTTTTTGTCCGAACTTCAGCTTCAGCTTCAATGGGCCTCCAGTGGATGGGGTGCCCGGGGTCGAAGAGCCGGGAGTTCTGGTTCCCGAAGTAGCGGAGGATGGTAGGGGAATGTGAAGCTTCGGGAGGGTCGCAGAGGATGGGGTGCTAGGAGTTGAACCGGTCTTGTTTTGTTTGAAAGTGATGCGAGGAGCAGGCGGCGGCATGCCTGGTTCATCACGCTTACGCTTGGGAACGACAGGGGCGACAGGGGCGACAGGGGCGTCTCTTGATGGTACCAGGCTGGTACGAACATTTTCTGACCGGAAGAACCGCACCTTGCCAAAACCAACTTTCTCGACCTTCCAGTAGCGAGGGTATCGGAGTTTGGCGTGTTTGGATGTAATAGGTTCAAACATGACATGGCAAAGGTCTGCGACATCGGCCATCTCATCAATTCCAATCAGCCATGAGTTGCACGCAGCCCAAATGTATTCCTTCAATGACGCATCATGATAGAGTTCCCGTTTGAGGGCCTCGATTGCACCAGGAACAGTTTGACGACGCGCCAAGTCAGCCTGTCGAACCTCGGTGGATGACTCTTGCTCAATGATCAAGCCATCGCTCTGGTTAGTCTCAGGTTGCGGCGCGCGTCCAAATGCAATCATGGCCAGTGTCCGGCCAAACGCCCGGAGGCAATTGCGACGGACATAGGGAGATGAGTCACTGGTCATAGTGTAAATGATCCAGCGAAGCAGATCTGGACTCTGAGAAATGTCCAAATCAACCAGGCAATCGAATGCTTGCAGACGAAGAAGATCATAAGTCCCAGCCCGTGTGTATGGAATGAAACGCATCAGGTCCGTATCCAAAATTTTGGCCTGCATCATGTGCATTTGACAGTGCAAGGCGGCTCGTGAGTAGAGATTTTGGTAAGAGCTTGACCACTCATCCATTCGTCGGTACCGATCAATTTCAGCAATGGTGTCCTTCTCTAGCTGTTCTTCGGCCTGAGCTTCCAGGACACGCTCCATATTGAAATTAGCCAACTCATCTTCCTGTCGAGACTCATTTCGGCCCAGGAGAGCATGACAAAGTGAGCGCATCAGCGACGCCACGTAATAATTGTCAGAGTACGCATTGTTTGAGTTGTCGTTGAATTTCAATTTGTCAAACAGGAAGCGCTTGACCCGCATAGGGGTTTTACCGCTGTTGTCGCGCACCTTTGAGATTGCCTCTGGGATTTCTTTTTGAAGAATGTAAGCTGCGATGTCAGAGAAGTCATTTGATTTGGTCATGGGAGACCCCGGGAAGCAGAACAATTCCTGGAAGATCTTTTCCAGATGGAACAATCCAATCCAATCGACTTCATCCTTGGCGTGCTTGACCATTGCCCGCACTGCGGTCACTCGAATTCCGTGAAAGTAACGACTGTCCATGATGGTTCGAGCAAAGATGCTGGAAATCAAGCTATTTTCACGCTGAGCAATCATCGCTTGGAGGGCTTCTAGTTGAGCAACGACGTCTCGGTCTTGCTGGAGTTGTGACAGGTACATGTACCCTGGCATATTCAGTTGGAGCTTGCAAATCCATTCGAAATCCGCATCCATCCGGATCCATTCGTAAGACTCTTGGCCCATTCTTTCTTCGTCTTCCTTAGTCCAGTCAGACATGCGCCAGTCTTGTACCTCTTCTTCTGTTTGGAGAACATCTCCGAGACAGTACAAGAGAACTTCTTCTTGGGCCTCTGGGTCGCCGTTTGCAACAGCACGTTCTCGTTGCTTTTTGTTCCGCTTGAGCCGCTTGTACTTGGTGTTGTATGGGATTTCAAACTTTGTGAGTCCCTCCTTAATCTCCACGATATGTTCATATGGTGTACCATCGGCCTCGTGGATTCGGAGTGTCATGGAACCGGTGAAGACAGGTTGAAGGGCACCAGCCCAGACGTGGCGAACTTCTTCCTTAACATCTCGCAGGAACGCATCCTTGTCAAGGTCGCGTACTGTTGGCTGCTCACTTTGCACTTGTCTGATCATCATTTCAACCACAAGCTTCTTCTTGTTAAAGCGCTGCGTGGCCACGAAGCGCGGACAACCGGCGCCGTAAACCCATTGTTGGAAAAAGACATCGAGTTTCGCATGACCCAATCGCTCACACATTTTTTGGAATAGGGATGAGGTAATGGCCCTATTGGGAATATCTCCCATGCGGGAATTGAGGAAAATCCGATTGATGATTCGAGACATCGTGGCTTTTCCGCTTGCCTTGGTCAGACGACGATCCAAAATGAACAGAACCAGGGGTGCTTTGAGAGCAATGAATCGTGATTCAGATGGATCAATTTTGAGAAAGTTTCCCATGTCATAAATCGAAGGACGTTCCCAGTCTAGCTCGCAAATTTGATCGGAGGTTTGTTTCAGACGAAATCGGTATTCGTTGTTGCCGCAAAGCTTCTTCATGAATGTATCGGTGATGTACCACGCAATGCCAACTGTGACCCAAGTATCCGCCGGCTCGTTGGGGATGATATTAATTCCAGTCCACTGACACGCCAAAGCGTGAACCAACGCCCGAGTAGAGTCATACATAGGATCAATGATCTCCGCCGGGAAAAGAAGGTGGCTGCTGCAAATTGACAGGCAAGCTGTGGGCAATGTCTCCGGGTTGACGTCGTCGACAAAACAAATCTTGTAGCTCGAGAACGGATAAGCGCCATATTGCATAGAGAGGAAATCAATGGCCTGTGCCATAGGAAAACTGGTGTTTTGTACATCATCTGCTTTGCCCGGTAAACAGAATGCGTGCAACGGGATAGCATTTTGACCAAGTTGTTCATCTTGATCACTTTCACGGAAGTCCGCAAGATTGACATATTCAAAGGGACCAACAGCAAAACCAAGTTGTCGAGCAGACAGAGGAGCGTAACATCCAAATGATACTGTTTTCCGGCTGGCATCCTTTGGGTCCACAATGTCATCCGTCAACTCGCCGGAGCACACCACCGACATGTCAAGCCCTTCGTCATCTGCAGAGATTTGTCGAGTTTGCGTTTTTGATCGAGAACCGGAAGCATCACGGGTCTTGGGATCGAAGAGGTCTCCCAACGTTGAGGGGCAGGAGATCGAGATGTCCCAGGTGCAACGTGAGGCTGTATCATCCATGCAAGGGAACAAAGGGCATCCAACTCCAGAATCTAGCGAGTTCGTAGTGTATGCATGGGGATAGCGCCGGTCGCCGCTATCTACTCCAACAAATTGCAATCCATCGCGCACACGTTCCGTTACGAATTCAATATTCAAAGTCAGGGCCTTGAATCGTGGAAGACTAGCCTCTGTTGTCCGACCTCCCACGGGCCCATCCGCATCATCCCCAGCACCCTGCAGGGCAATTTGTTCTTGCGCCTCTGCAGAGAATGGGTCCAACTCTTCGATTCTCACGGTTTTCGGAATGGATAACTTCAACTCGGGTTGACGGGGGGTTTTGAGAAGGTAATCAAGCTTCGGCGTTAATCGTTGGTAGTATTGCGCTCCGTAGAGCTGAATATGGTCGTAAGGGTCAGCATATTCCCAAGTCGGGACCCCTTTGCCGTTCACACTGATGCGTTTGATTTCGCCCTGGCGAAAGTTCAAGCATATATCCTTCAAGTCATTTCGTTGCGGGTGGATGGTAATTTCAGTACTGCCTCTCAAGCTCTTGCTGATGAAGTCGATCTCGAGCTCGACCTTTTGATGCGCGACGGTAAATTCGAGACCCGGTGCTGGAGCGCCGCCAGCGTGCATTTCGACGACGCCCGGCATCGCGAAATATCCTCAATAATTAAAAGCAAACGGTGGTAAGCGCGGCGGGCGCTTTAGGATTTATCAACCCGTCATACCCAGTAGGGTTTTAACGGGAGACCATCACAAGCAATGAGAGAAGCTTGCTGAAGGTAGAGGGGGAAGGTTGAAGCAAAAGTGAGATTGCGCGCGACTGAATGAGACGGTTCTGCGTAGGTAGCTTGGTAAATGGATGGGGTGGAGGTCAAGATTGGGAGATAAATGAGCGAGGAGAAAGCGATCGAATGGTTGAAATAATTATTGATAATTTTAGAAGGAATGAGGGCGAGAGATGGAAGGTAAAGAGGTTGAAACAAAGAAATGAAGCAACAGCAGAGACCGAGTTGACTTTGGTGAAGTGGATCGTCGCGTTCCAATGATGCGGAGGTTTGCACGTGATATGCTAATAGGCCCGGAGGACCTACGTAAATTGCACACTAGATTCACAACAAGTGCTCCGGTCCTAGTGAATTACCTCCCTATCTAAAGTACTGAGTAGGTACTTATGTCAAGTACTGCGTATCTACTTACTTAAAGTACTGTATAGGTACTTATCTCCAGTACTGAAGATACTAGTAGGTACCTTACCTAGTTGGAAGTATGGTAGTTATTCACTAGAATAGACTTTACGTGGCTGCCTGTTTAGATTCAAATAAGATGCAACAATAGATCACCTGAGCTATTAGTGAATACTGTGCAGGACAATAACTTTTCCAAATTTGGAAGCTGGTATGAAGAAGTTTCATATGGACCCTCCGGTCCCAGTAGACTCCCGTACAGCACGTGATCCCCGACAGAAAATCCCTTAAGTGAGACATTCTCAGGACCCTTATTTCCCTTGGCTATTTTTGGGTCCGCCAGTTCAATTTGGTGCTTTGACCTAAGGCTCTTTAATCTCATTTTGACTTTTTGCCCCTGCAACCTTGTCTTTCGGCCAAAAAAAAGGGTGCGATATATAACAAGTTCTCCCGCTGCCTGAACGTGCACGCGACGCGGCTCTCAGTTTCCAAGATGGACGTCATTCATCGCATGGTCCAAGGTTGGTTCAATCATACCCAACTGATCCAGGGGTCGAGTACTCACCAATTTTTGATTTACTATAGAGACCCAAGATTCCCTTTCCGACGATGCGCTCCTCCCCCTTAAGTCCTACAAGTACTCCAGTGTCGACAAGTCTCCTATTTCCAATTATATTCTTCGACACTACGTATGAACTCCGAATACGGCAAAATGGAACGAGGGCAAATGGCTGATTGGGATAACAGTGGAATGCTTTCGTTGAACTTCTCCCCATGTGGATGGCCCCCAACATGGTGACCCTGCTCGGGTTCGTCTGGATTGTGGTCAACGTCTTCTTGATTGTGTTCTTCATGCCTGATCTATTGGGACCGGTATGTAGTATGGAGGGAGATAGCCGTGCATGAGCGATTACTAACTTTTTTTTTTTTGCATAGGCTCCTGCATGGTTGTACTTCAGCTTCGCCCTCGGCATGTGGATGTTAGTAATGGTTTCCTCCAAACCACCTTTCCTTCTCAACTGACAATGTCGCAGGTACTCTACCTTAGATAATGTGGATGGTAAACAGGCCCGGAGAACGGGAACTTCCAGCGGGCTGGGAGAATTGTTTGAGTTCGTACCGTCCCTGAGCTAGCCGTGGATGAGTTGCTGACGAACCCTAGTCATGGAATTGACTCCTTGAACTGTACTCTTGCTAGTCTGTTGGAGACTGCTGCCATGGGATTCGGTGCTTCGCAGCTTGGTGCCTACACCGCACTTGTTCCCTGTCTGGCGATGTACTTTTCAACCTGGGAAACCTTCCACACTCACACCCTATACCTCGGCTATTTCAATGGCCCAACTGAGGGTCTCCTCATTGCCATCAGCATTATGATTGCGTCTGGTATTTGGGGACCGGGCATCTGGGCCCAGCCGATCACCGATCTGATCAACATCCCCCAGATCTTCGGTAACAACTCCGTGAAGGATTTGTGGGTGCCGATCCTGGTTGGTGGATTCCTCCTGGGCCACCTCCCAGGCTGCGTTATGAACGTGTATGCCGCACGCAAGAAGCAGGGCTTGCCCTTCACCCCCCTCCTCAAGGAGTGGGTGCCTATGATTTTGTTCACTTTGTGCAACGTTGCATGGCTCTTCTCCCCTTACTCCCACCTGCTTACCGACAACCACCTTGTTCTATACTGCTGGGTTATTTCTTTCGTCTTCGGCCGTATGACCACCATGATCATCCTGGCCCACCTGCTGCGTCAGCCCTTCCCCTTCTGGACTGTTCTGCAGGCTCCCCTGATCGGCGGTGCCGTGTTGGCGAACTTGCCTCGTCTCGGACTCCCGATGGTGAGCGCATGGGTGGAGGTCTGGTACCTGCGCCTATACTTGCTGTTTGCCTTTGTTATTTACATGCACTGGGCCGTCCTGGTCATCAACCGCATTACCACTTTCCTCGGAATCAACTGCCTGACCATCCGCAAGGACCGCTCCGCGGCTCGGGACAGAGTGTACCGTGACTTTGGTGAGGCCAGCCTCGGCGCTTCCAGCAATACTGAAGGTGATGCCTTCAAGAACCACTGAATTTTGTGAGGAGCTGTTACATTTCCCTTCGCATTTTCATATAATGAAACATTAGGCTCGTCCTTTCAAAAGGAAGCCACACTTTGCATGTCGCCTCGATGAACTCGTCCACGCATTGTTTCTTGCCTTGTCTATACGCCCCATATATGTTGTAATTAAAACAAAACTCATACTGCCTCGATGTTTTATCTGGCATGTCATGACCTTGGAATGGTCACATTCGCAGCGTCTTCTCTCTGCACCCATGTACTTATGCAAACCAAATGTTAACTATTATTGATTATTTTAGAACTGGATATTCCACCTCTTTACACTTCAGCTGTCAACTTCTCCCAGCGGGAAGTCATAACTCTTCCTTCCTTGATAACACTGAGAATGCTTTCATCCGCCCGGTCCAAAACCGTAATGTCCTCCAAAGGATTAGCATTAAGAATCAACATATCAGCAGTGAATCCCTCCCGAATCTGACCCAACTGGTCTTCCTGCATAAGCAGACGCGCAGCATTGATAGTGGCACTGCGCAAGATCTGAATAGGCGTAAGAACCTTGCTACGAACAGAGAACTCCTTGCTCTGCGCAAAGTGCATCGGACCCAGAAGATCAGTACCGAAGCAGACCGTGACTCCGACATCCACAGCCATCTTCATAGCGCGCAATCCCTTCTCCAGGACCTCGTCGTTCTTGGCCGCGCTTTCAGCAGGCAAGAAGTTCATCTGCTTGGACATGACGTGCGCAATCAGAGTAGGTGTCAGGAATGTGCCCTTCTCAGCCATCAACTTGGCCGTTTCCAGGTCAATCAGGTTGCCGTGCTCGATTCCGCGCACGCCGAGGTTGATCGCTTGTTGGATGGCCTGGGGTGTGTAGCTGTGACTTGTCACGTAAGTACCGGCATTCTTGGCAACAGTGACAATAGCCTTGATCTCCTCGTCGGAGAACTGGACATGGTCGATGCGGTCGGTAGGGCTTGCCTGTACGCAGATGAACCGTTAGAACGCCTCCCCAGTGCCATATCCAAATCCAAGACCAACTTACCACGCCACCACCACCCATAATCTTAATAAAATCAGCTCCCTGGCGCAGCTCCTCACGCGCATACTTATAGCATTCAGCAGGCCCATCAACAATTCGACTAATGCCCGAAATAGTACCACCACAGCACAACTCCTCAGAATGGGGTCCACGCATATCTCCATGTCCGCCCGTCTGCGAGAGCGCAAATCCAGCAATGAACATACGCGGGCCGGGAAGCACACCCTCCTCCACGGCCTCTTTCATAGCCAGACTCGCACCGCCGCAGTCCCGGATGGAAGTGAATCCGCGCTGCACCATCGTCTTCAGGACGTGGGGCTGACGGACAAGACTCATGCGCTCGGTCATGTCCTTGTAGGCGCGGAGATCGGCCTCGCCGGGCACGACGGCGATGTGGACGTGGCAATCGATCAAACCTGGGCACAGGTATTTGCCGGTCAGGTCGATGACGGTCTCTTCTGCGGTGGGCTCGGGGGCCTCGGAGGGGGTTGTGTTGATTTGGGTGATTTTGCCGTTGGCGATTCGGACGGTTGCGTTGGGGATCAGGGCGCCCTCGACTGGGTCGATGATTGTGGCATTTGTGAAGACGAAGGTCTTGTGCGCTTGGCGCTTCCACGGCTTGATGATGCGGGAGATATCCATTTTGTTTGTTTTATAAGATGAAGGTGAATTCAATGCGAGAATGTGTAGTAAATTCGAACTTAATCAATTGAACGTATTTGCGGAGCGCGCTGACTATTTATTGTCAAACAGACCAGATAATTGCCCAACTGCCCCAGTTTTCGACCTCGGCAAAAACCAAGCGCGGATTCTATTAAAATCTCGCCAAAAACCCGCGAAGTATGGCAAGAGCGACTGTGAGCGAGTGATAAAGCGTTGAGAAATGTGGAGATACGAGCGGATTAGAGTAGAGTTTCGCCTTCCACGCTGATTGGTTGTGTCGGCAAGTGCTGCGTTGCGATTGGCTGCATCGGCATCTCTTCTATAAAACCGTCAACTTTCTCTCCGCGTTCTTAGCGAAGTCACTAGCATTATCAACATGAAATCGAATCTGAGCAATTAGTGCCAATGGTGGCGATATTTTCCCCAGTCAAAGTCGCTGATTGGGGAAATTGTCCACGCGTATTTTACCCCAACATATAGCAGTTTGCATATCTTGATAAGAACCCCAGGTACATATAGAGACAGACCCTTTCTCGAACATCTCCCGGTCTGGATTTTTAGTATATAGTATCAAGTCAAAACACTCTTGATTTCTATAGAGAAAGTCTCTATAATGTCCTCACCACCTCCATCGGCTGGGCCACAAGCCTTCGAAACAGAGAAGCAAGATGTCACGACATCCATAATCCCGATCCAAGACCAAGGACCAACCTCCCTCCTATCCGAAATCCGCAAATACCCCAAGATCTCCGCCTACGCCATCGGCCTAGCACTCGCCTTCCTTTTAACAGGCTACGACACCGTCATCCTCGGCACAATCACCGCAGTCCCCTACTTCAAGTACCAATTCGGCGAGCTCTACGGCTCCGCCTACATTATCCCCTCAGCATGGCTATCCGTCTGGAGCGCAATCCAGCCCATCGGCGCCATGATCGGCGCCGCAGCTGCAGGCTGGTTCCAGGACCGCGCAGGAAGACGCTGGTCCCTCGGGCTGAGCTGCGTGATCTGCGCCATCGGGATCGCCATCGCCTTCTGCTCGAACCTGCCTGCGGCAATGGCGTCCAGACGGGGCACGTTCCTCGTTGGCCGATTCATTCAGGGTCTGGGCGTTGGCGGCTCGATGGCCGGTGCGCAGACGTATCTGTCCGAGACTGTGCCTGTTTCTCTGCGCGGTTCGGCGATGGCGCTGAGCCCGACTTTCATGCTGCTTGGTGAGCTGATTGGGGCGCTGGTTATCTGGGGTTGTGAGCATAGGACTACGAGCACGGCGTTCCTGATTCCTTTTGGCACCCAGTGGATTACTGCTGTCTTGCCTTTCTTGGTGGCTGTTTTCATGCCTGAGAGCCCGTCTTATTTGTTGCGGAAGCAGGAGTATGAGAAGGCGTCTAAGGCGATGACGGCGCTGCACACCGACCGCGTGGATACTGTGCCGATGCTGGAACAGATGCGGTTGTCTGTTATTCACGAAGAGCAGGTTTCGGCTGAGCTGTCGTATATCGACTGTTTCACCGGCACTAATCGACGACGTACGATGATTACTGCGTTCGCGTTCATGGTTCCTAGTTTGTTTGGTGTTCCTCTCCTGTCGAGTGCGAGTTACTTCATGCAGACGGTGGGTATGTCGGCCAGTCTCAGCATTGTCGTTCTCATCATTGGTATTGTCTTGGGTCTTCTCGCCAATGCCGTCGGTGTTTGGCTGATGAGTCGCTTCGGTCGGCGTCCCCTCATGCTTGGTACCCTGGCCGCCAGCGCAGTCATCTACTTGAGTATGGGAATTGCAGGCTGCTGGTCTGGACATATTGTGGTCTGGTTAGTCACTTACTCCCCTGGATTGCGAAAACAAAACAAAGCCATGATTTACTAACCTTCCTCTAGGTACACTGCCGTTTCCTTGATTGTTGTTGTCATTGTGTGTGGCATGGGTGCTTGGCCCGCATCTTACGCGATCTCTGGAGAGGCCTCCTCGCTTCGCCTTCGTGCCATGACCCAAGGTATTGGTGTCTTGTGCTACATGTTGTCCAATGTTGTCCTCAGCTTGATTCTCCCTTATATTTACAATACCGATGAAGGAGACCTGAAAGGCAAGACTGGCTTTGTATACGCTGGGCTGTGCCTCATCGCTTGTGCTGCGACATGGGCTATCGTGCCGGAGATGAAAGGCCGCTCAGCGCTGGAGATCGATGCCATGTTCGAGGCCGGCTTGCCTTGCAGACAGTTTGAAAGCTGGTCCAATGATGGAGGATCTATTGATGGCGAGAAGGTATAATAGTTGCCATTCTTATTTTTGGCCAGATTAATGTATTTGAGAACTAGTATAATTTGATAATTGAACAACGCACTTGAACAGTTTCGGACAACTGGAAAAAATTCTAATATTATTCTATCAAACCCAAGGCTTTAATATGCACAAACATCTTCTCATAGCTTAATATCAACAGTGTACGAACCATGGCCAACAAGGAAATGAGTCCCCCCCTCAACCCGATGAGCCGATCCCTCGCGTTTCACCTCATAGGACTTCGCAGGAGGGATCCTTACTAGAGCCTCTGTTCCAAAAGGAACATCAAAACTCAGAGCCACGCTATCCCCACTCCTCCGGAAATCAATCTCGATCAACCCATATGGACAATCAACAGTTCCGCTCACATGGTCAAACTCCGCCTCATAAGGCGGATCAATCTCAAACAAGCGATAAGCATTATCGATCGGCTTCAAGCCAAGCACAGAATTATAAAACCACTCATAGATCGTACCAAGCATATCATGGCACTTGCTCCGGCACGCATCCTGCCAGAACTCCAAGAGGGTCGTCTCGCCGCGGCGCAGGAAGCGCATGTATGAGGGATGTTCCTCTTGGCGAGCCATCTGGAGCACCAGATCAGGGCGCTTCGCGTCCGCGAGGGTATTAAACAGGTAACGGAGTCCGATCTCACCGGCGCGGATTTTCCCGTCGGCGACATCATCCAGGAACGCGGCCATGACGTCCTTCTTGTGCTCTTCCGGGACCAGTCCGATTTGGAGAGCCATTGCCTGGGCGATGGCTGTGCGGTCACGCTGGGGGAAGTTGTCAAGGGAGGTATAGTATGCGTAAGGGCGCGAGGGATCGTCCGTGACGAGGAGATGCTGGTTGTAGACGTCGTAGATGCGCTGGGCCCATTTGTTGAATTTGTCTGCCTCGTCGGATTTTCCGAGCTCGCGAGCCATCATTTCGACGCATTTGAGACACTGGAAGTAGATGGCGGTCTCGATGTTGGCTTGGTGGTTGCCGAAGGCGATGTCGCGGCCCCAGTCTCCCAGGCCGTGCTCGATCAGTCCGCCCTTGCGCTCTTTCGTGCGCATGTACTCCATGTAGCGTACGGCGGCTGGGTAGACCTTTGCGATGACATGTGTGGAGCCGTAAAAGCGGAGGAGGATGTCGGGGAGAAGACACAGAGCACAGCCCCAGGTGATGGTGTCGTGGAGGGGGCCACACATGTACCGGATCTCTGGGGCCATGGTCGGGACAAGGCCACTAGGCTCTTGTGCGTCAAGAATGTCGTCGAGGATCTTGGTGTATAGTGATTCCATATCACGGGTGTATTGTGTTGCGGGAGCAAGCAGATGTGTCACCTCGAGCCAGCCGAATTTCTCAATCTGCGGGCAGTCGGTGTGGTAGCTGAACAGATTGCTGCTGAATGTCCAGTGGAGAGCGTTAAGGAGAGAGTTGACGTCCTCTTTATCTGTTTTCATAGTACCGAGCTTCCTTGCAGCGGAGGAGATATGACGACCAACAACAGAATGAACGAGCGGAAGATCGTCACCTTGGTTCAATGATACACCTTCCACTTGAATATAACGTGCACTTGTGAAGCTGAAGTCAGGCTCCCATATCTCTGGCTCGCCAGTGCCCGCCAGATATATTCTGGAGAAAACTCCTGTTTCAAATTCTTTGAACAGAGGATCTGGCATCAAGACCATCCCCTCTTCATCCACAGTTTCTGAGTATCGAACAATGACCTCAGATCCAGCGGAACCCTCGACCACAACTTGGACCATCGTTGAAGCATTTTGTCCCAAATCATAGCAGACAGTTCCCGGACGAGGGCTATATGTTTTGACAGGCTCGAACGTTTCGTGTAAGATCACAGGTGGCTGTGATTGGTAGAAGATCTGACCTCGCGGTCCAGTCAGTGGCTTAGCCGGGCTCCACGCACTAGCATCAAATCCAGCAGAGTCCCAGCCATTCGGATAAAGTCGTCGATCATGATTCTCCGAAGCGTAGATGTTGGCAAGGGTCGTAGCACTTTTCCGGACAGACCACGTCGGATCCGAGATGAGAGTATCATGATTACCATCCTCATAGAAAAGATGCAGTTCACAGAAGAAGCAGAGCTCATTGCCGTACCGGACATACGTATTATCTTCATACATGGGCCAGAAGAATCTATCATCTCCTCCCTTGTCACCAGCATAGAATCCGTTACCCACATGGGCACCGAGGATATTTTCTCCGGCCTTAATGCGGTCCGTGACATCGTAAGAGGTAAATTGGATACGGCGATGGTAGTTGGTCCAGCCAGGGTCCAATCGGTGGTTCGAGGTCGGTTGGCCGTTCATAGTCATATTGAAATGACCCAAACCAGAGGCAAAGAGAATGGCGCGGGTGGGAGATCGTTGGAGCTCGAATGACTTGCGGAGGTAAATCGGCTTATCGCCCCCATCGCCAATCCAAACGGCCTTCCAGCGATTCGCCTCGTCCTCGAACCATGTTCGAAAGATCAGACTCGAATGCGGCATGTATGTCTGGTTCATGCTATAGGGAGGCAGAAGTCGAGAGCGTGGATAACCAGTGAAGAAGTTCTGAACGGGACTGTGGTGGGCATCATTGCTCTGTGTCCACATAGTCACTCGCCAGTAGTAGCTGCAAGTCGACTTGAAGCCATCGTCGGGCTTGCAGATGATGTTCCTCTGATCCGCTCCTTCCACGCGCCCTGAGTCCCATTCGAGTTTGGAAACGTCCAGATTGTCATCTTCAAAAATGGTGGGGTTGGTGCTCAGCACCACGCGATAGGCAGTTTGTTCGGCATTTGGCTCATCTGTTTTAATGGTCCAAAAAAAGCGTATTTCATCGCTATCAATTCCGAGCACCTCGTCAAACCCGTGGATTCCGCAGCGAACAAAATCCAGCATGATGGCAAACTGGATTCACAATTGAAGGATATGAACCGTGAGAAGAAAAGAAAGCTCAATTGAACAATTCTGGGGTTTGGAGTCGATTAACAATAGGGTCGGAAAAGCCGTTGTGGGGTAGTTCGGGGTCCTTCAACCCGAAGATGGGCCGATCTCGGCAGCCTTTCACAATCGATGCCGGGTCATGCTTATGGACCCAAGGAACGTTGTCGGGTGCGATTTCTAAAGATATTCCGAGTTAAAAAAAGAGGTTGATCTATTCCCGTGGAGTCAACTGGTACTCGACGCGGCCAAAAATATTTGAATGCCGAGAGAGGAACGCGCCCGAATTTTTGCCGCGTTCACCGAAAAAGAATTCCCCGCGTTCTGGAAGTCTCCACTTCCAAAAATTTATGACATTTTGCTCTGTCAGAGCACGTCGATCTATATGTTCAGTTGATCTGATTAAAGTTGAATGGTTAGCTTTCCTATCTTTCACTAGAGGGCGAAATTTGTAGAGCTATGTTCCAAGCACGCATTCTTAGACGTTCCAAAATTGAATGTGAGTTATTGATGACTTGACAGGTTCGTGTTGTTGATCGAATATATACACCCACCTAGTTGGCGTACATTCAATGTGCCAGTCCTGACATTTCAAAATCAATTTCACGGGCGAACAGGTCTATTGAATCAAGTCGGTCGGTACCTGGGCAAAAATCAATAATTTTATATTTCCTTAAATTAGAGGGTCAGTTTGTGTTATTTGAAAGGTTTTTCCAAACCAAGTGAAAACTTAGAACTTACAAGGTGTTTGTGTGTCCTGCTGCGATCTTTCGCCAGCAAAAAAAGTGTCAAGTGAGCTTTCTTCGGCTGGACGCTCTCACGGAGGGAGCTAGGTGTGTGGCGTGCTAGCGCCAGGTAATTCCTCACTTTAATAAATCTCTTTCACAAATTTATTTTTATCTTCTTCAACCTTCCTTCAACCTTTGCCTGAGTGAAAGATGATGCCCAAAGCCAAGGTCGTCTTGATTCCCTGGGACCCAGATTCTGGTGCCCATCGCAAAGCCCTTGTCAAGCAGCGCGAGGAATGCAGCTGGCACCAGGAAAGAGTGGAGAAGGAGTGGAGAGAAGCGCAGGCTAAAGGGGAAAAGTGCATTTACTGGATTGTGAGTATGATAGAAGCTGCGAGTTGGCGTTTCCAGACAAGTTGAAGTATCTTTTCTATCAATATGATTGCTAACCTTTTTCAAACCAAGATTTTCTCTGCTGAAAATTCGTACATCTCTGAGCATATGATGGCGTATCTTAGTTCAAAGGCAGACAGCAATCTAAGCCGAAATTTACAGGAGGTAATGTTAACGTGAAATTTACAGAAAAATCCACTCCTACGTGACACTGCTCAGTCCATCAATGCCATTCCCCGCAAGCCATCGCACAAAGCTTTTGTCCCAGTTGGACATATATCACTGGATGCGCAGAATCCAGAAGCGAAGCATATTGATCTAAAAAGTGCATTGACTGGCGCTTTCTGGATCAAGAGCTTCTACGTCAGCCGCGCTATTCAAAGCCAAGGTGTGGGCCGTGCTGCGATGGATGAAGTGGAGAAGATGGCAACTCGAGCGCCGTTGAATGGACAGACCCTGATACTGGATACTATCCAAAGGGACGACGCTCTCCGAGAAGAATTTGCCATTGCGACCACTGGAAGCATTCCAAAGGTAAGATGCTGTCTTTTTATCTATGGAGGTGGCTAACACACCGAAGGTCCCGAATCAAGATTGGTATGCTAGACGAGGATACCACGTTATTCAAACTGTGCAGAACTACTACAAGATCACGGACCGAAATGGTAGATTCTGGGACACAAAGACTGTGTTTATGCGAAAGGATATTTCCTGATGGCCGTGATCCTGCGACTGATGATAGCGGACCCGAATGAATGGTTGGAATTGATTGCAAGTATTTTTCTCATTTCTTTGTGCGTTCCGAATATATCCCAGGGCCTAAGTACTTAAAGTCTGAATGACACCGGGGCATATGTTCGTTAAATGGGGAATATTACCTACTTGTACAATCAATCAAAAGCCCACGTTTCATAAAATGACCTCCACGCATATCAAATCGAGACTGGTATTTCCAAAATCCTAAACTCAGTCAATGTTGTAACTTGTGACTTACATGGGGTTCTAAAAGTCTGTCCCCCAGGTGCCACTTTTTCTCCCCCACCTTTGTTTATAATGGCGCGCTACATCCCAACTCTAAGTGAATTCGGTCAAATTATCGCTGAAAATCGAAGCAAAAACAATGAATTATCTGAATCTATACGTTCTGCTATAATATCGATGTGCGTGGCCGGTAAATCACAGACCGCTGTGGCCGCTGCGTTTAACGTTTCCCGAAGGACTATATTTAATACTCTACAACACTTCTATCAATAAAATAACTTAGCTTTAAGATAAAGAACTAGTCGCCCTTTAAAATATAAAACATGGGGGAAAAATTTGAACCCTTTCTTTTCGAATTTGAGAAGAACTGGATACCTCTGAAATGCACAGTGACTAAGGCGTGTGTAGATCATTTATACCGATACATAGCACCATCAAGTAATGTCTGTGGTGATATTTTAAAGAATCCAATCAGACATATCAACGTAATTGGATGACGGGCCAACTCGAGCAAGATTCCAGCCAATGTATAGACGATTTTTCCAAACACTGCCTTCATCTGAGGGCTCCCAGTACTCCCAGTCAACCAAGTAGCTGTCATCAAGGGAGTCAAAAATGGTGCATATCAAGGGAGCTCGCTTAATATAATGATAAGTGGGAGCGTACCATTTATTGCCTTCTTTATCCCAAATCAAATTACGTATCCCCTTGTCTGTATGGCGAAGCCCACACCGAACTGTCTCTAGCCACGATGCCTTAAACGCACGTCTTAGACTATCTCGTTCGTGAAGGGGCATCTGCCCACTGAAGTATGAAGCCTCTGGAGCACAACCTGGTAGTTTCGCCATCAAAATATAGAGTTTGTAGCCTCCTGGGACCATTTCCTCAGATGACTGTTGGTCTATTTTATGGGAAAGTAGAGTAGGGGTGCTGGAACAGCCGGCCTTTGTCAAACGGGATAACGCTTCAATTTCCCAAAAAAATTTATCAGGAATATCTGGGGTAGCCTGCCTAGCGCGAGCTTCGGGCTTCTTTACTGTGGTTCTCCACCATGGAATTCTGTTGGTGAATTTTGTTATTCATTGCAAAGATAAGTAGACCGTCAGTAAACCGAAAAGACCTTACTGCAGCCGAATTTTGATGACAGCAGTAGGCGGCCCATCTCCCGAAATCTTTGAGCACGTATATAGCCCACGTGCCTCGGAGTTGAGGCCCAACTCCTCGCAATCTCGTTGAGATTCTTGATATGCATGTTCTCCTATTTTGGTTTGTAGCTTCCATATTGATCCGGAGGGGAAAGATACCTCCAAACCAATATATTCGGCATCATCGAACCAGATGTCGCAGTCGCCTTGTTCGCGTCTCATCATGAAATACTAAGCACTCCAGAGGTGCTCCCTGAGCAGACCAGAAAAGTGGGCCAGCCCGTATCACGTGGCTCAATGATGACTCAGCCTCCGTAAAAAGGGCGCCAAAAACGGCGTAGCCATTTTCAGCGCCCAATTTACCATCAACTAGCATTGGGGTGTAATAACTGCTCTTCTCCCATCTACTAGTGTGTAAGATCACAGACTTTAGCCGAGGGTAGTCGCCCGTAGTGGTGTGAGAATGACTTGAAAAACTTGGAACATCGAAAAAATAAAGCGAATGACAAGTTGGATCATGTATGAGACTATAGAAAATATGTTTCGCTTTAGGCCTTGGAAATATTCCTCATCGCCTAGGCATCTTCTTAGTTTCACATCCAAGAAACACTGATTTACATCCATAGATCCATAGGGTCATCAGAAGTTAAGAACATCTTGAAGCACGGTTAATGCAATTCGCAAACAACCAAGCAGAATTGAATTTTTTCATTGAGTGTTGGAAATTGATTATCATATTAGTGCACCCCGCCAACCAATAAATCGTATAAATAATTTGTTTCTGCAGCCGAGACCAACGAACAATTACCACGACCTCTCTGCCTGGGACTGCATTCTCACTTCATGATACCCGGTACTACATTATCAGAGAAACAAGACGGCGATAAGCAGTGCTATCTAGAAGGATGGCCTTCTTTTGCGTTGCCCACAACAAAATAATTGCAAATCACTTTGGCGCACTTGTGCACCTCATGGACCACCACGGTGTTCCGATTTCTGCAATTGTTATGGAGGATACTACCAATAAAACCATCCAGTGGTAATGTGATGCATGTTTACCACGTCAAAGGAAGGTTGGCAATTCGAACATGTGGAAGCATCTCTTAGCATATCACCACCCAGCCAACTACCCGGCTACGAGAGAGTCATGGACCCCTTTCACAGTACAAACTCAAGAACCTCTTACCTAAATTTGCACAGACAAGTGGACCAATCTGGGGGGTGATGGAATTTTGAAGAGAGTTATGCTAGAAATGCAAAGTACATTCACATAAAATGCTATTTTATCCATCTTTTTCATTATTTCTCCCGAGGTCTATACTACAGTTAAGAAGGTAGTAAGATTTTTACTATACTTTATGACTATCAAGTACACTCCAATCCTACGAGCTACTAGCTACGAAGTCCACCTAGGTAACATTTGAAGCATACTAGTAGTATATTACTATCATGGGCTAAAGTCATAAAGATAAGGCCCGAGGCCGGGGGGATCGAATGCTTACGTGTCGACGCGCCTGTTTCCTTTTTTTGTTCTGCATTCTCGTTCTTTGTCTTCCTTCTTGTTTCTTCAATTTTTTCTCATTCGTAGTTATCCCGTTAAGTCAAATCCTTGCTCGGTAAACGAACTGTCTCGCAACACCGATGTCTCTGATAGTCCATTATACCCTCCAGGCCGCATTGAAATCGTTCATTCAATATTGTAATTTGAAGATTACATCAGGACTCAATATCAATAAATCTTAATTGATAAGTATAAATAATTCGTTTCTGTAGCTCTCAAGGTTGCTTCAACTTTCATCTACCTCCATTCCACCCGAGACTGGCGAATACTTGTTACAAACTCTCTGACTGTGACTAGATTCTCACCAACTTGAAATACCTCAGCATTGAACTACCAAAGGAAGAAGACAAGAACCAAAACTTCTCTTAGCAAAAATGTCTTTCCAACTCCATTGCCGCGACCACGACTTAACATTTGGAGATCACTCTAGCGCACTCAAGCACCTCATGAAAGAGCAGCACGACGGAGGACACGATGGTCGTATTCATGCAGCTCGAACGATGCTGAGTGCTAAAGAACCCTTATGGTGGATCTGCAATAACTGTGATCCCAGCCAGTGGGAGTATGGTGCTTGGAAAATGTGGCAGCATCTCCAGGAATGCCACCAAGAGATCGTCGAATGTTTCAGCATGCCTGACTCAGAAGGAGGTTCTACTCAAGCCGAGTATGTCCAGAGTTCTGGACCCTGAACTGGGAAGAGACCTAACTAGCATTTCAGTTTCCTAAAAATGCAGAATACATTGAAATGAATTAAATCAAGTTGTGGTATTGGTAGGAAAAGTTTTGAAATTAAAAATCGGAAAGACAATGAGCTATATAGTGAAAAGAGCGAGACATGTTGTAGACATCTGCAGGGACTGAGATTACAGTGGACAGTGTGACAAGGCAAGCAAAAAACAATGTATTTGTTCTAGGTCCGAAAAGCAAGGAAAACAAAGACAGAGAGGGAAAGAGAAGAGAAAGAAACATGGAGAAAGCCAGCCCTTAAGTACCCCGTACGTTAAGGTTGGCGAGAACTAAACCTAAAACCCAACCCTAACCTTCTCAACCGAACAAAGAGAACTCCCGAGAAAACCTTAAGGAAACCCTTAAGCGAAACTGTCAACTCGTGACTGACAATGTCACGATGTGTGACAGACAGCACTTGAGTGTGAACTACTTACTACTGGTAGTAAGGACCTTCAGTGTTAACCCCGGCCCTCCAGATGGCTCTCAAGTGCTAGGTGACAGGTCCTTAATTTTCCAGGCAACATTAACTTCATTCCAAGGTTCATTTAATGTTAGAAATTGAATATGTATGATATCAGCACATTCCCTGAAGAAATATTGCTTGATACGTACAGAATATAAATAGATTACTTCTGTACGTTCCAAAATTGCTTCAGTGCCTTCATCCGCCTACATCCCACCCGAGAATCCAAGACCAACAATCACCTCAAGTGTCGCAAAGCCTGTGTTTTTGACAAAACTCCAGCTCACCCACAATACCTCAGCATTGAAGAAAGAAGACCCTTGGACGATTATCAGCTCTGCTCTCTGCAAAAATGTCAAACAGTGGCATTTGTCTACTCCACCCGGGTGAACAATTTGCATCTCCGTGTGGCATACTCTTGCACCTCATGCGGTGCCACAAAGCGCCGATTTTTCCCATTTTTCTGAGTCGAGTGTTGGGTAAGATCGACGAATTCATCCAGTGGCATTGCGATTGGTGTGATCCCCGCTATAAGGAGATGGGCAGTATGAACATGTGTCAGCATCTCTGGGAATGTCACTTCAATTCTGCGGTGATTCAAGTAGCGTCCTTCTTAGATTTGCAGGAGCAACTGAGCAAAGAGAGCTGAATGAAGTGTGAAAAGAGCTCTTCTGGATGGTATGTACGAGTGATTCAAAAAAGTCAGCTCTGAAAAGACGATACTAGGAACAAATGCAAGATAAAAAATAGATTTGTAGAGAATCTGAGTGATTAAGGTGTAATCGTATCAGGGATGTGATTGGCTATGGCGTGAATGCCCCGATTGGCTGCAGAGCGAGTAATAAAAGGAAGGAATAAAGGCAGGGAATCTTGTCTCTATCCCGACCTCACCACGAACAGCGTCTGCAGTAAATATTTTCAGATCTAATAATCTTACCATTGAGCCATAGTAATTATTAGTTAATCAAGAGTCAAGACCATTTCGGGCGGTGTGGATGTCTTCCTTCTTTCAAGCCTGTTTGTTACATTGCCTTCGGCCCTTTGCTGCCCAGTGCCGACCGTACACTTCGCGACGTGTCCACAATGGCCTCACGTTCCGACTCCCAGAGTTCATCTCGTTCGATGCAATTTTCTGGACCCAAAAACGCGTCGAGCACTTCAATCCGCCGATCATTACTCTAAGACAAAGGGGCTTCTGACCCACCGAACTTGACTGATCTGAAGCTCGCGGGCGGCTACCTGCAGCTTCGACGAAAAGAAGCCAACCGTCAAGACCTGCTTGCACATTTTTACTCTTGTTCAGCTGTGATTTCTCTGAGAAGATGCAGAGGCAGGTTTCATCTTCGAACAACCGGTAGCGAGGGAAATTTGATGCAGGCACAGTCACTGGTCAGTGGTCAATGGCTGCAACTTGCATGGCGATCGCCGATCAGTCGGCGATTCGCTTGAACGTGGCAAGAAATCCGCCCGGTCGCCGTGATTGGATACTAGCTCTTCAATGAAACATCTTGAGGCTACAATTGAGTTTGCCGGCAATGTTGCTCTTCAACGGGACCGCTGCGGGCAATGGGAATGCTTAACCGCTGGCCCCGCCAGAGGGGGAAAAGACCATGAACTGAAGTCTAGGCCGCACTACCCGCCGATGAAGCACTGGCTGCATTCGAGGCCCCACATTTCTAGCCAAAGCTGCAGAACACTACTCCATATTCAGTGGACTGATGCGTGAGGCTGGTTTGTATTCGCGCTGAGTCTATTTTAGTCCATTTTTAATGAAAGTGGTGATTGAACAGCATATAATTGCATTACGCTCCCATCATTACCGTACACCATCCATCATTTCCGAACATCCACGCCTCTTTGAGCAATGCACACCCGATCTTGACGTTTCGTCGAGAATATAAAACCACAAGCGAAGTTACTGAAGACGAAAAAAGACTCCAACATGGCGAGCAAAAGAAGACAATTCACCTACACGGACTACACGATGGGATGGATCTGCGCCTTACCGAATGAACAGACTGCAGCAAGAGCTATGTTGTCAGAAATTCATCCCTCGCTGCCGAACAAAGAAAATGATCTTAACTATTATACGTTTGGATCTGTTGCTGGCCATAATGTGGCCATTACATGTCTCCCGGGAGGCGATTATGGCCTGGTGCCCGCGTCGCAGGCCGCAGCACACATGACCGGCAGTTTTCCAAACATCAAAGTTGGCTTGATGGTTGGAATAGGCGGTGGAATTCCTTCCACAAAGGTCCAGCTGGGTGACGTTGTGGTCAGTGAACCCATTGGCGGGTATCCGGCGGTTGTTCAATACAACCGGAGCGGGACCAATCCTGATGGGTTTGAGAGGACAGGAAGTTTAAACAGACCGCCAATCGCGCTTTTGACCGCAGTCAAATCACTCAAATCTGATCATGACTTGAATGGGAGCCGGATATCGGAATTTATTGGCGAGGCCGAGGAAGTGCATCCAAGACTGAGACGCTCCGGCTACACCGGTTCTGAATCCTTGGAAGATCCATTATATTCGGCCCGCCGAGAGATCCAGGGTAAATGGAAGGGAATGGTCCTTGTTATTTGTGCGGTCTTTATGGACACTTTCTGGTATATATTAGGTGTGAAGTCGTGTGCACCGGCAGCGAAACCGGTCAACCGGGGAAAGGTTCCGGTTTCTCGCGGATCAAAAAGGGCTTCTGGTGAGGTGCATATCCACTACGGCCTTGTGGCGTCTGCCAATACTGTGATGAAAGATGCTGTAGCCCGTGACAAGTTGAATGATCGATTTAACGGGCGTGTCTTGTGTCTTGAAACGGAGGCAGCTGGACTCATGAATCATTTCCCTTGCATCGTCGTTCGGGGAATCTGTGACTATGCAGATTCTGGGAAGGACAAGACATGGCAAAACTACGCCGCCATGGTAGCAGCGGCGTATACAAAGGAACTACTTCATCATATACAGCCAGGTCATATCGGCATCGCAGCTCCGGTACAAGGTACTACACAGAATGGTATGTTATCTCCAAGAAAAGACATATCATACCCGAAACGTCTATCTGACTAAATTATACAGGTCTTGAAGCTCCGGGCACCATTCATATCGACATCTAAAACTTACACATCACAATGGATCGTGGAAATGACCTGGATATTCTCAGCTGGCTCACAAGGATTGATTATGGTCCCCGACATAGTAATGTTTTACGAAAGGCCCAGAAGGGCACCGGCCAGTGGCTCTTGAAGTCACAAGAGTATGGAAAATTCGTACGATCTAAGGGTCAGACATTATTCTGCCCCGGGGAGGTGTTGGGAAAACGGTTCTAACAGCAACCATCATTGAGGATCTTATCGCAAGATTTCCGCACAACGAATCGACCAGGATTCTGTCTATATGCTGCAAATCAACCCAAAAGGAGGAGCTAACAGTCGACAATTTGATTGCAGCTTTGATAAAACAGTTGAGTCAGGGACGACCAAGTTTACCACCGAGCTTAACAGCGCTTTACAACGCCCATCAAGTTCGACGAACACGCCCGTCAACAAACGAACTTTTGAGAACGCTTCGTTCGGTCGCATCGCTATACACAAGAATTTCTGTTGTGGTCGATGGCTTAGATGAGTGCCCACAGTCTAATGGCCGTCGATCTAAATTTTTGTCACACATTTCCAACCTGCAAGACGAACTCTCAATGAACTTCTTCGCCACATCGCGACACATCCCGGAAGTGGAAGAAAACTTCGAGTGCTGTATCTGGAAGCGAGTGATAACCCCACAAGAGGATATTCTCAGATTTCTTCATGCCGAGATGCATATGCCTCATATGCCAAAGGTGACAAAGGGACCCGGAGTTTCAGAAAGAGATCAGCTCCCAGATTGTTTATCTATCTGATGGAATGTGAGAAAATCCCATCCAATGCTCGCTGTTTTAACCTGACTAACGCTCTACGAAAGATTCCTGTTTGCACAACTCCTTATTAATTCCTTGTTTGGCTCAACAACGCAACGAGAAATTCGAAATGCCCTCAAGGATATACCAAGAGGAGCTGATGGATATGACACCATGTACAATGAGGCTATGAAGAGAATAGAACATCAACCGTCTATATCTCGGCTTCGAGCCAGAAAGGCCCTCGCGTGGTTGACCTTTGCCACAAGACCATTGTCTATCACCGAGATGGAGCATGCATTAGCGCTGGAAGGCGGTGATCCCCATGCTTATGAGAATAAAATCACAACCTGTGATGAGATTCTATCTGTCTGCGCTGGTCTTGCCACCGTCGACAAGAAAACAATGTCATTCGTTTGTTCCACTATACGGCCCAGGAGTACCTCGAAAGAACACAAAGCCAATGGCTAATGGAAGACGACGAGAGCAACTACGTAAGATACGATGAAAATCCTTCCACGTACGCAATTGGAATCACGCTGACATGCATGTTATTATTTGCATTCAAAGGGGGCTCAATCAAGATTTATTCCAGCCAGAGGCGCTCCACCTGCCCATGGCTCCAATGCTGCATCTCCAGCCATGCCAGTAACGGGGAGGGAGCAAAGAAGTCGCTCTAGGTTGTTGCTAGCCAATCAGGCCGAGACGGAGGGCCGAGAAAATGATTGGGCTCATACGGTAGTGGCCAGGGGTGTCAACGCGGGAATGACACGAACCTCTACAGATGCGAAAAATAAAACACACCGGTGAGGCCCTTGCATTGACTGCTGAAGGGTGTAAGAAGCAAAGTTGGCTTGTTGTGCATAAAATACCATTGTGGTTTGGCCTTCTCCTCTTGGGGCTCCAGAGAACGTCTGTAACCACGCTGGTTGGGGTTGCAGCTCTACTTAGTAGTTTGACAGAACAGATACTTCTCAACTCATCCATTCCAATATCACTTCATCCTGATAAATATCACATGTACTGATCACGGTCAAACTATTCACATCGAACAAATGAAGCCCTTCTGAAAAATCCTTGAGAGGAAGGGTTTTTATTTTGATTCCCAGGCCGCGGCCATGGTATCGGATAGCGCCCAGGCCTTTGAATTCGTGCCGTATAGTGAGAACATCCAAAATAATATGACAGGTAAAAAGCTGGTTTCCATAAGTGAAGGTGTTGACAATGATCCGTGAAACGATCAAAATTTGATGAGTCTGGACCTTTGACCATCTCTCAGTGGCTGAATGATAGGCGAGATGGAAGCCAATGGTATGCTTTGTGGGTTGCAATCTCCTTGACTGTCTTATTCGGGCTGGTGCAAAGTGTTGAGGGGGCTTTACAGGTCTATCAGTGTTAGGAGAAGTGAACCATATGACCCATTCTGGGCATATGGTCCGCTCCTGAGCATGTTCCAGCGCGTGTGGGTTTTGTGTGTGTTAGTTTTGTGTGAGAGGGTTAGGGTTGGTAGTTAGTCCAGGGAAGTGAGAGCTTCTCTCTCCTTCCTTCCTTCCTTCCTTCCTTCCTTTCCCCTCTCCACGCCGCTCGGTAGAAGAATACCATCATATTTGTTTCTTCTCCTCTTTCTCTCTTTCTCTCCTCCTCATTGCCATTCGTTTCTCCCAGATCCTCACTAAGGTTCTGACACCTAGGCCGTTTCCACAAGCACTTTGGCGACGTGCTAAACTCTGTCTTCACCTCACACTCAACCGGAATACGCTTTGCAGATTTCAAAATGTCTACAGTCTACCTTCAGTGGCACACCTGATGTGATCCTGAAGGACAACAATCACCAAGTGAAGGTCGCTGGAGAGCTCAAAGTACCATGGATTGCGGATCACTGGCTAGAAGACAAATACAACGACGTCGACCAGCTAAGGATAATACTTGCTCAGCCGATCAAGTATATGCAAAGGCTAGGGTGTGTGTATGGATTTATGAGCAACTACAAAGAGATAATTTTTCTCAGACAGCTAGTGGATAGCCAAGGGGCATGGAGGATCGAATATTCTCCCGTAGTCCGGTCGTCTGACACTTACGACAGACACCGGACGAATCCCCATGCTGTCTCCGCTAGGCAATGTTTCTTTTATGTAGGGTGGGAGAACTTGAAAGTGTTCTTGAGCACATGCAAATTCCAATGGGCAAATTTGGGTCTCAACAATGAGGACCTGAATGAAGCTCGGGTTGCGAGTGTGATCACAGGATGCTCCGGAGTTGCTCGGGAGTACATTGACCAGCTTCCGGTGGAGACTGCTAATTCATTCAACGCCCTGTCTACTGCGCTAAAGGAACGGTTCCCTTATACTCCTCGGACGGTTGATGTACGAACCGACCTGCATGCGATGATGGCTCTAAAGCAGGGTAGAAAGGCGCTGAAGGAATATGAGGACGAGGGGCTGCGACTCCGTTCTCTAATCTCGGAACAACTTCTTCCTCTCCTACAGAAGCAATGGTTAGAGAGGCTGAATGACCAATCGGTGGCCAAAGGTGTTGAGGGAGCATTCAACCTAAGCACCCAGATTACCGGCAAGCCGGCAACATTCGAGCAGATCATTAAGGCTGTGCGGGACACAGTTGGAGAGACTGAAGTATATCCAGATGTCATGCTCACTTGTCCGAAACGGATCGCTTGACAGCTGCGATTACAGCTGGTCTCGACAAATTGACTGCGATGAACAAGCCTGGACCAGTCCCAAAACATGCTCAACCGACTTCAAACGGAACCGGATACGGATCATCGAACCCGAATCAGGGTGGATATACTCCACGTTGAATCATGACTGACCACCGCCACTGTATAAGTAACGCAGCCACAGCAGATGTGGCGTTACCCAACACGAATCCCCACTTCCCCAGACTCGATAAGAGCTCCTTATCGGATTCGCATTCAGCCTCTCCCATCGCCTATAATACCTCAAAATCCCAATCAATAGAACCCCATAAAAATATATATATGACAACAAAATATTACTCACAAAAGGAAAAGATAAACCAAGGCAAAATACCAACACCAACTCACCCGAGCATTCGCCTTACCCCGCATCCCAAATCCAAGATCCCAGTTCCTTCCATGACATCAGTTTAAATACTACAAGAAAACCCCTGCCCAAATGCCAGATTCCACCTCGTTCACCACCACACCATCTCCCCTTCTACGCTACCCATTTCCATATCCACCTCACCTACTATTACACTACACCACCCAGTACATTCGAGTACATATAAACCAGTTGACCATCATGCCCCCACGAACAATCTACCTAATAACCTCCCGCCCAAACCCCACCCACCGCTCTCACTTCGCCATCTTCATCCCAACACCGCACCACCAAACCGGCACCCTGATCCACGCAACCGGCGCCCCAAAAGCAGGCTACACCCTCGAGTTCAAACGCAACCACTGCCCCGCCGCCGACACGCAAGAAAAATACACCGTCTTCCCCATCGGCGAGATAGACTCGGACAAAATCGTCGACAGCCCGGCAGGCGATAGCGCCAAGCGCAGCGATTGCGTGCCGCGTGGTGCGGTCGAGGACGCAGCGGCGAGGGTCGCGATGCCGGGGATTAGTGAGAACTTTTTGGCGCCGGTCACTGATGTGGGTGTTTTCGTTCCTGTTGCTATTTTGGGTTGAAGAGCACAAAATGATAGGACATCTGCTAATGTGGGTTCGTCGGGCTGGTAGAGTAGTAATAGGCGGTGTCAAGAGTGGACTATGGAGTTTGTGAGGTGTTTGGTTGCGGAGGGGTTGATTGGGTCGGAGGCTATTCGGGCTGTGCAGTGTAGACGGGATCCGGCGGGGCATGGGGTTGGGTTGAAGGCTGTTCAGGCGTGTTATTGATATTCTTGGTGTTGTATGGTTTATCTATGGAGTTTGGAGTCTTGGTGTTTTTGGTACAGTTTTAAAGGTTTATTTTGCATGGCGTCTACTACATAGTACAAATATTGGCGTATTCAAATGTCAGAATTGGGCAGAGCGAAGTACGGGTTTTGGGCAATGTTCAGTTATCTAAGATGTAGATGATGACGCCCGTGGATTCGCGCTATAATTATTCGAGTGCATAAATATTGTGTGAGGAGGGGAAGATAAATTGAGCCCCGCGATCGAACGAAAGGGAATAGTCGGTACTTTGGCTCTTCATATCAAACCACGGCCCAGAATCTGAACAAGAAATGATCAGCGAGAAGCAAGAGAAAGCAGGGCATGATTATAGAATTGAACCCCTCCATTTTTTGCATGTATTTCTTAAATCATTGCTATACAGTGAGCTTCTCACATGACCCAGCATTCTTTTCACCCTCGAAGTAGCAGGCTGCCCAGTCTCAGCCACCAAATCGTATATGTACGCGGCCCGATATCTGATTTGTCAAAATCAAGCGTAACACTTGCACACCGTGTACCGTACAGCGCAGCGCGAGCACGGTCCACGGGTTCACGAGCGCGCCACAAGCTATTTCGTAACATCATTATTCCAAACGTGCCCAACACCATGCATTTTAAAGTCCCTGTGAGAGAGCCACGAACCCGTAGCTTCGTCGGTACCATCTGCTTCGACCCGTGATATCTAAACAGTCGCATCACCAGTCTCAGCCCCAGCCTCGACGAGCTTCCGCGGGCCGCTAAAAATGCCAAAGGGGAGAGCAGTAACGGCAGATACGATGCCAAGGATGAGCGTCATCATGCCCCAGCCCGCATTGACAAGAATGGCACCCGCAACCAGTGGGCCGAGAAGCTGGCCTGCCGCGAACGACATATTGAACAGTGCGTACGCCTGGGCAACGGGGCTCTTCTCGCCAAACACGCCGGGGAACTCAGCCTCGTAATCCGAGATCACCTGGGACACCTCTGTCATGGCGACGATCTCGATTGTGACGATTGTGAAGCCTAAGATAAGGAGCAGGAGGACGAGGAGGACGATGTGGGCTGTTGAGTTTTCGGTGATGAAACGGAGCGCGATCCAGGTGCAGGAGGAGACTGCGAATGCGATGGCGCCTAGGGTGCGGACGCCTACTGAGTCGATTAGATGGCCGATTTGGACGGCGGCGAAGCTGGGCACCGTTATGGCGAAGAAGATGAAGCCGGCGCCTTGGGCTGTCCAGGCGAATGTGTCCATGACGAAGAGGGGCAGGGACTGGGATGTGTTAGTTTGGAATGGGAGATATGGTGCGCATACGTACGGTTTCTAGGGCGGAAAGTGTGAGGGCCACGGATGTAGTCGCCACCAACGCAAGTGGTAGACGGGGGGTGATCAGAAGACGCAATACGGTAGCAGGCTTGTCTGCCTTTTTACCGGATTGCTCTGCGGGTCGTGGTGATTGCAACAGCGGAGCTTCGGTCTCGCTCTCATACTCCCTCACAGGAACCCGGGCGGGACTCCGAGCATCGTTCCCACTAAAGGTATCATATCGACCATTCTGATAATCCGAGCCAGCGCGCAATTCAGGCTTCGGTTTCCGATGCTCCCTTTCTGTGCAAAATATCAGCAAAACTCGTAGATGTTAACAGAAAGAGCGGGAAGGTCCATACTCGGCACCTCGATCATCGCAAACCGCAACACAACATCCACCACAATCAAAACCACCGGAATAACATAGCACCCATAATACCCAAACGTATCATACACATACCCACTGATCATCGGACCAAGTAGAAATCCCCACGTCAACCCGATCGTCGTCGTTCCCAGCGCCGCACTGATCCGCTCCGACGGCACATTATCAGCGACGATCGCAAGGCCGACGACCCACACGGCCGCAGCCGAGAAGCCCTGCAAAGTGCGCGCGACGACCAGGATCGCAAATGTGCGCGCCCATGCAAATAGCGCCGTGGATGTGCCGAGAGCAACCAGTCCGAGGACGAAGGGGATTTTCCGCGACGAGCATCTATCAGCTAGGTAGCCGAATATTGCTGGTGCTTGTTAGCTGGAGCTTGTGCTGGCAGGTCAAAGCTCAAAGCTCAAAGCAACACTTACGGGATCCGGCGAGAAGTGTGCCGCCGTATACGGCGAGTAATATTGAGACGAGGTATTGTGCTGTGGAGGGTTAGAGTCTTGTTTTGCATGTGGATGCGGCGTGTTGCATGGTGCGTCGCATTCCGGGACCATGTGGAAGCCTGGAAGGTAAGGGAGGGAAGGGAATGCATACCATCTTCCGGACGGGCGCCTACGCGGTCAATCAAGGCGACTGGGATGACAGGAACGATCTGGAAAGATCAGTCGCACGAAACAGAGCTACAATGGCTAAGAATAGAGTAGAAGACATGTCACTCACGACGCCATAAATAAAAGAATCCTATACACATAGTTAGCGACCGTACGGAGCGTACCCCACCCATCCCGGCGGGCGAAAAAAAAAAAGAAAGAACGCCAAATACTAACGGTAAAAATAGCAATGGACACAGTCAAGACGAGAAAAGTCTCTGACGAGCGTAATTGAAAAAGCCACGGCTTCTGCTCTGGTTTCCTCATTTCGTGATTTGGATTGGAGGTGGTTGAGGGAGATGAAGTTGGGGCATTTGGGGGAGAGGGTCCTTGCATGAGCGTGAACCATGGTAAGTTGGCCATGGATGATCTGCAAGCACGGGCACTTGGTTAGCATTAGATCCAGATTCCAGACCAGCTTCCAGTCTAGACTCTAGGTACATTTTACCCTGCTGGGTGGATCGTCATTTCTGGCCGTGTTACGCGATGTGTCGAATAGCTGGTCACTGAGCTCAGATCGTTGTTCCGGCTGCAAGTTTTATTCGTGCTGACATTAGTACGTGCGTGGTGGCGTGCTTCGTTGCCGTGTTATGCATGGCTAGCAGCATGTTGTCATCGTGGCTAGATGGGAAATTCTCATTGGGAGGAAAAATAGAGCAGAGTAATTGGGAAACGTAATGGATTTGGTTTTTTCTTCCAAGGTAGCTGATTCTTATTCTTCAAGCTTGAATTTGAATTTTAATTGAGCCAATTCTTCCACCCAATGCAATTGCCAAGTCTACTAAGTCATGTAAGTACCTACTACCAAGTATGGCGGCCGATAGAGGCCAAAGGTCACATCCCAATTTCAATTTCTCACTTCACCGCCCTGTTTCCCGTATTGTATTTATCACATATAGGAATATCTTTAGGGATTTGATCTAAATAGGGGTCACTTTTAGAAGAGACTTGAGATTAGACTTAAGAATGGATTATATGACTAGGATCTCTGCCTCTCTTTTCTTGCTAGTTGTTGTGATAATTTACTCAGAGACAGAGAAGTGATATAATATAACTAGCACTATATGTAATAGAGTTCAAGGATTCAAGGTATAATGCAGCGCTGAATATAATCATGTGGAGTTCAAAAACAAATATGAATTTGGATTGAATTACTCGTGATTTACTTTCTGCCGGTCGGAAAGTTGATGTGACCCTTGGGTGGCCTCTATCGGCCGCCGCAGTACAAAGTACTAATTACAGAAAAAAAGAAGAAAAGAGGACCAAAAAATCATAGTAAAGCAGAACGAACCCGGATATCCCCTGCGCCATGCTGATCGGAGAAGTCATGATTTCCATAACATCCGTAAATGCAAACGCAAAACGCGACGAAAAAGAACAAAATCAAACCAAAGATGAGAAAAGAGAAAAAGAGAAAAAGAGGGGAAAGTGAACCAAACATCTCGGCGCATAAGCCCAAATGCGCCCACAAAAGACTCGAAAGTAAAAGAAAAGTGACGAAATTCCCTCAGCACCGCCAAGTCCACACTCACGGCGAATATTCATACCGCCTCCAATTATCACTAACCCACCACTGCGCCGCCCTAGCAGCCTCATGCACCCAATGCACGGCCTCAGCTCCATGCCTCAACGCAACAGCCGATTTCAGCGCCTCAAGATCAAACGATTTAATCGGTTTCTTCTCATGCGGATCGGAGCCCAGCTCCGTGAACCGCCATTCGACCTCCGGAACGAGCGGGACAATGAGTCTGTACGGCATGGCGGCGGAGCGCATGGCGACCATCGAGCCGCCCGTGTTCATGACTGTGAACTGCCAGTTGCGGGTGTGCTCGGTTGAGTCGATGATGGGGCGGATGAGGGATTGGCCTTCGTAGAGGGGGAGGAGGGATTTGATGGCCTGTGCGCTTTGCGGGGAGAGGGAGGCGGATTCTTGGAGGAGGTCCAGGATTGTGGGGAGTATTTGGATGGATGTCACTGAGGAGTTGATTTGGATTGGGGGGAGGTTGGGGTTGGACTGGGGTTTTAGTTAGGATTGGAGCTTGGTTTTGCGGATGTGGTTGTGCGGGTAACTTACGATGACTAGTGGGACGTGGAAGTTGGCGACGTGCGGGTTGTCGTAGGGGGTGATGCTGTTGTCTTCGAGAAGGGAGAGGCCGCTAAGAAGATAAGGTTAGATTCGAGATTTGGGTGTACCGAGGTGGATATATGCTTACTGGTCGCCTGTCATGATGACGAGGGTCTCGTTGGCAACGCCTGTCTCCTCGAGAATATCGAGCACGGTACCGAACCATTTATCGTTGATGCCGATGGTGTTGAGGTATTTGTTGACATCGTCGTTATTTCCACCCCAAGACGAGCTGATGAGCTCGGTATAGTTCTTGCCAGGCGTGTCCCACGGGTGGTGAGTCAGTCCAGTCAAATGCTCAAGGAAAAGGCGTTCGTGATTTTCTTCTGCATGGTTAATCGCATCACGGAAGTAGCCTGCCAGGTCGTGATCGGGATATCCCCAGAAATTGAACTTCTCGCCGTGGAATGAAGTGTCGTTTGCGTGTTCCTTGTCAATCGACTCGACGGTGATAATATTCTCGGGCTTGAATCCCAACGCAGGAGTAAGACGGTCCTGGTGGTCGTAGGAATCGGTGATCGACTGCATGAACCGTGGTCGCCAGGGCCAGTTGGTGAAATCGGCGCTGGCGCTATCGTTTGTGCTGGCGCTGAGAACGTCAAGAACATGTGGCATGCAGGGCTGGTAGATGTGGTGTTCGTATTCGTGGTTGAAGTCCATTACAAGTGGCGACAGACCGCACGTCGTTCCTTCGATACTCTTCAAAGTGAATGTTCCGGCGGTGTATGAGTTAGTAGCATAGATACCGCCGTAAGGTGTCACAGTTCCATTCTTGTGGAATCCAGACTCTGTGCCGGTAAGACGCTCCGCAGTATGAGTGAGGTTATTTAAGCGTCTCTGAACATCCGCTGGGACCTGCCTATCCTTGTACGAGTCCAAAATGCGGTCGTGGAAATAGGAACCATTTCGCAGCGGGAAAACATCAAACCGAGTGCTCTCCATCTTGAATACGAGCACGTGCTTGATCTTTAAGTGATTGCCTTTGAGGACCTCACGGAGAGGCTCCAGCACGTCCAGGTCCAAGTTAGAGATATGAAGAGGATCCTCAGTCGAATTGTAATGCTTGTGCTCGAATTCTCCGTTCGTGGACATCTCCCAATCTCTGAAGCCGGGCCAGTTGCCCTCCGGGAACCAGTCGAACTTTGGCGGGGTGGTCAGAGCCGTCAGCTTGCCATCCAGTTCGCGCTCCCCGGTGATGCCGGCCAATTTTGTCTGCGAGTCGACTCCGCTGAATGGAGATAGGAAGATGGTTTGAGAGAGGAATCCATATGACTCATCGGATGGACGGAAGCATCGCAAAATGAGAACGAAAAGAGTGGCAGCAACGACAAGTGCCATTTTGATGAGCTGCACATGGTTTGGACGCCCCGTATGCGCAGGCTGCCCATCGTCAAGTTGACTCGGTTGATCCAAAAGCGGAGCCGAATTCGACGCGATCTTGTCCTCTTCGTCGTAATCGCTCAGCGCCACGGGCTCATAGACCTTCATGTTGGCGAAAATATCTCTGCCGCGAGCAGTGCGACTCAAAACACGCTCTACCACAGGCTGGTATCGAATCAACAATGAGTCGACTGCCGGCTTGGCAACCTCGGCAGTAGGTTTCCACGCTGCCATGGCGACTCGACTCCAGATACCCACCAAAGTCTCCATGCCGTTATATGGATATGGCGAAGCGAAAACAGCCGCAACGAGGAGTAATCCTTCGACGATAACGAGACCGGTGAGACCCGTTAGCAGGGTGTTGATGGCAGCTGGATCGGCGTTGAAGGAGCCTGCCTGGCGCCAATGGATCTCTGCGCCGGTAAGGACATAGAAGGAGGTATTTGCGGCCGCCATGACGGAGAGGATCAGACTAAAGTAACACGCGGTTAGCCATGCCCTGTCGATACGTCTTATGCGACAGCTTCGACTTACCTAGTGCACACGACCACCAGTCCCGCCGCGATGCGCGCAATCAAAGATTGGAAATTCTGCGTCAAGGCATATCCAGCCAACAGAAAGAAGAAATCCTGGAGAAAGAACGTGGATCCCCACAGAATCAACTGGGAGAGCGGGACCGAGTCCCAATGAGCGTATATGTGAAGAAGCTTTGCGCAGACGACCGTCAAGAAAAGGAACGTAAACCAGAACTTCCGCGCGATATCCCAATTCAAAGTGCTCTTGATGGCGCGGGCGGGGAGTGCACAGCAGACGAAGCTGAGGCAAGCTGAGGCCCGTCCCGCGAGCATGATGAGCGTTATCGTCGATCACTCGGTGGTGGAGCTGGTGGTAAGGTGAGTTGGAAGTCTTGACAGACTCCAGGTCGTGCAGGAGAGCAAAAAGGCGAATTTTATGCAAGCATTAGAATACGAGGCGGAATGATACGGACATCGAAGTTGATGACGGAATCGCAAAAGATTTAAAACGAAAGTCGCAGAGGAGCCGGCGAGAAGGTAAGTAATAAATAGAATATGGGGAAAAAGGCACACCAATCGCATGGCTCCGGGTTGGGTCCAGGGAATGGAATTTGCTCTGTGGAGCATCAGACCCATTCCATGCTGGAAGGTTTTATCCAAGCCTTGTAGGTCATGCGGTGTCTTTCCTAAACGAGCATCTGAGGGTCCATAAGGGTCCATCTGCAATATGAATTTTGGGGATTTTTAGTGAATTATTGTTACCTAATGGGACATAAGCAATGTATTTGATTGGTCTCTTGACTCCGTAAAACGATGGTCGGAAACGCCCAGTCTCCGTTCCGTTGGTCCTTCTCCACATGGTCTCACTTTTCTCTCTTCAAAACGCCGTAACGTGGCTATGGTAAGACTCATGTTCCTGTTGTTCTTGGCTATTTCCTTTGTTGTCTCGAAGGATTGAGATGGAAGCTTGGCAATTCACAGCTCGTAACTCTTCGATCAGGGTCCAATGGCATCAATCATCCTGCAGGGCAAAGCCTTGTGTGCTCCTTAGGGTAGAGCTTGTGGTCCATGCCCAGGACAACGCACAAACCCCTTTCGAGCTGTCATTCAACCGAGCCTTCCGGGTGAATTGTGCCCCCATCAACCTCTGGCAAGCAGTCAAGTTTTCTCGGTGATTCAACCAAATGCGAATGAGCCCTGCAGCTCTAGTGTGACCTATCGTCAATAGTCCAGTTCCCATTCGAATCCCCCCAAAGCCCAAATCTCAGGCACGAGGCCACCTACCGTAACGGGATTTAGGCTCACAGGTAAGAAAGGCTTGGCCTTTTCGAATTTTTCGAATTTTCCATTTGTTCCTTTTTGTCGCATGTGGGTCTTAAGGTCTTCGATTTGATCGAATCATCGGCTATCCCCGATACCCGGAATTTGGCCAAGTCATAAAGTCAGAAATAGACGAGTGTGATGGCAAGGCTCTCTGACTTGCAAAGGTCCAAGCGGTAATTATAGCCGGGCGCACACCGTTCCCACTTTTCCCCTCCTTTGTTGATTCCTCTCTGAGCAGAGATTTCATGAGGCTGAATGGAAGATTCCGAAATTGCAATTTCAAATTCAGTGGGGGTATTGGATTTGGTGGAGCGAGTGGATACGAGGAACTTCAATGATGAAATTCAGGGAAAACAAAAATAACTTCCTGCTTACACATACATCCGGAATCCGAAGTGTAGTTAACTATTAGTGGCAACTCTCATAGGGCTTCATGCTGGAACAATGATCGAGATGAACCGGACAAGCGAGAGATCACTGATAAATTGTCTCGGCGCCGTTGAAGTTTGTTTGCTAACGCTGGGCATAAGCCCCCTTTTCGCCCCCTGGAAGTTTAGTCCTTGACAACCTACGTTGTCGACAGATTCCTCGGGTCTTACTCCGCATTTCTGACCTCGTGTTGAGGAAATGAAATATCTCACTCGCGCACTTGCCCGATTAGTTTAGATTCAGGGTCTTTGTGAGGCTGAATGTTAATATATGAGCTGCGGGGTGCATAAATGACGCGATCGGCTATGAACAATCATTAATAATGCAGAGAGCGCAAGGCTCGGACTTGATCTCAACTGGGCCCTGGCATTTGCTGCCTCGGCTGCAACCTCGCGAGTTTATGGGGCAACTGGACTGACAATCTCTACTCTACACCCACTTGGTCTGAAGGCATCTGGTAACCCGTCCCGACACGCCCTCTCGCCCTCTACCGCCACGCACCAGTCAGACCCCGCTCTTTCTCCGCAAGCCCTGGCAAGGTCTGTTCCTGATGCTGCCACCATGCGATCTATGATGCGCTAGTTTCTATACTGGAATACTACTACACGCCATTATACATAGTCCCGACTGATTATTACCGTGATCCAAAATATACACACGCCGCAAGGACAGTCAATAGAGGCACTGCCAGAAATTAGCCCCCACCACACTATACCCAATATGACAAGAGGCGGGCCATGTTGTGTAATCTGTTCACAACATCCCGCCAAGCTCTCGTCTTGCTCATTACAGCTCTACAAATTAAAACCCGATCCTCAGCAATGAGTCAATAACCATGATGAGAACAAATTTACCTCTCGAGATTTGGATCCATATCGCCACGTATCTAGAGCCCGACGCATGCTACCGGCTGATTCAAGCCTTTGAAGGTCTTTCTCTAGTTCTTCCGCACAAGGATCTAATAAAGAAGGCAAGAAATACTGCTGGAGACACAATTGTGCACTTAGCAGCACGCAGAGGCGATGTAAAATTGATACAGAATTTACTAGCCAGAAGCGTGAACATCCACGTGCGGAACAAGCGCGGGGTCACGCCTTTAGCTGAGGCTGCACTTCGAGGGCATCAAGCCGTCGTGGAGCTACTTATTTCCGCGGGGGCAAAGATCGATGAGCCGGATAGTCGTGGATTCTTTCCTCTACATGCTGCGGCCTACCGTGGCTCAGATGCGGTTGTCCAAGTCCTCATTGATGCGGGTGCAAATGTTTTACAGTCCATTCCTTTCCACCGCACCGCACTACATATGGCGATAAGGACTGGCCATCTTTCGACAGTGTCAATGCTTCTGAACAAAATGAAGTCGCACCCAGATATGGCGGATATACATGTATACAGCGGTGTTCTGGATCTAGCAGCGGAGTACGGCCACACGCATGTCTTTCATAAGCTCGTTGAGGCTGGCTTTGAGTTTACAGCGAATACCCTGAGACTTGCCGCCTCGTTGGGTCGAGCAAAGATAGCCAGGATTCTTCTTTCTCTATCATCATTTCCGATGCAACTACGACATGAGGTGTTAATAAAATCCGCCATGCTTGGCTACCATTCTGTGGTGAAAGTGCTGATGGGGTCTGACTTTGATATCTCGCATAGCAACATCGTTCTGTCTGACACGGTGGGCTCTTCAGGTAGTCTCAAGGTACTTCGACTTCTTGAGCATGCGGGATTCAACTTGGAATGGGGCACAATACTATACTTTGCTGCTAAGGGAGGCCACGCCGCAATGGTTGCATATGTCGCTGGTTCGAAACGAGTGGACCACCGTAATTACACATCAGCGCTCTATAATTCCGCTACTGCAGGGCATCATGCCGTGGTGAAAGTTCTTCTTGAGTCCGGGGCTAAGTTGGACGAAGATGAAAAAAGAAGCGCCCTTGCATCTGCTTGCGAGAAAGGTTCTCTAGCCATTCATGATTTACTTGTTGAACCTGGGGATCGATTCAACATTCAGGCGCTCTATCCCGCAGTCTGTGCCGGAGATTCTGAGAGGACTGCTGCTATCCTGAATCGCAAAATAGATACGTCCACACTTGACCGGCCTACCAATATTAGGTTGCAGCGCTGTTTGAAAAAGGCAGCTGAAAATGGCAATACTGTGATAGTAAAGCTATTACTAAATGCGGGAATAGCGCCAGATTACGCTTATAGTCATGCGCGCTGGGGATATTGGGCCCGGTCTGCACTCGAGTGGGCAGCCAGAGGGGGCCACTTGGAGGTAGTGGATGTTCTCGTAAAGGCTGGAGCTGATCTCGCACGCGAAAACCGTTTAAACTTCCGCAACTCGTCGACATTTGGTCAAAAGGGGTATACCGCCTTGTATGTCGCTGCTGGAGCCGGACATGTGGCTGTGACAAAATACCTCATTTCTTGCGGGGCGTGCGTTTCCTTCCAAGGAGAAGAAGGCCATACAGCATTGCATCAAGTGGCAAGGGTTGGTCATATTGCAATAGTGAAGCTCCTCATAAAGGCGGGTGCCGATCTCTCTATTCAAGCACGCTGCGGGGCGACCCCTCTCTATTATGCTGCACTGTATAATCGCGTTGAGATTGTTGAGTTGCTTCTGAATGCTGGTTCTGATCCGTCTATTCTAGACCTACAAGGAAGATCTGCTCTTAGCCGGGCATCCGAGTTCGGCCATACTGAGGTGGTTTCACTCCTCACTGCAGCCCACAATGGGCACTAGATCGCTGAACCACTACTCGAGCGGGGACCTGCTAATGCCATACTCGCAATCATACCATCTAAGCCGCATTCAAAAGATAGCAGAAGAGACTCGCTATGAAAGGTGGCTGGGTACTAAGTATGTTACCGTCTTTCAACCCATCTGATTTTCACCAAGCCTGCCTTGAGCTTTATACCAAAAAAAGTGGCAAATCGATCTCATGCGACTGGTTTAAACCGATTTGCCAAATACAAAGTAGCGTCCTGTTCATAACTCTCATTTGGCCCACCATCAAGAAAAGACTTCACCGCATGGAGCCAACTCGAGACACAACCCCGCAAGTGACGATCTTGTCGGGATGTACCAGAAAAGTTAGGACACTGGGGCCAAACTCAAACTGGCTTCCCCATTGCTGCCTGATAGACTGACTTTTCGACTCCTATTTTTACCTGATTTCGTACCCCAATGCTGTCATCCATGCAACGTTTCAATGCTTGATTATACAGTGGGCTTTGCATAAATTTTACAAGCTTGGAAGGGGAAAAGGCGTGGAAATAGCACTTCAGGAGGTTGAGTTGAAAGTAATCCAAGGAATACTACTGGTAACTATACATGAGCTGTGGCATTTGAAGGCTTAAAAAGACAAAATGCAAAACAAAACAAAACTCTGGGATGGCGAATGTGCCCCCCTCCGAACATTAAAAGACGATTGCCGCCCTCGGCAATCCCCACAGCAAAGCAATCTTCATTAGATATGCAAGTCCACAGCACAGCAATTTTCAGTAGACATACATCATAAAAGAAATTCCGATGATAGCAAGAGTCATGAAACGAACTTCGACGGCAGTAAAACTCAGACAAAATAAATTCCGACGGCCGCCAAAAATAGAAGCGAAACACTAACTCATCGACTTTCGGATGGCCTCATCCAGCGTGGCTGCAATTCCGATGATGAAAACCTCAAGACCAGAACTTCCCGTCTTTTAGCATTGCTGACATTTACGATCGAAGCCGCAATTCCTGGTGTGGGGATTAATACATAAAGACGTGAAAGGGAATAAAATTCACAAGAAGGGGGAGTGGCCCCCGTCATTCCCGTATCTTGCTCATGGTAACAACATCTGTTCTCATGTCAGCAGTGCAAATGAAACAGTCCACTGGAATTACACACAACTAGAGCTCGACGATGTTGCTGCCGGTTGTCATTGCATCGTCCAAAGGGTTGTTCGCACCACGGTGACGGTATCGACCCCCTCCGCCCCCCCCCCCCCCGACTATGAAATCGGTACGCATACCATCTCAAAATGACATATAATTTCCACATGCAGTCTTCCCCTCACGGTTCCTAGACGACAATAGCTCCATGTTCTCAGCTGACTGCAAAACACTTGAGACCCGAGGCTTGAACAAGGAACTGGTTTCCGCTTCCTTCTGGCCAATATATAAGTGCATATTGCTGGGGGAGTACACATGCATCACAAAATACAGGATTACGCTTCGCTGATCCTGAGAAACCGGGCTGTCCAGCTTCCCGATTGTATCCTCCTCAAACCAATCCGTGAGCGGGTTCAATAGTTGACAGATGTGAGAATCTGCATCTCAAAGCATACCGTAAGCCGATGAAGTAGGCTATGGGTAAAATGCATGATGAGGGATTGAGCCTCGTATAGCTTGGCGATGTATTCCGCTATCAAATCCCAGGGATTGAACACCAGGGTCGAAAATAGTGAAAACATGGGCTAACAGAGTCATTACATACCAGAATAAGGGAGCTGAGATCAGGATTGCCACCAAATTTTGGGGGCCGGGAATAGCCCGGAAATGGGGCTTGTAATGGGGCTGGAACAATAACCCCGGAAAAGCAACCTGGAAATGGGCCCGGAAATGGGGCCAAGGTAAAGGTCTCTTAGAATTTCCAGTTGCTTCGACATTGACGAGTCAATAAGCATAAGAAAACGTTGTCTTCCGAGAGCCACAATGGCCCTTGGACTACACGACATTGAGGCTCCCATGGTATAGAAGCTTCAGTCGTCTTTTCTAGCCCATGTCTGCTTTGAATTATCTGTCTTGCTTCTTTTGTTGCAACTTCCTTAGTATATGGAAGTATACATGGCCAGTGGATGCAGAACCCCGGTGGCGGCCACATCTTGCGAGAGGCTAAACGTACAGCTCGATCACGATGACAATGAGCCCAATCCGCAACATTGGTTGGTAGGCCAGTTGGATTCTGGCAAGGTAGAACAGGGTAGGACGTAATCAGTTGATGACCTGTAACCCATTATTAGTGTCGAATTATATATAATAAGAAATTGAATTGGAAACTCACATCTCCTTGTGAAAGAAGATTTTGTAGTGGAAACCTCATTAATGTAATGGTCATCCTTCTTCGCCGGAATTTTCGGGGGCTTCCTTTTCGAGATGCTTGTTTGTTGCACTGAAGTGTCTGACACGGCATTCCGTTGAACTGGCCAAAATCGTGGGCTAAATATCTCATCACCTTGCCATGCTGTCGTGCTTGAATGGCTGGTTGCACATAGAAGCCCAGAATATGATACATTCGGACGAACTTGACTGTGTGTTGTATCAGAGCTTGGTTTTCCATCCCCGCATGCAAGGCTTCATGCAATGATCTTGAACAAGTCCCTGCAAACTTCAAGGCCATCTGGTTTACGCGTGAGTATCTTGAAATATTTATAAACAGGGCAAAACCTACCTGGCGAGGTGAAATGTAAGTTCCGGAAAGTGATGGGCATTTTCTTGGCGTGAACCAAAGAGCCAGTTCATAGCTTGGCAAGTTCTGAATCCAAGGACTTTTGCTTGACATGGTGATTGGGTGTTCTACTAAGCGCTCAGTCGATCCCCTGAATTCTGCAAACTCCGGATCCGATTCGTTTTTTCTGAGTAGCGATGTTATCGAGGATTCCCATTTTTTCAGTCCAGCCAATAGATTTGTTCCATGAGGATAAACTTTGAAAATGAGTTGTTAGCTTTGGATCTGTGGACTTCCGGTACGGGAATACGACAAGGTAATCTTGAACTCACCCCTTGAAACTCGCCATTTTCATTCCTTCTTGGGCAAGAGGAGTGAATTCGTGTGTTCGTAAACTTTGCCACGAAGCCAGGCCCCTTACGACCCATCTCCACCAGTACCCGGTCGATAGCCATGATGATTGTAGATGAAGCAAATCCTGATATTCTTGGACCACGCAAACGACATATTATCGTGATTGTTGTTGCAATGGTCGCACCAACTGGGAGTTGGGTAATCCGGGACGATCAATATCGTACCAGTCATTGCAAAGTCGTCAGTAACGAGAATAAGAGCTGACATTTCAACAAGGAATGTGATTCGCCACTCCTCGAAGCATCGCTTCTGTTGCACATGTGTATGGGTCCCGCTCCCGTAAAATCATCTCATTCAATGAGACAACCGATTTCGGTAGGTAAAAATGCTTGCTGAAACATGAGTCGTGGTAAAGATAAAGGGCGTTGATCGGGGATTGATTGAGAGTTTGCGGATGCTGAGATTTTTGATCGGATGATAGTAGAGCCGGAGGTGAGTATAGAAAAGGGAGGATGAAAGAGGAGGGTGGAGAGGATAATGAGAAGGATGATGGAGAGGGCAAAGTTTGAAGACCGCAGCTCGAATGATGAATCAGATACGCATGTATGAGGAAGCTCCAAGAGTAAGGAACAAATCAGAGGGAAAGTAAAAAGAGAAGAAGTGATGAAAGGAAAGAAGACGAGGAAAGTCCTGGGCTCCAATCAATTAAGCGTCATGAGCAAAGTGATAGTCGCGGACGGGAAGTATAAGTGAGCACTGGAAGAACAACGGTACAACATGGGCAAAAGTGAGAGGAGTGGATCTCGATTATCGAGAAGGAAAGTGGACGTAGACATTGAGGAAACGCATACATAGTCAGTATTCGTGATGCAAGTGGATTGACAAATTACGGAAGTCAAATAGTCTACTTCCGAGTTGGATAGGATATATCGGGTACAAACTTGTAATTAGAGTGAACTAACCACCAGGTACTCTTGATAGAAAAATCTAGGTAATTGCGAGATGTCTCAATAAAGTAAAGAAAGCTATGGTTCAAAGTATCTTAAGAAAAGGCTGATGTTCAGCCTGTGAATTGGTCGAGAGACCGTCCCTTGCAACACAGATTCGGTGCCCTTGAATTCTCAACGAGTGAAACATATTATATTGGATCACTATGAGCGGCCTAGCTTTCATTCCAGGTGTCTGATGATGATAGAGGATGTCCGGAGGATTCGTCGGTCTCCACAGCTTGTGATGTGAAGCCAATGAACACAGCAACCCATCGATCCTCACGAGGCCGATGAAACAAAATGAACCCATCTTGAAATACACCATCATCATGCTCCCATAGCCCAATATTTCCTTGATTCATATGCAAATTATGAATACCTTTGTAATCCACAAACCGCGCCCCAAATAGATATATATTCGCACTCTGGTTAATTGCTTCCTCGATTTCGGGCTCCAAAATACCAGCGATGTCATTTTTCTCATCGGCATTGGCAAGTGGTAAGATGCGACCGGTACTCAGACCAAACGGCTCAGTTCGCAGATAGTCCGTCCGTAACCCAGCCGGGCCTGGCGATGTCTCTGCCAGCTGATGAAAACCCAATGGCAGATCTTTCAGGCCATCGATAATAGATTGATCTTTGAAATCCCGGTCCACCCAGCAGACCACCTGGGACTCGGGTTTGTCTCCCGATTTGATGTTGACTACTGCTCGGATAAGGCCGACGATTTCCTTATTCCTTTGGCTGGGCTTATGGGATCTGTGGCGAGCGTGATACCTTGCATGGTGCGTTGTGTTGCCTTTGTCATCGAAGTACAGCAAGAGATGCGGATTCTTTGACCCATCCTCGCGGCTTTCGACGACGTAGTGTACGGCGTTTGCCTTCCACACGCCGTAGTCATGTACCGGCATATTATTTGTTGACGCAAAATAGTGTGTCGGGATGGAAGTTTGTACAGGAGCGACCTTGATCGGTTGCCTTGCTCCGGAATCGTGACTGGTCCGACGCCGAGTATAATACCTAGAGCGTGGTGTAGGTTGTTGTTGCTGGCGCTGGTCGTTAAATGCTTACTGGCCTACCCAGTGGCAAATAATTACTCATGCCCGAGATCAATTCTGCCGTCTGATTGGTTGACATAGGATGGAAGCCAAGCGGCTCTGGGTATCTGTCAACCAGCACTAGGTCAGCACTCATTGAACTCGAATGCGTAGTTGGAATTTGTAAATCACTTGCGAATGATGTTGAGGCGTAAAACCCGACTTCGTTGTTAAGCGGCGTAGTCATGACCGGGACCTGACCCAAAGTTTGTCAACCCTCGAGGCTTATTGACAAGGCCTATCATTCCAATCAGAGGACACGGCTGGTATTTTGTTCAATGGATTTGTAAGCTCTTCATTTCGTAAACAGAAATCGTAGAATCGCGCGACTTCGTAGTGCATGTGGGGAATAAACTCCGTTCAGAGTGCCCGGCTAGCACCCAGGTGAATACACAACTCAAGAGCGCCGCGCGGAGTTAACCATTTAGGTTTAGGTAGTAGTATCTCTACGGTCTAGTAGCAGTGGATGTATCCAACCTTGAATTCTACATACAATGTACTTGATACACTTGATACTTGGAATGGTTAGTATACACTTAGTTCCCATGACGAGTACTCAAGATGGCTGTCTACTCAGTACGCATTACTCGGTGGCTACTTTCATCTCTTACCTTCGAAGTTCGAACGACCTTTCTATGACGAAAAGAGCCGCGGGCACCCGAGGACTAAAGGGGAGAAATACCTTCCAGACAGTTGGCTATCATAGCAGAGGTTTGTTGCCTCTTGAAGATCCCCTTTTGCGACGTCGGGTTCGCATGCGTGGCGGCTTTCAAGGATTTTTGGCTTATAATATCGAAATTGTTAGCGAGAAGCATCCATTCAGCGTCTTTGCCCGTAAGAAAAACAGAGCTTAACACTTTTGTTGACTGAGTACATATACTTCAACCAGCTCTTTGACACATCTTTGCGTGGTTCCGCCCTACGCCCTGTCGCAGGTGATCAAAGAGTCAAAGCCTTACCGATCACTTCTTCGGCCTCGAGTTCCCTAAAAGCTATTCATAAGTGGGGTATTAGTGATATGCAGTGCCCAGGCATTCTAAGCAAAAACTGACAAAAAGCGTCATCTGAGGACGAGATTGAACAAAAAGAAAAAACACAATCGGGCATTGAATGCCGAGAAACTAAAACTGCACCATATCTCCTCCACGAGCCTCCACGAAACTCCACGAACCCAGGAACTAATTGCCGCGGGTGGCCTTGTCCTTAGCGGCCTTAGCGGCCTTGGCTCTCTCCCTGGCGGCCTTGGCCTTTTCCTTGATGGCATTGGCCTTTTCCTTGCCGGCTTCAGCTTTGGCGGCCTTGATGGCAACGGCCTGGGCGGGATCGGCGAACTCCAGACTTTCGGTGACGTCGAAAGTCTTTAACCACCCGCAACGCTGCACGTCTTCGCAGCAAGCTGATAACTTGTTAGAGAACAACCAAGCAATCAGTAAGCAAGGAGTAAGACGCACCATGTGTCCGTCCGCCGCCAGGAGCGGCCTTCTCGCAGTAGATGCAAGGAATGCTGATGCCAGGGTTGATGGCGTGAAGCTTGTCCGCGACCTTGATCTTCGAGATCTTTGAAAGTCAGAGTTAGTTGGAAGCACTTTATGAGCTGTTGAGGGAATGGTACATACCAGGCCATTGGTGAGAAGTGGGACCTTCGGCTTCTCCGCCGCGTTCATTCTGGCATTGTCGACCAGCTCTTCATACCAGTCTGACCAATTAGTACGTGGCTGCTAGTCATTGTACAGATTGCCAGGAAACATACCATGGCGGTTTCCCGCAGCAGGGGTCATTTTGGCAAAAATAGAGCCATCATGCCCGTAGTAGCTAGCGGGGAGTTCGCAGTGGTTTTTCAGATGCACCTTAAGGTGCTGGAAGGTGTATCGAGTAGTCTGCGATTTAGCAATAGGTCAGCAAGCATTCAAAACCACACGACTCCGTAAAGATTCCTCGTGCTACTAACCTTGTCGGTACAATCCGGCCATCGGCAGAAGGCCTCGCTACCATTCAGAATGATCTGGCCCTCGTCATTCTTTGGGATTAGTAGAACGCAGTTAGCTTCGGACCAATGCCTTTGATTCCAAAAGACACACAATGATATTCGATGAGGGAAATCGAGCGTCAGGGAGTGGAAGTAAACAACAAACTTACCCGATCATAATCTTCGTAATCCAGCTGCCCAAGTTCTCCCAAACACAGGTACTCCTTGTACTTGACAGAGTCCTGCAAGTACGGAGCGATCTTGTAAAAGGGTTTGCTGGGCATTTTGGATCGAGTGGAGCTTTCGGGTAGAAACGGCTAGTGAGGGGAAGAGACGGGTAGGATCGGTTAGAGACGGTTAGAGACGGAAAAGTGGAGGAGAGAGAAAGAAGATCCTCAAAAGCTTAGACTACTAGTACGGTAGTACCCCATTTTCTCACTTCGTTACTACATACAAACAACTCTATACACTGCCCAAGATAGAAACAAACTTCATACATCTAGTCTATAGCATTGGTTCTAATAAAGAAATCCTACACCACAGGACACTTGGGTGGTTAGTATATGCGGCGTGCCGTGTGCCTGTAGTAGGTTTACATCAACTACACGGCATGATTTCTACACATTCCCACCTTAGGTTGTTAATCTTATTCCAACATCTTTGAAAAGCAGTGCTATTCACCCTTCTTACTATACTCACAGTCGTGGCCCCAATAGCTTCTTTGAGACCAACACACAAGGCCTAGAGCCCCCTCCTTGTTCTTACGAATAACTTTTTTTACAACTACTTAGGTCCTCAACAGCACAGAAAACTAAAGGTCCAGGAGACCCTAGTTCTACCGAACAGTGCCGCATTCCAGCATCACAGAGATCTATGAGATCCTCCCGCCACAAATTCATATGCAGTTCAATACAGGCCGTGAGGACTGGGTGGTTGCAGCTTCAAATTTACCATGCCGGTAACCGGATGGTTACTACGCATGAACTTCGGCAACCGACTGTACTAGGAGCCTCGAAGAAAGGCTACAGTCCAGGGCTACACCGAAAGAATGGTTATATACGCCTGAGTCTGTCAAAGATAAGCACACTACATGACTTCAGGGACCAAACCCTGCTATTTTGTCCGATCAGTGCTGACTTCTAAGTTCCATTGTTGTTCACAGACTAGGGCACGCGCACGGACCAGGGCGGAAAGAAGCAGCAGAACAACAGGAGAGAAGTCGAGACTCGACTGGCAATACGGGATATTGAAAACTACTTCCTGGGCATAATAAATTCAATTTTCATTCATCTTCCAAGGTTGATTGCTCGTGCATGCATGGGCGTTGAACTTCGCAGTCTTGATCTAGAGATCGTACTCGAAGTTCAAACAGTGTTTACTGGAACCTCGACAACAGCCCACCTTGCGACCCACTATCTACTCCACTCTATATAATTGGAGGCTGGAGCTGAAGTCAACAGGATGCAGCCTTGGAACGTGGCAAGACCCTCAATTCAATCCACCAGACATATTCGAACGCTCGAATACATGCTCACAACGAGGGACTCGCACTACTCAAATAGAACGTCCACTTATCGCCACCTCCACACTTCCACTCGGGGAATAACATTGATCACCGGTAGAAATGCATCCACATAGATGCATCCCGGCGCTATGATTCGTCCCCGCTCAGCCCCTCACCGGCTATCAGTCCGGCGAAACCGGCGAAATCCCCAGAATCCCCGGCGTGCAGCGATAAGGCTGCACGACCATGAATAAAACAGGAGCTATGCCATGTGCGCATTGGAAAAGGTCTTGCGACCGGGTCGAATCGAAAGTTTCCCTGTTCTGCCCACATCCTTGCATCTGTCAACCACGCGGAACGCCCCTTTACACGCAATATGGGTATACCCGATGTCGGATCCACGGTTCCAAAGCCGGGATCGTCTGAGACCAGCCAGAGTGTGGAAGTGTTGAAGGTTCGCGATGAGGATGAGTTGCGCTTGGCGCAGATGGGTATGTTCTGCGATCGGATCGATAAAGATGGCTTTGATCCTGACTGGGACTGACCAAAAAAAGGACATAAGCAAGAATTGAAGCGACATTTCTCGGTATGGAGCTTAATTGGCCTAGCTGCCAATTGTACAATTTCATGGACAGGTTTGTTCGAATGCCGTATATAGGTATTTGGCCGACGTGTTTTCTGATTCCAACTCCAGGTCTTGGTTTGGGCTTAATCACCGCATTGAACTCCGGTGGCCCTGGCGCCCGTAAGCCCCGACTGAACCAAATCACCTCGCAGCACACTTGCAAAGCTAATTTCCTTAGTGATTTACGGCTTCATTCTCGTCTTCATCCTGCAGTCATTTGTCGGCGCCTCTCTAGCAGAATTCGTCTCCGCATACCCGACCGAAGGGGGAATGTATCACTGGATCGCGGCCATCGCCCCTAAAAGATATAACAGTCTACTGAGCTTTGCGACGGGGTGGTGCACAGTCTTTGGATGTGAGCTATACTTCTTGTTGGAAGAACTTAGCCGGGGGGATGCTGACCATGCTATTAGGGATTTTCACCACCGCATCAACGAATCTTATCTACGGCTCAACGGTCATGGGGTTAATTGCGCTATACCACGATGATTTGGTAGTCAAGCCCTGGATGACCTTCGTTGCATACCAAATCTTGAATATTATTACATCTGGCATCGTCATGTTTGGCAATCGTTTTATCCCAGCGATCAACAAATTCTCCCGTTAGTGTTCATAAATCAACCAAAGGTGCCTTCCTGACTCTGGTATTAGTGCTTTATCTACAATTGGCATGGTTTATCACTATGGTCACAGTGGCCGCCGCCGCACCCGCACACAACGACAGCAAATTTGTATTTGCTACGTGGATGAACAAGACAGGATGGGATAACAACGTGATGTGTTTTATAACCGGCTTGGTGAACCCATTATACGCATTGGGTGGGCTTGATGGAATATCCGTGAGTTGCCTTCATTGTCGCGAATTACCATAGTCGCGAGACTAACAACATTCAATAATATAGCACATTACCGAAGAAATGCCTAATGTGAGCCCCCGAGCCTCGTTGCAATTTTCTGTCCTTGGATGCTAATGATATATGTACAGCCCGGGAGAAACGCCCCTCTGGGTCTTGGTAAGCTTCCAGAATCCTCTTCGACGGCCTATGTACTCTGGAAGATGCTAACCTATACCAGCGATCACCCTCTCAATTGCATTTGTTACAGGAATCTCATACTTGCTCAGCTTGATGTTCTCCGTTCAGAACTACGATTCACTGGCCGATACGAGGACGGGTCTCCCACTGGCTGAGATCTTCCAGCAAGCAACTTCCACCAAGGGTGGTGCATTTGGCCTCGTTTTCATGGTCTGGGTTGCGCTAGGACCATGTGTGATCGGCTCCCAATTGAGTGAGAATTCCGCTTCGATACGATGATCTTTATTTCTAACAAATTCCAGGCACTGGACGTGTATTTTGGGCATTCTCTCGCGATAATGGCCTTCCCCTTTCTCACATGTGAGTGATCTATCATGAAAGTCTGTTATTATTATGGTATCCTAACTTCATCTAGCTGGGCACGCGTCCATCCCAAGCTTGGATCACCTTTCAACGCACAGCTCTGCGTCGGAGTTATCATCGCGTTACTGGGCTGCATTTATCTGGGATCCAGCACCGCATTCAACTCGATGATGAGCTCTGCAGTGTAAGCGATGACGACAAATGTGACCATGTACATGTGCTAACACTTTCCTAGGACGATCAACAACCTCGCATATGTCGTTCCGATTCTGACGAACGTATTGCTGCGCCGACGCACAATGCACCGCGGACCGTTCGCGATGGGTCAATTCCTGGGGATGACGGTCAACATCATTTCGGTGCTATGGCTAGTCTTTGCGATTATCTTCTTCTCCTTCCCTTTCGAAATGCCCGCTACCGGTGAGTACTCTACACTAGTAGCATAGATCGAAATAAACTTGGCTGAATGTGTTCTTTTTGCTAACTCAGACGCTATCCTAGTTGCCAATATGAATTATACATGTGTGGTTGTTGGCGGATTCTTGATCATTGAACTCGGGTGGTGGCTTATTGCGGGAAAGAAATATTCACAGACGGTACAGAGGGCCCGAGAAGAGCATGATACGGCTATGTTTGTTGAAGGACAGCCAAAGGCTTGATCCACGCATGGTCTCAAATGATATTCTGCTATATAAATATGCAATCCAATCCACATGTACAGCCCGGGTGTCCTGTCATTAAATTGAAAAATTTAAAATCAAAATGACGCTCCAAGTGTTACGGCGAGAGGAATGGAACAGTGGATGTGTATGATGATTGCTCCTAGGGTTCTGAGAAACAGGAGGCCAGCACCTCTTCTAGAGGGGTGCCCGGGGCGGTCATCTGAAAAGCTAGCTAACTCATACTAACAGTGAAAGACCCACCAACAGGTAGAACAAATCCTCAAGACCAGGCTGGCCAATGAAACGAGGACGGGAAAACGGGAACGATAGAGACAGTATCAATTACATGTGGGGTTCAAATGTAGTCGCCTACATACCACTCCTCCTGAAAACCAACCCGGGAGTCCATAACCAAAACATGTCTATCGCATCACCACCCCCTTTCTTTTCATCTTGGCCCCATTCCTAATTACGTCCCGGCTTTCAGCTCCATGCACTGCCACCTTGAGTTTACGAGAAGCTGTTGGAATCACATGACCATGCAGCTTCCACCGGATGTTTCCGGTTTCTCCTGGTTCTGCCGTCCCTCACCGCATGGTGTTCTTCCTTTATAGATAGCAGGCTCGTCTCTCTTCTTCCTAGCTTAGAACACAATCAAGATCATATTCATTCCACTGCTTGTTTCCTTCGCTTCTTCTGTTAGAAGCCGCTCAATCCGACGCCCCTTCTAAAATGGCAGCTACAATAATAGCAGCTATGCAGTCGCAGGATGTCTAAGATAAGGCCTCCGCAGTAGCATAGTGTGAAGTGCAACCAAACTTACCACTTTCTACCTAAGCTATAGAAGCGTAGCTTACTACGACGCTATCTATATTTACTCCTACGAGTGTATCTCACCCGCCTCTAATAATATGTAGTGGCCATCCTAACGAACATTAAATACAGTTAGCATAAGCCAAGTGATAATATGAGTTTAATAGTCAAAAAGTACAGGTAATTCCGATTCCGCTCTGGCGACCCGTGAGATCGCAAATACCCATGCTCCCACCTAGGGATACTCTCAGCATAACAATATGCCATTAAGTGCGGACCGCTACTCGTGGCTAAGATCCCAGGGAATAAAAGTAGTGAATAAATCATTGGTAAATTAGGCGTATGTTGTTTGAATGGAAGCGTAAATTACGCGTAACATTTTAAGGGGGAGAGAGAAAAGGCCACCCACGTAATTGGGAGGAAATTCATATTATAATATTGATTGAAAAGAAAGCGCGTTCATGACGAGGAAATTCAAATTTTGTATCTAGGGGGGGTCTTCGCTATTCGAAAATTTTAGTATACTAGTAATTAAATTGAAAAGGAGTTTGCTGGATGCCGCACATATGTCTAGACATGCCTTAAGACACAATACATGTAACGTCATAATTTGCCCCTGTACAGTATGCAGCATATTGTAACAAACTAGATCTGAGCTCATATTAAGCAGAGCCCTACAGGCGAAGATCTCTTGCTTAGCCTGATCACCATAGTACGAGATCTGCGTTCTGCGACCTCCTCGCTGCCCCTTTCCCTGCCGCATCCTTCCTCTAAATCTACCGGCTCACCAAGCCTTCAAATATTGCTTTTGTCACGAAAGACAGCAGTCTTTTCTGTTCATAGAAATAAGAACCATGAGTACACATGGTCTTCGAGCTAGATAGCAAAAGAGATCTTAATAGAAATCTCGGAATGGTTTCAGCCAGACGACTCACTTAAAAGGGTAGGGGCCGGAAGCCACCCCGAAGGCTCAGTGCGGGTATCTATTCACTATCGAGATTGTACATGTATGAATATCAATTTATCGATGTCATACACTAGACGTGACTGACACCGTATGATTGCATCAAGTGGACAACAACCAGCAGAGGGGAATTCCCCACTACACAGCTGGGATTTTCCAGACTCGATATGTAAATTTGAAGGCTCGTGAATTACGGAAAAAGAAACGGGCCGTCAATCCCCTTCTCAGGTCTTTGCACGACTTACACAGGGACTCATGACCTAGAAAGCTAGAATCGACCGATTCGCAGCGGTGATTATTCACCGCCCTTGGCTGCCTGATAATCACAACGCTCCCAACGACTAACTATACTTGTATTCATTTCGGGAAGCGTGCTGCGCATATAAGACAGCTACGCATTCCGAAACACACATGGGCATAGTAAACGCGAGAAACCGGAGCTTTAAATATCAACAAGGTGAATATATTGATTGATAGCATGATTTACCTTGTATAGCAAGACTTTTCATATAATCAATTTCTTTAATGAAGCCTGGCATGAGGAAACGATATATATCTTCAAATTTTCTAACATTGGAATCGCCTTGATATATTCTCATGTCAAGTTTCCCTTTGAGATCAATATTTTCTGCCAATGTTACATATGTATGATCGTTCTCCACTGCTATCAACAAACAATGAAATACAAAATGACATGTGGTGTTGAAGATATCAGGTAGTATTGGTGTTCTAGCTACTCAGCTGGGTGCAGCTCGATAAACCAATAAGCTACAGTATTAATCTACATCTAAGCGGGTGGGCCATATAAGTAAATGGGCTAACATCTCTGGCAATGATCGATCTGCGCTATATTTAATGTTGGGAAAAAGACTACGTCGTCCACCAAAATGCGGTGAAATCTACGATAAATACGGTACCTCATTCATGCCGACTCACTATGTGATCTGCAACTTTTCTCAAGCAAGGAGTTTGCATTGACGTGCTGAAGGGAAGGAGAAATCAAAAACAATATATGCCGGAAATTGTGGATCTTTTCCCGCGGATGCGCCACAAAGCCGCCGGGATTTGAAAAGCTTGGCCGTGCAAGGACCTCTTAATAACCCTCCCTAGCTCCAAACGATATTGTAGTATTCAAGTAGGTCATGGCGCAGATTCTTAATGATAACAGGCCCCACCGGTCCACGAGCCCTGTACTTTGCAACCCGTTAGCGCACGCCAGGTACCGCCTTGTGTAGTCCAGTTGGCATGCGCGAGGAATGTGTCTTCCGTTCTAGCCCACTTCCCCAGAACACACGCTATTTCTGCTTTTCGAAAGTCACATTTTATACGCGAATGCCGTACAATGACCCATTTATGACCATTTATAATAATGTGCTTCCCTATCTCACCTTCTAATCGATTTATGTTATTATCCTTTCGCAAGGTGATTACCTACTAGTACCTAAAAAGCTTCCCTCTCTACTTTTGCTAAGGTTCTTTCGGTGAATGAATTAAAAAACCAATGCCGCAGGTCTACAAGCATTCCCCAGCATAAGGCTTCGCCAGCTAGCCCGATCCGCCATTGAAGGATGTCTAGATGCAATACGAACACGGGTTGGGAATGTGAGATGTGTTTTAAATAGATTCCGCCATAATAAAAATTGTCGCTGGTTTTCAATAGATCTTCGCTGTTCCTTTTCAGGGAACTTTCCTCTGTTTTTGCAAGCAGGACCTTGGGCATTCTATTAAGGATTGCCCCCAGGGTTGCATAGGCACTGTCAGGCTTGGTTTGTTAGCACAGCCACCCGCGTAATAAGGGACGTGAATTGGTGTAATCATTTATAATAGCCTATGCCACATCATCGACCCTTTAAACCACCCACGTTATTCTTTAAAATTTTGCACTCACTGACAGTGGCTACATGTGGCGCATGACATGGCTTAAGATTGTTCGCCCATATATTCTTTCCATCACATCAGGAAAATTGGCGTTGGGTGGGGACTTCACATCTCTCAGATGTGCTAATTTATATTATTATTCGTTGTCCAAACAAGACTGATAGTTGAGCGCACGGAGTACCATTCCATGTTTTACCCAAATCCTCTCCATGATGCTAGTGAGACACTATACAGCCACACGTGGAGGAAAAAGGTATGTGATATCAATATCGAGAAGTTCCAGGGGTGAATATTAAGAAGACACTGAAGATTTGAATATAAGTGTCAAATACGTCAAGTCTACCTTTTATTTGGGGAAACCTTTTTGACTCTTATCACTATTGTGAAACTGAACTCCCCACAATGCACTGCAAAACGCCCAAGGATAACGTGTCGCTATATATGCCGAAGAAGCGAGACCAGCGCGGCGCAATAAGCCGCATTGTCTCAAAGTCGCGAAGAGATTTCGCTGGTGCAGGTCTCTTGCTTGATAATGCGAGAGTTCAGCACCCGAATGTTCCGTTTGTTGAGCAAACGAAAGCTTCTAAAGTGTCTTTGAGTGCTATCAATGGCATAATTAGAAGAGGAGACGGCCCTGAGTTGCTACCCTTCATAGATCGCAGTCGTGTGAACTTGAAGAATTGGCGGCATCAGAGTACTCTCAGCTTATTCGATCAATGTGAGTTGACCAAAATCAAGTGTCGCCGCAGATATTGGAGACGCAAAGCTTTCCAAGCTTCCTATTACACTATCCTCGCTGTGGCCTGCTATCTTCTCCTTGTGGGGTTTCCTTTATGGGAAGGGAGCCTGGTATGGCTCTACAGTACCACTCAGAAAAAATCATTAGTAACAGGAGGGTGGGCGATTTTCATTGGAATATCTACTTTGTCTGGCTACCCTATCTGGTTAGATATAGAAGACACAAAAACTGACAAACAAGCCTAGATTCTCTGCTGGTCCTCTACTCATAAAATTTGAAAGCCATAATACGCCAATCCACGTTGAAACAAAGGGCTCAAACTCCGCGGTGCATGAGACAGCTCTTCTTGTGCCTTGCCACAACTCAGAATCAGTGATAGGCAAAACCATCAAGGCGGCCTTGAGGGTCTTTCCCTCGTCTCATATCTTTGCCATTGCCAATGGAGACTATTTGGTCCCATCAGACAAGACAAAAGACATTTGTGATCAGCATGGCGTCAATTTCGTCTGGTGTCCCGTCGGGTCCAAAGCGGCTGCTCTCTTTGTAGGCTGCCATGCTGCCCGAAAGTTCCGATATGTGTTCCTCATTGATGATGATTGCCTCATCCCCCCCGATCTTCCAATAGTGGCCTCGAGGCTCACTGGGAGAGCCAAATGTATTGGGTACACGATAACCTCAGTCGATGCTTGTGGGTCAATTGGTTCTTACTGTCAACAGGCACAAGACCTAGAATACAAGCTTTCTGGATTACAAAGAACACTGGCAGGTCGGCTTGGTAGCTCCATGTTCCCCCACGGAGCTGTATCCTTATGGGACCGACGATTCCTCAAAAAAACGTTTAAACACCATCCGGGATTTTCTATCAGCGAAGACTGGTTCCAGGGAAACAGTTGCCGAGCTCTTGGGGGCAGTATAGAGATGTGCAGTGCGGTGTTCATTGCGACAAGCACTCCATCAGCTCTATTCAGATTACATCACCAACAACGAGGCGGCTTTGGGGAGACCACTGTTTTTCAACAAAGATTCTCAAGATGGAACTTCTTGTTTGCGATTGAATTATGGTCCAATGTCAAATACGTACTTCTGTCCTGGAAAATGGGATGGCGGGACCTGACCACCAAACTTTTCGTGACCAACCAGGTATGCTATCTCTCATGACCAAGGGTACATCGAAACTAATAGATACAATAATAGATATTCGAGACTTTCCTCAATCTCGCCATGCCATTCGTATTGCCTATTTCGTTCTGGTCTCAGCCTTGGCATTGTTGCGCACTTAGTGCGTTGACGATCATCTTGCATTTGATGATTGTGGTCATTTTCAATGCTTACCACCTAAGAGCAAAAGGCGCTATGATACAGTGGAGAGTGGTTTTTAGCTACTATGTGAGTCTACTCTGTTGAAATATACTAAGCCATATAAGAATTATGTGAGACGAGTCAGTTAATATCCGTCTACAGATTCCATTCAAGTTATTTCTCCTCCTGACGAATGCTGCCAGCTTCTACTGGGCCATCTTTAAATATGGCATATACTTTTCGCATCTCCATCCAAAGCTGCCTCAGAATCACAAGGCTGTCACTACTATCATGAAGCTTGAGCGGATGGAGGACTTGAAGCAGGGCATTGATTGCAGCGGTGGCTATTCTAGTCCATCAACGCAGAGGATTCCTTGTACAACCCGAGCTAGTGGGATGATGGATTCAAGCAACTATTGTTAGAATGTGATCTTACTATCCTATAGGCATCAAATCAATAGGGGATAATAGAACGGCAGTTCAGGCTTTGACCGGGGTGTATATTCAGTTTCTACACTTGAATGTATCAGGTTGCCAACCGAAGACATGCGCATATTATTACCGTTCATGTCTGGACCAATTTGATGCTGTGACTTTGTAGTGTTGTGGGATTTTCTATCGCGCCTAGGCTGCACAGGTCTGATACCATAGGAGAAGGATCAGGACCAGGAGCGAAAATGCCACCGCAAATGTTGGCCGTCTGGAAGTACTTGTTTTCTTATCTTTGGGCTGTATCCACCTATTTCCTGATCGCTGCGGCAACGGGACAAACCGCAGAAACACTGCATTCTCCAGAATGTCCATTGCTCTTTCGGTCGCATAAGATCCGGAATAAGGCACAAAGTACCTCAATAAGATCTTCCAAAAAATATTCTCCCGTGTTTGGAGCCTTACAACGATTTGCGAAGCCTTATATATCTCAGACATCCGTGCAAACTGCATCGCATTGAACTTGCATAAAATACCGTCGACCTGTCGGTTAGAGGGCCTGTGTGAATGTTGACACGATCCCAGTAACTGGACAAGAGCATTGGTAAGGGAGGCAGCGTCCTCTATGGAGCAATTCGCGCCTTGGGCAAGATTTGGCGTCATCTAATAAGTCAGAAATCGGGAAAGAAGTGGTCCAAAGCCTCGGAAATTCCAACATACCTTGTGCATGCTATCGCCGATGCAGACTATACGACCATAGTGCCATGTCTGAAATATGTTCTCCTCTAGTGAAGTCATGGAAAAAACCTCTCGGTTCTTCCATAGTTTTGCAAACCGAGTGTTATTCCACACATACATGTCTGTCAGTTGCTCACATCGTGAGGCAGCATCTGCAGAAGTGAAACGCGGTGCGTTGCCATATTGAAACGTCTTGTCCAATTTGAGCACTATAAACCAGGATATCCTTCCTTCCGATCCAGGGGCTACAATGAAAGATATTCCATTGTAGACGCTCAGATGCAGGTTGCCAATTTGAAGTCCCGGAATTGCGGTCGAGATACCGAAAATACAGGCATAGCTTACCGTCATGCCTGGGTCGACGTGGTTGTTTGGTCAGTCACAGTAAAAAAAGTCAGAAATTAATTATTTGACTATTCGACGCTCACCTGTCTTCTCGTCCCTAGTAATCACGCCAGGCTGCACCCGTTCAGCAACATCCCACATCAAGGTGCGAACTTGGCTGTGAACGCCGTCTGCGCCAACAAGGAGGTCACCCTGGTATGAGTGCCCACTCTGCGTATATACTATCACACCCTCACTTCCTTGGTGATCAACATTGACAACATTTCTGTTCACGTATATGTTTGATTTATCAGGGTAGAGATCATAAAGAAGGCGGAGGAGCAGTCGTCGCTGCAAGAATGCCATTGGGAACCCGAAGCTAGTGAATGCCATCCAATGAGCATAGATCCCTCTCTCATTAAGCAATTTGTGCTGACTTACGCTTCACGCATGGTCTTGGGATAAGGTGAGCTGAATTGAAAACCATCTGGGAATCGAACGTGGGCGACACGTGTTGGCTCTATCAGCGTCCCTAAGGTATCAAAAATCCCTATCTGCTGTAAAATCCGTCCTCCATTGGGCATGATTGCAACCGAGGCTCCTTCATTCGCAGCAATCTCGGAACGTTTCTCGAGGACTATGCTGTCAATTCCCGCTTTATGGAGACAATGTGCCAGTGAAAGGCCTGAAATTGAGCCTCCGACAATTATCACTTTGAATTTGGGACCGTCCATATCGTCGGAAAAGTTCCATAAGTAGCAAATTTCAACGATAACAATGATGAAGTGCACATGTGAGTTCATTCAAGAATCTTTCAGTCTTTTAAAGAGTACGTGAGAAATGTAAAGTTGATTAAAATGACCCACTCCTTGTCACTAGTCCTAAAATGTAACTCCTAGGATGTCACGCTGCGATCCATAGCTGGGCAGCCCCAAAAATCTTATCCTGTTCAGAACAGAATCCAACTGATGACCTCAAGTTGATACCGCTTTCGGCGTCATCGGTGATTCAAAACCTTGGAATTTCCCTCCACGTGCGCAATGTACTCTCTACATTACTTGTAAAGCGAGACGTCTTGTATTAGACTAGATGAAAGCGGTGTTTGTGTCTGAATCATGTATACATTTAATCCACTCGTGAGCGTGAAATCCCAGTCGACGTCCCGGCGCTCATTATCCCATTGCCAGTTGATTCTGCAGTTTTTTTATTTCGCAATGCAGTTTCATCAAAGCGAGCCTCCGATCGACGAATGGACCATAAGAGGATCCCATATGAGCCGTCCAATAGAAAAAACATCACTCCCCCCCACCATCCGAGCGGACTATGCCAAACCACATCTGTATATCCATACCGATACCGTAGAATCTCATGAGGTAATGCAAGAACAGTACCGATGAATCGACTGAACCTGTGAAAAAACCAATCAGTCTGAATACGAGAATTACAGCTGTCCACAGCTATGGACTTACCAGATGAATAAGGATGTTCCGCGCGTACTCCCTCGCACAATGAGCTGGCATACCCCACCAGCACTGAGAAGCAGCTGGCAGAACCAGGAGCTCCAGGCCGCCCCAGCGCTTTTTCCAACGTGGGCGACTAGGGTCAGATGTGCAGACATCCAAACCCCTATAGTGACGACAAATATCCAAGAGATGTTGCGCTCTACCAATGGCGCGTGCGACCACTCGTTTGGAGCAAATTTCATAGCCGCGTAAATAACAATCAAGTTGAGAGTCAACCAGCCCGCGAAGATACAAGGCCAAAGCGGTATGTCTGGAGGGAATATCACACCATAAACAAATTCGCAGGCGATGTTGCAACAGAGCGGCATCAGAGCCATACCGTAGGTGCGGTCTTGAAACGATTTGCGTATCGTTGCAATGTAATTGACTAGCCAGCCGACACACATTCCGATACTGAGGATTGTGAGGGACAACGGACTACCGCCCATCCCGTAATTATGATCAAGAGAGTCCGATGTAGACATACTGCGAAATTGGTAGAGAGCTTGCTCCGGAACTGGAGGTATCATTTATAATGCGATACTCAGCAAGGGCATCGGGGACACAACCTCCAGTTACAAGAAGATGACCACTATACCTTGCAATTCGGGGTCGGAACTGCACAAATTCATGTTGTATCGTCACACTCAAACCAGGTTTGGAGAAAGCCCCAAAGTCCCACCACTACCGGCAGTTTCATAGAGCCCAGAACGTTCAAAGACTATACTAGACTTCCTAGATGAAGAAATCCAGGCGACAAATCTCACATCGTCTATGTAACCCTGAAGCAAAGACTGACACCTTGATCCTTGTGGCCAATTAAAACAAATTGTGTTTAGTTTGGAGAAATATTTGGCCCAATAAGTTCTGATAGTTTCTGGAATCTCCTTTTTACTCATTCGGAATTTTCCGTCCTAGGATGCGCGCCGCAGAAGCTGCTGCGGAGGGAAGTCTCGTAGAATACCATGCATTCGTGACTTCTCATCAACATTAAATGACAGATACCGCACCTGGTGCTGTGACTTGAAACCTCCATCTATGAGTGAGGAAAGTTATTCAGTGGTCTTCCTAGCCACCAAGCTAGTGTCCCATATCAGTCTATTACAATAATTTGGATACTAGACGAGCAATGAACTCGGTCACCTCTTTAAGCACAAAAGTCGCAGTTTCATCATTAGTATTTACGAGGTGTCTTGGTCATGACTTGTTTGAACACTTGAATAGTCTTGAAGCTTGATCGTGCGTGTCTCTTGGCATTCAAAAACCACAATTTCCTGTCGATACTAGTCTGAACCTGAGCCAAGGGAGGGTAGCATACATATTATGCAACATCTTTTGGAATTTTAATTGGCATCTAAACGGAAACAGCGCACCATCGGAGTCAAATATGTCATGATTTAGGAATTGTGATATAGCCTGAGGTGACACATTCCGGTATGGGGACAAGGAGCCGGAACCCATCTTTGATATCACATTCCTCTGCTCCTCAGAGCTTGGCCTGGGAAATACAGGCCCCCACTAACTCAAGCCTGAAAGCAGAACATACTAAGGGTCATCAAGCTTGGGACGGAGTATGAGGTCCATGGCTTGCTTTAATCAACGTGTGAATATTACTTGGCTGATCTATATCCGTTGGAAGGGCAATTATCCAACCAAGTCTTTGACTTGAAAAACCGAGCTCCTGAAAATCTTTAAAGTCTGTCTCGAGTAAACACTCCTTCGTGAATTTCCAATTCTTTCTTAAGAAATGTTACAGACAAACCAGACCACGACACAAAGCACCACACTACTTGGAAGCCATGAGTGTGACAGCTTACCCGTCAGAGTGAATCATTCACTCTCTCTTGCAGCCCATTACAGCATGGAGCAAATGAAGCCGGACGGACATTGGTGTGGAGAAGTCAAGACAAATGCAACTACTACTGCAGAATATGTTCTTCTGTACCAGGCTCTAGGACGAGACCTTCTTAGCGACCGAGAAGCGATCATCTCCTGGCTGCTCTCTGTGCAAGCAGCAGATGGTTCTTGGAGCATCGCTCCGGAATATCCAGGGGACATCTCAACTACGGTGGAGGCTTACCTTGCTTTGAAGCTGCTGGGTTTCCCAGAGGAAAGCCGCCAGTTGAAAATGTGTCGCGATTTTGTCATCTCAGCTGGAGGGGTCGCCAAAGTTCGCATATTTACCCGCATCTACCTCGCCATGTTCGGCCTGTTTCCCTGGACCGCAGTACCAGAACTGCCCCCTGAGTTGATCCTCGTACCATCGAGGCTACCGATAAGCATTTACCAATGGTCTGCCTGGGCACGGGCAACGATTGTACCGCTTCTCGTCATATCTCATCATCGCCCTATCTATGCGCTGCCGAATGGGAGGTCTGAATCCAACGTATATCTTGACGAATTATGGTGCAACCCAGCCAGCAAGAACGTTCCATACACCACTGGCTTTTTGATGTCGTGGAAATGTGATGCCATCGCTTTTGCGTTCAAATTGGTTGACTTTTCTTTGCATCGCTTGAACGGCCTCAGAACTTTCAATCCTGTCCGCCAGTATTCTCTTCGAAGGTGCATTGATTGGATCCTCGACCACCAAGAGGAAGCGGGAGATATCGGTGATATAATGCCTTCGCTGCATGGTGCTATGTTCGCCCTTAATCTAGAAGGCTACGGGTTGGATTCAGACCCTATCCGTCGAGGACTGGAAGCCATTGAACGTTATTCGTGGCGCGACCGCCTAGGAAAACGGATCCAAACTACAGTCTCCGCCTTCTGGGATACTAGTTTGATGATCATTGGCCTTACTGATGCGGGAATACCACAGAATAATCCTATTCTATCAAGATCCGTGTCATGGGCTCGTGGTCGACAGATTCTCGACAGACATGGTGACTGGGCGCTATACAACCCCAACCTTGAGCCTGGAGGCTTCTGCTTTGGATACTTCAACACCTGGTACCCCGATGTGGACGACACATCGGCGGCCGTTGTGTCAATGATTAGACACGACACTCAATCCTTATGTTCGTCCCATGTCTTACGCGCATTGAAATGGCTTCTTGGAATGCAGAACAAAGACGGGGGCTGGGGAGCATTTGATCGAGACAATACAAATTTGTTTCTGAACAAGATACCTTTCAGCGACATGGATGCTCTATGTGATCCGTCTACTCCTGATGTTACCGGCCATGTCCTTGAGGCATTCGGGCTCTTCTTGTCAACCAGTCGGAAGCACAACATACAGGCCGGTGAAAGCCAGCTGATAGACCATCTAACAGCGGCTTCCCAAAGAGCGATTGATTACCTTTCTAGTATGCAGGAACCATCAGGTGCCTGGTATGGACGCTGGGGTTGCAATTATCTATACGGAACAAGTGCTTCTCTTTGTGCCCTTCAATACTTCATCGGTAATACCGAGAATAACGCCTGGTCTGGGGGGGACGACAGCATCCTTGACGATGTCAAGAATGCAACAACATGGCTGGAGGCCACTCAGAACCAGGATGGTGGCTGGGGTGAGACATTACACTCGTATGAAGATCCTCTTCGAGCCGGCTCGGGTCCATCAACCGCATCACAAACAGCTTGGGCGCTTATGGGTCTTCTCCCTTACTCATCGCCATCGAAAAGAACCATCTTAGAGGGGGTGGATTATCTGCTGAGAACACAGAAGGAGGCAAGTCCCCATGGGGCGACGTGGCAAGAGGATCATTTTACTGGGACTGGATTTCCGAGCCACTTTTATATGGGGTACTCGTTTTACCCACATTATTTTCCGTTGATGGCGCTCGGCAGGTTTGCATATGCACTAGGACTGCATCCGCTGAGATCATTTGAATCATCTCCACGTATTCATGTTTCTGAGGGCAAGTTGGGCGATCAGCGTCCCACGATCCACCACGCCTAGTCTGGAAACCTAGGGTATTGAATATGTTAATATTATTAATAATTATATTTATAAAAGACATAATTATCTTAATAATATTATTCAAATTATTAATAATACTTAAAGCTTTATCAAGTATTTTATTTAGAGTCAAAGGTTTTATTAATATTATTCAAATGTTAGAAGTTATATTTATTATAGAGAATCTAGATTTTATTAGATACATGATAATATGAATCCTAGATCTACCCTTAGGGGGTAGCTATAAGAGTAAGAGAACTTAAGTATATAAGAATAGTTATTACTACTTATATTTAGTTCTTTATGATTAATTTATATATTACTACTTAGAACCTACTAGTTTACCTATTAATTCCGTATAAGATAAACCCTAACTAGAAGAGGTATCCTTAGTCTCTAGTCTCTTCACTTAGATCCTAAGTATAGCTTAACTAGGCGACACCCTCTTAGACATAGTCCCTCCGAGTCTATTCTATAGAGACCCGAGCCTGTGTAAGGCCTAACGTTAACTGGTGACGGTATGGTTGCGAATCGACGACTCGAGGAACGAGTAATCACTAGGTAAGAAGAGCCCTAATAAGTGTTACTTACTGTGACCACAGAGCGTTGCGTAATAGCATTGAACTAACAGTTGTAGATAGCCTTTCGTGTACGGATTAAGTAATTATAACTAACTCCTCTATTTGCCAGGGAATCTATTTACCAGGGAAGAATGAAAACTCTTATCGTGACTGGGCGGCTTTTTCTAATATCTTTGAATAAAATGGTAAGATGCGCTTATTGAGATTGTCACATAAGATAGTCGCGTCCTCGCAATTTTCCATGAATGCAAGTTGTTCCTGGTATATGTACTTGATATTATTCTATAGCAGCATCTATCGGATAATTATATTAGCCAGATGATTGTATTTGGACAACTCTGTTTTTTTCCAGACAATCATCATATTTGAGGATGATCTCCTTGAAAAACTGTAAGTTTTGTATCTCTATATATGTTGCCAAGTATTTACCAGAATGCAGTAGCTCTGGGATTGAATAAGAAAATGACAATAAGTAATGGCACAGGTCAGATAGCAAGAGCCCTCGTAATGCATAAAATCTAGAGTGAAAAGATTGGAACTGGACTTTATGGAAACAAAATCCAAGGCAAAAAAACTTTCCTCAGCCTTCAATAGACAAATGACAGCATTTCATATCGTCTTTGCGAAGATGGTCCACGAGCACAAGTAGTAATTCTGTAGGGAGGATATTGATACAGGCAGGGTGACGTTCTAGGCTCTTCATTGTTGTTCATGTAGGGAAGTAGGCAGGAATGTACTATAAGGCTACGGCGCGAAGCGTACAAACGAGGTACAGGTGTTCCCAAACCCACAACCTAGTATTGGTTCTCGGTTTTATGTGTTTGAGGCTCGCAGTTTGTTTTTTATTATTTACTGGCTCTTTCCTTCGCACCTCGCATATTATCTGATACTGTTATTCATTTGCCATATCTTATTCGCCATCCACTCTGTTCTACTCATTATAGCGCAAGTCTTGTCGGTACTTCCATGGCTGGTATGGTTGTAAAATGATGATAGGCGCCAGTTGACAGACTCGAGGCCGCTGCAGACTACTGAATCGGTTTCTTTGTCGATCTGTGCGAATTCCCGTTCGTTTAACTACGAATTAAATCTCCAAATCGATTCTAAAAACTCCCGAACTGTTCTAGGCTTGAAGCCAGGGAATAAGTTCCCAATTCGCCCTTCTGTTGGTAGCTGGAAGCCTTTCCTGAGGTACATCTGATACCCGAATACGCTATAGTCTAGAAGTTCCTTTGGCTCAATGCCACTCCCCCTTGGAATCTTCAGTATAGGTATTGCGCCTTTGTCGATATCCTCACGCTTCAAATATACGACATCAAAATTTTGACCTAATAGGACATGCCGATTAGTATAAATTGTAAATCTTGTGGGAAAAGGTTACATACCGCGGACTTCCTCTGCTACCTTGAGGACTTCACTTAACGTAGTATCTTCACCGTTGCAGAAGCTAAACTCGGACCATTCTTCCGCTTCTAATAGCTTGGCAACCAAGGTTGCGGCGTCATAGCTATAAATCATGGTCAAAGGGCTATTGCCATCCCCGGGGAGGTGGGCTTCTCGATTGAGGACGTCGATGACAATGTTCATCGGAGTAATGTTTGATTGAGCATATGGCATCCCCAAGAAATCCATAAAAACGCCACACACAGGGCGAGTATAGGTTAAGCCGCTGCTCTTAAGAAGATCTGCGGCCTTCAGGAACCAGTCAACCCCGGGATCAATGTCCCTTCTCCTGCTAGAGCGTAAGCAGTGGCTTCAAAATGACTAGACAGGGCTGTCAAACTCTTCAGATGTAAAATATCCGAATTCGCTCGTCATGAATCTTTTTACCGTACTTGCGCGGTCGGCCGCTTGAATCAAATTGAGCTGCGCTTCGGAGCAGTCTTCTCCCAACATTCCAATCGCACAGATCACCGTAAGTACTTCGTTACGCTCTAGATGTTGCACTAGTGATGGGCCGTCATCGTAGTCAACCTGCACATATTGCACATTGTCGAATGGGGACTCGAAGTGTTCCTTTCTAAGCTGTCAATGGATGGTCTCTTACATTTAGTATGGAGCGTACCCGCCGTGTCAGAGCAATCACGCGAAGTTTGTTCTCTTTCCGGATTTGTTCCACCAGAGTCCTCCCCACGGCCCCAGTAGCGCCGGCTACTGCAACTGTTGCGATCATGGTGGGATGCTGAAAGAGGCTGACAAGCTTCACGTTCGCCTGCTGCGGAGCTCCCGGATTTGTCGGCATATTGATCATGTAATATAGAATAGTCATGCGATACTTACTCAGCACACTCACATAGTTATGCTGAGAGATAGGAGAGAAGACAGTCAGTTACACATTCGGGATACCCCAATGATCAATGATCTACCGCCCTGATTACGTGTCCCAAAAATTACCTCTGCGGTGAGGGAATTTCACCTGCAAAGAAACTGCACCCACGAAGAAATATGTAGCTTTGATAGCACATATAGCCTGGGCAGTCGATTGTAAGCCACTACTCACTAGACTGAGTACAAATATATTTCTGGGCTAGTAGTCACTTCTACCCCAGCGAGGGGTTGGGGGTAAGTGATATCATCCACTAATCCATCTACCTACTATATGCTAACTTTCTAAGCCAGAATGGCGGTGCGCGCATGACGAATGGAATGTCACGAGGTTTTGATAGCGAAGCCAGGACGTAAAGACATGGATAGCTGTAGACGCGGGCAACACAAAGCTTGAAGACCAGAGTCGCGAATTACCAATGATCAGAATTTGTTTGATTCGCGCTCCTCGTAGACGCCAACGAGTTTGGGACACTCACTGTGCTGTCAACTGAAATGGGGGACAGGGGATGCGCCTTAACAGTTCGTGACCAAAATTCCTTTTCGTCCAGCTTATAGAGGCATTCATGAGTCCTCGGATCCACTTTCCGCGGTGAGTCGCAATATTCCTTGGCTGTGCGGCGCACGCGGGGGCGGCCCCGCTTAATGTGGGCAGTGATGTGAATGTACACGGTACACCTGGATTCCCTTCCGCCTCTGGATATCATCCTCCAGCGACCAGGCTCTTCTAGCAGTGATAGTGATCCAAAATCTATCTGGACCCTCTCGTATTTCACAAAATCGCACTATTGGATCCAAAAAGATCTATCTTTAATCACATCTTCACTGATAAAAAGGGGGATGAAGATAACATATGATATGTCTATAAAGATAGTCCACCACAATATTTTTTCTGGGATCGCTGTAGCCAATTGGAGGCTGTTCATAAGAACAAGGTAAGAACAAGGCCAGAAAATGCGAGATAAAAAATATATTTAATGCCCAGAAACGCATCTTTGGGGTCCGAGAAGGAGGTGAAGATGATGTGGTTGTTGAGGATGAAGAATAAGATAGAAGCGAATATAGATCTTTACCAGAATGTTACAGTACTAGTGGGGCAGGCTCTACCACGATGCCAAAAGACAAAAATGTTGAATCTTGAGAGATTCAACATGCCTGCCACTACATTTAGATGGTATCCTGCAACACAGAGGTCCGTCAAAAGTGGCTATTGAGCCCGCTTTGCCTACTCTGCCCTTGGTTGGCAGCGGGTGACATATTCTGGCTGTGGGAAAAAAGGTAATACTTATGCTAATGCCCTATGTGTGCTGAACAGCTAAGTTTATGTTATTTCTGGGGTTTTAATACCTGCTAAAATTTAATGATTTCTCTAATCCTGGTGGGGTCGCTCGGGCAGTCGTGGTGCACGTTTATGAAGGAGTAGGAAATTACATAACGAACTTTCTCATCAACCTCAGATGGTGTATTACTCAGCTGGGGACTTTCAATAACTAACTACCTGAGCAGCAAAGGACAGACGGTTAAATAATTGGGGACGGACCCCATTGGTCGGTAGATTACGCCCGATTCACGTGATTAGAATGTTCCGCAAAGTTTACAAATTTTAATGCTACTTCCTATATTCAAGGGTTTGATCATGGGTTTCTTGATATAAGTTTATAAATCTAGAGAAATGAAAGAACCAAGGTGGCCTTGGGTGTACATGGATATCATTTGCGGGACAGCTACATATCGGTCATTTCTATGGTTCAACAATTGTATATGACGTAGGTTCGTCATGATTTCCATATGGATTTACTGACGTCACCAAGAGGCAATCAGCGAACAAAATGCGCAGAGACACATGCAGACATATAATTCCGCTCGGTAAACGAGCGAATTTCTTCCAGTCCTGATTAAATTTGACGACCAGGCACCACACTCCACTATGTCTGATCAGTCGAGCAACAGCGGACCTCGTCAGTCCAAGCTTGATAGTGAATTTGACCCTCGAAACGAAAACCGCGGAGGCACAGGTAGGTTTTTGCCTGCTTCAGTTGGTGTATACACTCACCAGACCTAAATAAATCCTCACAGATAACCAAAATGGTCCAGACGTCCATTTAGGATATGTACCCAAGTATGGCAAAGGAGGTCTCTACAAGCACGGAATTACCGACAGACTGGACCCCAAAGTATATTCAGACCAGGATCATAGTCATCGCGAGAAAGTTGCTGCCAGCACCCCCTTCATGCCCCAGGCTGGAAAACCCGCAGGAACTCACAAAAATATGGCGGATAATCCCGACCAGAGTTTTGAAGTATATCCGAATAATTCTCGCCACGAGAACGTCGCTGCGAGCACCCCTTTTATGCCCCAGGCCGGAAAGCCCACTGGCAATTGATCGCTCCGATGTAGGGAGCAGACTGAATTGTGGCATCAGCCAACATCATCTCTCTATCATCATTGCTAAGACTTCTTTCAGATGGACCGATTCTCTGCAGCAATATAAGTTCTTGTTTCGTTGTGTTTTTTCTCGGCATGCAGTTTGTCCATATTTGATTAAATCAGAATGTGTCGTCATTACATTAATACAGTGGAAGCTCTATATGACCTTGTAGGACCAAATCCATCTTTCTTTATGGGACAGTGGAGATGTTTCGACTACGCTTGGTCAGTGTTGACCGCACGTTTCGTGCGCCAATGGAGCTGGCCAGACCTATGGATCTTGCAAATCATGCTGCATGCCCATACATCACTTGGCTTGACACATTGGTATGTATACCCTTGACGTATAGAACCTCAGCGACTGAAAAACACTGTCTGGAGGATAATTGGAATTACTGTGAGATCCAGACATACTTCTCCGTACGCTTAGAGGTGACCTAAGAGTGAGATGCACAGGATTGACCAGCCTTAAGTCTGAACTGAGGAGGTAATTATTTACGACGGGAGGATGTGAGACCTCGCGAACTGCATCGTCCTCCGGAGCCACCCACATTCAATGCTCCTCCAGCTGTGAGCCGTTCTTGCTCTAGACTCAAATACCCATATCCAATAGCCCCTTCCCCTATGACTATGATCGCACACAAGATCTGCATATGGGAGCGGTTGATTTGCTCAAAAGACAGATTTCTTTGGCTTTCGCTTCTTGATGCTAAAGGCGCGCAAATTTCCATCACTAAAATAAGGCACGTCATTACAGAGACATGCTTATTGTAAAGGATAGCATTTCAACTACCGAGGTCATCGTTAGTTAAGAAAACGTGACCATCCACTTCTCTTTCGTTGAAGTCTAGGCACCTGGTTTTTGTAGGCTTCGATGTGCTGAAATCTCCTGGCTGCGAAATATTTCCCGATTATTGACTTTGGCGTCGACATATCTAAACATTATCAGCAGCAATTCCTGCGGAGTGGATTTAGGCGAAGAGATTGGCTCAATTACTTATTATACCTTTTCATAAAGTCATATGGTGCTGGTGTTGCTGTATCAAAAGATCTGAGTGACTTTCCCATGCTGCTTTGTAAACGACATCTGCTCTGATCGGGTGCTTACTGATGAGATCCTCTCGGCTTCGGCCGAGTAAATGATCAATAAAAAACTACTTCGTATTTTAGAGGCAGTGGCCAGCCTTCTTTGTGTTTGAATTGAGAGTTCTGCTCTCGACACGCATTCTTATGGCGTTCACTGACCCCACTCGGAGATTTATTGTTTACATCCTCAACGATTGGCCGCTTTTGGATATCCTGTTTCTCTCTTACGATTTCCCTTTTGTATGATGATGGTGGTTTGGCAAAGATTGATCTGGCAACCGAACATTCTCGAAAGGATGATGTAGATGAGGATATTGAGAGCTCTCTTGCATGGTCTCTTCGGCTAAGCAAAATATGGGTCATTGCATGGGGTTCTGTTCTCGTGTCCTAGGGCTATTATAGATGCCTGAGAGTATCAGTATCTCTCAACTTGATTCATTCAGACGAACGGTTGTGATGTGAAGTTGGGGAAGAAAGCTCACCAAAGTATGTTTCATGGCGTCACCATAGATCACACCTTGTGTTAATTGGCAGTAGTGTACCAAAAGCTTTAATAGACTGAGCGAAACAAAATCGTTTTGTTCTTCTTACGAGTGGCTACTTTTGTTCGAAAAATTTTGCGATTGATATTTTTGCAATTCATTGGATTTGGAATATGCTGTTCGTCGCTTGGGGCCAGGATTATGTGAAGGAAATCTGTGAGTAAAATACTTCCATCGTGTTTGAGTTGCTTCGATGGGTTTAATTGTTACTTAAGAAGCAAGGAGTGAGGCTATTTGCAACGGGAACAGAAAATTGGACCTCAAGTCAACTTAAATCTTCGTATAGAGAAGCAGTGTTCAGGACTTGTTTCTAGGGATCTACACCACCCTCACACACAATCTTCCTATTGCTAATGCTACGTCACTATCATGTCTATTGGGCGGATCGTTGAGAGTGAACGGTATTTATATTTGGCTTAAATTCTTGAACCTGTAGGCGACCCCGCCGTCCCCGGTTTTTGAAAGGCGGTGGCTAGCGTCGATTCTATTCTGGGGAAAGTTTTCACGCCCAATGGTGTGACTGACCAGGCTTCCTCCACTGGAATTATTAATTAGCATAATTGGCAAGCGACCCGCCAAGATACAAAGCCGCCCGCTCCGATATGTAATGAACATACGATTAATCACAACTTCATATCTCAATTACCACAGAAGAGATTTCGTCAGCAATTCAGGTTTAGGGATCTAGACAGAATGCTAAGCAGCTAGTGCATTCTTGAAAACTTTATATGACTTGCAACGTAGAGACGAATGTTCAGTGTTTCAATGCATGAAACATTTTATGAAAATATTTTCCAACATTATAATGGATAGATCAAAATTCATACGCATTATCATTTGTCCCGAACACAATATATACCGCAGTTTCGCAGCTGACACAATCATTTCTTGACCACGTGTGTCTTGTAAGTTCTCGCGCGATGACTCTTTTCTTAACGATATGTATGGGGGATTTGCCCGACCTCGAAAAGGATGAGGGGTGTCCACTTCCAGTGAAACAGATTCCAAGACAAAAGACAAACCAGTACGGGTCCGTGTATGTGTTTTCCAGGATGGAGTTCCGGTAGCTGAGAAATTGTGTGGGTTGGTTGGAATCAGTTGTGCAAGTCTTCTATGTAGCGCTCCTTTTCTATCCTATCAAGTTTTTGTAAAAATGGTTGGGAACGCATTTAAAATATCTCAAAGTGCCTTTTGTGATTCAGGAGCATTATTCAAAGTCACTTTTCAAGTCTTTTCACGCGTATATGTTTAATGTACGCCTCATCTACACTAGGGAGAGACCTCGAGAAGCGATTGAATCTTCAAGGATTGTTTGTATCCAGCACAATTAATTTCATAAAGTAACATACATCATCTGGGATCGTATACACAAATTATTTACTATCCGTATCTTCAGCCAATTAGACACCATCTGACTACTGCAGGTACAGCACTAAGCAACCTTAAACAGCATCGGCAAAGGTGTGGGGGTTAGTCAAGGTGGCAGGGGAGGAACGAATGCTAGGACCAATCAAGTGGTCGAAAGCAGGAGACTGAGCAACACGGGGAGTGAAATCCTCGATATCCCACAGGTATCCGAGGGTCTTGAGGACGGAGGTAGCGCTGTAAGACTCAGACTTGCCAGTAACGGGGTTGGTACCGTTGTTCTCGACGTAGCCCTTGGGAGCGTAGGGGGAGATCAACCAAGTGGGCATACGTCCACCCAGACGGTCGAAGTTGAGGGTGTAGTTCTGGCCGTTGGAGGCGGTCTCGGTGTAGGTCTTGTTGTCGGGGCGGACGGCAAGGGGGGGAGCGACGTGGTCGAAGAATCCACCCGTCTCGTCGAAGGTGAGCACAATGAGGGTCTTGTCCCACTGGGGACCGGTGCGGACGGCATCGTACACCTGCTTCACGAGGACCTGGCCGAACGAAACGTTGCCGGAGGGGTGCATGGAGTTGGTGTTGGCGTCACAGCAGGAGGGGTTGATGTAGGAGAGCTGGGGGAGCAGACCCAGGTAAGCGTCCTGGTAGAAGTTCTCCAGGGGAACGACGTTGGACTCGGCGTTCTGGGCGGTCCAGTTGTAGAAGAGGGCATCGGGCAGGAAGTCGCCGTTGGTGCCGTCGTAGTTGTGCCACGAGATACCCTTCTTAGTGGCCTCCTCGAAGATACCGTTGATCTCGATTGCGGAGGTCAAGAAGCTGTCGTCGTTCTCACCGTGGCCGTCGGAGGTACCGGAAAGGGCACACAGACGGTTGGGGTTGGTGGGCTAAAGAAGACGGTTAGTATATTTGTGGAGGGTTATCTCGGTTTTTGTTTTCGGGTTTCAACTTACACCGGGCACGCAAGAGTGCCAGTAGTTGAAGGTGGTGAACTCATCAACCAAGTCCAGGAGGGTGGGGACCTCGTCCTCGGAGTAGTATCCGAGAACCTCGTCAGTGGCGCGCTGGGCAGAGATGGCAGGGTAAACAGCCATCTGGCGCTCGACGAATCCCTTGAGGTCGGGCTTCAAGGTACCATTGGCAATGGCCTCGTTGTCCGGGGTGAAAGTGCCGTACATCTCAAAGTTGACACCGGTCACGGAGTGATCGGGATCGTGGAGAACGGAGTCGTAATCCTTGTACTGACTGTACCACTTCTTGCTGTTGGTCTCGTTGACCAGCTGGGGGTTGTAGAAGGGACCGCTGTTGACGACGTTGTCCAGGCCATCCTTGTGGATACCACCGAGGATGTTGTCGAAAGCGCGGTTCTCCAGCAGGATCCAAACAACGTTCTCAATCTTGTCCTTGAGGTTGGCAATGGACTCCTTGGAGCCCGACTTGTATCCCCAGGGCTCCTGAGCGCTGCTGCTCTTGGCGACAGCACCGAGGGCGGCACCCGAAAGGCCGAGGAGAGGGATGACAGTAGTTGCCTTCATGATTGAACAGGGACCTGCAAGGTAGAAGAAGGGGACTTGAGCTGATGAACGAAAATCATTTCCTCAGGACGAACGGCACGATTGGATTTTATACCTGTGGCCGGCAGGAATGCCGTAGAGCATCAGACGCGTCTAGCTCGGTCATCCTCCAAGATGTGGTTAGTACGCTCATTTTACCCAAGGCAAATGGTGGATGCCAATGCTCTTCACATGTCCCAGTGATCGATCATCATAGGTCGCGGAGATTTAGCAAGGCGCCCCGCCAGAAAAACTGGGCAATTGGTGGGTCATGTTGGCTCGCTTATGATATCCGCGGCCTGGATATTATGATTGCTGAGTGGTAATTATCCTTGCGCAGATTCGTGGGTTGAAGATGGCGGAGCTTAGCATTCTTGTCCCTGGGGGATTGTGGATGGATAGTGGATCCCACGGATATCCTCCCGCCCCATGAACCAATCATGTCAGTCCTATTTGCTCGGCACGGACTTGAGCCGAAGCTACCATTGGCCAATCATTGTTCTTCTTGCGCCCATGCTTTCCCCCCACGTGCTGGACTATAATCTATGTTGCTGATTATTTCCTGATTCAATTCCACCCAAGCCATAGCGGAGATAACCGATGCACGTTGTGTTCTTAGATGCATTCCAAAAACTTCCAGATCGTGGGTTCTAGCTTGTACAAGGATGTAATCAACAAAGGACAGTTGATGAAGAGGTAGCCGGTAAACCCAATCTTGTTTGTTTATCTACTACCTTGTTCTGCCCTTCTTTAGCAATCCCCCTGCAGACGGAACGTGGGACTAATCATAAGCTTGTCAGCCTATCAAAAGAGATGCCGAAAAGTGGGGGCGATCATATCATTGTGAAAGAAGCATACAGAAGCACCCTCGATTAAGCATTGGCGTGAGAACATTCATCCATGTCGGTCCGGACCGACCGAGCGTTTTCCCTAAAAGTGAGCGGCACATACTGGCAACTGGGCTGAGCAGCACAATGCAAAATGACAGGTCACGGGTACAGATTCATCATCACGTGCAGATATGCTCGAACACCCACACTGAGGGAAGGAGCAGCACAGGAGTATGCATAATTCTCGGACATTAATAGTGCCATGACTAGTAGCGATGGTCTCCAGTCACCTGCATACCTGCAGCTAAATTAGTGTTCCCAATACGTAGTAGTACTAGCAATATACTATGGAACACTAGCTGCAAATCCTAGGGGGGGAGTTCATGATAGCCTCATAGGGCTGAAAGCATTCGCCCAGACTGTGTTATTACCTGGGTATTTGACTGAATAAATACTTTTGTTCAAGAACTCTGATGAGACCTCGGTCCGAGAAAGGCACCGGGGCATGTGCAGAGTCAAGTTGGCTTGAAAGCTAAAGCCCCGTAATACACTTTGTAGCTGCATTCGGGCACCAATAACGGTAAGCTCGTGTCAAGTCTGCTTCTGCCTGGCCAAAAGAAATTATTACGGCATACGAGTCTAATGATACATGTCACGTCCAATGTCGGGTATGCCGGACAATATGGTAATACTGACGGGCTACACTAGGCAGCAACCAAAAACGTTACCAAACAATTCAGAATCGTCTCACTGTGTACCACTTCAGGTTAGTCTAAGGCCAGCAATGTGGTATCAAGTCAGACGACAAGGCTGCCACATATCGGTGCATATAACCAGTCAAAGCAAGAGGTTCTCCATAATTTAAACGCTTGGAGTTCGGAGAATCTTGAAACTGAGAAGAAAAGACCCTGAAAATGCATAAGCTTGCCAAGCGACCCACTTTAATGCTTGGTTTGAACGTTATTTTGCAACCTCAAGTACCAATGCCGTCATTCCTTTTGGCATCTCAGGCACCAGCATTTCTGGTTGGTTTGTCTCTCTTCACTGTCATTTTCCTATTTCAGTAAACACTCTGTCTTCCGTTCAGATTTGACGTATTTTACCAATCTTTCTTACCTTACCGTACCTCCATCTCTACGCCACATTTTCTTTCTTCTCCTTCCATACTCTTTCTAAATGAGGTATATTTGGATCTGACTGCTTGGTTTCCTTGGTTCAGCCCCACCCCAACCCTGTCTTTAATGTAGATCGTAACTTCTACCAATGAGTGGTTTGTTTCTTCATATCGCCGAAACCCGCATGGGGCTCATCTTCACCGTGTCAGCCACCGGATCTATATTGGGCTCCGTTGGCATGCAGCGTAGAGAAGAAAATAGAACACTAAAAAAAGAAAAATCAAGAGGCCAATTGAATGATCTATTGTCGCGATAGGGAATAAAAAAAGAAGCACCCAGCATAAACTCCATGGAACTTCGGTGATTGGATTTGGGTCTAGACCTGGAACCTTCATAAGTACCGTAGGACATAACAAACGTAGAAGTAGAAGGCTCGAGGAGGTGTCATGTCGTGTAAACCCTGCGCTTGCCTTTTTTCTGTGCGCTTTACTTTTTTTCTCCCTGGTCAACCACATTCAATCCTCACTTTTCTTCCTTTGTCAAGAAACTTTCTTCGATCTTAGAATCTCGGTCCACTCCTTCTCCTCGTTTATCATCTCTAATTCCATTTTTCATTGCTATGTCCCTCTCATCCTCGTTCCCCGACGGGCCTGTACCAGTACCACCCATTACTATCACCACGTCGAGTTGGCAGCCCTCCAACGTCACCACCGTTCCGGATTCCAAACTACTCACCCCAGTATCCTCACTCCAAGAGAAGAAGAAACGGACTCGACGCGCTCCCAAGCCCAAGCAACTGAAGCAAGCCAAGCAGGCCAAGCAAACCGCTCTGCTGACCGAGTTAGGCGATGCATTGGTTGATCAGCTCTACATTCCCAGCCTCAATGATCGTTTAGAGGCTACCAATGTATTGGTTAATCATCTCCGCACAAGTCTCAGCACAGCACCTATTTCTGATGGTAGCTCCATCACCAGCAGCAGTCGCACATTGACTACAGTCGAATCCCACGTTCAGAATTCTCCTCTCAGGAACCCAAGCATTTCGTATGGCGGCGATACGGCAGGTGCCTCACTTTCTCTCTCTTCCACCGCGGTCGCATGCCCGGAACAAAATACCGAATCGATCAACGCGAACCAAAACCGAAAAGAGGGCGATGTCTTCAGCTTAGATGATTTCTCCACAATGACCGCAATCCAGCGTCTGACAGAACAATATGGTCGCGTGGCACACATGGGAATATTGGACCACAGCTACCGGTTTTTCGTGAACAAAGCACGGACAGCAGCACTATCATTTAAGGTTCAAAACCGGGTGGTGATCGTAGGTGGAGACCCTCTTTGCGACCCAGACCCCATCGCCATCAGGGAATTGTTGGACGAATTTGCCGAATACAGGAAACGCCATCATTGGGGCATTGCTTTCATGGGAGCAAGCGAATCCTTTGTGAGAGATTACGTCGAAGCTCAACCCGCAAAATGGACAAGCATCCGCTTCGGCACCGAGCGCGTGCTAAACCCCCAGACAAACGAGGTTCTTCTCGAGCGAAGCGGGAAGCGCATCGCAGTCCAAAACCGCCAGTTACTCAACCCGCAAAAAGGAGGGGTAACCCTAGGTCTCTATGTGCCAGCCATGCACGGGACAGACACCCAGCTCCAATCAGAGCTAGTCGCCATTTATGACGCTTGGCGCGCCGAGCGCAACCACTCAACAGGGCCTCAAGCATTCATCACAGTATACGACCCATTTGCACTTCCGAACCTGATGACATTCGTACACAGCCGCGGCTCAGACGGCCAGATCAACGGCTTCGCCGCTCTGCGCCGTCTGGGCTGCAACGGGTACCATATCGACCCCTGCATCGCTGCACCGGGCAGTCCAAAGGGAATAACCGACCTTCTAATCGTCGCGGCCATGGCCCTGCTCAATCGCGCCGACATCTCATACCTTGGTTTCGGCTTCGAGCCTTCCCGCACCCTGCTGCCGGACGACGTCCGCGGCATGCGCAGCCCAATAGCTAACATCACGCGTGACCTGTACGGCCACACCTTCACGCGATTGCCCATCCACGGCAAGAAGGCGTATCACGATAAATTCCGGCCCGATGCCGCGCAGGACTCGCCGCTATACCTTGTTTTTCCGGACGGAATGCCCGGCCCCAGACACTTGCTGGCTATGATGCACATGGCTAATATCAGCTTGCGGAAAATGCTATGGACTGACCTGCGCAGTTTGCTGCGCGAGCGCAAGTCGAAGAACTCGAAATCACCGGCCCCGTCCGAGGATTCAACGGCTGCTGTAGATGAGAAGGAGGGCCCCACCTCTGTCGTTACGGTTCTTAAGTTCGGTTCGTCCCTATGATGGGTCCTATGGTACGCTTTTATCTGCCAATAGTATTGCTGGAAGTCTTCCGGGCGGGCCGCCGGGGCCATCAAGCCCGCTATTGCTGTATCATAATAGTTGAAAGTTTTATCGTTGTATCATAGCGCAGGTCGTTTTTTCTTTTTCTTTTTCTTTTTGTTATGAAGGGACTCCTTGTAAGCAAGGTCTTTAATATATCGGACCTCACGATCGTCGCAGTCGCAGCTCTTGTCTTTTCATTCAGGTCACACTTTCCACAGCCGACTAATTCTACTCGCAAGATGTCTCTTATGTCGAAGTTCGTTAATCCACAGCACAGCCATAGCAACCATGTCTTGCTTTGCTGTTCCGTGCTACACTATCTCCAGTCCCACATGCTCTATCTACTATATATGGAAGACTTTGACGAAACAATTTCAAGTGTTATGAAATCCATTCTCAAATGTAATGTGCAATGTTCATATGCAGGAGTTCGGACTCCAAACTCCAAAGTAAAGACGGTGCGCTCGAAATCATGATAGTACACAGATTTGACGTTGTTTTGTCCATATTGGAACCAAGATTATCCGCAAGGTGGTGAGAGTGAAAAAGAGACATTATGACATCCGACCGAAAAGGAAATCTTTAACGATTGGCGAGCTCGAGAACTCCGGATTCAAGAGCACACAGCTGCAATGAGACGATCAGTTCAGTTAGCTCAGTCTCGGTATCAAAAAAGGGAGTCGCTCTTCAGGCATACTACTCACTTGAGAAAATATTCAAGACCAACGCGCCGCTGTTCAAGGAACTTCGGCCGGAATTTATCTATATCACCATGCACATTAGCCACGCGTCCCGTCGTCCAGCCCATAAATCCAATTCAAGCGACAACAACATACAGAATACACTCTTCGGCGGCAGCGCAGGAAGCGCATTCTTCGCATGCGGGAAAGAAGACACGAGGCGGTTGCGCAGATCGTCAAACTCGGAGTACCTATCAAAACCAACCAGTGAGCGTCAGCAACGATCGCCTAGCGCAAGCAACGCAATCAAAAAGAACAAAACACACCGCATACGAACAACCATCGGCCCTCCCTGGTCCAAACCAACAAAATTAGCACAAAAGCCCAGTATGTTCCTTGCTTCGCGCTCCACGCTCCAAATACAACTCACATCCAGCGTCTGAATCCTACAATTCCACACCACGTATGCGCCCACGCCCGTCTTCCCCTGCACAACAACATGGTCCTCGATCAAGACGCTCTGCGCCCACAACCCACGACTGGTCTCGCACTCCGGATCAGCCGTGTGGTCTTCCAGCGTGATCAGCGCGGAGCGCGCAAGAGAGCTCTGCGAGGCGCGGGACGCATTACGCTCGTGCCGCTGCCAGTATGGCGGGACGACGGCCGAGAGGGGGCGCGATGAGGGGGTTTGTTTGGGGGAGAGGGGCGGCGAGGGCGAGGGGGAGGGCGCGGGGATATCTGTGGCGAGGATGGGGGTGGGATCGGGATCTGTGTGGGGGAGGGGGGACTGCGCCGGACCGGCCTCCTCAGGAGCTGACTCCATCCATTAGATGGTGGTGTGGTTGTGTTGGTGGGTTGTGCTGCTGCATTGTGGTTAGCTTGGTGTTGTTCAATGTTGGTTGTTTTGCTCTGTTGGCGGTTTGTGGAGATGTAGGTGTGGAGGTTGATGTGATAGATGCAGTGGTCGGACCGCCCTTTCCTTTCCCCCCCTACCCCCCATGCGGGGAGAGTTGATACATGGAAAACGGGGGTAGCTGCCAGGGCGGATCCGGGGGATAAGGGGTGAGAATAGGGGGAGCTGGATCACTGCGCTGTCGCGGTGTGGGTAAGGGACTTTTGTGAGAGACTTACCTTGAACGGACCGAGTCCAAGCAAGAGTTATTTAGCGGGTGGAAAGTTTAATGAGGTTCCGGATTGTCTGCTGTTGCTTGTCTTGCGGGGAGGTTATGTAAGCGGGGTTTAGCCCGGATTGGGTTGGTGAAGAATGTCCATGGATTGTTTACAATATTTGAACATGAGTTTTGCATATAGGACTTCGTATTGATGCCTATGTTTCTACAGTATAGTGCTCTGCTTCTTGCAATATCTTAATTACTTCTAAATTCATGCATCGATCTTACTCAAGGGTTACCTGTCAGGGATAAACTAATAAACAGGATTATTGCGCTAATCCTGACCAGGTAAGGCGTTGGACGATCATCTGGACTCCTCGACTGAGACACCATCCCATTTTCGTGTTCATTTTCGCGATTGTTGCAGTGAGACCTGAGGCAGCCCCAATGAAAATGCCCAGGTGATAAGTATGGTACTCAGTTTTAGTCCGGGGGTACTTTTTCCTCAACATCAATTGAAGGGACGGCGGGGAATAATCCTATGTCAGTGATATATACATGTGAGCGGGTAGCTGAGGATGGAGGCTCATCAATTTTCAAAAATATGTGTCTTTGCCCCCAGGTACTCATAGTTTCTCAGAGCTGTTTTAAAAACGACCTCGAGACTGATTGGCAACTATAAAAGCATTTCGGGTTATTACAGATGCATCTTTCAATCTCGGCTATAGAAAGTAGATCTCCCCATTAGTGACGATCCCATGCGGCTGACAGGAAAATGCAGTATCACCTTCTACAGTCTAGGAAGGCAGATACCGGGTGCTTTGGGCCCTAGATTGGGTACTTGGATTCCTGGAGATCCAATACAGATTTCATCAAACGAGGGCGTGTGATCCGACAGGGTTCCAAGGTTGTGGTTTTCAATGTTACTTTGACTCCTTCAAGGGTTTATTCTATTTACCAGTGTCCAGGTGGCTTTGTTGTTTCCCAGCCATTCATTTCGATACCTTGAAAGGGTACAAACATTCAACTTGAAGCTACAATATATGACATACTTCATCCCCCAATGTCACTTATTCAATTTATTACCTTGAAGCTCAAGAGTTCAACATAGCCATCCCAACTTTGCATTCATCAAACGTGAGTTCTAGAACGTCGATGGGGCAAACGGACTCTTCCCCCTTCATTCCATCCACCCCAAGGCTATTTTTACCTTCTGGGGTGCAAATTCCCGACGTTCTTTGCTAAATCCTGCGTTGAAATCAGTTCCCAACTTCCTCCATATCCTTCCAACCTGAATATTCCGCCGACGCTATCCTTATCGCACCAATATGTTGTCAACTCTTGCCGTTCTGCTAGCCTCGGCCGCCACCATGGTTAGCGGCCAGTACACACCCACGATCGACCCAAACTCAGTGCCCCTACCCGAGCGTGGTAAGTATCAGCATCAAACAGACAATCACCCGAAACGCTCCAACTCTAACACCAGACAACCATGTCGCAGAAAACTGGTGCAATTCCCAAATATACTCCTGCCCAATCCTCTGTTTACAAGTGGCCAATTCGACCGGAGCCCTGGTCAACAACTGCTCGCCGGTGAGTCCAGCATACCAGATCAAACGCTAAACAAGTGATTCTCAAGTACTATCCAAGATGAATCTTCTGACTGTTTCTTGATATAGAAAACCCTCGAATACGAATGCGAATGCAGCAACGGTGTCTCCCCCAACGCTACCGAGTTCTCACAGACAATGTCATACTATATTTGCACCGAAGCCAACAACCAGTGTGTTGCAAAGTGTGCTGATGCTATCTGCCAGGAGGATTGTCGCTCTGATCACCCCTGTGGTGCTCAGAACCCCATCCGCGTGAACGTTACTACTACTGCTACGGCTACGGCTACAGCTAAGCCTTCTGCGAAGGCTGCTACGACTAATACCACGTCGACTGCTACAAGTACCTCCACAGCAACGGGCGGTGCGCCCAGGTTGCTAGCTGTGGATATGGGAAATGTTTATGGGCTTTGCCTGCTCGTTGGTAGCATTGTTGCGGGATTTGCTGCCCTGGTCTAAATATTGACCGGCCACATCCCGATTGAGAGATGATTGACAGGAGTTCTTGCGCTTCTTCCCTTAATCCAGTTTTGCATTAAGCGTTCTTTTGATGATGGTTTCTTGTTTTTCAATAGTCAGCATGCTCGATGCCTGATGCTTTATCTACTTCAATATTTGTATTAATCTGTGACATCTCGAATTATATTCATTCTTAATTACTAGCATTCACAGATATTCTTTCCTTCTTTCTTATAAAAGCCTATATTTTGGCCCGGAGCACTGTGCTGTCCATCCTCTGCCCTTCATCATCTTGCTCTGCAACTTCCAGGACAGGAAATTCAGCTGGCATGATTCGACGCGGCGTAGATCCGGGTATAATCGAGTATTTAGAAAAGTCCGTAACTCCGCACTTGCGAAGGAAATCTTCATCTGTATCCAACAGCCCATTCACGGTGCTGACTGGAGCGCGCAGCATTTCCACAATTGCATTAGAGAAAATGGTCTAGAAATTGTTAGTCGAGAATCTGCATTTGAATACCAAAGTAACGTACTGGTTTTCTAAGGTCTTTCTTGTATGACTTATCGGAGGCTTTGTTGTGCTCGGTTGCAGCTGATTCAATGGACTGCGTTTGTCAGTCATACACAATCTCTTTATTACCGTTCGGCATGCTCAATACTATTAGTACATACCGATGCTGGCCAGATGCTCGTAATAGCCATCTCTGTCCGACCCTGTCGCACAAAGTCCATAGCTAGGCCTTTGACCAGAACACTCATTCCAACCTTGCCTGATGTTACAATTTTAGCCAAAATCCATCGCATCGAAAACCGGTGACTCAACTTACCCATTGCATAGGCAGTCTTGCCGCGGAAGAACCTCGAGTAAATCGGAGGAGAAACCACCACGATCCTTCCTTTCCACCCGTTCTTCTCAAAATGGGGCAATGTGGCCTGCACAGTCGCATATAGACCTTCTGGATTGATCTGCTGCATCAACCGGAAGCGCTTTAGAGGTGTGTTCTCCACAGAAGACCACCAGATGGCTCCAGAGTTATACACCAAAACGTCCAGTTTGCCAAACAAACGGACAGTCTCGTCAACGGCATGTTGGATTTCTGAAGCATCGCGAACATCCACTGCGATGGCTGCGGCGCGGCCTCCTGCTTCCAGAATCTCGCGTTCTACCGTGTTGATGGTAGATTGCGAAGAATTGGGATCTGGTGGGAATGGTGAAGTCTTGCTGGCATCTGAAGTTGTTTTAGCTGCCAGCATTACTAGATTGCATTGTTAGTTTCGGGGTTCAGCTGGTGGGTAGGTCATGGTCGCACCTGCGTAGCCGGCTTTTGATAAATCTATAGCCACCTGGCGGCCGATGCCGCGGGATGCACCCATGACGAGGGCAACGGATTGCTGATTAGGCATTTTGCTTCTTATGATTCTTGTTTGATTGGGTGTTTTTGGCAATAAGAGTTGAAGGGTAAAGGGGCATATGTTAGGTTTATAGGGAGATCTTAAATACGCGACAATGGACCGAGTTCGCGTAATCAATAAATTAAAAGTTCTTGGAGCTGTCGGTATTCGGCATCAAGGCTATAAGTAAGGTTGGAGGTTGCTCTGAACTCCGATGATTTTGTGATTACTCACAGTCCCGAGGCTCTGCGGAGTTCCGAGGTTAAGGTATCCGTATTTGGCAGAGGGATTAGCAAAGCAAATTATCTGTATTGATTGCCATATAGGAAAATGACTGATATTGAGGGTTGGCCTAGATTTGACCCTTGTTTCCTAAATTGAAATGTTGGTTAAAAATAGCAATGTATTGTATGACGTTATTGATCCCCTACTCTGACAGTCTGACTTACCAAGTACGCTTGCTCTGTGGGGTCAGAAGGCGGTCTACAATGCGGTAACATTATGTCAGTCAGAAACCAGTCAACAGCTCCACGAGCAATGACCAAACGCGACCTCTTTTATCAGCATCTTCAAGAACCATTTTCATCCCTTCAGCTTTGTACCGAAGCTTCATATCAATTCTGCAAGGTCTTATACTATTATCTTGCACTTATTCTGTTCTTTTGCCTCTCGAATCCCTTCAGACACCGCCAGCAATCTTCGAGGGCCAGTGGATGTCTCAGCGGCACCACAGCCAACATGGATCTCAGACCGCCTGTTGCCTTTCCGGTTAAGCGGGCAAGCTTCTCCGCTTCAAATGACGCATATGGAACCTCAGCTAGCGCGGTGGCCGACGAGCCAGTCGCCCCTCGAGACAAAGTTCATGGTACGCGGAGCCTCCCGCGGGGTATACCGATAAGAGCTCTGGGGTGTGGATGCTGACAAGTGGCTTTTGACAGAGATCCCTAAATTCGACCTTGAGCAATACATTGAGAACTACACCGGTTAGTAATGCCTATATCGACAATACTATGTCCATGTACGGTATAGTCTAACCTGTGAACCCAGGACGCACCCGTTTCAACCGCCTTTATTTCATCGGAACTACATCCACCGTGCTCGCAGCTGACGCACTGAGACTCGCTATCGCTGAAGCCAAATCTGGCAAAGATGTCAAGCTTTATGAAAAGGCAGTTCGTGCTTTCGCAGAGGTCGCTCCAGGTGAAGAAGGTGCTTTTCTGGACTCGGTGTGGCTCCAGAACCTTCAAAAGAGCGTGAAAGCCCATACGGATCGATTGGAACATGAACTTCGTGGATACAAGAACAATTTGATTAAGGAAAGCATTCGCGTAAGTGCATAGTGTTCTCTTTCTCTGGGTGAGCTCGCTTACTGATTATAATAGATGGGCAATGAGGATCTGGGTAACCACTACTATGAGACGGGTGACCTATGGGAAGCGGCCAAGTCGTACACTCGCATGCGTGACTATTGCACCACCCCCAATCACATCGAGTCAATGCTATTCAAGCTCATGGCCGTCTCTATCGAGCGCTTCGACTGGGTTGGTGTGGAAGCCCAGGTGCACCGGCTGCAAAACAACCACACCATGCCTGATGTACTGATGGAAACTCAGCCGAAGGTGGCAGTCTCACTTGCTTTGGCTCAAATGAAGCAAGGGTCGTACCTTGACGCTGCTAAGACTTTTATGAATGTGCCCTCTACCCCGGGAGACGAAACCTACAATGATGTGATCAGTGCCAATGATGTAGCCGTCTATGGTGGTCTCTGTGCTCTGGCCTCTATGGACCGCAATGAACTGCAGGCCCGCGTCCTTGATAATAGCACTTTCCGTCCTTTCCTTGAGCTTGAACCTCACATCCGTCGTGCCGTCGTGTTTTTCTGCAACAGCAAATTCCGCCCTTGCATTGAAATTCTAGAGGCCTACCGTGCGGACTATCTTCTTGATTTTCACCTTCGGTCCCACGTCTCCGAGCTTTACAAAATGATCCGCAACAAGTCCATCCACCAGTATCTTGTCCCTTTCAGCAAGGCTAGCTTGGACTCCATGGCTGCCGTGTTCTCTCCGGCTGAGGTCGGCCAACGAATTGGGCTTAGCTCTCCCTTCCTCCAGGAACTTATTAAGCTCATCCAAGATGATGTTCTCGATCTACGTATCGACCTTGAGCATGGATTTCTGATCAGAAACAAGCACGATTTGCGAGCAGAGATGCAGGCTGAGGCTTTGGAAAATCTCGCTACTTTTAACCAAGAGCTTCACTGGCGCATGCTGGCGAGATCCGTGATCGATGCCGGCTTACAAGTGAGGTCTGCTCCTGAACCACCCCGGCGGCGGGTCTTGGAGCATTCCCGCTTCCCTCGCCCTGGCTCGGGTTAAATCCCAATGGTTCATAATAATCCCAATCCTCTTTCCGGGAAGAATAGCAGCGTTTATGAAAGAATTGGCGCGTAAATGAGAAACGAGATAGCAATACCCTCAATATGGAGATTTGAAACTAAAGGAAGTAGGTCGTCTGAGGACCTCTCGATCAAGCGATGAAATGCAAAATGGCTCATTGATTTTTTTCTCCCATTTTCCCCACAATAATTCCAGAGGCGCCACGGCAACGGAGTAGATTCCAAATTCGCTGATTTCCATGGGGCGCAAGTACCAGCTGGGTGGTGGAGGAAAGTTGGTGTCAGCATGAAAACAAAGAATCGAACTTCCAATAGCGCCACATTCAATCTGTAGTCTTCCCATCCTTGTCACTACCCCCCTGTCAATCCAGGCATTTCCTTTTGAACAATACCTTGAATTATTCAATTTGTCATTCATGATATTCAAACAGCCAGAAAATTTGATACTTTGTTGGTTTTTTCTCCCAGAAGCGCACGATTTCTGGCATAAAGTGGATTAGGGCCAACGGCGGATCGATGCAGGTTGGCAAACCCCCAGTCCATTTTCCATCAATGATTTCATTTCTCTCGGATCAACCAGTCTCTCGGTACTCGCTCAGTCCAAATGGCTGATCGCTACCAACGCGATGGGATACAAGGTCGGGGCTTTTTGCCCTTCTGTCCTACATTCCCGACCATCCCCCCGATTCCGCCGCAGTTTTAATGACTGATTGACGCAGACCAAGTGGCTTACTGAGTCCTACCTTTCTCCTAAACTCAAACCCTCAGTGGCCAGAGTAATCTTGACGTTGTACGACGTCAGGCTCGTTCGCTATCTGATTGTTCAATTGAGAAACCTTGCTGTGGGACAGAATGACTCGATTTGCTGGCCATGAATATGCTCGCGCGTTGGTTTCTGCCGGGCATCTCGATTCAGAGATGGAATCTGATCATGATAATTTCTATCTCTCAGATACTTCAGAGTCTGACATGGATATGCCTCTGCACTCTTCCCCCATGGCTCAGTCTCCCTTGAGTGTTGCATCTCCTGGGAATGGTAGGATGGAGTCACCTCTGAATTTTGAGGCCCCAGAGTCCCAGCATTTGGAGAACGCTTCTTTCGAGCCTGAGTCTGAGTCCGATGAAGCTCATTTATCCCCGTCACCTTTGACTTTCCAGCCGCTACTGATGGTAGAAACACCAGGTGTCGGCGACACGGATGGTTCAGGGTTACAGTTGTCTCTTGATACATTTTCGGCATTCGAGACTGGCTCTTTCTATGAGGAGACTGGCTTACCAGCTCTTCCGTCGTTCCCTTCTGATCCAGATCCAGATTTCCAACCTATCGGCGAGAATGAAACAGGTCATATACTGGCGCTATCGCCTCAACTTGCCTCTATACCCGAAGAAACCGGATGTGGTGCGACACAAATTTCATCGTTCCTACAGTTGACCCCAGTCTCCACAAGCACACATTCATGGCTCTCACAGGTCGAGCATGGTGAGGATGAAGGCAGTATGTTATCAGTCCCGACGGAGCAAGTTTCTGGTCCAACAATCTCGATCTCGGGTGAAGCCAGTGGTTCCCACCCACTATCGTCACCTCGAATTCTGTCGGCAGTCCCATCGTCCGGGTCTTTACTGTCTGGGTCCGAGTCTCAGCCAACTACACCGGAGGTGGAAGTGGAAACAGACGACTCTGAGAATATATCTGATGAAGCATCCACGCATGAAGGGGGAAGCTCCGTGTTCGACGATGAATATTTCTCCGACACGTCCAGTCACACGGCCTCCCTACTTTCAGACGTGAAAGACTACTCATACGAGAACGGCCGACGGTACCACTCCTACCGCGAAGGCCATTACGTTCTGCCGAACGACGATCAAGAACAAGACCGCCAGGATCTACTTCACCACGTTCGCAATCTCGTTCTCAGCGGGGCCCTCTTCCGTGCCCCAATCAACCAAAACCTCCAACGTGCCCTGGACATAGGAACCGGCACAGGCATCTGGGCCATCGATTTCGCCGACAGCTACCCCAGCGCCGAGGTCATGGGCACCGACCTCAGCCCGATCCAGCCATCCTGGGTGCCCCCAAACCTTCGGTTCCACGTCGACGACGCCGAGTCGCCCTGGCTGTTCAGCGCCAACCGGCCCTTTGACTTCATCCACGCCCGCGATCTCGGCGGGGCCATCGCCGACTGGCCGCGGTTGTTGCTTCAGGCCCACGAGCATTTGCGACCAGGTGGTTGGGTCGAATTGCAGGAGTTTGAGGTTACGTTGAGGTCGGATGACGACTCCATGCCTCTGGCGCCGATGTTGTGCGAATTCCTCGGCCGGCTGCATGAGGCTAGTGAGGCGTTCCACCGGCCTATGAATATCGCTGAGGGACACGGGCAGCGGTTGGTGGAGGCTGGTTTCGAAGATGTCAGGGATGAGGTGTACAAGGTACGACCTATTCAAATACCCGAGTCCTCTTTTCGAGGGTTTTTTTTTAATCGCGAGATTTAATATCGTTTGTCGTTTGATCCTTGACACAAGATGCATTCCCAGCTATACTTTTATGGCATTTTTGACTTTAGTATGATATGCACTGACTGGTTTATTAATAGGTCCCGTCTAGCGAGTGGCCTACGGATCCCATACAAAAGCAAATTGGCCGATACAATCTGTGTTCCCTGTTGATGGCCGTGGAATCCTACTCGCTGGCACTGTTTACGCGTGTCTTGGGATGGTCCAATCTGCAAACTCAGGTCTTCCTGGCTGGTGTGCGTAGAGACCTGAAAAATCCTGACGTCCACACCTATTGCAATCTGCATATCGTATACGGTCAGAAGCCGGAACATGCTTATCATACCTCCGGTTAGCTGTGTGGAGAATCGGACTGCTGAAAGGGGGATAATTCGGGGATGTAGATTAATGATGGTCAGTTTAGCAATATCCAGGAGTTTCTTTTTTTTTTCGTTCTTGTCTTTTCATGAATCGCATCTCAATCCACGAATTCCATAAGAGGCAAGAGGGAATATGCACAAAAAAAAGCACAAAGAGCACAAATGGCGAAGCTAAGCAGAAAACAGAGCAAACACCGCGCCGTATCACACTTTTGGCGCAAGCCTTCTTTGTTTGGCAATGGAAGGTCCCGTCCCCCTCTTTCCTCGTACTTGACCCTTCTTATTTTCTTACTTCTTGGTGCAACTTCGGCTTCATACTTCAATAAATCCTTTTACAGGGAAATCCCAACCATCTTAATTCCCGAAGGACTGGATGTTACCTGAAAAGAGTAAATAACCAGAACGTCGGAATCTCCAAGACCCTGAGATTCATCCGCCACCCTCAATCGCTGTTCACCATGCTTTTGAGCTGGACACCATCCAGTATCCTATTCTGGGTCGTGTCTGCAGGGTGTCTGGTAAGTTACATGTCCCCGTACGCCGTCAGGGTGCAATCTGCAGGACCCTACAAAATCACTCAGCTCGTCCAATCCCAATCCCCATTTCGATTTCATTCTATACTAAGCACCCTCCAATCTGCTTTGTTCCATACGCGTTCCATTCCCTCGGGCTCAGCTGACATGACACCAACTAACACTCTGGTCCCGGAATTCTAGGTCCTTTGCTGGCTCGCCAAGTCGATCATATATGAGCTCTACTTCTCGCCGCTAAGCCGATTCCCAGGCCCGCGGTCCTGGATCGTTTCCCGCATTCCACTGCAGCTGTCTGTCTTGCGAGGCTACAACCATCTAGATATCACCGCCTTACATGATCGTTATGGCCCAGTGGTACGCATCGGCCCTACGGAACTGGCTTTCAACACTGCGCGGGCTTTCAGAGATATATACGGCGATCGGCCTGGTGGGTGTTTCCCCAAGGACCGAAGCCACTACGTTCCACCGGCGAATGGGGTCGATAATCTCGTATGCGCGATAGATCACGGTGTCCATGCTCGGCAGCGACGACTCTTGGCCCATGCGTTCTCGGATCGCGCCCTCCGGGACCAGGAGGGATTGATTACGGGGTACGTGGATACTTTGATTAGCAAGTTGCGGGATGAGGTGGGTGACAACATCAATTCGCTGGTTGATATCAAGGAATGGATGAACTTTACAACCTTTGATATTACTGGCGATTTGATGTTTGGTGAATCCTTCGGTTGTCTCAAGGATAGCCAGTTGCACCCGTGGATCCAGTTGATATTTAGCTCCATCAAAGCTATCTCCATCACTGGCGTCGTGCAACAGTTCTCTCTCTTGAAAATTATGCTTGCGGCCCTGATTCCAGCCGAGGTTAAGCGCAAAGCAAGAGCACACTTCGATCTGAGCGCGATGAAGGTCGATCGTCGCTTGGATGCTAGTACCTCCCGACCGGATTTTATGTCGGCTATCTTGCAGAATGGACTAAGTGAGGACAAGGGGCAGTATAAAGATGGCGAAAAGATTATGAGTCGGGCCGAGATTCATGCCAATGCGTTCATGTAAGCCCCTTTTCACCCTTCATGATAATTCTCCAAACAAACAACACACTGACATGATACACGAACCAGCCTCATCATCGCTGGAAGCGAAACATCCGCAACCCTTCTATCCGGCTGCATCTACTACCTATCCACCCACCCACCAGCCATGCAACAACTCATCGCCGAGATTCGATCCGCCTTCGCCAAAGACACAGACATCACCTTCCGTACCGCCGCCGGCTAACATACCTGGGCGCCGTGATCGAGGAATCCCTCCGCATGTACCCACCCTTCGTGACAAGCCTTTCCCGCATCGTTCCCGCAGGCGGATCAACGGTCGACAGCCAGTACATACCGGAAGGGGTGCGTTTACGTTACTCGTTTCAAAATTCCAAACCCTATGGTTTCACTAACATCTGAATCTAAAAGACAACGGTCGCATGCCACCACTACGCATCTTACCACTCCGCGTCGAACTTCACATTCCCGCACGACTTCCTTCCCGAGCGCTGGCTTGACGAGACCGGACGCTTCGCGGAGGATAAGAAGGATGTGTTGCAGCCATTTAGTCTGGGGCCACGGAACTGCCTTGGAAAAAAGTAAGCTGGTTACTCATACTTGATCGTGCTGGATTATATTATTAACCTTATACTCAGTCTGGCATACTGCGAGATCCGGATTATTCTCTGCAAACTCCTATTCCACTTCGACCTAACGCTGAGTCCTGAAAGTGCCAATTGGACAAATCAGCAGGTCCATTTCTTATGGGATAAGCCTAGGCTCATGGTTACGCTGAGCCCTCGGCTGTCGGATGAGGGCAAGGGCGATGATGAAAATGAGCAGAGCTAACCGAACGACATCTTTTACTTGGGTCTTTGACTATTATATTTGTTTCTTGGGCGACAATCTTCCCCTAACAGATATTTGACTTATATCGTATCTCTTTTGGCAATCGGGTTTGATTTATTATTTGACATGATTTTGCAGGTGGTTGCGTATCTTACGGCGTTGGTGTCGATTATTTGTACCTGGCCTATATAACTGAATTCGAATTGCTTCGGACACCAAAGCTATGACAATGAATCTCTTAAATAAAAAAGTGCACAATTTCCCTCCGGTCGATGTTTCCATTTCAGTATCTGCATCAAGCACATAGCCCATACTGGATATCATCAGGCAAATCGTCTATTTGCAGCCGCTTGTCATCCCCGAGTCCCTTTCGTACAAAATTCGTCCCAGCAGACCACGCAGACACACATCTATCAATGATGCCGGCATTTGCCATCTTCGGAAGGTCAGGTGTCTGCCATGACAGTTCTTCTCCGGCGAACAATTGGACCTTTGCTGCAATCAATTCGCGCAGGAACTCGGTATCTTGGGCATTGGATGCACGATCAACTTTGTAGGGCGCATTTCTCATGTCTCACATCCTCTGCAAAGAGGGCATCCAGGTACACAGCTCTTTGTGGAGATCGTTTGCATCTCGCTGTAACTCAGTGACACTGTGTAGCCCCAAGTGTCTAAATTCTCTCAACTCTCCATGTTTCTTCTCTTCCGAAGCCTCGGGAATTGGCAGCAGGGGTTTTCGGCCTCATCCCCTGCCAGAACCTCCTCCGCACCATCCACATCCACCCCTCTCAGACCCCCGGTCTCCCCCAGCAACTCTGCTGCCAGCCGGTATACGACAATTGTAAGGGCTCGAGCCTGCTTAACAGGCAGAACGGGGTTGGAAGACGGTAAGGGCAGCCCGGTCCCCAGGGGTCAGGACCTTAATCTGGGCCTCTAACTTGGCGCAGAAGGTAGACTGCCAAGGCAGGGGCTATCTGTAAGGAGTCTTCGGCGCTTTTTTGTAGATCTGCATGTGGGTTGATGCTTTTCGATGGAAGGGTCTTATCAACCCAGATATCCAGGTGTCTTTTGGAAAGGCTTGGAAGAGTTGTCAACGTTGAAAAGAAATGATTGGTGGTCATAGAGCAGTTCAGTGGTATGTATAATATAAATTTATAAATAGAGTAAAAAGCGAAACCTTTGTTCCATATAAATAGTAAAGGTTCAGGAAACCCTTCACAGAGTTTGTATATTTATAATTTTTATAAAGATGATGAGGAAGGAAGAAGGGAAAAGATCGAAATATTCAATTTATAGTCGCGGAGCGTGAATGATGAATCATCATGATAAGGGTGATATTCTTTCAAAACATGTCTAGAAGGAGCGGTAAAGCCTTAACTCCCATTAACCTCCCAAGGGCTTTCATAGCCTCTGTGGGTTTTAACTGTGAGAGTTGCCCATCTATGTAGTAATAAGAGATAAAATATTGATGATCTCGTACAGATCCGTGTGTAGAGCTCAGTGATTCCAAGGAGGTCGGAAAATTGGTAGGAACGTAGGTAGCCCCCATGTGGGGAGCGGAGGGCGAGTAGCCGGTGCAGAATGGAACGTGGGAGATGAAGCTCGGGTGGCGGCTTCTGACTACTGTAGAGACTGCTACTTCCTATTGGACTTGCGTAGAGAAATTAACTTGCGAGCCAAAAGCTTTGCTCACCAGGAATAAAATAGTACTAATATAAATCGTATGTTGACCCTCCAGAGTACAATGTAAGTCTCCATGCAAGTTCAAGTCAGACCTGATACCTCGTAAGAAATATAGAAACACGACACATAGACGCAAGGCACGCATGACACGCATGACACACATGACACACAACATTGAAGGCACACAGGACACAGCTGTAGTTTGCCATCAAAAAGTGGTGGCTGACCTACTCGTCTGCAGCCTCAATCACTAGCTTAAGGTCTCTTTTCACCCGTTCCATCAGCTTCTCTAGGCGCTTGGAGTTCCTCACAGCAAGATCGATGAGGTCTGAAGTTTCACGTACTGCATCTTCAACCCTGGTCATCAGAGCTTTTTCACCTTTAGAGCCTGGAGTTGCGGTCTCGGCGTTCATAGCTTCGATCAGGTGGTATTCTTTGGTGTGAGCATCTTGGATATGTTTGACGTTGAATCGATAGAATCGCCACTCCATCGTGCTTTGCAGATTCTGGATACTATCTTCCAATGCCTTCACGTTTTGCCGCCGCTTTTCGAGTTTCTGTTCAACCGAGGGATCGGGAAGTGACACCGGGGTTTTGCGGCGCTTGGGTGGAGGATCGGTATTGTCCAACGAAGACATTGTATCGAGATTGCGAGATGGTATGTATGGAAGTAGTTCAAAAATGGAAGTAGTTCGAACCCGCTTTCGAAAAGGTGGATCAAAGATGTGAGTCAAGTGATCAGTATCAGCAGTATAAAGGGGGCTGATTGGTGGTCAGAGAGATCGGTGATGAGAGAGAAGATGAGAAAGGAAGAAGAGAGAAGATGAAAAAATTCAATTTATACCCCAGGGATTTCAAAATGGAGGAAATTTCAAAGCTCTACTACTAGAAGTATTCCTCAATCAATCGATAGTCCTAGAATCTAGGCGGCTGAAAATCCTACTGGCGTAGCATCTATATGAAAAATAACATTTGTAGTATGTGTCTCTTTCCACCTTCTAACACATCCTATATGCAAGACCATCTAGAGTACAATATACTCTCCTTGTAATTTCAAGTCAGAGATAATGCATAGAAAAATATAGAAAATATAGAAACATGGGACACACACAAGCCACAAACAATACACACAAAACACACAACACACACAAGCCACAGTTGTTTCTTGCCAGCATGAAATGCTGGTCAGCCTACTCATCTGTAGCTGCATCCACAGCCGCCAACACTAGTTTAATGTTTTTCCCCACCTGTTCCAGCTGCTTCTCTAGGTTCTTGATATGGAACAAGCCATCGTCGATGTTACATGAAGTTTCGCTCACCGCATCCTGAACCACAGGCATGAGGAACTTCGCAGCGTCAGACTTCGGATTTGCGGGCGGATTTGCGTGCGGATTTGTCTCGGTTATCATTTTGCTCGTAGCCTCGACCAGCCAGTGTTCTTTTTCATGGGAATCTTTGATATCTTGAATGCAGTCTACAATGAATCTGCTCTTCATGTCTCGCTCCAGAATTGAGACACTGTCTTCCAGTGCCTTCAATTTCTTCCGCAGGTCCTCGAGTTTTGCTTGGTCGGAGGGATCGGAGAGTGACAGCGGGGTTTTGGGGCGCTTGGGCGCAGGGTCAATGAGTTTCAACGAAGGCATCGTGTTGAACGTTCGTGAGGTTTTGGAAGTATTTCGAAAATCGGTTCGAAAGTTTGGATCGGAGATGAGAAATAACGGATCAGTATCAGCACGAGGTAGAATTGGAGCTGATAAATTGTCAGAGGAGATCAGTAGTGGTAGAGAAGATGAGGAAGGAAGAAGAGAAGAGATGAAAAAGTTCAATTTATACCCCAGGATTTCAAAACGGGGGAAATTTCAAAGCTCTACTACTAGAAGTATCCCTCAATCAATTGATAGTCCTGGACTCTAGGCGGCTAAAAATCCTATTGGCGTAGCATCTATATAAGAAATAATATTTGTAGTATGGTCTCTTTCCACCATCGAACACATCCTGCATGCACGACCATCCAGATGTCAATTATTCTTACATCATCTCCCCTCCGATGGAATTTTGAATTATTGCCCAATGCCTATATTAGGGCTAACAAGTCAATATAATGACATCATTACTAGATACCATCGAGGGTACCTTGTATCTCAAGTGAATCGCATTACATTTCTATCATGGAAGGTAGAATTCCAAAACGCATGCTCATTCCCAAAGTTATAAATCACAAATTCAATTTTTGACTGATCGATCTAATCTTATCTCTATGCAATCTGAGAGTTCAATTCCCAATCTCCATGCGGCCTGCCCAGGTGAATCTATGGATCTATCTTCTATCCTCTATGTTCTATATTCTTCATCTTCGTCCAAACTATCTACTCGCTACCAGTATCCATGCTCGTGCTTCCCGCTGAGCCCGAAGGGCTAGGCGCGCCCGAAGGGCCACTACTCGCAGAGCGAGGAGCCTTGGGGGTACCAGAAGACTCACTACCAGTATCCATGCTAGCGCTTCCCGCCGAGCGCGAAGGGCTAGGCGCGCCTGAAGAATTACCACCCGCAGAGGGAGAAGCCTTGTTAGTACCCGAGGATCCAGTACCGGTATCCATGCTAGCGCTTCCCTTGGAGCTAGAAGTGGCAGAAGTAGAAGTATATTCGGTTTCCGAGCCATCGCAAATAACACCTAGAGAATGAATGTTAGTAGTGTCCCAGAAGCAAGGGGAAGAGCATAAAGGAACAACTTACGATCGCCTCTATATTCGATTTCTTGGATCTCGTGGTGTCGATCCGTGTATGCAGAATTCCAGGCGGCGTAGGGTGTCTTGGCGTAGCGGGCCTCGTCCTTCTCGGGGCCGTAGTTGGCGTTGAAGGCGCCGAAGATCTGTTGGCGGTTGTCAGCTGTGATGTTTAGCAAGCCTTTCTCATTGAGGCGGAATGTTAGTTGGGATCTGTTGGTAGAAACAATGGTTAGTGTGAGATTCGGCATGTAGTAGGACAGAATGGGGGAAAGAAGGGGAAAGAAAGAACTTACACAAAATCTCGGCATCCAACGGCGTCGCCATCAGTGTTGAATCCGCAAGGAAGCATCTGCTTGTCAATGAGGACCTGGAGAAAATCATTAGCCTTCATATCAGGGTAGGCAGCATTGAGCGGAACTTCGACAGTCTTCACAGCAAGTCTATGCGCGGCGTGAGTGAAAGTCTTGATTTCAAGGTCAGAAACGACATATCGCTTGAACCAAACTCCGCCGATATTTCGAACCGAAAGGTCGATCATAAGTCCTAAAGTGTTAGCAGGTGCATCGCGAGTATCCTCCTTCAGCGGGTGCTTGAAAAAGAGTTTGGCAACAGCATGGTTTGAGCGTTTACCATTTGCATCAAGCTGATAGCTCTCCTGGAGCTCGGTGTCTAGGAATTCAATGATGTATTTGCAGATTTCTTGCTGCAGGAGGGATTCGGGGACATCGCTTGTCTGCTTGAAGTAGAAGGACTGGCTTGGCATGTGGGCCTGTCGCTTGGTATTTTCGTTCTCTTTAGGAGAGCCCTCGCGCTTCTCGCCGGCCTCAGTAGTGGTGGACATGTTGATGTATATAGGGTTTGGTTCTAGTTAGTCAAAATGTTCCAATGGATGGAACGGGATGTTATAGATGAAGGGTGTTCTGGAATCTGTAGATGTGGTGTTGATGATGGAGGTTATAGTCGAGGACATCGAGGTCTTTAAGTAGTTCGTCTTCATGGTGCTGGCTTGTCAAGATCAAAGAAGCGTTGACAAGGGTCTACAATTGTATTCCTACAATTAGATTGATGGGACAATGCATCAAAGGCCTTTTGTATGGAATTTGGAAAGAAAGAAGTGACAATGGATAATGGATGTTCAATACTTGATATGACCACATATGGATCCAGAAACCACCATTGGCTTTGTGCACATTGTGTATAAATAATGCTTTTCTCCGTTGAAGGTACGATAGTGAAACATCGTTTGGACTTTCAAGGGAAGTCTCGAGTAAGGTACTGCGTAATGCCATGTCTTCTTAGATAGACCTATTTCGACAACACCCAGGAGTAGCACAATAGGAACAAAGACTTAACGCAGATCTGGGGATTTCCCATGGGACACTCTACTACAGTACCTAGGACAAAGACGCAAAACGTGAATAAAAATAGCAGCACTTTGGCGCAATATCAAAAACTAGATAGAAATATGGTACAGTACTAATATACGAAATCAGATTTACCTCTACACTCTTAGACTTTCATTCCCCAGTCTAATTTTAGCCATACCCCAGGAACCCCGAGGCTGTAACACTGGGTGGGTCACTGTTATAATACCGTAATTTGCTTGGAATTTAATAGAATCTTTCATGCGAAGAAACCAGTCACCAGGCAAAGGGGTTGATCGAGATTCGAGACAATCTGACAAGATCTCTTCCCCCCACCCCCTTCCTCCTCCATCTTCATTTTCCTTTCATCTTGGCCTCTCCGCCGTACGCAGCCTTCGCTCACACTTCTTTGACATCAAATAGAGGGCTGAATTGTCTACTTAGAGAACTGATCCTGGTAGGCAAAGTTGCTTCTTCTTCCTGTGGACACAGTACTATGATTCACTGCGACTTTCATTGGTCTCTTACGACTTGGTTCCCGGATATCAAGCTCGAAGTACGCCAACCTTTTTTGGGTCACTGCTGCAGAATCTCGGCAGAAATTTCATCGTTATAGTAGCGTAAGAACAACTATTGTGGCGATTGCCCGTTCTTGTTGCTCTGACCCACTTTCCTGAACTTGCCTTCACCAAGCATCCCTTATTGATATCAATTATCTATTCCACATTCGTTCCATCAGGCATTCATCATATTCCATCTCTACCGTACCGAGCCCGTTTCACTGTGTATTTCGCGAATTAGGTATGAAAAGAAAGCTTTAGGAACTTCTACATGGATTAATCCAAGGTTAAATCAATAATTGGATGTATACTCTTATTTGGTTCCACATCACAAAAAAGAATGTTTCGCCTGCTCTTCAACACAAGGAAATTCCCCTCCAAGGGCAAGAGATAGAAACCCTCAGTTTCTACCTTCTGCGAAAGAGAACACGTGAAAGTACTGCTTGCTTAAATCGAAGACCAGTCGTGGATTCCGGTATTGAATGAGTGGAATTTATGACGGGTTTTTTGTCCTTCCGTGTTCCAAATATTCCTTTCGCAAGCTTCGTAGATGAAGAAGGCTCGACCACTCGACGCCACTCGTTGAGAGTAGATTTTGAGGAAAGTGTGCCTGGATGGTCAGGACCTAGTCGTTGGCTTCGGCGTTGAACACACTCATCCATCATCTCTAGGGCAGATCTTTCCCGGCCCATGGACTGCAAAGTCAATGCAAGATTGTGCATACTCATCAGAGTATCAGGATGCTCTGGCCCAATCACCCGCTTATGGGTCTCCATCACCTGTATCTGCAGTTCTTCTGCCTCCTTCCATCGTCCTTGATGAAAGAAGGTCGAGGCCAGATTATGCATACTGGTCAGAGTATAAGGATGCTCTGGCCCAGTCACCCGCTTATAGGTCTCCATCATCTGTATCTGCAGTTCTTCTGCCTCCTTCCATCGTCCTTGATTTGAGAAGATTGAGGCTAGAGTATTTATACTCGTCAGAGTGTCAGGATGCTCTGGCCCAGTCACCTGCTTATGGGTCTCCATCACCTGTATCTGTAGTTCTTCTGCCTTCTTCCATCGTCCTTGATGAAAGAAGGTCGAGGCTAGACTACCTATACTCATCAGAGTATAAGGATGCTCTGGCCCAGTCACCCGCTTATGGGTCTCCATCACCTGTATCTGTAGTTCTTCTGCGTCCTTCCATCGTCCTTGACTTAAGAAGGTTAATGCAAGATTATGCATACTCATTAGAGTGTAAGGATGCTCTGGCCCAGTCACCCGCTTAAGGGTCTCCATCACCTGTATCTGCAGTTCTTCTGCCTCCTTCCATCGTCCTTGATTTGAGAAGATTGAGGCTAGAGTATTTATACTCGTCAGAGTGTCAGGATGCTCTGGCCCAATCACCTGCTTATAGGTCTCTGTTACCTGTATCTGTAGTTCTTCTGCCTCCTTCCATCGTCCTTGATTTAAGAAGGTCGAGGCTAGACAACTTATACTTAATAGAGTGTGAGGATGCTCTGGCCCAGTCACCCGCTTATAGGTCTCCATCATCTGTATCTGCAGTTCTTCTGCCTCCTTCCATCGTCCTTGATTTGAGAAGATTGAGGCTAGAGTATTTATACTCGTCAGAGTGTCAGGATGCTCTGGCCCAGTCACCTGCTTATGGGTCTCCATCACCTGTATCTGTAGTTCTTCTGCCTTCTTCCATCGTCCTTGATGAAAGAAGGTCGAGGCTAGACTACCTATACTCATCAGAGTATAAGGATGCTCTGGCCCAGTCACCCGCTTATGGGTCTCCATCACCTGTATCTGCAGTTCTTCTGCCTCCTTCCATCGTCCTTGATGAAAGAAGGTCGAGGCCAGATTATGCATACTGGTCAGAGTATAAGGATGCTCTGGCCCAGTCACCCGCTTATAGGTCTCCATCATCTGTATCTGCAGTTCTTCTGCCTCCTTCCATCGTCCTTGATTTGAGAAGATTAAGGCCAGAGTATGTATACTGTTCAGAGTATTAGGATGCTCTGGCCCAATCACCTGCTTATAGGTCTCTGTTACCTGTATCTGTAGTTCTTCTGCCTCCTTCCATCGTCCTTGATTTAAGAAGGTCGAGGCTAGACTACCTATACTCATCAGAGTATAAGGATGCTCTGGCCCAGTCACCCGCTTATGGGTCTCCATCACCTGTATCTGTAGTTCTTCTGCGTCCTTCCATCGTCCTTGACTTAAGAAGGTTAATGCAAGATTATGCATACTCATTAGAGTGTAAGGATGCTCTGGCCCAGTCACCCGCTTAAGGGTCTCCATCACCTGTATCTGTAGTTCTTCTGCATCCTTCCATCGTCCTTGATTTAAGAAGGTCAATGCAAGATTATGCATACTTGTCAGAGTGTGAGGATGCTCTGGCCCAATCACCCGCTTATGGGTCTCCATCACCTGTATCTGGAGCACTTCGGCCTTCTTCCATTGTCCACCAAGCTCATAGGCCTCCGCGAGAATACTGGAGCTGGAAAGTGTCTCCTCACTTTCCGGTCCTAAGATGTATCTTCTTACATCAGTCGCGTTCTTTGCCATTCTCTCGCTATTGATGAAATCCCCTCTTGTCCCTGCAAAGGACGCAGCTTTATGAAGCAATGAAGCCCATTTCTTGAGCGAGGCTTCTGTACATGGTCGCTGCGCGACTGCGCACTGCACATGAGCGAATAGTACTTGGCACTCAGTCCAATTCTCGAATACTCCTTTGGGGAAGTTGTTGTCAAGCCGCTGAATAAAGTCTTCTTTCCAGCTCTCAAGCTCAAGAGTGTGAGTTTTAAGCCATTCCTGAATCGCGAGTTGGACTAGTCGGTGCATCCCGAAGCTTCTGCCACCTGTATTGGTAGTTATCATTGAGTAGCCTCTCAGGATGGATATGTCGTCTTCGAACTTCAACTCAATCTCGTTCTGTAGGCCTGCACTCTCTCTATCACCATTATCACCCATATCACCCTCATCACTCTTATTGTTCGGATGATGGCCAAAGGCATCTTTTGTCTCTGTTTTATATTGGAGCAAGGTATCAGGTATCCCTTGTCTATCAAAAAAGCTCATCAGAGATAACAAATCACTGGCTGATGATCTCTTTTTTCGAATATAGTCAAATGATATTTGCCATGTGGCGAAGACGGCGTTCTTGGCTTCAGTATCTCTGCGGAGATACCCATCCTTATAATTAAGGAGAGTGGACTTCTGCTGATCGCTTTTCTGAAACATCTCTAGGTACTGCCTGACCGACTGTCGTGGCGCCCTCTGCCTGATATATGCCGCTGCTTGCACAATTGCAAGAGGCATGAACTCCAATGCCGTGGAAAGCTGTATCATATCCTCTTTCTTAGCTTGCTCTCCAAGCTTTTTCTCAAAGAGCAATATTGCATGGCTTGCATCCATCACCCCAACGTGAAGAATATCATGATGTTCCACGATTCTTGATACCACATCTGTACTTCGACTTGTAATGATGATAGATCCATTCAAGCTCCCAGAGAAATATGACCAGATTGATCTCCCTGATTTATCACTCTGACCGCTCCCAAGACTGTCTGGGCTGACCGAGGAACTTGCGTGGAGGAATCCATCATCGTCAAGATTATCAAGAATGAGAACCCATCGCCCCATCTTCGTATCATTCAACCAGCTATATAGCAGTTGGAATATATCTGCTTTAGGATTCTGCCGACCGGGTATCTTGACTCGGTCAGCAATATCCTGGCAACTCTGCTCAAAACGAGTTGGATTGCTCGCATGAATCCAGAAAACCCAGATTGTGGGCGATTCATCTCGAATTCGGTAGCAATACTCAATAGCTAGTTGCGATTTGCTTATAAGCTGTCAGCGATAGAAACTCTGCTGGCCGTTAAAACTCACCCCACGCCACCTAGACCAGTCAGCGCTATCCGAGCACCTGGGGCAGACCCTTTTTCTTGTATCTGATCGAGGAGGTTTCGCCGATCGACGAAGTCGGGGTCGCGACGGAACGGGATGATCAATAAAGGGGCCGGTGGAGTTTCCGGTCGTTCTAGGCAAGCAGCGGTTATCACTCAACGTAGCCTGGTTAACAAGGGGCCTCGTGAAACTTACCCGCGGCAAGATGGATCGATCCGTTATTGACCCCGACCTGGCACCCCGAGTTGCTGTTCCCAAATGTCACATTCATAATCAATACGTTAGACACTCGTTGATGGGGATTTTGGGCAAAACAAAGATTTGATCCCCCTCAGCCCCATTATCAGGTGATTCAGGAATCAGGTGTTCCCGGCGCTAAACTTTGCCAAGTGTACAATTCTATATTTAGAGCCACCTGCAGCTAGTCCAAATTGCGGCCAGTAAGCAAACTCGATATTGACGGCGAATGGAAAGCGTTTTCTTGTGGTAGCGGGATTGATAAGATGGTTACTATCCGCGCATATTGCATACACATATAACAAGCTTGAAACCCTCGCAATGTTCGCTCGGGCGCTTGCTTCCAGGCATGGTTAGGAATCTTTCATACTCGGATTTAAGATATAAGATCAATATAAGGAAGCGCAAGAATTAACACCAAAGTGGTGCATGCGGCCAACTATACCCACCACTAAAGATTCAAGCATATCCTATACCTTTCATTAGCAGAACGCAGCCCCCGCCGCTTCAATTATCCTAACATTTGAAAAGTGCAGAATGAATAGGGGAAGTGCATAATTCAAACTACGCCAAATGAAAATCTCATATAAATGCGACCGTAGGAAGCGCTGAAAAGCGTAGAAAACTAAAGAAGCGAGTGCTGGCTGAACTCTGAGATTTGATGGGGTATGTGCAGAATCTGAGCATAATTCTGCCACCTGCTCTTGATGAATCCTTGAACTCCATTACATGCAGCGCTGAGTTGTACGCTGGATCCTTGCAGTTCCTTATATCTTGAATCCTTGAACTCCACATGTATTATTTATAGCGCTGCGTTAGGCCGCGGGCCAGAGGGCCGGAGGCCGCATTGTACGTTGGATTGTATGCTGTGCTGTACGCTGAATCGCTGAATTGCTGCGCTTCTTATATCTTAAATCCTTGACCTCTATCATAGTATGCAGCGCTACATCATACATAACATTTGAACGCTGCGCTATATGCTGAATCGCTACGCTTCTGATATCTTGAATCCTTAACCTCCATTATATATAGCGCTGCATTATACACTGCCCTGTATGCTGAATCGCTGCGCTTCTTATATCTTAAACCCTCAATTGAACTCCATTATGTTAAGCGATGTATTGTACACTGCGCTGTACGCTGAATCGCTGCGCTTCTTCAAATGTTATATCTTGAATCCTTGACCTCCATTATATGCAGCGCTACATTGTATGCTGCGCTGTACGCTGAATCGCTGCATGTGCGCTTCTCATATCTTGAATCCGTGACCTCCATTATATGCAGCGCTACATTGTATGCTGCGCTGTACGCTGAATCGCTGCGCTTCTCATATCTTGAATCCTTGAGCTCCATTATATTAAGCGTTGCGTTGTACGTGCAGCCAGAATGCAAGGCAAGTGTATAATGTACCTCAATAATCATTTACAGGTGAAGAATCCTGTTGTTCAACTTGAGAGGAGGAGGGGTGGAGTACTAGTACCCTATCCGGTCAGCGTGTTTCAAACTAGGGCCCGGGAGTTCAAGTCGAAGAGTGTGGAGGTAAATCTGATTTCGAATATTACTGTAGAGAAAAAACATCTTTCGGTTGGTCTGTAACTTTCCTGAAAGTCCAACACGACTGACTGCTTTGAGTTTGCCCAAATCTTATGAGCGCTTCCTTCTGTGAGGGCCATAGGAAAGCGACATGGCGTACCTGAATAATCAAGTTATGGGGTAAAGTGATCAACCATTTTTCATTTATCGACAGTAACGCAAGGTATTGATTTTGATGATAAAATTCTCCTGTTTTCAAGTGGATCGATCACCTGAGGGCGGGGTAAGTTGGGATCTGACAGATCTAAACTCCCAACTTGGAAAGTACTAGTCTCCAAACCACCCAACAGACATCACTTATGGCGACAACTGTTTCCTACGCCGGCGTCAACCACGCCTTTCAAGCAGGAGTGATTAACGGCAATATTGAGAGTTTGACGATCGGTAAGTGAGTTGGCTATCTCCAGAGTCCAGACAGATCTCAACTCAACCGTCGATCCCACTAGGACAAGCGGAATCATTGGATCAAGAATGCCTACGCGCTCTGCGAACGACCGACCCTCGCCACGACAAAGAGCGCATTAAAGATGCCAAGGGCGGCCTACTCAAAGATTGCTATCGATGGATTCTTGATAATGAGGCATTCAAACAATGGCAACAAAGCCAGTGCGATAGTCACCGTCTCCTCTGGATCAGAGGTAATCCTGGTAAAGGCAAGACGATGCTTCTGTGTGGAATTATTGAAGAATTGACGTACATCTATGGAGATGACACGATCATCTCATTTTTCTTCTGTCAAGCTACCGACAATCGGATTAATAGCGCAACATCCGTGCTACGTGGGTTGATATATCTGCTTGTTGAGAAGAACCCGTCGCTTCGCTCACACCTGCGGTCCCAGTACGAGAAAGCTGGTAGGGCCCTCTTCGAGGACGTCAATGCATGGAATGCTTTGGTTACAATCTTTACCAGTATCCTCGAGGACTTGTCTTTGAAAGCTACTACTTACATTGTGATTGATGCACTGGACGAGTGCACGAGCGGTCTCGACTTGCTCCTTAAGTTGATCGTCCAGATGTCTGCCACCCATCCACAAATCAAATGGCTTGTATCCAGCCGAAACTATGCCAATATCATCAAGCGCTTGAATTCTACTACCCAGATAGCTCTACTACTTGAGCTTAACGAGGAATCTGTGTCCGAGGCCGTGAAGTTCTTTATTGAGTATAGGGTGAACACAATTGCTGTTGTGGAAGAATATAGCCCCAAAACGTGCAATATTGTCAAAGAGCACTTGCTGTCAAATTCGCAGGGTACTTTTCTGTGGGTGGCCTTGGTCTGTAAAGAGCTTGAAGACACAGAATGGTGGCAAGCCGAAGATGTTGTTCGAACGTTCCCTCCTGGGCTTAGTGCCCTCTACCGCCAAATGCTCGATCAGGTTTACAAAACACGAAGTGCACAAATTTGCAAACGGATTTTGAGTATAATATGCTCAGTTTACCGCCCTATCACTCTAAGCGAGCTAGGCGCGCTTATTCAAGGGCGCATCGATAGCCTTGATATTGATGCCGTCGTACTTCGTCAGCTTATCGGCCACTGTGGGTCATTCATAATATTACGCGAACAAAGGGTCCACTTTATTCATCAGTCTGCAAAAGATTTCCTGACTCAGAAGGCATCTAGTGAGATACTTCCCAAGGGCACTGAAAGCGAACATCACGCGATCTTCTCACAGTGTCTAATTGTTCTTATGAAAACGCTTCGACGTGATATCTTCAATCTCGGACTGCCAGGAATTCCTATAGAGGATATCAACATTCCCAGCCCAAATCCATTGGCACCCGTCGAGTACGCATGTATCTACTGGGTGGATCATCTCTACGCGGGCAGGTGCAACACAAAATCCAGACCAAGCCTGAAGGATGGGGACATACTGCATCTGGATATATTTCTGCAACAGAAACTCCTCCACTGGCTTGAGGCTCTGAGCATTTTAAAGAGTGTTTCAGACGGTATACATGTTATAAAAAGACTGGAAACTTTGATTCAGGTAAGTAATCAAGATAGTACCAACATTGAATTCGCTTCTAACAAGAGGTCCGCTTCTGATCAATAGGAAGAGAGTGAGTCTAATGGACTCCTACAGCGAGCTCGGGACGCTACTAGATTTATTCAATACCACAGGATAGGGATTGAAAGCAGCCCACTACAGGTTTACTGCTCACCACTCATCTTTTCCCCATCAAAAAGCCTTACTAGGGTGGCTTTCGAAAAAGAAAGGCCGAATTGGATGTCAAATCATCCTATAGTCGGAGATGACTGGAGCGCCTGCCTTCAGACTCTCGAGTCACATAGTGAATGTGTCACGTCGATTGCCTGGTCGCCAGGTGGAAGCGGAAGCCGACTTGCGTCAGGGTCAAATGATACCACAGTCCGGGTCTGGGATCCTATCACGGGCCAGAATACATCTACTCTCGAGGGACATAGTAGATGGGTTACATCGATAACCTGGTCGCCAGATGGAAGTCGACTTATATCAGGGTCAGATGATACCACAGTCTGTATCTGGGATCCTATCACCAGTCATAATATATCTACTCTTAAGGGGCATAGTAACTTGACATCACCTAGGTTAATTGCCTGGTCACCGGATGGAAGCCGACTCGCATCAGGGTCGGCTGATACCACAGTCCGGGTCTGGGATCCTATCACGGGCCAGAATACATCTACTCTCGAGGGACATAGTAGATGGGTTACATCGATAACCTGGTCGCCAGATGGAAGTCGACTTATATCAGGGTCAGATGATACCACAGTCTGTATCTGGGATCCTATCACCAGTCATAATATATCTACTCTTAAGGGGCATAGTAACTTGACATCACCTAGGTTAATTGCCTGGTCACCGGATGGAAGCCGACTCGCATCAGGGTCGGCTGATACCACAGTCCGGGTCTGGGATCCTATCACGGGCCAGAATACATCTACTTTTAAGGGACATAGTAGATGGGTTACATCGATAACCTGGTCGCCAGATGGAAGTCGACTTGTATCAGGGTCAGATGATACCACAGTGCAGATCTGGAATCCTATCACTGGCCAGAATATATCTACTCTTGAGGGGCATACTGACTCAGTTATATCAATTGCCTGGTCGCCAGATGGAAGCCAACTCGCATCAGGGTCAGACGATACCACAGTCAGGATCTGGGATCCTATGACTAGTCAGAATATATCTACCTTCAAGGGGCATAGTGATTCAGTCATGTCGATTGCCTGGTCACCAGATGGAAGTCAACTCGCATCAGGGTCATTTGATGACACAGTCAGGATCTGGGATCCTATGACTAACCAGAATATATCTACCCTCAAGGGGCATAGTGATTCAGTCATGTCGATTGCCTGGTCGCCAGATGGAAGCCGACTTGCGTCAGGATCAGATGATAATATAGTTCATGTCTGGGATCCTATCACTGGGCAGCATACATCCACCCTTAGGGGGCATCGTGGATGTGTTATGTTGATTACTTGGTCGCCAGACGGAAACCGGCTTGCAGCAGGGTCGGACGATGCCACAGTTCGGATCTGGGATCCTAGCACTGGCCAGAATACCACTCTCGCCGGGCATACTGACTCAATTACATCGATTGCCTGGTCGCCAGATGGAAGCCGACTTGCGTCAGCGGCGGGTGATGGTACAGTCCGCATCTGGAATTCCATCACCAGCCAATGTATATCAGGTCTTTTTACCGGCCACATCAGCTTCCTTGAATTTGATACAGCTGATCCGGGCAATAAATATATCAAGTCCAACGTCGGTATACTTGAAGTCGGTATATTTGACCAAAGGTCAATGGTACTTTTAACTCGTACTTCCAGCAATTCCGTTCAACCCTTCAATCAAACTCGATACGGTCTAAGCCGTGACTGTTCTTGGGTGACATATAACGGTCTTCACCTCTTGTGGCTGCCTTCTGAATACCGTCCCATCGATACCCTTCGGTTTGCAGTACACGGCACTACAGTAGCCATCGCCTGCTCATCAGGCCGTGTTATTTTTCTTGAATTTTCAACATTATGTCCTATCCCAAGCTTGTGATCGGTGTTATATGACGGTGCAGCACCGCAGTCAGAAGCTAATGTTTTTGTTCTTGCACATGGATACATGGTCTGGGTAATTCTGTGAATCGGAGTCTGCTTCATAGCAAGCTTGTATTTAAACATTGTTAATCACAAGTGTTTCTACTTCGAGTCGAGTACTCTGTACTCCATACCGTCGGTCACATTTTCTTAGATAGATCTATTCCGACAAGTCCCACAAATAGAACAAAAGGGACAAAGACCTTACGCAGATCTAGGGATTTGCCACAGGACAATCTACAACAGTACCCACAATGGTGGACATTTGCCATTTTATGATACCTTTAGGATACGGTATCCTTAAAGTATCTTCAAGGATACAGAAAGAATGTTGGATACGGTTGTTAAGTCAAACTTTTTATGACACCGTATCATGTTTGATACAGAAATTATGGTATCAACATACTCAAAATTGAGTTTCATAAGGGTTTCATAGCCAAGGACATGGTATCAGATGAGTATCATAAGGTATCATAAAATGGCAAATGTCCACCATTGCAGAACAAAGATGCAAAACATGAGTAAAAATATCAGCACTTTAGCGCAATATCAAAAAGTAAATTAGATTATAGTAGAACCAAATAACATCAAGCCCAACCTCAGAAGCAGCGAAAGAAATGCAATCGTATAAAAAAGGTATCAATCATTATATCAAGAAAGGAATTAGATGTACATTAATATGTATGTTCACAGGGCAGTTCACAACAAGATGACATCCACAGAAGCAACGTCACAACCCCTCAGATTAATCACAAGGATCCTGCCGGCCCATCCCAGCCAAACACGCGCCACCGGCAAACGAGTCCAAGAACCAAAAACAGGCCCGCGTCTCGACAGAGCCAAGAAAAGAAAGAACAATAAAAATAAAGAAACTCTACACAAGCGCGTAAACAAGCGCAAGCGCACCACCGAGGAACCAGCCGTTACGCGCAACCGAAGCGGCACCGGCCGTCACGGGGGTGACCGATGGAGCAGGGGTAGTCGCGGCAGCGGGGGCAGTCACGGCGGGGGCGGTGGTAGCTGCGCCGGAGACAAGGGGGGTAGAGGTGATCAGACGGGTGGAGGACTTGGAGGGCGACTTCTTGGGGGAAGAGACCGGGGACGAGGTGGAGGTGACCAGGGTTGAGGTTGAGGAGTGGGTGGGGGTTGGGGTTGAGGTGGGAGTGGGGGTGGGGGTTGGTGTGGGAGTGCTGGTTGAGCAGGGGCCGGTGACGGTCACGGCCATCCAGTTGATGTTGCTGGCGGCGAGGGTCTGCTGGACGGTCACGGTGCCTTCTTGGGCGGAGCAGGAGGCGTAGGTGGTGCCGGCGACGTTGCAAGAGAGGGAGGCGGTGCTGGGGTTGTTGTAAGTATGGGTTTTTGATGTTTGTTGATATGTTGACTTACTTTGCGCCGTTGGTGTTGATCAGCTGGGCGGAGCTGGGGGCGGAGATGGCGGTCATGCCGGTTCCGGGGATACCGCAGGCTGAGGAAGCAACGCTGGTAGGGCAGGTGACCAGGTAGGTGGTCGCATCGCCATCCTAGTGCGCGAGTTAGTATAGTTCGGATTGTTTGTTGACATTGTTGTGATAGTGTGATGTTATTGTTGCGCTGACCAACCATATATGACAGCGCAATCGCAAACAACAGAACAGCACAGAACACTTGATGGAAACATGGAAGATGTCAATTTATATTCGGATTAGAGTCTCCTTACCTGACCCAAAATACCAGCCTGCAGGTCATGGCCCTGGAAGCCAGGCAGCAAAAGGTTGGCAGTGCTACCTGCAGCGGCAGCAGTAGCGCCAGTCAAGAGAGCGACAGTGTAGAAACGCATCGTGTATTAAAGAGAGACTGGATTTGAGTTCTTGTATTAAAAAAACTCCCAAATAAAGATTCGCGTAACACGGTACTTCAAGAATTAAAGAGCGACTGAAGATTTAACGAAAGACTGGATAGAAGCGAAAAAAGAACGTGAGGGTCAAACCCGAGATGAAGCGGAAGCAGAAGTCGAAGAGATGCAGAACAACCGCACTGGGGCAATACGCTCATTATGAAAAGGGACGGCTACTAGCCAAGGCTAAGGGAAAGGCACTAACTGGGACCAAACCTGCATATGGGGGTTTTTTACGGGGCCAGAATGATGGAAGTGGGCTGTGATAGGCTGTTCAAGGGCGTTGTATAAGGAACTAGAGTAAATTTGGATCAGGAACCCGTGTCAGGAACCGGACTTAGGCCAGGGGTTCGAGATCAAAGGGGAAATGAAAGAAAGTGAGAAAGTGAGAAAGAGGGTTCGTGCTCCATTTATCAACGCCACTAAACTATAGTAGGATTAGAGTCTGCAATCTTCCCTGGTCCAAGCTGATCTTTCTCTTTATGCGGAAGGTTGTTGTGTCGCTCCTTATCAGAAGATGAACGCGTTTTTTTGGCGGTGATCAGTGTGATCTACGGAATCTATGGAAAAGGAAAAAAAAATTATTGAGATTTGAAAAGCCAGATGGCAATCCATCTGTGACATTCTTATTGTTTTTGCCCTTTTTCCTCGCAGACCCTGACAGACCCCTTTTCTCCCTTGTGGGGGAAAACGCCTCGAGCGGGTCGCGTACATTAGCGCAGGTGAGATCATCGCAATTTACATTACGCGCCCACGTTCCCGTTGTTTATGGAGAAAGGATGGGTCTCCATAGGAAAAATATAAGCGAAAAATTGACATTGACCAATTTTAAAATTGCACTCAAATGCCACTAGTAGATCTAGCATGTCTTGTCATATAAGAGATCGGGTAATGTACCTGATACATTGAGCTGAAGGTGGATACAGCGAGAATTTGAATTTGGTTGAAGGTTCGGGAAAAATCAGTTCATGAATCGAATCTTACACAGACACTTCCACCACCGGGACAACTTGATTCAATATCCCAGCAAGGATTCCTACTACCAGCAACATCCCATTGAACGCAGCCATAATATAGAAGGGAGCACCCGTTGACACCTGGTCGAATAACGTTCCTCCCAACTTAGTGAGCAGCAAGATTCCTGCCCCACCATACAGCGAATACACCCCAGCAATCGACCCCTTCAAGTGCGACAAGTGCTCCAACCGCCGATTGACCGATCCCGCGAGAAGAGGCCGGTCCTCACTCGATTCACGGTCATCAGCATCAGCATCGAGCACACCCTCATCGTCATAAATCTTACGCATCGCATCATCATCCAGACTAACTCGCAAAATCCCATTACTGAGAACAGCAAGACTGCACACGATAGCACCGATCTGGCTCAGGCCAATCAGGCCCATCACGAGGAAGACCACCGCGCTGCCATCAGGGCCCTGGAATTGCGGGTTGGGAATCTGCGCAAACCAGATGTACCCAATCACACCAAAGAAGGCGGCTACCAGCAGTGGGACATTATACCGGCGTGACTTGTCGGTCAGGAACCCGAAGGCTGGTGCCGCGCACAGTGCAACCAACTGGGAGACCCCCGTCAATATCGATGCAAGGATGTATGCGCGCGGGCACGCGCGTTTGATGTCACCAAGCCCGGACCCGCGGACTGGATCATGTTCGTCGCAAAGACCCGAGACACGGAAGTAATGGTTCACCGCTAGAGGGATGAACAGGGAGATGCCCACTGATGATGCCCGAGCCACAAACCCGCCCACGTAACCCAGTCCAATGCTGCGGTTTCGGAATCCCAGAAGCATTGCTGTGGTCAATTGCTTCCAGTAAGGTAGGGTGGCAGGTTGGTCATCTTTTTGTGAATGGCATGTCCGCAAAGCGGACCATCCTTTTCCTTCTTCGCCGGGTAGTTGGCGTAGGCCAAGAAAACTGACCACGCTGATGATGAGAGCCACGACGGCTACAAGGTAGTAACTGCGTTGGATAGCCTCGGTAGGTGACAGTCCGACTTTTTCAAATCGGGCTGGGAGGGGAAGGAAGACTCCAAGGGAGACGAGAGCTCCACAGCCTGCGAAGAGCCCAACGAAACCTGACAGCCGAGCTGAGGGTGAAGCACTGGCTGTTGGTTCGGAATTACCATTCTGGAGTCTGCGTACCCGTTCAGGGGTGATTGTCAATTCTGACGAGACTGAAGCCCTGTATGCCTGATTGCGAAAGGCCTTTCCCGTCACAGTGGGTAAAACGGCTGTGACCATGGTTGATACGGCCGAACCGCCGAGGCTGAAAAGTAGCCGACCAAGGAGAAGCTGGGGATAAACATTCTTGGCCTGTACGAAGAGAACTAATGCCAAAGCAATAATTGCGTAGCCAATAGTGCAAACCTATCTTTCGTTTAGTAATCTGTAGCTTCAAGGAGATCTAGATATAAGCGGACACGACTTACATGACGTACGCCGATCCGGTCCGAGAGTACTCCCCAAAGGGGGCAAGCAGCCAGAGCAAGCAATTCATCAGCAAATCCCAAAGTCCCCACCGCATCACCCTCTCCATCATGGAGTCCGATCAGATCCGTTACCACGAAGGAAACAGACGAATTGATGAATACCAAAAAAGCGATTGAGAAGGGGCAGACCGCTAACAGGTAGGTGAGGGTCTGCCCCCTTGAGGCTGTGAACAATGCCGGAGCTGAAGCCATCACCGGTGACAGCGCATTGCCTTGAGGGAATTCTGGAGAAGAAAGGAAGATGAAGAATGATCGGCGAGTATTCTCAGCTTGTGTCGCCTGGGGGTGGGGTGTCACGTGCGATCAGATAAACAGGGATACGGGGATCACGATGAAGTAGATCAATGACGGGCTGGTTTTTTGGGTCACTTGGTTCGACAATTCAAGGTGCAGAATGATTGAGTCTATGTAGATATCTTCTTTTGTCAGTCCTCTGTTGCAAAAGTGCTTCTCAATTACCACGGCAAAGTGTAAAGGAGAAATCCAGTTTATTGAATGTTTTGATTGCCACTCGGGATGCATCTGATCCGGGGCCCCACCGGCCCGCGGCACCTTATCAATTATCACATCGTCAAGAACCACTTGGAATTCTTGCCCAAGTAAAAAGCAGTTATAGATATCCCTGCATTCAACCTTTGAAGTTTACATACTACGTTTTTAATACTTGGAACAACTATATACTCAATACTCGAGATAAGCACTGTACTCACTACTCAATGCCTATTTCCATCTCTTACTTTGTGGCACCCGAGTACATAAGAAAGGTTGATTTGGAAGGAATTCAACGTTTCTAAGATTTTCAATGTTAACTTCAAATTGGATCGGGGCAACGACATTGATTCAAATAGATTTGGGAATGAATGTGAAATAGCCCGTGGTACCTCGCGTACCAACATTGAAGTTCAACATTGAAATGTTATCGATCATCATTGCCCAGGGACCACTTTACCAGTACCCATTTGAAGATGTGGCCCTACGATTTTTGCTGTATCACAGGAATCATGAGATGGAACATTGGAAGCTCATAATCAATGGCAAAGAGTTATTTCTTATGTAAACTCTGCCCAGCCATAGCTACTCACTGGCAGGAGTTTTTATTATTTCAATGTACAAATATTCACATAGGATGTGTATATATACCATATTTCTTTTTGAATCCATAAGGTATCAGAACTAAGGCTGGATTATATACTAGTTACAAAGACATGGGTAGATGGAGAATGATGTTTCAATGTTAGAATAGTAGAGAGCAAATACCTCTTGAGAACACTTTCGTCTGCCAAATACTGCAGGATTCAAAGTTGACAAGGGAATAAGGGGTGTCATCACAGTGCAATCGGTATGGCACTTGCCTGGTTCCTGGGACTAAAGGGTGGCAATGGTCAGCAAGAATTTTGGCTATCTATACCTCGTAGTCTCTGATAGACGAATACGATGCATTCATTCAAAGCCATAGTAAATACTAAGCTTCCTGGGAGCAACTGTGATAGGGTAATTGTTTTCTTAGAGCCCAAGAGTAATTGAGTTGGGGCGAGTGGTTCCTAAGTATTAGAAATTGAAGTCCGGGCATGGGATTCTCTTCAGGATTTGGGCAAGAGGACCACATTTTCCATGTCTTCTAGTACGTAGCTGAGGAGCCTGCGTGAGTCGGAGTGACTGCGTGACCGTCTACCCCAACTTAAAGCTGCAAGGCACGTGCGGGATAGCTCGGCTGACGTAAGATGCGGAGGCGTGCTCTTCTGGAAAGCTGTCCAGATCACAGTATACTCCTGTGTCGATACTCCAAGTTCTTCCCCTCTCTTTTCCCTCTGATGATCCTCAATCTAAATATCAGTCGTTCGTCATGAGACTGGCCGCGTATGCTGGGGTAAATAATCCTCTCTTATTCCTACGAGCGACCCTTTGCTGATCCTCATCTAGGCCTCGGTGGTCCTAGCCACCGGTGTATTCTTGAAAGCGCTGCATCAGAGATCGAACTTCTACGCCGCTTGCGTGTATCTCTCACAAAGCAGTGCCAATCTTATGGTAAGTTGGATGGTACGATCGGGTCTATCCCTGGCTGTGGACTCGCGAGACCTGCCCACTTTCCCCGCGTCTTGAACTCACGACTAATCATGCGCTCGGCGCGGCCCTCTACAGATCCTCACGAATCTATGCCTTATTATTACTGCCTTTGTTTTATTCTGGCTCCAGCGACTCCTTTACGGTCCCTTGCGCCCCATCGAAACCGAACAACTATATGAACGGGCATGGTTTGCCATCACGGAGACATGTCTAGCAATGACCATCTTCCGGGGTGAGCTTGGAGGTTGGTTCTTGGTCATGTTTATCTCTCTGTTGGTTGGAAAGGTCTGGGGCTGGATTGGAGAAGGACGTGTCGAATATCTGGAGCAACAACCCCCCGCGAACCCGCGACTCTTCCACATCCGACTGGCATTCTCGATGGTATTGACGGTCCTCTTCAATGCCTCGATGCTAAGATACTGCGTTCACACCGTATACCACCAAGCTCGACCGGACATGATGGTAATGTTCGGTTTCGAATTTGCCATTTTGACCATTCTCTCGACTTCTACTGCCGCTCGTTATGGTATTGCGTTGACGGAGATCTACATAACTCGCCAGCAGGTGAAGGTGAAGATGGATGAACGCCGAGCGGAGATTCGGGAAGCTCGTTTGGAGGCCATACGTGCCAATGCACGAGCTGGAGAGACCTCTCCTCCCGCCAACCTACCTGACGAGAATGACATAAATGAGTTGGAGATAGACGTCCCAGGCTGGGAAGAGAAAGGCCGATGGGTCTTCTACCTCGATCTCTTGACAGACTTTGTTAAACTCGTTGTCTACCTGATCTTCTTCGCAATCCTCCTCACCTTCTACGGCTTGCCCATCCATATTCTGCGTGATGTCGTTGTTACCATCCGTTCTTTCGGTCGTCGAATCATGGACTTCCTTCGATACCGCAATGCGACTCGAGACATGCACCAGCGATACCCGGATGCAACACCAGAGGAAATCGGAAGAGAGGATGTTTGCATCATTTGCCGAGAGGACATGGTTCCCGCACAGCCAGCTGCAGCAGGAGAAAATGGACAGCCTGCAGCCAACACCCAGAGTGTGCCTGATCGCTTGCGCCCAAAGAAGCTGCCTTGTGGTCATATTCTTCATTTCGCATGTCTCCGGAGCTGGCTGGAACGGCAACAAAACTGCCCAACCTGTCGCCGACCAGTGGTTGGGCCGGGCGCGCAGGGTGTGGGTGGCAATGCTGGCAATGGTGCCATTGCCCAACAGAATGGTGCTGGTGGAATCCAAGCACCTGGACAACAGGGTGGCCAAGGAGACGGATTAGCGAGAGGCCGTGTCTACCAGTTCGGTCCCTTCAGGATTGGATTCGGCGCTGGACGCGGTGACGTTATGCAGAACCTGCAGAACCTGGAGAACCAGATGAACCACGGCAACGCACCCCAGCAGGTTGCTGGCAATGGCAACCAGCAAGGAGCCCGCCAGATGGGGCTTGGCTTTGGATTTGATCATGGGGCACAACCGGGCCTCCCGGGCGTCCCTCAGAACCATCCCATGGCAGGTTCTTCAAATTTGACTACCATAAATGCTCAATTACAACATATCGAGCAACAGATCGCTCAAGAGATCATTTCTTTGCGTGCTGCTACAGAGCAGCTCCGCCATGTGCGCGCTCTTCAAATGGAGCTGGATCGACTGCGCAATAACGAAAACAATATTCCTGCAGCTACCAGTACCACATCGCCGCTTCCAGGCACTTCCAATATCCAAGTTCGACAGCAGGTTTCTTCGAGCATGGGCACAGTGCCTTTGAATGCTGGGGATGCTCGTCTACCAGAGGGATTGACCCTCCCAGCTGGTTGGACTCTCACCCCTCTTCAGCCTATCAATCCCAATGTTTCAAGCCCGCTGAGAGGAAGTCCGACATCCCGATTGCCGACTTTCACACCGGGGGTTCCTACACCACACATTCCCGGTGCTTCACCATGGACTCACTCCCATTTCAATAGAACTACATTCCCAACGCCAACACCAACAGTCCCTGCGACAACCGGCGGTGATCAAAATGCCGATAGCGAAGCACCACCTGCTGCTGCCGCCCCCATCTCGGCTGAAAACATCAAGCCCGCCGGCGAATCAAAGCAGTCACTGCCTAGCTGGGGCTCGTCCAGTGGCTGGTCAGAGAACGTCCCAGCAGACTCACTGTCTCAAGAGTGGACCGATGTACAACGCGACCACATAACCGACGCAGCTTCCTCCACAGCGGCCACATGCGGCGGTGATACAGAGACCGAGACAGATGCCGCAGAGAAGACATCGACAGTTGAAAGAACACCCGAAACTGACACCGACTCTGCATCAAAAGGCAAGGCCCGAGCAGCCACAGTCGAGGAAGCAGACGAGGAAGCGTCTTGAAAATAGACGGAACTAAGAAATATGTTTATTGTTGACTACAACCAAACGAATGCCTCTGTGTACCTTTTCTAGGCTTGCTTTTTCTCGGTCTTTTACTTTGGTTTCTTTCCCCCTTGATCGCATCCCCCCTTTTGGATCAGCTTTGCATGGCGTTTTATCGAGCACAAAATCATACCCGGCTTTCAGTCTTTTCTTATATCGTGATGGGTTTCAGGCCGGCTCTTCCGGTTTGAATACTTGAATCATTTCCCAATCAGCCTATGTGTTAGACATGTTTCCATAATGAATTAGTAGATACTAGGTACTGCACAAATTGAAAATTAAATCTAGCCTCCTTCGATCGGTTGCCAAAGTGTAAGGTTGTTCGACACCCGTGGAAGTTGAAAATTTTTCATTAGACCAATTCCCTATCCCGAGGTCTCTGTTACGAGAACTCCAACCAGTCTCAGAACACTCGAACGTCGTATGTTGCACATGTGGTGGGAAACAATTGCTCGTAAAGTTTTCCAATGATCAACAATGTATTTTTTGGCATGACACAGGTCAATAGTTAATATGATACAAGTCCCAAGACAGGAGATTCTATTCACAGTCCCCAAAAAAACATCCATCCCCCAACGCCTAATAGAATACATGCAGATTAAAGTCACGGGCTGCCCCGTCTAGCAAGGCTAGCAAAAACCAGGGATGATAGTATACAGTGTGGCGCCTAGCGACCACAGACAAGAACAAGAGCACAACAATTCATGATCTATGAGGTTCCCACGAATCGCAAGACAAACTCATAGACTCCGAGCGTAATGATCGCCGAGGGGATCGAGCGCGCCATATGCGGCATCAAACCACCATACAAACCCGCCATTCCCTCTTCCTTAGCAATCAAGCTAAAGCACTGCAGCAAGCCAGTGTATTTCGGCACGCCGTTCTCAAGCGGTGCCTGGCGAAGTCTCGTGCGAATAACCTGTAAGAAAAAGATAAACACGTCAATTAAAATCCCAGGAACATCTGAGCAGATAGCGTAAGCTTAGCGTCTCAACATACCTCGTGCGGGTACGCAATCAGGGCCGCGGCAAACTTGGCCGAGCCCGCAGCTCCGGTGGTACTAATCCAGCTAGTGATTTCCTTCTGCGCGGCCGTGTCCTTTCCATCCGGTGAGCCGAGCGACTTGGCCATCATGGTCTTCAAGCGCTCGTACAGGACCAGATGCAATGCCGTCTCGACAGAGCCCAGGTAGCTAGCGCTCAGGCCCTTGTACAAGCCGCGAACGCCTTCGTGGCGAAGAACCTGCTGCACGCAGTCGAGACTGTTGCGGTAGCGACGGGCGCCGGTGGTGGTCTGGGCGCGATCGAGTTGCAATCGTGTCTTGACGAGCCAGATGGGGTTGGTAGCGGTAGCAGTAGCAATGCCAGCGGAGATGGCGGCCTGGGCGTGGATGAGAGTAGAGTCTTCGCCGAGGCCGAGAACCTGGGCGCCGATGCGCTTGCAGTTTCCGTAGACGTAGAATTTAATGGCGGTGGCTGGGACGACGCCGGCAAGACTTGGGCCTAGGCCGCGGAAGAAGGCGCGCCATCCTTCGGCTTTGTAGATGTTGCCGATGATGCGGAGGGTTTTGTGGTTTGTTTTGGGGGGGATGATGGCGCCGGGGGTTTGAGAGACGGGTTGGTAGAAGTCGGATTGGAGACGTGTTCGGAGAACGTCGAGGGGGGATGTGACGATTGCGGTTGCGAAGCCTCCGCTCCTGTTGGGGAAGTTTTTGTCAGGGGGTTGTGATGATGATTTTGCGGACAGATCTCGGAGACAAAACTTACGCGCCGGCTATGAGGTGTGTCCAGGGATCATGGGACTTTTTGGGGGCTGTTTGGGAGGTCCGGAGTTGGACGCTCTCCTCAGCAGGTTGACCGTGAATCTTGGGGCTTTGCTGCATCGTAACAGCACATTCTTAGCTGGATTGGAAAAAGTTGGAGATTGGCAAATTTCCGTAAAGGAAGCACCGGGTCCGCAAGTTTTCACGTGGTCACGTGAGATAACCAATGCCTAGTCGCTGATAGGCGCTGTCGCCACTGGAAAAGGACTAGACTCGGACAAATCGGACTTATCCAAGGACCCAGGGTTTGTCGCTCGATCTATTCGTGTTTTAAAAGCATATGTAGTATGAATGTTTTAACGGTTCGATCTACATGTTACACGGCGCACGCATATTTCGAAGACGTGATAAGAATAGCCCCTCGAACCTGTTACTCGACAAGCACTCTCCTCTCTTCCAGATGTCCTCTCATGGCATGGTTGTCGGTGCAAGCGTCATCCTCAAAATATATATGTGCAAGTGCATGAAGCATACCAACCTCGAATTGCCTTTCCTGCATCGCCACCAAGCATCAATAGATAATCATAGCATGATCCGACAAAACAAGTATCAATTTTTTTTTTTTTTCTTTTAAGGTGCAGATGCTAGAGCTCACATTCCCGCTTGTTCACTTTCTCGCCATGAGCTGTAGCCTTCTTTGTCCAAAAGCAGTGTTGGAAGGCTCTCGATTCGTTAAAAGATGGCGCAGGACGTTTGTTATTCAGGTATTTTGCGGGAAGTGATCAATTGAGATTTAATCAAGGACTTTGAGGTGTAGTAGGAGAGGAGAGGTTCAAAGGTTGATTGACGAGTGAACTGTAGAAAAGAGAAAAGATATCGGTTGGTAGAAAGACCCTCGGAAGATTAGAAGGAACAAAAGGAGATTATAAATTATCCAAGTATTAAAAAGTACATATTTGAATGATATAGAGCAGAAGTGAACTAGCTACTAGAAGTGTATACGCGACCCGTGGACTCAATCCACCTCTCACAAGCACGAGTTCAAGGTCATACCAGACATTCCTTTCCTCCCTAATATTTCATTCAACATGTTTTCCATCAACGCACGCAAAACGCTCAGTCTTGAAAAAGTCCGAAGACTCATTTCTCACAGTCCATGTACTTGCTGTATCGATGTATCTCAATGCCCTGGGTACCCTCGTCCGACACATGAGCGTTAAAGACCGGCTTGGAAATATTATGGTCCCCAGACGAGCTGGTTGTGTTCATAGTGATAGTTGTGGCCGTTTCGTTCGTGGTGTTCGAATTGAGATGAGCCTTGCTGGACGCACGTGAAGAACGGAGCTGACTCCAGAATCCGCGGGCACTGAATCTAAACAGTGGCCTGAGATTGGGGAGACAGGCGCCCACGATGGCAACGGCGCCCTCGAGACAGGTCCACATGGCGACGGGGGCTTGGTTGACTGCGGAAATGTAAGGGGCTGATTCTCGGAAAAAGCAAAGAGTGTGTGGATGCTTACATGTAATATCAGGGCCTTGCGTGGTTAGTTTGATCATGACCCACAGGCGAACGACGTCGAATATTAGAGTTCTTGAGGCTTTGTTAGAGACTCCACTTGGATTTAATATGGGGAAATGAAACTCACAAGCCACCAATGAGAAAAACGCCGGAGAGGAGAATCTTCTGGGTTTTCGGAATCGGCAAAGAAAGCACCAACTTGATGGGCATGACGAGAATAATCAGATCCGAGAAGATGTTAGGGATCTGCATGGCGTAGTTGAAGTTGGCTGTGTTGATGCATCTCCCGTCGATTGATCTATCCCAGAAGCTGTTGATTGGAATACAGTTCAGTGTCGCTGCAACCATGATGCTAACACACCAAAGCACAACAAACGATGCCATTATGTTGACCGCAATAGTCATGGGCTTGACCGTGAACAGTCGCTTGTATAGAGCCAGAATAGACAACTTGGTGAACGCGACGCATGTTGTGTACATAAATGGGTTTGCCCATCCAATCTGAGCCTTCAATCAGGTCTGTATTCTTGTACGCGGAGGAGTGGAGCCGTACCTTGAAGTAAACAATGAGGTTTTTTTCCGGGACCATGTCTATGTGAGATCCCATGCCGTTGAAGAGGACTAGGTATTTCCTCTATTAGCGCGACGACTCCACCACGGGTAATTCCAAATCACTCACGGATCGTGACTCCGATGGAGCATGCATATTTGAAAAACTACATAGAAACGGCCGATTAGTCTTGCGCTAATGTGCAACGGCCCCACAAAACGTCAAGTCCTGACTCCTCACCAGCGCAATAAGAATCAAGTAATCATCCAGAAACAATTTGCAACCGCTCAGTTTCCTGGCCCAAATTCGCAGGGCGACAGCAACGGTGGGGCATAAGAAGGCAAATACGAGTGAGATCTTGACTGATCGTCTTAATGCTTCGTTGGGGTGCTCAAAGTCACCGTACAGGCCCGATGATGTGGAATTGGAAGACATCGCAGGCGACCAAGTGGATTCACGAGGCTTGAAGGCGTGGCGGAAGGAACAGAGAGAAAGTTTGATGATTTGGAATCACGCATGAATCGTGGAAGTGGCCGTTATTATAGCAAGAGTGGATTTTTGGGCCAGAGGAATGGCAGATAGGGCTGTCTGTCTCCTTCATCCTGGTCCATCGAGATATGTCATATCGATCAAAGTCTTCTGCATGATCGGAACACATCGAAAAAGTGTCAGAGCGGACTTGCCACCAATCATGCAGAGGCATATGCATGGGGTTTGGGGCATATCTCGCCCAGAGGATGTTTTGACGTCAATAAAAGTCGTGAAAATTTGATAGTATGCGGTTTGATCTCAAGGGAGGTGGGTCAACATTGCCGATCTTCTGCTTGTCATGCCCCGGGAATCATGGCTCGAAATCCATGGCCGGGATTTAGCTGTCTCACAATGGGGGGATGTAAGAAGCTTTTCCTGATATGTCATCCCTTGGTGTTGGACATATCAGATTGCCTCGACGTATTCAGAAGTTAAGGTCTTTTTTCTTGCCACGTATTTTCCTTTTATCTTTTTGAAGATGATGTACTGCATTGAATCATGTTGCTTTGATTGCTTACATTTTGCCACAGAAAATAAGCAATGTTAAAAAGCAAAAGCAATTTTAATCCGTCTGATGTTTCAAGCGCATTCCCTCAAGAGAGGTTTGAGTCCTTTGACTAAGCCAAAAGTTTACCTTAAAAGTCAACTGGCAACAACGTTTCGATAGACCTCAGTAAGGGAGGCCAATTATTCGGAGGTGATTCATGAAAATTCGGATGCGGGGTATTTCCGAGTTTGTTTATATTGCAAATGTTCAAATGTTGATATATCACAACTGTGGATTGACATTCATAACAATTGCCACTTTGGGCGCCACGGCAGTGAAGAATGTTCCTAGTGGGGCCTGGAAAAGTGATGGGTATCAAAATCAGTTCACATGCAAACCAGATCTCGTATCTAGATTGTGTAACCCAGAGTATTTGGAGCATCTAGATTCTATCAATTAGGGCTCGGGTACAAGAGAAAAAAAATCACAGCCAATGTAATCTCATATTTGAGCTCCGTATCTTCACGCCAATCACGATATAGCAAAACACCAGACGCTCAAACAAGTCAGTTTCAATGCAAGTTGCTTCCAGAGTGCACGGAACTAGTATTGGAAGCTGACCTGCAAGTATAAGGAGTTTGAGTTCTTCAGTTTCCTTACTACGCATGTATTGACATGATATTATTCTGATTGATCAGCCAATACTTAAATCCGTGCATTGTGGAAGGCTTAAGCCATTCCCCGACCTTTGTCTTTTTGTTTATGGACTGTCTTGCATGCACATCTGCACATCTGCACATATTATTGTGATCAACATCCTGTACCTACTACCAGATATTCTTCAGCAAGTCTTCCAATGGGCAGAATAATTGGACTTTTAACGAATTGATCTGAAATTGATATACTAAAATCGCGCGTTGCAGTACAACCTTAAATCACATCAATATGACTCCACAAAAGCCTGATATTCAATGTTGAGGAATTCCAGATGTCTTGAACTTCTGAGGCTGAATTGTTCCAAGGTCGGTTCACTTGATTTGGCTCGATGTTGTCGCATTCTGTACTCTGTATAATATTTGTAGTCGTAAGACTACCTATACCTGGATTGAGAGTCTGTATCATCTCAGCTTGGAATCTGTATTCGCACGCCATCTCATCGGATACAAACCCGACCGGCCTCTTCGTATTGATAGACGTATATCTACCGGAATGGGTCTTTGGCTGGAAAGCAAGACTCGAATTTCTCTGGAATCATAGCTGATTGCGCAAGGCGCATGGTCGTTCTCAATGCCCAGCGTAGAAAGACCGGAGAAAGACCGGAGGAGAGAAGGGCATCTCAGGACAGCGTCGCGGCAACATATAACTATCGAGAGTAGAGTACCGAGTAGAGTACCGCCAGAAGAAAGGTCGCTGAGACGGGACCCGCTGATGTAACATAGCCCCCGCCGTGATTGGTTGAAAATGCTGAAAAGCTTGGCGCTTACTGAATCTTTTCGAACCCACACAGGTTTGCATTGTCTGTCCCTTCTCCAAACCACGCAAACACCCCGGCTCGAGTCAAGCTTCATAGTTCATCTGTCGCGAGTACACGATTAGCCCATTGCAACTTTCCACAACTTACTCACCCCCTACCTGGGGTGAAGACCTGGTAAGAAACCCCTCTCATGCCGACTTGTGACATCCTGGGTTCCTTTGTGAACGTGTGTGCTGAGTATTGCTCATATCAAGCTGTTTTTTGTCTGTCCACGGTCCCACCATCACTCCCAAGCTTGCTTTTTGACAATTGCGCACGTACCCGGAAACGACAAAGGCCCCCCTTACGATTTCCTAAAAGTCTGTAACCTTCGGACGTGCGTCTCACAACTTTCAAATTCTGCCGACATTTAGCAGGCTTTGAGAACGTGATTGGCACGTTGACAGCTTTGTATCACGCTTTGCGCCAACGACAACCATGTCTTCAAACTCGAATCAACACGCTCCGGTCATTGACCACACCTCTCAGGCAGCTTCGAATGCCCATTTGGATCCAAACAATGGCTATCCGGCAAGTGATAACCAGCTTGCTGGCTTAGTGGAGGCTGCGACCGCGGCGGCGGACCAAGACCAGGACCTCTCACACTGGGCTGCTGCTGCTGCCACTGCAGTCAGCCACCAACACTTGGATGGCTATGGCACTGAGATGCATCTTGCTGAGGATGGGTTCGGCGATGCAAACTTCGGTGCTGCCATGGGAAGTGGAAGACACTTGAGAGTCCCCAACGACCATTCCCAGAGCCCCGGGCTCTCTCGTACCGTGTCGAAGAAAAGAAAGCGGAATGATGATAATCTCGATCCTGCGTTAGCTGCGGCTGGAATTTCCGAGAATCAGCAGCATGCGCAAACATCCCATCAAGCATCACTTGGATTCCCCGGTGATAATATGGACATTCGGTCTGCGCCGCCACAATCTTTGAATGAAGCTCGTGCAGTAGGTGTGCACTCGGCCGCCGCGCTCTTCCGTCAGCCGTCGACTAATAAGAAGTACACTCGTCCTCCAATGTCGAAGTTGTTTGCTTCGCTTGAGTTGTCCCCGGAAAATTTCCTGCATCTGCAAGCTGCGGCAAAGGGATACATGCTCAATGATGAGCACCCAGAGCGGCGGGATTGTGTAGGGCAGCGAGGCAAAGGGGATACTGAAATGGTCAAGTTACGTCTGTGGAATTGCGTCAGACACTTTCTCGAAGCTGAGGGCAATGGAGATCGGTTCTTTGGAGAGAATGTCGTAAATGAAGGCATGGGTCCACGAACCTACATATGGCCTCGTGACCAGCAGAAAATTATCTCTCTGGTGATACCATTGTTGCGAAGAATGGTAACAAACGAAAGGCAAAGACAATACGCAATTGAAACACGAAAAGTGGGGGGCTCAGATGACCGCCGCCGGCGTCAAACTAATGAGGGTTTGCAAGAACTGAATGAAGAAGTGAATGGTGCCACCTATTCGCCAGATCAGTCAGCTCAAGTGCGCGAGAACAATCGCACTAGTGACCTAGAACGTAACATTCAGTCCGCTCCTCCTCCAACTCACTCTAACAACTCCCTCGCCCTCAATCCTTCTGACAACTCTCTCAACCCTTCCAACTTCATCAATATCGGCCTTCCTCAACTCCTTGAGGATAACTTTCTTTTTGATTACGACGAATTCGTTAAATCTTACGATACGATGAATGCGTTTGGCGAATTGTCGAGGCTTTTCGGTCTGTCTGGGCTTCAGGAGTCCGAATTCCGTGGAATCGTCGCCGCCGTGGATAACCATCACATGGCTATCCATGGAGGCCCTGGCCAGGTTTGCCCACCTGCCTGTGAGGCCGCCAATGTGCAGCGAATCGTCGAAGCGCCGTCAACAGCCGCTTTTAACTGGAATTATGGCGGCACCCAAGCCGGCCCCGCGCGCACCAAGTTGTAAGTTCATAACATTATTGACACGCGGCTAGATACAAGTAACTAATCACTTCAACAGCGCAACCTTCATCACCGAAAGTGTTTCGCAAGTCAGGAACGATATTGTGGAACACCGTGAATCGACGGACCTCCACCGCAACATCACCCAGCAGTCCGGGAGAGGGCTAAACATAGTCCCGGCGACGGACCCCTCGAACCAGCTGATCGTCCGCCTGAACGTCATTCGGGAGGGGAGACGCGTTCTTCCTCCCTTTGACGTTCAGGCGGACATGCTGTCCAGCGTGAACTCGGTAAAGGGCGTCATCGCCAACCGGTATATGCTACAGATTCTGGACCTGAGTTTTGGTCAGTTCAACGCTGATCACGACGTTGCGGACTCAGCGCTCGAGCGAGCGACTGCGGCCTGGACTTTGAAAGCCTTGTTGCCAGACGGTCTTGTCGAGATTGACAATAACGAGGACTGGCTAATTGCCATCGACTCCATCCAGGAGACTGACTGGATGGACAACAAGCTTAAAGTCCTGGTGGATATTGGTCCTTACATCGAACGGTAGATGAAAGCACCTGGCCTTGCTCTTGGGAATTGGATTTATCCTATGTCCCTCTCTCGACTCCTCGCATTTTATCTTATGCATTTATCATTTCTATCGATATCCAAGGTTACCAAGCTGCCATTATCATCACAGCCTTCTTTACTGGCATAGGCCTTGTCCTATGTCCCTATCTCCACTTGTCTCTTTACTCTTTACTCTTTTCTCTTTTCTCTTTTCTCTTTTCTCTTTTCTCTTTTCTCTTTTCTCTTTTCTCTTTTCTCTTTTCTCTTTTCTCTTTTCTCTTTTCTCTTTTCTCTTTTCTCTTTTCTCTTTTCTCTTTTCTCTTTTCTCTTTTCTCTTTTCTCTTTTCTCTTTTCTCTTTTCTCTTTTCTCTTTTCTCTTTCATCTTTTATCTTTTATCTTTCATCTCAGTTGATTTGTCTGTTTTATCGATATCCAGGGTTCGCAGGTTTGACTTCGTGACCGTTCTGAGCGGGTTTATCTTTTATTTGTTACCTCATACCCATTTGCGTTGTTGTTCCTGCTTTCATTCCCATCCATGGGATCAAAAATAGAAAAACCAAAAAAATTCTATCTTAACGCTCTGTTTATCTTGTAAAATGAATCTATACTACACCATAGCTAGCTTCTTAGGCGGCTCCTAGACTACCAAAGTTTACATAAAGTCATGAATTCAAGTTACACCACATATATTATCCAAACATAGAGTATAATACTAGCTAGGGTTCGAATCCGGGTGCACCCTCAAGTGCTCAATGATTCGCTGCACATTCGCGGCCTCACGGGAAGGTGGACAAACTTGGCCAGGGCCTCCATGGATAGCCATGTGATGGTTGTCCACGGCGGCGACAATGCCACGGAATTCGGACTCCTGAAGCCCAGACAGACCGAAAAGCCTCGACAATTCGCCAAACGCATTCATCGTATCGTAAGATTTAACGAACTCGTCGTAATCAAAAAGAAAGTTATCTCGTGAAAATCTTAGCATGTCCCAGCCGTTCTAGGATATCGTCGATCAAAGTAGCGGGTAGTCATCCTTCTTGGTCAATGCATTGAGTTTACGGTAATCCACACAAAATCGTAGACCTTCACTGGGCTTGGCGGCCATCAGAATTGGTCATGTAAGGGGGGCTGTGCTATGCGCGATGAACCCTTTCGCAAGGTTCTCCACAATATATTCCTGTGCAGTCTTCAGTTCCTCGTGAAACATCTTGTACACATGTGCAGTGGACAAGAGGCGGGTCTGAATTTCCCATGTGTGAGCTCAATCTGAAAGTCATCCTTTCCTTGCCGTGGCCCTTAGGTAATGTCTCCGAGCCCTTTTTCGAGAACACATCCTAGAAGTCCAGATACTCCGGTGGAAGTTGGGCGAGAAGCTCCTGCTTCTCACATACCTTTGGCTTCTTCGCAGTTTTTTTCGATCATCGCATCGATTTCTGCAAGACAAGTCCAAAATATATCGTCCTGTTCATCCGCCATCAATCGGCGGAGACCTGTAGCTCCGATCATTGCACAAGTCGCCCACTCATCAGTCCTACGTCTTCATTCCGCATCAGCAGTAAACAGGAGTATAAAACCACCACTCTGATAGTTCCCAATCTGGAAGCCATGCCTGATCATCCAGGCCGCAGTCAACTGTACTCCCTCGAGCGCTGTGACGGGGACTCATTGAGTAACATAAAGCTGATCAAAACTCAGATCCAGGATCTGCAGGCTGTACCGGTTGGCGATGAGGTCCTTGACCGAGTTAACAGTGGACACCATATCCGCCCGAATGTCAACGGGAGGAAGAACGCGTCTACCCTCCCGAATAACATTCAGGCGAACGATCACTTGGTTTGATGCATCAGTCGCCGAGACAATTTGAAGACAGAGTTGAGTACTCCCCCTGGCTGCTGGGTGATGTTTCGCTGACCGAGCCCCAGGCCAGGACCAAGCGCATGCGCAAGACTCAGTTCAATAGAAGAAGCCCCCTGCGTCTCTCGATACGGTCTGGTCATTGAGAAGTAGACTTGCGAGAACCGACACAGTCTCTAGCCCTGACCGTCACCCTCAAAGCAGCAGAGATGTCGATTCTCTATGCTCAACTTCGCAAGCTTCGAGAAGATAGTGGGGATCTCACTCGACACACAGCATGACAAGACTTGTGTTGACCAATACCGCTCTAGCCGAGCTCGATCCTTCTTTGGCCGGGAGATAAACCGGAGATATTATCCGGATTTATCGTCTTCCTCTGAGTTTCGCTTGTGGCGCTTCAGAAGAAGGTGCCAGGGAATCTATCAGCGTGGCTCTCTCCTGCGGTTGACTGAACACCAAGCGGCCTGACTCAGCGTCCCGTCTTTCCAGGGAGCTGAGTGATGTGAAAGGCTAAGGACCCTCTTGTGGGGCTTCAGGATTGAGTATACGCCGATGCAGACTCCTCAGCTTTAAGTTTGCCTGTCGCTTGGTGGAAGATCGCTTGATGGAAGAGTGCATCCTGTAGGATTCATGAAGAGGTCAGCGTCAACCCTATAGGTAGACTTCGGGGCTTGGAAATCTCGAACTGAGCTCACTTGGTTGCAGCAAAGGTGAAGCTGCTTTAAGAGCAGGCGTCTGCTCTTGAGAAGTATGTCAGGGCTAATAATAAATGTGCATCTTGGTGGGAAAGGTGTGTTGATGATGAGGACTTGCTTCTTGAACCACTTTCACTTCAATATGGCATGGTTGTGGAAGGTCACTTCTAAAGCAGATATAAATAACATTTGAAAGGAAGACCCTTGGATATTTTGAGCCAAGTCTGACATCATCGATCAGTGAATACCTGACAGCCATGGAAGGCGATGGAGTTGTGGAAGATTCCATGCTGGATGTATAGAGAGTTTATTGTGAAGGGTGGGTACTAGTATGATAATAATACATACAGGTTTGAAGTATACAGTGAATGTTACGAGTAGTAAATTTTATATCATTGAATTTATGTCGTATAAGGAACTTTCCGGTATGCTATTTTGTGTGTGCTAGTACTTGAAAGACGTTTACGATCTACAGGGTGAGTTTTACATGCTAGCAAAAATTACGTGCTGAAAAAAGTACTAAATAGGGCTACGAGAGCCACGTGCCGCGGCAGCCCACGAACCAGTACTACGTACAAAAGCTACGGCCGTACGTGCGCCACTATCAAGTGTTAGAGAGGAGTCGGGTGACCCCCTCTAGATACCAATATCCAGTGCTTGCTTCCTCCATTTTGCCTTCCTCTTCTCTCCATTCCCCGGAGAGGGATTGTCCACAGTGCCAATACATTTACTTCTCTCTCACTTAACTTTTCCTTCCCTCTTTCCTCTTCATCGCCAATACTACGACTTTACTCACGTATATATCCTATCTTTTCATCGATCACACGAGCCACGCATGTTTTTTGACTGGCAGGTGAAAAATGAGGATATGAAAGACCACAAAGACGATGGGTTGCATCGGGATTCGGAAGCACAATACGTGATGCTCCGTTCTTTCATGAAAAAACAAATATCTCCGGCGGTGTTGTACCTGCAAGCGAATTCATTTGGACTTACGGCTAATACACTCCAGACCGCAGATGGTATCCTGATCTACTCGGGTTGAGCGGCAACGATACCTGGCACTCATATTTTCCATCGGCTCGGTCAATGATGTGTCGGAATCGGATAACCAGTGGCCGGAGCATGTTCGGTGGCTCGCCGACTGCAGGAACAGGCCATGTCAGTCGATAGCAAATGATATACGAATTCTTTACGAGGAATGAGGCAGCCAATTCGACAAACTCGTGGCGGAACTCACAAGTGTGAAGCGAATCTCCCAATGACCGAGGACGAGGCTAGCTTTAACACCACTGGAATAGTGTTGCTTAAAACACTATCTCATCTACTTGGTGTGAGGCGCCTTGAATGGGTACACAATCAAGCTCAAATTGGTTGCCCGGTTGTGAATGTATTCGACGCTTACACTGATGGGGTGTTGCGCTCTAGACAAGGAGGCAATGTATTTGCCATTTTCAAGGTCAAAAAACGAACACATGCGAATGATCTAGCAGCAATTATGGATTCAGGAAACCTGCCTGTTCGCGGAGTGGCATATGAAGGACTCGGCGGCTAAGAAGGTGGCCTGCTTTAACGGTCACTACCAAGCTTGCCGAGACCAGTGGCCTGCGAGGCCGCGTCCTTCGAGACTCCATTGAGACCGGGTCGCTTGCCTATGCACTGCGCACGTTCGTGACTGAGTACTCCACCGCTTGGAAGTTAGCCAAAATCCGTTTGACTGCGAACCCTTCCGCTGCATTGCTAGCTCATGAAATCCTGTGCACGCAGAACATTCCGAACGTACGCTTCACGCCGGTCCTGCAGAGCGTCCTTATCGAGCCGAGCACGTTCTTCCCGACTGAACACGAAACGCCTTGGATTTACTTGGGCCTCGGTTTCAACGAGGAGTCGGTGAAAGACGATGAGGTCGACGGCGACGAGATCGTTGGCGGCGATGAGTGGACGAATCCGTGGAATGATCATATGGATTGCAATTGTTACCACAGCTATGGATTGTTATGAGCGCATTTCTAACATGTGTTTTTATTTTATGTGTTCCTTGCTTTTTGTTCTTTCACTCTCGTCGAGGACGACGGAGTCTTTGCTGCGGGGACTGTTGCGTGACCTTCCACTAGGGCAAGGCACGTGATGTAGGAGACGGGGTTAGATCCCCGCCCGTAGCCAGGAATAGATAGGAATGCATCCCCCTATTCCGAGTGATCACAACAACCGGGAGTTTACTAATAGGTTAATTTTCATCAAGAACAGTATGATCACTACACTACACTTCTAAATAGACTACTACATATAAAATACAATCCATCATCTGCCTTTTCACGAACTCGGGGTCATGCGTGCTTGAATGGTAAACCCCGCTAGGTGAATAGCCTTTAACCAGTCACAGTATACCGAGAAAAATATCGCTCCGCAGCCAGTCGCTTGTCTTGGTCCAGGATATAGACGGTACTGATTGTCGTTCAGGGCATCTTCAAATATTTCCGACTCTTAGCTCCTTCGTGGCCGAGTTTGGAGCTCTCCGATAGCTGTCATATGTACCATGCCTTGCAATGCCTTAAATTTGAAGGCCGACTATTTTTTTTCTGAGCGATACTGAAGGGTCTGCATGTAGACTGTTCCCCACTAACCCCGGGTGTCTCCTGTTAACTTGTGCCTGATGCACCCCTGGATGCGATTAGGTATATCAGCGCCTGTCGCCATGAGCTTATGTGCAGTTGACCCCGTTGGGACGTCGTACGTAGTAAACTGGAAATTGATGCAATATGTTGATAGTCTCGATTTTTCTAAGGTATATCTCACATGCAGTGATTGAATTCGGTACCACCAGTCATGGTCTGTCGGTCATTTGTTTGACCCCTGAGTCCTGACCGACCACCTATTGATGCCATTATAATAACTTATGCGGTACCATCTGCCCCTCTTCACAAGATTACCAATGCCCTCGATGGCGCATGGCATGGAAATCCCAAAGCCAGGTATAGAAAATGAAACTGCTGTTAAGCAAATAACTACGAAATAATCAAACAATCGCCTAGCGTAGCGACTGCATTAGCCGGAGAAATGACGTCTCAGTCCCGTGAAGTCGAGCCTTTGCTGCGGCATCCGGCATTTCATCGATGCTCTGCTGTAATTCATCGTATGCGTCCATGGGATCGCCCTAGTAGGCCAAAACTTCTGAAGCAGAAACTCCTGAAGCCAGGAGGGTAGAAATTTGTCCTTCAGCTGATTTAAATGCTGAAAGGCCGGTCATTTACGCCTGCTCGACCAATCTTTCCAGCCATTGAATGGCATGCCGGCAATGCCATGTGAGCGTCATCGGTAAGCGAACTCTTCACTCACCATTTTTCTTTTTTGATGCACAGACATCATTTTGTTTTGGGAGAATTTGGTGTATTCTGATGTTTCAGAGCTTTAGGTTGCACCGGCTGGAATTCCGGAGCAGAGGAGCAAAGGGGAACAGCAATAGTTAGTAAACATTGCTGGTGGTTTCCAACTGCCCTGATCGATTAGAAACCGAAGATCCCAATACATATGCCCGGGCACAAGGCCATAACCTTTGATCCGGTTCCCAACCTTGCAAGTTCGTCTTCCTCTCACTGGGGGCTTTGGGGGATCACAGACGTCGTCAACTCATCGTAGGCAAATGGAGATTCCCTCGATAGCTGTGGTACCATTCAAAAGACACCAGAAAGGCATCTCTAGGTTTGTTGTTTTGGCCTATAAGCTCCCAATTGCCACATTGATGCCACACTATACGGCCCCTTTGTATTTCGGGCCCCTGCATTATGGTCATGCGATGAAGTTAACACTTCGCGGACACCGTCAAGCTCATCATGGAGAGACATAACCCAAATGGACTCATCAGGATAGTTCCAGATTCTCTTCATGGGTCCACTTGATTTACTGGGGTCTTTGCCAGTTTGATCATGCTTTCTCTCTCCCCAGCCCTGATGGCGCTTCAACGATTCTTTTGCGTTTCCTGGCTCCTGTTCATGCATTGCTTGTTCTCTTTTTCTAGGCTGGGAAGAGTTTCATGAATGATGTTCGTAGCTTTCAAAAATTTTGGCTTCTTTGTACATTGTATTGTGTACGAGGCCAGATCCTGATAGACCCTTTGGTCCAGCTCACGAGCATGGGCCTTTTTCAAGATCATTCATGCCTCCTCTGGGGGGATTCTCTTCTGAGATAGTGTGTTGTTTCTCATCCTTGGTATGAGGTGTTGTGACTCATCTTTTGGATGGTGTATGGTTTTCCATCTTTGGTATGTTGACGAGTTCATTTCGGAGCTGACGTTGCGTGACTCTGCAACACCCATGGTCATGTCGGTTGAAAGTTCCAGTTTGGTCTTCTTCTTGTTGCGATTTGATCTTCATCCAACCAAGACAGGTTTCCCAGCTTGCAGTCTTGTAATCTGCTCATCCCAGAGCCTATTCTCATCATCATCATCATCCTCCAGATACGGCATCTTGACTTCAATGAAGATTGAAGGAGTAGGTTGTGAGTTTGATCATGTCGCGACTGGTTGTCGAGAGATTTGTACAGGTAATCAAAAAGGTGGAAAGATGGAAAGGTGGAAAGGTGGAAAGGTGGAAAGGTGGAAAGGTGGAAAGGTGGAAAGGTGGAAAGGTGGAAAGGTGGAAAGGTGGAAAGGTGGAAAGGTGGAAAGGTGGAAAGGTGGAAAGGTGGAAAGGTGGAAAGGTGGAAAGGTGGAAAGGTGGAAAGGTGGAAAGGTGGAAAGGTGGAAAGGTGGAAAGGTGGAAAGGTGGAGAAGTTGAGGTGAAGGCGAATCCGAACTGATCAATCCTTGTTAACTTGAATGTCATGACTTCCACTGTTATAGTCACTTTTTCCCCTCTGTCCTTACCTCTTGTACCCATCTCTTCCATCACATAGGCTTTGTCCCCTATTACTTGCAGTGAAGACAACATAAGAATGCCTCTCCGCACCCCCCTCCCCCTCCTCTGAGGGCTGCGTGAATATTTCCAGCATCCCTTCCTCTGTTGGCTCTCAGTCGATCTTCTTTCTGGCAAGACTGCTCTGTGTAATCTGTCGATGTGGATTTTGAAATGATAGCCGCAATGGTGGGTCCCCGCGGGCATAGATAGGGTATGTTGCCGTGGATCCTGACAAAATCGACGCCCCACGGGCCACCTGCCTTAAGCTGATAAGTTAAGGAGATGGGGAAATTTGCAGCGTGAATGAAGCTCAAAGTCAGCCCGCATATTGAAGAACTGTTAGGAAGGAGACTATTCTATTTCCAGCAAGAAAATACATACAGAGCACGAGAGCGATTGCCCAATAAAGTCAGTGGGCTTCAATATTGCCAAGATCGACGCCCCACCTGTTTGATAAGTTGAGCACTAGTCTCTCTCCAAGTCCCACTCTGAGGGAGGCACTATTTTTCGAGAGCCCCGCTTAGTACACTGTACAACCAATAGATCTACTGCTAAGAACTACTAGCTTCAAATGTCAAAACTCAGGGTTGAAATGAAGACTCTTCCCGGTTGCAAGGTATCCAGTCCTCACTACCTGCTAGTAGTAAGGGTAGGCAAGGTAGCCCTGCTCAGAGGTATATTGGACCCTGGTCAAATTTACAACAGCTTTCAAGATTAAACAACATTGAATCCATACATAAATCATCTCGAGGTTCATAAATTCCAAGCAGGCCGATGCGCTATCACAGTACATGTACTGCCACGGAACCATATTTCTTCCTCATCGTCTAATTTACCGTTAATTCACAAGGTTCCATCTATTTTATTTATGCTCCTTTCTCATACGAGCTCCAAATCTCCATAACAAAGCCAGAGCTGGAATACCCAGCCCAATGCTTATAAATCCCATCACACTATTACCCCAGCCATATCCAATAGCCGTGTAAAGATTTGCTCCAAACAGGGGAAACAAAGCACCAAATAACGATTGCACGAACGATACTGCAGCCATTGCAGATGCCGAATTAGACCCATGGATATCTATCACGTACATGTGCACATTGATCAGACCCATCATAAACCCGGCGTAGTAGATAGCACCACCGATATCAGGCATGGTCCAGTGTAACCTGGCTTCTGCAGACCACCCATACCAAAACAAGCCAATCGGAGCGAGTACAGCTCCTAATAGCATGGTGGGTAGGCGGAAATCCGGAGACCCTTTCCCGCCATTGCGGGCCGAGAGCGCCTTGTATATGCGGTCATTGGCGTAAGAACATATTTGCGCCCCTACTATAGCCCCGACTCCGAGGACGATGTAGTGTAGGCTTCCTATGGAGGTACTTTGGCCGTATCGCTTTCTCCAGAGGGTTGGGAATGTTGTGTCGACGATGTATGAAACGCCACTTAGGAATCCCATATATAAAGCCAAGGCTTGGACCAGTGCCTGAGTGCATAATAGATATAAGGGCCGAGTGATAGATCCTTTCAAAACCTCATAAACAGATGGTCTGTCCTGGGGTATATCGACTTTCTGCCCGCGTGCTTCGTAAAGATGTTTTAGTCTCCGCCCAAGAACAATTGGCTTGTGAGTCTCATGGAGAACGAAGAAGGCGGCAACCTGGATCACCGCATCCCAGATTGAGATCGCCCAGAAGATCCATCGCCATGTCGTATGCTGCGTCACAAACCCTCCGACAATGGGTCCTATGACGGGTGACAGAACAGGCAATACGCTGTAGAGCGCTGCAGCCGATCCCATATTTCCTGGATGATAGCAATCACCCAGCACACCGGCTCCAACACTTGCCGTTGTGGAGCTGCCTAGGCCGGCTAGAAAGCGGAATGCTAGCAGCTGGGGTGTTGAAGTTGCGAATCCACACACGGTATTGAAGAGCAGGAACCATAGATTGCTGAGCTGTGCGACCCATACGCGCCCGTATACTTCGGACAATGGAGCTAGGCAAAGTGGGCCGATAGCGTAGCCCAGAACGAAGATCGATAATGTGAATTGAAGCTCTGGTGTGGAGCTAATATTGAGATCGTGAGCGATGGCGGGCAGTGCGGGTGCTGTCATCGTAGAAGCTAATGGTGATATGCTTGCGAGGAATGACACCATGAAGACCACGGAGGTTTTCTTTGTGGGAGGCCAATTCTGAGGGTTTGCTGGGTCTTGATCACCATCCCAGGTGGCATGGCGTACTAATTGAAGGTCATCGTTGTCGTCTGACTTTGTTCTTTCTGAACTCTTTCTCATGCATTCCGCTGTGCTTGATGTGGCTTTCTCAGGATCATCGCGCGCCATTATCGGCAAATTTTTCCAGTGGAAAATATGGACAAGAGAGAAGAAATCAAAATACTTTGGGAGACGGAACACATGCCATTGTCTGACTGTCGTGTAAAACTTCGCAGAAATAAGTCACCGGTCCCTGAGTCCTAATTGACCCGCTATGTTGACTATCTTTTTAGCCCCATATTTCAGTTGAAATTGGGTTTTTGTGGAGAATGGAGATCGATGAATCCATGATAGTGGATCGCGATCATCGACTTTGGATTCTTTAATCCACTAGTGTCCTCGTACATCGTAGCTGGCTTCAAATCGCGACTTTAATGTCCCTCGTGTAAGTGGGAACTGCGGGCTCAATATGTAATATATTGTAAAATATTCGCTTCAGAGTAAGCACTTGAGAGTTTATTGACTCCATATTTGTCCTTAGTGTACGGAGTAGGTGAGGGCTTGTCCCTCAAGTGCTGGAAGATTTGGACAGTAATGAAACGAAAACGAAGATATGAAAAGGGGCTAAATAAGGAAAACAAGGTGGGCTACTTGAATTCTAAGGATGTGACAGGCCTGGGAGTTTTGAAAAACCAAGTGGGGGTGATATAAATGTCCATCATGATCTCAATCTCACATAAATCTCCGAATCATTAACATTATTTGAAGTCGAAAAATGGGTTCAATTTTAGAGCCACCAGCACAATTGGCCGAAGCATGGGACCTTACCCAACAAGCACCGACAAAGAACATAAGCTCTCTTCTTTGCGAGGTGGCTGAAAAGTTCCCAGACCAGACCGCATTGGTGTGTCTTCAACAAGCTGCATCGAAGTCTGGAACCTCTCCGCTCTCCTGGACTTTCGATCAATTGAACAAAGAAAGTCTCAGGCTTGCGAGCCATCTTTCGTCAAGGGGAGTCAAGCCCGGCGACTATGTTGTGGTGATTCTCCACAACGAATTCGAATGGGCGCTATTGTTCTGGGCCACGGCCCATTTACGCTGCCAGCTCGTTGCTCTGGATTCTCGTGCTTTTGCCTCTAAAGAAGATGCCCGTTATCTCCTTGCGAAGACACCAGCAAGTGTTATTGTTACTTCCAACGCAACGCTCGCATCCATCGCCGAAGAAGCTCTTTCATATCATGCTTTGAAACCAGTCGTTCGCTGCATCGCCGGTCGACCCGATCATGCAACCCTTATCTCTGGGTGGGAGGTGCTGGATGATATGATGCAGTCAGCTACGAATGACTTTCTCCCCGATCCTTTAGGAAACCCAGAGGAATCAGCTATCGTCTTCTTCACAAGTGGCACAACCGGTTCCCCAAAGGCATGCCCGCAAACCTCTGTGAATATTGTCTCGGCTGGTCTTGGTTTCGCGAAGAGACTAAAGTTAAATTCGAGCCACACTGTTTGTCAACATTTACCCAGCTTTCACGTCTTCAGCATGGGCGTGACACTCGGGGCTTGGTTGGTTGGTGGGAGTATCTTGTTCCCAAGCCCAACCTTTGATCCAACCAGCAGCATATTGGCTATTGAACAGGCAGAGAATGTGATTCTCCCTTGTGTGCCGTTGATGCTCAAAGCTATTGTAAATGTCAAACACACTTCAAACCAATTCAACTCCCTTGACTCTGTTATCCTAGGTGGTGCACCAATTTTCCCAGAGGCTTTGAAGATGAGCAACTCGCTGGGAGCCCGAAGGATCGTTGCAGGATTTGGAATGACAGAAGGTGTCATCACACTAATTAATGATATGGAAGCGAGTCAGGCACGACCATCGGCTCGTGGTGAAGTTTCCATTGGGACTGTTGCCTCAGGCTCTTGTGTTCGTATTTGTGAACCGGGTACTCGCCGGGTACTGCAACGCGGAGAAATTGGCGAGCTTCACCAGGGTGGACTGCCAGTGTTCAGTGGCTATCTCGGTCTTCAGGATGACTCGGCATATCACGAAGACGGAGTCAATTTCTTAGCCACTGGCGACCAAGCGTACATGGATGACCTAGGTAGCATCTATATTATGGGCAGGTATAAGGACATCATCATTCGCGGTGGGGAGAACATTTCACCTGCCAAGATCGAGAATTGGTTGCAAGAAAAGAAAGGAATTTTGGTAAGCCTCCGTCCATTCGCAGTTCGTGACCCTTCGCTTACCCACTGGTGATAAAGGTTCAAGTGATCGGAGTGCCTGACGATCTGGCCGGAGAGGTCCCCATTGCTATTGTCCAAAATTTGAAAGCAGCCAATACTTCACTTGAAGAGCTACACACGGCAATTGTTTCGGAGCTAGGTGCTGGCTTTGCCCCATCTATGCTTTTGGATCTCGAGGGCGACCTTGGACAAGAAAGATTCCCGGCCACAGCTTCAGGGAAGATTCAAAAATCGATAATTCGGCAATGGGCTTTGGATTATATGAGAAATTTGAAGCCTGCTGAACTGAGCACCGGGCATGATAACATCGAGTCTCAATTGGCGGTATTCTGGGCCACTCTTTCTGGTCGCAGGGCAGCCTCTATCCAACATGACGTGTCTGTCCATACTTTCGCTGATAGCATGATGCTTATTCAATTTTGCTCCCTAGTGTCCGAGAAACTGCGAAAAAAGATCACTGTGAGAGAGATCTTTGACAGAAACACAATCAGCTGTCAGGCAGAACTTCTTAGAGAAAGGCCGGAGATCAGAAATACCCCCACCACTCAAAGCACATATTCCAAAACAGCCCGATTCCCGATCTTGGAATCTTCTCAAATCGGTCAATCTCGGCTGTCATCTATCGAAGCGCAAAGTTCAGCGCAATTGGCTGATATGGGCATGAAGTGGAAAGATGTCGAAGATGTTCTTCCCATGACTGATTCTATGACATGGATGGCTCGTGGAGCCCGGCCAAATGCCTGGAATCACCGACACTCTGTCGTCGTCAAGTCAATGACTGGAGCTGAGTTGCGGCCCATACTACGACAATGGCTTGCACGCCATCCTCTCCTCCGCTCGACGGTCGCGTCTGACGGATCTGAAGTCGACTTCCACGTGGTTATGGCTGCCACAGAGACATGGTTCCAAAATCAAATTCTTGATGGAGAGATGATGGACTGTGCCGAGGATCTAATGACCCACAAACTAAATGATCGCGAATGGGATTTTGTTTCCCCCAAAGGACCCATGGCCAAAGCCACTATTTTCCCGATCAAAGATTCTTCGGATATTGGCGTGGTATTTCATTTCCACCATGGCATTTTTGACGGGCTGATTCTCAACCGATGGTATCTCGATTTGGAATATCTCTTGGATGGGCAAGTACCGCCTATCAACTTCTGCCCTTACCGAGACTTTTCAGGTGCATTTTATCTCAATCGAGATAGTGCATTTGCGCAGGAGGCTGTTGACTTTCACGTCCGGCGCTTGCGGGGTCTGAGCTCTAGCAAGGAAAAGATATGGCCTGTTCAAATAGCCCCAAGATGGCTCAAGGGTAATGACTGGGACTGGAAGCATGTCACAGGTGAGATGGGAGCGCCTGGAGAGCGAGTCATACTCGACGGCGACAAGGCAATCGGTACTATGGGAATGGCTCGAACGATCCCTGTGCCGAACATGCGGAAGCTGCGAGAGGAATTCTCCATTGCACCCCCAATTATCGCCAAAGCCGCGTGTGCTCTCTTCAACTTACATACCATGGGCTGTGACGAAGCTGTCTTTGTCAGTGTTGAATCCGGTCGCTCGTGGCCATTCACAGAGAACGAAAGCGACAGCACCAGCTCCAATCCGCTGACCATCGACGGTCCCACCATGAATGAAACTATTAATCGCATCCGGATCGCCCCTGGAGAGACTGTGCACCAGTTCCTGAATCGCCTTCAGGAGGATCAACTCTTGATTGACATGTATTCACACGCCCCGGTGGCATCCATCCTTGATCGCCTTGTCACATCAGACGTCATCTTAGAAGGCGCCGGTAAAGGTCAGCTTAGTGATGGCCAGGCAGATGCTCAGACGGCGTTGAATACATATCCACGCCAGCTCTTTGATTGGCTTCCAGCTGTTCGACCAGTTGAACAAGAGCACGCTATTGCAAACAAAATGCGACGTCTCGAAGTCCTCAGTCGTACTGACCTTGGAGTTGTCTGGTTTCCCTCTTTGATTGACGACAATGTTTTATATCTTGACGTCTCCTGGGATGATGCACAGCTCCGGTCTAGTGAGATGTATAAAGCGATGTCGGATTTCATGTACGCGATAGCGTGGTTTTCAGAGCCATCTAATCTTAACCGCCCCGTTATGGAGTGTGAGTTTGAGATACCTGGATGCGAGATCACTGACCTTGAACCGTGGGGGATTCGTCGTCGATAAATGTGGATAGCATATGCCCACATGTGCAGGTGATAGCATCGAACTAATGTTTGGAAAGAGATAAGAGGACACACATGCATTGGTATGGCTGCAATTCACTCTTTAAGCATATGGATATAAAACAGAATAGGTAGAATATATAAATTTTGCACATATTACTCCCGACCTAATCACGCTTCAATGTTGGCAAGAAGTATTGGCTAAAATATTGCTGGGTATGTATGTCTGTGGGGTTGTGGCCTCCAAGCTGGTGAGCGACATGTGTATATCCACCAGAGACTCACAAATAAGGATAACCATTCGTCTCCATCTAGATCACTGAGCAATTTGTGGGTAGGTGACAGAGGAAAAAGACCTTCAGTTTAGGTTTTCCTTGATGCGACCAACGATCATCAAACCTCGGTGACTAGTGTCGGCCAAGGATTAGATGGAGTTAAACTCATATTGAGATTACCAGCACACTTTTGTGACGCTGGTGGAGTGCTTGTGTGTAGCCGCAAGAAGAGTGATGCTGGCCGACGGCTGGGAGGAATGGGCGTCAAACGGCAATCGCTTCTACCAGCCCAGTTTAAATAGATAAACAGAGGAAGGAAGTGAGAGTATTCAGCTAGCATCTGCCCCCAGAGATTCTAAGCGAACCTTTTTCGCTCGTCGTTTCATTTCCCGTTTAGATAGCTTTTCGGCTTCCTCGGCAACGGCTTCGGAGCCAATAGATGCCTTTCTCTTCAAGTTATCAGTGCTCTGACCAGATGAATTCGACGGCTCGGTTGTTTTTTGGTTGGATCCGGTGTTTTCTGGATTGGCTTTCTCCCCGCCATGGACAATATCCACGATACCGCGCCAGCTGCTTCGCTTCAACTTGGCGAGAGCAACAACCTTCCGTGTTTCTTCGCAGATCGCTTCCTTGCCGCGCTCTTGTGACAGACCCCAGACGCATGTTAAGTTGATCACATCCCACGGAGCTCGCAAGTTCAGTGCCCTCCGCGCCTCACTTGACACAATAACACCACGGCCGCGTGTGGCGCGAATCAAGGCCATAGCATTCCCAATAAGATTTCGGCGAGCATCCGCACCACTCCCTGTGACTCCTGGACCGTAGCAGATCTCCAGGCGAACACCACGTGACACCGCAGCGGACAGCATTTTGAATTTGAAGTGGTATGGAAGGCGCACCGAGAGATCAAGCGAGATCACGTCGCATTCCAGGTTGGTGCAGGCATTGAGTAGTGCTTTTTCGTTCATAGGTCGAAGTGCGACCAAATCGTATGCTTGAGTCAAGTTATTTAGTCGCTGATTCTGGGCGGGGTCCGAAAGAGTCAAGTTCAGGCGGGTCAATAGCTGGAGAGATTTAGGTGGGTTCGGTGGAAGAGGCGGCGGTGTGAGGTTGTTGGGGGGTTTGCCGGTGATTGTTTGAGACAAAGCGATGGTAGTGTAACCAACTTGAGAGTCAGGTCAGTACCTCATGTGGTCTAGAGCTATTCATGTGCTAATTAGGGCTGGAAGAATGACTTACGTTCAGCCAGGAAATTCAGGGTGTGGGGCACCTCTGGGTCATCCGGGCTATATGGGACGTTGAGATCATAAAACATGATGTCGGCAACTCTTTGGACAATAAAAAGCCAGTAGAAGCCACCAGGGTTCAAAGCTCTTTAGATTTGTTGCCGCAAAGAAATCCACTGTAAGGTCACGGAACTGTCCGAAACGGGAAACTTGAAAATCAAACCGGAGGAACTTTGATCCGGGAAGAAAGCACACAATCTAACCGCTTCCAGACTGCTCTCCACACAGCAATCCCGTGACAAGGCGTAACAAGAGATCTCCCTCTTATAATATCTCCCCCTCTATTCCCCATTGCTTTCAGGACCGATCGATCGAACGGCTACGTTCGGGCTGGTTAGTTGCTGGGCCTTCTGTATCTCTCATCTGTGCACCTCTCGATATCCCGAATCTTCACCCCCTCGCCCGGTCGCGACCCCCGCCTAAAACCCCGCCGTATCTTATTTCGATTGTGGGCGTATTCGGAAGTCATCTGCGGTCATCATGGCGCGCGTTTACGCCGATGTCAACGAGCATATGCCTCGATCCTACTGGGACTATGACAGTGTCAACATCTCCTGGGGTGTGCTGGAAAACTACGAAATTGTTCGCAAGATTGGTACGATGAATCTGATTGGAGCCATCCCAACCCCGGAGAATGGCGGCATCACCTGCGCCGCCCAACTCGCGGATGCGGGGATCCTCTGACTGACCACCTGCTGACCATATCTTTTTTAGGCCGAGGAAAATACTCCGAGGTATTCGAGGGTATCAACGTTGTCAACTATCAGAAATGCGTTATCAAGGTTCTTAAGCCTGTCAAGAAGAAGAAGATTAAGCGAGAGATCAAGATCCTTCAGAATCTCGCTGGTGGCCCCAACGTTGTCGCATTGCTGGATGTCGTCCGCGATAACCAGAGCAAGACTCCTAGCCTTGTATTCGAAGCCGTCAACAACACCGATTTCCGAACACTCTACCCTCGCTTTACCGACTATGATGTGCGCTTCTACGTCAACGAGCTTTTAAAGGCGCTTGATTTCTGCCACAGCAAGGGTATTATGCACCGCGATGTGAAGCCTCACAACGTCATGATTGATCACGAAAAGCGCAAGGTTCGTCTTTCCATGTCATATCAGGCAACATCATCATATGCTGACCATTCTCTAGCTGCGTCTGATCGATTGGGGTCTTGCAGAGTTCTACCACAAGGGAACCGAGTACAACGTCCGTGTGGCCTCACGCTATTTCAAGGGCCCCGAACTGCTGGTCGATTTCCAAGAGTATGACTACTCTCTGGACATGTGGTCACTGGGTGCCATGTTTGCCTCGATGATCTTCCGCAAGGAGCCTTTCTTCCACGGTAACAGCAACTCGGATCAATTGGTCAAGATTGCCAAGGTTCTCGGAACCGAGGAGCTCTTTGAGTACTTGGACAAGTACGACATCGAACTTGACCCGCAGTACGATGAAATTCTGTCACGTTTCCCCCGGAAGCCCTGGCACTCGTTTGTGACCGCTGAGAACCAGCGGTTTGTCAGTGACGAGGCGATCGACTTCCTTGATAAGCTCCTGCGCTACGATCACGCAGTATGTAAAGCTCTATCTCAACTTTGAATAACATCTGCTAACCCTCAATGATAGGAACGTCTGACCGCCCAAGAAGCTATGGACCACCCATACTTTGAGCCCGTCCGCGCGGCTGCTCGCAACAACGCATCCCAATCCTGATTTCCCTGATCTCCGATCTCCCATGGTGCAATGATGATGGCCTATCTGTCTTCTGCCAGCACTTACTCATGTTCATCCCTTATCCCTCACTCCATATCCGCCTTTACACTGCCATCAGAATAAGCACCTGACCTTATGGATCCCCTCCTTTTATCTGAGTTTGAACCACACCGCTACGTCGGTGCACGATCGAGAAAACGGAAGGAGAACTATTTTGACGCAGCCACCTGGCTATGTCTTCACTGGGCCTTTTCCCCCTCCTGGATGAAGAGTGGCTGCAATGGGTGACCTAACTCCCGAATGGAGACGACGCTGATGACAAGACATGACCTCTAATCTTCTTGGGCCCATCAAGCCTACATAGTCTCGGTTCTGCGGGCGTATTAGTGAGCGCAATAAATCAATCAGTTGACGTCTTAGAGCAGGAATGGCTTCTCTTTCACACTTCCCCTAATTGTATAGCGCTGCCTTTCCTTGTTGCGATATTCCTCTTCTTGCCCTCGCCATTCATCCGGTGTTTTGATTTTTGTTGATTTTGTTCAATCCTTCCCTTCGTATTTGCTGTTGATCTTGAACTCGCAATTCACTTTTTTGCCTTAATGCACAAATTCACATGGAGTGATGGGGTTAGAGTGTATTTATGTTGCTGATCGCGTTCACGAGGGACTTGAAGAGACAAATGCAATTTAAATTTCGAAAAGCATGCACGACAACGTACTAGTAAAACACGAATATTGAAGAGGTACCTGGGTATTTGAAGAATAAAATAAACCAACGTTTCAAGTGCAAAATAGTTATTGGATAGCTAGTAGTTATCAGTCCATACTACTGACTAACCTAGTACTGCTACTATGTACTAAACACCTATAGATCGGATCGCTCGTTGGCACCAGCGCCATCACGTGAGAGCGTGCTCCTAATCTCAATTTCCAAGAGACAACAAGAACGTGAATGATTAGGAAGGATTATGCGACAACAAAAAATTTCCTCAACTAATTGAATCAATGTTGGATTGTTGTGTTTCTGTCATACTCATTGAGTCATAGTCCTGCACGTCTCGGGGTCTCCACCGATCCTCAGTTGAGCCCCGCCTTCTCATTCGTTGCCTCTGCGTGGGAAATTTAATTTGCCCGCATTTCGCACAACCACCCCTCCATCTTGTCCTCAACTCTCCCAAGATACTTATCCGGCGATTCGTGGCGCGATCGGCGCCTTGGAGATTCCCTCCGCAATATCGATCATTTTCTAGGATGGCTCAAAACTCTGCCCAAATCCCCAGTGCGTCTTCCCCCACTACTCGAAAGAGACCGACCTGACTCATCCTGGTTGCATCACTAACACCTTCCTTAATAGCTGGGGAGTCCAATGCCCCCGCCGCTCAGCAACCCCAGGCTGAGGGCGCCCAAGATGCCTCTGCTGTTCCTAAGGTGAAGACCGAGAAGGAGCGTATGTCAACCCCACGAACTCTTCGATCGAGCTTTACTGCCTTCCGATATCCCTACATACAAAACGATGATACTGGATTTCCAGCTGACATTCCAATGACTCATTAGTTGAGCGTGAGCGTAAGAAGGCCGAGAAGGCGAAGAAGTTTGCTGAGAAGCAGGCCAAGGTCTCCAGCAAGCCCGCCGCCGCTCCCAAGGCCGACAAGAAGGCCGTCAAGGTTGAGAAGGACAAGACCGCAGACGCCTACGACCCCATAGCTATTGAGACCGGCCGACTCGATTGGTGGGAAGAGCAAGACCTCTTCAAGCCTGAATGGGGCCCCGATGGCAAAGTTAAGCCCGAGGGCTCCTTCGTTATCCCCATTCCTCCCCCGAACGTTACCGGCTCCTTGCACATGGGTCACGCCTTGACCAACGCTTTGCAAGATACCATGATTCGCTGGCAGCGTATGAAGGGTAAGACTACCCTGTGGCTTCCTGGAATGGACCACGCTGGTATCTCAACTCAGAGCGTCGTTGAAAAGATGCTCTGGAAGAAGGAGAAGAAGACTCGTCACGACTTGGGACGTGAGGCCATGGTCAACTTGATCTGGGACTGGAAGGATCAATACCACGCGAACATTAAGAACGCCCTCCGCCGTGTTGGTGGTTCTTTTGATTGGTCTCGTGAGGCCTTCACCATGGATGAGAACCTGTCCGCTGCTGTGACTGAGACCTTCGTTCGTCTCCACGAGGAAGGTATCATTTACCGTGCTAACCGTCTGGTCAACTGGTGTGTGGCCTTGAACACCTCGCTTTCTAACCTTGAGGTGGAGAACAAGGATCTTGAGGGCCGAACCCTCTTGGATGTGCCTGGTTACGATAAGAAGGTTGAGTTTGGTGTCCTGACTCACTTCTGCTATGAGATCGATGGCAGCACAGAGCGTATTGAGATCGCCACTACTCGTCCTGAGACCATGGTTGGTGACACTGGTATTGCTGTCCACCCTACTGACAAGCGCTACGGACACCTGATTGGCAAGAACGCGCGCCACCCCTTCATCGACCGTTTGCTCCCTATCGTCGCCGATGACAGTGTCGACCCCGAATTCGGTACCGGTGCCGTGAAGATTACCCCCGCTCACGATTTCAACGATTTCAACCGTGGAAAGCAGCACAAGCTTGAATTCATCTCCGTCATGAACGACGACGGTACTTTCAACAAGCACGGTGGACCTTTCGCCGGCATGAAGCGTTTCGATGCCCGTTATGCCGTCATCAACGCGCTGAAGGAGAAGGGCTTGTACGTGAAGTGGGAGCACAACCCCATGAAGGTGCCCCGCTGCGCCAAGTCGAACGATGTCATCGAGCCTATTCTTAAGCCCCAGTGGTGGATGGCCATGGAGACCCTTGTTGGGCCCGCTGTCGATGCTGTGAAGAATGGAGACATTATCATCCGCCCTGAGAGTGCCGAGAAGAGCTATTTCCGCTGGATGAACAACTTGAACGATTGGTGTCTGTCCCGTCAGCTTTGGTGGGGTCACCAAGCCCCTGCCTACTTTGTCAAGGTCGAGGGCGAGCAGGGCGATGACAGTGATGGCAACCTCTGGGTGACTGGTCGCACCGAGGAGGACGCTCGCAAGAAGGCTGAGGCCAAGTTCCCCGGAAAGAAGTTCGAGCTTGTGCGTGATCCTGATGTCTTGGACACCTGGTTCTCCTCTGGTCTGTGGCCCTTCTCGACTTTGGGATGGCCCCGCAAGACTCACGACTTCGAGAACTTGTACCCCACCTCGGTTCTGGAAACCGGTTGGGATATTCTGTTCTTCTGGGTCGCACGTATGATCATGCTCGGTATCAAGATGACTGGCCAGATTCCTTTCAAAGAGGTCTACTGCCATTCCTTGATTCGTGACTCTGAGGGCCGCAAGATGTCCAAGTCTCTCGGTAACGTCATTGATCCTCTGGATGTTATGGAAGGTATTCAATTGCAAACTCTTCACGACAAGCTGTTGCTGGGTAACATGCCTGATAAGGAGATCGCCACTGCTACCAAGTACCAGAAGAAGGCTTTCCCCAAGGGTATTCCCGAGTGTGGTGCTGATGCCCTGCGCTTTGCCCTTGTTTCCTACACCACTGGAGGTAAGTAATGATTTTTGCGATCTCGATTGTAATGAAGTCAACTACTAATGTACGATCTTTAGGTGGTGATATCGCTTTCGATGTCCAGGTCATTCACGGATACCGTCGCTTCTGTAACAAGATCTACCAGGCTACCAAGTTCGTCCTTGGTAAGTTGGGCGACGACTTCAAGCCCCAGCCTAAAGTCACAAAGACTGGCAACGAGTCTCTCTCCGAGCGCTGGATTCTTCACAAGCTTAACTTGGCTGCTAAGGAGGTCAACGAGGCCTTGGAGAACCGTGAATTCTCTAGCGCTGCCAACATCATCTACCAATACTGGTACGGCCAGCTCTGCGATGTGTTCATCGAGAACTCCAAGTACCTCTTGGCTGAGGATGCCTCCGCCGAGACACAGGAGTCCGCCAAGCAGACTCTCTACACTGCACTGGAGGGAGCCCTGACATTGATCCACCCCATCATGCCCTTCGTGACAGAGCACCTGTGGCAGCGTTTGCCCCGCCGCCCTGAAGACAAGACCATCTCCATCATGCGGGCTAAGTACCCCGAGTACCAAGCCGAGTTTGAAGACTCAGCCGCCGAAGCTGCCTACGAGCTCATCTTGAACAGCTCGAAGGTTATCCGCTCGATCTTGGCTCAGTACGATGTCAAGACCAAGGGCGATGTCATCATCCAGACCTACGATGCCACAAGCCAGCAGACTGTCTCGGAGCAGATCACCACTATCAAGTCATTGGGTGGTAAGACCCTGGGCGAGCTGTCTCACCTTGGTCCCGACAACAAGACCCCACCGGCTGGGTGTGTCGTGGCTGCCGTTGGTGCTGAGGCTGCTGTCTACCTGCGTGTGACCAAGGAGGTTGCTTTGGAGCAGGAGGAGAAGGCCAAGGCCGCCCTCGACAGAGCCCGCGAGACCGTGCGCCGATCTCAGACCATTATGGCCGCCCCCACCTGGAAGGACAAGGTCAAGGTCGAGGTGCGCGAACAGGAGGAGAAGCGACTCCGTGATGCCGAGAGTGAGGCTGCTCACTTGGAGGAGCAGATCAAGGAGTTCGAGAAGCTTCGTCTTGAGTAAGCTGTCTTTTCGGTCTATACAGATAAAAGTATAACACATGAATGAATATCTATCTCTATTTTCAATATAATCGTCAACATCATTTTTATCAAATTTCAAGTTTAAAAATAGGTTTGGAGTTCCTAGTTATTATTAGTAGTGTTGCGTTTTGATATCGATTCTTTTGAGTGGACCGTGGATCCTTATCGATAAGAGTGCCAAGCCTTTCCCCCAAAACTTTTCTGCGTTTTTTACTCCGAGTCCTCTTCAAGCAAAACCACAGCCCACCATCATGTTGCGTGAAGTGTACGTCTGCGAAAGTCATCAAATGAACGACTTATAACTAACCCTTTTTCTTCCAGTAAAGCAAAGAACCCGCGCACTGCGCGTATCCTCAAGGCGCGCGAGCCTCAACTCATTGAGAACCCCAAGAAGACCCTCCTGCTGCACGGCACCAAATGTCCTCAGGCACTTGACACCGTCCTCAAGACATTTAACTCCCTGACAAAGCCCAACTCCGTGCTTTTCCACAAGAAGAATGCCAATGTCCACCCCTTTGAAAACACCGAGAGCCTCGAGTTCATGGCCAACAAGAACGAGTGCGGTCTGGTGATCTACGGAAGCAGCAACAAGAAGCGCCCCAACTGTCTTACACTTGCCCGAATTTTCAGCTCACAACTACTGGACTTGTGCGAGTTGATTCTGCTCCCTGCAACAGAGGCGGGTGATATCCCTCCTATCAATGAGCTGGTCATGCACGTCGGCTCAGGATTGCGCCCAATGATGCTCTTCGCAGGAAGCCCCTGGGAAGACCCGACCTCCTCCGCACACGTTATGCTCAAGAGCTTCTTCCTGGATATGTTCAAGGGTGAGGAGACCGACCGTATCGATGTTGAGGGTCTGCAGTACGTTTTGATGGTTGCCGCCGAGGAGCCACGGGACGGTCTGTCCCCCATCGTCCACCTGCGGTGGTACAAGGTCGTTACTAAGCGCAGTGGTCACAAGCTGCCGCGTGTGGAGCTGGAGGAGATTGGTCCCAAGTTCGATTTCAAGATTGGCCGTACACGCCCCGCCCCTGCGGATCTCATGAAGGAGGCCATGAAGCAAGGCAAGCGCCCCAACGAAGAGGCACGCACCAAGAAGAACATTGTTACCGATGCTGTCGGTGACAAGATTGGTCGTGTTCACTTGGCCAAGCAAGATCTGGGCGGTCTCCAGACTCGCAAGATGAAGGGTCTGAAGCGCCGAGCCGGCATGGAGTCGGATGATGATGAGGATGAGGAGGATCTGGAAATGATGGATGTCGATGAGATCCTGGAGGAGGAGAGCCACAAGCGGGCTCGTAAAGACTAGACTCGATCTACTTGCATGTTGTAACTTCTTGTCAAGGCGTTCTCTTTGGGCCGGTTTAGGGTTTGTGTTTTTTTCGACTGCAAATTCTGCGGGATATCATGTACCGGCATGGAAAAGTATGTTCTACATTTGACTGTGACCAACAATTACAGCCATCCATTTTATTCTTGTTCCTAGAATTAGAATATCTCACAAATCACTTTCAAATTCAAATGTTTATATAAAAATTGATAATAGACAGCACTCGAGTACGAAGATCAAATCTGCCACGTGACCATGACGTCGGCCTTTTCGGCATCGTCTCACATGCCGAGGCCCTTTTCCCTCGCGCTGGTCCGACTCAAGTGCCGTCCTCCTCTCCCCCTCCACATTTCTCCTTTATTCTTCCACTAATGACCCTCAGCAACCTCCAGACTCATCGCCGTGGTGAAATCAACGAGTAGTCTCCTTCGTCCCCGTTTGACCCCCCGAGGTCCTGCGACGCCATGGATACGCTCTTAGTGAGTACCTACATTGTCCCGCCAAAGCACATGCAGATCTACAATACTAACAGATAGTCCTCCAAGACCCAACTGGACGCCCTCGTCCTCAAACCCGAGCTCCAGCCACTATTATCCCTAATCAAAGGTGCCCGCAATGGTATCGTCTACGGATCGAAAGTGCGGTTTCCGCATGCGCTGGTGTACGTGACCCCGGAGCTCTTGGACCGAGCAGATACTATGGAAGCACCTAAAACTAACATTTGCATGTATGATCAGCATGATATTTTTGTTCCGATCAGGGTCGTAAGTAACTCCGCCGTCACAATACCTTCTCCGTTTACGAGCCAAGTTTCACCGGCTAACGTATTCCGCCCATAGATTCCGGGAAAAGGTCAAGCTTGTCTTCAACGCAACACGCCAACATGCGCGAAACCTTTCTACCTTCGCGATCATATATAAATTGTCGATGATCCTTCTCCGGAACATCAACCCCTCTGGCTCCGGCAAGGAGGGCCGGTATGACAGCTTCTTTTCAGGCTTGCTGGGAGGATATGCGGTCTTCGGACGACAGCGAGGAAGCATCAGCCAGCAGGTATGGAGACAGGACATCATCCAGCGTTGATATGAATACAACTTTCCGTTTTCGAAACTAACACTACTTCAGATCGTTATCTACGTCTTCGCTCGCGTAATGCTGTCCCTTGCCAAAATCGCCGTTCAGCCCAACATGCACCCGCTCTCCCCTCTCCTCACCCCCGAATCCCGAGCCAAGATTTACGACCATGCCTGGCCCGCATTTGCCAGTTTCACCTGGGCCTTTGTTATGTACATTTTCCGCTGGTACCCTGAGACTCTTGCGTCCAGCTTGCGGAGTAGCATGGTTTACATGTATGTCCTCCCCTTCAGCTTGCACTATCCTTGCCATTTGGCGGTTCTGTACGGTGCTAATATACATGAAACCATAGTTATTCGGACTCCGATCATTGGGACTCATTGCGAACCCTGTTCATCCACAATAAATGAACTGCCAATGCTCCATAGAGCACGGTGGTTGGCTACTGGTTGAGAGCGCATGCTACTGAGATCATGCCTTTTACCTATTTCTCTTCATTATTATTTTTTATTCTTATCCAACTGGTTTTGGATAGCGATCGGCGCATAGAATGGAGTTTTGTTTATTTTTGAATATAGGATGATGCGCATGCACTGTTGTTCTGAGGTTCTTCCTCGTCTAAATCGTCTTCTCAGTCTTATCTACGTGAAATGAACTTTTGTATTTTGGTTAGGAATATCTTTGCATAGATAATTTCAAGGTTCAAAGACTATTTCTTCGAAGATTAGAACATTATGGGCAGATACATAGTAGGTACTAGTAGGTGTTGATTGTGTATTAATTGATGTATCATGTGTGCATGTGAATAGAACAACATTCAAATGTTGAACGGGGCGGGATGTGGAAATATACATCCAGATGGCCACTGCAATTAGTGGACATCCGATCAATTCCAAGCCCGAGGTTCCAAACATTGATTGAAAAACATCAATTGATACTATGTAGGAACTTAGACGCGTCTTATAAGGTGGGTACACACCTCATGTGGGCGCTAATTAACAAATGGATCAACCTTAGCAAATGTTACTATCTGTCGCATTCAAATTGCAACATTTGAAGGTTTCACCTACCTGGGCAGTAATGCACGGAATAATCGAGGCATCCCGAGGTATTTCGGTTCAATGTTCATCAAACTCTTCAATCTTGGAAATTTCTGTATGTACATACTAGTATAGATTACAAATTTGCAGCCGGACGAATGTCGCACCAGGGGCTTTTTATATGTATAAGTATTAGTTGTATGTATCTAGATATCCATATTGATGATCTACAAAAAAAATTGGTCTCATTGTGTACTGGGGCGTGGTGGAGGGATCTCATTCCTTAATGCTTCGCGCACACTCGTTGCCAACTCGATCGTCGCACGAGGAAGGCCAGCCAGTTGAGCGACCTTTAACGCGTGCGATTCGCGATTGACACCTTTATGAAGGCGATGAACAAATGAGAAGGAACCGGAACTTGTCTCTTTAATATCGGTGCAGTAACGTTCCAGGTGTTCAAAATCCTGCGTCATGTCTGCCAGGCCGTGGAAATGTGTGGCGAAGAGTGTACGAGACCGATTGTGATAGTGCAAGTGGTGAAGACATGCAAAACTGACAGCCGTCCCGTCCTCGGGTGTAGTGCCTCGGCCTACTTCGTCCATGATAACAAAGGACCGGGGGGTAGCCTGCTTCAGGATGGAAGCAGTCTCGAGCATTTCCACCATGAAGGTCGATTGATCACGGAAGAGATCGTCTGCTGCTCCAATGCGACTGAAAATCTGGTCAACGATTCCGATTTCGGCGTATGCTGCTGGCACGTACGAGCCCACCTGGGCGAGGATGGTGATCAAAGCATTCTGGCGCAAAAAGGTACTTTTACCGGCCATGTTTGGGCCAGTGATGAGCCAGATTCTTTCTTGCTCGCCAAGGAAGCAATCGTTGCTCACGAAAGATCTGCCCTTCTCCTCGAGTCCGAGTTTGACAGTTGGATGCCTTCCGCCAACGATCTTGTGTGAGGTTCCATTGTTCAGGATAGGCCGAACCATTTGCTGTTCTTGAGCAAGCGTGGCAAAAGAACAGGCGACATCTAACTCATCCATGACAGCTGCATTGCGGCGGATTTTGACAAGGTTCAGAATAACCTCGCGGCGTAGACGCTCAAATATCGATTGTTCTTCTTGTCGAATTCGTACGGTGACGCGGTCCATTTTGTTTCCCAGTTCTGACCACGCAGGAAGATAAAATGACCGCGTAGATTTGGTTGACGAGACATTTCGAGTGACGCCCAATTCCTCTAGAGATACCTGCGAGATTTTGGCCCCTTTAACGTGACAGATGTGGCCCAGTCCAGGAGTCCACTTCAAATTAAGGGCTGAGGATCCGACATATTCGCGAAGTCGCTTGATTAACGCGACTTTGTCATCCAACAAACCCTCCAGCTCCGTATGAAGTGCATTTAACCCCTTACTCGCATTGCGTCTCATAATCCATGTTTCCATCAAACCAACCTCTGGCTCGGGTGCCATCTTGTCGCTTTTCTTGGCTCTGACCTTTTTGGGAAGTGACTCTAGGTCAGTCGGAGTACCTTCGTTGATGGTGACTTCTTGTGCCAAGCTAGCTACTTCAGCAGCAGTGCTATCCTGTATACGCTGTTGTTGGAGGAGGCCCTCCTCGTCAATAGCAGCGAGGATTTTGTCAGCAAGCGCACTGGGTCCTTCAAGATAAAGGCGTGAGATCATTGATTTAAGACTGGTTTTCGCATCCAAAGCAGTTTCGGGAGATAATGATCGCTCATAGTCGGAAAGCACTTGTTTGACTCCCTTGGAGGCCTCGACGGCCCGGGACAGGCAGATCAAATCATCCGGGTCTCCCTTGCCCATCGCAAATTTCTGCACCAGCCGTTGTGAGTCATAGCTGCGCTTTAGCAATTGTACTACGCTATCCCGAAGATCCTCGCTTTCGATGAAAATTGAAACGAGGTCTAGCCTTTCGTTGATGGCCTGAAGTGACGTAGATGGAGAAGCTTCAAAGAGTGGATGTATTAGCAACCGGAAAAACAAGCCAGTAAGCACTGGTACGAGAACCTACTAAGTCGATCGCGCAGAAGACGAGCACCACTCTTGGTAGAAGTTCTGCGTACAGCGTGAAGCAAACTTCCCTTCCCAAAACCATCTCGCGCAGTCTCGAGCATTTCTAGTCCTCTCAGGCTATTGCGATCAATACTCATCGACTCATCCAGGTGCCTCCGACGCGGAGGCTGGAGCTTGAGATTTGATCCTTGCAGCTGCACCCGAATATATTCTAACAAACAATACCCCGCAGCTACTTCTTCCGGCGTGAAGTCGGCATGCGTTTCCTCTGGGATTGGAGATTCAAGCATGGAGCCCCATTCCGACATAGGTGCGAATGTTTCCGGGTATCGAAAGAATGTGACAAGACGATGCTCATTTCCGACTAGCTGCTGCAGCTCTTGCCCGATAATATCTTGAACATTCTGATCAACAAGTATCTCGCGAGCTCCTATCCTAGCAATAGCGGACGGTAGTGTTTGTGCCGTTGTCAGTTGAGTAAAAAAGTCCCCCGTTGATAGGTCCAACCACGACAAGCCTACGCGTTGCGGCACGGAGGACAATATATGCTGCGAGGACTGAGGATCGACATGCTGTTCCGATTGGGATTCCAGGGCTGGGATATCTAGGTATATGGCCAACAAGAAGTTGTTTTCGGAGGGATCGATGAACTTTTCATCAATCAAGGTGCCTGGTGTGACAATCCTGGCCACTTTCCGATCAAACAATAAGCCTCCGGATCGAGCTTTGCCTTCCGCCTCGTGGGCAAACTCCTCACTGATAGCAACATATTTGTTAAGATCCTGGACAAGAATTTTCAGGAAACGGTCTAATTGAAAGAAGGGGAACCCAGCCATAGGGACGGGCCCCGCGGTGGTTTTCTTTGATGCTAGCTTCAGACTAAGCAACGGGGCGAACTCTTCAGCTTGCTCAAAATAAAGCTATCCAGAATTGTCAGCAAAATTGAGATTGCAGGAAGTCGACAGGAAGCTACCTCGTAAAAGCCCCCGACCCTGGTCAGAATCACACAATTCTTGAACTTTTGCATGTTGTTACGGTGTCCTTGAACCACAGTCGGGTACCGGGGCGCATCATCAACTCCATCATCATACGCGTCCAACTTGATGACACCTTGTGGAAGATCTTGCAGCTTGACAGTAGCTTGGGTTTTGGCGCCTCTTCGAGTTGCAGCCCGCGTCGCGTTGATCCATATGCGTGGTTGTACAGTAGGACGACGCGTTCGATCAACAAGGCATTGGTAGGCTTGCACCCGATGAATATGTACTGGATGTACTGCTGGGTGAGAAGATGTCAATGGGGCCAATCGTAGGATTGGGCGCCCAATTGTGCCCATTCTTACGGCATAGGGTTGAAAAGAAGATTGATAGCAGAAAGGAGATTTAAGCCGCAAGTAATTTTATTTTAGAACATCTTAGTTGCTATACTTCAAGTTGGAATAAATTGAAAGATGAATTGATGTTCGATATCACATGACCCATTTCTCTTAATTTATTTCTCCTGAAACACTAAACAGTATTACTAATCAAAACCGGCAACTGTCCAATGTCCATCTTTAATCTGTTCAACGCGAGCTCTTTCTTGCCTCAGCTACTCTTTAGCGACGGGACATTAATAGTATTACTATCTGGCTTGGTTATTCACTTGGATTCTGGATACTAGTTTTTTCACCATTTCAACGTACCTCTTTCCTCAATTCATGTTACCAAAACTTCAGAGCTCAAGTGATACCTAATAACTACTACTAGTTATAAATATACTGGCAACTCAGTACATATGTATGTTCGGTTTTGCCATTTCGGTTGATACAATATGCAGAAAATCCTCGCCCCGAAGAAGTGGTTAGGAGGACAAACGACCATATCAGACAGAGTCCTACCTGGTATCCCCGTCAGGAGCTTATGTATCGGAGATTGTGCTAGCACTTGAGACATCAAGAGGCGGGTGTTGCAGCCGGTGATGCGGATGCTGTGAACCAGTTGACATTGTGGATATTCATCTCACCTTGAAATGGGAGCCGGCTACTGTAAAGTTGCGTGTTGATACCAGCTGTGAAGAATTTTGAGGGTTTAAGATCTCCTATCATCTAACTGAAAAGGAAGCTTTGGTGAGACGGGTAATGGCCTACTTAAGGCAAGGTATCTCGTCTCTGCTCGTCTTGCTGACACCCTGTTCCTTTATTCCACATGCAGGATTTGAAAAGATGTTTTATTGAGGAGGGTTCGGAGGGTACTGAGTAAAGGGTGGTCTACGGGTATGTGAAATTGTGTTAATATAGAACATTTGAATGTTTATACTAAGCACTAACCAATGGTTGGATGGATCAATGGACGTGGTGTGAGGATCTAGACTGTATTAATTGCCGAGCCACTTCGATACATAAGTCTAGTATGATATGATGCCAGGCGCCTGTTAGGGCTTGTTCTTCGAGTTAACCTTGGAAAACGATACCATCCACGGATTCAAACGTAGGTTGGGCTACAGTTATCGGATCAGGATTAGTACTGTACCAACTGTCCCTCTAGATCAAGCATATAATCCTCATTGTGGAACAACGAAAATGAACCAGCCGGATATGATCATCTCGTAGTATGACAATGGAAATAGTTGGAAGTCCTAAAAAAATGACAGAAAACTAGTAGTAAGTAGTAGAATGTAAGTAGTCAACAGTATCTAGCTTGGAGGTGACGGTTGATGGCTAGTACGTTTGTATGGGGGCCTACTAGGTAGGATTGGAGTACCAATGCAGATACTATACCAAGTTTCATACGGAATATACACCTCAAGTTTGACACACCTTCCTATGTTGACACCATTTGAGTACCTAGTAGTACGTACATGTAACATGATCAAGTACACACCCCTCCAGACAAGCCTCTACCTTGGTATATGAGGGAATGAAAGCAGTTCTCAGTCTCTGAAATTTGCTCGAGTCTCAGGCTTGTGCCGTGATGAGCTCCTGGAATTTGTATGGCGATAGCAATGCTTTTTAAGAGAAAATATCATACAAGATAGAGGGAGCATCAGCAAGAAAACCGCCGCGAGCGGCAGAACTTGGAAGCTCCCCTCTCCTCCGCCTTCGCCACCGAAATCTTCCCGAGCTGCTTCTCCTTGGCTTTGAACTGAACACTAAACCCTGGCCTCCATTTCTCCATCCTATACAAGTCATCCCACTTGCGGCCGGAGAATGAGCCAGGTTTGTGAGACCGTTTGAATTTTCTCAATTCCTCCTTTTCAACGCGCTGCGTGGACACCTACCTTGTGGATCGGCGCATTCAACCCGATCAAGTCGCGCGACTCACTCATTTCTTTTCTTCTTCTAATTTACCCAACCACACCCCTCCCCCACCACCAAGATGGCGGACCAAAATATTTCTCAGTATAAGTATTCGGCGATGTCCAACCTGGTTCTCCAGGCGGACCGTCGTTTTATCAGCCGAACCACCGATGAGGCTACCGGAGACCCCGAGTCTCTTGCAGGCCGCATTGGAATCCGAGAGATGGGCTCCCGCATAGCACGCGACGATGCACCCAAGTCGAAAAAGAAGGCCGGTCCGAACGAAATCGAACGGGGTGCGATTCACGAGGGTGAAGACGTTTTGTCTCGCGAACAGAAGAAGCGCGGACGTGGCCAGCCAGCACAATTACGAGGCCAAGGAATTCTCTCCGCCGCCGATGCCCTCATCGAAGGTTTAAAATATCGCCCTCGAACACCTGCGACTCGAGCAACTTACGACCTTATTCTCACAATTACCGGAAGCAACCTTGGCGATGTACCCCACGAGGTCGTTCGAAGTGCCGCCGATGCCGTTTTGGAATACCTCAAGGATGAAGATCTGAAAGATTTCGACAAGAAGAAGGAAATTGATGATCTGATGGGTAGTACTATGAACCCGAAAGAGTTCAATGAGCTTGTGAACCTTGGTAAGAAAATTACGGATTACGAGGCACAAGACGAGGACGAGGACATGGACGGTGGCTTCGACGATGCAGGTTCGGAACTCGATGAACGCCAGGGTGTTGCTGTTGTCTTCGACGAAGAAGACGAAGACGAAGAGCGCATAGGCACCGTTGACGAAATCCGAGACGAGGACAGCGATGAGGACGAAGCAGACGACCAAGAACCAGCCGATATCGACCAATCAGCCGCCCAAGAGCCGGATAACGAGGATGAAATGGTCATTGATGGTGGTCTTGACGGTGATAATAAGGCTGGAGATAAAGCTGGGCTGAATGTTTCGGCTCGCGAGATCGACGCCTACTGGCTGCAACGACAGATCGGTGCTTTATACGAAGACGCCCATACTCAACAAGAGAAAACACAACAAGCTTTGGAGGTTCTTGGCGGTCAGGCAGAGGATGGATCCGAAAAACCGCTACGTGACGTTGAAAACGATTTGATGGAGCTTTTCGACTACGAGCATGCGGAAGTTGTCGCAAAATTGGTAACAAATCGTGACAAAGTCGTCTGGGCTACTCGTTGGAGACAAGTTGCCGAAGATGCCGATGCGCGAAATCTTGTTGAAAGCCAGATGGTTGAGGCTGGACACCGGGGTATCTTGGATGAAATCCGCGGAAAGACTGCTCGTGATGACCTCCTTGATCGCCCAGAGAAAAAGATGAAGCTGGATCTGATGGACGTCGATATTCCTTCAGCACCAACAGACGATGAGAAGAAGCCAGCGACTGAAGGTGGTTTGATCGGCGGTCTGCAACCCAAGAAGCTTATCAACCTCGAGAACCTCGTTTTCCACCAGGGTAATCATCTGATGACCAACCCAAATGTCAAGCTTCCCCAGGGCTCAACAAAGCGTACTTTCAAGGGTTACGAGGAGATCCATGTCCCGCCGCCCAAAGCTAAGCGGGAAGCCGGAGAGAAGAACATCCCTACCACAGAGTTGCCTGATTGGGCTCGCGTTGGATTTGGAAGTTCCAAAGAGCTGAACCGGATCCAGACCAAGTGTTACCCTTCAGCATTCCACGACGACGGCAATCTCCTCGTCTGTGCTCCCACAGGTTCCGGAAAAACCAACGTTGCTATGCTGACTATCCTGCGGGAAATCGGTAAGCATCGCAATCCGGAAACTGGAGAGATTATGCTGGACGACTTCAAGGTCATCTATATCTCCCCTCTCAAGGCCCTGGTGCAGGAGCAAGTTGGAAACCTTGGCAAGCGTCTCGAGCCATATGGCATCCGAGTGTCTGAGCTAACTGGTGATCGCCAGCTCACCAAGCAGCAAATTGCCGACACCCAGATCATTGTTACCACCCCGGAAAAGTACGATGTTATCACAAGAAAGGCATCCGAAACTAGCTACACCAATCTGGTGCGTCTTATTGTCATTGACGAGATTCACCTTCTCCACGATGATCGTGGTCCCGTCCTTGAAAGCATTGTCAGTCGCACAATTCGCCGTGTCGAACAGACTGGTGATCCTGTGCGAATTGTTGGTCTCAGTGCCACCCTTCCCAACTACCGTGACGTTGGAAGTTTCCTGCGCGCGGATCCTGAGAAGGGAGTCTTCCATTTCGATGGCTCATACCGTCCTTGCCCTCTCAAGCAGGAGTTCATCGGTGTCACAGACAAGAAAGCCATTAAGCAGCTCAAGACCATGAATGACATTTGCTATAATAAGGTTCTGGAGCAAGTTGGTCAACGCCGAAACCAGATGCTTATCTTCGTCCACTCACGAAAGGAGACCGCGAAAACGGCCAAGTATATCCGCGACAAGGCGATCGAGATGGAAACGATTGGACAGATCCTTCGCAGTGATGCTGCTAGCCGTGCCATTTTGGCCGAGGAGGCAGAGTCTATTGATGATGCTTCCCTCAAGGACCTTCTTCCTTATGGTCTGGGTATTCACCACGCTGGTTTGAGTCTTGCGGATCGTGATTCCGTCCAGGCACTTTTTGCCGATGGTAGTATTCAGGTTCTTGTGTGTACTGCCACCCTGGCTTGGGGTGTCAACCTCCCTGCGCACACAGTCATTATTAAGGGAACCCAAGTCTACTCTCCCGAGAAGGGTAGCTGGGTCGAGCTGAGCCCTCAGGATGTTCTGCAGATGCTTGGACGTGCTGGTCGACCTCAATATGACACATTCGGAGAGGGTATCATTATCACTACTCAAGCTGAGATACAATACTACCTCTCTCTTCTGAACCAACAATTGCCAATTGAATCTCAACTCGTCAGCAAGCTTGCAGACAACTTGAACGCTGAAATCGTTCTTGGCAATGTTCGCAATCGCGATGAAGGTGTGGAATGGCTAGGCTACACCTATCTTTATGTTCGCATGCTTCGTTCGCCAGGATTGTACAGTGTCGGTACGGATTACGAGAATGATGACTCGTTGGAACAGAAGCGGGTTGATCTTATTCACTCTGCTGCTGCCGTTCTTGAGAAAGCTGGATTGGTCAAGTATGAGAAAAAGACAGGACGACTCCAGGCAACCGAGCTTGGTCGGATTTCATCTCATTACTACATTGGCCACAACTCCATGCTCACCTATTCTCAACATCTTCAGCCTTCCATCACTACCATCGAGTTGTTCCGCATTTTCGCCCTTAGTGACGAGTTCAAGTATATCCCCGTCCGCCAAGATGAGAAATTGGAGCTAGGCAAGCTCTTGGGCCGAGTACCGGTCCCTGTCAAGGAAACCATCGACGAGCCTCACGCGAAGATTAACGTTTTGCTTCAAGCCTATATCTCTCGCCTCAAGTTGGACGGTTTGGCGCTGATGGCCGACATGGTCTACGTCACACAGTCTGCTGGTCGTATTATCCGGGCCATTTTCGAGATTTGCTTGAAAAAGGGATGGACATCTGTGGCCAAGACTGCGCTCGATCTCTGCAAGATGGCCGAGAAGCGTATGTGGCCCACAATGTCCCCTCTGCGCCAGTTCCCTACATGCCCCAGAGATATTCTGCAGAAGGCTGAGCGTATCGACGTGCCGTGGTCCAGCTACTTTGACTTGGACCCCCCGCGCATGGGTGAACTTCTCGGTATGCCCAAGGCTGGACGTGTTGTGTGTGATCTTGTCTCCAAGTTTCCTCGACTTGAAGTTCAGGCTCAAGTCCAACCAATCACTCGTTCCTTGCTGCGTGTTGAGTTGACCCTTTCTCCCAACTTTGTCTGGGATGATGCTGTGCACGGTAATGCTCAGGATTTCTGGATCTTGGTGGAAGACTGTGATGGCGAAGAGATCTTGTTCCATGATCGTTTCCTCCTGCGCCGTGAGTTTGCCCTGGCCGAGATGAATGAACACCTTGTTGAATTCACCGTCCCCATTACGGAGCCGATGCCCCCCAACTACTTCATCTCCTTGGTCTCTGATCGCTGGATGCACTCTGAGACGAAGATCGCGGTTTCTTTCCAAAAGCTTGTTCTACCGGAGCGATTCCCTCCCCACACCCCCTTGTTGGATATGCAGCGCGCACCTGTCAAGGCCTTGAAGCGTGACGAGTACCAGAAGCTCTACCCTGACTGGGAGCACTTCAACAAAATTCAAACACAGGTCTTCAAGTCTGTCTTTGATTCGGATGACAATGTCTTCATTGGTGCCCCAACTGGCAGCGGCAAGACAGTCTGCGCCGAGCTGGCTCTCCTTCGCCACTGGTCAACCGAGAACACAGGTCGTGCAGTGTACATTGCTCCCTTCCAGGAACTTGTTGACCTTCGCCTAGCCGACTGGCAGAAGCGATTGAGCGGTCTTGGTGGCGGTAAAACCATTCTGAAGCTTACTGGGGAGACTACCGCCGACCTCAAGCTTCTTGAAAAGGCTGATCTTGTTCTTGCCACACCTGTCCAGTGGGACGTGTTGTCTCGGCAATGGCAAAGACGCAAGAACGTCCAGACGGTGCAATTATTCATTGCTGATGAGCTGCACATGCTGGGTGGCTACGGCGGTTATGTCTACGAGGTTGTCGTTTCCCGTATGCACTACGTCGCACTTCAGACTGAAAATGCCATGCGCATTGTCGGACTGAGTGTCCCGCTTGCCAATGCTCGTGACATTGGAGAGTGGATTGGCGCTAATAAGCATACTATCTACAACTTCAGCCCGAACGCCAGGCCGATTCCCCTCGAACTTCACATTCAATCATTCACCATTCCTCATTTCCCCTCCCTGATGCTCGCAATGTCCCGACCAGCCTACCAATCCATTTTGCAACTGTCGCCGGACAAGCCCGCTTTGATTTTCGTGCCCAGCCGAAAGCAGACCCGTTCTACGGCCATGGATCTGCTAGCGGCCTGTGGTATGGATGATAACGAGGACAGATTCTTGAACGCAGATGTCAAGGAGCTGGAGCCCCTTCTCAGCCGTGTCCAGGAGCAGACACTTGCAACCTCTTTATCTCACGGAATCGGATATTTCCATGAGGCATTGAGCCCTACTGACAAGCGTATTGTCTCGCATCTTTTCAGCATCGGTGCCATCCAAGTACTTCTGGCTTCGCGTGATTGCTGTTGGGAATTGGACGTGACTGCTCATCTCGTTATTGTTATGAACACTCAGTTCTTCGATGGCCGCGAGCATCGTTACATCGATTACCCTATCAGTGAGATCCTTCAGATGTTCGGCAAGGCTTCTCGACCTGGCCAAGATAAGATTGGTCGTGGTGTTTTGATGGTGCCTGCTGTTAAGCGTGAATATTACAAGAAGTTCCTTAGCGAGGCCCTCCCCGTTGAGAGTCACCTGCAAATGTATTTGCACGACGCCTTTGTCACTGAGGCCAGTACCAAGACCGTCGCTTCCACTCAGGATGCAGTAGACTGGATGACTTATACATACTTCTACCGCCGTCTTCTGGCCAACCCCAGTTTCTACGGTCTCGGCGACGTGAGTCACGAGGGACTCAGTACCTTCCTGTCTGAGCTTGTCGAGAATACCCTCAAGGAGTTGTCTGAGGCCAAGATCATTGATCTGGATGAGGAGGATGACAGTGTCTCTCCGCTAAATGCTGCCATGATTAGCGCGTACTACAACATTTCCTTCATCACCATGCAAACCTTCTTGCTGTCCCTTTCGGCTCGCACAAAGCTGAAGGGAATTCTGGAGATTATCACCTCTGCTACCGAATTCGAGTCCATCCAAATGCGTCGTCATGAGGAACACATTCTTCGACGAATCTACGACCGTTGTCCGGTTAAGATGTCCGAAGCTTCCTTTGAGTCGCCCCATTTCAAGGCGTTTGTCCTTCTTCAGGCTCACTTCTCCCGTATGCAACTGCCAATCGATCTCGCCAAGGACCAGGAAGACATTATTCGCAAGGTCCTCAATCTCCTTAGTGCCTGTGTGGATGTGCTTTCTTCCGAAGGCCATCTCAACGCTATGAACGCCATGGAGTTGTCGCAGATGCTAGTTCAAGCCATGTGGGACCGTGATAGCCCCCTTAAGCAAATTCCCCACTTCTCCCCTGAAGTTATTGATGTTGCCAAGGAATACAAGTATGTCCATCCACCCCCTATATTTCATTCACGATCAGCTGCTAATATGGATATTTTCTACAGCATTAATGATATCTTTGAGTTCATGGATGCCATGGACCCATCCGAGAACAAGGACTACGCTGCATTGGTCAAGCGTTTGGGCTTGAACAACAAGCAGTTGGCACAGGCGGCAGCTTTCACCAACGAGAAGTATCCCAACATCGAGCTGGACTTCGAGGTTGAAGATCCTGAGAGCATCACATCGGGCGACCCTGCCTACCTCAAGGTCAAGATTGAACGTGAGGTGGAAGAGGACGAGGAACCCGATACCGTTGTCCACGCCCCATTCTACCCCAGCGAAAAGATGGAGAACTGGTGGCTTGTGGTCGGTGATGAGAAAACCAAGAACCTGTTGGCTATCAAGCGTGTCACTATCGGTCGCAAGCTGGAGTTGCGCCTTGAATATGTTGTGCCCACGCCTGGTGAGCATGAGCTCACTCTCTACCTGATGAGTGACAGTTATGTCGGTGTGGATCAGGCCCCCACATTTACTGTCACCGCAGCTGAGGGAATGGATGAGGATGAGAGCGAAGAGGACGACGAGTAAACGGACAATCTATGTTATTTTTTTGGTGTTTTGTAATAATAGTTATTTTCCCCCACTATTACTTTTGGAGCTTTTTAGGATTTAAAAGGTGTTTTTCTTTTTCGTTTTCTTTCAACAGGCATTGAGTATTTCATGATCGCGGATCGCATTGGACCGAGTAGATCGATCAAGGATCAACACATGAAATTCCGCAAATCCCGTAGATCAGTGGCGTGACCCCGCAAATAGTCACGTTGCACTTTACCCCTTGGCTTCTCCTCACCTTACCCTTTTAACTCACCGTAACCCATCTCCAATTCTCCTTTCTCTCTACGTAATTCACTTCCTTACATATCTGCACTTCCAGCTCTTTCAATGAAACATTCTTGAAATTTCAAGCCATATTCCCTTTATCGATCTACATTTGAAAGCTCCAGTCCATTGAAAAAAAGCTTTCATACTAGCTATCTGCTATCTCACTATCTTATCGCAGCTCCACATCATACGGCATACCAGGTGCTATGGCTATCCGCTCCATGAAGTTCACACCGGAGTGAGTTGTCCTGATTTACCAACCCATGTTCATTCCAGATAGTTACATTTGTTTCGAAATGTACCTCAAATATCGAGGGAAATATAATTGACCATTCTCAGGGTTCTCCTCGGCGCCCCCAGACGATCCTCGGCAGTTCCGAATGCGGCTGGCACTCTCGCGGTTTACACCCAAACCTCTTATTCCTTCGAGTCACACTCCAAGACCAATGAGATCCGAGTGATCGAAATTGAAACTGGCCGATCAGCTCTCATCACAAATGATGCCGGTGCAAGCAATCCTCAGTGGCTGGGAACCGACGACCAGCTGGTCTGGTTAAAGACCAAGACCAACGGGAACACCAGCTTCATCGTTGGCGATGCGCGCGAGGCCGATAAGACATACACTGCGGGTACCGTTCCCGGTCCAGTCTCGGATTTGAAGGTCACCGTCATTGAGCCAGGCAAGATCGGCTTTGCGGTCACCGGCAAGTCTAACCAGGATGGCTCCCTGTACAACCCCCAAGATGCAAAGAAACCCCTCACAACAGGACGCTTGTATACTTCGCTGTTTGTCCGACATTGGGATGCCTACGTCGAACCCCAGAAAAACGCGATTTACTATGGACTTCTGGAGCAAACCCCATTATCACCACCTCGCAGACTAGCTGGAAAGTACTCGGTGTCTGGCCTTACAAACCTGATTGTTGTGTCTGGTCTTAGAGGCGTTGAGTCTCCAATTCCGCCGTTTGGTGGTACTAGCGACTTTGACATTAGCCCGTCAGCGATCGTGTTCATCGCAAAGGATCCTGGCCTGAACCCTGCGACGCATACCTCCTGCTCCTGCTATTATGCTCCCATGTTTTCTTGGACCAGTATGGGCACCTCTGGTATTAAGGCTTGCAGAGTGACTGGTTTGCAAGGAGCAATGTCTTCACCTGTTCTTTCTTCCGACGGCAGCTCCATTGCTTTGCTGGCCATGAAGGAGGATGGATACGAATCCGACAAGAATAGGATTCTATACGTCCCGAACCCATGGAATGGTGATATGATCGAAGTCTTTGAGTCTGCGGATGGCAAGGGGCTTTGGGGTCTGAGCCCATCTGCTGTTTCATTTGCCCATGATGACAAATCGCTACTCGTCCAGGTCGAGGAAACCGGGCGCGGAATTCTCTACCAGCTTCCTCTGCAGAACATTCGTAAAGCCACAACCAGTTCACTCAAGAGACTGACTCGATCGGGCCACGTGAATGATGTGGTTCCTGCAGCTGCTGGCTCTTCTAAACTATTTATCTCCAGCAACAGCCTGGTGGACAGCAGCATCTGGACTATCATCGACCCGTCAAACCCTGAAGAAGTCCAAGTTGTGTCATCAAGTGGCCGTGGTGGATCAGCATTTGGTCTTTCAGCTACTCAGGTTGATGAGATTTGGTACCGAGGAGCAGAAGGTCACCCAATCCATGCATGGGTCGTGAAGCCCTCTGATTTCCAACCAGGCCAGAAGTACCCTCTGGCTTATCTGATTCACGGTGGGCCTCAGGGAGCATGGAATGACCAATGGAGCACCCGCTGGAACCCTGCCGTTTTTGCGGAGCAAGGATATGTTGTCATTACACCAAATCCAACCGGCAGCACTGGATACGGGCAGACATTTACAGATGGGATCACGGGCCAATGGGGAGGCCGGCCTTATGAGGACTTGGTCAAGGGCTTTGAATATATTGAACAGAACCTCGCGTATGTCGATACAAAGCGAGCTGTCGCCCTGGGTGCCTCATATGGCGGGTACATGATGAACTGGATCCAAGGACATCCTCTCGGTCGCAAATTCAAAGCACTGGTCACACATGATGGTGTTTTCAGTATGACGTCGCAGCTGGCCAGCGAAGAGCAATATTTCCCTCTCCATGATCTTCAGGGACCGATCTGGAAGAGGCCTGAGAACTGGGCCAAATGGGATCCATCGCGCTTTACCGCAAACTGGCAGACGCCACACCTAATTATTCATAACGAGCTTGATTACCGGTTGACGATCGCTGAAGGCCTGGCCGCATTCAACGTTCTTCAAATGCGCGGAATTGATAGTGCCTTCTTAACTTTCCCTGATGAGAACCATTGGGTCTTGAATCCCGAAAATTCTCTCATGTGGCATAAGACTGTGTTCAACTTCATCAACAAGTACGCTGGTCTGCCTGCAATTGCAGATGAACCGGATCTGTCAAGCATGAACACTCTAGCGCTTTAATGGCTTAGCCTTTCTGGCTATGCCTCAATACATGAAACATACTGGTGACAGCTCGTTATAATACTGCAGCTTTGAATCTATGGCTCCGATTCTTCTACGTCTTGGAACAAAGGACTGGAGACCTTGTTCCTTTGAAATGTTTCGACTTGAATGGTTACAAAGGGCGTGCTTGGCTTTGTGAGGGTCCAAGGCTACAAAGCGCTATTCCGGGTTGTTTCACCTCATTGTCTATATCATTGCCATTATCAGGACAATCGACCGTCGCAAATATTTAAGAGCCCTTCGTTTGACCTAATTGTCTCGGGCTTTCGTTTTGTTTATTAGCATTGTTTTTGGTTTATCAAGCGAATATACTTACTCTACTCTATTCATATCACTATACAATCTTCACTCTTCACTCTTCTTGAAGCTTTTGTATTTTCATCTTCATCATGCCTGCAACCCCGATTTCCCCATCTCGCCCGAAGAACCGGTCTGTTCCCGGTTCCAGGCGCACTGAGGGTATACAGACTTCCACCCCTCGGCCTTTACACCATCCCGGTTTCGTCCCAGTCCTTCAGTACCTCAGGCAAGAATTGTACCCTCTCGTCAGCTGCACAACCGGCGAGATCCCTACAGATTTTCCCGAGACAATGTTATCATACCATCTCCTCACAAACAATCAACTCGACAACCTCGCACAACATTATCACCAGACATCACCTCCACTACCACAAACATCAATGTACCCATCCCAAATACAAAAACCATGGCTCGGACCAAATACGGAAAGTAACATTGATCTCGAAACTAAGCGCCGTCGCTTTGGACGCTTTATCGGGCTGGGAGGCTGTAATTCCCCAGTGGCCACGGAACATCCACAACCCACCCTTCACCTCGCCACGCAGGAAAGCAGCGTGACAACACCGATTGTCATCGATGAGGCCATCCTGTCAAATATTCTCACTCCGGATTTGGAGTGCGAGGACGTATGGGAGATGATGGCGCGCATGGAACAGGAATGGCAGGCGGCTCTGGCACAAGCGCAGGCCGAAGACAACCAACCCTTTGGTTGGAAATGAGCTGATCTGAATCCAAGGATCGCGGTTCTCCTTGTCTACCTAAACCTTGGTATTATTCTTTCTACACTGGCTTTGTTCTTTAGCGTCTATTTTTGTTTAGAATATGACAATGAAACATTGTCGGCGCTTCTTGGTTTCAGTCTCGTACGTATACCCTACAAATATACTACAAATATAGCCACCTTTGTTTCTTACTACCTCTTTGATACACCAGCTACTGTAAAACTCCAGGTAACTTCCAAGGTTGAAAATAATTCACTCCCCACTCCAAAACCCCCATCTCCTACAATTCCCCCAAAATACGCGGGGCTTGCCCCGCGAATGCTGTTTAGCCGGCGCCGGCTAAACCAGCGCAGAACTGGCTACATTCATGGATAATAAACACGACCAAATACACAAATAGCCCGAGGCTAAATAGATCCCTTCCAAGCTCGGTTCCAGGTACATAATAGCTAGCAATCACCACCGTATCCTCAAAATCAATCCAGCCCTGTAATTGCTCCATCCATCCATACATACCCATCCCACCCAACCCGCAACCTGCCTTGCTTTAAACAACCGGGCATTCAAGCCCCAAACCACCCATCATGACCCCCAAACCCCTCATAACACACCTCTACACCGCCGACCCCTCAGCCCACGTCTTCAACAAAAAGCTCTACATCTACCCCTCCCACGACCGCGAAACAGACATCGCCTTCAACGACAATGGCGACCAATACGACATGCACGACTACCACGTCTTCTCCATGGACTCACCCTCCGGCCCCGTAACAGACCACGGGCCCGTCCTCTCCGCCACCGACGTCCCCTGGGTCTCCAAGCAAATGTGGGCGCCCGACGCCGCAACCAAGAACGGGCAATACTACCTGTACTTTCCCGCGCGCGACAAGGACGGCATATTCCGGATCGGCGCCGCGGTGGCCCCAAACCCAGAGGGCCCCTTCGTGCCGCAAGCCTCCTACATCGCCGGCAGCTACAGCATCGACCCGGCCTCGTTCGTCGACGACGACGGCACGGGCTACCTCTATTTCGGCGGGCTGTGGGGCGGCCAGTTGCAGTGCTGGGTGGAGGATGGCAGCGGGAGCGGGGCGCTGACATTCGATGCGTCGCGCGCCGGGCCCCAGGAGCCGGGTGGTGCGGGTGTGCGCGCGCTCTTTCCGCGCGTGGCGCGGCTGAGCGATGACATGCTCTCCTTTGAGGGGGGGGTGCGCGAATTGAGGATTCTGGCGCCTGAGACGGGGGAGCCGCTTGCGGCGGATGATCATGAGCGCAGGTTTTTCGAGGCGGCGTGGATGCATAAGTATAAGGGCACGTATTATTTTTCGTATTCGACGGGTGATTCGCATTATCTTGTTTATGCGACGGGGGCGTCGCCGTTTGGGCCGTTTACGTACCGCGGGAGGATTTTGGAGCCGGTGCTTGGGTGGACGACGCATCATTCTATTGTGGAGTTTCAGGGGAGGTGGTGGTTGTTTTATCATGATTGTGAGTTGTCTGGGGGCGTGGATCATTTGAGGTCGGTTAAGATGAGGGAGATTGTTTATGATGATGAGGGGGCGATTAGGCTTGTGGAGGAGTAGGTGGGATACATGTATGTATGGAGATAGTCAGAGGCTTGGGATTGATTACATATTATGCTAGCACTGCTTTGTATATATGCTATTTGGAAGATCGATGTCGTGAATATCATGCCTGTGAGCTATCGATGTCGTGAATATCATGCATGTGAGCTAGAGTTTGGTCATGTCGTGATTGAGGCCTTTGGTTAGTTAGTGGCCCATTCCCTTCTCGCAGTTCTCTTGGACAATCTTCCAGTATTTCTCGCGGCTGCGGATCCGGCAAGACTTTCCGTACTTGATCATGACTAGGAATACAGCGGCGCAGGCCATGCCGACAAAGGCGGCGGAAAGGAAGCAGTTCTGGTATCCGAGATTGTCGACCCAGGGCGTGATACTATGATATGTTAGCGATTTGTTCTCCGCAAGAATATCTGCATGTAGATTTGGCCTACCCATAGCTAATGGCGAAGGACATCGTGTTTCGCACCAGGATGACAGTAGCCATCGCCACTCCGCTCAACTCTCGGTAGCTGTCAACCATGTAATTGACGCTCAGAGTGATTCCGCAGGTGTTGGTAAAGGCGAGCATGCACATGGCCACAATGAGACCAAACCAGTGTACTTCGTGAGCGGCACCGACACCCCAGAGTAGGAGGGATCCGGGCACGAGTAATAGGCATGCGACAAAGGGCCACAAGCGGTGTTCGGCTTCCATTACTCCATTGTTACGGCGGGCAAGTTTGATGGTCAGCCAGTCGCTGAATCGTCCGGTGAAAATGGATCTAGGCAGAGTTAGCAATATTGTGGCAGGAGGATCATCTAAGGGGAACCTACCCGATGGCTACACCAAGACAGCATGCCAAGTAGCTGAGACCGACCATGGAAGTTCTGATTTTTGTTAGCTAAGTTGCTCTTTTTTTAGTCATTTTTATGGGTACCTACCCAAAGCCGTAAGGTTCTCCACCCAGGATGATAGATGCGGTGCCATTGAGAATATTGAAAAGCACCAAATAAGATCCATAGGAGAATCTAGTTCAACGTTAGCATCCATTTTTCTACAAGAAACCGAGGGGTACACGACATACCCAGCGTAGAAAATGACCGGCCAAGACAGGAAGTACAGACTCTGCCAAAGTCGCCGAAACATAGTGTTATGTTTCTGTTTGGGGCCAAGGAGAGACAATGTCTGCCAGTATGTCTTCTTGGCGTAGACCACGCCATTTTCCGTTTCCGTAGCTGGGATTGCCTGATCAGAGACCGGGGCCTTTTCAGGATCCTCGTCACTGTGTGAGCTGTGGGTGGATTCCAGCCGTACATTGGCGACGGTGGCAGCCTCGATACTATCTTCGCGGACAAAGTTTGTTTCTTCCATGAAAAAGAACAGGAAGATCATTGCGCATCCACAGAAAATGCTGGGCCAGTAGAAGACCCATTGCCAGCCCTGGTACTGCGCAATGAAACCGCAGATCACTGGCGCAAAGTAGTTGCTACCGGCCAAGAAAAAGGCATACAATCCCATGTAAGTTCCACGTTCATGTGTAAAATACTACATAGGCATTGGTCAGCTGGAGTATTCTCGGTAAATTTTTGATCAAACTCACCACATCCGTGACTGAGATTTCTGGAAGAGCCTCGATCGGGGCAGTGAAGAAGCCCTGAAGAACACAGCGAGCGATCCACTGTCCGTATGTTTTCGCATAAGGTCTAGATTGAGTTGGTCAATAAAAGTCTCGAGTCTTCAGTCCGAATGTGGAGTATTCCTTACCCCCACATAGTTGTGCCCTAGAGCTTATCAGTACATCATCTTTGGTATCCACCCAGTGTCTCGGTGGGGACGGCGACTTACCAGGATTCCCGCCAATGACAGAATGTATGTCAATCGCTTTCCATATTGCATTGCAAAGGGTTGCCAAAATAGCAATCCCCATCCTGCCAGCAAAAACAAATATCCCGTGCCTTCATTTAGAGTATCGACCGATAAACCGGTCTCATCGGACAGCTGGGTGAGAACTGAATAAACTACCGAACAAGCGATACCGGAGAACAATGTGTAACTGGATGGGAATTGCCCGTCAGCGAAATGTTTGATTCAGCAATTGAATCTTTGTCCACTTACACGCTAACAGAGACTGTTGACATCAACTTCCTCCGCGGGCTCCAGTTCAGTGGGTCATCTGGATGAGCAGAAGGGGCGGGGATCAAAACAATATCCCTATCTCCACTTTCCAGATGCCGAGTATGGAGCACCTGCTGAACATCGACTAGTGTGACTGTGCCCGGAATGGCCGAGGTATCGACTACAGGTGCCATGGTGTTTATAAGAAAGACCAAGCAAGGGATGAAAGAGCGAAAGGGACGATGAGCCCGGGAAACGCGATCAAGGCCTGTATTTGAGAGCGGACGCTCACAGCATGATAAGAAGTCGGCGGTTTTGCCGATGCGAGGGGAATCGGCAAACTCAGATAAAAGCAGATTGACAAGGTTGAGGTAGGTTTCGGAAGGTTTCCGCTGGGGAGATATGGTTTTTTTGTGGCGTCCGAATACCGTCCCCCGATAAGCTGCGGTGTTAGAATTGGAGCCGGGTGAGCCTTCCCCGCACTTTTGTCAAGCGGATCTTTACCGTTTCGGCTGAATGTCAACAAAGAGAAGCTTGGCGGTCGTAGGTTACTTACTCCAAACGGAAAGTGATCTTGGAGTAAGAGGTGGATGGAGATTCACTTGGAGTCAGGTTGCTATATGTTGAAGTCAACTGGTGGGAGTGTTGGATCTTATCCTTATCTTCATTCGATAAGGAGATAACAAGATAAAATTTTGGCCAATTAAAGCCTGCAGTCCATTCAATCTATTTATTTTTCTTTTGTATCTTCCTTCTCCGGACGATACGAGCGCTGTCGGCGATGTCAAGACAATGGACACTTTGTTGACAAATGAGTTCGGTTTTCAATGCACTGAAGTTGTGTTCGAAGCAGAAGATAAATCCCCGGGATGGGATCTATCGGTCAAAATCATAGAACTGCTGAGATTACATGATCCACAACAGCGGACACTGTTCCTATTCTACTATGCGGGACATGGTGAATTCCGCGATGGAATTTTCTCTCTTTGTGACAGGGGAAAGCGAGTCTCATGGTCTGGGATTTCCCAGATTCTCTGCATCGACCAAGATAAGTCTAAGGGGCTTAATACACTCGCAATACTTGACTGTTGCTATAGTGGCTAGGCCTAACGGGAGGAACTTGACCGTACAATTCAGATCATTGCTGCTAGTGATGAAACAACCGATGTCCGGAGCAGAGATCACATCCCCTTCACCCAGAGTATCCACGTAGCTGCCCATACTCTTAAATCTCGATGCTCTACTATAACAGTAAATCAATTGTTTGATGAGATTATTCAGCAACGTCCGTATAAACCTCACCATGGTGACCGAAAATGAGGACGCTTGGGGGTTCTCAGCCAATCGCCCTAGAATTCCAACAGCCCGCAGAATCGCAAACACGAACCCCTACAAAGAATTATGATGAGACCATGATCCTTGTCAAGCTGACTCTCCGCGGCAAAACGAATGAGTTGGAAGAATTTTCTCGGGTTATTCAAGCCGTACCTTGAAGATGTCAACATTAGAGTCAAGATATCCTCCTACCAGTTGACCTGCACCTACATATATTGGGAATGGTTTCACAGCTGCGGTACTACATACTATGTGCCCGTAGACCTCGGGAGTCTATGGCACCTGCAGATGTGGACACATTCATGAAAACGATGAATCATGTGGAACTTATATACACGCCACCTTCCGATCCTATCTCCCGTGCATTTACTACATTGATGCATTCAATGTCGATGCGCGGCGCTTTTTACTCAAGTGTTTGCATAAATATACACCAGCTTCGAATATTCGGAACGTTGATCCATTAACTGTTATTGGTGAGATTAGGTATTGAGTAACCACATGTGCAGTTGACATTTATTGATGCATAGCGCGTAGTGCAGAGTCAGTACATACTACATGTAGTCCTTGATCATGTGTTACATATGCACGGCATTTTTTAAAAAAAACACTCAATGGTGCACATGTGATGTAGTGTAGGAAGTGTTGACCAAGAAGATAGTTCAGTTTCGGAGGCTTAGAGCTGCGCAGCAATCGAGATTCGAGTTTGGAGTTGAGGACTCGAGGCTCGAGGCGGCCAGACAAAAAGGACCTGATGGCATTTGCGTAGAAGTTTGAAAGATAGACAAAGAAAAAAAAAGAAAGAAAAAAAGAAGTGCCGTCGGAAGGTGTCGAACCTCCGTCTCTCACATGTGTCGGGGCCCCAGCCTGATTTGGTAAGAATACTTCTGTACATTCCAGGCCAGGCAAGACTGTCCATAATGACTGGCAGTGAGCGTGCTAACCAACTGCACCACGTCGGCTTTTGTTAATCAGAAATGACGTAAGACCCACTTAAGGTCAACGCTAGTCCAGATAGCGTAACTTGGTTCCGTTATCCGCTGGTTCAGCCAATCAAGCTTAGTAGGCCGCTTTCTCCACTCGTATTTCTGACCAATTAACAGAGACAACCTAGGCTGCATCTTTCCTCTACATTCATGATTTCATGCTCATTGACATCTTTCAATGCAGTGAGTGCTTTTTTCGAAGGATTTCAGCATCTCTCTCAAATATTATTTGATTATACAATGAATGCCATAAAGGACGAACTAGCTCGAACATCAGGTCTTAATGTTTGGTCAACACTTTGTGTTAAATGTTCCCCAGCTGCATGCTGTGAGATTGCATGCCAGGCACATGTTCCCAAATAAGCCAAAAACCGCTATAATCGAACTCTACACATTGCCTGGACCTGCTTATGTACCCATAATACAACAGTGATGTCATGACTCTTCAAGCCATGACACATGCAACACGCTATTGACCCCTTCGTGGTGAAAATACAGAAACCATTTCTCCTTGGTCGCAGTCCGTAGAGCACTCCTTCAAACGGTCCCGCTGCTTTCTTTTTTCCCTCACGTACAATCTCAACCGAATATCGCGAGCCATTGATGTCACAGTTGCTAGCTCCACAAGACTTGCTGGGCCCGATTTCTGCTCTCTTTGCACTTTCACCCATATCAAACTGTCCATCTTGGAAAAGAAACAGATATCGTCATTTTCAAGGGTCCGTCGGACAGGTCCACTTTGGATGGGATTGACCACGGATGTTTCGAGCAAGTATATGGTATTGTCTAGATTTTGTTTTGAAGCGCTCTTGCATCTCACATGGTCCATCTCAAGACATGTCATAGTGATGTACGCAAATGTGGCGCAATCATGCGAGTCAGCAAGGATTCTAGCCCAGGAACTTTGGCCTTCAAGAGGAACCTTTAGACAGCGAGATGTGTCTCCCATGTACGGCCAAGCAACGCAAAAGGTCTTGCCCGTTAAAGGATCCAGACCCGTGGGCAGAAGGCATGTCAGAATCTTTCGTATTGATTCGTAGACTCGCCTCTTTAGATTCTTGTTCAAGCAACCCAAGCGGCTTCTGAATTTATTATGGTCAAATGATTCATCTCGTAGTTCCCCATCCAGGTTGAGAGGCTCGTCCCCAAAGTGCTTCAACAGATCGGCTACCAGGATACGCAGCGGAACTTTTCTAGCCACACCAGTGCAATAGCTGACCTGAAGACCCCAGTATTCATTCATATACTGAAGGAGATCATCATCTGTGCTTGCGAGAGCAACCTCTTTGACCGATATCCCTCTTTGTCTGTTCCAGGTCTCGGTAGCCTGCCCGACCAAGTACTGGCCTCCTTGCAGAGAGAACTGCCGTTGGGATTTTTGCCACGAGGAGCGGCTAGTTCCCACATATTCCAAACCGCTTCTGACTGTCGCTCGACAGTCTGCTTCGATACGGTTGCACTCTGTGTTGATTACGGCCAGGGCTCCGATTCGAATAGTAGACTCAAAGTCGAGAGGTTGTAGGGTTGTCGAGTCAAGTTTTGTCGCCCAGTGGTATGTCCGTTCATGTCCACTTGCAAAGATGAAGCCATCTCCGATCTTGATAGCCACTTTCGGGCATATTGGGTCTGTTGGGCTTCTTTCATAGACAAAGTTTGCCGGTCCCCAAGTGTCGATTATGTCGACAATGCGGCCAAGGATGTCATGCCTAAGGATGAGGCTTTCAAACTTCGATCCCGCTCTAGTTTGATCATTTGTGGACTCAAAGTCACACAGAGAGCGAAAAGCCAACACAGGCCCTCTTGTAAAATTCCCAAAGCAAGTCAAAGGTGTCATCTCTGCTATTAAGCCCAAGGACCCTGGCTCGTCCTTGATACCATTTAAGATAACCTTCCGTATTGGCGTGTCCAAGAAAAATGGCTGAAGCGGGCCTATATGAGCCTGGGTATATGACAATATACCGACACAAAGGAATTGGATCGCTAGTGCACAACGGTGAAGGCACTCCTGAGAATATTCTGAAAAAGAGAGGTTCTTTAGATCTTCCAGGGTCTCCATGAGCTCCGGAATTATGAGTTGCAGAATGGCGTTTGATGTTTCAAGAATCATGGCAAGAACTGACCCCTGCAGTCCTTCCCCTAGCGTTTCCAGTGCCTCAGAAAGAGAATTCATCAGTTCAAAATCAACAGAACTGACTTGTACTGCAGCAGAAGCTGAGCTATCCAAATCGTGTCTTGCGAAGCTGAGAAATGTAAAGGATGCGCAACACAAGTCACTTTTTTGTAACAGACAGGCAGCATTGCAGACGTCTCTGAGTGCTTCAACAATGAGATGCATATGCATACTATCTTGATTTGAAAATTCAAAATCGGGAAAATAATATGACGCGGCTGCAACCTGATTCTGCTCGCTGAATTTGACTGATCCAACCCAGTTGGCAAAATCCCGTGTTTTGGGGCTTATTCCCGCCAGACCACAGAGCTCTGCAATATTCTCAACTATACCTTCGTCATCAATAGGCCTTGATGGAGAGTTTGTCCCCATATTAATTTGCATGTTATTATGCATCAAAAAAATCGGCCCCAAGAGAGCTACGTGGGCTTGATGGGAGCAACAGCGAGAACTGTGTTCGTAGTGAAGTCTCAAACGAGGAAATGTGGTAGGCTCAAAGAATACCCAAGGAGCATCCCGGGACTTTTCCAACAGCAAATTGAAAACCTCATGGAGACTATACCCAACGATCTGAAGCTCGCGGATCCAAGGGTATTTATTGGGTCTCATATCTTCGTGCCTGGTGAGCAACTGCTGATACATGATCTCGGCCTCGTTGGATGCTCCACCGTCAATAATCTGTTGTCCAGATTCACAGATCTGCCTAAGCGTAGACAAATGATCGATGCCATGTCTTGACACTCTGGATAACAGCGATTTATATCGTCGATCAACTTTGACACTGACATTACTGCTATCTTGTTGCTGGGGAGGAGTGTGTGAGAGACTGCGTCGTTGGCCTGCCAGATTCACCGCAGCGTGGTCATGTTCGATCAGGTTCTTCTCATATGGAATGTCAAGTCTGGAGTTGCTGCGACTGCTATGATTGGATTGCCCATCATTAAAAGAAGATAGGAGCTCATTCGGCCTATAGGTTGTGCCCAAGGCGTCATAAGGCATTGGACTGCCATATCTGGTGTTTTTGCCTTTTTGCAGATCGTCGTACTGTGGCCCAAAATAGGGAACTTCGTTTTGCTGACCTATCAGACTGTTAAAACCAAACATCTAGTCCTCTGGCTGAATATATAGACATACCGAGGCCAGGAAAGTGCATGTGATAAGGGTTTAATGCACTATTTCCATTGATGTTGATAATCGGATTGATAATGGGAGTCACTGAAAGGATCACTTTGGCATATACCGCAGCTGATGCTACAGCATAGCCCACCCATTCGTGATTTTGATGGGAGTCGGCATAGTTGCTGATACCCCGAATAAAAAGAAATTTCCGATCATCGATTTGTCCAACAGCTTCCGTATCCCAACAATATGCCCCTAGTTGATCGCCTATTTGATCCCGTAGTTGACTGTTTCGTACCCTTACGTCTCCAGATGCAATCGGCCCGTAATGCACCACAGGCTTATCATGACCTCGAGAAGTCCTGGGTACAATTTTGGTCTTATCACAGTGCTGGCAATCCTTCGATCCGACGTGATTGTAGTTGGCAAGAAATAAGTAATCATCCTGAGGCGGACGGCAATAGAATTTGTTCTCAATCTCATTGAGATAGCGAAGGAACTTTCTGTTGGCCATAACAGGATTCTTTTGCAGTATGTCAAGAGAATGAAAGAAATCTTCAGGAGGATTAAGTTCGCCTGTTTTTTGAATGGCGCCATTAAATATCGCTCTACCATAATCGAATTGTACCACTCCTCCATGCGTTCTTGTCGGCTTGCCGACCACAACATCACCCAGACGGATATCCGGGGCACCTCTCTTTGGTATCCCTCCTCCAATCCCAACCATCAGAACCACCCGAATAGACCGAAATTTGGAGAGTAATCTCAGGCTGTTTCTGCGGCCAGGCTGGCAAGGCGTCAAACGTGTAATGACAATATTGTGCTCGCCCATCTTTCCAACAACATAGGCATTGAAGTCAGTCAGTCCCAAGTGAGATTTCTCGTGGACTTCGTCTAACAAGAGCTTCGCAGCTTCCATCTCTGTTTCTCGCCCGCAGACCCATCCAATAGTGTAATCATCGTTAGACAGGGGGCCTCTAGCTGCCATGATGGACAACATAATGAATCAATGATCGTCATAAAATATCAAACTTTCAAGGCCGTTAATTCATGGGAGACAGTATAGAAGAGACCAAGGTGCGATGAGTGTAGATTGTGAGAATGGGATGCCAGGGTTCATCAGGATCCAGGAAAGCGGGGTTAAGCTGCGGGACTTGTGAGGCTGTTACATACAAGTACCATTGCAGACACCAGGTATCAGGTACCGTAGAAGTCTATGGATTCAGAAACGATACCGTACGCATCGGTACCCAATTGATAGCCCGATATACGCTGGCATATTCAAGCTTGGAAAATTGAAATAAACCACCCCCACCTTGGCATGATGACGGTAATTTACATGGTCTATCACTCTGGCTTCATCCCCCCAATTTTCTACGGGTCTCGATATGTGCAAGCCACCGAAACCATCATCTGTTGCTATCCCTTCCCAAGTCTCCCCGCCCGTGTCTACTTTCAATTTTGATACTATCATGTCTGTTCAGATAGACAGTCACCAGTCAATTATCGACTATTGCCGTTCTTGCCCAGATGATCAACTTATTGGAGGCTCGAAGTACGGCAACCGAGTCGTTAAGCTACCGAACTATGACTTGGTAGTCAAGTTTGGCCAGCATGTCTCTTCCTACGAGGCAAAGAATCAGCAAGAAGCGTATAACACGATTGATCACAACGTCGTCATAGTCCCTTGGGCTCATAAGTTTTTTGTGGACGATGAGGGCTGGGGCTACATGGTATCGGATTTTATTCCGGCCAAGACTATCGATCCTCTTCCGGAATCTCATATTCGAAGACTGGCCAAGATTCTTGAATATTTTCACTCTATTACCTCTGAGAGTACCGGTAGCCTATGTGGTGGCCCGTCGACTGGCCTACTCTGGCCATTTACGAATGATCTATTTATTAGCAGTGTCCAACATGTGGAAGACTGGTTTAACAGTCGGCTTTTTCCCGGAGACGGCGAAGTTCATTTTGATCCGAGCCCATCGGTGCTATGCCATCTAGATATAGCCCCGAGAAACATTATTTGGTTGGACGATGGCCGTGTCAGTCTACTGGACTGGGAATCAGCAGGATTTTATCCACGACCATTGGAATTTGCCAGTTTATTCTTTCAAGAATATCATTTTGGCGAGGCGCTTCTAAATGCTATGGGTTTCGGCTCTGCACATGAGAAAGAAGAGCAACAGAAGATGTGCCAGGCATTGTTTAACAATGAAAAGTACTCCTTGTAAGTCATAACCAACCAAAGTTGACCGCCTGAACAAAACTAATCCACAAAATAGTCGTCCGCGGGATACTACAGAACCGTCCTCGCATTCCTCACCAGCTGATTGCATATTTCCTCTCCCACTAATCCCGAAACCCCAAAAACTTAATTTGATAAATAGACAATCGGATATGACGTCTATTGCATCTTCTAATATGGGAATTATACCTAGAAATTGATAGTCCAAGCTGCGAGCAAAATATGACCCGTGTGATTGTTGTGTCAATGGCGCACTCGACTTAGAGAGCGTACTAGTAAGCATAGACGGAGACATTTTGAAAAACGAGAATTCTTAAGCTTCCTGAATATCCCACTCGAAATTTGAATGTCAACAACGAAACCGTATTTGAACAACGCAATCCAAGCCACCAAAGCGTCACATGATAGTGCGGCTGAAAGTCAGAAACTCTCTTTTCGCGAGGTTGAACTGTTCTTGTTTATGTATGCGGAAACACACCACACAAAGTACACACATGTCGCAAACCTACTATGAACTCTGGATCATTTGACGGCACTAACTTGGGAAACCAAGTAGGGATCAATTATGGACAGATTAATTTCCCTCCAGGTAGGCTTTACATACAGGTTCCCTATCAAACAAGACTAACGGCTTCTTGGCGCAGAACGACCCGAAACCCCACCCGCCCCTCTCTCGACCGTCCCGTTCCGTCGCGACCCGGACTTTGTAGATCGCGGAGATCTGCTCGATGAGATACACGTAAAATGCTCTGCCCCGGGTTCTCGGGTAGCACTGGTCGGCCTAGGAGGAGTGGGGTGAGTTCGACGAATGGCATGGCGCGCGAAAATTTGTCCACTGATCGTTCCAAGGAAATCACAACTTGTCATTGAATACTGCTATCGCGTTCGAGATGAATCGCCCACAACCTGGCTTCTCTGGACTCATGCAACCAATGCGACTCGTTTCGAGCAAAGTTGCCGGGAGATTGCAAGCCGAGCCAAAATACCTGGTTTTCAAAACCCGAAAGTAGATATAGTCAGGCTGCTCTCTGCTTGGCTGAACGATCCAAAGACGGGGCATTGGGTTCTTATCCTAGACAACCTTGATGATGATGAGTTCTTTCATGCGAAGTTATCGGAAAACCCGAGTAGCACTGCGAATGATCAGGGAAAGACGCTGGGGCGATCACTGTGGTCAAATCTTCTGGAATGCTTGCAAGGCACGATCTTGATTACGAGTCGGAGCAGAGGCGTTGCATCAAGGATCGTGGAAGAAAATGACATCGTACCTGTTGAACCGATGGAAGAACGCCATGCAATTTCCCTCTTTGAGAAGAAACTGGGGACACAGCCGGATGGAGACACAGAACATATTCTCCAGCTAACCGCAGCACTGGGGTTTATGCCGCTCGCAATAGTTCAAGCAGCGCTCTACATCAAGCAAAGAACTCCTCGCTATTCGGTAAAGCAGTATCTTGACGACTTTCCGGCAAAGAAAGTGATACTTCTACAACATAAAGGAGGCTCTTTACGAAGAGACGAGGAGGCACAGAACGCGATTCTTCTCACATTACAAATAACGTTTGACCACTTGCTCGTGACAAACAAATCAGCCGTGGACTTGCTATCTTTGATCAGCTTTTTTGATATACAAGAGATCCCTGACAGTGTATTGCGAGAGCAAGCAAAGAGGCAGGAGGATGATTGGAGTTTCAACGGCGCACTCGACATAGGGAGTGTAAGCAATGATGCAGAAGTTTTGAACAACGAAACCAACGACCTCAATGACGATACCAACGTCCCGAACAATGATACCGAAGACCCACCTGAAGACAGTAGAACTCCCTTCCATGAGGTTAACATAAGAGATCGCATGCACATACGAAAGAAGCTCAACGCTCTTCTCTCTCACTATAAGGACATCTCCCAAGTTCGTCAAAATACGAACATTGAAGGAGATCATGACTGTAATCACAATGCCGCCGATGGTTGGTGCGAGGAGTCTAGCTCTGCCAACGATTTCGAAGACGATGTCTTAACACTGAGAGACTATTCCTTGATATCGATCGGTGTACTTGAAAAAAACTTTCGCATGCATCGATTAGTCCAACTAGGGATGCAAGAGTGGCTCAAGACCCGCAACCAATTCGAAAAATGGAGAGAGTGCTTTACAGCCTGTCTTTACCGCAATTTTCCGTTACCAAAGTCTACCCGTGATTGGGCAAAGTGTGAAGTCCTTTACTGTCACATACCGTATGGAGCCGTGTTCCATAGGCCATTTGAAGGGATACTGTTGAGAATGTGGGAGTCATTGCTGTATAAAGCGGCACTTTATACATACCAGAGAAGAAGACTCGGGGCGAGCAGGAGGCTGGCGGAATGGGCGACATTTTCAGGACACTACAAAATAGGCGGAATAACAGGTCAAATCACAGTTGAGAACGCCGAGTTACTTGGATCCATATGGTACGCTCAGGGCCAATGGGAGGACGCAGAAAAAGCGCAGGTCCGAGTGATGAGGGCCCGTGAGCGGACATTGGGAAGAGATCATCCGTCCACGCTCATCAGTATGACTAATTTGATACTGACGTACAAAGCCCGGAGGAAATGGAAGGAGGCCGAGGAGCTGCAGGCCGACGAGCTCAAGCTGTGCTCTCATGTGCTTGGACCAGGAAGCCTCTCTACCTTGAAAAGCATGAGTCGGTTGGCATCTATATACCTGCCGCAGGGCCGATTAAAGCAAGCCGAGGACCTCCAGCTAGAAGTTGTTGAGATGAGCAAGAATGCCCTTGGAGAAGAGCATCCGGATACCCTGGCCAGCATGAGCTTTCTAGCATCAATCTACAAGACCCAAAGACGATTCAAAGAAGCCGAAGATCTCCAGCTAGAAGTCTTGGACATGAGCAAGAATGCTCTTGGGCTAACGCACCCCGATACTCTGACTAGACTGGGTGCCCTGGCATCGATCTACTGGGCCCAGGGATTATGGCTGGAGGCCAAAAGACTGTATGCCCAAGAATACATGCTAAACTACCAAGTGCTTGGGCCCGAACACCCGTCCACTCTGACCAGCATGGGCAACTTGGCGCTGGCGTTCAAGCGCCAAGGGCGATTGGTAGAGGCCAAAGAGTGGCAAGCCGCGCAGTTTGATCTGTGCCATCGGGTGCTTGAGCAAGACCATCCGTCTAGTCTGACAAGCATGAACAACCTTGCTCATACTTTAGCGTCGCTGGACAATTACGAAGGTGCTTTCATAGTTATGACGATATGTGCTCAACTCCGCGACCAGATATTAGGCCCCGAGCACCCCCAAACCATTGCTTCAAAAACTGCTCTCGATCATTGGGCTGGCATGCGTGGCAAGCCTGCTCGTAAAATGGTGTTCGGCGATGACAATACAGCTGATCGAATAGTGTACGCGGCCTTGGGTCTCACGTCTTGTGCTCTTCTCTTTTTCTTTGTGTTTCTCTTTTTCCCTTTCGCGTTCTCCTCTATATTTACTCTGTACACTATAATTCGCCACAAGCTCGGTTTACCATGCAATACGATTCTCTGGAGAGCCCAATGAAGACAAATCTCAATCAACAGGTACTGGATACCTTTACGCAATTTGACGGGCAGAACCTTCCGATTCGCTTGGGCTGATCAACAGTAGGAATAATTCGTTGATTCAATATTGACCTCGGGAACCTTCTCAGTTCTAACAGTAACCATACTACTAGTAACGTATTCGACCAGTCGCCAACCAAAATCAATTGATGTAAGTTGCTTCAGTGCCCTCACAAGACTGGGCTAGAGTAGCATACAATGCGGCCATAAATGCAAATTTGATCGACACTGTGGGAATATGCGGACTTAAAAAAACTAGATACTTCGAGAACTAGCCCTGTTGCCTGAGGTATAACCAAAACATTTGAACATAGCCTATACTGTACAAATCGCCGAAGTGAAAAGAGAGAGAAAATACAGATCATGCACAAAATTTTCAGCGCATTCAGCGCTAATAATTTCTCGAGTAGAAGGGGGAATTGAGCTGGTTGAAAGAAAGAAAGATTCGAGCACCTTGGTTTAATGGGATGCACTCGCCCCATCGTCATCCGGTAGTTCACTGATGACATTCTTAATCAGATCAATCAACTCATCAATGTCGGGACGTTCCGAGGCTTCCACTTCAAGACACTTGCGAACGATGTCCTTAACAGGAGCGCTAATTGTGCTGCTTCCACTGCTCTTGGATGCATCATCATTGTCACCTCCAGCCTTTGCCTTGCCCTTGGTGGCATTGGACTTTTCATCCGGGAATCGCCAGTCGCCACCAAGAACACACATACTCAGACTACCACCAGTTTCCTCACTGCGAGCCTCGAAAGGACTCTTGCCGACCAGGCAGGCATATAGAGTGCAGCCCAAAGACCAGATATCGACTTTTGTGTCAATGATCGAGCCGGTCTTGACGTCAAATAGCTCCGGCGCGCGGTATGGCATGGTGCTATGCTCGGCGGCAGTATCTTGCACCGCTAAGGCCAAGGATCGGGATGTTATAGCAATCGGACTGGGTGCCAGGGAACCAAGATCCATCAGGATAGGTGATTGGCCATCATCGTCGATCATAATGTTACCTGCAAGCAAGAAAACAGCATTAGCAAGATGAAATCTCTTGGGGTCGGATATGGCTTACCAGGCTTAATATCGCGATGCGCATACGGGCGCAAGTCGCCGTCCTGGACACCTTCCTGACTGATCGTCACCTCATCATCAATGAGCGGCTCATTCTCCTCATCTTCTTGCTCTTGCTGCACGCGATGACTTGCGCGTCGCTGCGGCTTCATCTGCATTGTTCTCTCCGCATCTGCCTCCTCGCCTTCTTTCCGGACAGCCTTCGCTTTGCGCGTGGATGTCGCGCCACTCTGAACGCGATACTGGTGCATCGATCGCATTGCGTTGGCGACTCCTAGCATCAGAACCATCAATCGCTTCTCCGGGAAGCGGGTATGGTTAACCAGATTGGCGTTGATGGCATCTTGGAGGTTGCCTCGTTGGTAGTATGGGAGGAGAATGTAGACGGTTTTGGAGCCCGGATCGCCGCCGTCTGATCGGAATTTTGAGCCGGATTCTGTGGATACGGAGTGATCGATGGCGTGGATGATGTTGTTATCCGAGTTGAATAGGTTGTATGCTTCGACTTCCTTCAAGGCTTGCGACACAGATTCTTGACCGAAAGGACAGCGGATTTTCTTGAGGGCGAATAATTCAGATGTAGCTTTATCTTGGACGAGGTATACGTAGGAGAAACCGCCCTGTTTGATTGAAGGTCGATCGGTTAGCTTTCAGGCCACGTTCCTCTTCTCCCCACGGGGGGCCTTGCGGAGCTGTATTGGCTGTAGATCATACCTCTCCTAACAGTCGCAGAAGCTTGAAGCTTCGGTTATTGATCTTCAGTTGCGGTGAGCTGGGGAAACAGCACATGCAATCTGTGAAGTTGTAGAGAAGATCGAAGAAGTACTGCGCCATGATGCTAGCTAGTACCTCCGCGTCGGAAGGTCGGGGGACCGAGAGCGCGTGGGGATTGTTGGAAATCTGGAGATAGATACAATGACGAGTATGTTCCGGGATCTACCGAGAGATGAAAAAATACAAATCAAAGTAAGCGAAAAGGAGAGGATGCAGCGTGAGGAGGTAAGGAGTGATAGAAGGAAGAGGTTGAGAGATCGGGGAATGGATTGGATTACGCCGAGTGGAGCACATGCTGCATCCATGGTTTTATTTGTTGACCTCCCTCCCCCCCCTTTCTTATCACTCTACTGTATGTATATGGATCAGTTTGCTTTCTGTATATATACGACTTTCTTTTGTTCTTTTGATCTCAGAACTTGAGAAACCTGATCGGGTTTCAACTATGATCGAGGTTGGGCCTTAAGAAAAAAAAAGCCTTTGGTTACTCCTGACAAAATAAACAACTTTCTTTTCTACCTACCCCTCGACAACAACACCACTTTTCGACAGCACACTCTCTCAAACCCCGCCTTTGAGTATGGCGATCCACGACGATGTCCAGATTGGTGATGTCGTCAATGTACCAGGGGGCATGTTTGGCACAGTGAAATACTTGGGATCAGTGGCGGGCAAGCCGGGTAAGTTTGCGGGCATTGAATTGAGCAATGAGCATGCGCCCCGGGGGAAGAACAGCGGAGATGTGGAAGGACGAAAATACTTTGCGACATCAGTTCCCGGCTCAGGAATCTTTGTGCCTATGAACAACAGCAAGTACGTCACTCGACGAGCCACGTCCAACAACTTCGCCGTGCCTACAACCCCAGGGCGTGCGCCTGTCAACTTCAGCAAGTCAGTTGGCCCGAGCCTCACACCCCGTCCCAAGATCCGCCGTCCCTCCCTCCCTCGAGCCGAATCTCCCCGCGTTCCTCCAAAGCTGAGCTTGAACGGCCTACGCACCCCCTCCGCAGCCTCAAGAACATCAACCTCCAATGGATACCAACGGAGCCCTACCAAGGCACCGTCACGACTGTCAGATCGACCACCTTCACGGCTCAGCATTGATGACGACGCCTCGTCGTATGGTGGTAGACCATCTGACTTCCAGCGTCCATCTTCGGTAGAGACGCAGGAATTGAAGGATCAGGTCAAGACTTTGGAAAAGCAACTATCGGATCGGGACAGGCAGCTGGATGAACAAACGAAGATCCTCGGTGATTTCCAAAGAATGGTGGAGGAACTGGAGGGATCAGATGCCATGTCGATCCGTGCTCAGCTTCGGGAGAGGAATGAGCGAATCAACCAGCTGACTGCGGAATTTGATGGTCACCGAGCCGATTTCCGTAGCACTCTTGACACATTGGAAATTGCTGCATCCGAGACTGAGCGTGTCTACGAACAACGGATGGATGACCTTCTGCAACAGAACAAGGAGCTCCTAGACCGCGGAGAAGATGTGGAGATCGTGGCTCAGCAACTTAAGCAGCTGGAGGAGCTCGTCTCCGAGCTTGAAGAGGGTCTGGAAGACGCAAGACGAGGCGAAGCAGAAGCCAGAGCTGAGGTTGAGTTCCTACGTGGCGAGGTCGAGAGGACCAAGTTGGAATTGAAGAAAGAACGTGATCACTCGGCGGCCGCGCTCAAGGACGCACATGCCGCATCAGATGGACCCCGGCACTCCAATGAGATTGAGCAGAAAGACGATGAAATCCGAGGCCTCAAGGCTATCATCCACTCTCTGAGTCGCGGAATTCCCAATGGCAACCACAATGATAATGGTGCAGACGCCCAAAATGAGCAAAATGAGCGGATCGCCCAGCTGGAGCAACGGCTTCAAGAGACCGAGAGCAATACTGAACGCAAAGACACCCGCATTGATGAACTGGAACGGGAGCTGCAGGAGCTCCGAGTGAGTTCTGTTGAAGGAGGTCGCAACCGCAGCTCCACTGTCACCCTCTCCCCACCCAAGTTGCAACACAAGCCATCTAGCTCCCAGAGCAACATTACTGTGAACGACAACATCAACCATGACCACCGTCTGTCTGATCGTACGGTTGTCCCGACCGACTGGCATGATGCCCCATCAGAGCTTCGCCAGCACAACCGCGGCATGTCCAGCTCCTCACAACCACGACTCGAGCCCATGCCCGAGTCAGAACGATCTTCCGATGATGATACTTTGTGGTGTGAGATCTGCGAGGAGGGTGGCCATGACATCCTCAACTGTACTAGCATGTTTGGATCCGGCAACAATGACCCCAAGGCCAATGCCCCGGAGATAACGAATGACCACCCCGCCGGAAACACCGAAGATCACACCGATCTCCAAACTGATGACCATGATATTCATGATAAGACTCCCTCTCCTAAGACTGGTCGGGATGTCGTCCTTGAGGGATTGAAGGGGATTGGAGGCCTGGGAAATTCGATGGCCCCAGTGGCTGGCAAGTCCTCCGGAGTCATTGATGAGTCCAAGTGGTGCGCTCTTTGTGAGCGTGATGGCCATGAGAGCATCGACTGTCCTTTTGATGAATAATGTTCCATGGCGAAACAATACGCATGAGTTATTGGGTTGGAGGTTTTTATTTGGGCGCCTCTAACAATACGGCGGCGATCCTCGGTTTCATCTTGGCTATTATTCTAGTATATGATCTTACCCTTCTATCTTTCATCACCCCCTTTTACATTCTCTTTCCGCTTTCAATCATACACGAGATCTCGTTACCTGTGATCAATGATTGTGTTGAGCTCTCTTCCTTCGTTTCGGGCTATGTATTATTCCCATCCTTTCACTTTGGCCACATTTTTGGCGCTACTTGTTGATATTCACCTTCTTTGTCTGAACCCCTTGTTTATGCATCTTTGCCTTCTCTGTCTCAACCTCCCATTCTTTTTCACGTCGTTTTTATTCACCCTGGTGTCTATGGCTATCGAGTTTGTTGATGTACGAGTCCCTGAGTTTGGTTGCTGGGCCACGCGCCCTTCAAGCTGAAAGTTAATATAAAATCTAATCAATCCATTATCCCTCAACCCTTCCACTCATCCAGCATTTCTCTCGAGCAAGGGTCCACCCTGCATATGCACTCAACCCAACAGTTACTCTTCCGGATTCTGATCAGTTGTCATAGTCATAAAGAATTTTGTATTCGTCACTCATAATACAGGTTATCTTGACTTCTATACGAATGTGACTCAGCAGATCCACACTCCTTGCTCCCCATCACAGGGAGTCGAACACTCAACATCACACCTATTCTGGGTTCGTGGGTGGTTGCACGACCTCCCCTTCCTCATATCTGACCGCCGCAATTTCCCCACAACCCTTGCACCGTCTCTTTTCCTCATCCGCCCCGAATTCCTCCACCACAGCCTTAACCTGTGTCCCCAGATCCGTACACACAAATTTCTTCTCCCAAACCACACCACCACACTTCCGACAGTACCATCGCATAATGTCCACTGCTCCTTCCGCTCTAGGCTGCTCCATAACAACGCCAACTGTATCCTTAAAACGCACCGGGCTGTGCGGTGTGTTTGCCGGTAACAAGAAGAGGGATCCTTCGTGGATCGGGATATCCTGGAACGTAGGCGGGTTGGTTGAGGGATCGACTGTCTTTAGAAGCATGGATCCTCGGTATTGGTAGAAGAATTCGGGTGTGGTATTGATGTGGTAGTCTGTTCGCGCGTTGGGTCCGCCGACGATCATCACAGTGTAGCCGGATGTGGCCGGGGATGAGGGGTGGTAGACACAGTAATTATTGACTGGCGGTTGAAGGAGATGGGAATTGGCTTCGAGCCTGTTTATAAGTGGACTTGTTAGTAATTTGTAGAGCAAGTCGTGGGTTGGAGGGCAGCTTCAATGCCGGTAGATGTAGTCCTTGCGACACCCCCGCTATGAATCATCGGGGTTGAGAGGGGCTGGCAGCTGGGTATTAGGCATTACCATTTGGGGATGTTGAGAGCCGGGGGTAACATGGCGTCAATTTATGATAGCGGGAGATGATTGATGATGATAGAAGGTCGTGGGAACATCAAAGGGTAATATAGCAAAGGGGTCGCGTGTTTCAGGGTCCTTTTTTTGATTTGGTATCATAAGATATGATTTATCAGATCGGCGATAACACCTCGGAATTAAGCCGATGCGCCGGACCGGATTAACCTGAGCTCCGCCCAATTTTTCTTTTTTCGTTGTTGAAGCTCCGATGGTCTCGAACGCTTGACCAGGTTAAGACAGCACATCATGGCGACCCAACAACCTCCCCTGAAGTTTACTTCACACCATAACCTCATCTATCGCCTAGTCCTCTCAACCCTCACCGGCCGCACAGTTCACATCTCACAAATTCGTTCCAGCTCGCCGACCAACCCCGGTCTCGCTCCCCATGAGATTTCTTTCCTGCGCCTCTTGGAGGCTGTCACCAATGGCTCACAAATGGAAATCTCCTACACCGGTACAATCGTTGTCTACAAGCCCGGTCTGATTACCGGTAGTGCGCCCGGTAGCGGTGCCAGTGGAGGCATGATCACACACGAGTTGCCTTCAAACTGCAACCGCGGTCTCAGTTACTACCTGATTCCTCTCTGCCTTTTGGCTCCCTTCTCCAAAGCGCCTATGAAGATTCTTTTCACCGGTGCCGGTGTCATCACCTCCTCCACCCCCACCGGCGACATGTCTGTCGACAGTGTGCGCACCGCCATCCTCCCGCTTTACAACCAGTTCGGCATGTTCAACAACGTGGAACTCCGCATCTTAAAACGCTCCAACCCAGGTCCCAATGGTCGCGGAGGTGGTGGTGAAGTTCAATTCGTGTTCGGTCATCAGATCCGTCTCCCAAAGACACTGCACCTGATGAACCCGGGCCGCATAAAGCGCATCCGTGGTGTCGTATACTCGGTCGGTGTGTCGGGATCCAATAACGCCCGCATGATTGAAACTGCTCGTGGCATTCTCAACCCCCTTAGCCCCGATACCTATATTTTCTCTGACGTCTCATCTGCGCCCCTAATCCCCGCCCCGGACCGCAGCAACCCCAACGCAAAGAAGAAGATTGGTCTTGGATTCGGTCTGTCGCTGGTGGCAGAGTCTTCCACCGGCTGTCTCTACTCCGCAGATGTGGCCTCGCCGCCTTCCGGTGGTCAGCCCCCAGAGGATATCGGTAAACAGTGCGCATACCAGCTCCTGGAAACCATTGCCAAGGGCGGTTGTGTTGCCCCAGCTGCGGCGCCGACCATGTTGACTCTGATGACCATGGGCTCGGAGGATGTGGGTCGTTTGCAGGTGGGCCGGGAGGTGATTGCTGACCCCAACCTGATCCAGCTTGCACGGGACTTGACCAAGTTCGGTGCTCCTGGCTGGGGTATCCGTGATGCCACGGGTGAGAATGATACAGGAGATGTGATCGTCAGTGTGGTTGGTCGTGGCATCGGCAACGTTGGAAGAAAGGTTGCTTAGACAATGGATAATGTTCCCTCAATTCCCGTTTGTCGGTCTTGGTGCACTTGAAGCACCATTGACTCTCTCGCCAGTCCCTGCCGGAAGGACATATCTGCAGGTGTCTGCTCACACCTGATGATTTCGGGGTCATTTTATATCACATGGCCCCGACATGGCCTTGGAACGCGCCCGTTCTTCAGTGCTCGCACGGATCTGTGACGATTCAGGTCTGTTCTGAGTAACAGGTTGGTATATTTCCCAGACAGGGTGTAATCTGCTACCGTTATGTTGCCCAAGACACTGTGCTATTGTCCATGCTCTTTTTGAACCGGAATATCATGATACCCGATGTCTCTTATCAATCTCCTCCAAAAGTCCACATTCCTATTGTTTGTTTTGCATCGCATATTGGCGCTCCCTGTTGGATCAGAGTTTGTGTATATATTGTATCAAAAAAAAAAAAGACTATAACTATCAATCTGTTCATTCCACCACAGTAAATATGACAAGTTCTTACTCATGTACGTCTTTACAAACATTTTAATCGTCTATCGAGAACATTTGAACAAATTCAACTCATTCAAAGCTCAAATGTTCCAACATCGAACATTTGTTGACTATGCACTCACTTGAGTGCTGCACTCAAGTGCTCAAGTGCATGTGGTGATATAGTGTAGTACATGGATTGACGTATGTACCTACAAGTAGTAAAATTGGACTGCTTCGCAAGACAAACATTCAATGATTCAAGTCCCTCAAAAATTAAAATGCACCAACGCCAACGCCAAGAATATATACTACCCGCAAATGAAAACCACCATAAACAAAGCCAATCTACTCCGAGACATCCTCATCTTTCCCAGGATACATGATATCCTGCCGAATAACAGCCAGTATATGATTAACAAGAACAAACAACCACATAGCAACAACAAAAACCGACAACGCCGACCCCACACCCTTAATAGCCGCACTCTCAAACGAGCTACCCAGCGTAATAGTCGCAATCGTGAACCCCGTATTCGGAAACACCATAGCCCACCAACTAAGATGGAAAGCCTTCGGCGGAGCCCTAAGCACAGCAATCAACGCCACACAAAGAAACCACAAGCTAAGCGCCCACAAAAACGCACCGGCAGCCAGCGCCAAAATCTCAATCATCCGCGCATCAGACACCGTATCCACGCTCCCCATCACGCTAAACGTCTCGGGCAACCCGCGCGCCATGCCTATGAGCGCCAGCGCCGTGAACGCCGGCGGGCCCACACAAATGAACATGCCGGGCCTGTGCTCGCGGTTTGGGAGGCCGGACTCCATCAGGCGCCCGATGTAGTGCGAGTACATCATGAAGCTGAGGCAGAAGCCCAGGCCCTGGAAGGTCATGCCGGCTGTTACGACGGGGATGGCGGAGCGGTCGGGCTGGCGCTCTGCGATGACGGAGGCGATGGTGCCGCTGAGCATGATGGGGAAGGCGGGCAGGATCCAGCTGGGCATCATTGTTTGTAGGCGGTAGGAGTGCGAGGCGAAGAGGTGGGAGTATTGGAATGTGGCGACGGAGAAGGTGCAGATGCAGTAGGACCAGAAGAGGACTTCGAGGGTTGTGGAGAAGGCGGGCGAGGGGTTTTCGCCGAAGTAGCGCTCTAGTCCTGTGATGAGCGTTGCGATGGAGAGCCAGAATGTGGGGAAGAAGAGGCCTTCTCTGTCGTGGGTGAGGGAGTGCAGGAGGTTGCGGTGGAGGATGAAGCGGGTTGCCATTAGGGTTGTGAGGGAGGCGAACGTGAGGAGGTTTATGATGTAGATTGCTAGGCCGATTTCGTCGAGCCCTTTGAAGCGGTTTGGTTGGCTTGCTATTAGGAGGGCTAGGCCGCCGGTGCTCATGGTTAATGTGTACCAGGCCCATGTGAAATGGCGGAGTCGGTCACGGAATGATAGTTGGATTTGCTTGTTGGACTTTTCTGTGTCGAGGATGGGCTTGTCTGAATGGGAAGAGTGAGGTGGAAGCTCGTAGCATTCTGTCCCTAAGAGGCCGGGGTGGGACATGTTGGAGATGAAGGAATTTGAGATTGCAATGTGTAGAACTGAATATAGATGGTTGTGGAACGTTGGAATTGATCGAGTGAAATGCACAGGCAAGGAAGCAACCGATGCTCAATGCGGATATATGTAGTCAGTTCAAAAATGTTTAAGACTGATCCATGGAAAGCGCGGGGAACACCGCGACTTTAAAAGGATCTGAAATGTGGGGGAAAAGCAACAGCCCATGGGGAAGACAACTATCTCTTCATGCCCAAGTCTCTCAATTGCAACTGACTACAACTCACATCCACAAGCCAAGACAAAACCAAGAACCTTGCACAGCCTAGCATGTATAGCACAGGGGTTGCTTCTTGAAGATTGACCTACCAGCGTCAACATAGTTATCAGGGCCCATCAAGGCCGCGACAAACCAAGAAGTCAAGAATAGATCTACCGAGTCCATTAGCCTTGGCAATTTCATCATTATCTATGAGCAGCCAAGCCCAGCACACAAATCAAGAGCTTCTCGTAGGCCGTCTGAAAAAAAAAGGGGATGAACGATCCACCGCGGGCTGGGCATTGAGGACCGGGTCAAACACGCAGTATAATGAAACTGCGATGCCTAAGTGGAAAAGCATTCTCCAGCGGCAGCCAAGAGCTGGCGTCGAAGATCACCAAGTTTGCCATATTGTTGTGATCATGTAGCCCAAGCCCCTGAGCGGCTGCGCCGCCACGTTCAATGGACGATGTGCCGCACCATTTGAACCTTGAAGTATACCACGAACCCCTGCAAACCCGTTCAGAAATGGAATGCTCGGGCCGATTTTCATAAAACAACTTTCCGAGACTTCCCGTTGGAACATGCAGTCTTGTCTTGGTATTCTCCGGAACTTGGAACGGTGCGGCGTGTAACTTGCATGAAGGCCAAGAGCCAAGAGCCGAGATGCCAAGATGAGTTGATCGACGGCGCATCGCTAGACGGTCCGCTGCCAAGCTTTGCTGTGGCAGTGAAGAAAGAGTAGGTGAACCCAAAATTCAATAGCGATGGGATCTTCTTGGCAGAGGCTCGAGCGGAACATTTGAACTTGGACTTTGATTTTACTAAGTTATGCAATTTCACTAATCATCCACACTAGTAATACTTTCATATCGCTTATCTGCTCTGAATCTTCTGATCTCTGAGTAATAAAAAAGTTGAATAAGAATGATAAGATTATTAAGATTATTACTAAGATCCGTAGCAATATATAGTGTCATTATCCATATCAAGATCCCCCCATCAAAGCTGCAAGCATCCCTAAAGTAAAAAGGCATGCAACATCCTGGCCCTAACCGACTTTCCAGCCCCATGATCGAAATCCGTCATTCGCTCAATCACTTCCTTTCCCTTCCTCTCAGTGTCTTCGTGAACCTTCAACAATCCATCAAAGGCATCAAGAAGATCCATGCGAGACAACGGCATCAGCCGAGCCTGTCTCCGCGTCCCCGTAATTCGATCCTGCAGCTCGAGCAACTTAGCCCGAATGAGCTTTTGTGAATTCTCATACTCCTCACGCATCTCCTCAATGGCCAAGGTCATTTCAGTCCTCGCAATCGTTGATGCAACCCATGCACGACGGCGATATTCCTTGGCGAAGATGCGTCGATCGCTAAAGTCGCAGATAAAGCCATTGCCCTTCCAGTGACAATTTGCGCATGCATCCGCGTATCCCTTCGCAAATACGCAGTGCTGGAACGGCCCGTAGCCCTGCTGGCAATGGCCACATGCGTTCTCAACCTTGATGCCCACAACGTAAATTGCGGCAGCTTCGAGGTTTTCCATGTTCTTCTTGATTTCTTGTGCGAACTTTTCGCCGGACCACTTTAACTCTGGCCGGAGAGATGGCTCCCGCTCGGCGGCGAGGAGGAGGATCTTTGAGATCCCCTCCGTTTTGCCTTGGCTGTGTCGTCTTATGGCACTTTGTCCAGCTTCTCCGATTATTGAGGCCCATTCGCGGGGAGGTTGGCAGTCGGGCCCGGAGAGTAGGGGAACGCAGGGAGTGGCTCTCTTGGAGCCCATGTCGGTGTCGCTCGGAAAGCTTCATTTCATGTTAGCCTGTTACTATCTATGCGTATGCTTGTAGCAGAAGGGTGGTCTTACCAATCAGAGACGTCTTGTAACGAAAAACGTACTTTCTTCGTGCTTTTCTCGGGACGACCAGCGTCCTCGTGTTTAGGAGTTTGGCTATTTTTATTAGCCTTCTCTTCTTCAGCTCAATGGAACGCTTGACTAACTCCGACATGATGCAGACGATGTGAGTGCGGAGTGAGAGTAAAAAAGTTTGGAAGACGCAAATAGATGACGAGGACTCGAAGCAAGCTGTAAAGCAGATGAAAAGTGAAGAACAGAGAAAGCACGAGAGGAATAAAGAATAAAGAAGAGAAGAAGTGGAAGAAGGGGAAGAAGGGGAAGACGTGTTGAACTATTTATCTCTTCTGCGTGTTCTCTCCAAGAGTGTCACTCGTAACATTGAATAAACCCCCTCTATCACCCCACTGCGATTAACTGTCAAACTGCGGTTAAGATGCCCTATATTTGCCATTTACAGCCAAGGAGTGTTTCAAATTGAATAACAATATAATTTAATTAGGGCTTGACATATGAACTTCTAGCTAGCTGATTCTGCTAGTATAATTAAGACTGGTGAAGTTACTAGTATTGACAGAGGACCAGACTGAGGGGAGTATCTCGTCCTTCTCGATTAGGCCATGTCCTTCCTCTTCATGTTCCCCGCGCATGAATCGTACTGACTTTCTCCTTCTCTTCTTCTTTTCTATTCTTCTTTCTCCTGCAAGGCCGTCGCGCCTGCTCCCACAACGACCCCACTAACTTCACAGCCACTAACCTCGCAGCTTCGTAGACTTTCGTAGTTCTACTATTTAGCTTCCCTGTCCACCTTCGCTGACGCAGCTTGCAAGAATAATGAAAAGCCTGGCTGGCCTGACTTGCAATTCTCTTCCTCTCACCTGCCTTCTCATCCAACTTCCTAGTTCTTCTCCTCTTCCCCTCGTCGTCCACCGATTCATATCACTATACCTCGACCGAGATGGTGGACGTGCCACCTTTATTACTTGGATACTTGAGCAAAGTCTCATCATATGATTGCTTCAGTTGATGGTTGCAAATCAAGGTATGAAACTAGGCGTCGAGTAGTTAGTAGTACTGAGTATATTGCCCATCTCAATTACCAAGTCCATACCCTTCCCAAATACTGAGTAGGTACTCATTTCGAGTACTCAGTATACGCTCATCTCGAGTAACAAGTTTATAAACTTCCCAATTATCAAGTTTAGAGTGGAACTCATTCCTGCCGAAGTTTCTACGGAGTCCAAGATCGGACCCTCGCTTGTTTTCTTGCTTCCAGATTAGCTATTATGGATTCCAGCCTATTTCTTGTTCTTCAAATGATATTTTTATCAACAAAGCTCTTGTCCGTGCTGAAGTCAGCAAAGCTCCTAACACAACAAAATGATATTTCTAGACTGAAAATCTGGTCCATATTCACAGCAAGCAAGCTATTCTAGTTGGACCTCATCAAAAGAATTCAAGCTCACAAGCTTCATATAGATTAAAAGAGATACAATCAGTCTAAAATTGAAGGCCAGAACAACTCCTCAACAAAATAAACAAACAAATAATGCCCCAAACTAATAATCATCACTCAAAAGACAACGCAGGCAATGCAAAAAAAAAAACAAAAACAACAAAAAGGCAAAAAAAACAACCTCATCACAAAAGAATCGCAAACACAAGCCCAAGAACCCCAAACCTCCAAACCACACACCAATTCACATCATCCGATAAACAACATCAGAAGCCAACTCCGGCGTCCGATCAAGCAACACCCTCAAATTCCTCGGCAACCCACCCTCCACCACGCGCTCCCCCTTCCCATCCATCCCCCGCCCAGGCGTCCCAGCCCCACTATCCAACTCCCCAGGCACACGGTACCTCGCCAGCGCCTTAAGCTTACAAGCCGCATAATGCACGACCAACCTCCTGAGCTCATTCTCCCTCACCTGCGTAGCAACAGTCTCCGAAATCGGCTCGAGCCGCTCCGTGTACGTGTACGCGTACCGCAGCAGATCCAGCACCATGGGCGCCTGGCGCATGGCGAGCTGGTCGTCGTCCGAGACGGGCGTCGTGTGCGTGCTCTCGCCGTCTTCGAGGACCAGGCTGAGCAGGTCGGCGTGCAGCTTGCGGAGACAGAGCTGCGCTAGAGAGGGGATTAGGAAGCGGGTGGCGAAGACGTAGACTTTTGCGTGGAAGGTTAGGTACGGGACTTCTTGGGCGGGGCTGGGGGCGCGCGGCGCTTGCGTCTCGTCGTTGTATTCTAGTAAGGCGAAGGAGTCCCAGAGACTTAGGTCTGGGGTGTGGGGGGTTGCTTCGGTTTGGGATTGTTTGGCGAAGGACATGTCGATCGAGGGCTTGGTCGGGGGTTGGGGTTGGGGGATGGGTGGTTGTTCGTCGGTTATGTCGGTTTCCCAGTGGGCTGGGGATGGGGCGCTTGAGTCGGCGTTGTGCTCTTTGGCTTGCTCCCGTTCTTCTGTTGGTTGTTCTGGCTCGGGGACTGAGAAGGGCTCGGCTGGAGGAGCGGGTGCTGGCTCGGGCTCGGTTGGGGCTGTGGGCTCTCCGCGCCAGTCGGCTTGGTCTGTGCCGGTGGATTGCTCTGGTGCTATGGCGTCGAATGGAGCTTCATTCGAATCTGTTTGAGCTTCCGGGGGTGGCGTTGAGGGCGGCGTGAAGTTGATGGGGGTCTCCTCGACGGGCTCGGGTTGGTTCTTCTTGCCCTTCTTCTTTCCCTTCTTAGACTTCTTGCCTTTTCCATCGTCTTTTGACTCGTCCCAAGGGTCAGTTTCGGTTACCGGTACTGGCTCCGCCTCAGCGTCAGGCTCGGCGTTTGCTTCCACAGGTTCCACGGCTTCATTATTTGGGCCGTTATCTTCGGGTCCTGCAGGCGTATCCTCTGCTGGTGTGTCCACTGGAGTCGGAGCCAATGGCTCCTCGATGACCGACTTTGCTTCAGATACAGGCTCAGTTACTGATTCAGCGGGCTGGGCTTGAATCTGAAGTTGGTGTTGAGGCTCAATCTGATATCTTGACGATCGACTGACAGATGTAACAGATTGGACAGATTCCGGGGGTGGTGAAGGCGCGGGTGGTGGCACGCCCGAGGACATAGAGTCCGAGCGATAACCCCCTCGCCATGTTCTTGAAGAAGGACTAAAGGCACTATCAAGTGTGCCTCGTCTTGCCTTTTCTTCCTGAGGCACTGGTGCCTTGGGAGCTTTGTAGTCACCTCGGTATGTGTATGCCCAGAAGGCAGCGAAAGTTTCGGCATCGAATTCCTCCAATGTTACCACGGACCCTGAGCCGAGCTTGGAGTCTTTCACGACAGACTTTTCCTTGACAAATTTATCCAGCTCCGGCGAGACATGACGGGCTAGTTCGGAATGGATCGTCTGCTTGACGCGCTTGGGGCCTAGGAAGAAGGTCCAGACGGAGGATTCGCTGGTACTAAATTATGAATGTCTTGCCGTCAGTAAATTCTCCATTGATTAATCGATTGATCTTTCTGATGCAATGACTCACCTTTGATCGTCCGGACAATCCATGAAGAGCTGATATACTTGGCGATTGGCTTATCTCACTATAAGAATAAAGTGTGCAGGGTCTCCAAGTTTGGTGAGTATTTCCTTGTTAAATATCTATTCCAATCTTCGTGCTAAATTACAAGGAAGCTCACGCGCTCTTAGCGACCCAGTGTAGTCCCCTTAGCCTGCTACGTGTACAATGCTGATGGGTGTGGATAGGAGTGGGAGGGTCCAAAATCCAAAATAGTAATCAAGACCAGCATGCCAGCAGACCGACTTTGATCCGTAGCTATGAAGCTAAGGATGAATTAGGTACCTATTGCCTTGAAAGCGACATCGTGGAGCACTTGGAGGTCGAAAAACTACTGAACTCGGCGTAGCATCTTGCTAGCCTATGCAGGCAAACTACATGGAGGGTCAGGAGCTCCATACCTGCATCGTTTTTAAAAGTATACTCCGGCCATTGCTGCATTTGTCTTCTGTCTCGGGGCAAAATGCCGTGGGTTGGAGAGATTTGATTTGTCTGGAGTGGATGTATTGGGATGGCTTGGATGGGCGACATTTGACGTTAGTGCCCAATCCCAGCCTTCAGAGAAACCCAACTGCGGGCCTCACATGCTCATTTGCCCATTGGGTTTCGGTGGACATGTCCACAGCTTCACTTTTTTTTGTCCATTAATTTTATTCGCCTTGCTCGTGTCCTGGGTCTTGTGGCGGTGTGGAGGAAGCTGGTTGGGGCACCGTGCATCGTGTTCGGGGTTGTTTTGGTGGCAAGGGGATTAATCTAAACATACCCCACGTGATCCACTAAGCCTATTCGGGACAGGTTTTTTTTCTGCCAGCCCTGGTTATAAGGGAGTAGTTATGCTTTACTTCAGAGGTAAGCATCTGTGGTATTTCGCCTACTATATACTCTGGAATGCTTAAGATGGCCTTTTCTAGACTGGTTTTATTGAATTTGTGCGCTAGAAGCCTAGAATAAGATTGAATACGGGTTTAGCTGATTTAATCATACGAACCCTGGGGTTAGATATTGGTCGAAATGTAAAAGGATGATCTCATGGAAATTCTTCCGCTTTAGGATATTCCCATATTCCCAGTGGAGCCGGGACAGGACCAGGCCAATAATCAAGAGGGTGTGTGATTCTCACAAAGGCCATTGGATATCAAAAGTACTAGGGCTAACCAAGATAGTACTAGCATATGATGACTCATCCAATGTCATAAGGCTTGAAGAGTAGATCTCCGGTTCATAAGCCAAGAACCAATGCCATGAACGTATTCCCTAGTATAGCAAACCTTACACTGGAAATCGTTATCTCCACATATACGGCTTCAGTGTCAAGAGTTCTCCCCAATACCTTCACGAGAACCAGCAGCAGAAGCTAGCAGGATCTTGCTGCCTGATGGACGCTAATAGTTTGGTAAGCGGAATACAAGAAGATTTATCCCATTTGCAAGGTCCAAGATCTTATCGAGTCTCATCCTGCTTTATTGAAATTTCTACCTAATGTACTGACGAGGCACATTACTCGTGTTACAAACACTACGTTTATGCAGTCGTGACTCTTCCCTCACCAATACTCTAGAATTCTATGGCCTGATCTACATCCCGCATACCATACATAGATCAAACCAGGTTGACCCTGGGTAATAAGTCGTTTAACAAGTTAATCCAGGGTCATAGACTTGAATACGAAGTATGTGGTTCAGTGTATACGAACCCCCGAGAACCGATAAAATCCATGGGGCTATCTAGCCTGCCCGCTTTCAAATGTTGGAGCATATCATCCGACCACGGATGACTCTATGACAGTGTCCCAAGGAAGTCAGACAGACGATGTCAGATTAATGGGTACCTAGTATGGTATGGTATATTAACGGGGCACTCTTGTGGATTTCATTCAAATCTTAGATTAAAATGACTCTGGCGTCATAACGTACACGGTATAATAACCTACTATGTACGTATTAATTTCACAGGCTACAACTCCTTAAGATCGATAGGAGTCAATCGCTAGGTCATTCTACATTTTTTTAAAAGGCTTCGATTTTGTTCCAGTTCAAATTTTAGTAAAGACTGTTCACATATACAGATCTGTGATAATTATAGCCCTGGTAGCAGGAAGCAGATACATGACTACTACCTACCTACTAGTTACGTAGATCCATGGATGTACTTTTCGAGCCCTCAAATTCTAGAGGTTAGCACTGAGTTATTGATCTTGCGTCAATACATACACAAGTGTAGAGTGGGGTTTTGCTCAGAACCTAGGTACCTAAGTATCCGAGTCCATGTATTAAAGGACATAGACACGACCGTTATTTAAAGCTAACTTCAAATACCTTGCCTTATATCAATGAAATTGCAATCTGGAACCGACCTTGAGACAATTAGGCAACTGGAAATTATTGTCCACTCAATCAGCGAGACTTACTGCAAACGGCCATAGATCAACGCATCCTGCTATTTTACAGAGCTGCTGAGTGTCAAAACCGTGGATAGATCAGGCCAACTTTTCTAATGCTTGGAAAGCCTTACTCTTTAAGGTCCGGAGCTTTATAGGGTATTACTCATAGTGACAACCTTCAATGTTGGAAACTCTATTAGAATTGCTGCCAGCACCACCCGGGGTGAGCATAAATAGAGGCATTTTTCTCGTAGATGAGCCTAATTAAAATTCACAATCCATTCGAATACAAGGTCAAAAATGGCAACCCCCGATCCGGACCCGACTTCAGGGCCAAGTGGAACACGCCCTCGCCCGCTTCCAGCTGACACTGGTATAAGTACATTCAATGACACCAGTTCATCTCGTAATCAACCTTTATTCATCGATCTGAGCCTCCAAGAGCCAGTCCTGCTAAATAAATCGAATTGCACATTTTCTATTCTTCAACCGGTCGTGACTATTGAGCTTCTTGGGGGTTCATATTGTGTCTCTGCAAGATTTAATCTCCAAACAAGCATTAATAAGTTCCAAGAAACCCACAGGTCAGTTCAGTCAACTGTTACAAAGGACATAAAATATCAAGGTTGGATGAGAATTCCAATCAAGGTTCTAATGGTCCCTACTCTATATAGTGCAAAACATGCTCGCTTCTTTCATTCAGTTGCACTCCGGTACTTGCCTACAAAGCGCGAACGCTTTGACACAGAGCCTGGAGCCGACCCCTGTGGATCATATACTGTCACAGACAGTGCCACTTCAGAGCGACAAATTGAAACTTCAGTCACAGGGAAGCTCTCACCTGAAGGTACGGTTCGTGCGAGGTGGACGAAGTCAGCAGGCTTGACTGTTGAGCGGAAAATATCCACGTGGTCTCTGAGTACTACATTGATAAGTAAGATCTCAGAATTCATGGATAATGTTCTTTTACTCACGTGTTTTGCAGAAGAGAATATTGAAGGTGGAGATCGACTTTCTCACGAGTGGTACTGGCGTGGAACGCAGTATATCGCCAACCGACTTTCTCCGGACCACCTAGAGAGTGTTACACGAGTCATCTTGGTGACTCGAAAGATCGAAGCGGGAAATTTCCCCCCTATCTGGGTTGTCAATAATCGCACCCCTCACGAACGAGAGCAGATCTGTAAAGACTTAATCCAAGCGTTGACCTTCGAGTTTGAGATAAAAGTATATGACAACGTTAGTTTAAAATTTCAAAGAGGCCAGTATCTCTGACTATAGTTCTAGTGCTATGTCAAAGAGCTCGGACACGGCATCAATCGTTTATCTTTACCTGGAGAGACATCAGCCGAACAGCTTTTTGAGAGAAGATCAAATGGTGGAAAGTTCCTCAACCCCATCGAGAGCAAAACTTTTTTTATCGGCCCAGATAAAGAAGGGAGTTTGACAGTGATTCACAAATATGGTAAGGATTGGCCCACTGAAGAAACGATCTCTTTGAAGCAGAAAGAGGCCGAACTCGAATCGAAATACAGCAACAGTGACCTGGCATTGCGTGAATTAACACTCCAGTCCATTGGAGAATATGTTCAATTGGTTTCTGGCGCCTCGGGAAATGGTAAGGCCCCGTCGAAATGAGTGAAAATGATAATTAAGCAGTAAAAAGTGGCAATCATGGAAACATGACAATTGGTTCTCGTATGTCATTGGAAGGAGGGGCCATTTTTAGTACTGAGTCATGACTCTTCACTTTTTTGTAGCTTCAGTTGTTAGTCATATTGACCTTCCTGGGGGAAATTGATTTGCGTTTCAAAAGCGCGCGCCCTCTCAACCCGCAGAACTACATGTGTTGAAATATTCAATGTTACGACCTCGGGAATTGAAATACTAGATCTAAATGCATCATGCGCCCGAGAGCACGCGAAAAATGGGTGGTGCTGCCAGTGCGTCACTCGCGTACCGGTCACGTTATATATAGATGCCTCAAGAGTCAGACCTTAGACAAAAAAAGCAAGTGGGCAAATACGGAAACTTTGGAAATTGTTGTGGTGTGTCAAATTGGTTGAATAGGAGGTCATCTTGACGATATTCATATTAGATACAGAAGAGAGCGAGATACTTTCCTGAATCTGGCAATGGTTAAAGAGCAATTAAACAAGGAAAATGTGAAAAAGATGAAAAGTATGGCTAAAAGAATGGTTCAAAGTCCGATGAAGAAGACGAATAAGGAAATAAGAGACTCGTCTCAAAAGGCTCAATCAATGTGATCCCAACCTTGGAATATAAATACCATATGACCAGGCTCCAGCGAAGGTTGTTGCGAAAAATGTAATATTACTTCAAGCTGAAGTTCTCGCAACGAGTGATGACGCGGTAAATAATGTAATGTAACGTAACATGCCAGTATTTAACATGCTTGAATGCCTTAGGGCCTGAAAATCCCCCCACTGACACGTGAATGCACGATTTGACGCTGCCTAGGCGCTTATCGATAACAGGTTTATCGATTAGGATCATTACGTCTTCAGTCTTGCTTGATCACAACTCTTCCAACTTGCCAACATCATGGCGAATCCGGTCAAATATACCCCTCCTCCGACGCCCCCGTCACCTTCGGCGTCGTATTATGACCTAAGTGATGATGATGAGGATGAGTACAACACGATCGCACATGCCCGCACCGGCCGGGGCGTGAAGCTTCTCTATTCCAAGAGCAAGGTAAGGCACCCGTCAACTTGCTACGGCATAACCGGTCTCAGAACTTACAAGATACCAGGTCTATGTACATCCATCGTCCTCTGCGAAGGATAACATTCCGGGCTTCATTGCCCTCATCCAACAAAAGCCCCAATCCGGCCCCTCCCTCTCTACGTCAAAACCCAACGAAGCCGCCTCATTCTTGCTGGCCTGGGTGCCCGAATCATCGCTTGGTGATGCATACAGTACATATGTCAAAGTAGATCTGTCAGATGACTCCTCTCCGCCACGTCAGAGATATCTCGTTCCAGCCCTCCCGACCACCACCTCATATAAAGATCCCATCGGTCTGTACTCTTTCGCAGTACCCGTGTCTGAAATCTATTCAGTCTTGGTGCGCCCCCCGAGCCTCGGATGGTGGTTCGGAAGTTTGGTGATCAATACACGTGCAGGCGATAGCTTTCCGGCTCTTTTCTTCCACGATAGCGAGTGCGAGTCAACTATCTTACAAAAAAAGAAGCGGGTCAAGGACAGCTTTGATCCTTTTGATAGCCAGGGAGGTCTGTTCTGGGGTGGCGATGAAGTTCTCCGGTGGTTGCAGAGATACGTGGAGGTCGAGCGTTCGGCTGTGGACAAGAATGTGTACCTGATCAACCCTTCCCACGAAGATCAGCTTTCATTTGGGAGAGGTCTGTCTAGTAGCGATGCATTCTTGCCAACAAAAGCACAGCCGGAAGCCGCTGCTGCGGGTCCGAGTGCTGCAAATGGAGATGCCAGCATGGATCCTTTCACGAGGACCCTCAAAGAGACTCGGTGGAAGGTCCTGGAGCAACTGAGCAAAATCACGACATTTACTCGCCGAACTGCAAATGACCTCGCTGATAATCCGAGGATTCCGGTGCAGGTACGGCGTCTGATGAAAAATCCAGAGATCCAAACTCTCCAGGATGAATTCGACAGCGCTAGGATCTATCTGGCTCGTTGGGCAATGAGTATTTCCGAGCAAAGCGAGAAAGAAAAGAATCAGCGGATCTATACCGCACAAGACATGCTTGAGTCGGAGAATAGCTCCGTCGGCGAATTCGAGATCCTGGAACTCGAGACCGGCAATCTAGGGCTCCAGGAGCGGCGACGTACGCTCACGCTTTCCGAGTGGGAGGGTTTCTTTGACCCAACATCTGGAAGGTTGCAGCTTACTGTCGAGGAGGTCAAGGAGCGTATCTTCCATGGCGGGCTAGATCCCAATGACGGTGCACGGAAAGAAGCATGGCTTTACCTTCTGGAGGTCTTTCCTTGGGAGAGTAATCACGAGGAGCGCCAGGCCATCATGAATTCAAAGCGTGATGAGTACATTCGGTTAAAGGCCGGCTGGTGGGAACGAATGGTTGAAGGCAACTCGACCGCAGAAGAATATGACAACTGGAAAGAGCAGCGAAACCGCATAGAGAAGGATGTTCACCGCACAGATCGGACCATTCCGCTGTTTGCCGGAGAAGATATTCCTCATCCTGATCCAGATTCCCCATTCGCTGATGTCGGCACCAATGTTCATCTAGAGCAGATGAAAGACATGCTCTTGACATACAATGAATATAACCCTGATCTGGGCTACGTTCAAGGAATGAGCGATCTTCTTGCCCCACTTTACGCAGTCATGCAGGATGATGCCGTGGCCTTTTGGGCATTTGTGGGCTTCATGGATCGAATGGTTAGTCATGAACATGGGACCATAAAATGACAACATCCACTAATAAACATTTAGGAACACAACTTCCTTCGAGATCAATCAGGAATGCGCTCTCAACTATTAGCACTTGATCACCTCGTTCAACTTATGGACCCTCAACTCTATCTGCATTTACAATCGGCCGATAGCACCAACTTCTTCTTCTTCTTCCGCATGCTGCTAGTCTGGTACAAGCGCGAGTTCGAATGGAGCGACGTTCTTCGTCTGTGGGAGACCTTGTGGACAGACTATTATACAAGCAGCTTCCATCTCTTCATTGCCCTAGCCATCCTCGAGAAACACCGTGATGTCATCATGGACCACTTGAAGCACTTTGACGAAGTATTGAAATACAGTAAGTCCCAGCTGATCATTATGAGATATGAAAATCCGCTGACTCAAAAACCCAGTTAACGAATTATCCAACACAATGGAACTACTCCCCATCCTCACCCGCGCCGAATCACTCTTCCGTCGATTCGAGCGCTCCGTCCAAGCCATCGACAAAAAAGATAACTTCCCCTCTGCCCCCTCCGCCACCCAGCGGCGGACTTCGGGCGTGAACAGCCCGGCTCCAGGGAAGGGCAAGGCTCCGCAAAACCAGGCGATTGGGACCTCAAGCGGTGCGAACGCGGGCTCTTCGGCTCTGCAGAAAATGATGGATTCCGATAAGCCGAAGGTTATTTCGCCGGAGCTGCGTGAGTTGCTTAGGAAGGACATCCCTTGGAGGCGTCAGCATCAATCATAGAAAGCTTTGGCTTTGCTTCTTTCTTGCTGATTGATTGCGTCACTGTTCCTATTGTTTCACGATCAATGACTGCCCTCTTTGCTGTGATGCGCTTCCTAATATTCTTCCAGTTAATGAACTTATGATTTTGCCGAATGTATACCATCACCACCCAATCCACTCTTTAACCAGTACTCACTATCTAACATTTCCATGGATGTATTTAGAGTTTATTGAACTCGAAGCTACTAAATGCAAGACTGCAAGCTTAAGACGAAGTCGATCCATGAATGAAATGGCAAGAAATGGACGGACTCTTGATTCTATTAACGTGTATGGGCAAGAGCCTCGACAGGGTATCGAACAAGAAGCAATAAGCTATGATATGATATGTGCAAATGTAGAAAGTAAAAGCCACACCCCTGTAAAGCCAAACAGACCAACAATATGAATTCCCAATTGAGGATCCTAGGATCAAAAGCAAGGTGATCAAGCCTGATGCACAAATTCGCCGCGCTGATGCAAATGATGATGTAAAAAGCAATTTTCGAACGCGAAGAAGAAAGGAAGAAAGGAAGAAGGCGAAGAAGAAGGAGAAAGCGCGGAAAGAGAAGAGGATATGCAGAATAAAGATGCAAAGGAGAAAACGATGACCAAAACGGAAAAAGAAATCACAAGAAACAAAGGGTATTCCCACAGCAGACTCCGAATAAGGCAAATATTTTCTCCACGGGGCATTCGTTATCTGTGATTGCCCAATCCCCTGAGCACGACTCGTCTACCCGTGCCAACGAGACTGATATCGCCAATGCTTCGCACCTTGGGCAAAGAGCGACCGGTGTGGTGGTTGAGATCGGGGAGGTCATTTTCGAGATCGTCATTTTCAGGAGAACGGTTCGGATCGAAGGGAGTAGGGATGAAGGAGGTGGTAGATCGGCGGGTTTTCTTGAGGACATTCTCAACCCAAGCCTCGCCCTCGGGGCTCATGGAGATCTGTCGGGAGCGGGGTTTGGGGCCGGCGAGACCGAGGGGCGTTGAGTTGTCATGGGATGGGACATTGAGGTGAGCGGGAGATTGGACATCCCCGAAGGAGTAGCTGGAGGACATGGAAAGACGACGAGCGGTGGGGCCTGCGGATGGGGGCGAGGTGAAGGCGCTTAGGGTGCCGGTCGTCACGGACCGGTTAGACACGACTTCCGATGCAATGGAGTCGCGGCGGGGTTTCCGGACTGCCAGGGAGGATGGGGGACGGGTGCCGATGACGGAGGGGGGTCGAGAGGGGGTGACACGACCAGAGTTGAAGGGGGGGACGGTGGGGGGAATAAGATTGGCAGGGGATGGGTAGCCGGGGGACGAGCGAGTTGCTAGACCTTGCACCTCGACTCGAGGGGTTTCGGAGACCTTACGACGGCCGTGGTGTACGACGTATTCGCGGAGGTATTCGCCAAGATCGGCCCAGCCACCGCCGACTCGGACCATGACTCGTTGGCCGTCTTCACCGACGGTACGCACGAAGAGCTTGGTGGGCGCTGTTTGGCCGCCATGGTGTAGATGGTAAAGCTTGACATAGCTATCCTCCGTCTTGTGCGCATGCGACAAGCGCCTTCGGGCAGCAGGCATGAGGGTCAAAGAGGGAGCAGGAGTTAAGCTTCGGGAAGGTGGGCCGTGTGGTGATTCGGAGAGGTATCTTTCTCGCATCTTTCGATCCATGGACGATGAAGATGATGAAGTATCCGCCTCGTTGCTGGGGTCGACGAGATGGATACGGCCTGGAAGTGTGCTGAGAATAGAATTGATCTTCTCATCAAGGTGGTCTCGAGGCTTCCTAGACAGCCTATTTGGAGATGATGAACGGGAACCACTATCGATGAGTTCCGATTCGTCCTCTTCCACGTAAGAGAGTTCTTGCTTCTTGACCCCAAGGCTTTCCAAGCTAGGATGGGCGGTCAAGCGTTGTCGCAAGCGAGCAGATTTTGGTTGGTCTTGATGCTGCATGGCTCTACGGGCCGTGTTTCCACCAAAAGCGGGTAGGCTGCGGTCTGGAGGGTTTGACGAACTGTCGGCACTTTTCAAGTCTGATACAGACTTTCCACGAACAAGAACATGGCGGCGCTTAGGAGCATTCTGAACTTGAGTAGGCGTGGAAGCAACATCCGGAATATTAGCAACAGCTGGGGTCTTTGACTTGAGGCGTTCAGGAATCTCGGGCACCGACTCGGTACTCAGATCGAGATCCAACTTCTCATTGATGAACCGTTGAAGAGGCAAGCTCACAGAGCGGCTTGGTTGGAAGGAGGAATGAGCAGACATCTTCGAGTTTTCTAACCTGCGCAGACGGTCTGCTCGCAGCAAATAGTCACCACGAGGAGAGACAGACTTGGGAAATCCGTGAAGCCGGTCTCCATTTGATGAACCAGTACGGGGCTCGGTTGCATGAGGACTAGCAAGAGAGCTGTCTGTCATGAAAGAGCCCACAGACCCTGTCGACGGGCGACGAGCACGACCTTTGGGAGAGCCCTGATCTAGGTTGAGCTTCCCTTGACGGACCTTCGATAGCTTGATGGGGCTCTGCAATGGCTTCTTCTTGGAAGGAGCCTGCTGTTCTCGAACATGTTCTTTGTTTGGTGCTGCGTATGCTGTGACCTGAGCAGGTAGTGGCCTGGGGATATGAGACTTCATATTTCCAGATTGCTTTGGTGTGGACTTTGCTGATGATTCTCTCGGTGGAACACCACTGGAGCCCTGGGCGTTGGCCGGCGTGGCCGGAGCCTTCGTGGTTGCCGATTCATCTTCAACAGCAGATTCAGGGATCTTTTCTACCGGTGGTGGATTCTCTGCGGCAACGATCACAGTGTTTGACTCGTCCTTGCTGGTTGTCAGGTTTTCGTTGGCGTCTTTGTCAAACGCTTCTTTCTCAAGCTCCGAGGCTTCTTCATTAAGAAGCCCCTCGCTGGCTGGAAGACCTTCCAGCGTTGGGGATACAAGAGAAGAACCGGTAGTGCTCTTTTCTTCCTTGCTCTCAAGCACATCAGGAGAAGTCTTCTGGCCGAATATATCGTCATCTTTGTGCTCGCCGAGAACAATGGGTTTGCTGCCCGGTTCTCGAACAGACAATGATTGCTGAGGCACAAAATCTTGCGGTGGAATATTTTCTTTATTCTCCACGGTAGTTGTCACGGGTAATGGAATCCGTGACGGTGACTGAACGTGTGCGGTTGGAAGTGACAGGCTTTGGGAAAACGTCAACTGCGTCGGGGTTTGAAGGTCTTCTGCAAAGGCAACGTGTGCGTGTCTTCCAGCCTTCTCGTTGGTATCATCACGGATGGTTGATCGAGGGGCAGCGAGACTTGATGAACGATCGGGAACTGAAGTCAATAGCATCAAACGGTTGTCTGCTGATGATGCTGAATTTTGATCGGGATGTTCCTGGACTGCCAATTCTGTAGAGGACGGGACTTGGGATTCAGGCCGAGGCTCTTCTCTGGTGGTCTCCGTTAGAGTGGGTTGCTCGGCAGGATGGGATCCAACAACGGTGCTGGCTGTTTGGATGTCGATTTCCTTCTCCAAGACCTCTTCGGGCGAGGATTCTGATTTCTGGCACAGGTCAGCTACCACGGGCGGTGGCTTCGCGCGTAGCCATTCCGTGCGGAGCTTATATCTCTCCGTCTCGACCACCCACGCAGCAAAGTCTGCCTCGATACTCTCTAAGTCATCAATCCATTGTTCGGGCAAGGAATCATTTCGATCTTCCAAAGCATCGAGGGCGCGATCCACTCGTTTCCCTACCGCAATAACCGCTGACTCAAGTTGGACATGTTGATCTCGCAGATGAGAGCTCGAGAATCGAGTTTGGACGTCTTCGCAGGTATTTGACGACTGAATGACATGGCTGGAGGCAACTAAAGCGGACCGAGTTGACCGCAACTCTCTCAGTAGACCTGGAATGTGACGCAAAACTAGAAGGCGAACCTCCCAGATATTCAATAGGTGGTTCAATCGTGCCAGATAGGGCAGAGCACGTAGGATTGTGGCGGTAACGATAGCTGTAAAATCACTAAGTTGTACATAGCTGAGTGGAGGGGGCACGGACACGGTGCTGGTGGAGGAAGAAGGGCGAGAGCGAGATGGAATGTGGGCATTGAGAACGTGTTCCTTTAATTCGTCCACATCCAGGTTATCCATTCCATCCCGGATCTCTTCAATCCTCTTTTCATACTCCTCCACAACCTCGGCTGGCAAGCTCCCATAGTAAGTGATGCCACCAGAGGTTGAGGGAGAGCTCGAATCTTCTAGGGATGAAACAGGAGGGATAAAACCCTTTCCTGCGGCCGCCTCATTCACCTTTGGCCATGCCCACGACTGGACCTCCTTGTGCCACAGATTAAGGTTTCGGGCCGCGATGGCAGCACGGATTCCTAGAGCGCGTTCGGCAGGAGAGACTTGTGAGATACTCTGTGACAGGAGGTGTGAGAATTCTCCATTGGCTGGTACGGCTTCGGTGGAGGTGAGGGCGTGTAAGGTCGATTCGGGGGATAGGTTGCTGAGCAGAGGATCGATCTTGGGGTACAGCGACCCAGGGGTTCGTTCCGGGGAGGTAGATCGAGAGTTGTCTCGGGAATGAGCGGGGGAGAGGCGGATGGATGGGCGAAGAGGGGCGAGTCGTCGACTAGCTGCCATTCCGAATGACAGGCTGGGCCAGCTCAACAGAGGGAGACGGGGGTAGAGGGAGCTTCAACTGGCTCCGGATGGCGTAAGAAAGATAGATTTTGAGAGGGAGCAGCTGGCGGACGAAGAGAGGACTGTCGAGCCCGCATGCTGAGACGCGAAGCAATGGGGAGTTGTTGGTTCGGGAGCAATTAAATTTCTCCCACGAGACTTGCAGGACACGAAAACAAGCGGTAAGCGAACAGGTCCGATTTATGCTTTTTTCCCAGAGATGGTCCTTCAGCGGATATTAATGTAGAAATGTAAAGTGAAGATTAAGAATAAGAAAGTGTCCAGCATGTAAACAATGATAATTTCTGGAGGTGGAGCTTCCAAAAGGGGCACGAAGTGGACCACTTCCGATGATCCGCGCGCGAGGACGATTTTTGGTTCGCGAAGTAATTTGGGGCTGAAGCTGTCAGCGGCTAAATTTGCGATTATTAAGGAATCACTACTAGTTAGCTAACTTAGCAGTACTCGAAATGCTATTTCTTCATTTCAAGCTTACTAAAATCAAGACTTAAGTTAGTTATTTTTATTCCCACTATATGTATTACTAAACTGCCTCTTATTCCCAGTATACGTATGTTCATGACGACTACCTTAACCCATAATTATTAATTCCCATAGACGTGCACCCTTCCATAAACTCTTACATCGCCATTTTCTTAATCTTAGAAAATTCCAAGATTATGCTAGTCCTTCTTCATTATGTGATTTATGATGCGATGAAAGATACTTCCTTACCTCATTGCTGCCAATAGCCGTGGGCCTAAGATCGTTGCCGCGGTATTCCCAGCGGGAAGAAGATACATCACATCAATTCCATCAATTGATGTTAATATATTGGATTTTAATGCATATAGTGCAGCCACGCTTACATCATACCACAAAGAGTTTCCTGTGGCTATAATTCGAAATTCAAATTATCAATTGAAGTTATATGCAAGGCATTATAAACCTCATTCCAAAGTCCAAACCTTGAAGTGGAATATCTTCCGTGAGGTCTGCCAACCCAGGTGCTCGGGAAATATACATGGATACATCCATCGGTCCGAGCCAACATGGTTATGTAGAACATAAAAATGCACGCAACCTTCAATGTTGGAATTTCTGGAGTATGTAATTTTTAAGCACCATGTTGAAAACCTTGGAAGGCAAGGGGTGAGGGGGGGTTGGAAATTAAGTATTTGAATCTATCCAGCGCGCGACTGCAACCTCGGGAGGCTGGCGAGTGATTATAATGAAGCCAACCGATTTAATACAAGCAAATAGCATCGGGCGTACGCACGGCACTTGACATCTGGATGGTTAGTGTTGTTCAATGTTGTTCTGTCCTTCCTGCTGTGATTGCCTAGAGCGGTGGCCGAAGTTCCAGACTCCCAGTGCGCCACACACTTTGACAGTGGACACTACATAATAAATATTTTTATTTCTAATGGGAACGGACCTACTCTACAGGGGTCGCACCGCCCGGTCTTCAGGAATCAGGACCAATCGATCGGTGACGAACAGTGACCCGCAGGTCACGTGTACGGTATGTATGGTTTGGAGAACCACAGTCATTACTCATTCCACAACGAAGGATACAGAATACCTGATAAGAGCCCTCTGCTATACATAACATTGCATTGATCTCATGATGTCCGAAATACCACTTGTGACTCTGCTTATGAACATAGAACGCCTGAACCAATCCTCTGAGCACGGTAGGCTTGACTTTCCGACGCATTATATAAAAAAAAAAGAGCTAAGAAATCCAAAGATGCATATAATCCGTCTCAAGCGTTGAACATAAAATCGTCGTTATAGTCTTCCCAGCACTCATCTGCTTGGTCTTTATTCTGACTCAAAGCATCCCAGACAAAATCGTTCAGGCTTTCCAGAAATCTTTGGGATCGTGGGACGTAATGCGTCCCAGTAAAATAATGCGTAGAAGCATTCAGGCAATATTTTGAAAGACGCCGGGATAGGAGTGGATCGATCATGGTATCCAGTGTGCCAATGACATGGAGGATCGGGGTCTCGATCATCGGTTTGTATAATGGCGCGTAGTAGGGATGATCCAATTTGAACCCACTAAAACACACCGCAAATTTCAGAGGAGGGTGGGTTGTCTGTCCAGATACCAATAATAGGCGATGTTAGCAAAGAGAAACCAATAATAAACTAAACAGGAATTTCTGTCAAGGGAACATACGTTGAATGGAAGGTTGCAGACAGGCCTTTTCTTTTCCAAAAGTGATGCTAAAATAGCAGTAACACAAGCTCCTGTTGAGAAGCCTATGATGCCAGTAAATGGCCCACGGGTCTGAAGCAGATCGCTAAGGTATTGGATGGTTTTCTCAAGGCCTATGATACGGCCTGAGGTATAATCACCATATCCCCAGGCCCGCATACTATCATTACCTTCCCCTAGAGGAGTATCTGGGTCTGCAGGTAGCAGGCCGGAGGGGTAGTAAAACTCAACCACGTCGATTTTTCTGAGTGCTGGATCATCTTCTAAAGCTTCACGTACAACCCGGTCCATAGTTTCCTGAAAGAACTGAGTCTTGGAGAAGAAAAAGTCTCCAGATTGGCCATGTCCTAGAAGTATGCTGATTAATAACCGCACTTGAAGCTGCTAGTTATAGGCCAGGCATAACTTACCATGAAGCATCAAAATCCGATGGGTTTTCGGGATGGGAGTGCAAGATTTGATTATCATGCTCATGTTGGCGAGGTACGGAAGATCTCGTGCTAACAAGACGTGATGTCTGCTTTTGAAGGCGGTTGAGGTGACGTCTGCTTTTGAAGGCTGTTGGGATAACTTTGAAGGCTGTTGGGGGTACTCTTTAAATAACGAGTAAGTGCTCCGCTGCTCCGGTCATCTTCTCAGATGCAGAACGATTGATCCAATCATTCACGTATTGAGTGTGAGACTCAGGAAGTGGAAGGATCGCAGCACAGCTTGATAGGATATGCACGAGCATGCGCCTTACGCATATGATTAAGACCTCGTTCCAGGGCCCAATATAGCATTCAGCAATGCCTGGATACGAAATGTGGAAGTCACTCCACGCTAAGAGCTGTAGGATCCACCTGTATCCGGCCCGTATTAAAATCGCTGGTCAGGATCCATAATAAGCTGGTTAGGATCGTGATATTCAGCGGGATCACCAAATCTAGCGAGATCATATATGATTTTATAAACCTCTAAAATGGACCAATCAACCGATCAACCAAGCTTTGAGCCAAGCAACCAATTAACTCATGAACCGATTAAGCAATCGACCAATCAACTTTAAAGGTTATACTAACATTCGAAAGCGACAAGCTCTGTTGATCAAGCGGTTTACACCTGATTAACGCCTATATTCACCAAATATAAATGTATTTAAGTCTTTTTAGAGTCTTATAAAAAATCAAATTCAAAAACACCACCCTATGACACTTTCCGACCTTACTAAAATTTTAGAGATTTTGTAAGAGGCTTAGAATACAATCAGTCAGGAAACTTTACGGAAATTGATTGATACTACGCTCCAGAGAGTATGGAATGGTATTGCTGCGGATAGTGGGCATACTGAGCGGTGATTTGGGTGATTCCGGGCTTCCTTTTCGATGTTCATGGCCAATTGTCAACTAATTCGTATGGTGTCTTTGAATTTAATGGAACTTAAGATACACATGTGTAGTCATATTTCATTAATAATTTGGTAAATCTGGTAATTAATCGTTTTAAATGGTATACATTACTAAAATACGATAAATATGCAGGGTAGCGGAGTTAGAGTGACTTCACGATATGTAAGTTTCGTGTTCAGGCACTGAAAGTTAGGAATGAAGACGCCGAATCTTCTGCTGGGGATCATACACCTATAAGACACGTCATATTCACAATTGCTTACTTACATAGCATCAAATGTGTCGTGAAGGCTTACCTGAAAAGTATGTGACGAGTCCGAGTTCAATCTTGATTTGTTATGAACGGAGTGTATTGGAACTGGCAAATAACAAGCACCTTATCGTTATCATCGGCGGCGAATTCTTTCCATTTCCAGGTTATCGGGCACCGGAAAATAGACCCATACTCTCGTGGGATGTCCAGTTTACAGCAGATACAGATCTGTTGAGGTACGCCATGAATGCGGGCTTTGGATATATCGCCAAACTCAATCAAAATGACACCTGAAAGCTATCAGTTGATACAATATGATCTGAGTGTTTCCGATTCCGTAAAATTTAAAAGATAGCTATACCAAAGACCGTGGTCTCTCGCGCCACTTGCATAAGCATCTCCATAGCGGCATGCCCGTCGATCGTCTTCAGTGGGACGTGATGATCAGCATCCTAATCGTAGCTCCCGGTAGCTTCAGGCCTGCAACAGTCATGTAAGAGGTATGCATGCGTGGAGTCCTGCAGCAACGAATCTCGGTATCTCCTGGTAGCTTCGTGCCTGCAACAGTCATGTAAGAGATATGCACGTGTGGAGTCCCGCAGCAACGAAGATCGCTATCTATGTGGTATTCATGTTTAATAGAGGGGCAGGAGTGACTATGAGCAATGCAAAGCGGAGATCGGCCATGGCCAGACGGCAGACTCCTCTTCTCCAGCCCCTGCTGGCAAAGCTGTGCACCTGGGAGTAAACTAGCCGCTATGTGCGACAGTGCGCCCCTCAACTAAATCAATATAATCCTACCGACATCTGGAAGGACCAGCGCCACCAGCAAGTTTGTCTTCATCCTTCAAAGGTTGCCTGAATTGCCTGAATTGCCTGGTCGATAATGGTGATGATACGATCGTCGATCTTAGATGGACAAGAGTTGGGCGCAACTCTAGGATTTGATTCGTCAGGCCTGATGACGCATGGCATCTGATTGCGAAAGGGGGCCCAATGAGCATACTACACAAAACAGACTCTGGGGCCTGCATGTGTGATAAAGGGTGCGTCAACGTGGATCAGCCTCGAGGTCAAGATGCAGGGCACGCCATTGTTCTCTCAAGGTTTTCCTGTTTGTGTCACCGCCATGCAGTCATAGTATGCGGAGGTTATGGACAGTATCGGGCAGTTTGTTCATCTGATTCTTACCCTCCCAATAGCATTCGATAAGCATTTCTGGTAGTATTTTCGAATTTCAAATAAATGAGATATCTTTGATATTTGGGTATGTACTGAAAGTTACATGGTCAAGTGCTCCCCGAGTTTATATCTGTTAGACGCCGACTTGTATGAATTTCCCGAGACTCCCCAAGTAGGTGACATCTGGATTATTGTATATGCCTTCAAGGAGAAGCCCTGATAAGTCACTGTTGCTCAGATATATGTAGGGTTGTCGTTTATTGCATTACTATACATGTGTATGGTACATGTATTACAGCTGCGCGGCTCGCTTGGGAATTACGTTAAGTGGTCAATTCAGCCCACTGCGCCATTTCGTCAGCCGGTAACTAACAGAGCAATGAATCTTCGGTTATTTCTTTTTCTTTTTGTTGATCCCTGCACAGTTTGAAGCAACATAGATGTTTGAATGTCTCCATCATAAACACCAACTATAGACTGCAGTATACTGTATGGTTTATTGACACATCAAATAGCGGTGGAATCTGCCATGTCGCTGTGCGGTTGCTTGGTCTGGCGAAAGCCAGCATTCATGAATGATGATAAGCTGATTCAAATGCTTATGACCAGCTCGCTGATAACAGATAGATGAGGCCTGCATAAGGTCCTTTGTCAGACTATCGGGGAATGTGCATTACAAAGCTCCCATAGTTTCCCGATTGGCGTGAAGATCTCCGCTCGACCAATAAAGTATCTCAGGGACCAGGGTACTGTACAACCAAGACCCACTTTTATGAAACGCTGAATATTGCGGGCGGAAGTCTCGGTAAAAACCAAAATTCAACATTGAAATCCAATCCAAATTTATACAACTACCCTGTGCATATAGGAATAGCTTGTATGCCAACATTAAACCACCATATTAAATTAGATCGGCTATCCGATGGGGCTGATGGATGCTTATGTACATATCTTAATATGTAGGCCTTCAAATGTTTCCAGGACTACTGTGCGGCATCTAATAACACATAGCTCTAATGTATATACTAGAGTCATTATTAGGAAGGATCATGACTCATGAGTTTTTGTTATAATATGCGGTCAGAAATACGGTAAACCCCGAAGTGGATTCCTTGGTGCCCGTGGTCAATTCCTTTTGCAACACTGTTTAGGACTGCGCCATTCGGGTAAAAGCGCCACTTCAATGTTGCTTGTAAGATACATTATTTGCTACGACATCAGTTACGGAGCGGAGTATAGTTAGTTGGTTGGCACTTTTATACCACTTACCCTTACCCCTCGAAAAAATGATCAATATGTAGGCTTCCAGTGGACAACAATATGTATATGTCCTCAAGTGCTAATAGTTACATATCTCGTGAACAATTTTTCAAACAACTGACCACATTCAATGTTTATTGTTCAATGTTCACATTATCTTACCCAAAATACTGATGAAAGCAAATTTTTTTCTAGCCCCACTGTCAAGGCCTCTGCATGATTGTCAAGGGCGGCGCCGCCGCTGCGGTAAATGCCCCTTGCATTGATCGAATTGAGTATTGAGAGGTAATATGACATGTCTTTTCGGTGCTCGATCCATTCCTCGCAGCTAAACCTTGATAGTCAGTATGTACGCCCGCACGAGGCACATATTACGATATCTCTTGTGCAAGACTGGTTTTCATTGGGTTATTCATTATTCAGCTCACAATGATTGATGGTGGCACTGTCTATTTTCGGTTGGCCACTGACGGTTCCTCCCATGTCATTCAAATGTTCCCTTCAATCGTTCGTGATCTCAGCCAGCCTTGTCAAGGCTGCCTTGACGCTCTATCTGTGGTTTTGGGTGGGCATAATCAGGTCACTGTATGTATACCCAAGCGCACATGCAGATCATACCACCAGAGATACCAGTACAATTCCGTGATGGAGCCCTTGCATCATGGCAGCTATGAATTTGATTTACGAGTTGGTGGTGAAGGACCGGCAATCGCTAAAGATTTGAAAATTAATGCTTTCCAAAATAGTTTGATTCATGGGGATCTCCGATCACTCTGCTAAAACCCTTGCCTCAAGTGGTTATTTTCTTCCATCCAGGCTGGGAGCCTGGGACATACGGAACAGGTTTCTCAGTGGCTTTTTTCCCTCTCGGTGAACATCCTACAACAATCTGCTGAAAATTGAAATCAAGCCCTGGTACCTGGAAATAGGCATGGATTCATTTTATGGATTTGGTGATCCTCCCAATTTATAGCCTTATTTCAGTATTCTAGAAGAGGCTGGAATGGAAGACGGCCCTTTTTTCCATGATTTGCCTAGTTGGCATTTTCCTCGGTGTAAATGCAGGTAAGTGTGAAACTCCAAGTGAGTCTGGCTGACTGGTATTACAGCTGAACGAAGTGAGGCTATGATCTATCTAAGGGATTCGTGCACGTGACCCATACTTAGTAATAAAAATCACACAGCAAACTGGATTCACGTGACCTCCACGTGGTAGCACGTGAGAAAATCTGGATTCAGCCCCCTGATCATGATGGCAGCTTTCGGCTAGCACTGTGTATTTTATATCTAGAATTCTAAAATTCGTCACCCTTTTATCATCGACTCCATGAAGGTCTCACAGACTCTCATAGACGGGGTATCCACAGTGGCAGAATTCACAACAAGGTTCAGCTGACACTCGGGTTAAACGGATCTCGGGTACCGGATATCCCGGATTTCTTGACAGAGCCATGGTCCGGCTCAACTGAAACTGCGAATTTCAAGATTTGAAGATTATTAAATGGACCGCAATCTACAAGATCTAGAAGAAATGTGGATCCTCAGAGGGAGGTTGTGCAGACGAAGGATGCATTAATTTTCATAATATATAGCATAAGCTCGTGATTTTTGGTATTGAATCTTGATAGCATCATCAACCCACCAAGATGCTGAATAATCTTCAGGGCTGCCATTACCACTGGACAATATAAGACCCCGGGTACCGAACGCATGATACTTTCAATTGATGTTTTATATACTTCCATCTCTCTGAATATGTCGTCCTCTCAACTCACCGTTCATCACCTACGTCGATCTCAGTCCGAGAGGGTGGTCTGGCTATGCGAAGAACTCGGCATTCCCTACAACCTGAAGTCGTATGACAGAGAGCCTCCCGCCTTGCTTGCCCCGGAGGAGCTCCGCAAAATCCACTGGTCTGGAACTGCGCCTGTCATTGAGGATGCAGGCGTGGTCCTTGCCGAATCAAACGCCATCTTCGAGTATATTCTCACAAAATACTCCAACGGGCGCCTGTCTCTGCCCCCGACTCACCCGCAATATACCGATTACGTCTTTTGGCTTCATCGAGCGAACGGAGCCGTGCAGCCTGGACTCATCACTCTGCACTTCTCTCGTGTTGGTGGCAAGTCAGAGGACAGCCTAGAGTCTAAATTCGCACAAAAGCGTGTGGATCGGGACTTCAAAGCCATGGACGCCCAGCTGGCCAAATTCCCATATTTAGGCGGCGATGAGTTCACTGCTGCCGATTGTATCTCGGTATTTTCCCTGACTACTTTCCGTCTCTTTTCTGGTTCCTCCCTTGAGGGGTACCCGAACATTGTGGGGTATTTGCAGCGGATCTCAGAACGCGAGGGATATAAGCGTGCTATGTCGAAGGGAGATCCCGGGCTGGAGCCCGTTATATGCGCCCATGCTCCAAGGGACACTCTTTGGTAAATATTTGGTGAATATACCTCGTCGAGGTCGAGAGGGATCCCCCAGATCGGTACAGTTCCCAATCATTTTCGATATTGGCACAGAAGTTCATGGAAGAAAATAGATGCATCTTTCCTGGCTAGGAGTCTCGAGTTGCCGAAGAGATGTGAAATATCTGCCAGGTGCAATGTACATTAGTAAATAAGCTTTGGGCCTTAGAATAAACTTGAATATCGTACTAGTAATGTTCCTCATAAAGTTATACTGTAGCGAACGGAAACTTAACGATTTGAATTTTACAAAACCGCGGAACGCAGAAAGGATGGGGATGGGAATATCCAATAAATAGTATGGAGAGGCTGTTACTAGTCCTAAAGGGGATACTAACAAAATTCAAAAATCTGGGGTTAAAAGGAACAATTCAGGTGTTCTTTCATCAACCGGCATCCGTGTGGTCGAGTTGGCAAAGCCCTCCCACTATGCACAATTTCCCCAAGGTTAGCCGTCTGGACTTGGGGGAAGGTGTCGGTTACACAGGGAAACATCCCCCAGAGCAAATCTCCCCCCAGCGGCCACAGGCCGCCAGAGGGGGGGTCCCTCTGGGCTAGATGTTTGCCATTTTTTTATATTCGACCATGCTGAATTTGAATTTCCGCTTTATTTGAGCTCAATTGGACTATATAAAGTGGGTTAAAATGAGAGAATCGCGGGAGTGTTGATTTCTCGACTGATGCAAATGAGGCTATTCAGAACGTACGTCAGAAGTGCGTAAGGAAACCTATCTAATCTGGGTTCGAATCCAGCTTTTGTCATATCTTTTTTCATTAAAAAAAGAACACTTTCTGTTTTCTCTGATATCTGGAGGAAGAATAAATTTATTGGATTTGATACCTCTGTTAAATTAATATATATGTGGGTCTGTTTTAACGAACATACTCAGTTGCCTACTTTGAATGGTAAGGTCATCAATTGATATGATTAGGTCGACGGGGTTAGAATCCTCGACAGGCCTAGATAGGAATATCAATCTTCCTTCCCTCAGAGCACAACATGCAGTCAACTATGTATGCGGGAGCTGGATTGATGCTGACCATATGAGGCACATGCACCAGTTGACGTGTTAGTCACGTGCATACGCGCCCACGAGTCACGACTCACTTTCAAGATAACGATAGCGATAACGATAAGAAAGTAAAGGATCTCCACATTTCACGACTCATCGCGAGTTCCTCTCAGCAACACGAGTCAGTTCATCACAAGAAACATAATGCGCTTCCGAGCCCAATTAAAGAATACTAGCGTATTCTCCAGTGAGTGGAAGATCTGAAACTAAGATCAAATCGCGAAAACAATCAAACAATCAAATCTAATCAAGATAGAATTAACCGCTTCCCTATCATCTCTGGACAAGGAATGTTGGATGCGTCTAGAACAGGAAGTCGTGCGCTTCACCATCATCCCAGATTCAGGCACTCAAGTGTGGTCACAGATCCCAGTTGTACGTGTAAAACTCAATTCCGTCACAAAATATTATCATTCGAATCCATCCTAACCCCGAACAACTCAAAGGAAACTATTTTCGACGAAGAGACCTACTCATTAGAAGCCAACGGAGATGGAATCAACCTGGAAGTGAATGTCGGCATACTAAATCGTGCTCTGCGCTCAACCGTCGGCGCCTCATCCGCCCAATTACGTCTAACAAAAAAGGACAAAACACCCTTCCTTGTTTTAACAATCCGCACAAACGAATGGGCAGACGGCAATGTGCCCCTCGCGGCAAACAACCCTGTACAACCGCCGTCCGCAGTAGCAGGCGAACGTCCAGTGGACCAGCGGACTCGCGAACGTGAAACATGGATCACACAGGAGATTCCGATCAAGATTCTGCACTCGGAATCCGTGGATGATCTTCACGAGCCGCACTGTCCCGACCCAGACGTGCACATTATCTTGCCGGGACTGGCGCAGCTAAAGAATATTTCAGACCGATTTACTAAGATTGCGATGTCGGAGGCCAAGGGGAGTCAAATGGGGACTTTGGGGGCGGATGCGCCTTCGACGGCCACGACGACGATTTCGTCGAGTGCGATGCCGAAGTTGGAGCTCAGCGCTAATATGCATGGGGGGTTGCGTTTATCCATTTCTACAGACGAGCTGAAGATTGCGAGTGCTTGGTCTGGTCTCGTAAATCCGCCTTTGGATCCGGCTCATATCAGCACTGATGACTATTCACAATTACCGAGTGAGCGGATGCGGGGGGTGGGCGAGGATGATGAGGCGGGGTGGGCGAAAGTGCGCATTGATGCAAGGGATTGGGGCCGAGTATTGAGTGTTGGGAGATTAAGCCCTAGGGTTGTGGCTTGTGAGTTTGATGTCTCAATCTAGGGGGTTTGACTGATTGCTTATATTGGTTAAACAGGTTTTGTTAACGAAACGGCGCTGGTGCTTTATGTCTACTTGCCCGGTAGCTGGAATGGCGAAGATTCTTGTCTGACTGTGAGTACTTGCCACCATGACAGACAAACATGCATCGAAGACCTAACACGCGGCAGTATTATATCAATTCATATGCCAAATGATGGCATACCAAAGACCCCACAACAATCAATTGCTACCACCAAAATTATACCAGATCAACTTACACTCAAAGAGACACTCGTCATTGGCAAATGAATCAATCTCGTGGTGGCTGGAACTCTCACGATATTCTTATTCTAGCATACGATGCTATCATAGATTAACTGGCACTAGTATTATCTCTACGGTCTCCCCACCTCACCAGCCCTGAAATTCGCCGCCTTCAAATGTTAGCCCCGAATTCCACACATTCCTTATATATCTGGATGGTACTTCGGATGAATGGTGAATGTATAAGTATTTACTCTTGGTCCATAATTCACTAAGAATAATAACCATCTGATGAACCAACTGGGAAAATCTCGTGAGGAAATTTTACGCAAGTACGCGAGTAGTGAGGAGAGGGAGGGGGGGATTTTGCTCTATTTCCAAAATTGAAAATGTCCCACTGTGTACGCACGACCTCCGGGGGCGAAACTTGTAAGCCAAGGGCAATATGATCAAGACGAAGAAGGAGGGCTCATAACCTACCAGAGCAGCTACCATCAGCAGATGCCATCCGAAAGGAAGAAAGAAGGGAAAAGACGAAAGTATATTGGGCATGCGAATGCTGCTCGTAGGATGGGGTGATAAACGTCTGAAGCCCGGAAAATTTGAATGCTGTTTTGACATTTGGTCGAGCGGTGTGTGAGTGGCTACTAGTGATGTATGGGTGATAGGGATATCTGGGCCATGTGAGTACGGAGTAGGTACTCTGAGTACCTAGTACCTAGTATTTGGAGTAGAGTAAAGATTTAGTGCGTACATGAGATATTGGTAGGTATTCCAAGAGTTGAAGATGAAATGATTTCATCAAATTTGCCTGTGTATTACGAGCCGAATGCGAGGCACCGCGTGTACCTTCCGAAATATCAAGTCTTTCGACTACAATAGATGTTCATGGGATCCATTACGAGGGTGGTATATGTGATTATGGAGTAAAATCATTCTCGAATTCATTATTAAGACAGGGGCATAAGGATATGCGAACACTCATGCAAAAGAAACCTTCCAACTTGAAGGAACAAATAGCTACAGGGGTCATCCAATGTACATCAGAGTATATCTGGAGCAAAAGTGATATACATGATGCAAGGAGAATCGCCCCCCTCGCTTCGCAGGCAAGAAAGGCGCAGCAAAGAACAAAAAAAAGCAGGCTATGTGCAGCGCTTTCCAATGATAGTTCAGTCTGCAAGAACGCCAGGGAATGAATCGTCTGCTTAGTCTTTGAAGACGAGCAAGACAAGACACATGCAAGATGCTGGGGCGAGGAATGAATCTCGAGCACGGGGAATCTATTATAGGGTGTAGGGGTAGGGGGAAATACAACAATGGAGAAGGCATGAGGCATAATAAAACAAAGGAAAGAACAAAAAAAAAAGAGTATCCGGCCAGGCGTGGCCTTGGTCGGATACCATTAAGGCTCAATGGTCATATTAAGATCATTGTGCCATGACGTCAACGTACCGACCCTTCTTCCTGCCACGAGGATTGTTACCACCTTTACGAGCCGTGGGAGCCCCCAAAAGATCATCAATGGATTGGGCATGACTGAGGGAGGAGGTAGGTCTGGGAGGGGTTGACGACATAGCTCCGCTGGTAGAAACTGATCGTGGCAAAGGCGGAGGAACAGAGAGTCCTGGGAACGCAGGGCTTGACGAGAGGTTTTGAACGTCACTAGAGGACGATTGAGGTCGACTGCTGGAGGCGACGGACATTGGCGCTGGAGGAGGAGGCATGCTGCCAGAGCTGGCTCGGCTGGGAGGTGCAGAGCTTCGCGGAGGCGGGGGCGTGGCGCGAACAGCAGCACTGGAGTTCGGGTCCTTCTTGTTGACCCATTTCTTTAGGTCATTATCATAGTAGAAGGAGCTTTCCTCGCCGAGTTTCGCCCTGATAGGACCGCCGCCCGCGTTATCAGCCTCCTTTTTGGCAGCTCCACCGAACCAACCACCGAACCAACCCTTCTTCTGCGCCTGCTGGTCACCGCGTTTGGCTGCAGAGTGAAATTGTTAGATATAAGATTGAGGGAAAATTTGAGCATGAAAACTTACCATCCTCTTCGGCCGCCTTTCGGAATGCCTCATCTGCCTTGCGATCATTTTCTTCCTTTTGAGATAACTTCAAGTTTGCTACACGAGCGACAAGATCATCTTCGTCATCTCCATCCATGAATGACTTCTTGGGTTTTGGCGCCTCCTCTTGCTCTTGCTCAGGATCAATTTCCTCGGGGGCAAGACTCATCACTGGGGCGTAAGAAGGAGGCTCATAAGAATTGGGAGCAGCTGGGGGCATATAACCGGAGTTTTCAGCCTGTGGCATACCGGGTGGGCCTTGGTAATAGGGCGACTGGCCAGCGGACCCATTGTCTTGTGGAGGAGGCTGGTAAAACAAACCATTGACTGGAGTTTGAGTAGCATCAGCCGGTGATTGAGTGGAATCCTCCTTCACTGGAGCAAGAGGCATGTAAGATGGATGAGGCGGCGTGGCCTGGTAGGCGGCATTGCCTGGCGATCCATACATGGGTGCACCGGGGAACATAGAGTCCACTGGGGTTTCAGGTTCCTGCGAGAGTCTGCGCTGTCCGAAGGACAGGCCACCAGAAGCAGACCGCTGGGAATCCATCGAGGACCGGCCACGCGACTGCTCCGGCGAGCCATTGGACGCATACTGGTTCGTTGGAAGATATCTTGAAGAGTTGGCAGCAGGAATTGCGGCGGGAGGGATACCTTGCGCTCCAGCGCCAGGGTATGAGCCATATAGATCTGACACAGACGGGGATCGGCTCACAGTAGGCGTCCCGGCCACATGGGCAAATGGCCCAAAGTCAGAAGCCTCACCTGCCCGACCAGAGCCTGTTGAAGCTGCATCATTTTCGTCGCCGACGACGAAGCTATTGAAGCGAGCCCACATGGACCCAGAAACTTTCTCCATACTTGGCTTGGAAATCCAAGAGGAAGTTCCATCGCTCGCAGCTTGACGAAGGCGCGCTGATAGCTCATCGATCTCAGTGAACAGGTGCTGATGGTGGTAAGGCGACGGGCGGGTAGTTGACTTGAGAGACGTAGCCAATGCATCGCAATAGCTCTGTGCATCTGTCTTGCGGCCCCGGTCGGCGAGGTACTTGGCATGCATAAGCTTGAATGCGAGCAAGTGCGGCAAGGTAGCTACCGGCGAATTGCCTAGGACAGATGTAGCAAATTCATAGATCTCAGTCAAGAGAATAGAATCGTCATTCAACAAGGAACAAGGGAGGCGCTGGTGATCAGCACCGAGGAGAACAATGTTAGTCTGCGGATCATCGGCCCCCCCAAAGACAGCACCTCGAGAGAAGATGAAGCAAATGTGCGCAGCCTCGATGCGGCCGTAGGAGGCCAGCAGGTTGCCAAGAGCTAGCAAAGCTTGGTTGTCATCAGAGCTGCGATTGCTTAATACCAAGCCCAGGGTATCTCTCCAGCTCTCCAGCCCATCAAGTGCGTTCCTGGAGGCGCCCTGGCCATCTGCTTTGCTGATCAATTGATGCCCAGCCCGTGCAGACGGTGGAACGAGCTCATCGATACTTTCCTCAACATTTCCAGCAAATATTTCGTAAAGGGCAGCGATTGACTCAGTATTGCCTCCCGTGGCCCGGACTTCACGTCGCACAAATTCTTGGACAACCTGCTTCCAGATGGATTTATCCATTGTAGAAGCGATGACCATTGCGTGGCCCCAAAGGCGCCGATCAACTGCCGCCCAAACAGCCTTCTCTCGCTCACCGAGAAGCAGATGAGTTCGGAGCTCCTCACTCCACTGCGCGTCAACAGCATCTGGCCGAGACGGAAGGTTCAGGGGCCCACCAATCGGAAGCGAGTTCCCATATGAGGCTTCGGCCTGAGCGTCCGCAAGGTTCGGGAAAATGGCATTGCGGAGAGACTTTTGGATTTCGGGTGATCCTTCAAAGGTTCCATCATTTTCGACCAAGATCTTTGTGATCTTCCAAAGCAGAATCTTCTCTTCACGACGTTTCTGGATATCGGGATTATGCGGGTTGTAATCGTTAGGTACTTCCTCGTTTTCAAAGGCTGCAATCTTGCTAGAGAGCCAGGTCAAGACGTCTTTCTTCTTCGATTTAGCCTTAAGAGGGCCAGGGTGAGGCACAATAGTATCACCAGTCGGTAACCATGCATCAAGCTGGGAATATCTCGGTTCACCGAGGGTAGGCTTAATCATTGGTACTGGAACACCAGCGGAGTAGCGAGGAATGTGCTTGGGGAAGCACGAGACCACAGCTCCACCGAATCCGAACTTGAATATGGGAGCGCCCTTCCAACGTTGAAGAGGATCCTGCTCTTGACCATCAGTCGGCGCAATAAATTCAAGCTGCTGAGAAGCTCGAGAAGCAGCGCGAGCACGGCTTGCAGCTTGCTGAGGTGCATAAGGATTCACCGTCTTGGTTGGGGAGCTTGAACCGTGTACCGAAGCAGGACGGGGAAGAGTGTCAAGGGGCGGCACAAATGCTCGTGGGCTTGTCAATTGCTGACCAGGAGATTGACTCTGAGATCTGCGAGGAGACAAGACTGCAGGTTCGGTCGGTTGGAAAGCGGGCTGGACATCTGCCACGGGAGGAACAGGGGCGTAGGTGCCGTTTGGCGCCATGCGCTGAGTGAACTGGTTCATGTACTCTTGCGGGGCGTAGCGAGCCTTCTGTTGCGCGCCAGCTGGTGGGCTCCCTGCTGCCTGATTAATGCCATACCCTGATCCCTGCGGCAACTGTGGTGCATATGGTGACCCATGGTCAATACTCGAACGCTGCCGGGGAGGAGAAAGATCAACAGAAGGCTGGAGAGAAGGAGGCTGCAAAGGCGGCTGCTGCTGTAGAGCACCGTCGGGTTGATATGAAACTTTTTCGTGGTACGCTAGAGGGCTCGATGTGCGGGGTTGGAAAGGCAAGTTGGCGCCCTGGCCGGGAACACCAAGGGGCTGAGAGGCATAGCGGTTACGACCAGCAGATGTTGAAGCAGGAGGCGCGGGTGAATATCTTGCAACCGAAGGAGGCTTGTTGCCCGAAGGTTGTAGAGTGGGAGGCATTGGGGAATACCTAGAGGCAGCAGGAGGACCAGCTGGGGCACTCGATGCTAACATCCCACTCGGGCCGTACGGGTCCAAAAGTTCTGGCGGCTGGAGCGGAGAGGGAAGAGGAAGAGCGCCAGCGGAAGTCCCCGGAGCAGAGACGGGCGCAGGGACCGGTAAAGATGCATATGGACTCTGAGGTGGCGGACCAACCGATGGGGGATTCATCGTGGGACCACTTGGCCCTGGAGTGTACCGTCCTGAGCTCGCCGGTCTAGACCGCGGGGGAGGCAATGGAAGTTCCTCGAAGAAGTTCTTTGGCGCAGGTGGAGGAGCAGCATGGGGTGTAGCCTGCTGGTCAAAATTGCTCCCAGGAGGTGGTGGTGGCGGCATGCTGTTGTCCACCTTCGGAGGTGTAGGCTTATGAGTGAGAACAGGCCGCCGAGGCCCAGAAGATAAATCGTCAGGAAGATCGTAAGGTGACTTATAACCTTCTTTCGAACGCTCAGCAAAGCTTTCACCCCGGGTAGTGACTGGGTTCGGCGGCTGCTGGGTGTAGTATGGCGGAATACTGCTACTTCCGGGGGGAGCACCTGGGAAATCCACCCCTCCAACCAAATCTGCCGTAGACGGTTGATGAGGTACGTAAACACCGGGGATTGGCCTTGGTGGGGTTTGCCGCTGTTGAGGGGTCTCAAATGGACTATTCAAGCCCATGGCGATCATTGGGCTTTGAGGGACATGCTGTGAAACCTCCTTGAGATCATCTTCCATATCATCATCCAGATCCAGCGCGGCTTCCCACCGAGCAGCAAGGTCATCTTCTTCTGCATCGCTCAGCTCTGCCTCCCACCGTGCGGCTAAATCATCTTCTGGAGGCGCGGGCACACTGGTTGGCGGTTGAGATCCAAGAGATTCGGAGGAGGTGGCTTTGATTGCATCTTCAAATTGGGCCGCTGCCGAAATATCGCTTGTCGGGGAGTCGATATCAAACCCAACTGACTTCATGACCTGGGTTGTGCTTTTACGGGTGAGATGGGGAGGTTCTTCGTTGGTTTCCGACTGCTTAACGGCGCTGAAGAAATCTTCGGTGTCATCATTGCCATTAGCAAACAGGTCGGTCACCGCATGGTCGTCTTGCACGGTGATTTCGGGAGAAGGGGAACTGTTCTCATCCAGCAAGGGGACGCCCTCTTCAAATCTCGATTCCGCCTCCGGTGCAAAGATGGGTTTGGTCTGAGTTTTGAGTTGATTGAAAAAATCATCTCCATCGGAATCCAATTCTTGGCTGGCCTGGTTGCCCCAGACGGGAGTTTCATCCAAAGTGATGTGACTCGCCACGGGTGCCTCAAACGCTGGCTCCGTTGGAAATTGCAGTGACTCCTCAGCGACCTGTCCATTTGAGGGGTTGTTATCTTCTTCGACGGGGAACTGTTGTTCCTCATTAGCCGGCGCTACGGGCCATGACTCTACCGTGGTATCATCTGTCGGCTGTTCATTTCCGATAGGCGCAGAAAGTACATCGGGAAGATTAGCGCTTGGCGGGGCAGGTGGTGATTCGGCATTTGCAGATAGCAAAGCAGAAAAATCGTCCGATTCTCCACTCGACTCAAACACTGCTGTTATCGACGAAGACTCCCCTGGAAGTGATCCCAATGTCAGATGTTCAGCCGGGGATTCCTCCGAGTGCTGGGATTCTACCGGAGGGGACTGTATAGGCATACTCTCAATAGCAAGAGTTTCACTGCTGGCTTCCACATCAGCCTCTAGTGGCTGATTGGGAAGTTCCTCATCTTCTCGATCTTTGGCTAATAGCTCCGAAAAGTCAACAGGGTCCTCTGTAGATTTAAAGATCGAATCCGTTTCAGAAATCTCAAGAATAGAAGCCTCCATGGGAATATGTTCAACGGGCGCAACTTCAATGACCGACTCAAGACCAATCTCTCTTTCTCGATCAAGAGAATTCTCAACTTCCGGGTCCTTTGTCAAGAGATCAGAGAAGTCAACAGAGTCTTCATTCGACGGGAAGATTGTATCCGGCTCAGTGGTTTCAGGTAGAGGAGCCTCGACTGGAATAGTATGTTCAACAGCCAAATTTTCACTAGCGGTTTCCAGATCAGGTTCTCGTGGATCCTCAAGAGCGTCTTCGATTTCCTTATCTGCTGTCAACAGCGCCGAGAAATCAGTAGAATCGTCATTAGATGCAAACATCGCACTAGGCTCTGCGCTCTCTACTTGTGCGGCCTCGGCGGCTGCTGAGAGCTCGGATTTACTAGGCTCCGGTTGCCCAGGCGCAACAGGACTGATCGGAAGTTCGAGAGGGTCACTTTGAGTCGCAGTCAGGCTGGAAGGATCCGTGTGGGCCTGGTCTAAAACCATCGCACCGTTGTCATGAGAATCCTCGCTTGTCTCTTCGGGTGTTAGGGGCTCATCTGCCAAAACAGAGTCTAAGGATGCAGGCTCCGGCTGGACAGCTGGTGTATCCTCTGGCATATCCCAGGCTGAAAAATCATCGTCACTGAGAGGCGATTTCACCTCTGGGTTGATAGTTTCTTGCGCTGTGTTTGCGATCGAGATATCGGAGGAAGTGGTATCGGTTCGATTCGCCGCAGCCTCGTGTATGCTATTTTCTGGCAGTGAAGCTGGATTCCAGGCACCGCCGGCTTCATTGGGCGATACTGTTTGCGCCATGGCCGGTGTATATCAGGCCCTCAATTGTCGGCTCGATTCGGGGAGTTCGGGGGCTACCTGACACGTCTCTCCAATGACGTTCAGGGTCAACAATCCCAATAAACAGAATAAAAGCAATATCAAACTCAAGAATCCATTAAACGGCGTGTTGCGGCGTAGGGGAGAAAAAGACAGAATAATTAAATTAGAAAGAAATAAACCATGAATGCATCAAGTCGTCCAACAGCCAAGAAATGATCATGGATGAATGTCCCGAAGTCGCGACGCCCCCAGATTCACCTGTCTCCTGTTATTGGCCCCGATTGGGCACCTGAGTCAGCATCGCCATAAATGGTCCAGGACAAACATTGTTCCGAACTGAACACCGTTGCAGTGCATCACATGATAAGGGATTATGCACGATAAGGTAAGCATGTGACATAGCCCGCCATATTATGTAGTCAGGTGATGCTGCAGCATCATGGGCGTCAGGCAGTCGCGGTGCTTAAATCATTTTCCATAATCAATAGTCTTGATTGAATGCTTTTGGGAACTGCGGTGTTCTTAACACTTGTCACCTATCTGTGAGAAGCAATCCTCCAGATATTCCCTCGAACCCCCTTGAACTCCCATTCCGTCCCCACTATGCTGCCGCGTCACTTCAATGCCGTTTGAAACGCCGATCTTAAATCCTTTATCTGCCGACACGCTGCGCTTTGAAAATTAGCTCATGAGCAGCTTGCTGTGAAGCTCTCAGGCCATCACGATCAACATGCCTTCTTCACCCGACTACCTCCATCCCTTGCGAACAGACGACCCTGATGACTTCTCTGGATCCGATGACGACTTGGACCTCGAGGAGCTGGACCCCAACACCGCGCCACCACAAACTACTCGAATTTCCCGAGACTACGCGAATCGCTCACGAAATTATGGACCAGGAATAGCTTTGAGGAATTTGCGAGTGGGCGTGGGTAATCGTTGGCGCCGAAGCGTATCGGGTCATGAGGACCCGGATGAAGACACGGCTGGGTTATTGGACGAACGGGGTGAGGATGGAATCCGCCAGTCAAACGGAAGTTCGCGAAACATGACAGATCCTGATGTACCGCTGCTGGATCGGCGGGGCTCAATCCGCATGTTCAATGACGAAGAGCAGTCGAAAAGGAGCCGTTCATGGCTGCCTAGTTTCAAAGGACTAGGATTCCTCCAGAGCATATCGAATCGGCTTGCAGGGAATGAAACAGACAACGAAAATGTGCCTCCCCGAGGGGTTCTAGTCGGCCAACATCAGTCCATCAAATACCCGCCTAACATTGTCTCCAACGCCAAATACACACCATGGAGCTTTCTGCCGCGAACGCTCTATAACGAATTCTCCTTTTTCTTCAACATATATTTTCTTCTCGTGGCGCTCTCGCAGGTTCTTCCCATGCTTCGCATCGGCTACATGTCTTCATATATCGCACCTCTAGCCTTTGTGGTTTCCATATCACTAGGAAAGGAGGCTCTGGACGATATCGGGCGACGTCGGCGAGATGCTGAAGCAAATGCAGAGGAGTTCACCGTTGTGTCCCTTGAAAGAAATGCCATGGATATAATCAAGAAGTCGCGAGATCTCAAAGTTGGGGATGTTCTTAAAGTTCGGAAAAACCAACGTCTGCCTGCGGACGTTGTGATCCTCAAGAGCATTTCGAATGACTCAGGCCCATCTCGCCAGCATTCGATAGAAGAACCCGCATCTGGAGCATCCGCCGATCTACTTGGCGGTTCGACCCAGGAGCCCTTGGGGCTGACTGCTGATACCACATCTGACCCAGAAGACATTTCATCTGCCAGTGACACGTTCATTCGAACTGACCAGCTGGACGGCGAAACTGATTGGAAATTGCGTGTTCCTTCCGCATTGTCTCAATCGCTCTCCTTAAATGACTTCACTCGACTCAAGATCACTGCGAGTCCTCCAGATCAAAGAGTCAATGAGTTTGTGGGTACTATTGAACTTGGTCCTCCAAGCGGCTTTTATGACGCTCACGTTGATAAATCATCCACTCAATTGCAAAATGATTCATCTCAGGATGATCATGACCGAAATTCCAACTCAGCGCCCTTATCTATCGACAATACTGCATGGGCTAACACTGTTCTTGCATCCAACACCGTCACATATGCTGCTATCATCTACACTGGATCCCAAACTCGGGCTGCTCTTTCGACCTCGCCTTCGCGGTCCAAAGTTGGCCTTTTGGAGTATGAAATCAACAACCTCACTAAAATTTTGTGCATTCTTACTCTTGCTCTCTCCATTGTCTTGGTAGCACTGGAAGGGTTTGAGCCAACGAATGACAAGGTTTGGTATGTTGCTATCATGATATATCTGATCCTTTTCTCAACCATTATTCCGATGAGTCTTCGTGTCAACTTAGACATGGCCAAGTCTGTCTATGGTCGATTCATAGAGCGCGACAAGGATATCCCTGGCACTGTTGTTCGGACCAGCACCATCCCGGAGGATTTAGGAAGAATCGAATACCTACTCTCTGACAAGACTGGTACTTTGACCCAAAATGGTGAGCCACTAATAATATCCCCTGAGTCCTCGGGTTAACAATGACTAATTGTGATGATAGAAATGGAATTGAAGAAGATTCACGTCGGTACTGTCTCTTATGCTAGTGAAGCGATGGATGAAGTCGCCTCTTTTATCCGCCAAGGCTTTGCTGGCAACGCTTTGACGACCCCCTCAACCGTGTTTGGAACACAACCTGGTCATGGAGCTGCACCGCGGACACGGCGAGAAATTGGTTCTCGGGTCCGTGACATCGTTTTGGCACTTGCTCTATGTCACAATGTCACACCGACCACTGAGGATGAGGATGGCCAAAAGGTCACCAACTACCAAGCATCGTCACCAGATGAAATTGCCATTGTCCAGTATACTGAAGAGGTTGGACTGAAGCTGTCTTATCGTGACCGACAAAATGTTGTTCTCGAATCTACTGACTCTAAGCGAGTGGTTGTTCGCGTGCGTATCATGGATATATTCCCTTTTACATCCGATAGCAAACGAATGGGCATCATTGTGCAGTTCCAACAGGATGAAAACACGTCTGAAGGAGGAGGCAAATCCGAACCCGAGATATGGTTTTATCAGAAGGGTGCAGATACTGTCATGTCATCAATTGTTGCGACAAATGATTGGCTTGACGAAGAAACCGCAAATATGGCTCGCGAAGGTTTACGGACTCTTGTCATTGGACGTAAACGTCTTTCTCTTCAACAGTACCAAGAATTCTCCGCCAAGTATAAGCAGGCATCTTTGTCTCTTCAAAATCGTGATGCTGGTCTCACCAAGGTTGTTAGTGAATACCTGGAACGGGACCTGGAACTCCTCGGTGTGACTGGTGTCGAGGATCGCTTGCAACGTGACGTCAAGTCTTCTTTGGAATTGATGCGTAATGCAGGTATCAAAATCTGGATGTTAACTGGTGATAAAGTCGAGACGGCACGATGTGTTGCTATCTCTGCTAAGTTGGTCTCTCGGGGTCAATATATCCACACTGTTTCTAAAGTGACCGATAAATCTGCCGCCCAGGAAGCACTTGATTTCTTACGCAACAAGCCCGACTGTTGTCTGTTGATCGATGGTGAATCCTTGAGTTTAATGCTCGGTTCATTCCGGACTGCGTTTATTTCCGTCGCTGTTCTCCTTCCTGCAGTCATCGCATGCCGATGCTCACCGACACAAAAGGCTGAGGTCGCGAATCTGATCCGTCAACACACCAAGAAACGGGTTTGCTGTATTGGGGACGGTGGTAATGATGTATCCATGATCCAAGCCGCCGATGTTGGAATTGGTATCGTGGGTAAAGAGGGTCGCCAGGCCTCTTTGGCTGCTGATTTCAGTATTACTCAGTTCCACCACCTGACCAAACTGCTAGTTTGGCATGGCCGCAATTCTTACAAGCGGTCCGCCAAATTAGCACAATTCATCATGCATCGCGGGTTGATCATCAGTGTGTGCCAGACCATGTACAGCATTGCTAGCCATTTCGATCCAAAGGGTCTCTTCATCAATTGGCTGATGATCGGTTACGCAACTGTCTATACAAGTGCACCTATCTTCTCGTTGGTTTTCGACCGCGATGTGGATGAGCGACTGGCAAACCTCTACCCGGAATTGTACAAGGAGCTGAAGACTGGCAAGAGCTTGAGCTACCGTTCGTTCTTCACTTGGGTTCTTATCTCAGTCTATCAGGGAGCAGTCATTCAAGGCTTGTCCCAGGTTCTCCTGGATACAATCTCAGGCCCTCGTCTGATTAGTGTTTCCTTTACGGCCTTGGTACTCAACGAACTGGGCATGGCTGCCATTGCCATCACGACTTGGCACCCGCTTATGATATTCTCATTAATAGGTACACTACTTCTGTATGCCGGCAGTGTTCCTTTCCTTGGCGAATACTTCAACCTCAGCTATGTGATTACCCTCGACTGGCTGTGGCGTGTCGTGGCTGTGCTCGCCGTTTCGCTTGTTCCTGTTTGGGCTGGCAAACTGATCAAGCAGTCTGTCAAGCCCCCTAGCTACCGAAAGGTCCGTGGCTGATGATATTTTGGTGGATTTACGGAATTATGTTGGCATTTGCTTCTTCTCTTCCCTCTTTCCCATCCACTTCACTCTCATGTGGTCATGATAGAATCCCTGACCGTCTTGTATATCTAAACGCCCCAAGCATTTTTTCATAAGCGCTCTAGGCGTTATAACATGAAACCTTTTTTTGATCTCCACTATCTACATGGTTTCTCCATTTAGCACCTGAAAGGATTAAAGCACCATCCGTCGCTTTCCAATATTGAAGTTTATAGTCGGAAACCTTGGAAGTACTAGATAACCTTCGAACTTGGTTTCAAAGCGACAGAACATTTGAAGCGAGCGAATATTTGAAAATACAGCAATGATACATCCATCAAAATCAAGAACCACCCTTTCCCATATCAACCTTAGACAAAACCGCCTGCCAATCCATCTCATCACGAGCAACCTCCCTCACCACCCCCCACTCCCGCTCCAAAGCCCCCAAAATATCCTCAACATCATCGACCCAAGGCCTGAGCGTAAGGAGATACTGCGTCAAAGCCCTCAACGCACTATCCAAGGACCCCACAATCCACGCATGGTGCGCACTACACGCCTCACCCGCCAAAAACAAATGCCCCTCCGCCGCCGGCTCCACAAGAAACGGAAAATAAGCCCTAAACTGCCCGGGTCCAAACAGCGCAAACGCCCCCGCGGAATGCGGATTCCCATACCAATCAAACGCATCATGTCCCCGATACGCCCCCTCAATAATCGCATACATCTCCTCATACCCCAGCCCCGGGCTCTGATGCAACAGCGCCAAATTATGCACCAAAAGCTCCTTCAGCAGCCCATCTTTCTGCGTGGGATTCCTACTCCCGTCGAACCTGGCCCCGCCCTCGGCCGGCACGTTGTCAACCAGCGACCCCATGCGCTGCGCATCCTGCGCCCAGGTATACGAGCACAGCAGCACGGCCTTCCCCGTTGCGTCGAGGTTGTAGGACGGGTAGACGCAGGTGCGGATGGGGAGGTCCGAGGACGCGGATCCGCCGCGGATATTGCAGTCCTGGATCCACCATGGCCGGGTGAATTCGATGGCGACTTTCGTCGAGGCGTCGTAGTGGACGCTGCGCATTGCGTCGAGTTGTGTGCGGCTGCAGCCTGCGGTGCGGAGGTCCATGCGCCGTGTGCAGGCTAGGCTGGCTGTGTTGAAGACGGTGGAGAAGGAGAGGGTTTGTTTTTCGGCTGCGTGGTTCTGGTCGTGGTCGTGTGTGATGTCGAGTTCCATGTGCCGGTCTGTGAAGGTCTCGTTGCGTGAGGCTTTCTTGTATCGGATGGCTGTTACGCGGTGCTTGAGAATGGGCTTGGTGTGCAGGGTGTTTTCTAGTTTGTTGATTATTTTTGAGGTGCCGCCTTTGACGCAGTACCATTTTACGGAGTTGTCGTCGGTTTTAGGGTCTTTGTCGGCTGGGTAGTCGAAGTCGAAGGAGTCTATGACGCTTTCGGTGAATGCTTGGTCGAAAAGACCGGAGGCGCTGGGGCCTTTTGTTAGTATTTGCTAGACTATCTGGGAGATGTTGACGAACCTGTTTGTTGTTTCTAGATATTGGATTGAGTAGAAATCCATGTCTCTTTTTATAGCGCGGTAAGGTCAGTCTTGCTCAAGTTGTGTGATGTTTGAATATATTGCAAGGGCGTAGAGAGTAAACTTACTCAATCTCACGTAGATAGTCGCGAGTTGTGAAGTGGTCTTTTTTCATCAGCTTTTCGAATCCGCGAACAAAATCCTTCTTTAATTCTTGCTTGTATGGTCCAAAGATGTTCTCGAGAATCACATCTGCGCCCTCTTTGACCGTGCTGTGACGTATTAGCAACCTGGGTTGGTTCATTGCGTGGAGATCTCTGGCTTACCTATCAGGAACATTTCCTTCTTTGGAAATGCTGAAGTTGAACGGATCCTCGACATCGTCTTTGGTGGACACATGAGTAATATCGTTGAATCTGCTTGGACAATTCTCGCCTTTGAAGTGATACTTCATCAATGTATCCTTCCCATCATCATATTTATCTCCGTTACCCTCTGTTTCTTTGGGCTTTGAAAAGCCCAGTGTCTCGAAAAGATGGAACGTTCTTCAAAGCGGAAGAAGCCAGTGTTAGTACTCCTCCGTCTGACCAGCCACCTCCTCTACCTCACGCACCTTGCCATGATAGGAATCTAGCAAAGCAAAATGTAAGTATAAAGGGAGTAAACACTGCGCACCAAGGAAATCCTCACATCCGGATACCTCATAGCCCCAATATCATAATAATCATTCCAAATCTCCTCGTCAAAATGCTTGGTCAAGACCCTACCACCTGTCCTTCCACTAGACTCGAGGATAGTATACGTGAAGAGGGGGTTATTAGGTGACCTCATTTCATTGACTCGATCAATCAGAAACGCCAGGAAAAGACCCGTTATACCAGCGCCGATTATACCGATATGCGCCGGTTTATCAGGTGAGTTTATCTGCGCATCAGACACACCACCGCTGTAACGCGTCCGAAGGGTCTCGGGAACTGGTGGCAGATTGAAAGGATCGTAATCATTTCGGATTGGAAGCCATCCCGGTCCAAAGCCATTTTGCTCGTTCGGTGCGTTTCGCACGATACGGTCTAGGATTCTGCCACCGACGAGGTATTGGGCTAATTTATCCCGCATGAAGCGGGGATCGTCCAGGGGTTGGGGTGGTGTTTGAGTTGCCATTTCTCTAGGCCTGGTTTATCCAAGAGGTAGAATCTCTTGAAAGCCTTCGATCTAGGTTGTGGGAAGGGTGCTGAAGAGGTACTGTGCAAGACTTTTTAAAGATTATGACCATAACGCCACGTGAGCAAAGGATGGAGTGTTGTTTAAGTATGCTGATTTCATGATTTGTTGCTCGGTACATCTAGCCGATATTTGCGTAGAACGCGACCTAGATAAGCACTAGCGAATACAGTTCGGCCTGACGAGCCTCTGTCGCTTTTGGCAGCCCAGAAATAAGTCTGAAATCATTCAATTTCACCGAGCCCGTTAGTGTCCATATCCTTCAGCTGCCAAGATTAGGTATCAGCCACTGCTCCTCTTATACCAAATCCACAGCTCTCCTGCCTTGTTTCTTGAAAGCTTCAAACCATTACTTCCGAGTCTCGACCTGTGAGATTATCTCTTGTTAAAAGAAACGAAAAAAGGCCAAAAGATAATCCAGAACGACAGAAGCCTTTCTCGGTCTGGTCATCACATTCTCGTTTTTCTTTAATCTAGACTCTTGGTGGAGAAGACGAACGGTACCCGCGATGGCTATTGTTGCCGAAGCCGAGTATCAATCGCTATTGGAAGACAAAAGTACGAAGGCTGAGCTAGCGCTGAAGAAATAGAATCTCACCTTCACACGCCAGTTCCGGAATTCAAACCAGAAATGGCATTCTTCAACATTAGCGCTTCTTTTTCGGCGCAGAGAAGATATCTAAGTATCTAGTTGTTGGCGGGAAGAAAAATATTGTTGATTCTGTCAACTGGTTGTAAAAAGATGTCCTTGCTGCTAATTTTGGCAACGCGTACTCAGTGCTATGCCATATATATTTCTTGCCGCTACCTTCCAGGACAGGGAAACCTCCATTCAGACCACCACACAAGCACGATCCACACCCCCTTCTTAATTCCCTATTCCAATACGACTTCACCAATCCTGCACCCCATCCCGACTAACAACCCTCCCAACATCCCCATCCCTCTCCCCCTCAACAACACTCCTAATAAACGGCCCCGCCACCGCCGGATCCCCCGCGCCCATCTTACGGAACGCCTCAGGATCCCCACCAAGCCCCGTCGCCAAGAAACCCGGCGAAATCGCCCAGACCTTAACCCCATCCTCCTTCAGCCAGCGATGCCACTCCCGCATCAGCATATTCAGCCCCGTCTTCGCACTCCGGTACGCCGGAAGATTGAATCCAGATTTGGGCCAGCCCTTGGCGGGAACGCGGTTAACCGGTATCGCCTGGTTCTCTGTTCCGGCTAGCGTGGATGTGCCGGATGTGATGAAGAGCAGGCGTGGGTTGGCGCTTTGCAGGAGCAGGGGTGCGAAGGCGGTTGTGAGGATCTGGGTGCCGGTTGTGTTGACGTTCCAGGTTTGGTTCCACATCTCGCGCGCGCTCATTTGGCCTGTTGATGTTTGTTGGTCGAATTGGGCGCCTAGGTGTGGTTGTTAGGTGGGTGGTTCTGGGTGTTGGGTGGGTGAGGGTGGGGAATTGGGTTGATACTTGCCTGCGTTGTTAATGAGCACGTCTATTCGGCCGTATTTGGATTGCACGTCTGAGAAGGCGCGGTTGATTGAACCGTCGTGCTCGATGTCTACTTGGATAGGAACAAAGTTGCTTTTCGAGTCGGGAAACTGCCTTTTGGCTGTGGAGATGGCGGTTTTGGCCTTCTCTAGAGACCGGCTTCCAAGAATGATGGTGTATGGTTGGTGAGAAGCGGCTAGGGCCTTGACGGTTTCGAAGCCGATTCCCGTGTTGGCGCCGGTGATGAACACGATTGTAGTCATGGCGATGATTTTGGTTCTAAGGTCAGTGCTAATATTTCTCGTTCGTCTACCAAGAAGAAAATCAGACTTGTCTTCAAATGGAATTGCGTGCTGTACTCCGTGGTGGTTAAATGTAGTCGGAAATTAAGCTTTGGTACCGGTGGAGGCTGTGACCGGCCTCCAGCATCTTAACTCCGGCGGTTTTATCTTATCTCCTGTTTATTTCCTTTTAACCAGATCAGAAGTTCTATAGTATTTACACTTCTATCTAAGCTTGAGTAGTACTGTGTACGCCCGAAAACCAGGCCCTGGGACAATCCGTGCTCACCTGTCATTCGCTAGACAATTGGAGGTATAGTTGTATCCTCCCTCGCCTCGAAAATCAATCGTAATCGACCAGGTTTGGAAGTGAATTGATCTTTGCAGTTGTTGCGTAAAGCTTCGCCAGTCTCGCCTTTCGGATACCGAAAGCGATAGTTGCGGAGCAATCGTGCCGTTACAAGTCGCATGTCATTCATTGCCAAGGGTTTTCCAAGACACGTATGAGAGCCTAAGCAAGTAAGAAACCATTCGTCCAGAAAGCGACATTGACATTAACAAACCAGTTCCAAAGGGCGCGAACGCAGTTTTGTTGTGCACCAATCCAAGATTCTTGTACCATCTCTCGGGGATAAACTCATTCGCTCTCTCGAAGCAGTCCTCTCCTGTTTTCAAAGATTACCTCCAGTATAGAGCATGGGTTCAATGAGAGGGTAGGGACTTACGGCGTGCGATAGGAAATCTCGGCGCCACGATCGTTGTGTCTGGCGGTATGAACGTGCCGCCAATACTCACACCCTCCTTCAGCGTCTTCCGATAGCCGCCGGTAGGGAGCGCAGGAAAGAGCCGCAGAGACTCCAAGATAACCGCTTCCAGATGGGGACAACGCCTTGCCAATTCCCCAGGATCCATGATATCAACATTCTCAATTTCCCGCCTGATCTTCTCAGCGTCCGCTGGGTGATCCGCCAGCTCCGTGAAAACGATAATTAAAAGCGCGGCCGTGGGATCGCTGCCGGCAACAATCGCCAGCAGACAATCGCCCGCCATCCATGGCTGGCTAGCGAGATCTCTGGGGCCATCTTCAATCAGGTAGTGTGAGATATCTGCTGGCTTTGAAGCATCGATCGGCGTACGCATTCGCGTTAGCATCTGGGATTCACACCACGCTCGCATTTTGTATCCATCCCCCAGGATGAATATCCGGGGAAGAAGCTTCGTTGCAATTTGCATTAGCCAGGGAACGGGGCTCAATGGTCCTAATATTGCCCCGGACTTTTTGAGCAGAAAGATGATATCATGCCACCTCTGCTGCGAGAGCATGTTGAATGTTTGACCGAAAATTAGATCGCCCATGCGGTCGAACCCAAACCAGTAGAAAATATCAGACGCCTCTGAGACCCGCCCAGCAGCTATGTCGGACTGGATACAGGTATCGAGCTGATCAAGCAATGGGAAGACACGCTCATTGTATTGTTTGAGTGCTGAACTCGTTAGCTAGTCCAGTAGCAGCATTTCATGTACACGATTACTTGCCAGCTGGGGTGAACCCCTTATTCCATTGACGGCGCCTCTTCGCATGATCTTCCTTGGACCGAACAGTGGCCAGCGACTTGTTCGGATGCAGCAGATCGTACCATTCGGCCTTTCCACATTTCGCTGAAGGTCCATCAATTGCTACAAAGACGTCAGGGTGATACACAGTAAGCTCACTCGGACCTAGTTGCACCATCAGTAAGATTCATTGTACCTACGTCCCCAGTCCATAGTGATCAAGATTCAAGATATCTACCGGTTCGTACGAAATCGCCGTATTTTTCCCGCATCTCTTTTAGAAACAGATGGTTCTGGGACTTCCGGACTTTCCACACGTGTCCTATCTTGCTCATGCGTGCCCAGACGGGACCGGGAAAACTATTCAGTCGATGAAAAAAGAGTCGATAGATGGTGATGCTGGAGAACAATGCGGCGAGATATGCTAGGATGATCCATCTGCCTCCGTTGACTAATATTTCCAGAGCAATGAAGGATACAAGGTGGGCCAGAAGAATATCAGGTGCCAATTTATGCCATTCGCCATGCCTGAAGAAAATATGGTGCATTGCAAGGCCCAGAAGGGCACCTAGTGCTGCAGGTGAAAAAGGGTGCATTTTGTTGTTGTCCAATGGAAGGATATTCACGCCATGGCTTGAGAAGGTAAAAAGGAGGATTCCTATAATTTAAATAGGAGCAAGAAAAAACTTCAATGAATGGACAGAAACCGAACGAAGAAAGGGTAGATAGCAGTAAATGGGGCTAAAATTCCATCGCAATGCAAAAACAAAATCTACCAAAAGAGGGGTCAATGTACGAGGCTGGCGGATCGAAGTAATCGCATCATTTGATTTTGGTACTGTTGCCGCTTGCGGCTTGTGGGATATATGGTCATTGGTCACATCGGTAGGGTCTCGGTCATCGCAGCTCTGCATATCTTCAAGTTCTTACTTGGCGTCGGGAAAATTGGCCTGTCCGGACAGCGGGCCGCAGTTCTGCAAGGCTATGAGCCTATGGCTGTGCAGTGTGCAGTGTGAAGGATCAAACGACAAGGCTGCCACGGGGCACCAAGAACAAACCGCCTCGCGCGGAAATCTCCGATCGGACAGTAGTTGTCTGTCGATTTACATGCCGCATGTTGTATTACATTGCATTGCATCGCATCTAAGGAGGAACGGGGCTGTAGATGCTGTCAGCTTTCCACCCGTGAACTCTGCAAGAAAAGATAAGCACGGAATTAGGCACAGTTGGTGCCGGGTTTGTTTTCTTTGGCATGCTGCAAGGGCAAATATATAGACGTCGGAACTAGGTGGCAAGAAAAACGAGAAATCATGGGAAAACATACTACCTTGTCATTGCGTGGTGAAGCTTAGCCACCTCCCAAAGGATATCCTTCGTCTTGTAGACTATAGTGTATAATAGCCCCAATAAAAGTAGGGAAATATGCTCGATAGAAGAATATTATAACTCTTCTGTAGCCGCTACCTAAATTAGACGGCAGTACCATTCTTATATATATCTTTTGAGTATATGACTCATGACGGGAATTCTCTATATCCCAGTGCTCTATTCTATTCACTTTTGCTTCACTTTTGCTTCACTTCCACTTCCACTTTCTCTTCACTTTCTCTTTACTTTCCCTTCACTTTCTCTTTACTCTCTCTTCACTTTCTCTTCACTTCTTCAAGCTAATATTTTAAAATTAGGCACATACATCAAGAATTATACAAGTACCATCTTATGCAGATTAATAATTCAATAATTCAAACCATCTTTCTCCAACCTACTACCTCCAACGCTCTTCGTTCTTTACCATATCCCATCGCCCCTGTCACCAAGCATCTATACTCTATTCCCGAACCATCTTCCTTCCTGGTTATCCTCTGTCGCCTATCATCTTTGCTATTTTCCCAAACCACCTTCAATGCACTTGTGCTCCCTGCTGATTTCAGCTACTGCCTAAAAATGGTATGTATGCTCGACACACGAATACACGTCTTGTTCAGCTAATGATACGTGCAGGCTGAACCAACCCTCGATGGTCTTCCCCTCGAGCTCAAGATCATGGTTCTACGCGAGATGCCGGATCCGAAGACTATGACATCCCTTGTTCGGTCATCATGCGGATACTACGAGGCATATCACATGGACAAGCCCGAGATACTGAAACGCCTCGTCAAGCAACAGTACACTGGTTTTGTGGACCTGGCAGAAGCGCTAACTGCCATTCGATCAAAAAATCTTCATTTTACAGTGGATAGGAGCAACGCCATTGCGTTGCTGGATAGATGGCGTCGGAGAAAGGAGATCCGTGAACGAAAGGGATACAAGATAACTTGGCTTGATGAGCCTGATAGCGCTGAGGAAAGCATTGCGCTGCTTCGTTTCCGCAATGTCCTATCCTTTTTTGTCCATGAGTTCACGAAGATTGAACAGGGATCCGAGGTGGAGATACCGGATCAACCGAAATTGATCTTACCTTTACGCATGGTGATCTTACCTTTACGCCTGGCACCCTCTGAAAGCGATCGGTTCGTGAAGGGCTTATGTCGGCTCCAAACCATGCATCACATATTCGGTGACAGAATTCGCTGTCTCAAATACATGGATTGGGGCTGGGAATCTGCGCTGTGGGATGATGCTCGGATCAAAGAATTTCGAAAGTTATAGTATTGAATGAGAAGCAGCTGCTCACATGAGGCAAATTCCTCATTCCCGGGTGATCATCCTTCCGCGGTGGCCGATCCGTTCCGCTATCGGGTTCAAGACTCAAAAGATCTGCCCTCACAGAACCCCGCTTCGAATCTCATATAAATTTGAAGCCGATTTTCGAAGACAACTCCCGGCAAAGTTTCATTCCAAGGCTACAATCATCTTTGTGCATTAAAGTTGTGGTCGTTTGAAGTGAAGGGCATCAATCTTCAAAACATATTACAACAGATCTTACCAGAAATGTACTTGAAATATGCCCACATGTAGGTGATTCAATCAAGGTTGACGTGCCTAATTCCAAAAAGTTAGGTAGCTTCTGGACGAAATAGGTAAAGTAACACGATTCCGAATGTTCCCATCTTGGAATCTTGGAGAAATGCGAGTCAGCTAACACATTAAAGACTTCAGTGTTACGGTAAAAGCCGCCCAGGAATAAACTACTAGTGAAGGGAGAGCTCTAAATTCAAATGTTGGGGCATACAGGACATAGAAAAGAATCGGTGACCAAATCCCGGCAATAAATTGAAGAGAAAGAAGTCAATTATCTGTGACCTGATAGTCCAGGCTCCACTGACGGCTGGCGCCCTTTGCTTCGCGTAAACTCCCAATTGATGTGATCTAAAATGTACATACTTTGTCATCATAACTTCATTCCCAAATTCCAAATCTAAAATTGTTGCCAGAATGTATCCATTCATAGCTTAAGAACGTTGACCCTGCAACTTCTCGCGGAAGGCCTCTTCGTGTCTAACAATCTCTAGCGGAAGTGTTTGGCCAATACCGAACAAAATGAAGATGGCCCACTTCCAACGGAAGGGATTGACCAGCACAAGGAACACGAACCAGTAAAGCAGCTCGGTGTACGTGAAGAAATCGAAGGCCCCAGGTGGCGCGCCTTGCTTCATCCAACGGGTGAAGTTGATCCAGGTTTTCATTCTATCCTCGGAAGGTTGCGTAAGCGGATCAGTCAGGAACATAAGCAAGAACCGCGTGTAGACTCCGATATGAATGTTTCCGACTGTCCCGATGGCGTTGACGTAGGTGCTGTTGTTGGCACAGATACTGAGATGCTTAGGTGGGAAGACTTGCAGATACCAGTCCGGGGGAGAGTAGTTGTCCTCGAAGACCTCGTTAGGCAGGAATTCAAGTGAGGGTCGTTTGAACCCGGTGGCCATGATGATGATGTCGCCAGGAACAACCTTCTCGCGACCGGCTCCACCTTTAGGCGTGCTCTTGGATCGGTGGTTGAAGAGAATACCGTCCTCCTTCACCGAAACAATATCGCCACGTAGCCAGCGGGCTTTGCCCTCGCGAATAAGCTTGAAGAGATCGGAGTTTGCCATCGGGGTTGTGGTGAATAGACCGCTGTCCGGTGCAATGTCTGCCAAATCACGATAGAAGAATTTGCGGAGAAGCCACTCGGGAATCCAGGCAAGGGATGTCTCTTCTCCCCAGATGTTACAAGCCAGCAAAGACTGCACGAGAATATTGCGTGGAATAATCCATTTATCAGATCGTGAAAGCACATCAATCTCGGAGGCACCGGAGTGGACTGCGAATTCCAATGCTTCAATGGCGCTTGCACCACCTCCGACGATCAGTGCTCGCTTTCCTTTGATATCCTTGCCGTCGAGGTCGGAAGAGTGGCAGATAGTACCCTTGAATTGATCCTGATCGGGCAATGGGGGTAATTTAGGATCACCGCAAACACCAACGGCGGTGATGACACCATCAAAGCTCCCGTATTTCTCCGGGTGATCATTGATAACCCATTTTCCAGATGACTTAGCCTTTTTAATGGATGTAACCGGTGTCCCGAACTCAGTGCGCTCCTCCAAACCATATCGCTTCCACAGGTCGACGATCTGATCGCGAATCTCCTGTTGGGTCGGGTATGCGTGTTTATACTGGACAGTTGGGTGGAATCGATACATGATGCTGTTTATCTGCAAGGCTGATGTAGAGTTGACGCGCTGTTCACCATTGAATTAGCGACCGATTGGCAGATATAGTGGTGTTCGCAACTTACACTCCAGATACCTCCGAGTCCCTTCTCCTTGCCGCGCGCCTCAAAGATTTGCACCTCGAATCCATGACCAATGCAATGGGCAGCGGACGAGATACCCGTCAAGCCGGCGCCGATAATAGCGATTTTTCGTTTGGGAAGGTCTTTGCTGAAAGATTTTGCGGGGTTGTGCGATGGACCGAAGATCCAGGCGACAAAGTTTTGTGCAATGACATAAAATGTAGTAAAGACATAGAGCAATGGGTTCGTAATGAACAAAGTCACTAGGGACTGGATCATTGTGTCGAAGTATGGGCTCCTAGGCTCCAGGGATGTTGAGGTAGAGGTAGGAAGAAGAATTTTTGAAAGACAAGGAGGACCTGGATTAAAATAAAGAAGGGAGCTTTCACATGCTAGCTCCCTGATCCATAGTTGGTTCTAACAAGGTTTCAACAAAATGACGTTTTCGTGGATCATTCAAGAACAAGTTGATAAGATCTTATCTCGGGGAGATGACGTCAGAGACATCGTCCCTTGCACGTGTGGCTCAGCACATGCACGTTGTGGCGCGGGTGGCGGTGCAGGGGATTTTGCTACATAGTACTACACACTACAGCCTACAACATCACAACGACTTCAGTTATGAAGATAGTAGCCCATACCATAGTGAGTATTTAAGTGAGGAAGCTATCCTCCAGTTGAGCAAACTACACACCGAAGATAAGGGGTTGACGGGTATAAATACCCACAAAGCTGTATGTACCCCGAGATGCAAGATGACAAAAGTATATGTACCTGATTTTGTCCACTTCATTTTGTCAATGTTTCCTTACTTCATACTTAACTTTGAACTAAGTCTCTGATACAGTTTGCAAGATGTCCTCGATCAACTCGATCAACTCCACATCCTCCTCTCCTCCTCTCCTCCTCTCCTCCATCATTCTCTCACCTCTTCGTCCCAGCATGAAAGAAGCAGTTCACCTCGCCCCGATTCTTCAATGAACCTTGAATCGTGAGATGAATCTCGATACCGAGCTATTTACTTCTACCCTAATTATGGGCGGCACCAAGACGACTCCAGAAAATTGGCAAATCCTGCCAAGGGAGACTACTGCCCACGAAGCCGAGACGAACTAAAGAAGAAAGGAGCCTCACTACACAACAAGAGTGTTCCACGCCTGCTCCGAGAGCCAACCAAAAGGCTATCCAGAGACCGCGAATGAACACCGGAGCAAACACTGCAATGTAACTCGATATTTTCATTGCACAAAAGGAGTGTAATGCCCAGGCCTTTTGGGCTCGGCAACCGGGGAATTTCTCGAAGCACAAAAGACATACGGGCATTGGCGACGAAGGCTGGGTGCCTCCAATGTATGTGTGGAGTTACAAGCGCGCACTTCACTGTGTGGGGTGTCATATATCTGGCAACCAAATGCGTTGTCCTGACATATAATATCCACCAAGCCGAGAATACCTCTATTGACAGAACGTCAGGGCGACTGTGAGGACCCAATTTTCAAGGCTTCGGCTAGGACTCCCGAGACAATGGAAAGGAGGCAAACTAGCCAAAGGACCGGGGAACTCGGATATAAAACGTCGCCTCCAAAGATTTCATTCGCAGACGGACGCCAGCCCAAAGCTCTAAGGCGATCAATGCGCATGATGCACATTTATGCATCAACCGCATCGAGAAGCATCCCAACATGTAGCAAACGAACACATCAACTTCAAGACGCGGAACCTGGACTTGCATGTCAAAAGAAAGCTAGAGAGGGGCATGTGGGCAAAGAATACGGCTCGCCAATGCTAGATGACGTTGTTTGCGCGCAACTCGCCTGGTATCTACAGGATGCCCTTGAGAAATGATTGCCATGATGCGCCTGGTATATGGCAACAGGACCTGCCGTTGTGGCACAGCTAGAAACACGGTCGAAAGTCATCGAAATAAAAATCCAGAATGTTTCGAAATATGACGCACAGAGCTATGTTGCCGGAGTTCGTATTTTTACCAGCCACAACATCTCATACCCAGTCCGGAACTTCATAGCGGTGCACGCTGCCATCGGCAACATTCTGGATGGCGATCGATAGGATTCTGGATGTCATTCCAGCGAAGATGAGGTAGTTGAGACACCGTTCACAAAAGACCTCGGGGAATTCGAGCCTCTATGTACGGATGAGAGCACCGACACCGGGGACATTATTTCTGCAGCCGATTGATGGTGATTCAGTCACTGAAATATGGATAGACAGCACTTGTTATGACTTGAGACCCCTGGGCCTTGCCTTGTTAGCAGAGAAGGGTGTTTCAGGCTGTAATTAGTGTTTGTCTGTGTTTCTGACTGTCGAAATTTTAATATGAGCGTATACTGATCAGTAGGCTTGATAGAGGACGCACCCTGAATTTGACGCAGTGCAGCGCTAGAGGACCAATATCGCAAGGCTTGACATTACACACTGGATCCTCCGACAAAAACAAGCACACGGTTTGACAACCCTGCTCTTCTCCGGAGTCCTCATTGATACCAATCTGTACTTTCAATATGGTTACTGGGGAGATTGAGATGGATACAGATGACAAAAGTTTAGATTTGTGGGTCAGTCCCCAATGACATCAAAGATATCTGTTTTCTGCATCCGCATCGGTCATTTCACATGCTCGCCTGCATTGATCCGGTGCTACACATGTCATTGATTTCCTGTCTCTCTGTGTATGTTACCTATTTATCGCTCCTCCGAGCATCATCGAAAACTATGACCCTTTTTCTGTGGGGATTGTTGTTGGCCGCTCTTCCCCGCGCTCCTGCTACTGAAGGACAGAAATCCCCTGTATCAGATATGAGCGATAGTGGAGTACTTTCATTCTCGCATTATTCTCATCGAGACCCTCAGCTTTTCGTCGCATCTCCAGAATTTCATCCCAATGTCACTTTCTTTGGCATGCAAAAGGAACTAGAGGTACTGCATAGTCGCCTATTCAAGGCCAAAGCACGTACGAATTGAGCTATGGCCGTCCTGAGTATCAGGTTCAGGCAAGACTCATCTAGCACGACAGTATGTCTTCGTGCAGCAGGAATGCTACCAGTTGACCTGGGAGATGTGTTTCAATGGATTGACGCCAAGTCTCGCGAATCAGCATATAAATATTTCTGGGAGATAGCTCAAGCAGCCAAACTGATAGAACGCCAAGAAGCTGAAGATCAAGCATATTTAGAAGCCCGGAAATACGTGAGCGCCGTTCGAAATTGGCTTCTGACAGGCACACGCCAAGAGTGACTCTTGATTTTTGACGGCATCACATTCGATCATGATGTCGACATTAATGACTTTCGATCTTTCCTTCCGTGGCAAAATAAGTACAGCATCATTTACACCTCTATTGACACCACCCTTGCGAGATCTGTGCTGCAAATAGGCCGTCTGGGCCAGTTCCGCAAATTCGAAGTGGAAAGAGAATGAGAAGCCTACGTACTGCGACGCATGTTTAGATCCGGATATCTATTCCTTACTAGCTTTTCATCGCTATTTTGTGAGCAAGTCTCGTGATCTAAATACATGGAAGGGCATCATTCGCCCAATCTAGTCTAAAAAAGACGCTCTATTTAGCTGCAAGTGGTATCGGGATGATCTCCCTTGAAGTCGCAGTAGATAGAAGACCCATCCTGCACACAGATAAGACCCGAAGCACAGCTCTGAATAGCCCACTCCCCATTGTCGCAAATTCCATAGCTACTACCGTTGCAGGCATAGGTGCCGGAGGTTGCACAGGTTCCTCCGGAGACTGGGCAGACTTCGGAGCTCTCGTCTGCGGTCAGTGAGGCCGCGGTAGTGGTAGCAGGCGCAGTAGTGGCAGTAGTAGACGTGGCGGTCTTAGTCGACGAAGTAGTGGAGACAGCTGCCTTGGCATTTGTCGTGATCACATAAGCGACAGTCTTTGTGGTTTTGACAGTGACAGTAGTACCGGTCTTCTGTACAGTCAACAGTGTGGTAGGGACGGCAGTGGTGGTGGTCGCCTTGATAGTCTCGGTGGTGCTAAGAGAGCTTGAGCTGGTGGAAGAAGTAGTGGAACTGGTGGTTGTGACTTTAGATAGGGTAGTAGCCTTGGAAGTGGTACTTGTGCTGGTGGAAGAAGCAGTGGAGCTAGTCGTTGTCGCTTTAAATACGGTAGTAGCCTTGGAAGTGGTGGTTGCGCTGGCAGTGGTGCTTGTGCTGGAAGTGGTGGTAGTAGAAGAAGATCCCAAAGCAGATGCAATGCTAGAGAGGAATCCATCATTGGCATACACCTGACTAGCATCCCACATCATAATGCCACCAAAGCTCGTGTATGCTTCCTCAGTAATGAAATCGACGATTGAAGCGATGGTGGATGCGGCCTCATAACCAGTTCCAGCCGCAGTGCTACCACCGGGGATACCCAGGAAGACCTTCACATCGGGGTTAAGGGAGATAGTGGTGGCCCAGGTATTCCAACTGTCAAAGTTGAAATCGGCCTGCGTGGTGGAGCCAGCGGTGAAGTAGTTGACACCACAGTAGTTGTTATAGAACTGAACCCAAATGGCATCGAAGTATACCGCGCCATCAAGCATCGGGTTATCAGCGGCATCGGGGTAGGGGCATTGTGGCGCGGCTGTAAGATAGTATGTCTTGGAAGTATCTTCAGCGAACAATGTCCGCAACTCATTAGCGAAAGCAGGCATATTGGTGACAGTAGACTCGAAATCGAAATCGAATCCATCGACGACGGAATCGCCGAAGGGGCGGTTGATGGAAGTGTTGGTGGAAACCGGTCCAAAGGTTTGCCAGATCATCTGAGCGCCAGCGATAGCGGCAGCCTCGCTGGTAAATCCTCCCTCGCTGTAAGTAGAACCACCGATCGAAAGGAGAATAGTCTTTCCAAGGCCCTGGCAAGTAATGATATCTTCCCTGTTCTGGAATTAGACACATGCAATGTTTTATATAGTACTGGTATATAACACTCACGCGATGGTGGGACAATCAAGAAGGGCAGTACCATCAAAGGTAGTGCAGGAATCGCCTGAATTGGCGAAGTTAATTTCGGGGGCGCCGCCCTCTCCATTAATCACATCCAAAAATGCAAGTTGGATCACCTAGGCAAGGTAAGTATCATTATATGGATAGGATATTCGATGTCGAAAAGGTGGAGAGTGATCATACGTCGATTTCCGAGCCTATTAGCCAAACCCAGTTAGTATCATGGCTGAATATGAGAGAGGCGTCGGGATTTTAGCTACATACTTTCACAATAATAGGCAAGATCTTGCTGGGCAAGGTCGCCGGATGATTCTCCATAGGAGTTTTGACCCCAATAAACAGCAACATTGGATGAGCTTGCCACATCCAGTGCGGCGTGAACGCCCTGAAAGGCGAAAAGGGCCACCAGGGCCGCAGCAGTATTCACAGAATACATAATGATAATTCAAACGAGTGAATAAGAATAGATAAGAATGAACTTTTGATTTCGTCGAGAAATCACGCAGAAAGTTGACAGGCCAGTATTGGCGAAAAAAAGAGTGTAAATGAATGACAGGCCCAGAAGGGAACGAACGAATGAATGAATGAACAAGCAAGGCAGTAGGAATAGAGAGGTCTACAAGTGGTTTTATAGAGTAAAGGCGATGGAGCAACAAATAAGATTGGAAGCCCCTGTTAATATTGTCCAAGCATCACATATTTGCCTAGTGCACGCCATTAATATTCTTGCCTTTCCTCAAGTTGAATCTGCCGCTGAACTAAATCATATGCATCACACATAAGAACGATACTAGTATTCACTGGGTCGGTACAGATGATGGTTTCTGTCAGCTGGACCCTGTTGGGTCACGGGACCCACTTCATAGCACCTCATGGGGCTTGGACCTTTTTAACCGAGATTGCCGGGAGATGGGGAGTTCATCAACCCACACCACTTTACACGCCTCGGGGCGCCAAAGCGTGTTTCATGTAGCGAAGGGAAGTTTTGGGTTCTTATTGATTTGGCAGACTAGGGGATTTCTAGAACAGTCCAATTTCCACCAAAGCCACCGATTGAAATGAACTACCGACGCGGCGTTTCTCAAGCTTTTCTCAAGCCGACCCTTTTCTTTTCTTTTCTTCTCTTCTATGGGGGGGTTTTTTTTCCCTTTTTTTTTTTTGCTTCGAGGACGCAGTTTCATCTCTTTAAATTAAAATGCATGATCATATCTCCACTCGGTCTCTCCCGATATATCTAAAGTATACGAGTACATCCAGTTTAGCCGTTGATACGGACACGAAGAAAAATTTTTGATTTCTTTCTTCAAGATTTCCTCCGTATCGATACTGGCTATCATTCAAATTTCTCAAAATCTTTTTTTTTTCTTTGTTTGGAAGTCAAGATCGAGAATTCAAGATTTTAGTGAATTGATTCTAGTTCCGCTAGTTCAAGTTCAAAGACCCAGAAGCTAAAATTGAAGGGACTTCTCGATCGGGCACTCATCGCCGACACCCGCGATAATGGTGGCTCAAAGTATAATAGATGACAGCCGTATTTCATTGCTAATACACAATTTCTTGGGATCAAGTTCGGTAGTTAGCGAGAAATGTTGAGACACCCCGGGCCATAGCTGTGAAAAAATATTTAGTCCTGGACGTTTCCTGCCAACACCCACGTTCTCTCCGGAATCATTTCTTCCCATTCGATACATAAGGGCTTACAATATGCACACCCATTTGACTATCATTAGGTTCAAATATTGTTACAGAAATCAATAAATACGAGACACGATGGTAGGAACTCGCGCAGAGTCGATATCATGAACTAGCAGCCCCACTTCCTACGATCCCTCGGGGTTCATCGTACCAGTGGACGCTAAAACCACCATTGCATCCCCTGCAATCAGCTGGTGGCTACTCTGAAGATGTTGCAAGCACAGTTTGGCACCCACATCCCCCTAAATCTCGATACCTTCACGTTCAATATTGAAGTTCGGAGGTATCCATCGCTGACTATGGTGGTCAGACTTTCATAAAGGTCCAATAATTAGTTATGATGCACGACTGTACCTATAGTATATACGTTTGCAGGCTGGCCTGAAACATGCTAATCTTCGTTTGGCCTTTCCCTTTAATCTGTCAAATCGTATTGTATTTCCTGGTAACGATAGATGTGCAAAGGAACCAAAAATGCGGGCAATCCTAACAATTCGACAAACTCCGCTTGATCTTCCCTCCGTGAAGAGAGAGACAAAGAGAAAGCAGACTAGTAGGTGACAAGAAAAGCCGGATAAGCCGACAGTAGAGTCACGTGACCCCATGAACACCTCTTATCGGCTGAATCAGCTCAATGCCGAGCCAAGGCAAGAACTCCGCAAAATTGTTGGCACAAAATGCTTGAGCATGAGGCGATAGCTCTCGAGCCACTCAAAAAAAATCCGAGTTTGGCCAAAGTTTCGGAATAGAAGCCTGCTGTCAAAAAGGGGCCTGTGCGGATAAAGCCTGGTTGCAACTTAGACAGCTCAGCACCTAGTAAATATGGCGTTGGCTTTATTTGACTGGCTTATCTTCGAAGCAAACTAACCCCGCCACCTGGCGATTTAAAATGAAAAAGAAAAATAATAGAACAGAAAATGAATCGAGAAATATGAGTCGTCACTTTCTGAGTTGACCACGGGTCGCTAAGATGCAAGACTAGCCCCAAAGAGGTACCATCCTAAATCACCCCTTGATCGTTTTTTGTTTTGGCGAGATTCAACCACCTTCACTGAGTTGATTTCAGACAAAAAATTGAAAATAATCACACCCTCCGATATCCATCATGGGCAACATGCACGTCCGGGCTTCCTCGGGTGGAGGTGGGGTTCTTCTATTGGGTTAGATCTGTATACAACCCCAGAATATCACAACTCGCTTCAAGTCAGCCGCCACTGCGGTTCGGGGATTGGGCAGCGTAAGGTGAGGTTACAGGCGCTAACACAACCTGATACCAAGCTTTGCCATACTTTGCGGAACATCATCCATGGAACAGACAGGAAAAGTAAACAATAGAGGATAACAATGAGCTATTAAAGTGGCGCGGGGTCCAAGGGGCTACATAACCCCCACTAATCCAGTTGCAATACACAAGTCAATTCGGGCGCATTACATGATAGATAACTAGCCCCCAGTTTTTATCGAAGGAGTTTTCCTTCCATTCCATGTTCTATCCCGCGTTTACCAAAAATATCACCAAAGTCATACTTTAAAATGTTTCTTCACTTCCTTCTTGTATGGGGTGGAGTCTGTGCCGCTTATGCTCAAACTACTGCTAGCTCCCCCTTCTTGGCCCGGTTCCTCAACTTGAGTGACTACTCCATTTCTACCGTTGGAGGCGTATGCCGCGCAAACATTCGGCTCTGGAGGGTCGATAACTAATATAAATGACACAGGATGACACTCATACCACGTACAATATAAAGTGTGATGCCGATGCCACTCTTTGCACGCTCCCTGCGGCTGGTGCGACCGTTGTCACTGCCCCGTCATACGTCGAACTAGCATATACCGTTCCCTCAAGGACATTGTGAGCCATGATATTAGAACAGGAGCAAATTCCAATCTGGAGACGTAGCTAATCCCTAATCAGTACCTCTGTAGTCGAATGTACCTATATCGACGCTCGAGCATCGGCAGTATGCGTTACTGAACAGGCTTTTCCTACTGTGGTTGATCAGAGCGGGTCTTCCATATCAGCCTTGGCTATGGGTACCACGACTGTTACCCTGCCGTCCGCTTCCGTTGCACTGGGCTTTAACACGGCTGCTACAACGAATGCCAATGTCCGGACGACCGAGGGGGTTGTTTCGGCGACGGGAACTGCTTCTCACAGCGAAACTGCGACAACGACTGGCGCGGCGGTGAGTGCAACGAAGACTGGCGGTGCGAGCGAGGTGTTTGGGCACCGTAATTCTGGCCTGATTGTGGGCGCCGCAATGTTTGGCATATCTTTCTTATCCAGTGCATTGGTATCTGCGTTCTAGACATAATCCAAGTTTTTGCCTGGGCCGATGCTTCTCGATTGGAGTTGGCCCAAATCCAGTCGTGTCCTGGATCTCATTAGGTGTGATAATAAGAGCTAAACATGGACTTGGCAGAAATGTCGGGGACGAATTATATCATCGATATCCTAAGGCTTAAGAATATGAAATGCCACTTGGGGGCATGCACGTAGAACTTCAGTATTTATTGTGGGCCATTTTTCTTTTTTTAAAAAGGCGTCATTTATCACCCTCTTCGAGTACGTCACTTCTTTTGACTCGTCATACACCAGTAAAGACTTATATAACACAGGATAATGCCTGGCAGGTGAGGATTTTCTGTTTGGGCTTCCGCTGCCTTTATGAGGGGCGATAAAGTCCAGGCTCACTGAACAAAATAGGAGCATGGACTCTCGCTCGGTGATCTCTTCAATATAGTAGTCATGGGATCACTCAGGTGGGATGGTTGTATATTATCAGTCGCTGCATCCTCATGCCACATGCACTGAGATAACGTAAATGCTGCTTTGAGTGGCTGCAGAGGTTGCAAAGGCCGAGTCGTGCAGTCTATCAAGTTCTCCCTCACTTTATTTCTCCATATATAATCCGCCATTTCACTCCGGTATTCTCTTCCTCTTTCTAACTCCTCACTTCAACCGGAAGCCCCACACCAACCTTGAACACAATCTCCTATCTACTACCTTGTTCTCCTGGAGCCCATCCCACAATCTTCTCATCTTTACTTTTCATTCTCTCCAACCTCTGTTGCCGCTTTTCATTCGACAAGGCTCCTTTCATGGATGTGTGAGGAGCCAACGCAGTCCACAGTACCGATTTTTATCTATCTGGCAACCAAATTACGGTTCGATGCAATCTTCCAGCTCTTGGGTTAAAATGCCCCCTGATGCAGCTGGGCCAGTTATGGATTGCAACACTTAGGTACGCAACATACGGCAAACTCCAATGGGGAGAATGACAAACCGACAATCTCAACATCTGGAACGCCAGTATTGAGATATTGGTCGAACATCTCTGCGTCCTCACGCGGATCCACCAGACTCAGAAGTGGCAGGAAAAAGATGTGTCTACAGTGGTTGTTGAGGCAAATGCGTGGGAGGTTGTGGGGCCTTGCAAGCGAGAGATGGCAGTACAAGAGCACTGCCACCGAAACACAGGCAAGGCTGATTCTATACAAGCTAAGTCAGGCTGTAATACCTACCCTTGGAGCGATGCAATGAGCGATTAGTACGGTCGCAATCTCTTTCTCTTAACAACTCTCTCAGAGACCTATTATCACAAACGGTCTCGAAATCTCGCATGTGAAAGGTCGCCAGCGCATTCTTTCTGGCGCATCGATTAAAATCACAACATACACGACCTCGAGTTACAAAATTCATCTCTGAGATTTCGTTCAAAGATATAGCGAAGTCGCTATTTGCGATCCCTTCTTCACTGGTGCGCTGGACTGTTGACAAGATGAACATACTGTCCGGGTTCTACGAACGCGACACTGGTCACGAGGCAAAGTCGTAACCGCAACTTGATGGAGGGAGTAGATCATACGTGGAGTAGGGAGTTTGTCCTTTCCCCTGGTTTCCCTCTTGCGAACATTGAAACCGAATATTGGGCCTGAATTTGGACTACCATCCTTGTTCTTCATCAACCGTGGAAGATCGGTAGGAAAGGGGGTGATTTCGCTGTGAGTCTCGACAGTGTTCAACGTGGCTTGGACCTCCAGATTAGGTGAACTAAAGACCACCAATAACATCCGTGTCCTCTTTACACTGGAGGCATCTAAGGCCAAACTACCACATCCGCCGGGAAGATTACAACCACGAAGACGAATAATGAATGGGGACTTTGAGGTCAAGGACTTACGGGACTTCTGCGGGATCGTCCTGTTCGAACATTTGCAAGAAATACACCTGGATAACTCAAGGATAGGGTGGCAGCAATTATCCTCTTTTTTGCTAATGCAAACTTCCTCCACATCTCTCCCGAGTCCCACCTGCCCCGGGTATGAGCAGACGGTGGTTTCGTTCGTCCACATTCTCGTCAACGGTAACGAACTCTGAGCATCTTGTTGTTGCTCTTTTGTGGCCACAGGGCTTGGCGGTCGGGGTAGTCGCGGATCTTTTGTCGTTTGTTTTGTTCTGTTTTGATCAGATTACCAGTGATAGGAATTCTCATCAAAGTGCAAGTGCTGGCATGATCTTTGAATACTATTATTGTTTCTCGGATGTAATTTCCTTCAAATTTTACTATAGTGGTTTTGGTAAAGAACATCAGACGTGTTCGCTCCCCTGGCTTTAGGGCAGTCGATAATCTCTGCTGTGCTCACTGGGACTCGGGAGGCTGCAGGATTGCGGGGCTGGATGTGGGTCGCAGTATATAAGGTTCTCCAGTCGGGGAATTTCAGGTGGGGCCACAGTATTCAAATGTTGTGTCACCCGTTTCTTGTGTTCAAATCCAGGAATCTTTACCCTTCTTCAATTTTACTCACTCTATTGATGTCTGGCAACCGTAGCACCGCATTTTTAGAGTGCGGTGACGACTCGGGTAATTTTCCACGGACGCTGGTTTCAAGAATATACCGAGCTTTCAAATGTTCCTTTTGCTCCCACATGCATTTTGTCTGGCACGACTAGCCCGTATATGCATCAATTGATGAGATATATATTCTAGTTGGGCATTCATCGAAATGTCCTCTTCATGATAACTGACCATATGCACAGGCTTAAGTGTTCAAATCAACATTTGAATGTTTGTGATTCGTCGTGCAAGGACTAATCGTGCACATGTGGAAAGAACTTAGTAAGCGCCCTCCAGATGTCATAAATGAATCACCATTCCTAGCACTTGAGTCAACCTGATGCATGTGTACTTTGAGGAATCATCTCTCTGGATCCTCAAGAACATCTTAGCTCTCAAGTACTACATACCTGAGCTGATACGGCTTTGGGCAAGTACCTGACAAGTATAGGGAGAGATATGCAGATTTGTTGATACACTCAAGTGATTGACTGAGCCTAAACCTTAGTTATGAGAACTCTGATACAGTATCCCACATCCATATCATAATGATTGGAGCCGTCAACCAATTTCATGCGCACATGTGTAGGTTATCATCGACCGCTTAATTATTCAGAGAGAAGGTTTCTCTCTCCTGCCAGTTGGGGTCAATGTCTGGATCACACAATGACTCACTTGTTTATACACTTGCGCTTAACGGCCTTCCGTCTAGGCCTTACTTTGTCCGTTCCCTCTTCTATTTTCTCTTTCTTTTTGCATCTTCCATTATCCTTGATCGATTCCGTCTTCGGCTCCTCTTCCCCCCTTCCCTCTATTCCCCCTCTTACCTCTTACCTCTTCCCTCTTCCTCTCCGCTCTTTACTCTTTCTTCTTTCTTTTTCCTTGTCAATCCACCCAGATTCCTCAATTTATTACCCAAAATGATGTCCCTCCCACTCGAAGGGACTCAAAAGTGGCGCGAGAGGGCTTGTTCAGAGACCACCATGCTGACAGCCCCACAGCTCACAGCAACCTTGTGAGAACTTCACTTTCCATGAGACTTTATGAACTCGAATGCTAATCTGACATCAATAGAAGCCCGAATTAGCCTTATTCTTGGGCCATCGAGCTCTCCCGCGGAATCTCCCACCGCCAGTCAGTGATGCCGAGGATCTGATACCAGACGCACGAGTGGTGCAAGTCTGTTACAAACAAACATTTTCCGTGCTGGGTGCCTTTCATAAAACATACCCCAAACTATTCTCTGGAGACGCGGATACACAGAAGGAACTCCATTTTACATGTCCGGCAGTTGGACTGGACTTCGACGACGCAAGATGATCAATCGATACCTTCCAAACTCGAATATGCCACGACACAGGTGATGGAGAAGGGTCCAGCTATCAAGATCGATCCACCATTGAAGACCCAAGGCCCCGGGCCAAGGGCACGGAGTTCATGATTGCCAAAGCCTGTGGGAATCGCTATTGGAACTACGACGACTACGCAAACGATCTCCTCGTTCTTGCTCAAGAACCTCAAGAATGAGGCAAATATCAAGACTACTGCCATACAGCTAGAAGTGGTCGCAGATTTCTCTATCAAAACGTCAACGAAGGAATGAAGGGCCCTTGTGTCCTAAAACCTTGGCCTCAAAAAAGCCAACATTAAGGGTATAGCAAAGAAATGAGTCGCATGGGATCAGTGCCTCTGATGCACTGTACGCGATGCTACGTTCTTTCATGCCACCTTTGAAATGTCCAAGTGACTTGGGCGATCAAGCAAATTCAGAATTACGGTCTGTGCACTTGAAACTGCGATCTATTCTAGCTGGTTCGGCGGAGTGAGAGCTGTACGAAAAACTCTTATCCATCGTCGCTCAACTTGCTCAGGCTAGTGGTAATTCGAAATTGCCACTGAAATGTTAATTACGCGAGCGATTTCCAAATCAGATGAATGGCTCAAAGTGGAACAGCCAGAAACATTGAAGCTGGCCCAGGCGTGATATCGACCTCGACAGAATATGGATGCAGTCATTCATTATCTTGTGGACCACTTGAACGCTCACTTCAGTCCCTGGGGTCCAGTGAGGCTGAAGTTGAGAACTTGGATGAGTCTGAAACGGGAGCTATACTGGGGCAAATGCCAAGGTTGACGTCAAGGTTCATAATATCCACTTGTTGTGTCGTTTATGTTTTGCTGGCGAATGAGTTCAAGCTGTACATGGCGGGAACAAACGTCAACAAAGCACTTTATTCTCTCAACAAGGCGACTTCCAGCTTTGAACTCCCCTCCTTCTCCCAGGAAGACCAGGAAAGGAAAGAAAGGTGTGGGCCTAGATACTTCGACTGAACCGAGGGAGAGACGACCCCGCAGTCATACATTAACGCATATGATCTATATCGAAGCACCGTTGTTGCAAAACCTACTTCCACGTCAATTCTGACTTTGCGTGACAGTTGCACCTTTGTCTGATATGATGGGCCCATTCATGTGCGAAAATCGTCCACCTCTCACTTGACTGGATTCCCTGCGATTGTTCAGGTATAGGCTGTGGGGATTCCCAGTCCTGGGTATCTTGGTGGTGATGAAACTAGCTGGCTACTGCGATGGTGGGGAAAGCGGCGAAAAAGGCAAGAACATTGTTGGTGTCAGGATTCCAATTTGATTTAACTGGCGGCCAAGGGGTAACCGGCATACCAGCATACAAATAATGAACGGAGGATGCATGGAGATATAGAATCTTGGAAGTGAAAAGTGAAGTGGCGGAGAATGGGAAGTTTCTCAACCGCACGCTCACTCTGTGAATGGGATTTGGCAGGAACGCTGAAACTCGAAAAGCATGGTCATAAAAGGCATACAGGTCATGCATTCCTGGCTCTTCCGATGCCAGACAAAAGTACGATGTTGCTGTGTTGTCGTGCAGAGCAACATCAAGACAGAGGAGTGATGGCAGATAGTGGTTACGAAAGGGTATATTGGCAATCCATATCTGAACCGACCAAATGGTTCGAGGAACCCGCCTGAGGGTTCTTGCCTTGGTCGAAATTACAAGACCTCGTTTGGGAAGAAGGCGACTCAGGTCTCGAAGTCAACAACCAATCCACCCCGCTCGGAACACCAATCTATGGCGGACTTCGGCATTGTCAGGTAGGAACGGAGCGATCAGTTTACCAGGCCAGGATCCTGGAATTTTGTGAATGGGGAACCAGTACTACCTCGAAGCTAAAGTGGAGTCACATAAGCGCCGAAAAGCCCGAGGTATCTGAGAAAGGCCATGCTCCTCTTGTTGACCATCGAAGGTGGAGGCTTCATCTGGCCGGGTTAGGGACCTGAAGTCTATCAAGCGCATCCCAGCAACATCGGGAAAAGCGATTAAGATCAGGTACGGGTTTCAGCTCAATAAGAATGTTGTGAATTCTGACACTTTGTGCCCCTGCTCATGTGTGGTCGTTATGTACTATGCAATAACGCTGATATATCCAGCCTCCATCAACGAATACAGCCCTTTCGCTGCACCGAATCGGGAAATTAGAAAGAGGAAGGAAGATGTGTCAATCGGGTCGCAATGTTTGGTAAAGGATTTTGATTCCTTGACAGCTCCTACTCAAAACGCTACTACTGCTACGATTGATGCATCGAGCTTATCTTTCCACCACCGCGTCAGAATCAGTTCACGCCCCGATCAGAATTTCCTCAATTGGAATTCACTCCGTGTATCCCAGATACACCTGGCTCAGCGGTCATCCCCATGGTCACTGCGCTGACCCAACTGTCACCGATTTCAACCACGGTATCGGAGTTTTTGCGGATTGCGCAGCGGACTTTGAGTCCTGTCGCATGCTCGATGCACAACGAGCATCAATTGACGATGCTCTTGCCCGCATGGATAGCTGCACACATTCAAAATTGCTGGACCTGGTCACCGCCATCGATAGCATTGGCGACGCGGATTTAAGGCATGTGGCTCTTGAGTTGGTCGGGCCGATGGTCAGGCGCGAGCAAAATCGTTCCTACATAGATCCGAATGTATTGCCCCTTAGTTTTTCTTTTCCAAGTTATGTCCGATTGCTTTCAAATGTTTCCATGGTTTTTCTTTTCCAATTTGCGTCTCCAATTTGATCGCCGTTGAGCTTGTGGAAAAAATTAGGCTTGCTGACAAGCTCGAACGTCGAACCTTCGCCATCTCTCTCCTTGAGCTCAAAAGGCAAGCAACGTGCGATCGAGTGACCAACGGACGACGAGGCCGTTGCTGTGTTACTGGAACATCGGCTAGAAAGATAGATTGTACCGGACGAGTGGGCTACGGGTGATTACACTTCGGAAGCCTTCAAACTCTTTATTGTGCATGCAGCGTCATCAAAAAATATTCGGCCCTATTCATGAGCATTGGGTGTGTGCTTAGCTTACGCCGTTTACTTATAAAGGTGGCGACGGAGAGTGGGTTGAAGGGTTCTAAGCTACTCGAGAGCCTCGAAAACGGTCCCCTCACTTCGGTGATGCACACCTTCGTTCGGGAATACAATACTGCGTGGGACCTCACGAAGGCTCGGGTCCACTCTAACACTGCTGTCGTAATTATGGCCTATAAGATTCTCTGTCTGCAATGAATTCCCGAAATCGAGTTCACACCGGTCCTCAACAGCATCGTTAGTGACCCGAAGACCTTTTACCTATTAAGTCGGGAGACCCCCTGGCTATAGTTAGGCCTTGGTGTCGCGGACGAAGACGATAATCATGAAACTGAAGACGATGAAAGTGCGAGCGACGAAAGTGCGGGGGACGCAAGTGAGGGCGATTCGGATACTGAGTGGGTGAACCCCTTCGATTGAGACATGCATGCCATTACAAGTTTTAGTGGTTATGAGCCTTATCGGATTCTGGATTTTTCTATTTCCTTTCTCCAGTAATCGGAATATAGTACCGGGGCTTTCTGTCGATGTTGTAAGTCATATGCATTACAAATAGGCAATGCCCTAATCAGGTGAGTATGAATAGTAGTGAGAAACACAAGTCAGATGGGAGATAAAGGGCAGTTGGAGGTGTATAAGACTAGCGTTTACGCTCGCGCATCCTCTGTTTGACTTATCTTCCCATTCCCTTCTTTCTTCTCTTCTCTCTTCTTTATTTCTCCGTCGCCCCTCCAACTCCCAGAACGACCCCGACCTTCTTCGAAAGCCATTTCTTTTGTCCTCTTTTTCTTTCATCCGCCATCAAAATGGCTGAGTATGTTCCGATTCCCTTACTTCCCTTCCCTCCGATGTTTATGTGGCTAATATGTGGATTTCAAAAGAAATAACACCAGACCTTTCCCTCGCGTGAGGGCTTTCACAAACCCAATTCGTCCTGACCTGTTCAACCCTGACCAGTTCAACCCTGACCAGTTCAACCCTGACCAGCTCAACCCTGACCAGTTCAACCCTGGCCAGTTCAACCCTGACCTTGAGGAGCCTCTACAAGCGACTGATGAACCTGAGACGCTTCCCGCTAGTGAAATTCTCCCAGATGTCACGTAAGTAGCCCCCGTTGATTAACATATGACCAAATTGAAACAAAAGCTGATTTCAGATTGATATAACTAGCCTCTCCAGCGATCTACCTGCAAGTGCAATCGGCCCGGTGATCACCCTGCCAGCCCCAATCACCGGCACAGAGCCCATGCCGCCAGGAAAGTGGGCGGATCTCATCATGACACCCCCCCTCAGGTTTCCCATCGCAATTTCCAGATATGGTCTCAGGGGAGACATTCTGGAAAAGCTTCTGGCCATGAAGTGCATCAACGAACCTGTTCTCCGCTGGAAAGCGAGCTCGAATTCGCCTTGGGACGCAAAAACACTCTATTCGCGCATCAACTACAGCACGATTAATGTGGAAGCCGCCGTAATGCAGTGTGTGGGAACGATCATCCAGGACCCCCAGGAAATGTGCCATAGCTGTAGCAGGCGGTATGGTCCATTTGCGTTCTGCGTCCGGGTGGACGGAGTACAGGATTGTGGGAACTGTCATTGGAGCAGGCAGTCCTACCGGTGCTCCTTTAACACCAGCCTGCCCGCTCGCCCGGTTCGGTGGAGAGGGCAGCGTGTGAGGCCGGAAGAAGCAGACGCCGTTGCGGAGGAAATTGCTGAGCTGAAGGATGCTCATCGGGAGATTTTGAAATTGTTGGCGTCTCATGCCGATGCACTTGAGAATGCATCTGATTACTACAAAGCGACAGTGTTTGCTGATCCACTGCAAATCGGTCTAACGATACCGCCTTCTGAGAGGGTGCAGGCCCTCGAGGAGTATTACCATTATCTCACTTATCTTTGGATTCCGGAAGGTCATAGCGCAAGCCTGAAGACCAGTGAGGAGTTCGGACATCTGGCTGATAAGGTGACTAAAACTATGGCCAGAATAGAAGTCTTGTTGGAGTAGCTGGTCATATGGCTTCTTGTGTGTGTGTTTTTTGGCCTAATGGGCAGATGCTTTCATTTATGTACTATTATTTCTCTTTAGTGATGCCTCTTGAAGATGCCAATATCGTGTACTAGTAGCGAGCAGGTTTCTGTTTCATCCATCATGCCTTGATACGCACCTGTTCTACTTGAGAGTTCGACCATTGAAACTAATATTTGCTTGAAAAGAGAACCTCCGTGAAAATAATGGCTTGCCAAACGTTTGTCGTTGAATCTATATGATAGAGAAATAATCACGTGTGTACATATTGATCGAGGTTGTTGCGAATTCCGGAGTAGGAATAGGAGACTATTCTAACCCAGCAGCAATTAAAACTCGGCACCGATGCTATACGCAGAATTTGATATCAGTATCCCCATAGCGATTGTTCATCACGTAGCTGATGGGGTATTGCAAACTTCTACATCATATGCATTTTTTGAATTTTGGTATTGACTCTATAGTGGGTCCGTCCTGCGTGTCCATCAGCCTGCAGCCTTTTTCCTGTGATCGCTCCACATTAAGATTAAATCGAGGACCTTGTGATTACACAACGAAAGCCCGCAATTTCCTATCAATTACCTAATAAGATTCAATACCAGTTAAATGTTTGAATTACAGCAGCAGAGAGCACCCTCCTTTTGAACATATGTCGATACCAGAAAAGTGCTAGCATTTCCTATAGAAAATGATTTCAACACCCAAGTTACTAAATATCCACATCCTTTGCGCCGCAGTAGCCTTCGGCCTACTAGGTTCAGCGAAAGGATTAGACGAAAGTCTCATCGCGACCGTGGTGGACCTGCGCTCGTTTATCAAGGAATATCAGCTCCATGCAGCCTACTTGAACGCGGATGAACGAGCAAGCAGACTATCGGACATTACATCCATGGTGCATCTTGGGAGCATACCGGGGGCGTTCATTGCCTTTTTCTCCAGCCACTGGATTGGGCCTCTTTGGACCATGCGCCAACTATGTCTGCTTTGGATCGTGGGCACGGTGATTTTCATCACTTCTGCCGGAAACATGAGACAGCTCATTGCCGGTCGGTTCATTATGGGTCTCGGTATTGGACAGGCAGGCATTGTTGGGCCTATTTACCTTGCTGAGATTGCGCCTAGTGCTTCTAGGGGTCTGCTGGTGGGTATTTATGCTTCGTCTGAGTATATTGGTGTTTTGATTGGGGTGAGATGAAATGTTCCGATGTCTGAGGCGATGCAAGGTTATGTATGATTGCTAAGCTGAAAATCTATTTAGTATTTCGCTGGCTATGGGGCCTCGCTTCATATCTCTGGTGGGAGCTCGAGCCAGTGGATTCTTCCAGAGAGCAGCCAGCTCATGACGGCTGGTGTATTACTTGTCTGTTCACTCGGCTGCGTCGAAAGCCCCAAGTATTCCGTTTCGTGCGGCCGAACAACCGCGGCTCTCCAAAGTCTTGCTCGGCTCTGGGGGCTGCCTGTCGACGATCCCTCAATTGTGCGTGAGTTTGGTGTTCTTCAAAACGAGCATGCTACAAAGTCGTCGGCTGGAGAATCGGGACTATCTATTATACAGCAACTCAAAGCGCTATCTGGGGGTCGTGCCAATCTTTATCGAATGCTGTTCCTGGTTTGCGCACAGATTCTTAGTCAATGGTCGGGGACGAACGCCATCACAAGTAAGTCAAATATCCTGATACTAGGTTAAGTGATACTGACGCTCCACGAAAGCATATGCGCCGAAGTTCTTTGCTCTCGTCAATGTGAGTGGGAATTCTGAAAAACTGTTGAAGACCGCGATCTTTGGAGTGGTCAAACTTGTGTCGGCGATTATAAGCGCATTGTTCTTCATCGATCGTATTGGAAGAAAGAAAACTCTCGTTTCTGGTATCTTCCTTCAACTCCTGGCACTGCTTTACGTTGCCATTTTCATCACTGCCTGGGATGGACTAGGTGATCCGGATTCCGGGAATGCGTCTCGAGCCGCCGATGGTGCTGTTGCGGCGATCTATCTTACTGGAGTTGGCTACGCGTTTGGCTGGAATTCCATCCAGTATTTGATTAATGCGGAGATGCTTCCATCGCCGGTCCGGACGCTTGGCACAAGCTTCTTGATGTCCTTTCATTATGCCAATAAGTTTGCTCTTGTCAAGGTGATATCCCTCCTCTTTGCCCAGCACTCTTCATTGCCTAACAGCAGCTAATCTCGATATGATCTATCCAGGCTCTTCCGAATATGATGCTAAAAGATGCGCTCCAGCCGAAAGGGACATTCTGGTTTTTCTTTGCGATTGCCTTGGTAGGCTTTGTGTGGGGGATTGTGTGGCTACCGGAAACATCCCGAAAGAATTTGGAGGAGACTAGCGAATTGCTGCGGTAAGCCCAATTCATGTCACTCAAATCAGATTCATAGCTTTGCGGTAGAATTATCAGCTCGTAAGGTTAACTAAAGGTGGCAAAAAATGGGGGTCCGGATAAGTTCACGACAGATTCGTAGTCCAACTATCCGGACCGGGATCTGTGGTAAACCTATCCCAGACCCAAATACTGGGGCCTCACCATCCTTGGTTGAGACCAAGGTGCACCTTCGCCCCACATTTCTACTCAGTTCTACTCATTATCCCCTTTCTTCAATGCTCTTCTTCTCTTCTTCCCTATCTTCGATTAGCTCGTTACTAAGATCACTATATATAATAGTGTGACTATCTGAAGCATAATAGCTTGCTCAACTTTATTCGGAAAATCTGGTCTTCAAACGCGTGCGTAAGTGGTCGGCACTCCTACTCCTATTCGCCTGCTTTATCTCTTGGAACGATGCCGTTGTTGCCGGAAACTTGGCTGCCTTCCTGGGCCCCACTTATAAGGCTGAATGCACAGAACGACCGACCCACTCTCCCCACCCACATACCCATTTCCTTTTGCTACAACAAACTTTTCGGCACGTTCACCGTGTCACGCGAAACGCAAAACACAAAAGCCTCTGTGGATCTAGCTATGTGTATCGGAGGTATTTTGAGACAATCGAAAATCGAATACACACCCAGCTGAAAGTTCCTTGCCGGGGCCCACATTCCCTCTGGCATAAACCGGCGACGACCGAGCTAAACTTTGCAACCTTGCGGGAAGACGTCGTTATTTCGGACTAAATATTCTTCAACCTGAAAACCCCATTCCAACTTGTTTTCTGTGCGTCCCATCACATTCACAGGATTCATCATGTCTCTGCGAGGGCACAAGGATACCACTTGCAATCCTGCCATGGCACCAACAAGGTCTAGCAAATGGGCTCAGACAATTGACTCTTCCTATGCCGACTGGATATGCCTGCTCTTGTGCTTCAATACCGGGCTATGCGACAGTTGCGCATTCAACTCCTGGTCCTGTTTCCTCGCCATGCAAACCGGTCCGTTATATCCAGCGCCAGATAATACCGACTGAGAACATATATAAGCTGACCTTATATCAGGAAACACAATCGTGCTCGGACTGGGAGCATCCCAACAACCCATCGGATCCCCCCACGCATGGAGCCGGTCCCTAGTCTCGATCTTCTCTTTCATAATCGGCGGCATTTTTTTCGCACGTCTGACCCATTTTCTGGGACCGCGCCGCCGCGGCACGCTAGTCATATCATTCGCCATCCAAAGCATCATGATCATCGTCACTGCGGCGCTGATCCAGACAGGCGTGATCCAAAAACAGATTGGGAACGCCTTCACGTTCGAAAATCCAAATCTGGCTCTGATCCCCATCGCACTGATGGCGTTTCAATCCGCCGGCTCGATCAACTCCACCCGTGTCTTGGGTTTCAATGAGATTCCTGGTGTCGTATTGACAAGTGTTTATTATGATCTCGCCTCGGATGCGCTTTTCTTCCAGGATTTAGCCGCAAACCCGAAACGGAATCGTCGTGTCGCGGGGGCTTTGATGCTTTTGACTGGGGCCATTGTGGGAGGTTGGTTAAGTCGATCTGCGGGGGGTATGGCGGTATCGCTGTGGCTGGCTGCATTCTTGAAGTTTACGGCGGGCGTCGGCTGGTTTTTCTGGAGTCCTGCATGATTGATAGATTATGCATTCGGCTATGGCGGCCGATAGAGGCCACCCGAGGGTCACATCCCAATTTCAACTTTCCGACCGGCAGAAAGTAAATTACGAGTAATTCCAAATTCATTGTTATATTATGTTGTGATCTGATGGTAATGCGGATGGATTACTATCTAAGACTCTAACTAATCTTAAGTTCTAACTATCGAGCCGTCAGGTGACCCTAACAGGGGGTCATGTGACATATTACTTCTCTTTCTTTTAGGTATTTTATCACAACAACTGGGAAGAAAGAGAGGCAGAGATCTTAGTCATATTTGATAATCCATTCTTAAGTCTCTTCTCAAGTCCCTTCTCAAGTCCCTATTCAAGTGCCTTCTCAAGTCTACTCTCAAGTCTACTCTCAAGTCTCGTCTAAAAGTGACCCGTATTTAGATCAAATCCCTCAAGATATTCCGATATGTGATAAATGCAGCACGGGAAATAGGGCGGTGAAGTGAAAATTGGAATTGGGATGTGACCCTTGGCCTCTATCGGCCGCCATACATTGTTTATGTAATACCTCCCCGCACCATCCGCTCGAACTTGGGCTTCAGCGAAAAAAATACACACACTTGAAATATGAATGCTCCATGTTCCTCTCTCCCATCCCGGCAATCATATCTGCACATTTGTTTCCTCCAGTCTCTTCCACTTCAGACTTTCCTCACTTCTCCCTGAGTTCAGCTACTCATCATTCCCACCATCGCCACGGGTATCCGTGGCAGTATCTCTAATGTCGGCCCCAAGAATCATACCGGTATATATGCAGCAAGATTCATTGACTGGATCTTTGAAAGTCTTATCCACGACAAACTCATCAGGAAGCTCAAAACCCGATACACATCGCGCGAGGGTTTGGAGAGTATATTTGTGTAAATACTCTGCGCCGGACGGCCAAAGTCTTTGGGAGAGCGCTTTCCTACCATTGCGTGGATCAGTGAGGACGCCATCTTGTACCCCAAAGATGTGGGAAACTTCTGGCTCGCTCAAGGACTTAGGTACCAAATGAGCGGCCTTGACAAAACTGGCGGGTACAGCAAAACAGAGAACATGACAGAAGGAGTGATCTTTTGGATGAGTTGGTAGGCCGTAATATTGCTTCACATCCTTCTTGAATGCTTTTTGGTCGAAGGGGCGTTTTTTGGTTTTCGCTGCTGCCCCCATGACGCGGGGAATGATTGTATCCGCATAAGCTCTCCGCAAGAGTCCATCATCCGACGGTCCGGTGACCCTTTGACGCTTCATCTCAACAAGTAAATCTTCTTCGATCAACCTTCGCTGTCGCTTAAGTAAATCGAGAATCTGTGAGGTTGCTCGGAACCTTTTCAAAACGGGATCGATCTCTGTCTGGAAATCGGTGCTGTTAATTAACCCCGGAGGATGAGATTTCATAAAGTCCTTGTTGGATACAACTGATTCTATGCAGCGAAGTAAATTATCATAACAGCTGACAAGAAAGAGAGGCTAAGATCCTAGTCATATAAGTAATCCATTCTCAAGTCCCTTCTCAAACCTATTCTCAAGTCTACTCTCAAGACTACCCTCAAGTCTCCTCTTAAATCTACTCTCAAGACTACCCTCAAGTCTCCTCTTAAATCTACTCTCAAGACTACTTTCAAGTCTTTTCTCAAGTCTGCTCCCAAGTTTTTTCTAAAAGTGATCCGTATTTAGATCAAATCTCTTAAGATACTCCTGTATGTGATAAACATTGAATACAATACGGGCGGGAAACAGGGCGGTGAGGTTAGGAGTTGAAATTCGGATGTGTAGTTGGGTGGCGGCTATTGGCCGCCGCAGTCGGGACAACTATATACGCCGAACCCAGTTTAGTAATAATTGAAACCATAAATAGTACTAGGCGATATTTGGTGGAAAGCCACTACAGATGTGTTTGAAGACTGTCGGTATAGAACAGAAGTACGTACGTGCACATGTGTGGACCTTAGTACTAGTAATATTGGATCATTTAAACATTTGAAAGGTGTGGACAATCCAAGAGTCCTAGGTACTACGCATGCACTAGTATAAACATGCTATTCACGGCTAGATATATCCGGGGCTAACGGCCCCAGTGGAGCCAGAGAATACTGATGTCGACAGGTGTTGCTATGGCCAGGTAATAATCTAGATGGTGAGGCTAAGTAGTGTAGTATTTGATATCATAGTCAGTCTGGATTCTGGAATTTGATATGACCCTCGGTCCTCGCAGCTCAGCGACAGCTTGCATGAAATTCAATAATGACAAGAATCATCTGTCTCACAAGACCCCTAGAGTCACCGCATGCCCTCAGATCTATCAAATAACTCGACTACCTCATCTGTGGTGGCTCGAACCTTGTCGACCAGCTCTTCAATACTCTGGTAAAGCTCCCGGAGCCATGGTCCTGCTAGGCATGTCGAGTATGCTTTTGTGTCGATTGGTAAGAGTTCTGCTGGAAGTGGGTTCGAAAGCTTTTGAATGGTGCCCAGTGCCAGTTGAGTTTGCTTCTTTGCATCCTCCATTTGCTTTCGAAGTACCTCCATTTGAGCATACAACCGATCTCTTTCAATGCTGAACTCTTCTTCCATGAGCTCATTTCGAGTGTAGCCTTGGTTTGCCGGCCGACCGTTCACAGATTCGGTGATTGTCTCCAAAGCCACATCTGAATCAAGTACTCCGTTCCTCGTCTGACAGGAGGATGAACAGTTGTCTTCGGGGTGCTCAACAGAGCCGGTTTCTTTCCTATAAATAGGTTCATCAGATAAGTAACCATCAAGTTAAAGGAGATGGAGATGCATAACTGAACTAACCCTGATATCTTGCTACTGATAGTGAGGGCACCAGTATGAAGGGATGTGTGTTGGATAAGATCTAGAAGGGGCAAAGTGAAGTGAGGAAAGCAGAAAAATACTAGGTGAGAATTGGTAAGAGAGAGAAGAGTAAGAGAAACGAAAAGGGATCAGGCGACGGTTGTTAGAATAGATCAGACTGAGTAAAGAAAAGAGCAGGAGGGATTTTGGAGGTACGTATATAAGAGAAAAAGTAAAGTAAAGATAGTAAGAGGAATACTTCTTTAAACTGTGAGTCTGGTGGGGAGAGAAATAAGAAGGAAAGAAACAGAGGGAAAGGTAAGATTAAGTCCCAGAGAGAATGGAGGGGATTCACCAGGTCTTACTTTTTGATATTCAGTATTATCACAGCATCATTCGCTCACATTCTTATCTGCACTATCAGCTTCTTCTGAATTCAATGTTTATAACCCCTCCCCAAATACCGATGGTAGTGATGTTCTACTTTCTTATCTACCTAGCTTTGCTTCTTTTTTGACCCTCTTGAATTCCTTCGACTTTTTGGCTGCTATTGTATCTCTTTTTGACCTATCTCGGAGACCTATTAACTGTCTTAGAGACCATTGAACCTACCTTGGAGTCTTTAGCTAATCTAAGTTCCTTTGAGTCTTCTTGGACTTCAGATCTATTTTTGCAATTATAGCCCGGTGAGTTTCACTTTCGTTATCTTCAATTAATCACCATATTGATGAAATCATAGGCAGCATCTCTGGGATATTTCGTTGCCGGTCGGGAACATCCCGCTACTATTCTGGGTACAGGTTGAGCGAATCAACGAGTGCGCCAATTGCCACTGGATCAATATATTTTCGCGATGTACCTTCAACGACTTAATCCGAACTCTTATTGAGTACCGCGATCAGAAGGGGTTTGTTCCGGACATTTGGGCTCCTGATGATTACGCCGTTGACGTCTACAAAATGTTCATTGTCTCTACTGCAAATTCCTCTAAGGATTCTTCGTTGATGCAAGCTATCGGAAAGGTTCTTAGCCTACGCCGTTCGTTAACTAAGCTTGCCGTGACTAGTGCGTGGCGGCTATACAGCATTATCATATATTAAATACCCTTGAAGAGGGTCTAATCGATTATTATCAACCAGGCATGATATTCCAACAAGATAATGCCAATATTCATACAGCACAGGGCACTCAACAATGGTTTGAAACACATGGAGTCGAGGTTATGGAATGGCCTCCACATTCGCCAGATATGGCCCCAATTGAGCCTATATAGGGGCTCTTTGAGCGACAGGTCTTCCGTATACAACCAGATCTCGATTTATTTAACCAATTGAAGCTTGCTCAGGCAGAGCTTAGAGTGCTTTTAAAGACTACATGTAGATGGTAGCAAATACCGCAGCATACAATCGACAGCTTGATTTACTCAATACTGCCTTGACTCGTAGTAGTGGGGGCTGCCCGGGGTTATCATACTAACCACTATCATTTAATTAATAAAAATTATAGAGTATAATATATGATTGTTTGATTTGGTGGGGTGCGTGATTGATAATTTGATTGAGTAAAGACTTTTGGAGCCCCATGTATGTTTTGCTCACGTCGAGGACGGCGGAGTCTTGTATGCGGGGATTGTTACAAATTACACAACTCCCCATGTTTAGAGTAAAGCCCCTTCATATTGTTGATCAAAGTAAAATAGTGCGTTTGCCCTGTATCAGGATTAGGCCGAAACTGAGAAGAATATCGGTTCAAATGATTGGCCTTTGCATTATAATCTGCATTGCAAGGTCGCTTGGGGAATTAAACGATCAGCAAGATATTGAAATAGCATTCATTGATATTCAACTATTGAAGTATCCAACAGCAAGTTTCTCTTCAGAATATCGAGCAAAGAAATACCACGAGAGGGAAGCTGCAAAGCGGAAAGACTCAAGCTTCGCCCTCGAAAGAATCACCTAAGCTTTCAAATCATTCAAGCTACGTTCCAATGCATCTCGAAGATTCATTGCACCGGAACGTTCGGTGGCAACCTGAGGGGACTCCTGGGCAAGAGAGATGAGCTCATCATCCGCATATGAACTGACGGTCGTGGGGTTGAAGGCTTCGTTCAATTTCGCCAGAATGTGTCGCTCGATGACCAGCCGGCAGACATTGTCGACAAATGTCCTGCATGCTATCTAGAGTCCAGTCAGTAAGCAATCATCAATTAGTAACAATGTAGTGGTGTGAGCTGACCTTGTAGTAAGCATTCAAGTCCGTTTCAGCGTCCAGACACACCTGCTCTTTCATATCAACTACTACTTGCCCCTGAACTGTCGAAATCAATCTCATTTTTTTGGTTTCTGGATCACCGGTCGTATTCTTATAGCTTTCGAGAGCATTGCCCACGGATGCTTTGAGCAGTTCATCGGAGCGGTCCTGTCGAGATTTCTGGATGGCATCGGTGTAATAGCGGTTGTACGTGATTGGATGCCGACCTTCGTCTTCGATCAACTTTTCAAGTTCAAGCATTCCGGCCTTGATATTTTTTTCTAACGCTTTGTTGACGATCTGATGAACCTTGGCCCGGACTTTATGATCCTTGATTGTTTGTTGTAGTACGGCTCCCAGAAATCGGGAAACCAACTGCGAAGTCTCGCGGACATGCTCTTTAGCAATCTGGGGCCATCGCGACGACTGATCATGAAACAATTTCGCGACCAGCCCATGATTGTAGGTTCCGGGGAGCTCTTGACCTCTCGTTTTTTGGTAAATCTAGACTGAGTCAGTGATACAAATTATTTACATGGGGACAGTCGATCTCACTTCTCGTATCTATTTGAGCATTTTCCCGCGCGTCAGTTGCATTTGACCGGTCTCTTTCTCTTTCGCACTTTGGGGAATTATCGTATCTGTAACAATTCTTTTTGCGCCACTCTCACTCATATAGTCCGAGAACTTCTCATTTTCCACGTGCACCGCAGCACGGAGACGGAAATACAAATCCTGGTTACCTGCCTCGAAGAAGCTGCTATAATGTAGGTCGTAGGCTCCATCAACACCAGATTGGACAAGATTGCAGTAGTCCGTACTGGCTCTTGTCAGGAATGTCCGAATCTGATTGGCAGTTTTACGCTCACTTCCGAGATCAACAAGAACTTGGTTAGTCTGCTGTAGCAGTTCATGTACTTCTTCGCGGACCTTCACCAACTCTGTCTCAATGTGAGTGTCAAGAAGTTCCTGTAAAAATGATTTCAAATTCTCGATGCCGATTCGAGAAGGATCCAAGCCTTGTTTACTCCATGGCTCCTTGGAAAAGAAATCTACTTCCACTTTGCGACGTTCCTCGCCGGTCATTCCAGCAGCGAGATCACTTGGGGCCGGGTTTTTAAGAAGGAAAAATCCCAGAGCCAGCTTGGTCTTGTCACAATTCTTTGCTAGCCTTGCAACTCGTGGCTCCGTTCCCTTGTTGATAAGATCGGGCTTTGTGATGATTCCAACTGTTCTTTCGCCGGCCTTATCGAAAAATCGAGCACGTTGAATAATGGCTTGCGTGTCCACGTCGCTGCTTGCTGGTACAACAGCAAGGATTATGGTTCGGGAATTTTGCAGGTATGAGTCCACCAGACTTGCAACTAGGTTCACATCATCTTCATTTTCTGAGACTGAGATCAGCCCAGGAACATCCACAATAGTCAGGTGGACGCCAGTATTGCCAACAAGTTCAAGCCGAAGAACATCCGAGGCAAACGTTGGCCCAGATCCAGCCTCAGCAGATAGCCCCATCAGGTCTCCCGCTTTCCTGATGATGCTGGGCAGCTCCTCAAAGCTCTTGAACCGGTGATTGAGGCTTTTGAGTTTGTCTCTTGTCTCGTCATCTCTGGAGTGATGGGGGATAATTGTGGCGGTGAACTTCGTTTCGTTGGGCTCATGACGAAGGATGATTTCGGTTGCAAATCGAGTGCAAAGGCCATCTTGTCTTGGAAACGGGATCCCGGTGATACCCTCAAGGACAGAGCTTTTACCAGCTGATTGGTCACCACATACCACTAGTTGGGGCAGTGAAATGTATTCACTGATTCCGTATCCCCGGATTCGGTCAATAAGGTTCAAACGAGAGGATGTCTTTTTTGAGCGGAGCGGAACATTTTTTTCAACATGTGTGGATTTCAGTGCAGCATTATCATCATCTATTGATTCAGACATGGTGCAGGGAACCTAGTAGGTTGGAAGATGATGAATCGGGTGCTGGTCAGATATTGAGGAAAGAGTTGAAGGGAGCAGGAGGATTTCAAGTGAACTAACTAACATCCAAAGTAGTGAGAAAGAATTGGTGGTGAGAGAAATAGAACTGGGGGAGTATATCTGGGGGAAGATAGTTGGTGGAAAGCCACTCTAGATGCGTTGGAAGCCTGTCGGATAGTTGAAGAAGTCAAGAGGATGAAGAGTGAGGAAAAGTCTTTTATAGAAATGTCACCGGCAAATTCCTATAAACGTATCCCGCCTTGAAGCATACGTACTTGCCCTTTTTGGACTTTAACAGTTCCCTCGATCGTTGGGTCTGTCAAGATGTTCAGCCTGCTCCTTGTTGGATCTGTATTAGCATATCATCACCGTATATTTCTCTCCACAGGCATGCATGACTTACTTGCTAGGCTTCTCGGCCGTCGGGGGGTTGCGTTTTTGAAAGGTTAGAGAAGTGAAAGGAGGAGAGTGGTATGCGCGGTATGTAAGAGGTCCAGATTCCAGAAGGTCTGAGGTTTCAAATTGGGATTGGGACCCTTGGATCTCAAGCACTTGAGTACTCTTTTCGTTTGAAGTAACATTCAAATTTGAAGAAAATATATTACACTAGTATTGATGAATGTGCCACAGATGCAACACTGCGTTTTTGCCTCAAGTGCTTGCAGTGCGTCCCAATCTGTTATTCATCCATTTTGAAGAAACATATTAGATGGACTCGGTCAGCTTCCTCAGCTGTCAATAGGAAAACTTTATATATTACGAACATGGATAAAGAGAGATTGCACAAGGACGGAACTTCATTGTTATACAAATGATAGGGGTATATTGCAGTGCATCATAGCACATGCTCATGTCGAGTCATGAAAGCATAAAAAATATAAAAATAATAAACCAAAAACAATGACACCACAATCACGCAAGGTGATCAGAGGCCCAGCTTCTCATACCAGGCATTAACTGAGAGCCGAGATTTATTTTTCATAAGGCTCAGGGGAGAAAACCTTGCGCAGGCGGAAGTGTGAGAGGTCGCGGATAACCTGGGCAGTCTGCTTCATGTTCTGCTTTACAATAACAGATGTAGGCTGTGAGAAGAGCTCATCGATTTCCTCGAGAGACTTGTTCTTAGTCTCAGGCATGAAGACAATCTGGTAGAACCAGCCAAGCACGGCAATACCACCGTAGAAACCGAGGGTCAGACCGATTCGGCTCATGGAGTCCATCATGCGGGTGAAGTTGTAGGTCACGATGAAGGAGCACAGGAAGAGGTTGGCGTCGGCGGTGGTCATTCCGTATGAACGGAGGTATGTGGGGAAAACCTCAGAGGGAATGACCCAGGTCAGACAGGCGTAAGAGCCGAAGAAGCCCATGTAAAGGATGATACCGGTCAAGTAGACACCCTGAGCCGCAGCGGGGTACTTCTCATAGTCGATGGTGTAGCCCACGCCGACGAGAACAAGACCAATGAAGAAGCCGGGCAGCATGGCGTTAGCCCAGTAGCGACGGCCGAAGCGCTCCATGTACAGGACAGCAGGGATGGCGCCGAACATGAGCGAAGCACCACCGACGAGAGACATGAAGACGGAGGTCTTCTCGTCGAAGCCGATGGCCTCCATCAGAGTCGACATGTAGTACATGACGGCGTTGACACCGGTGAACTGGCCAAGGAAGATCATGATGTTGGCGTAGACGATGGCGCGGCGGGCACGGGGGTTGGTGAAGAAATCCATCCAGGGATACTTCTTTGTCTGGGCCTGCTCCTCGGCCTCTTGCTGGACGGCCTGGCGCATACCCAGGAACTCGTCCTTGGCTGCGTAGTCGTTGAAGCCACGGATGCGCTTCCAGACTCCGTAGGCCTCGATCTCGTGGCCCTTGTGCATCAGGTAACGGGGGCTTTCTGGGAGGAACAGCATGCCGACGAAAAGGATGGTGGAGAAGACGAGGGAAGATCCAAGAATGTAGCGCCAGGAACCGTCAACGCCGATGAAGATGGCGGCGACGGCGTATCCGAGGACTTCACCAAGGGCGATGTTCAATTGGTAGAGCGAGACGAGGTTACCACGGATTTTGCTGGGAACTAGATTGCGCCGGTAGATTAGTATAAGGTGGCTTTAGAAATAATGAAACCAAAAGGAATTCTTACCGGACTCCGCAACGTAGACGGGGACGGTACCGCCCTCCAGACCAACACCGGCACCCAAAATCATACGACCAGCAAACATCATACCAAAGTTGATGGCACCAGCCTCCAGGCCTGCACCAATTGTGTATAGAATGCAAGAAACAATGATAGACATGCGACGACCAAGGTACTCGTTTGCCGGGGAGAGCAAAAGAGCACCAGCGACAGCACCGAGCGGCATGCCACCGTTCACCAAACTAGCCTCGCTTGAACTCAAGTTGAGAGCCGTGGGGAGGGACAAGTTTGCACCACTGATGAGGGACTGATCCAGACCGGAAAGGAGACCACCCATGGAAGCGAAAGCCACCAGCATGTAGGTATAGACAGCTGGGTTTGAGAACGTCACCTCGAGCTTAGACTTCGGCAATGTTTGCAACTGCTCCTCGAGCTGTTGCAGTTCAGCGTCCATAGCCGCCTCGGTGATCTCTTGGTCGACCTTCTCGGTCACATGGTCCATCTCAAGGGCGATGGGAGCCTCCTTGTGCATGTCCGAAGGGGCCTCAACATCCTTGACGTCCGACATCTTGAAAAAGACAAGCCTTTCTAGGGTAAAGGATGTATAAACTAAATGTATAAAAAACTAAACCTGGCGTCTTGGCCGGGTCCCACTCAGTGGGAATATATGAATAGAATAGAACAGGAAGGGAGAAGAAAGCACGTGCGTACAAAAGAATTGAATAAAGGGGGGCACAGCAAGTATTTGAAGTCCTTCAGTCTCAGACCAACATCAACCCCCATGCACCGGAAATACACTTTGGCGACCACTGACGCACGAGTGAAAAACAAAAAAGCAAAGGTGGGGAAAAACCAACTTACGGAGAAACTGAAAGTCTAAAAACACGGCTAAGGATCCGTCCCGTGTCTCCCATTCGTCTCTTCAGTACTCCGTACTAGTGTACATGTACTCCAAGTTTTGTCGGCTGTGGAGAAAAACGGGATCCGGGGGGCCACGAGAAGCCAGGAGGGGAAATCGACATTTGAACTCACCGGGCGCACAAACATGGTCAAGACCGCCCGAATGAGTATCCATCTGCGTGCTTGACAGGGATAGGAGAATGTGGAGAGAGGGGGAAAAACAAGCCGGGGAATTCGATCATCGGTCGTCTGAACGAATCGCAGCCCGGGGAAGCTCAACACAGTACAAGTTCCAAGGTCGCATTCCCAAAGCATAACGCTGCGTGGCGATTTTTGCCCTGATCCTAACAAACAACCGCTGATCGATGCCAACACCCTTGTACACACACCTCCACTTTATCGGCATCGTAGTTCTGGAAAATTCCCGGCTTCCCGTTTCTTTGTGCAGAAATCGGCCTGCCAAGTGGAGTATTTCCTTGCTTACGGGTGAAGACAAAGCCGATATGTCCCGAGACGAGGTCGGCGAGATCAGCTTTGCCGATGGATGGGGGTGCATGGGGGTTGAAAAAGTAGGCACGTCACATGGGAAGAGAAATCTCGGAGAGTCTCCGGGCTGCAGGGTGTTAACGGGAACGATTCATATTCATTACGCAGACTCAGTTTGCCAAAAGGTAACTTACTCCGTAAAGATTGAGGTTCCCCACGGAGACTCCATTACGTGTCGGCGACATCTCGGCGAAATGGATCTCCACTTAGCGCACACACCACACAGGTACTGCCGGCCCGGGGAGACAAAACTCGGGGTGAAGTGGAGAACATGGGAACCAGATCCCGAGATGTTCCCGGGTTGTTTTCTTAAATAAACGGGACTGGGCTGACGGGATCTTTGGTCTGGAGCTTCCTTTTTTACGCCCCATGACGGTTTGGACCGGGATTTTCCCTCCCTTCAAGCCGAGGGCGTTATTCGCTGGTTAAGAGCAAGGGGGCGTGGGGTTGGTGGCTTGGCTTAGCGTATCCAAGGCTTGAGATTTAGCCTATATACTGGATTTCCTTTGTCAATTTTTGCCTTCAGTGAAACACACGATCCAGCGAGATATTTTCGCGTCTGTCATTTTTGATTATTGACGACCAGTGGCCTGTCCTCATTCCTATATTCTACTTATTCAATCACTTATTATTCCCTTGCTTGTTACCTCGAGATGTATGCTGTGGCTGTGGCAGTAAATATTGAATAAAGTTGAGTACTTTAATGGCCCAAATGCCATGATCCTAATTCGTCCACCAATTTTAAGCTATTATCATCCATGTAAATCTGTTAGGAAAAATTCAGGCTAAACTTCAGCCATAGGCTACGAAAAGAGCATTGAAAGCACACATGTGCATACATCAATAAGATTCTGCATCTTCTGCATCTCTCATATAGCAAGAACTCCGCATCAATTGATACTTTGCATCGCAGCAATTGTTCAGAAAGCCATCGTTCTTCAATCCATCACATGTGCAAGTCATGTACATCAATACACAAGGCAATGGTAGAGAAATCCTAATAATATAGTTCCTTCTTAAGTCCATTAAAAATCATATAACCTCTTTTTCTGCTAAAGAAGGGCTGACAGAAGAAAAAGGTGCGTCCCGATTAGGCTTAACACATTATATAACCCGTGTTAGCATAAGAGTGACCTGTGCTGAGATTAAAGCCCACTTTACTAGGGCAATGCAGGTCGATCATCAGCAAGCTATGTAACAAAGCAAGAATGAAACATTTGAAGAACATCCACCATCATCAATTGAAACCGTCAGAAAAATGCCATAGTCGTGCTCCAAGCTCACATAGAGCACTTTCATCGAGTATCACACTCTCAACTGGAGCAGACGAACTTTCCTCACCAGTGAATATGGTGACTGGAATTCGTATTTCATCTCCATGCGAATCCGAAGATTTTTTGAACCGTACAAGCTGGTCAGGATCCTCACGTATAATTTTCACCGACTCGGTCATAACTGCGTTGAGTGGAACAAGTCTACCACAAGAAGAATAAAGTATGACGAGAAGAGCAAAAGTCGGAAGACGGAAAGGGGGGTTTGGCTTCAGAATAAGAGTTGGAGTGGGTTCAATGCGGAGGCTTGATAGTATATCAGCACGCAAAGCATGGATAGGGTATGAAATGAAAGCTATGACATGAGTCACTTCGATTCAAACGTTGTATACTGGGAGGAGGTTCTGTTCTGGGTCTGACTGGGAATATTTCGCGTCAATTCTGTTCTCTCTTTTTCCCCCTTTCTTCTTCACCTCTCCCACTTTTCATTTTTCTCCTCTCTCACCCCGGTTTTTGATTCCTTCACATTGCAGTCAATCACCATTCAGTCTTTCACGCCTCCGTTCCTCAGGCTTGCCACTTGGCTTGTAAACAGGACGTGACGCGTGATCTTGATATTTGTGAAACTTCACAACCACACTTTTCACGCCCAATCTGACGAGATGGTCAATCATCGGCTGCCCATCAAGACCGAAATCAACCCTATCGCCACCGATACAAGACCGCCCGAACCATTCAATGAGCCGCCCCCGCGACAGGCACCGGTATCGGTTGTCCCACAAAATGCATATCAGGAATACGTGGCTGGCCACAGTCGTCTCGCGAAACATCCGTACGATCGAGATGTTTTGATACGGGCAGAAGACATGGATTACAATACACCCACTCCGTTCAAGCAAGTTGATCCGGTTCCATCGCATCCCAGTCACTCATCTGATGTAGAAGGATATAGTGCAACTGATACCCGGCCATCGCCTGAGATGCAATCATCTCTCAACCAGGTGCATACCCCAATGAACCTTTCACCACAAGTCAGTCTACAGCAGCCACCTCATCTTCAAGATGACTCCCTCACTGACAATCAACGTCTGTCATTCTTTCGATGGGAGGACGCCCTTCAGGGGATGAATCAAGCCGCAGTTGACTTGAATAATCTTCTCGAGACTGAAGCCAACTCAATGGAGCTTACAATGCAAGCCCACAACAACAACAACAACAACAACAACAACAACAACAACAACAACAACAACAACAACAACAACAACAACAACAACAACCCACTCATGCTTAAGGAAATCCGATACTGGAAGACGAAAACAAAGTTGCATCTAGAGCACAGTATGCTAGAGATCAACTATTGTGTAAGGCATTTCCGACAGCTGGAAGAGCAATTGGAAATCGATGAAGCGCAAATGAAAAGAATCTCAGAGGGTCGCAAGCAGTGAAAAGTCGGATGGTGAATTGTGCATGCTCATAGTGAATTCTACCGAATTCAAGCGGCTTGAGCACTATTAAGCAACGGATTTCTTTTTTCGGATCTACGTGTTAGAGGGCCTTGTATCAGTAGCGTGGGAATAAGTCCTGCTACCTTTAGCTATTCCTCCTCGATCATCAATCTTTCTTGCATTTCATTTTGTGTGCTACGTATTAGTTCCCATTCCATTTTATACAGTGCTGTGTACTGGAATCATGGATCGCAGTGTATACTATATCTAGTATGGCGGCCGATAGAGGCCACCCTCACGACACATCCCAATTTCAATTTCTAAATTCACCGTCCTGTTTCGCCCCCGTATTGAATTTATCACGTTACACGAATAGGAATATCTGAAGGGATTGATTTGATCTAAATACGGGTCACTTTTAGAATACACTTAAGAATAGACTTGAGAATAGACTTGACAAGGGACTTGAGAATGGGCTATATGACTAGTAGGATCCCTGCCTCTCTTCAACTCTTGCTAGTTGTTGTGATAATTTACTTGGAGAAAGAGAAGTAATAGCTGAATGAAGTGAGGCTTTCTATGCGATTCGGGCACATGATTTGCAGCTGGGTAGTTATGAAAAAAATGGCGCTGACTAAGAGGCACATTACATAAATATAAAATCACGTGACCCTTCATATATCTGTGGCTACAGTACAGTTCAACGATTCAACATACAATGCAGCGCTGCATTCTACAATGAATCCCTGCGCTTCCTTCTATATTGAATCTCTGAACTGCATTCTATATAGAATACCGCACTTCCTTCTATATAGAATACAAGGTCCCACGACCCAAGACCACGTCAACCCCGCGAACCTATGTACCAACCCATGGCAGGACCATCAGGACACCCAATTCCAATGCCATCGCTTATTGACACGGACACTCCAGAGACTCCCTCGCGCCAAGCACCAGCTGCCCATGGCAGCGACTCAATGCCTATGCATGAAGAAGACTCCACTGGTTCAATGGGGACTGGAGAGGCTGGAAAGAAACCGAAGCCTCGGACACGGTCCCGGAAGCGAAATCGTGGTTATGAACTTAGTAATTGACAATTACAAGACACTGTCACTCTGATATTATGTGCTAACATATATCCCCTTGGAAGCCATGGACGAAGAGCTGTGTAAGAGCCCCTGCGACAAGTCAATTGAAGAACTGGAAGGCCCTTCAGATAGGGATTTCCTTGACCTGATCAAAGAGATCGAGAACTCTGAACAATCGTGCTGGTACACTCATCACAGGGACCGGGTTCAAAGTCAACCATTCGGAGACCACGGAAGGAGCACAAAAAGCGAACCCGGGGGTTCTAATTGACGGACTTAAAATAACAAAGCAAAAAAAAGTTAAATTGTTTTTAAAATTTTCAACAAAAAAACTGCATAACTTGATGGCTTCCAAATATCTACTACTGCTTAATGAGTAACGTTTGAAATTAGATGTTAGTTTTCTATCAATTGATGTACAAATTACACTGATGTTGAAAAGGTGTATGGAATACTGCGCTTCCTTCTATATTGAATCCTTGTCACTTGAACTGCATTCTATATTAAATTCCTGCACTTACACTTATAAGGGGGGAGGTCTTCTAGGGGGAACCCCCAGGAACAGAAGTCTGAATTTACTTCACTTTGTTCAGCACCCTTAATCAATGGCAGCCTTGGGCCATCACAAGGTATTTTACCTTCTATACTACTTTACAGCGAAAATTGTGTTTGTTATTGGTAGAATCCTAAGGCTAGTCTGTAACGTAAAAATAGGGGCTTAAGGCCCCGATGACCGCTATTCGGCTGCTTCCAAAGGGGGAGGTGTCTATTGCTACCAGGCGCCATGAGCGTGGAATCGAATCCTCGCCTAACCGCTCCCCCATGAGTGAGTTTTCGGTGTCGCTGCCGCCGCTCGTCGCCTCTGTTTAGGGAAAGGCGCTTTGTGCAGCTCAGGACACCACCATATCATATCCTGTTGACCATCATCAGATTCCTATCGCCCATAACCATTGTCTAGTTCTCCCGTTCGCTCGACGTACTGTCTTGCTCTGGGGACGACTCCCCCCGGGCGTTGGGGGGTGATCGGCAACCTCTTCCTGTCGGGGTGTGCGCATGCACTCAGGGCCTCGCAGAATGCGAATTTCCTGGGGGAGTTGGCCCCATTTGGCTTTGAATTTGTTGTCATTAAACCTTATCCCTTTATATCGGTGAGCCATGCTCGCCAGTCGTTCTATCATGATCTGACGCCAAATCTGGCCTCGGAAGAGTGTGGCAGCAGCACCGGCTAGGTACTTTACCTTTCAAATGTTTTGGGCTGCCGCCTTTCCTCCCTCCACTGTCATTCACTTCCTTCTCATTACTTCCCTTCTCTTTTCTTCCCTCCATCCCTTAAGCATTCTGTTCCGCCGTCTGCAGGGTCTACTACCTGTATTTGTGTTGACAATTAAAATGTTTCCCTCAACCCCAGATACACCGACGATGGCAGATACTCTACAGCATCATTGGCCATGGACTGGCCATCGGTTCGATGATTTCATATCAAACAAGAAGGCAGACTACATGGGCCTATTGGCTCAAGCAACAGGAGAATTGCTTGAGGCAGGTGATGCATGTCATCACCGCCAACAAGAATTGGGGATGTTTGATGGGTGTGTCCGAGTCCCTGGTCTCAAGAACTGCGCAAATTGCCACATAGGTGGCCGTCATCTGCGATGCAGCCTTGAAAGCGGCATCCGATCAAGCAAGACTTCTGTTGGTGCAACAGTACCAGCATCAACAAACTTGACCATCCTGGAGCAAAATTACGAAAGGGCAAAATTGGAGCAAGCAGATCTCCTCAGGATTCTCGAGCAGAATCAGAGTGTGGTGGATCACACTCAGATTGTCCTTGAGCAAGCACTGGAGATACTTGCAACAACGCATCGCTTGCTAGACCAGAAAACCAAGGAGGTGAACGCCTTGGATGATGGAGTGAAGAATGAGCTGAATGAGCAGGATAATCCTACTTAGGCTCATATGGCTTATGTAGTTGTTTGATTCAGTTGATACCTTGCTGTGTTACTAGTTCGAGAGCCTTTTACCTTGTACCCTTTGAGAGGGAATGACAGGCACCCATATAAGAGAGGTTTGATCGGTGGCTCTACCTAAATGTATAAATACCTGGTCCTTCTCCTGCTTTTTCTCTTTCTTTCTTTCTTTCTTTCCTCTCCGTCCTTGCTGTACTCTCTGTCACCACAGTCCTCTCTTTCTTTTCCTCTCTGTCCTCTTTATCCTCTCTGGCTGCTTCTTTCTCCAGTTTCTGCACATCATTGCAAAAACTTTTGACATTCAACCACGGTCATAATGGCTGACCAGTAAGTCTTACTTCCAATTTATCTAAATGAACGTCACACTGATGGTGCCACAGACCTACACATGGGAGAAGTGCCTCCCTTCCGAATGCACGGCCTTTTACGACCCCGACCCGTCCCCCTCCCCTTGATGAAGCAACTACCACACCGCCAGCAACAGCAGACGATGGCACTCCAGTTACCACGCCGGCAGCAACTGAAGATGGTGGCCCTGGCCCCTCATCACAGCTCCCGTTCAACACGGCCTCAACGTAAGATTTATGCTTTTGCTGAGGTGTGATTGAAGCTTAATGCTAACTTAAGATGGATAGCCGCCCAACGGTATATGACCGTGAGAACCGGGTTGTGGGGCTGCCACTTTCGCTTCCTGAACTACTCACTGGCGCGGAGAATATGCCCGCCAGTGAGTGGTGTAATTTCACCATGAAGGCACCATTCCAGTTTTCAATCGCTTTAACCAACAAGAAGCTGAAGGGGTCAATTCTGCAATCACTGCTGGCGAGGCCCGGCTTGAACGAGCCTGTCATCCGGCCCGGATGGAGGGGCGACTGGGACGCCGGAAAGTTCTATGCGAAAGTGAATTCGCAACTGTCCAATGTGGAAGCCTTGGTGATGTATTGCACTGGCAAAGTCATTACTGACCCCGAGCACATGTGCACCATGTGCAGTGCTGGAAAAGGACCCTTCTCCTTCTGCGTGACAGCAGAAGGAATTGAAGAATGCGCGAGCTGCCACTGGGATGGGCAAGCGGCCAGATGCTCATTCAATAGCAATCCCTTGCCCAGAAAGTCCCGGCGAAATTCAAAGGTTTACACGGCCGAGGAGTTCCAAGCACTGGAGCAGGATATTGAGGAGATTCGGGTTTTGGAGGAGAACGCAAGAGCAACTCAAATCAAGTTGCGAAAGCTCTTGGAGGAACATCTCCATAATTCCCTAAAAGCTGATGACATCAACCCTCAGTATGAGGACCGCGAGCTCGGTGGGGACAGCATGGCGACCCTGATGGCGCAATACCATAATGAACTCGCAGTGAAGTGGCTACGTCTTGATAGAAAGAACGCCCTGGAGAGCATCGAAGTCTCTGACCAAGCCGCGGAGGAGGTCTTTGAAGTGATTACTCGGCTAAAGAAAATCATTTCCAATCTTTGAAACCGCGTTATTAGTTGGATTTTCTGTTCGAAAGCGAGGCTGATTACTCTAGAGTGATTTAGGTTGGTCGGGATAGAAGGATGTATTATGGTGGCCGATAGAGGCCACCCAAGGGTCAGACTCACATCCCAATTTCAATTTCGAACTCCACTGCCCTGTTTCCCGCCCGTATCGTATTTATCACATACAGGAATATCTTAAGGGACTTTATCTAAGTACGGGTCACTTTTAGAATAGACTTCAGAATAGACTTCAGAATAAACTTGAGAAGGGATTTGAGAAGGGACTTAAGAATAGTTTTAAGAAGGGACTTAAGAAGGGACTTGAGAATAGACTTGAAGGAGCAACTAATCATACTAGTACAAGGTATTATTGGTCCACAGCAAGAAGTCATAAAAAAAAAAAAAAAAAAAAAGACAAGCAAAATAATCAGGTGTTCTCAGTACTCTCCCCTTACTCAAGCCAAATAATCATAGCCAGAGACCGCATAAAGGCTGCCAGGGCTGGTGGGCTTGTTCCCACCACTTGTGTCACTTCCCCAGGAACTCTGGTATTTTGAAGTGCCGTGGAGACAGGTCCTGTCACCACATCTGATGTTGCCCACATCTGCGGGACCCGTTCATGTACATTTGATGTCGTGCGACCGGACCAAAAAGTTGTGATTGTCACCCAATCCGCACCTGTTGGTTCGAGGCAATTCAGCCTTCTGAAATCAACATCCTTGAACACCAAAATAACACCCTGAGGGCCCGCATAGCCAAGGGCATATTCGAGGCTAGGGGTTGTATAAAACCCCGGACCAAATTCATTGTTCATGTTTGAACGCGTCAGTGCTGGTGTGAAAAACGCCATCAGGCTTTGCAGCATGACTCGGGAAAGACCCTGGAAAAGAAGACCTCTTCCAAGTGATGAGGCAAACTGGTTCTCAATCTCCGAAGCGATCTTTGTCAATTTTTGGGTTGGAACTTTTGGCCAATGGTGGTTCGGGCCATGGAAATTTTCGGTGGGAGGTTTTGGGACCGAGTGCATGGAATGACATCAGATAGGCAATGCTGTCTCATTGTTTCAGTCACACTTGGCGGGATAACATTGTACACAGTCATAGGACTTGTAACCGAGTTTGGGATGATCTGCCGTCCTGAAAAAGGCGTCACATAATCAGGGGTGTTGTTGTATATCTCCGCATATACAAAGCTAGGGATTTTCCCCAAATGATATAGGCTTTCGAAAAGCCATGCAAGAGATCCTCCGTGAGGAATGTAACAAATCTCATCGGTTAGGGTATATCCAGGGTCGTCGATCAAGACTTGGAGTTCTGGTTTCCCGGCTAACCAGAACATGGATGAGAGGTCCCCAACCAGCCAAGTGGTTTTCTCAATCCCAGGATAAAGCCAATCAGCAAGGTCCTCGGGAACATCACCAGGATACCCAGTGTCATTGCTCCATATTGGCCGGTAGCCAGCCGGCTCCAGGCTTTCAAGGCCATTGACCATATCGGCCATTTTGATTTGAGAGCAGACTGGTGAGAACAAAACTGATGGGGAGGCATTGGTTGAAGGAAAAGAGCGATTTGAGATGATCCTGAGGTTGTGGAAGGAGAGGTGTTTGATTTTGATGGTGACGAGAGTGATGTATCTAGCAGGGAGTTTTTGGGGAATCTGTCCCGGCTGCAGGTCTGGTACGTACGCCGCCCCGGCTCCTTTTGCTTGGGCTGGTGTCGGAGGTTGAAACTCTCCCCAATCTGGCAAAGGAATGTGAATGGGCTGTTTCTGTATCTCTCGTGGTCGGCGATTGTGTAGCCAATGCATTGCATGACAATGGCCTCCGCATTAAAAAGTAGGTAAGCGGGGACAATTGGAGAAGTCTGTACTAGTATGTTGACCGGTAGTGGTTGCAGAACTGGTGATCAGCGGCAGTGAAGTGCAATTGGAGCCTGGAGGAGTCCGTATGTTGATCGCTCGTCAGATCTAGATTTCTAATGCGTAAAGTTTCTTTCCTTCTTCCTTCCTTCTGCCAGACCTCTCTTTATTTATGTAGAGAATATCACCGCTTTGTGATTTCCTTCTTTCCTGCTAAATAATTATCTCAAGTACGAAGTTTATATGTGCACTATACTCTTCTCCAAGTACTGAGTAGGTTCTCATATCGGATACTGGGTTTATACCCATCCTAAGTATCAAGTACGTACTAGTATCAAATACGCAGCGGCTCTTAACTGTTAACAGCTTTTTCTTCTTCTTTTGATAGTTCCAATTTTCCAAATCTGGAAGTCTACCGTTTCTAAGGTCGGAGAACATAAGCCTTTTAATAAGGTTTCGGCAGAACATACTAGTACTTATTCGTTGTGGACAAATTATGCAGTTTACCGGATCAACCATCCGCTCCCAACTAGTTGATTATCTGATAGTACCGAAGACAAAAAGGGCAGTACCTACTAACCTACTAGTACTAGTCTTGTCTCTGGGCCTTTACCTTCCGAGTCCTCTTCTCTTTCTCCTTCTTCTTCTTCTTCCTCCTCCCTGCATCACTTTGCAACTAAGAACTCATCTCTACATCTACTAATCACAACTCTCCATCATGTGCTCTGGCTCTTTATCCTTGCAGTGGCTCTACAAGCACCTGCGCTTCGAAAGGCCACTCTTGGACACTAAGAAGCTTCAGTCTCAGCTGTCATCCTCTACAGCCCTCGACAAGAAGCCCACCACCATGGAAAGACTTGATAAGTACAAGCCTTCCAACAAGGACGATCAAACAGTCAGTATTCTGCGCTCGTTCTACACCCACCTACCGAACGACGGTAGGACCAACTTCATCCTCGATCTGGAGCCTCTGCAAACAGACGAGGAACTTCACGACTACGCGGAGTCCCTGGTAAACGGCTTCCTGATCCCCATGCGTTCTGAAACCATCAGAACCCCATTTGTGACGGCGCAGCAAGCCGCGCTCAAAGCCAAATGTCTCGATCGTGACGGGTCACGATGTGTGCTCAGCAAGACGCGGGATAAAAAGGATTATCCGCACGACAAGCCAAATACCAACAAGGACACATTCGGAGACCTCGAATGCGTCTCTGTAATCCCCTTTTCTTTGGCAGAATGCAACGATGAGACCGAGTCCGAGGGCCTAGCCAAAGAGCTGACTTGGACAAGGCTTGAGCGATTCTTCCCTGCTCTTATTGCTCGGGCCAAATTCACCCGCAAGTCAATCTACGAGACTCGTAATGCATTGACGCTTGAGCGGGGGCTTTATGTGCAGTTCGGTAGTTTCGCTTGTACGCTGGAGCCGACGGATGATCGGCATTCGTACTGTCTTCTTTGGCGGAAATTTGAGGCCGGAGGGGACAGGGCGTCGTGGGGAAGTTCGCTTCGGTTGCTGATGATGAGATGTCATCGTGGTCGGCATAAGCTTCCGACGCCGGAGCTGCTGGAGATTCATTCTGCCGTTGCTCATATTTTTCATGAGCCAGGGGTCAGGCCTTATGTTGAGAGGGCTTTGGATGATCTGAGAAAGACTGAGGGGCTGGCAGAGAGTGGTAGCACGAACATTTCGTCCTTGTTGGCTATCACTTCCCTTGGTGCTTTTAGTTCGAGGGCTGGGGGTATTGAGAAGGTTCGGGCAAAACTCGAGCCTTTGGAAGAAGAGGAGGAGAATCTGGGCTAGGGTATTGCTTTTTAGTCTTTTGAATTAGCATGTTGTCTGAATTTGAATGCGAATACAAAGCTGTTATTTTGCTATGTTCCAATACATTGATTCTTAGTCCCTTCGGAAATATTCAAGTCTGGTGCAATCTTAAATTCATGGTTACTGAGGACCACCTTGCCGGACTGTATGACTTCGAACGTAGCTTGAGCTTTATTTCTATCAATGTACGTCAAGCCAAGCCACAGACTAGCCATATATTCCTAAAATCCCCAGATAAAACTTTCAAAACACCCAACGCCATGCTTATGACTATGCAATCAATCAATGCAAGCTCCCCTTTCAAGCCTCATATTACCACCGTCGCTCACCAACAGGCTTCCGAACACTCGGATCAAGATTAGCAGGACTAGGAGACCGGCCTCCCTGCAAGCGCGCACGCAACCGATCCTGCGCAGATCCACCCGAGCCCCCAGAATTCATCCTCGTCTGCGAAGACTGATACGACCCAGCCCGCTGACTAGGCAACGGCCGAGCCCCAGCAGGGTGAAGCTGAGAATTAGACTGGGACTGCGTAAGCGGAGGACCAGGCGATGGCACCGGGCCAGCAGGCGAACTGGTACTAGAGGTAAGCGGCGGGGCGCCAGCAGCATTCCGGCCGCGACGCAGACTCGCCGTCTGCGCAAGTGGTGGTTGAGGCGAGCCCGAGTCACCCCACAGATCGCCCAGGCCGCCACCGCGGCCGTGGGCGGCAGCGGGGCCCTGGCCTTGGCCTTGGGCTGTTGCGACGACGCGGGAGTTGGCGGAGGGGGCTTTGGGGTCTGGGGGGAGCCAGCCGGGGAATGGGCGGCCTTTTTCGCTGTAGTAGGCGCGCAGGGCGTTGGAGATGTGCGAGCAGTCTTCGTTCTCCGGGTCGTCCGCTTCGTCGCCTAGGGTGATGGCGCGGCGGAGGCTGTTGAGCCGCGAGCCGATGACATTTGATATGGAGGATGAGGATGTGAGGGAGGAGAAGTATGAGCTCATTTTCGGTCGGTTGGCTTGCGTGGTTGGTTGGCTGGTGTTGCGCTAATGTGCGAGGACAGCTTGGATGTGGGGTGGGGTCAATGGGTGCGGAGCTGATTCCGGAGGGATGTGGTGTAGGTGATGCTTGTTGGATGGGTGGGAGGACTGAGAAGATGTAGGAAATCTTCGGTTCAAGCTTCCGGGTGATTATGTATGTGTTGTTCGCAAAAGAGCCGGCTCCTGCAAGTTGAGTGGCGGAGAAAGACGAAACCCGAAGTGAAACAGGAGAGGCGGTTCGGAGCACACGTGATTTTCTATACAAAGCTGAAGAAACCCTCCGCCACTTCTCGTCGACTTTATTTAGTGGGTGCGATTTTATATGTCAATTATGGCTGGAAAGATTTAAATGTTGACACATTTTTGATCCAAAGATTATCATTCAAGCTTGTAAAATGCCGGTCTTCCCAGATCGAATATGAAGCTACACTATGTATATTTATTTTGGATCCATGGGTCTGTTTTAGGTAAATTGATCGACTTTGCACTCCAATTCAAATTCCATCAAACGAGCACCCAGATATTGGTTTTCGACATCTTTCCACATAACGAGAAAGTTGGAAATTACCACGCATTTTCATTCTCAGACTTTCTTACTTTTCGCTTTCATGCTTTCAAAGTCCAGGTTAACGTTGGAATCTTGCTTACTCCACAGGGGAGGCTTCTCCATAATTGATGCGCACCAACCGCTCCTTCAACCTTGGAACATGCATATGTGGTCATTTAGTTTGTCAAAACTTGGCATATTTGGCGGATGCAATTCCTTCAAATGTTCCATAAATTTTAAATGACATTGAAAACCTTGGAGCCATTCATGGATCATATTGATGTATCCCGCTGGCGGGCCTTAAAATCCACCGAGAAGTTTCAATTGGGTGTTTCCTCTACGTGACCGTCAATGGGGGAAATATGTCCACACTACCCGAATAGATCCACATGGTTGGCTCCAGCTCTTGTATTGTTCCAGAGCACGTCGAGCCTTGATTCTTATTATACAAAAGCGGCTGCTGCCACCTTCACTGATTTCAAGTCATTAAGGCCGAGTTGGAGGAACTTGGAAGATCTCACATAGCTCGAAGCTAACGCCAGTATTACCGCCTGTCATGATAAAAACACGACCCTGCTGTAAAAGTAGCTCTTTCTCCGTGAACCCGCTTTCGGAGGGAACCAGTGGGTGCGCAGATTCTTGAAGGACATTCATTATCCATAGAAAGTTGAATGCTATTTAACATAGAAAAAAAAGGGGGTTTCTCTCCATCTACCATGAGTCACGAGTGTGTACTTATCGACCGCCTATATAGATTGTCGAGTCGGGGTCTGTTCTTTATTCCCCTGCACATTCATCCTGCTAGCTTACATTGCATGCGCCGGCGAATCAGCAGTGGCTACCACTTACAAGGATCTTCTGGGCCAGCCGACCAAGTACACAGCTGTTTCCCCGACTCTGGAACATTTCAACTCACTTTTTTCTCAGTTACAGCTTATACTACTGTTGCGCACCTGTCCTAATCGGGACTAGTGCCTTTTGCCCACTTGCTTAAAGTTATATTTAATTCTACATAGTAGAAATCGCATTTGGTATAAAATACTTATGAAAGCCCCTACATAGCGCTGAGTGGGGACTCGGCCCCATTTTCGGGACCGGGAATCGGGGATAGCACAACTTGCAAGCCGGAGTCCGATGGCAAAATTATCTCCAGGTCACTTATGGAATATTTACGTTATATTTCGCACTGTTAACCTTTGAGTGCCGAATAATTGGATCCCTTCTCCACACCTTCCGAGATTTTGAGACAATTAGTATCATCTGCGATTGGAGAGAGATCTTCAATGCTCGAAATTGCACAGAATGTGCTCGCTCCTGCAAGCCTAGACGGATACTGTTGAGCACCGAGGTGCGTCGCGGCATCGAAGGGGCGCACAGACATCTGGAGCTTGAGCGGCATTCAAATCCGACATCAAGCCATCGAAAATCTTTGAATGAGATCCATCGATGAAAAGGGGGAAACCAGATACCATGCACGCACTGCGCAAAAGCGCACGAAGCCGCGACCGCGGACGTTTTTACTGACCGAGTCCGAATCCCCTATTCCCTGACCACAAAGCATAGTGCCCGCTTCCCCACAAATGCGGCTGCAGCGGGATGCATAAATGGGGCTCTTACGTTTATGACATCCCATATATCCGAGCCATACCTTTCCCCATTGGATCGGCCCGAACGCTTGCCCTCGGGCAAAGTATATAAGTAATAACACCAACTACTAACCCTCATAAAAAAGAACAATCAAATGAAACCAAAAATCAAACAACCTCAACGCCCAAAATGACCCCATCAACCAAAACAACCGCAATAACAAACGCCCGAGTCTTCAACGGCACCACATTCTCCCCACCAACAACCATAACCATCACCGGCGCACTCATCAGCACCCCAGAACAAACCCCAACACACACCATCGACGCAAAAGGCGCATATCTCCTCCCAGGCCTAATAGACGCCCACATCCACCTCTCAGGCCCAGAAGACCTAGCAACCATGGCCCGGCACGGCATCACCACCGCGCTCGACATGGCAACCTGGCCAATCGAGCGGCTCACAGCCCTCCGCAACCAAAAAGGCCTGACCGACATCCGCGGCTGCGGCCTCGCAGCCTGCGGGCCCGGCAGCGCCCACAGCCACATCCCCGGCCGCCCCGACGACGCGGTCGTGTCCAGCCCAGCGCAAGGCCGCCGCTTCGTGCTGGACCGCCTCGCCGAGGCCGCGGACTACATCAAGATCGTGGCTGACGTGCCGGGCCCGACGCAGGAGACGCTGGATGCGATGGTGGGCGCTGCGCACGAGCACGGGAAGCTTGTTATCGCGCACGCGGTCACGGTCGAGGCGACGCGCATGGCGCAGGCGGCTGGCGTGGATGTTGTTACGCATGCGCCTGTTGACGGGCTGATGAGTGCGGAAGAGGTTGGGGAGATGGTGCGCGCGGGCCGCGTGAGTGTTCCTACGCTTACGATGATGAGGGGCGTTTGTGCGCGGCGGGGCGCGGATTATGCGGTTTCCAGGATGAATGTTGAGGCGCTGTTTAGGGCTGGTGTGGTGGTTTTGGCGGGGACGGATTCGAATCGGGCGCCTGGTGTGCCGGCGGCGGTTGAGCATGGTGTTAGTTTGCATGAGGAGTTGGAGTTGCTGGTTGAGTGTGGGTTGTCGACGGCTGAGGTTCTTAGGGCTGCTACTTGTTTGACGGCGGAGGTGTTTGGGTTGCGGGATCGTGGACGTATTCTGCCCGGTCTGAGGGCTGATCTTTTGCTTGTTGATGCTAATCCGTTGGAGGATATTAGGGCCACTAGAGGCATTGTCAAGGTTTGGCTTGGTGGACTGGAATATGCGCTGTAGGTGAAATGAGGAATGGTCTGAAGCTATTTTAGTTATATACAAAACATCTCATGGTTTCTTGTTTCCGTTTGTGTTCGTTTTGAGGCTCAGGATCTTGGCTCAGGATCCATCGCTAATATGGGGAACAATTGAGTTATTTCAGAAGTAAACAATTGCGTCCGAGCGTAAGGAGTGGTGGGGACTGGGGATTTTCATGTGGGACGGCGGGACAGTGGGACGCCGGATATTCGGTGCCCGGTGTTCCTCGTGGAATTCGATATGTGATGCCGTTTATTGCAGGAGAGAATGAAGGAAAGAGGTTCAAGGGAAAACCAAACAGCGTTGGCGAATTGGTGCAGCAAACCGGCTGAGTGAACATTGAAGTGGAAAAATAATAGTTTTTTATCAAAAATAAATGACAGGCCTATAAAGTGTCTAAACCCGTATTGACAAGTTTCATCGAGCAGTAGATGCGATAGTTGGGTATGATGCCCGATCACAATAGAGCACAGCACAAGACAAGAAAAGAAACCCACAACGCCATGCAATCTCAAACTTTTCCCAAAACCCCCCGAGAACGACAAGCTTAAGCCATAACAGTATCACGGTCAGCACCCTCGGTCTCGTACTCGATCTCGATACGGGGACCCTTCTTCCTGGGCTTCTGCTGCGGCGCAACGTGCTTCCGCTTAACGCTGGGCTTAGGCTTCTTCTGCTCATCATCGCTGTCCTCCTCATCACTCTCCTCGTCGCTGGAGTCATCGCTGTCCTCATCCAACTCACTCGAGTCATCGGCCGAGTTCTCACCCAACCAATCCTCAATATCCTCGAGATCCTCCTCATCATCCAGATCACTAACGTACTCGACCTCACCAACACCCTCCTCCTCTTCCTCCTCATCCTCGAGCTCTCCATCATCAAGATCCTCGTCACGCTCACCATCTCCCGCGCGCTCAAGTCCACGCAGGACCTTCTTCCAGATGTGCTCGTCAACATTAAGCGGCTGGTCACCGTAGGCACCGGACCGCAATCGATCAATCAGTTCACGCTCAATGGCTCGCTCGACCTTAGCGGCCGAAAGCGCCTTGCGCTCACGGGTCTCCTCTCGTCTCCGCACCTTGGGCGCAAGCTTCGGCACAACTCTTTCGCCCAAACGCTCTTCCTCCTTGGCGATGTTCCTCATGCGGATGTTCACCTGTGTCAGGCGGGTGAGACGCTGCTTGCACTTGTGGGTGAGGAATTTGGGCCAGTAGATCAGTCGCTCGTCGACCTGTTCGAGGGCCTTGGCGTAGTTTGAGGAGAGGCGAACACGCTCCCACCATTTGCTGGGCATGTGGGAACGCTCGATGGTCTTCATGTACAGGTACATGACGCCTGTCTCGGGGTCGGAGCGGACGGTTGCGTACCGCGAGTTGGCGAGGGGGCATGCTTGCCGATTGCAAAGTCCGGTGACATTGTATTCATTGCGACAGAAGTTTTGTCCTTTTGTTGTTCTATGATTTAATGGTTAGTAAAGCCCTTTCTTAAAACCTGGGATCGAAAATTTGAGATGGTTGCGGGTTCGAGACATTGATAAAAATTGATCGTAAAAGATTGGTAAGGCTGGGTTTGAAGGGGCAATGGGACTCACTTGAGTTTGTATGAGCAAAACTGCTGGTTAATAACCTGCCAGACAATTTCGTCAGACATGATGGGCTGAGGTGGTGAAGTGTACACTGAAAGAGCCGTTGCCCAGATGTTGATCCAGATGAAAAAAAAAGTTGACGGTCACGTGTAATGCTTATCGATAGGAGTGCGGTGAGTGGTTGTCAGTACTATACACACTGTGTAGTCTGTCATATCTGATTGGCTGCAGATCGCTGACTCATCATCATACTACAGAATCGCTGGACTGTCATTGGTCAGCCTCACCGCGCATATCCCTATATAACTACTAGTAGTAGTTAGTTACTGCTTAAGATACTTGCTTACTAGTAGTATAGATGAATGGTCTTCGTCATGATAATTATCGTAACAGAAGAAAACCCTTTGACTAGTATTTGGGTATATGCATTGAATGTACGTTTCAGTCCTGCAAATGAATCATGACCAGCCTTCTGTCTGCAATCCACCATCCCACTCTGTCCCATTCATCATAGGATTCACCATTTCCGATTCTTCGGCAACCAGGTCATCAGTACAGCCCCAGCCCATCGACTCCAACTCCCGAACGAAAAAGTCCCGCTCCTCCTCCATGATGGCAGTGCCTTCAGGACCACCCATCACACCCTTGTATTGGCGAAGGTGCCACCAGTGCGTCAGTCCACGAAGGGCCTGTTCCAGCGGCAACGCGACTTCGACATCATTTTCGATGTCCGAGCCCGCAAGCCAGTCATCCCGAAGCTCGGGTTTGCAGTACAAGTAGATGGCAGTAATAACCCGCATGTTGCTCTGGCGCCATTTCCTACCGCAGTAGGGCACTTGGGATTTGAAGAGCTTGAGTGTGTAGAATCGCAAATGCGGGTCGGGGATCTTAAGGCCCTTTCGTAAGATCGTGCTAGATTTATACTGCACAAGAAGCAGGCAGCGATGGGCTTTGTCGCGCGTGATCTTTTGCATAATATGTAAGTAATTAATAGCAGAGAAGAAGTTGCGGAATGAGAAGACAGTTATTGGCTCTTTCGGAAGAGGGGCGGTAGGATAGCCCAGTTCATCGACCTCGGGCCGGGTGGGGCCATTTAGACCGGCCATGGTTTCTTCAGCCGATATGTTACGGACAGAAGTATCTGCACGAAACAGCTTGGGTCGGTGTCTGGAAATTGGTGGGGGCGCAGCTTCATCCTCGCTTTCAGTGTCTCCACAATCAGGATCATCGATATCTGGGTGATCGATGTTCTCACGACAGAAATGGAAGAAACTAGATATGTGTTAGGAGAATTTAATCAATCAATTTGAGCGTACAAGGAACATACGATAATTCGTCACGATCATTCCTCTGTGCCACCGTCTGATCCACATCTTGATGAGCAAACATCTTCAGAATCAAAGGTAGGTAGTTCGAGTCCAGCAAAAGCTGTGTCATGTACTCGAACTTTAAGACGTCTGCTTTTTGTTAATATCTATTAACAAGCTGATCATGCAGGCAAGGTAAACTCACGAGATCGCTTAAACCATTTCACTAGAAGGAGTAAAGTGCCAGAAACGGCCTTGGAGGTGATCTCCCGCAACCGAATGTTATCAAGCTCGTCCACGGAGGGTTCGGCGAAAAAGTCCGCTGAGGACCCATCAGGACCATGTCCGTTGCTTAAGAGATATTAGAAGCTTCCTCAAGATACTTGTTAAAGTGCCACGAAACATACCTCATATTCTGGGAGGTTTGTGAATTTGCCTGGTTGACCACTGCACTGACATTGGTCAAAATGATCTTTAAGAAGACAATTGTAATCGACTGGAGGTGGACCAGTGTTTGAGCCTAGTGCAAACAAATCATGAGTAGAGTTCGATGGCATATATCGAGGGGATGTCTTACATAAAAGCTTTCAACGGCATCCAATCGTCGTTGGATGTCAGAATCTTCTGTTTGCTCTGTCGACTTTTTGGTTTTGGAACCTCCAGATCCGGACAGATTAATGGAATCCAATTCGTCACGTAGATCTTCTGGCGATAAATTCCAACCTCGGTCGTACTTCATAAAGTTCTCACGCTCTTGCCAGAGCTGTCTCATTGACCTGGCCATTTTGACGTGAGTAGAAAATAGTCGACCAGCCTCGATAATGGACGCGGGGACATCGCTGCCCTCCCATCGTTTTCCAACCAGAACATCCTGTCGCTCGGTTGTACCTTTACCACCAATCTTGTTGCTAGTGTCATCTAAAGGAGGGTACATAAGGGGGAAATTCTGGTTGGTTTGATAATTCTGCTTCTTGCCACCTTTGCCTCCAGGTCCACCTGGCGATGGAGGCGGAGATGGTGCCGGAGTTGCAATATGAACAGCTTGTTGGAGGATAGAGCCGTTTCCGCCAGCAATAGACGGACCAACTCCAGAAAACAGACCGTTAGTGCTGCCTCTGGCAGGATGCTGTGGAAAAGGAGGTAGGATAGAATTGTTCTCGAGTTCAAGCGGGACAATGGGTGGTGGAGGGTTGTAGGCGGGGTATTTGGAGGTAATTTCTTGACGAAAAACGTGGTAGTCCAGGGGAGATGCGTGTAAGAATGGTCCTCTGCGGTTGGTAGATACGGGTTCACGAGACGCAGGTGGCTCCAATAATTCCTTCGCCTTCTTCAGCTGAGAGCTGCCACCAAACACCAAAAGCAAAGACTTCCATAGGAGAAGAATGATGCGAGTGAGAGGAATATTCGCAGTTTCATCCCATCGAAGTCGTGCAATGATTTCCACTATTGTGACCAGCAGGCAGGGGGCAGACTCGGCCAATGCATCACGGATCAAGGTACATTGAGGGTCTCGGGCCTCTTGTCTACGGCCCACCTCAATCGAAAAATACAGCAGTGTCAGCACCAAGTTGGCTTCACGGTCTGGTCCGGGAATATCGCCTATATGGCCTTGCGAAAACTCCAATCCATCAAGATCGGCCTCCTGTGAACTCCTAGTACGATCAAACAATTCCGACAGGCGCTTAACCAGTAATGGAATGCCGTCGCACTGCTGAACAAGTAAAACGTTCTTTTCGATCCATTCTATTTGTAGCGATTTCGACCGCGGTGATTCCGCAGCAGCCTTGGGATCTGGGTTTTCAGGGTAATCGGGCGTTGGCCTACCAGCAGTGATCCCCCAAACACCAGTCACCGCATAACAGAGAATCTCCAAAGCCTCGATCCGAACCGAGATTTCAGGATAGTGGAGCTTATCGAGAGATCGTGACAGAAAGGTTCGGCGTAGATCGTCAGATGAATCTACCCAAGAAAATTCCGTAGTTCCCGAGTTTTGAGTATTGCAGAAGATCGACCACTGACGATCAAAAGTCTTCTTCATTCCCTTTAACAGAAAGCGGTCGAAGTCATTGTATTGGAACCATTCGTCTAGCTCTTCGGGGAATGCCTGCGAGTCCGCATACTCAAATGCATATGCAGGCTGTTCCACCTTTGGCATCTCCTGCACAAGTCGTCGTAACTGGGCCAAGCTGAGAGAATCTGTGGCTGGTTCCGTATTCTGTTGTATCGGGGCAGGTGGAGGGGGCTGAAGAGGGGGCGGGGGAGCTACTGGGTTGTCGCGACGTAGCTCAGGCCGTTTAGATTTCTTTTCCGGTTGTGTATCGTTAGATTCCACTGCCTGCATAGCTTCGGCAGCTTGCTCCTGGGCTTGTTCTTGTCGCAACTCCTCCACGACCTCCTCCATCAATTGGTCATCGGACACTGGTGAAATATCGGTTCCGGTCTGGTCGATTTCATCGGCCTTTACGATGTGATGCTCCTCTGGCATATTTCCATCGTTTGAATCTGGTGGAATTTCCATGATGATGGGTTATCTTGCGACGCGGGGGTGTTTTCTTGAAAATCAACAAGCCTAGGGTGGCCAACAAAGAGAGGCTGGTTGGGTGGCTGGTCACAAGGTGGGGGTCATTAAGATTATATGAAGGAATTGAACAAGATCTTCTGGGTTAAAGAAGCCTCAAGGGCCTGGAGCATGGTGCAGCCAGATCCATTCGTATAGAGACAATTCGATTGCGGAGTTGGGGTGGATAGACCACGCTCCTATCCCACGTGATCTGGATGATCTACGCTAAACCTAAAAAAGCATCATATCAACTAAACCTTGAAATGTACATGGTATTTTAGATTCGTGAAGTTTCAATTTTGAAATCTTCATTTAGTGAGTAGTAATTCTTATGTTCCCTTTATTTTCTACTATACACAGCCCATCGTATATCATCCCCAATCGAAAAGCAAAGACAACAGGAAGATTATTCCGACTTGCGGGACTTGCGGGCGTCACTGCGACGCTTCAATCTTAATACTTCCCATCGTTGCCAACCAGCCTCAGCTAGGTCTTCACTTACCACCAAGTCACGAATGCGTAGCAGACGAGAAAGTGTCAATTCCACAGCCCAGTCGATCCATCCCCAGCGACGGAGCAAGCCCGTGATAACAAACCAGCCAAAGGCACACACCACACCAGCTCCACAGCCCGCCAGCACTTGGCGAGGAGTGTGATAGTTCAGGTAGATACGGCTCGTAGCAACAGCACCAGCAACGGCCAAAAGAATCAAGGTCACAGCCCCTCTCAAGAGGGTGCCCAGGAAAGGATAGGAGGTTGCATAGGCCGGAGTGTGTCGGAATAGGAGGAAGAAAGTGAGGTAGACGGAAAAGAAGGTCATGAACTGGGCATGGGATGAAGGCATGCCGAACCCTTTTCCCAGCATTTCTGTAGAGAGGGGATATCAGCACGTGTCCAATAATACAGTGTAAGGATTTTAGCTAGCTCTTTCAACATACCCTTAGGTCGCTCTTCCTTGATGAGACGCTTCAGCACAAAATTTAATGCTTCACAGCCTAGCTGTCCAGCAAACATCATGATGACCTCCATTTCCCTGGTTGCCCAAATCAAAGTCGTATATGAGACGCAAAGCGCCTGGGGTAAGAGGGCTAGCCATGCCGATGCAAAGGAAAGGGGATCCTCCGGGTTCTATGCCGATAGTTAGTTTCCAGTCCTATATAATTTCATGACAGGTTGTGTGGTTACATAGTGGACATGTGTAAGAGACAAGGATGCCAGTGGTGTGTCAGACATGGTGGAGGTATGCGGAGGAACAAGCTTGGAACTTGGCAAGCGAACTTGAACATTCAATAACATTGAAGAAACAAGGAAAGCACGAGCCACCTTGAACACACGATAAGATAAGCGGAGCAAACACATCAAACATGTATTTATATACCATATTTCGTATACATACTGTTATTCATAGTAATTTCATATAATTTCATATAATTTCATACTGTTCTCCAGTGGACTGTATAAATCAAACTGATTTTTTAGCCCTGAATACACATAATACGCGATATACAAGACAAACATTTCCAACACACATTTCAAGTCCAAATCAAAATACCATTAGGCACCAAAGACTGGGCTGCCAATTGTGGCATTGCTCATTACTACTGATCCTTTTTTTTTTGGCTTCTTCATAATACTTCTTTGTTCCATCTTACATTTTCTTTCTCTTTCTCTTTTCTCCTTTCTCTGTCTTGCATCTATTGTCACGTCCTTCCAACTGTGCTTTTACTTCCATCCGTGTTGCAAACCATGACGCAGTCCTTATCTCGAAATATTCCCGCTTTCCTGTTACATCACTTGATAGACCCCTCGTTACTCAACACTAGGGACAAGATTCCTCGAATGCTCTGTGCTAGAGTGCCGTGATCTACTGGTGCGTTGTATATCATATATCATTGGGCTAATTTTCTTCCGTTCTGTTTCGCTGATGAATTCTTCCTGCAGGTAAATCCCATTTCTGCCCGATCCCGAAGGTCGCCACTTTTTTTTTGGTGATCACGACCACCCACTCCATATCCCACGTTCAGGTTCCGAAAAATCTCCAAAATTTAAACTCCCCGACCACGTCGCAAGGTATGACCATTCAAGACTAGCCTATCTGGTCAAGGTCGTTCCTACCGACATTGCGACTGCGACTCAACTCTTCTCAGGTCTTCACGAAAATACCCCCGGGCCTCGATTTCCCGGACTTTTCTAAATCCAACATGACCGAAGCCGAAGACCCCGCGGAAGACGACCGGTCCGTCGAATTATCTTCGATCGTCGCAATATTTCCGGAGATAAAAATTGACCCGCAATTTCCGTTCAAGGCTGTGTTGGATTTGCCCGTCGCATTACCGTCGCCCACCCGGGTCAGCTTCCAACAACCGCTCGATGGCGGCCTCCCCGCAGCGCTCACGCCACCAACGTCCGTCGATGTCTCCAAGGCCGATCTTGAACAGGCCGCTGTGAGAGATGTCCACATGTTGTCGCATCTACCACCTCTCAACCTGGAGATCGAATTACCTGACGGATACCCCTCTGAAAAACCTCCGATTGTTAATCTCACCACCCACCCGCGATGGCTTTCGCCGTCAACCCTCACAAAATTGGCCGAGGATTGCCAACGCTTATGGAGTGAATGTGGGCAGGATATGGTTGTCTACACATACATTGACCATCTACACCAACTGGCTGAAACAGCCTTCGGGATCCAAGACGCATCGGACGGCGAGCTTTCTCTATCGCGTGATTTGAAGGTCGCATTGCTAGACTTTAACAATTCTACGGAGCGCGAGAAGTTTGAGCACCAAACTTTCGAGTGTGGGGTCTGTCTCGAGCCGAAGAAGGGTATGAACTGTCACCGGCTCTTGCGATGTTCGCACGTCTTTTGCGTACCATGCTTGCAAGACTTTTATAATGCGTCCATCACGGAGGGCGATGTTGAAAACATTAAATGCATGGCGCCGAACTGTGATTGGAACAAGAATTCGAGCCCCGCCCCCGGTAGTGAAGGGCCAACTCCCCGACGCAAGAAGCATGACCCGACGCTTGGACCCAATGAACTTCTCCAGATTCCACTTGCACCAGAGACCGTGCAACGATACGTCCTGCTCAAGCGCAAAAAGAAGATTGAAGCTGATAAAACCACGATTTACTGTCCACGACAATGGTGTCAAGGTGCAGCACGATCAAAACGGCATCCCAAACCTTCCGATCCAATGGCAGACGACCTTGAATCTTCGGACGATGAAGAAGCCTTTGAATTCGATCCCCGAGGAGATGAGTCACAACTTCCTCCTCCCGCTGATCGTTTAGCTATCTGCGAAGACTGCAATTATGCCTTCTGTTCCGTCTGCAGAGGCAATTGGCACGGTGTGCTTGTCCGGTGCTACCCACGCCGCGCCGCTGAGCAAACCGAGGAAGAGAAGGCTACCGATGAGTATCTACGATTATACACATCTCCATGCCCGACATGCAACGTGCCCTGCCAAAAGCTAATGGGCTGCAACCACATGATCTGCCGCCAATGCGATACCCATTTCTGCTATCTCTGCACAAGCTGGCTCTCAGCCGATAATCCATACGAGCACTTCAACAACGGCAATAACCAGTGCTACAACCGTCTCTGGGATCTGGAGGGTGGCGACGGTCTCAATCCTGTGGGTGCGGAACTTTTACACCGCATCCCAGAACACCTCCTCCATTTCGATGATAACGAAGAAGACGATAATGAAAATTTACACGATGATGATAACAATGATGATGATGACGACGACGACGATGATGACGAAATTCCCGAATGGCTTGAGCTTCGTCCTCGCCCTCCACCCCCAGCCCCCGTTCCGCCCCGTCCGCCTCACGCCGCCGCCCGAGGCCGCGGCGATGATCAAGGTCGAGCCGCCCGTGCCGCCGCGCTAGAGCGACAAGCCCAGGCCCGCGCCATCGCCGAAGTCCGTAACCGTCAACCGGGCGAGCGGCCCCGCCGCCGTGCTCGTCCCCTTGTAGCTGGCCGTCCTCCTTTCCCCGGTCGCCCTGCTGCTCTCCCTGGCCGTCCTGCCCGTCTTCCTGCGCCCGATCTTCTTCCGGATGAACGGTTCGTGGAATGGCAAGCTGGTCTGCAGCATTTCCTGGCACTTGTTCAGGATGACCGTGAAGACGAATGGGATAGTGACGAGCTGGATGAAGCCGAGCTTTGAGTCCTGGTCGGTGAACTTCTTACTCTATTGATTGATACCCACCCGATGTTAAATTTTGGTCTATTTCTTCTACTTCTCCTATTTCTTCCTTTTTTATTCTCCTTTGAGCGGGTAATGGCTTTTTTTTTCTTACTCTGGCCTTGACGTTTGCATGAGAAATGAATCCAATGACACCGATCCTTCACTGTGAATTTATTATTTTTATGTACATCCATTTTCTATTTTATGTCTACTCTTTATCTTGTGTATGTCTTGAGGCTGCTTTTTCTTCTTAAGGTTTGCATTTGGTCTCGCGTCTTCAACTACGGCTCTTTGGCTCCTGTTTGAGACCTTGGTATTCTTCCTGATCGGTAAATTGTTTCAGTTGCGACTTCTTTTTCACTTCCTTAGCTAGATGCATATTTCAGCGTTTGCTTCAAGAGTTACATTTTTGCTACTAGCCCTTTTCAATCATGGATGTCTTATTATGCTATTTCAAATATTTCCAAGGTCGCTAATGCATTCCTACGGAGGTCAAATGCTGACACAGAGCTGATTTCCAAAAAAAAAAAAAAAAAAAACCTTAAGAGAAGAAAAAAAGAAATGAGAGAAAGAAAGAAAGAAAGAGAGAAAGAAATATTGAAGAAAAAGGTCTAGTTTCACAATCATGGCCTCAAGTGCTGGCGTAACAGAACTTTTGACTCTGACCTCGGGATCATTCGATATTCATACATGCCAGATGCAGAAGTACATAACATAAAAGGTTGGTAAGCTATTCAGGATCATACTCGTATATATTACAGTCCTTGGATGAGCTCGGTAGATTGATGAGCATGACAGTTTGTTCAGTTCTTAATTCTTCCATTCGTGCCAGAACTCGTAGCTCATCACGGTATGATCAACATACAGCAAGAAGAGACGGTAGTGCCGGGAGGAATGACAGCCATGCCAAGATTCTTGAGGGCGGTATCCAGATGAAGCTTCGGCGTGGAGCTCTGCCAGTGTATAGCCATGATTCACAGGTTCGGATTTTGATACATTTTCTGACAGCGATTGATCAGACTGGGATTCAGATTCGGAATTGGATTCGGATTCAAGACTAGCATCCGTTCTTGGGATAGTCTGGTCGGTTGGTTTGGTAAATGAGGCGGATTGAGATTTGTGTTGATTTGAGGTGCTGGATGAGGATGGATAAGGCGGAGCTTCCCCGTCGTCATCTGAGTCGAGGGAGCGGTAGTTGAAGGAAAGCCAGTCGTCCGGATCGATCCCCTGGGGAATACTGGGGACGTCTGCTGGGTTTTCAAAGCCTGGCATTGGACTAACGGCGATTCCAAGCAGAGGCATCAGCGGGCGTTTCTTTTGGCGTTCTTGTGAGAGAAATGGTACAATCCAGTCAACCCGGAACGCGAAGCCGACGTCTTCTTGCCAGGTCAGGCAGATGATTGCAACGCGGCCTTTCTGCGAGGCAGCAACCACGATGCCGAGTTCGGGGATGTATTCGACCATATTAAAGCGATCACAGGCAGAGTGGATGGGTATCATGGAGATGGGTGTTGTTTGAAAGAGGACACTTTTGGACAGCAGGTGATATTCGGAATCTAAGGGATATGGCGCCAGGCTAATGTTATGTTCAGAGAAGTGAAGGACGGGGTAAAAAGATGGAGAGTTCGCTACAGATCAGATTAGCACGTAGTTCTGTCGGGCTTGAGGGTGGGAGATTTCTTACGGTGGACAGTTCGTGATTTTAAAAATCCGACACTGGGGCCATACTCGAGCTCGTCAACCCAATGACGGTGTAGGTTCGAGGTCACTCGGTAGTGTTCATTGTCGTCTTCAAACAGGCTCGACAGCGGACGCTTATCCTGGAGAACTGAGCGTGACTGATTTTCCTTTGGGAAGTCTGCGTCTGAATTTGAGGGCAGGTTGCGTACAGCACCATTTTCATTTGCGCTTTGCTCGAAATCTCCTTCAGATTCTGGTATTTGAAGGAAGATATCATCTGGGAGGCCATGGATTTCTGGAATTTCAGACTCGGTGTCACCGGTAACGAGAACCTGAGACGCATCATTGATCTCCGCGATTCCCCTCGATAGATCCAGAATTACTCTCGCCCCTTTAATAAGTGATGCTGGTGTACAACCACAAGCGTCTTCTATGGATTGATGGCGTTTGAAGGTGCGTGGATCTAGCGGAAGCACAGTCCAGCCCCTTTGGGGTGGATTGTTTTCAGGATGACCAGGATAATATACTCGATGCGGGTATAAGTCGTCCCAGATTCGCCATATTATGACTCGATTCGTTATGTCCGTGCTCACCATCCACTCGCCATTGGCATCCAGGTCAAAGTTCGCAAATGACACAGATGGTATGTTATTGTAGTGGCCCCTGTAGCTAAGTCGTAAATTCCGGGATCGATGGTTGACTGGCATCAGGTCCTGAAGTTCCTGAAATTGCTTCTTAGTATCAACGTGAAACCAATCTCGGTCCGGCTGTGCAAAATGCTCATCTACTAAAAAGTCTGCGCCAGTTTTTTCTTTGACGGGTGTAGAATCCACAAGCGCGAATGCGAACACTGTGATCTGGCCGGTGTTGGCGCTGACAGCGATCAGACGAGCAAATTTATGTGTTGCCAGTCCCCATGCGCTCATGCCGACGATTTCCGTAAAGAAAGGCGTGACCTCTGAACCATCAAAGGGTCGCTGGTGCCCTCGACTGGCGCATCGGACCACTGCGGAGTATATGGCCTCCACGTGGTAGGCGCAGACATTGCCAGAGTCCGTCCCCAGTAAGAGTATCTCCTCCAGGCCAAGGTCGTCCACCAAGATAGCATTGATAGTGTGAGGATTTGATCGGTCAATATACCCGTCTGCATTCGGGTCTCGCATCACAGGATGGATGATCATCTCAGGCTGCGTTCCCAAAAGCTGCAGAGGTCCCGATGGTATCCAAACATATATCTCAGATCCGTATGCCGCAAAAAGGAGGTTCCGTCTCTGCGAGGAAGCTGCCTTTCGGATAAAGTCAGCCTTGACGTCAGGAGAGCATAGAGATCATGCCGGGGGACCCTTACCAGGTTGGACCTCCACGTAGCAACACTAGGCGCAGCTTGGTCATGTTTCCTTTGAGAGTTGTCAGCACTGGGGTATTTGAGCTATTTAAAAAGTCGCATAGCCTACACTGAGAACTGTTTTAATCAGTATCATTACCCCACGTGAGAGATTCCAGTAGACTTACTCTATCGCTTTTTGCCTCGGTGTTTAGCGCAAAAACCTGAGGTCGGATCCCTCGTCTCTGGTCATATGGGATACCCTCATCATCAAAGTCCTCCTGGCTGGAGGTAGACATGGCGATGTCCTCAAGCTAAGGCCGTTGGTTGCGAACAGCGGGGGGGGCCGGCGACAAAGGTACTTGAGGCGTGGAGCGTGGGGTAAGGGAGAAGGGAGAGTCGGATTAAAGTGATCATTGCCGGGGGACCTCTGGGCCATGAAAGAATGTGGGAATTGGTGAGGCACAGAAGTACACATGGTCAAGCCAAACAGCACCAGAGAATCATTATCGCATCGGTGAGGCTATCCACCCCTCATAAGCTCCACAAAAAAGAGGCAGTTTGACAAATCAACCGATCATTTCCGTGTCTGGCCTAGCTCCAATTACTGCTAATTCCAGTTTCTAACGGGCTAGCTCCGCACTGCCACCGCCTTCGCTATTGAGGTCCCCATAGCTTAACCTTCTTTAAACTGACAGCCAGAGAGTACTGAGAGTACTGATTACACATTTGTCAATATGGATTTGGTTGCAGGTGTACGCAAAGAAGGCAGCCGGTAAGTGCCTTTTTACTTTAATACCCACATCCAGCTTACTCACTGACTGTGCTCTAGTGGCGGCCGCACCGAGTTCAAATGGTCGGACGTGCAAAGCTCCACCCACCGCGAGAACTACCTGGGTCACTCGGTGATGGCCCCGGTAGGCCGCTGGCAACAAAACCGAGATCTGTCATGGTATGCGAAAGGCGACGTCGATGAGGAGGAGGAAAGAGTGCGCAAGGAACGCGAAGAACGACAACGAGTCAAGGATGCCGAGGAGGAAGCCATGGCCATTGCGCTCGGACTACCAGTCCCATCAAAGGGCGAAGCAAACGCGAATATGATGCCGCTAGGAGGGGCAAACAGGATGGTAGAGAAGCAGGAAGATAACAGCACGCCGGATGGCGAGAAACCACAAAGAGAATCACGGGGAAGTCGACGTCACGGACGCAGCCGGAGTCCACGCCGGGACAGACGGCGCGAGCGCAGTGATGATCGTGGCCGTGATCGTGATGGAGAGGGACGACACCGCAGACATCATCACCGTGATGATCGGGACCGAGATCGGGACCGCGACCGTGGTCGCCATCAAAATGGCCGCAGCAATCGGCACCGCTCTCGATCGCCATCTCGATCTGCTGGCAGGGATCATCATCGCGAGAAGAGACGAGCATCTCCGCGGCCTCGGAGTCGAGATGGATACAGGGATGAGCAGAGTACTAGGTCTCGTCAGCGCAGCTATTCACCCGACCGCAGACGTGATCACGAGCGACGCAGAGATCGCAATACCTCCGACCGGCGACATTGATCCATGACTCCATTATGATAATGAATCGACTTTTTTCGTCTTTTTCTTTCCCTTTTGCCTCGACTTCCGATTTATCGGATTAATATTTCGCCATCGATTCTCCTTGCGCATTTCTGGCATCTGCTTGGATGCCTATCCGTCCAGGTTACATAATACGTGCTTGATATATGGAATGGGCCTATACTCAGTACTCAAGAGTACCTTACTCAGACCTGAGAAAGGTATTGACCGTATTCCAAGGTTTTACACACTGCTCAGTGCTTACTTTCATCTCCTGCTTTTCAACTACCAAGTCGGGAAATCATGTGAAGGGAAAAAACCACAGGCACCCATGTAGTAAAGGAGAGAGGAGATTATTTCTTTGCAAGTCAAGTTTGTCATTCAGTTGCAACGAATCGCACATTTTGCCTATACATGTGGCAAGATGACAAAAGCCTTGATCTATTCTACACCCGTATTCTACATCCGTCACATATATCGACTACAGCTCGTCGTGACGGGCGTCAGCGGACTCGGCCAGATCAGGCATGGACATGATGTTCACCACCATACTGGTCCAGCCGGTAAAGTGCTGTGTGCGCTGTCCAGCACCGCTCTCGGGGTTGTACTGCTCCCAGGCAAATCCGGTCTTCTCCCACTCACGGAAAACATTCTCCACCAAGTTCTTGCGCAGCTTCGAGTACATCTCGCGGGCCTGTTCCTGGTGGGGACCACCAGTGGTGGCGGTAGCCTAGAAAAAAAAAAAAAGAAAAAAATTAATCTTCGATGGAAATTGAATACCAAAAGAGATGATATACTCACGTAAAGACTCTTGACCGTCAAGTAGTTGATAGGAACCCAAATAGGGCTGCGCCAGTAGTTCTCCTCAGTGCCGTAGAGCTTATCGCTCTTGCTCAAGCTGCGGATGCCGTAGTCACTCCACAATTCCTCGGGGTCGTTGATCAAATCCAACACGGCCTTGAGGCGAGGGCTATCAGGGCCAATCATGCCAGTCAGGAACGGGAAAATAGAGATATAACCCTTGTGGCAGACGTGCACACTCTCCTCGAACTCGTCGATAGTCGCATCGCAGAAAGTCTGCTCCTTCTCATTCCAGTGCAGGTCGTCAATGTTGCGCGTAATGGCGTTCTCGTGGTATGCGAACTCCTCAGCATCTTCCTGTTCACCCAGTGTCTCTGCAATGCGGCGCAATGTGCGGGTCATCATGCCCATCCAGCTGATCAGATCAACGTGCAGCTCACCGGGGTGCGGTGGCTGGGGACGAGGGTAATCATCAATACCGGAGGTCAAAATGTGCTGAACGGAGCGTCCACGCCAGCGGTAGGCCTCCTTTGTAGAGAAAGCCTCGCGGTCGTAAGACTTGATATCTCCGCGCTGCGTGTTGCGGAACCAGTTGTAGTGTCTCTTCATCAGAGGGTAGAAGGAACGGAGGTATGCATCGGCCAGGTCGGGATTGCGCAGGGTTGCAGATCGGAGGCTCTCAGCGACGTCGCTGGCATCGAGACCTTCGGATTGGAAGCTCTTGTTGCTCATTGCTTTGTCCATAAAGGCTTCCAAGGCCATGAAAAGAGTCGGCGGGTTGGCGTAATGGGGATACTGAACTGTAAACTCAGGTGGCACCTTGCTGCGAGCCTCCATGCCGAGGATCTGTTCACGAGCGATCCATCCATCTTCGTCCATGAGGTGGAACCAGCTCTTGATGATTTCGAGACTGGAGTTGTTAGTTAGGAAAATGTTGCTAAGGGTGTTGAAGGGCTTACGCAAGGTCAGAGTCGTATTCCATGACGGGCAACAAATGGAAACCTTCATCCCAGAGGAAACCTCTAGGGAAGAATGGACGAGAGGGAACACAGGTGAAGAGATCCTTGGGGGCACCGATAACAGGCTTGGCCGCTGCGCGAGCCTCTGCAGTTTCTTCCCAGAAGCCTTCGTTCTCCTCCTCGTAGGCAGGAGAAGCGGAACGGTCGACAACATCGTCTCCGTGGAAGAAGCCAATACCACCAACCAGGTTGGAAAGCATGGCCTTGGAAAACTTCAGGTACTTAGCGGAGTTGAAGGGGACTTGTGGCGCAAGCACCTGCTTGAATCTCTCAGAGAAAGATAGCGAGGATTCCTTGAGCTCCTTGGTGATCGTCTCCGCTGTGAAAAATTGTCAGAGCAGGGTTTGTAGAATCATCCAACTATATAGACTTACAAGTAAGGGGCTCACCAGCAGAGCCTGATGAGAAAAGAACGTCAAACTAAGTAGATTAGCAATTGCCCTTTTTCTATGCGAGGAGTATCATCGTTACCTCGAAAGGGCCTCTGAAGACCTTCTGGACAAAGTGAAGGTTTCCATCACCGGGTTGATGCTTAACAGTAAACAGCTGAGCTGGAGGCGGGGGGTTCTCCGTTCCATATTCCTGAATGGCGGGCTCAACCTCTTCCTTCATCTGCAAGAACATAAGCCCTTTAGTCAAGTTAGCACAACTGACAATTAGATACAAGCATTCCGCCATCATGACTTACCCTTGACCTGCCAAAGATCCTCCGGGCGAACGGTCTGACTAGACACAATACCCTTGCCCAAAGGTTTCGCCTCGTAGCTCGGGTGGGTATGCTCATAGTACTGGTTGGTTTCCGGGCCAGTAGTAACATCAATAGAGAAGTCTCCAAGCTCGGAAGAATAACCATTGAACTTGACATCCCCCTCGAGCGCAGGAGCATCGCCCACGCTTTCCGGGTCCACGCCGAGCTGACCCAATCCCTCGAGTGTGGAATAAAATAGCATCGAGATAGGCTGATCTGGTGCGCCGTCTTCACGTGGTGTACCCTTCACACGGAATCCCCAGCTGCCACCGTTCTGGCCACCAGGGACCTTGACGAAGTCAATTGTAAGGTCCAGAGTGTTCCCAGCATCGTGGATGGTCTGAACTCCTCCCTTGCGAATATCGTACTCATCCCATCCGTAACCGGCCATGCCTTCATGTTGCTCGCAGGTGTGTCGGAAGTCTACACAGTTGAATTGATGTTAGCAAGATTGGACAGAACTTGGTCCTTGCAAGCAGCTGCTGCGCTAGGGCCTAACAAAGATAATTGTAAGAACATACTTCCTTGCGCGGTAGCAAAGTTATCCACCTTTCCCCACAGTAGTCCTGCAGCAAGACTGTTTGCGATTCGAGGGCGGACGCCGAAATACAAATTCGGCTTGTAGGGACCCCATAGCAGCGACTCGTTGTTGGCACGCGCGGCCTCTTTGATCAAGATGGACACATCGTTGGGGTCTTGGCTGGCAAGAGTACCCGTCGCATAAAGGAGCGATGTGACGAGAGTTGTGATCCGGAGATGCATTCTTTCTATTCACGTCCCAATTGAGGGGACATTGAAGATGTGGACAAGTTGTGGCTTGCTTCGGGGATTAGCTGTTCTCTCCGCAATGACGTGGCCCGAGCTTCCTTGCCGATGCTTGTGATTCGGCCAATCTTATGTTCCACAATTTGTACTCCGGACATTGCATTATCAAAAAACAACAGAGAGAGAGAGAGAGAGAGAGAGATTTTTGATCACTCTGAAAATAGAAGAGTAAAATTATTGATCAAACTAGGTGTGTACATAGCCACTGGCAAGGCATATATTATATGAAGTCGAGTCAACGTATACTATACATATCAGAAAAGGCTGGGTAATCTGATTATCCAGTATTCCTGTTGCTCGCTGAACTATCCGTCCATCGAGTATGTGATTACAAGACAGTTTTGTAGACGCTAACATGGCTACATCGCAGTGCAATGAGAAGTAATCGAGCCTTGCTCTTCCGTGGCTTTCAGGAATCTCACAGGAGCCACATTTACCCCCAAATTAGGTGCTGGGCCTTCACAAGATCCGCCCTGTAAGTCCCATTCCAGATGCGAAACAACACCGATTTCATTCTGAACAAACACCAGTAAAAGACGCGGCAGCTTCAAGAAGCCTGCCATCCCCTTTTTGGTTGCGTCGTTCTTAGAATTAGGCATGAATGTCCAAGTGTCGTCATGGTAATGCCTGAGCCTGGCGGTTTGACGGGGAAGACCGTTGATATTGAAAATGAGAAGCTCCGGGTTAGTTTCGGTCTTGATTTCGTTTTCGGGGACTCTAGAGACCTTAATGGTGATATCAAGCGCTGGATTGGCATACGTGCCCATGTATTCGTCGAGTGGAGGGCGCCGTGTATTTTGCACTCTTTGTCTCACCCAATCTTCCACAAGGCCTTCCCAGGCTATTGTAGAATTACTTGCGGCCTGCAGCGCGTATTCTTCAAAGTCTATATGTGGCTGCATCGCGAACAGCTCCTGACACAGACTTTGTGCGATCAAGTCGGTTGGATCGCCTTTGGCGCCGTTGCAGTTCGACATGACTATAATGGCACTTCTTGTGGCTGGGAACGTGTAAAACGCACTCAAACACCCTCCAAACTCTCCCCAGTGCGCAATTGCGAGACGTAGTGGTCCATCTCGGTTCATTACTGGCGGGTCCGGAAGCAAAGAGAAGTTGGGACCGATCGAAGAAAGGTACCGTGATGGGAGCATATGACGAAACCAGCCGAGGCCGTAGGAATTCTCGCACCCTTCCTCTCCAAGGACGATAGGCCGGTGAGCACATCTTATCATCCTCATCTGTCGAAGCGGGTTTGTGCCGTTCTGAAGATCCGTGGGCGGTTCCTCACCACTAATTCCTCCTTTCTCCTCTGCTTCCATCACAGCATTTGCCCAGGCAAGCATGTCTCGCACTGTACTACGTACATACCCAGAGGCCCCCTGAATCTCTCCATCCTCCAAACCGAGTGAATCGTTGAGTAAGGCTGATCCGTTGTCCAAAATCGAATAGCCTCGTGCGTAGTTCTTGTCCTCTTTGTACTCTTCGCTACGAGTAAATGTTCGCTTCATACCTAGGGGCTGAAATATCCTCTCGCGCATCACCACCCCAGATCGTTTTTGACATTTTGAGGAAATGACGGTCCCAACCACATCCAGTAGAAAGTTGTTGTAGAGCCAATGCGTGCGCAGGTCATACGCCGTCGGCAGATTTGATGCCTTTTTCACCCCCGTCCACCCGGGGTTCAAGAACTCGTCGAAGAAACCAACCCCCGCACAATCTAGTGGGGCTAGTCCCGTTCCATGGGAGCAGAGGTCAAGTAGTGTCGCGCGTCTTCCAACTTCGGGGTCATATACAGTCTCGAAATCCGGGAGATACTCGGAGACTGGGTCCGTCCATGACAGGACCCCCTCATCAACGAGGATCCCACATACGGCTGTAATAAATGCCTTGGTATTGGAAGCGATCGGGTAGATGGTCTGGTCATTGGGGATGATGTTCTCCTCAATATTGGCTAGCCCTTCGGCATGGGTGAAAAATATCTCACCGTGGTGGAGCACCCCGCATGAAACCGATGGAGCGCCTGTCGCTTGCCGAATCTTGCTGATCATAGTGCGCAGAGTCTCATTTCTAGAGATAGGTCTTCAATAAAAGCGCCCTGCCAACTGACTGGATGCGTCTCCCGTGGAGTGACATACTTGTACAATGCTCTGCATTCAACCTGGGATGTCATCTTGTTCCGTGTCAAATAAAAAAAAAAGAGGAAAGACCGCAGATATTGTTACGATAGCGCTCGTGAAGCATTAAGGTATCGAGGAAGGAGGATTCAAAGAAAGATTCTGCCTTGGAGAATGCCTTGTGGCTGGAAAGGAAGCTATCCCTGTTATTTTCACTACACTACCTGTATCATGATTCATAAGTGTGTTCCCGCTTTTGTTTACCACTCCAGGGAACCACAAGTCATCTAGTACCGACCCATGATTTCTATGGTACAGGAGCTGTATTCTTATAATGGTCAATGTATTTTGGCATCTCACCGTCTTTAGGCGTTATTTTACTTAGATGAGCGAGACTGTATCCTTTCGTGAGCTATTGTGATTGGCAGGTATTCAGGTCAGCTGCTGTACAGAGATGAAACTTGAGAAATATACACTGTCAGTCTGTCACATTTCCCGCTTTTACAGCTTCGTCTTGGCAGATGTGTTGGTCCAATCAGATACTAAGTTCCATAAGTTCAGTAAGATGCCCGGGTACGGCGGCCGATACCCGCCACCCCCTGGCCATAACTCAACCTCAACTTTCAGACCGGCAGAAAGTAAATTTGGACCCGCGTACGAAATCTTTTTGGTTCGTCCGAGTCGGCTATGGAACTACCGCAAGATTCTCTTTGTCACCGAAACTAAGAGAAGTAAGAAAGAGCGGTAAAGTGCCTTCCTTCACAGCACTTCGCAGGATCACTATTCTTTCATAATTCACCATTCACATCATGGATGACTTCGCCCTGAAGAAAGCGTTCAAGAAACGAACATACATCACCGAGCAATGCACTCAGGCTATTCGTGGCCTTGGGATTCCACAATCACTAGGATCCCCGGCATCCCGTGCTTGTGTTGCGCGGGGAATTCGCTATCATCCAGGGTTTGCACTTGAACTCCAATGCGAATATGATCGTGATCGATTCTTTACCCGGGCTATAAATGCGCGACGCATCATGAGCAATGAGATTCCTGATTTTCAGAACGCTCGCGAGATTCCCTATTGTATGTGGTATCCAGAAACTGCCAGTGAAGCCACATATCGAGCCCTGGTCCTTCAATACCCCTCCCTCAAATACCATGTTGGTAGAGCATGTGCTGTAGCTGGTTATACCGATTTATATCGGGAGCTAGATCTGCTGCCCGAAGCGCATATTGCTGAGGAGGCTCGTGATAATGGCAGTAATGCTATATTCGAGATGATTATGGCGAGTCCCGTCAGGTATCGAGTGATGAACGACTATACTCGCATGGTCAATTTGAAGAACCCTCCTATTGGTGGCATGAATGGAGATACAGCTGTCCGGTCCTTCCTAGAGAGAAAGCAGAAACATAGTGGCCTGGCCAACCGTCCAGGATTGAAGGATTTATTATGGAACATCACCGAAGATATGAATGCGGATGAGTTTGACTCAGAGCAACCACCTACACAGGATGTGTCAGAATTTCTTTATACACCACTACCATTCGATTTGCCAAATATTGATAAAGATCTTCTTATTCTAATGGCTGCTTGGAATGGCAATGTGGATCGATATAGCCGTTTACGCCGTCATGTCATGATTGAAAAAGAGTTCGCATGTGTGATCCGCGGAATCTGCCACGACACATTCTTCGCTAAGTGGTGGTCAAGACAACTCCCATTAGAAGACGAGCGGAAAGATAAGCGTTTACAACGCGCGATTACTGCACGCTTCATCATGAGCAACGACTTATCGCGTATTCCTTTAAGGCCTGCCTCTGAGATTCCTGCTCCCCCTCAACCTCACCGAGGGCCTCGCGACAATGCGTCCTCTCAGGAATTTCCATCCTGTATTTGGTACCCCAACCTTGCCGAACCAGAGACCTATCGTGAACTCGCCTATCGGGAGCCCCGTATGGCATTAACGGTCGCACGCGCCTGCATTATTGCGAATTACCAGGCTGTCTACCAAAGCCTCGACTTCTTCCCGACACGTGCTCTCTTCTGCGAAGCCGAGCAACAGCCTAGTACCTTTTATACCGAGGATCTCAAGCGCCGGGCGGCGCTATATGGAATTATCGAATCCGACGAGAACGAAACTTGGGAAGAGTACCCAATGGTCGGAAATATGAGACTCTTCAATACAAGGTTGAGCGAGGTGACCACGGCCGATGACATACACATGTCCTCCAAAGGAATTTTCAATGGAGAAGAGGCACCTAATGTAGGCACTATCCTACTCAACATATGCGCCCCTCAAAGTGTCGTCTCCGAACATAGAGCCACCCCATTAAGTGAGGTTTACACAGCAGCGGGGCCGCCACTGGAAATGCCATTAGGTATTGATGCAGATTTGTCACAACGTGCATATCTTTCGACAGCCCTTTTCTGGAATAACAGGCCCTGGGTTTCTCACTCCGACTTAGATACAATTCACCAGAACTTACAGGCTCCCTGTCCACGGGTATAGTTGTAACTTCGGTTCCTCAACTGGTTATCATAAGAGAGGGTATTCGACTTCCAGAAAATGCAAAGCGTCAATACCGGATACGAAAAATCAGCTCGGAGACGGCCGATGAGGTTAAGAGACCAAAGATATGATAAACAACATATTATAAGACCTCTGGCCTTTTGTATAGCAGCAAATACCCACATTGAAGTGCCTGAAACATACATAAATATGTATACGTATATGTATATATATTAATATTTCATGAAAACTACACTGAAACGAACTTTATGTGTGTATCTACACACATACGTGCCCTAGTATGGACACAGTGGTATATACATATATATTGCGTGAATTAAAGATGGTTACGAGGATCAAGAGATGCAACCTTGGCGCTCTCGGCCTGACCATCAAACACAAATTCACTCATCAACTTGCCTGTTCCGGGGCCATTTTGAATACCCCAGCAGGTATGACCAGCAGCAAGATAGAGTCCCTTGGTATGAGTAAGACCCACTAATGGCCCTCCAGGACCAGCGAAATTTGGCAGATAACAAGCCTGGCGAACAGTGACCTCACCACCGCGCAGCTCGTCCGAGATGCTACCAACATGGTCAATGATCTCCTGGCAACGCTCCAAGTCTACCTCAACCTCAACAGACGTTGGCGGCAAAGGCACAACTTTATCTCCATCACCACAGGCATACACTGTATCATCAGGGCGCGCGTAGATCTCCGGCGCGCTCGCAACTGGGCGAGACTTCTTGGCCGGGTTGAAATTCGCGGGGATTTCAATGCTAGTGAACAATGCATAAGCACTAACTGGTCTTGTTGGCCGAATGACCACACTGTGTGCGCGCATCGCGGTAATAGGAGCTTCGGGGAGCACAGTGTTGGTCCATGGGCCAGCCGCGACAATCACATCTGTAGCGGGGATTGTGCGTGACTCCCCTGAAGCTTTATCAATATACGAGACGGACTCGACTGTGTCGTTGGAACGAGCGATGTCTGTGACCTGTCCCAGAATAACCTCGGCGCCCTCTTCTTCTGCTAGCTTTGCCATTGATGTAGTAAACAGGTATGGGTGAACCTGGGCTGTCTCGCCAGGGCCACTCATACTTTCGTAAGCTTGTAGGAGATCAGGTTCAATCCAGTCTAGATCCTGGGGAATCTTTGCCGCCTTTAATTTCGACATGGCGGCCGTGCTGCGTTTTTGCAGCGACTCATGGTTTCCATCTCCGGTCTCCTTCTTGTTCATCTCAGCCATGGTGCGGCCTCGGACCACGACCTGTCCACAGTTTGTCTCTCTGTAGCCCCATCTGTTTTTCCCATCGTGCTCCTTTGCAAGCTGCTGGTGAAGCGGGTAGCTGAGGCCCACCAGATTGTCCGGGTATGCCCATTGTGCAAGCAATCCTCCTGCTTTTCCTGATGCTCCACCTGCAATGTCGCTTGCTTCGAGCAGGGTGATTTTGTGTCGAGCTGGGTCATATGAAGGATGTCTCGTGAGGAAATAGGCAGAACAACATCCAATGATACCACCACCTGGGTTGAAAAGCCGATCAGCATGTTTTGAGGTGCGGGGTACCAGATTGGCGCAAACAGTCTGTTCTTACCAACAATGACAATTTCTCGACGGTCTCCAGGTAAAGACATCTTGGATATCGGCGCAAGCTTGTGAGCTAGAATGCGGATTGAAGCCACGTTGAGGGTAGTTCGCAACAAGGGACTTGAAGTTGGAGCACTGGTTTTAGTCGACGGACGGCTACGTCACTTTTGCTGGGGCATGTCCAGTCATGTGCAATAATACTTTTCTATCCTTTACAGCAAGTTACAACGGGTTTCAATTGATTTGGCCAAATAGTAGAAGCATCGCGATTACTACTTGAGTATTCAATACAAGGGGAGAAATAAATCACAAAGTCTTTTCAATGAATTTTGAGAAACAAGCCGTGGATACCATGCTCCGGTAATGCAATATTGATGGGAATAAAGACAGAGAAAAAGGGACAGAAATGAGAGTCCAGTAGAGTTTCGTCCGATAACCAAAATCTTGTGAAACAATAATGGGACAATTAGGAGTAAATGCCGGTGAAGACCATTTCCATTTACCGTGACGGACTGAGTGGTCTGTTGAAACCGCCTGTCCGGTTCATGTACTGGCGGTATTCTGTCTTCTTCTCCTTGCGCACACCGTAAATGTCGTTTCCAGGCACTTTGGTGTTTTTGGTGCTTCGGAACCTGCTGAATCCCATGGCCTTTCGCATCATCGCTTCCATTTCATCTTCGTCCGCATCCTCCTTGAAATCAACATCCATCTCGTCCTCTTTTATATGAGCGCCATTGGCTTGCCGTCCGTCTCCATGTGATCGTGGCTCTCGGCGACTAGGCCGACGGTCATCCTTGTTTCCTCGAGGCGGAGGTGATCGGGCTGCATTGGTGCCGTTTCCAGCAGGTGATCGCGAGCGTGAACGTTCCCGGAACTTGTCATATTTAGATGCGGGAGCTACATGCAAGCATAGATTGTTAGCAAAGAGCGATTGAAATTGTAAATGTTTGGGAGATGAATCTACCTCGTCGATCTTGGCCACGATCCTGGCCGTGGTCTCGGCTGGTACTCCTTTTTCGATCCCTAGGCCCCCGACCATCCCGATCTCGGTTGTCCCTTCTGTCACGGTCGCGGCGATCTCGAGACCAGCTCCTTTCTCGCCTTGCGTTCTTTCGGTCTGGGGATCGCGAACGGTATCGGCGATCTTCACGCGGACCTCGGGGCGGAGGTGAACGCCTGCTGCCTGCCTCTGCGCCTGAGTCTGTGGAGCGGGTCTGAGAATCGTTCATCTCCCACATTGCATTGCTGTCGACGCGACGGGGTCGCTTTGCTGCAGGCTCCGTCATGGTTGGTGCCCGAGACAAAGAAGCTGTCTCGCGCAGGTGGTCGTGTGGTGAAGTCTGTGAGAGGTTGGAGTCGAGGTTGAGTCTCTCCACAATATGAACGTAAATGCAATTGGGAGATACAAATTAGTATCTTTGCTGCGAAATTCAAGAGTGGGGTATCAAGTTGTTGTAATGGAGATTGTCCAGGTGCCGGCGCTGAGTTTATTCTGGCTGTTGGATTATTCCGGTTGCCGCGACAGACCTCCAGTGCAGTTTGATAGATGTCCCGCGGCCAGAGTATCTACTAGCTTCCTCCCCACCACTGAGACTCCTCTACCCATTCTCTTGCTGTCGCTTCTCAATGAAACTTGAAGAAGCAATCAGTCAGAATTTGGTGGCTTGCTAGTTTATTTAAATTCTCGGTCAACATTACACTCCTCTCACTTGGAATACATCTTCCATTCAAAGCGCTGCAGTCCAAGCTGTCTGTCTACCCGCCCGCAACCTTGCCATCACCCGAAACAACCGTACAGTATGCAGCATCCCTACTAATAGAGTGTTCTCCTTGCTTATTTGAAATTTGATCTACTAGTATATTCATAATATTCTTATGCATATGAAAAGGCTTGACGAGGCTCCCCCTAGAGCGAGAACATCTCGAGATGATGTCAAAAGTAGTAAATGAACATTCAGAGATGGATTCTTCCAGGATTACGGACACAAGAGCTTCGATCAATGTTTGGAGAAACATTTCAAGACTTAGTCGTCCTATGTAATGCATATTAGTATGTACCTCTCGTCTTCGTCAAAACATGGGCACATGCATGTGCACTTTTTACACCATTATATATCCCGAGCCCGAGTAGAGAATGCGCACGCGTACGGTAAAATGCGACATACTAGCTAGAAACACGCCCATTGATAGTGCAATTGATGAATCAATATCAATTCCAATCTGGCAATTTGATTCGAAAACACTACATATGTTATTAGTAAATCGGAGACTCATATGCATACCACAAACATTGAATATTCTTCGAGTCTGTAGAATATCCAAGTAGCTCGCGGCCCGGCCCGTCGAGCCTCATCGCACGAAATTTTTGCAGCGAAAGCGCAACATTTGAAGCTACCCCACTTCAACTTCTTCAACCTCTACCAACAGCCATTTCAATCTTAAGTCTGATCTGCTAGTCAAAATGGCCCCAATCAATCTGTCCCATCGGAGGACCCACAACTTACTCCTTATATCTAAACTTTTGAGTCTCAGAGACACCGCATCGCCACTGACGCTGCTCTTGGACTCATTGGAGCAACCCGCCACACCCCTCATTCAGGAGTATATTAGACGCGCTAAGGCAAGTCTATGTTCCCACCCCATGTCAACAAATCAAAGCATTCCTACATAGAAACATACCCCACCCCCTGAACTTCCAATGCTAACTGTCTGCGCAGCTCTCAAAAGTTCATGTCACCATCGTCGCTTTTGAGACTTTGAAGCGCCCGGATGGGTGTGATGCGTTCGTGTCTACTCGTCGCAAAACTCCAGCCGACATTATTAAGGAAGTGGCTGCAGCTTACCAGCCCGCCACATCGGCCGGCCCATCCAAGAGTGAGTGAGCATACATCAAATCGCCATCTCCCTGGTCATATCGCCGCAATTGACCAGAACCTGAACTAACAGATGTTAACAGGACGTCTCATTATCATTGATGCTATCAACCCTCTCTTAAGCTCAAAAACTTTGGATTCCAACTTCCATCTGCCGTCGTTCTTGGGTGCTTTCATTACCCCGACAACCCCAGGCGCGGCCAAATCTGAAGCATCGTTGGTGGTGAACTATCATCAAGATATTCCGGGATGTCCTCCGCAAAATCCCTACTTGCCATCACCATCATCGGTTCTTACCTATCTTGCCACCAGTATCATCACCCTTCATTCCTTCTCCCACATCTTGGCCCAGAAGGCTGCGCGGGATCGCAGTCTGGCTGCTCCAGTATTTGGGCTTGAAGAAGAACAAGACGGCGTTCTACTAGGCAGACTAGACAAACTTGTTGGCACTGGCGCTGCCGAAGGAATCGTTTTGGAGCTGGAGCACCGTCGCAAGAGCGGACGAGGTGTATTGGAATGGTACCTTCTCCCTCCTGCATCACGATACCCTGCAACCCAGGTGAAAGAGATCGTCACTCTTTTGGATGACAACATCCTGTATAACCCTCCCATGGAATCACACTTTGATGTCGATGAGGAGCCCCAATCGACCTTCGAGTTGGGTCTTACCGATCGCCAGAGACGGGACAGAGAAGGTGTTGTCCTGCCCTATTTCGACGCGCAGCATGGAGATGGACCTGGCGAAGGAGGCCGGATTCTTTACGATATGGGCGAGGAGGATGACTTCGACGAGGAGGAAGATGAGATCTAGAATGTCTTTTGGTCTCTACAAGCTTCTTGTATGTGCATCGCAGTTTCATGTGTGAATTCTGGGTGAATATTGTCCTGCAACACCCAGGGATTTATTAACTATGCATACAATCATACAAGGGAGCACTATTGAGGGAGAGTCTCCCAAGATAAAAGGGGTTGATCAGAAGAATCGCCAGAAGAGGAAGATGAAAATGAAGAGTCCGAGGCCGACGAAAGGACCGTACTGGTATATGGTCAGAGAACTGGTTAGATCAGGGACACCGGGGTGGATCATCTTACCTGTTTCACCAACAATTCCCAGTTGATGCGGACTGCTGCCTTGCGGTACTTTTTGCTGTCCTCCCGCAGACGACCAGACAATTCGCCCATCCGCTCCAAACTATCACCGCGATACAAGAGGTCCTCGATGTTCTTGGTCATGACCTGGGTGACGTCGCGTAGCTCATCATTCAGCTTATCAAGATTGCCTGAAGCGCGACTGTCCTGATAAGTCTTTTTTGTGCGCTGGATAAAGGTATCGAACTCGACGAATGCATATGGGCGAAGGTTGGGTGATTGGTATTGTGAGGGGGAGTAGGTGGTGGTGAATTCGGAGGCCAGATCAGCGAGATAGGTGAACGCAAGCTTGCGAGGGTAGGAGCGATCACAAATGCACAAGAAGCAAATATCGTCTTTAATCGAATAGCTGCAATATAGTGAGAAACCGAAGATGTCATGGCGAGAGACATTATGTTTACTTACTGGAGGTTGTATTGGCCTGACTCAATGCTTGCTTGCGGAGCGGAGTTGCGATTTAGACGGCGGAAGATCATTTTAGCCTGGCTCTTGATCTCAGCGAGGTCGCTCTCTGCCTAAATGACTGTCAGTACTATATATCTAAAACCATGGCCGCCGATTCTGTGCGTCTCTCTCACTCACCTGCTCGTCATCAACGGATGCGGCCAGCATCAAGCCTAATCACACCTTATCGTGAGCAAAATGACCAGCTTTCTCTCAACAAAAACATAACATACCATCAATCCTTGAAATTTGAGTTGACTTAACCATCTTGTCGACTATGAACTGCGAAAGATCGAAAGATCGCTGGAACAACTCTTTGTTTAGCTCAAGAAAGCACGATGCAATCGGCCAGAATGGCCCGCAAGAAAGCGGTGTACAAAGGCAGAACCGAGGGTTTGGGGTAAGCTATCAAACTCTCCGCTTCGGGTGTCCTGCACGACAAAGTTCACTTCTAATGTGATCATGCCATAGACAACTCAATTCCAGGTCTGCCGATGCAGCAGAAGGTCACCCACCAGAGAAAATGGCTCCTCGAGGATCATCAGCGGCGGGCTCCCCTGCCAAAAAAACACCCCGCAAATCCGCAGCTCGGGGAAAGTGGAGCGAGGAGCATCTGTTGACAAGTGATAAGTCGCTTTTGATCGACACAGATCTAGTGGTATGCCTTGGAAATGAGAGTTGAGAGCAAAACAATATCTTTGGATGCTAATAAAATCATCTCTTCTTTCATGTATAGAAACTTCTAGCCAGCTCTGCAGCATGGCACGTCCTGGAAGAGGACGAGAAACGTCAAATCTTAGATCTTCTGCCTGTCGATACCCACCCGGATCCAGACCCCCCGGAAGATAATCCCAATGCGCCGATACCACCTCTTCCAGATTCGTTTGTCCGGTATTCGAACAACTGGCGAGATGGAATCCGCCAGTTTCAGCTCGACCTACAAAATGGCCGCTATGACCCTGAATGGTTACGACAAGCAGATGAGGCACGTCAACAACGGGAGAATGGAGACTTCGATTCTTTCAAGGAACGAGAATATGAGGAGTTCTGGGGCCAGAAGCAGAAGCTAGATAAGAGTCTCCCCGCGGGAGAATCAGGAAAAGTGAAGCTTGCGACTCTGGTGGACGAAGGAGTGATTCGAATCGGAGACGTTTGGAGATTCAATTATGTTTATGGTAAAGGAGCTGAGCGAATCTTCATTGACAAGGAGGCTAGGGTATGCGATCAAACTTTGGATTGGAGGTAAATGAAAGTTATGCTGACTGCGGCATAGGTGACTGAGATCAAAAGTTCTAAATTGACATTCGTTATGCCGGCTGGACAGCGTGTCTTTTTACGAGCTGTCCCTATCCAGAGTGCTTCCGCTGACCCCCCAAAAACCGAATCACCAGAAAAATGGGATAGCACTCCGGCAATCCAGAGCACGGAGCCTCAAAACACAGAGGATGGAATTGAGGAGGTATCCAGGGTATCAAGCGCTTCACCTCCGCAGGAAGAGGACCAGGATGAGGTTCAACTCGTCGAATTTGACCAGGATCACCTAAGTCAAAGTCGGATTGAAGTGGAGATGGACACAGGAAATGATCAAAGCCAAGACTGGGACGATGTCCCACGCCATGAAGAGCGCAGAATCGCGCAGAGTGAGAAGGAATCTGTCTTATCTTCTCCACTATCCAGTCCATGCTCAATTCCACCGCCATACAGCCCATTAAGTTGGCATGCAGATGAAGTTTTCCACCAAGAGGCCGATTCACATGGCCAGGTATTAGCCAAGAGCCCAACAAGGGCACCGCGCGAATGTCTGAAGCTGAAGCGTCCTCTTCCTCAACCCGCAGAAGAATCCCCGACCAAGCGTACATTGCGCACACCACTAAAATCAAGGCTCGTCGAAGTCAAGCCCGGGCCTGTGTCTGTATCCAAAGAAAAACATGGCAACGGCTTGGTAAATACACCGAAGCACCAGTCAGTGCAAGTTGTGATTCCGTCACCCAGATCCGAAATCAAACCCGAAAATACAACAGATAAGCATAACCCCGACCGGATTCTTCACAGCACCAGTACACCACACCAAGATGACAAAAATGTGCAAAAAGATCACCCTCCGCTTGATCTTGAAACTTCCAGTGCCAAATATACACCTAAACATTTGGTCCCAGGCGTGGAATCCTCCCTGAACGTGCAGTCAAATTCAGACTGTAACTCTGAACCTAAACTTGAAGCTGAAGGTCAGACCGCAACAGCTCAATCACCAACACAACCTCAGGATTCCACCCAAGTACAGACCGACGAACTAGAAGAAGTCATTGTCCGCAATATCAAAGGACCGTCAACTCTAGTCAACGCCATTGTGGCTACTGATGGAAGAGCAAGCGGCCGCACTGCGAATGCCTGGAAAGAGATTCGCTGCTATCGGAATAATCAGGATATGGGTTCTCTCTGGGACGTACGCCTGACATGGTACCACAAGAATCATCAATGAACACCCCCTCCAAAACAGGCGGATCTCCCGCATTTACTACTTTGGCCTTCTTTCTGGCTTATTTGCATCGCAGTGGCTGGTCCATTGCCATGAGCCTGAATTCGCAAGAGTTGTCCAGAAGGCTGTTTCGTCCGCTGTTTATTGATACCTATCACTCCAGTCTGGAGTTCCCTTTGTATTTTTTTTTTCGGTTCGAAGCGAAAGTATAGATGAAACACAAGAAAACAAAACAACTTCGTCGATGGATTCAAATGTATTATCAGAACGTAGAATAGGGTATTTATTTTATCCGATTGGCGGCATGGGATCCGAGTTTGCCGCAACATCGACCGCAAAACTGGCCTGAATGAAGTCTTCTAGCTCCTCACTGACGGTCTTTAATTTTTCCTTGACACTGGCAACACCCTCTTGTCCCACAATATGGCGGGATGGCGGATTCGGATGGCCACCAATAGATGTAATGGCATATACAGTCTCTGAAACCAGAACCTCCAAGTGCGCCGAGCTTAACGGCGGGTGCATAGAGACGACTTCTGGGGCAGAGAATGGGCCATTCTCGATTGAGCTTACTCTTGTGTTCTCCGGGTCACTTCGTTGGGATGAGGTAGATTGGTTTCGTACGCCCTCAGATTGGGCGCCTGGAAGTTGAGGGACAAGGTGGTTGAGTATCCCTCGGAAGAGTGGCGCGCTGTTATTTGATGGTGAATATGCGGGGAAGATGGGCGGGACACTGGTGACGAGGTTGGTGAGAATACCGATTTCAATGCTGCATTGAAAGATGGTGACTTTGATGTTGAAAGGTGCGACTTCGAACGCGAGGCTCTGAGATGACACGTTAGCTATGACTCTGGTCACAGTGATATTCTATAATAGGCTTACATCGCAAAATCCTTCAAGGGCCCAGCCGGCTGCGCAGTACATTCCCAGGCCAGGTGTGCCGATATGCGCCGCTGTAAGTCTTGTTAGATATTGTGCTATGATGCAGAACGGAGGGTGAGTCTTACTGATCCCAGAGAGAATCATAACATGTCCACTGCTCTCTCTCCTCATGTGGGGCAATGCGGCTTTGATTATATTGAGGGGACCGAAGTAGTTGATCTCGAATTGATCGCGGACAAGGTTCAAGGTTTGCGCTGAAGCTGACAGCTCTTCGACAGTACCAATTAAAGCTGAAAAATTGTCAATGATACTAGTCTGAGGAATTGGCACAATCTTTGTAGTTGTCACCTTGACTTGTGCAGCACAGAAGCAAATCTACGCGACCGAATGTTGCAGTCGCTTCCGCAACAACTGCTTGACATTCGCCCATCATTCTACAAAGATAAAAACCCATTAGTCTCGTGTCCAAAGTTTCGCAGGTTCGCAGAGCCAGTAGGTCCAAGGTTTCGGCGTGCTCATGTTTACCTGATATCCAGAGGAACCGCTTTCATGCGGTCCGTCCATCCTTCCTCATCTATCTCGGCTTGAAAGGCTTCGAATCCATCTCGACGGCGCTGATCTCGTTCCAAAACTGTATGCGCTAGTCCCAGCAAAACGCAATCACCATGCGCAAGGACCTGCCGCGCGACTGAGATGCCAATCGGCGAGTCTCCGGCGGTGATTAGCCATACTCTTGGCTCGTGATGCGATGGGAACTGTTGCCCGCGAAAATCGGGAGAAGGGTGGTTATCCATGGGGTCAGCGCCAGCACTGGAAAGCGATACCCATTGCGCGATCAGAGAGGGTTCGCGACAGGTATAGGCGTGGGCGTAGCCGAGGTAGTATTGGGCGATTGAGCGATTGCGGAGTTGGAGAAGTTGGAGGGGAAATCACAGATAACAGTATTGCGCTACGGTGGACCACTGAGTACAGAGGATCGCATCGTATTCCATACCAAGTTTCGTACCAAATCTGTTGGCAGAAAGATATACTACTCAGGTAGTATGCATGGCGGTGAGGCTAGATCGTGTAAGATTTGGTATGGAATTTGGTATGGAAGATGATATGACCTTCTGTACTCAGGGGTCCACTGCACCGCCAATGCCAAGCCCCCGCGTCGACTTTCCCTTGGGTTCTAGCTCTCAGGCCCAGACTAACGGTTAAGACGTGCCCGCTAACCTCCACCCCGGCCGATTTGGCCTCTTGTTCCTTTTCTCTTCTGCTACCCATTCCTTCATCATCCCATTATGCCTGAGCAGAGGCAACAAAGACAGGAGCCAGAGTCATCAAGCGTATGTGGCCTTGATTACTATAGTGAAGACCTAAAGCTTCTTGTTTATTGACAATTCTATTTAGTCTGGCTTCAAGGGCGCTTTGCAAGGTTTGGGAATTTTCCTCCTGGTGCAATTCGTAATTGGCCGTTTCTTCAACAACAAGGAAAATGCAGCATCCGACGTGACCGTTAGCTCAGCCCCAGGCAAGATGCCTTCCTTTGAGCATCGCCCGGACCCCAGCGAAGTCGCCAAGCCTAGCGCTATTCTCCCGGATATCATCGCTCCCATCTGGGCTGCTGATACTGCCCTCGACATCAGTATTTATGTTACACCCTATCTTTCGCTACCCTCTCTCAAGTCCCCGGAAAATGTTCTTGTTCTCCAGGAGAAGAACTTCACGCTCGGAAACTATACGGATACTCGTGAAATCGATACCACCATCAAGGTCCCAAAGCAGGTCCAGCAGAACGGTACTCTGTGGGCGCATTTCTTTGTGGCCCGCACTGGACATGAGCTTGACCCTGCGGCCAAGGGATACAGTAGCGATAATGCTGTTCACTTCCAGCGACCCCTGAACCAGTACCTGGCAAAGAAGAAGGCTAAGAAGCTCAAGAACCTCTTGGCCGATGGAGGTGATGAAGCGGAGGAGGAAGACCTTACCCCAAATGTCTCCATTTCTTCTTACTACCACCCCAACTTCACTGTCTCCCTCATTCCTGATTCTGGCTCCCAGAAGTTTGCTCAGATGCACCCTGCTGTCCGCCAGTATGTCCAGCTGGAACGTACCAGTGCTCGCGACATTAGCGGCCAGAATGGCTGGTATTATCCCATCGTGTTTCTTAATACTTTCTGGCAGCTGCGTACCCACATGACTGAGTTGAACTCGACCGTTGAGACTGTTCCCCTGCGCATTACTCTCAATAACATGGCCAACTGGAAGTTCAGCATCATCACTAGCATTGATGAGGGCTCCAAGCAGAGTGCTCGTCAGGCCGCTCATGGTGGTCCCGTTCCGGGTGGTGGCGATGGTACTGAGTGGGAGATGGTCAAGGAGATTCTGCTTGATACAAACATCTACCTCCTTTGCACCACTGGTATCGTTACCATTCTGCACATGCTCTTCGAGACACTGGCGTTCAAGAATGACATTGTAAGTGATCCATCATTCGACTGATGAAAGTTTATTGCTAATCGCAAATAATTTAGTCCCACTGGCGCAAGAAGAAGGACAATGTTGGCACATCTGTCCGCACTATCTTGGCCAATGTCTTCATGCAGGCTGTCATTTTCCTTTACCTCATGGACAACAGTGACAACACCTCTTGGATGATTCTGGCTAGCCAGGGCTTCGGAATTCTCTTGGAAGCTTGGAAGGTCACCAAGACCGTCGACGTTCGTCTGCGTCCCCCGCCAGCTGATTCGTTCTTCTCATTCTTGCCTTATGTCATTGTCTTCGAGGACAAGCACAAGCTCTCTGAGACCGAGGAGAGGACCAAGGAGTATGATGAGATTGCTTTCCGCTACTTGTACATTGTTGCAGTGCCACTGCTTCTCGCATATGCCGGTTACACCCTGGTCTACGACACTCACAAGTCTTGGTACTCGTACATCATTCAGACCCTCGTTGGCAGTGTGTACGCTTATGGATTCTTGATGATGGTTCCGAGCTTGTACATCAACTACAGACTCAAGGTAAGATAACTACCATCCAAAAGAACGAAGCCTTTTGCATACTAACATATTATTTCAGTCTGTCGCCCACATGCCAGGTAAAGCTATGGCTTACAAGTTCCTTAACACCTTTATCGACGATCTCTTCGCTTTCACCGTCAAGATGCCTTGGTTGCACCGTTTGGCTACCCTTCGTGACGACGTTATCTTCTTCATCTGGCTCTACCAGGGCTGGAAGTACAAGGTTGACTACAAGCGTGTCAACGAATTTGGACAGGGTGGTGATAGCGACGAGGAAGAGGAGTCAGTCCCGGCCATCGAGTCCGAGAAGCAACCGGAGGTTGCTGAACAGACCTCCTCCAACGTCGACTCCAAGTCGTCCAAGTCAGCTCGCAAGCGTAAGTAAGCGGTGCGTCGTTTGGAAATTCCAGATTCTCAAAAATCGGACCCAATGGACTTTACCGGGGCCTTTTCTTCTTCTTTGGTCTTGTCGTCATGCCTAGTGAATCCCAGTTTTGATCCGATTATCACTTTGGAAGACGCTATTTATGCTTGAATTTCTAAAACCCAAATTTTCCTACACCTAGACATTTCAAATAATATCTTCGTTTTTAATCTGGTCAAATCTGTGTATTATACTGTGTAGAAAGTAAGCTATTCGCTTTGTAGTGAACGAACTTTGACCCGTTGTTATTGATTACCCGATCGGGTTTAAGCGCGGCTTCTACGCTTCGCGCCCACGTTCTGCCTTCTATGTCGCAGTCCTAGACTGATATTCCGAGCCAACTGTCTATTTTTGCCGATTTCGTTTTTCTCCCTCCAGTTCCTCTGATACATCATTTCCACTCCTCGCTCTATTGTTGCGAACCGTTGTTGAAGCGCGTTGTTGGACGTGGGTACGCGCCGAAGATTCGGGATCAAGCATATGCGCGCTTTGCGCACTCGGCAGGCGCAATAAAGTCGCACCCACTCCTGGCAAAGGGAATTCAATATCTGTGAGGTCACAATGGACCTTGATTCAGGTATCTCAAGTACCCAAACGCTCTGTGAATCTGAACATCTACTAATTCAATTGTAGAAAGTAGCGAGCGGGGGAGTTTGCTCGACGCCGTCAAGCACTTGGAAGCTGGTAGGGCATCTCGAAAGGGGTATTTCAAACCGCGTAAACTTGACTAATAAAAGAACAGTTGCTTTTGTGCCGGTGAAACAACGATACACCGATGCCGGGGAACTAGTCAAAACGATTGCGTCAAACGCGTATGAGAGCGGCATTCCACCTGATGCGCTGGGTCGATTGTTGAAGATCTTGACAACAAAAAACAATCTTGACCAGAGTACTACTACATCATTGATTAAGAACCTCTATCCGCAAGAGAAGGTGATATCCAAGCATGTCACGCAGGTCGTCTGCTCCCTGGGCCCCAGCAAGTCCAAACCCAGCCCGGCGACGCAATCCCTGCTTGTCCGCTGGCTGATCCTCGCATACGACTTTCTTGACGATCGAACTCACCTTGGGAAGCTTTACGCGGTACTGTTTAATCACCTTGACATGATTAGTTTGCGCAAACCGCTTTGTCATCTTCTCTCGTTGATTACGAGGAGAAAGCACGTGAAGCCATTTCGAATCCAAGCGCTGATGGGACAGGTCCAAAATGCGGGTGGAGAAGATAAAGAGCTCATGACTCTACTCAAGATCTTCAAGAACTACTACCCCGAAATCATTATTGGCGATGTGGGTGGGTCTAGGAGGACTGCTTTATTCTTTAAGCACCCCGATCCTGAATGGGTGGGTCATGCAAAAGTGCTGCAGACCGCAAGATTGGAGAGGGCAGACGGTGCACAAGGGCCAAACTATCAGGTTCTTCCCCGAGGCGCAACAAAAAGAAGCCGGATCCAGGTCATTATCCCAGCTTTGCAAACCTCACGTGTGTCAAATAAACACACGTCACTAGAAGAACTTCGTGGTCTCGAACATTTTGTTGACAAGATTGATGTGATCGATTTACCAAACCAGATAATCTCCACACTTGGGGACGGTATGGCTCAGAAATATCTTCATCTGACCAAATCCGAAGCTGCGAACCACCGGCTTGATGAATGGTTGAAAAATTTTCTGCAAGATAGGTTACAACAAATCCAAGAAGAGGACGATGACGACGAACCAGAACTTTTATCTTATGTTCTGGGTTTTGTTGAAGGATATGCCGTGTATACCAAGGTAATGTCGCCGATGATTTCATGATAGCTCGAGCTAATTTGAGTCTAGGAACTTCTTCCTTCAGTCCAGTCGTTTCTGAAGTCCTATATTGGGGGTTGGAATGGGCGAGATAATAGGGAACAAGTGCTGCGACTACTTCGACACCTCCCAATACAGACATATGAATCGCTCCGCAGCACCATTTTGGAGCCGTTGGAGGCTTCTATGCTGGACAACTCTCTTACCTCCAGGAGTGAATTGCTCAATTTTTACTCGGCATTAATCAACGAATGGGGTATCAAACTTCGAACTCAGCCATCTGCGTCAGAGGAATCAGTACCTTTAAGTGAGCTAATCAAGCATGCCGAGCTTTTGGCATCATCGATGCAAGAGTTTGCACCCATTCCCGATGATGCCAAAACGGCTTGCAATCCAGCCATCCTGTCCATCCTTCAGTTCTACCAGTGCCTTGCAGACCTTTTCTCTCATGCATCTGAAAATGCTCATATCCGACTGACAGTTCCTCCTTCCCCATCGATATACGCAATCATCTTTACACCCAGCGTCTCCATCATCTCAACCCTCAGCTCCGTTCTTGCGGCGTACAAATCCTCATTTGAAGTCTCCCTGACCTCCAAAACTATCAAGCCACCCAACCCTCCCGAACCCCTGTACGAATCCAAAGTTGTGGGTAAATTCAACGGCTATGTGATGGACACCTGCAACCTAGTGTGGCGAAACCGTGCCCTGAATTCAGAGGACCCAAATGCGCGCGCCTGTCTCATACCCGCATCCATCGTCTCGGTGTTCACAGACTATGTACGAGACGTTAATGAAACTGCTAAACGTTACGACCACAGAAGTGCGTTTAACTGCACTTTGCCATCCATATTCTCGCTCAGTCACCATGCCGCATTCTGCAATCTCTCTGCGGCTTGCTTTGCGGATCTGGAGGAAGACCAGCAGATCACGGAGAGCCGGCCCAGGTTGCGAAAACCGGTTACCCCGAAGGTATTGCAGGCTCTTGAGAAGGAGGGCGGAGCCAAAATTACTTGGCAGGAGTATCGGGTGCATATGCTAGATTGGCTAGATGCAATTGGTAGCACGGGCACAGGCGAGCTGATGAGAAGTACTATGAAAGCACTGCGGAAGGATTGATTGGTACCTAATGTACATAAATCGAAATTGTGAATTCGAATATCTATGTTGCCTTCTATTATGCCTCCAGGGCTATTTTACATAAGAGACCTTTGAAGATCTAGGGCCTATTTTTTTACAATCCACACTCACAACTTGTCCGCGGTGTTCAGATAGATATCTTGGACACTCGGTTCATCGCGCAAGGAGTTGAGCAGGTTCCCAGTAGTCTCAGCTTGCTCTGGGTCCTGCACTTGAACCATCGTATCTGGATTCGGGTCCCAGAAAAATTCTAACACCTCAATTGTAAGGCCAGATGATTTTGAGAACAGCTCTCCGACTTTCTTCGTTTCGGACGGATCGGTGAACACGACCAAGCGGCCGTCCTCATCCATGATTATATCTGTCGCTCCCGCCTCGATGGCTTGGTCTAAGTAGTCGTCCGGATCCACACCATCTTTTTTCTCCAAGATGACTCGGCCTTTCTTCTCAAATAAAAATGTAGTGGGCGTCACGGTGCCTCCGAAGGTCTTGATCGAGTGTCGAATGTCTTGTAGCACACGCGCTTTCTGGTCCGTCTGGCACTCGATCACCGCAGCCACTGAGCCCGGCAGCATTGCTTCAATCGTCAAGGACTCCAGTGCTTGTCCAGTTACACTGAGTCCCTGTCCACGCGCGATAGCCGATTCGATGATGATTTTGGGAATGGAGGCGCGCTTAGCATTTGACAACGCGAGTGTCAGACGAGGATTGTATTTCGGATCGGGACCCCATACTACCGCACAAACGCGCATTAGTAACCTGTAATCGTGGAATATTCAGATTTGGGCTGATATAGGCGTACGTTGTGTTGCATTGCTGATCTCTTTGCTCACAACTTGGCGCTCTTTGCTCTTTGACTTGTCGTTCTTGGCCTTGTCATGTTTGATCGTGGCCCACTTGCTGTGTCCGGAGAATGAGAGAGGAGTTGAGCTGAATCTGCGACAGGTGCTGCAAATTGAAGTCGCACGAGGGTGTGGTAGTAATCTCCTCCATTGTAGTGCCATTTCCATCTCAGTTTATTTTTTTTGTTAATCATAAATCTAGAGTTGATGCGGCGCAATCCATACATTCCAAATCGGGCCGACAGTTTATCCGCCCTCCGCTCCGCGGGCATAAGGAGCCACACATACATACAACATTAATCGTCGTGTTTACAGCCTATCCATTTCTTTTATGGGGGTTGTGAAATACTGAACATAATACTAGCAATGTCTTCATCCGAACCCGCCCCCGCACCCCCAGCGCCTGAAAATGGGGCCCCAGAGCTGGATGTTGCTAAGCTCCATGCTCTCCCCTCCGAACAACAGGACCTCTACCTGCTCACCTTCACCTCCGATCTCCTGCAGTTCATTTGCGGCCTCGATTCCGCTCAACTATCAGCACAACAGAAATCCTTGAAAAAGGAATTGTTCAAGATCTTGACCCTTACCTCCCCCACAATTACGAGAGTCCTCCGCAACAACCTTGGACGATGCTTCGGTACGATCCTCGCGAAAGGGGATCGCGGGATCCTCTTCGAAACAATCACCGATCTTCTGGGCCTCATAAATGCAAGCAAGAGCGAAGCCGATGTGAAGGTTAAGTTCGCCGCGGCGCATTGTCTGGGTGAGGTGTTTGCCACAGCTGGCGAGAGCGCATTCATGCAATCCAACTTCGCAACGGCTAGCATACTGAAGCTGCTCAAATCAGCTAGTAATCATACAGGTCTACGGGGTGTCATATTCTCAGTACTCCGCAAGATCGTGGTGGGCATTGGTCTGCCGATCGACGAGGCGACTGCTCGCGATATTTGGAAGCAAGCGCGCAACGCAGCGACCGGCGATAAGTCTACATTTGTGCAAGTGCATGCATGCCGCTGCCTGGAGCAGTTGATTAATACGACCCCATTTTTTGAGAATGTGAATGACTTTGAGGTTCTGAAGACCATGATGTGGAAGGTCATCGATAGCCCCACTGCACCGGTTCGACATGCCGCCGCGGCCTGTCTTGGCCGTGCTCTGATTAAGCTTCACGCCACAGAAACGCATGTTGCTGCGGCTCCAAAGCCAAAGTCTAAGAAAATGAAGAGAATGTCTAAGATGCCGGGTCCCAGGCCCGGAGATGAAGAAGAAGCCGAGATGTCAGAGTCTTCTGTTGCACCAAAGAAATCCGAATCTCGATTATTCTTCCTTCTTCCAGATCTCTTGCGCCAGCTTTCTTCGCAATATCTAAAGAGTACGACCTCCAATCGCACTCGCGCAGGCATCTGTATGTGCTATAAGTATATCCTACGCAACCTGGGAGAGCAGATTGTCGAGGAGCGATATGGGGAGATTGCCTCCAATCTTTTTATTGAACTCTTAAACCACCCGACCGTTACATACAACCGATTCCGTCTGCTTATGACTCGCAAGTTTGTGAAGACTATTCTCGAGGACACCATTGGCGGTGAAATGCTCCAGGAGAGCAGCCGGCTTAATGCTGCCAAGTGGATAATCAACGAGATCTTGAGGGACTATCCGCAAGTGATCCAAGAACGTCGCGAGCCTAGCAAGTATACGTTGACCAGTGCTGTCAGTGCTTTGTCGTCCCTGATTTCATCACTCGGATCCGCTTTTGCCGTTCATGCCGATAGCTGTCGTGATGCCTTACTTCAGGTCTTACCTCATCCCAGCTACACGGTTCAGATTCATACCGCGCATTGTTTACGCAGCTTTGTGCTTGCTTGTCCCTATCAACTTCTGTCTTGTGTGACCATCTGCATGAATAGCTTGAACAGGGAGATTGGGCAACTCGCTACGCCAAGACAATCATCTCGTCGATGTGTTGGATATGCAAACGGCCTCTCGGCGATGCTGAGCACTTCGCGCCTGCAGCCACTCTATGGAGCTGTTGATGTATTTGCGCGGATATTCTCCCAGGCCACAGAGCTATTGAAGACTAGCGGCACTTGTGAGCTTCGGGTTGCGAGCACCCAAATCCAGGTTGCATGGATCTTGATTGGAGGCCTCATGCCACTTGGACCGAGCTTCGTCAAGATTCACCTCTCCCAACTCATGTTACTTTGGAAGAATGCTCTGCCAAAGCACCTGAAGAAGGAGAACTCTGCCCAGCCAAGCAATTTAGAGACCAGCTTCCTCGCTCATGTGCGAGAATGTGCGTTGAGCGCCCTACTGGTGTTCATGGAATTCAACAGCAAGCTTATCACTGCAGATGGTGCGAAGAGAATTGCTGCCATGTTGCAAAATACCGTCGAATTTTTGGATGATTTGCCGCGGCCTAAGTCCATGGAAGATATTTCTCAACGTCTCCACCCCTCCCTTCAGCTTCATGACTTCACCACGATGGTTCGTCGTCGGGTTCTCCAATGTTTCTCGAAGTTGGTGCATGTTCATCATCCCAGCCATGGCGATATTATCTCCCAGTCTAGTTTGCTAAGTCTGGCTATTTCTTCCTTTGCGGATCCAGATGCCCAGTACAGGCCGTTGGAGAGCTCAATCGCAGCTTCCACGGGTCAGTTTGATGGCTTGTGGGACCTTTGCGACAACTACGGCTTTGGAGTGACCGGACTTGCTCGAGAATACATCTTGGCGGCGTTGTCTGGAACCCACGGAAGTGAAAATACGCCAACGTGGTCTGCAATTGATTCTGCCGATGATGTTGCTGATGATGCTCTGACTTTCCCTGTGTGCCAAGCCAGCGAGCACGACTCGGTGCTTCTGTACAGCTTGCGAGATGGTGATTCTCTCGTAGTGGATCCCCCGACTACTGGTGTTGTCAACTCTGCAATTGACCTGTTTTCGGTTGCTATTGCTTTGCACTCCCCTAAGATTCAAGAAAGTAGCGTTGAGCAGATTGCCTCATTCCTGACATCTCCGGCTCTTCAAAGGAATCCGGGACGCAAGGCCGCTTTGGGTGTGAACGTTGCTGTGGCCCTTCTGCACGCCCTCAAAGTTGCAGTGAAGGAAACAGACTTCGTGGCTGGAAAATTGAGTACATCGACGGAAAAGCCCTTGCAAGAGCTCATTCAGAAATTCACCATCGATGCCGACCCTATCGTTCGAACAATTGGTGTGGAGGCACTGGGTCGTTTGTGCGATAGTGCCGGGAACTCCTTGACTAATACCCAGGTCAATTGGCTTGTGGACACCATTGTTGCAAACCGAGAGCCAAATGCCCGCGCTGGCTGTGCTGCTGCCCTTGGATGCATCCATTCACAGGTCGGTGGTATGGCAGCTGGTCTGCATCTCAAGACCATTGTTGGAGTTCTAATGTCTCTTTGCAATGATCCTCACCCAGTTGTCCATTTCTGGGCTCTTGGTGGATTGGAAAGAGTGGCCAACTCTGCAGGTCTGACATTTTCTCCATTTGCCTCTAGTTCATTGGGCATGTTGGCTCAGCTATACAACGCTGATACTCACAATGAAGAATGCGCAGCCTTGGCGACTTCTAATATCGAAATGTCATTCTTAACGCCTGTTGTTATTGGTCGATGCGTTGATTCGCTCATCAATGTTCTTGGCCCAGATTTGCAAGATATTGCAAAGACTCGCAACCTCATTCTGACTCTCCTCCGGCAATTCCAGTTGGAAGAAAACGCTGCTTTGGTCACCGAGAGCTCCAAATGCTTAGATCACTTCTCCCTTTATGCCTCGAGCTATGTGGATTTCCCTGGATACGTGAAACGTTTGCAGAAGGAGCTTCGAGCAAACAACTCATTTATGCGAGACGTGGCTGTGCGTGGTCTAAGCAATTTGATGAAGCGTGACGCCACATCCGTGGTGCAGACTGCAAGCGAGACTCTTGAAGATGATATTTGGCTTGCATTCGATGATGCGCCGGATAACCTTCCAATCAAGACTATGATTCAGGAATGGCTGCAACAAACAGCACTTACAGAGACCGAGCTGTGGATTCAGCGTTGCCAGAACATCATGACCAAGACCCGTAATAAGGTGGAAGTGCTACCAACCACAGCAATCCAGACGGCTGCGGCTGACATTCCGGACGACGAAGTCGCTGGCTTCGCCTCTGCTGCCGCCGGAGATAACCAAGGCGACCCTACAAACGGAGCTATCACCGGCCAGGAATTCCTAAAGTGGCAAACGCGCAACTTTGCCATGGCCTGCCTTTCCGAGCTTCTAGCGACAGTACAGGAAGCTATTTTGCCTGATCAATCAATTCCTGCAGAGCTGGCCCTTCAATCCAAAGTCGGGGATATCGTCAGAATGGCATTTTCAGCTTCGACTGCTAATGTTATCGAGCTCCGCGTGTGGGGTTTAAAGATTATTGATCAAGTTTTGACCGTACGTTCCCTTTATCTTACGATGATGATCACATTGCTTACCCATTTATAGATGTTTGGCAAGACCCCAGACCCAGATTTCGCCGAGGCGTCTTTGCTTGAGCAGTACCAGGCCCAAATCGGCTCTGCTCTCACTCCTGCGTTTGCGGCCGACTCGTCACCTGAGCTAGCTTCTGAGGCAATTAACGTCTCGGCCACTTTCATTGCGACTGGAATTGTCACAAACGTGGATCGGATGGGAAGAATCCTAAAACTTTTGGTCCTTGGCCTCGAAAACTTCTCGAGTACGTGCGTCCCTTCAAAAATATCTGTTAAACGCTAACGTTTTCTGTAGGAGATCCCGAGACTACTAATATTGGCGATTTGAAAGGCTTGAACTCAAACGCCCGGGTTATGGTCAAGCTAGCCCTCTTTTCTGCTTGGGCCAGGCTTCAGATTGCCAGTATTGATCAGGAATACCTCAACCAGGTCGTTCAGCCTTACGTTGCCAAGCTCACTCCACTTTGGCTTGCCTCTCTCCAGGAGTATGCTCGGCTGCGCTTCGAGCCAGATATTTCTGGTGCGTTAGGCACAAGCACTCAAAGTAATGATTTGGATGAGGTTTACGCTGCATTGAACCGTGAGACATTGCTCAAGGTATGTCTTGTTCCCGGAGATCTTTATTCTATTGGGCTTGATTGTTAACACATTGAGTAGTTCTACCAAGATACCTGGCTCAATCTCGTTGATGCAATTGCTGGCCTGGTTGAAAAAGACATTGACTTTGTTTTCGATGCGTTGGATGGCAAGTTGCAGCTGCCAGAGGAATCCGACAAAGCCAAGGAAGATGAAAACAAAGAAGGCCAAGAACTTACTAAAACCGATTCTGAAGGCAAGGGCCATGATATCAATTATCGTGAGGAGCCTGTCGCATTCTTCTTTGTTCTGTTTGGCCTTGCCTTCGAGTCTCTAGTCGACCAAGGAACTTCTCCTTCACAGCGCCTCGCAATCCTCCAGGCTCTCAAACGAATTCTTCGGCCCATTATCTCTGGAAATGCTATCTACCAAGATGCCATTTTCTCAGAGACTATGGATACCTTTGACCGGCTCGTCTTGACAGAGAGCACACCCATCCAGACCGTCATTGTGGGCATTGCGCAGAATCTCTCGCTTGACCATCCTGCGGCGCAAAGTGACCAGGAGCGGAGTGATCATCTGTCGGATGATATCGAGCAGCTGTTTGAGTTGACTAGAAGTATCATTCTGGTTCTTGCAGGCATGCTCCCCAACCTTCGTGAATCAACGCCTCTAGCACGGTTCAACGTGTCTTCGGATGATTCCTTGGCTCTCATTCGCTTAGCACTGCGCTCTCTCGTTGATGTTGCGTCTGTGTTCCCTTCCATCATCCGCAACGACCTTCATGCTTGTATCCTTCATATTTTCACCACAATTCTCGCAACTGGAATCTGCCAGACCGAAGTTGTACCACAAGCTCTTCCAATTTTCCGACAGTTCATCTACGGAATAACACACTCGCCCGAAGTCGGAGACGACATGGATGTGGTTACTTACCAGATGCGAGGATGTCTTACCCGCTTCTTGACTATTCTCACAATTGCCCAGCGTCGCGAGTCGGAAACTTCCATGCCCTGCGCCAAAAATACCCTTTTGGCTATCACTTTCCTGATTACAGCAGGTGGACATGTCCTGCCGCCACAAGATCCACTCATCACGCGCGTCCTCGACGAGCTCCTCGATTGTCTCCAAGACGTCGGCCTCGCCACCGTTGCCGCGAGCTGCCTTCGCTCGATCGTGCTCAAGCCTAGCCCCCGTTATACTACCGATGATGTGATCTCCCGATACCTCCTTCCGCGTCTAATCGCGTTCCTCGTTGGCTGCCCATCCGACGCAGGGGAAGTTCCGACCGACCCAGAGAACTCGCGAACAGTCATTGCTCGCACGCTCGTGTCCTGCGTGTCTAACTCGACATTCTCCCCGGCTGAGGTCCCAGCTGCCGTCTCGCTAGTAATGTCCGCATTGCTAGCCCGGGCTCATCGCGAGGGACCGTCAGTCCACAAGGAATCTGCTGGCCATCTCCTTGAACTAGCCAAAGCAGACCAGGTCAGTTTCCGGTCCTTAGTGGCGAGTATGAATGCAGACCAAAAATCTCTTCTGGAGGACGTTCTCCGCAGTGCTGGTATTGGAGCCAGTGCCTCGGCGGACGGTGAAGCAAATGATAATGTACCGCAAGCTGCACCAAGTATTGCTCTGCGCATGGATTTCTAGATGCACCTGTACCTACTGTTGTGTGTTGATGTGATATGATGTGAATGCGATAGTGCACAAATATATAGACCACGAAATGTTATTGTCATTTTTAAAACCCTCTTGGTAAACTACTAGATTGATAATCTTCACTTATATTGTACTAGTTCATGCCACTCAGAGCAAACTTAATCTTTTGAGTCCGAGCAAGACCGAGATCTAATTAAATCGGACCGTCCTAGTTGGGTAACTCGTGGCGCGCTTATGTTATCCAATCAGGTGACGCCATAAGCTTCTCGTGAACATTCTTGTTAACGCTTCTCAATGTGCCTGCATTAAATTCACTTTGATCTTTTTTTCATTCGTTTGGGCAGATATTATTCTTCCACAACTGCTGTGGTGTGAGTATTGTTCACAATGCCTCCAGATCGAGGCCGCGCCTCCCGAGCGTGCGTTTCATGCAGGAAACAAAAGACTAGGTGCTATGAGCCTAGTCTCCCCGGGAAAGCATGTTTACGATGCGAAAGACTTCACCAGAAATGTTCTCTAACGCAAGTTTCCGAACAAATCCAGGATGAAGAGCCATCGACTCCACTTTCGGGGACAGATGCACGGTATGAATCGACTCATGAATATAATTATCCTGCCCCACATTAGTGCACATGTGCATGCACCCCAGAGACGCGAAAGTTTTGCATTTTGACATTCGGATATGTATAGACTGGAAAAATTGGAAAAAACAATGGCAGCTCTCCTCGATCGTTTAGGAGAGGGTCCATCAGCTCCCGATGATCAAGAGTCCAGCAGAGCAAGCGCACTGACGACACCGGAAGCTGGAGAAGCCGCGTACAAAGACACGGAATCTTCCGCCCCTGTCATGGTCATCCGGGATTTGGCTACGGACACAGGGCTTAAATCTGCACCAGATACGCGATCTCTCGAGACCGTTTTGAATGATCTTATTGCCCCCGATCTAGCTTTAACTCTTGTCACAATGTATGGTTTGTGAATTCGGCTATCTAAATCATATCATTTATGCATATGCCAGCCTCGAGTCTCATGCTGACGTTGATTACCAGTTTTCTTGAGTACTATGGACGCTGGATCCTGTATGACCCAGAAGGCGATCCGGGTGCTCTCTTGCCCCGTGTGAAAAAATCACCCCTGCTTTTTTGCGCGTGTTGTTTGATCGCTGTGCGGCATACGTCCGAAGAATTAGCAGCAACTCTGGCCCCTAGGCTTTATGAGTGCGCTCGGTCTTTTGTTTCGAGTACAATTCTGGTCGCCCCGCAGTGTATTGAGTTCTTCCAGGCAACTCTTATTCTTTGCATGTGGTCTACGACTGTAGGCCAGGTGCCCTTGAGTATCGATACATGGCTTTTGAGTGGGTTTGCCCTCCAGCATAGTCAATCAAGCCCCTTATTTGCCGCAGTGACCTCTCAATCTCTACCATCGATTAAAATGGATGAGAAGACTCTGGATCGCTGCTGCCTATGGAACCATCTTTGCCTGGCACATTTGCATTATTGTGTGGGCACAAGTCGCAGATCTATGCTGCAAGCCTGGCAAATTGAGCGGTGTCGGAGTATTATTGATTCCGACCATGCGACTAACTTTGAAGTACGAATGGTTGCTGAGATAAACCTCTATTGGATCGTCTACGGACGGTTGATTGAAGAATCGGTGGATTTACTCAAGTCGGTTTCTGAATTGCAGACATGGAAGAGACAATGGGAATTTGTGATTGGTATGTGGAAACTCGTTTCTTTCTGACTACCAAACGTGGTATGATGCTGATAATGTAATGTGCAGAGCAACCGAGATCTCAGTTCTTGTTGATGGGGTTCCACTTCTCCAATCTCCTGCTCTACGAGCATGCTTTAAAATCCAAAACTGCTCGTGCTCAAGAGTCGGTCGTATCGGAAATGGTCCGCCACTCTACAGCTATCGTGCACCTAGCTATGGACACAGTGGATGAACGTACGCGACACCTGACTGATCACATCTACCATATGATCACATTCGCAGCAATTGTTCTTTGTCGGTTGCTCAACAAATATGAGAATCAAGTGAGCATGACATGTAATCCTCAAGAGTTGGATGATCTCATCCAAAGTCTTGTTGATTGGCTACATTGCATAGGTCTACCCTGCCATGCTGCCCACGCTTTGGGTAATATCATATCTAAAGTGCAGCAGAAATTACGTCCTCGGGTTGAAATTCTGCCAGAGCCAATAGAGTTCCCGGAAGAGAGCTTCAATAACTACTTCTTCCCGGAGTTTTTGGGGCTTGGCCCTTCAAATGATGGGAATTGGGATTTATTGCCAGATTTGGGTTTCTTCCAACAAAGTCCTTCGAATACTTGATAGACGCAATACACCGCAACAGGAAATCAAGGACATACACGCAGAATTAATGATTTCACCAGGCGTGGCATATTAAAAGCCTGCATGTCTTTTCTCGGCCCAGCGAAGCAATGGAAAAGTTATGGCCGACAAGGCAAATGTCAGCTCATGACCGATATTCGCACCACGGCCGATCAACGACGCAATCGGTCCAGAATACCAGGTGACATGCATTCCAAGGGCAGCCCCCACAAATCCGAAGCAAAACGCCCCTGCCGATGCCCATCCAAATGGCAAGGCTGCCGGATTGTTCCAGGCATCCAGGTCATACGCCGTCCAGCGCCGGCGGAAAATGAAGTGCTCCTCCATCACAACTGTAGCATGGATGACTGTCCAATATCCAATGACACTGAGGAAGGTCTGCAGAGCGTCATCGAAATACTTGGCTGCGCAGCAGCCGACAATCACTGCAACCACCGACCCAATTGTCACCAACACCACTCGTGGAATTCGGATTGCCCAAGAACCAAGATTTTGAGCGTGCAAAGCGAAGGAGTAATTATTTGGTATATTGTTCTTGCCATGCGTTAGCCTAACGAAAGTCATTCCTGGAATCGAATTCAGCTTACCGGAATCGAGCTCAATGCCGCGAGAACCATCAGAAACTTTCCAAACCCACCCGCTGGCTTCAATGCCATCTCGAGCAATCCTCCAATTGAGGAAACTGAATAAGCATCTTTCCATTCGACACTTGTCACAGTCCCAGAATATAAAGCTGCACCTAGTGATTGAACCAAGACACTAGGGACGAAGATACCCACGTACGTCGCACTGAAGATCTTCCATCGCGGAGTATCATGCGGCATACGAACATTATAGTCTGCAGCACAATTGACCCACGAAAGTGAAAACGAAAATATACTTGCCATGTAAGAAAGCACGGCGGCCGCTCTATCCGCGCCCTCGAGGTGTTTCGAGCTCGCGGTCGTAAATGACGATGCGCCCGTCCCGGCAGCAACGCACCACACGATGAACGGGAGGATCCAGATGAACGTGTCTAGACGATGGATCCATGTTATCCCTAGTGCGCATATAACCCACACCAGTGTACATATGATGATGACACCGGCCCAGGTGGGACATTTTCCGTTCGATAGTGCGTTGAGGACGGAGGCTCCTGAAATGGAGTTTATGGCGTTCCAGCCAGTCGTTGCAATCATCGAGAATACCACGACAAGCATGTTACCCCAGTAGCCGAAGGAATACCGCCTGTCAGAAGACATATAACAATCAGTTCCAGATACGTAAAATTATGAGATGTCACAATCAAATATTTACTCACGAAAAGGTTGTCATTCGCAACCCTGTCAGTCCGGCTGTAGCTGTCCAAGCTGGGAGGAGATCGCTGAATAGATTGACCACTACAATCACAATGAAGCAATCCCAGAATCCTAGGCCCATGGAGCCGCCCAGTGACCCGATGTTGAGAGTGGCAATTGCCATGTTGGCGCTGAACCTATAATTGTGAAAATATTACTTAGCAAAGTCCCACGACACTAGAGACATGCTTGTAAGAGTCTGATACTTACCAGAATGTAGCAGCATGCCAGAATTTAGTAGTATGCTGCTTTCTCTCATCATCCGTGACACGCTCAATACCTCCCTCCTCGATGGAGAGTCTTCTGGGAAACCATGACTGTCTCTTCAAAGACTCTTCATTATCAGAGGCGCCTTTATCTGCAGGTGGTATAGAGTGGTTCATAATCACGATAGAGAAAGATAACGATCTGCGGATCTTTCTATCTGTCCTCCTCCCCCCGGACAAGCCCTTCTATATCTACTATTTCTCCTATTGTTGATATACCCATGCCTCTAGGGCTCTATGATAAGCATATAGGAGGCGTATCTGACGCCATCACGACTATACTTCCCAGCTACGAATAACGCGGCTTCTTTTGATACTCGGATGACCCACCGGGTACATACCCCGGAGCATTGTATAATTGTATCGGGACTACGGCTACAATAGAACCTACTCGACAAGCAAGCTCCTAGACACGTTTTCGTCTCGTATCCGAAAAGTATATAACTCGCCTCCTCCGTATTTACCCCGGTGGGTCTGTCAACGCACCATCTTGGCCTCCACTTATCAACCGCGGCATGCCGCGGCATGCCGGTCCACAAGCCCTAAGTACAATCCAACAGAAATCGCATCATCCTCACACCATTTTTCTAAGATAAATTGCAAAGACCCAGCCAATTTCCCTGAAGTAAACCCATTCCCTCCAGCTTCCCAATTCAATACCCTCCAAAAACTCACAATGGAACAGCAAACCCTCCGCCGCCGCGGCCTCGGTCTCCGCGGCCTGGACACCAAAAGAGTCACACCAGGCTACGTCCTCTACACGCCCCTAACCTCCAACACCGCGCACCTAGTCTCAACAACAGGCAAAGAAGTGCACAGCTGGACACTCCCACACCGCGCAGGCCGACACGCCCGCCTCCTCCCAAACGGCACACTCGCCTACAATGGCGCGCACCCCGAATCACCCGCCCTCTTCCCAATGTGGGCCAAATACCGCGGCGGCATGATGCTGCAGCTCGACGCTGCCGGCACCATCCTCCGCCAGTACTCGGATCCCTACGCGCACCACGACCAGAACCACCTAGCGGACGGCACAATCCTCTACACGACCGTCGAGCCCCTCACGGCAGCGGAAGCGGCCCGCGTCCGCGGCGGCATCCCAGGCAGCGAGGCGCCCAGCGGCACGATCTACGCCGACTGCATCAAGCACGTGGACCCGTGGACCGTCTCGAACGTGTCCTCGTCCGCCGACTTCGATGGCACGGGCACCGGCACCGGCGGCGCCAAGCTCCTCTGGTCGTGGCGCGCGATCGACCATCTGGACCCCGAGGCTTTCGCCGCGCACGCGCACTACCCGCGCGAACACTGGCCGCTCATCAACAGCGTCTCGTTCAACGGGCAGGGCGACGTGATTGCGTCGACGCGCAATGCGTCGAGTGTTTTTGTGATTTCGCGCGCGAACGGGCAGGTGGGATGGAGTGTTGGTGCGCCGATTGTGTGCCAGCAGCATTGTGCGCATGAGATCAATGAGGAGGGCGATATGCTTGTGCTGGATAATGGGGTTTTTAGGCCGGGGTTCTCGGTGCCGTTTTCGCGGGCGCTGGTTGTCAGTCGCGAGAAGGAGGTTAAGTGGGAGTATAGGGATTTGTCGACGGGGGGTTTGGGATTCTTCACGCCGTTTATGGGCTCTGCGCAGATGTTGGCCGGGGGCAATGTGCTGGTTTGCGAGGCGGCTAGTGGAAGGATTTTTGAGGTTACGAGGGGTGGGGAGGTGGTTTGGGAGTTTGTTGTGCCTCAGTTGAGGGATTATAGGGGGGTAATGGGGGATGAGGAGCTTGGGGAGATGGAGCGCATTGGGTTTTCGAATCAGAGTAATGCGGTTTTTAGGGCTTATAAGTATCTTCCTGAGGAGATTCCGTGGTTGAAGGTTGAGGGGAACTGAGTATATCAGACAAGAGTGAAGGATGGATGTCTATGTTGATGGTCTGGAGATGCATATAACTCTCCAATGTTGAAAAGCGTATATAGAATATAGAATTTCTTTCAAATGTTGAAAAGTGGCCAAGGAATACTTGGGCATTCCAAGCACTGTATACATCAATTATAGAACGGGGTGCTTGGATTAGGGGATCTATGTAATACTGTAACATTTGTCATGTATAGTCTGGGTATCTGAATCTATTGGTGTTGGTGTTGTACAGGTAATCTCAATTACAGAGATATCGCTCAAAAAGTATGAGAGGGTAAATGAATGACCGGCGTGTATGTGGTGTTGTCGGAAAAAGGTGAATAGTAGGGACTGGATCAATGTGCTCAGCCCATAGACTCGCCAAGGTGCTCCACGGCAACAGAAGGCGTCTTAGACTGGTTTGCGGGTTGAACAACGACGCGAGTTTCTTTCTTGACCTCATTGACAGGCTTTTCAACCTCGACTGTCTTGGTCGGCTCATGTGGCTTGCGAGTTGAGGCGTACTTGAGGAACAGGATCATCATGACTAGAAAGCCGGTTAGTGTTGGAAACAAAATTATGCCAGAGATATAACTTACAAGCGCATGTAGCAACGGCCATAGCAGCGCGTCGTGTCAAAATCCATCTGAGACCTTCGATTTCGCTCTTTCCATCGCTGGTGAGAGAGACAGTAATCTTGTAGTTCAACTCTTGATCCGAAGTGTCGATAATGCGTTGTTGTTCTCGAGTGCTCATCTTATGGTCATTGAACATGCCCTTAATCTCATCTTTCATGCCCGAAAGCTCCTGGTTCAGGCGTTGGGAGAGTATATCCGTCTCATGTTCCAGCTGGCCCCGAGACGCTCTTTGGCGTTGAACTTCGGAGCCACGGGCCGTTTCAAGCGACTGCTGAAGCTCCGAGCAGGCTGCTTTGAACAAATATGACTCGTTCTCTATGTCTGATTTGGAGGTCAAGCTCTGCTGAGCGAAATCGAGATTCTTTTGCAGGATGGTTCGTACTGCTTTCATAATTGTCGTGGATTGCTCGTTGGTGAAGCCGCCCCTGGATAGATCTCGAACGAGGGAATAGGTATCGAAATGGTGCACATACGGTGCTGGGGACATGTGGGGAGGTTTGTGCTCGGCGTTGGATGGGTCCGTAGGTGTGAGATAGTTTGATGGAGAGGGCATGTGATAGACTTCTTCGAATGAGCTGTTGGTGTTGGCATAAGGAGACAACTGAGCCATTTCTTCTCCCAAATCTTCAAATGGAAACGAAGCGGAAGCGCTGGCTGTGGTCTCGCTGTCCGATCCTTTCTCCTGGGGTTCCTCTGTGGCAGCCGAAGTACTGCCTTTGGTGGAGTCCGCTGCAGCCTGCTCAGATAGAGACGCAGCTGCAGCGTCAGCCGTATCGGTTTGAGGTTCTGACGACTGTGGGTCCTCGGCCTGTTTTTCTTGCTGCGGTGTTTCTTGTTCCTGTGGTGGTGGTTGCGATAATGACTGATCCGGCGCCGAAGCAGTCCCCTCTGTGCTGTTTACCTCCTCACTTGTTGCCGCAGTGGAGTCCGCAGCTTGCGCTTGGGAGTATTCTTGCGACTGCAAGTGTGGAGGTACTTTCGGTTCAACAGCTGGTCCATATCGGCGCTGGTAGGCTTGCTGTGTGTGGCGACGACTGAAGTGAAATGGCCTGCGGAGGCTAGAAGATGGAATGGAGCGGTAGAGCCGTAGTTCACATGGTCGGATGGCGCGTAAAAGATTTGGATAAAGAAAGGACAACCGGGTCGTGGTCATTGTGAGGGTGTTTGAAGAAGAGAGAATGGTTTCCCGTCGGCGAAGTTCGTGTGACTCTTCGAGTGACTTCATCTCCCCCGCGGAAAGGGAAACGATGACTAAGCCATCCCGCATCACTCATCTTCCCTGTGATTGGCCAATTCACGGTGTATACAAAAGATATGCGTCTGTGATCATGAGAGCTACATTGCACTGTTTACTTGATTAATTCTTTTCTAAAAGATGTGTCTCGAGTTCAAATGACACTCAGTTTATTTGCAAGCACGTATCTCACATCTTTCATTTCAAGACCTAACACAAGATCGACTGACTAACATGGATATCGCCTCAACTTCGACAGCCACCATGTATAACTCAGGAAACCAACTCAAGGAAATTTGGACAATGCTACAACTGAAGGCATTACTCGATATTCATCGGCTCTCTTTGTAGAGGTACCCAATGAGTCTCCACATAAAGCAGCCATAGTGGAATGTTGCCTGGCACGCAATCCCAATTAACCACGACATTCCCAAATCCACCAGCAAGCGCTCGCTCCACGTCTTCCTTAAAAGGCGTCACTGCCAACGCTACCAGTGTACATGGTATGTTTTCCGGTCTATTCTGAATCTTCCGCACATCTTCCAAGAAGCTCGCTTGGAACCTGGCGGACGTCTGATTGAACCTCCGGCATTTCAACTCAATTCCGACCGGCTGATCTAGCTCTTGAACCTGGGTGAGGCGCTGGAGCTGATTGAGACTTGGCTTATATATGAACCCGTTCCGACGTCGCAGTTCTTGCAGTTCTTGTTCCTTCGCTATCTCTTCTGGCTGACGTTTGTTGTAACTGGCTGTTGGGTTCTGCAGCCAAAGATCGACCTGTTCTTCTGAATGCGGCCAGATGTGCTCCTCACACATGACATCAATTGTGAAAGCCATGTCGAGCTCGGCGGCTATTTCTAATTGAAGCCACTTTTCCCAGCCACCACCAAAGTTGCGTTTGTGCAGGATTTGGTCCGCGCGGTCAGCAATGATGTGCTTGATTGCTGAAAGGTGAGGCAGATTTTGCTCATTGATAGCCGCCTTGAGGGGTGTTGCTCGATTCATTTGGGCAGTTTTTTTTGGCAATGACGAAGTTTTCGGTCGTGGATTGGTGGGGCTTTTTGTCAAAGGAACGCTGCTAGAAAAGTGTAGATATGCTAGTTGGGTGCTTGTGCGTTGGCTGTCTCGTAAGGTCTGCAGTAAGGGAGGATTCGAGATCAGAAAGAAAGTTGTTGGAACGGCCAAAATCACAAGAAATGTCACAGGTAATCATGGAATATATAGTATTGATTAAACAACAGGCTGGCCTGAAAATCGCCACAAAAAAGTCAATTTCCGAGATATTCACTTCCGATTTCATATGTTCTAGACTCAGTCATTAAGGAAATTCAAAGCGATTGGTATGAGCCAACTGAGAGTATGTTAAGTTGAACACCGCGGCTTCTATTCATCCCGAGGTTTTCATCTATCTTCGGTCGCTCAATCTTTCCAGCTTTCCAGCTTTCCCTCAATGGTCTGGTTAATCTCCCAATAACCCAATGCACGTTGCCTTTCTGCTTAAAACCGGAGGCTATAATCCGGTGGCAAATGGCGGTTTGTGAGAAGTGACAAAGTTTGGGGTTCAGTCTAGTAGCTCTTCTCGGCAAGCTCCACCGTGACGAAGCTTGGAATAGGCCCCACTGCGGAGTAGGCTGGCGCTATGGGTCCCGAGGGAGAAAATAGCCTCGCGGCCGATTGCCTCTACATGTTGGCTCTCTACACCAAAGGGGTATGAGACAAATCGACCCTCGGCGTGGATAAAATATCCGAGTTATCGACATGTGGAAGCGTCCCTCGAAATGACGGAGTCAGCCAAAAGCAGGGCAATTAGTACCGACTTTCACTTTCATTGCCGGGTGTCAGCTTGATGTTGCTCGCTTGATTTACCCAGCGTCAAAAATATGCTGGGCCTCAAGTTCACCTATCGCGCATCTTTCCCTCGTCACCTGGTCCTTGGGGTTGAGAGAAGCTCGGGTTTCTTCGCCCAGTCCAACCTTGGCAATCGCCCAGCTCGGTGAGCCTGGTTATTCACAGGAATGATCAACATCAAGTTGTTTAATGAAATTATTCTCCATATCTCAAACGCAAATTGAATCATTACTGCTTGAATGCTAACTGGAGACCGTGTAATGAGCTTAGTATTTTGGATGCGAGCTTTGGACACACGATTTCGATGAACCTGTTGATCTCCTATCAGACATTCTACGCTGGTCGGCAATATCATCAGGCGACAGGGGTTTCTGAATATCTTCACGCGTCTTCCTGATGTCACTCGAGTTCATTTCGACATTTTTGTGAACTTTCGAATTTTTCTGGCGGGCCTCGAGATGCAAGTCATGAATATGTTATATATATATATATATTTTCGACGAGGCCCTTCTGAGTTTGCAGCTGATGATGAGCTATGTAGTGAAGCTATCAATGATTTGAGGGATTTTGTATTCATATTTGATGGAAGCACCCGTGAACGCACTGTGTTCTCCAAACTTGTGCTCTCACGTCTACCCATTTTTATCCTCACTTTCCCTTTATCCTCACTTCAATGTTTCCCTTTACCCTCACTTTCTCTTCATCCTCGTTTCTCGTTTCTCCTTTATTCTATATCCTATATACACTCACTTATTCCTCCAAATTCAATACTGTGCTTCTCTCTGGTTGTTTAACAGGTGAGCTCCTGGAATTCTCCTCGCATTGTGAAGCTCAGGCGCGGGGCTAACCTTGTTCTAAGTTTCATAGGCTTGCACTTCAGCCTCCGACCAGAGAGACCCAGGGTACTTGGCTTGCTTCAGGCATTTCATTTCATTACCTTACTTCTCATTCTCACGAAATACCTCTTACGGTTTCAATCATCGTTTTCCGTCGGCGTCAACATGTCCCTTAAAATCGACGAACTCACGCGACTGCGCAGTCGTTTCTTTTCGGTTAAGGAATCGTACGATGAAGCGAGACTCTCGGAACCCATTAGTGGGAACCAACCAGGCCCACCTGTGGTGTGAGGAAAGCTGGATATGACCGCGCGAATTGTTGGTGTATGCAATCACACAGCAGACATCTGGATCAAAGCAGAAATACTCCCTAACTATCGCAGAGTCGGTTAGCACTTGTCAAACTAGCGACTTGGAATTCGCTTCCCAAAATTGGCCGTTCCTCGAACTTTTACTTCAAAAATTCTTTCTGACATTACATGCTTAATACTTGGAATGTGCATGTACTTGGTACTCGAGATGAGTACTTACCCACTGAGTAGGTACTCATCTCCAGTACGGAAAGTGATTATGGCACAAAGCAAAACTCCTGCCGGAGAAGCATATTGCTCAGAGATTGGGCTATCAACAGTAGAAACACCACTGTTGAATCTTGCCCCATGTATGAATAGGATCCAGATCATTTTCCCATCAGGCCCTTCTTTACTACCGCCCGGATTATGGCTATGTCAGGAGACGATCTAATTCGCGGAGTCAAATCGTTCAAGGTGCTGGTAGACGAAGGATCAACGTCAAACGTGATCCCATCGTGGTTAGTTGACAAAATGCATGAACGCTGTGTTCCCATCGAAGGCGGGATCATGGAGACCGCATCCGGAGAGAAGTCCCCAATCAATCGAGCAGTGTGGATATGCGTTGAAGTTGCTGGTACGACCCGGGTAGTCGCTGCCCTGGTAACACATGGACGACCTTGCTATCACTTACTCTTGGGCCGTCACTGGATGGCGGATGTGAAACTGGTTGGAGATTATCAACGGGGTGAATACACCTTGGAAGATGATTGCAAGGAGCGTACGTCAGTCCCTCGGATCACTGACAAAGACATGGAGCGAGTCAAACGGCAAGCCAAAGTTCTCCCGGTTCCGGTTCAGAAGGCCCCGATCTGGGTTGACATCTCAGATCACAATAACATGGTTGGCGAGAGCATTCCTCCGGGTGAATTTGAAGTCTCGGATATCGGTGAATCGGAAGTTGATAGATGCTTGCGAAATGCATTGAGATCATGCAAACAACAACAGGAACATCAGACTCAATCCGGAATGGAGAGTATGGAGTCGTACTCAGGCGACTCCGAGTCGGGTTTCTGAGGGCATCGGCGCCGGAGTCCTTGCTCCATGAAGGCGCGCCGTATGTCGAGGGAAGATCAAGGAGTCGACCTGTTGCGTTGGCCCTTGCCATTCTAAATACTCTGGTATATCGAACTTAGTATAATCATTACTGATTAGGAATTTTCTTTCACCTTATGGATTAAGATGATCCTGTTGATTTCCTATCAGACATGGTTAGCAATATCATCAAGCAACAGGAGTTTCTGAATACTCTTTACTACGTGGTGCATAAGAATCTGCCTTGCAACCTGTCAGAACATGTAGGGGGATGTGACTAGTACTTACACGATGTCAAATTATCCATTCCTGGACTTACAGTCGTATTGCAGCACGCGATCTTATATTGCAGACTAATAGATAGTGTAGTTTAGTCTGAGGAAGTGAGAGCTTCTCTCACCTTTCCTCTCACCTTTTTTCCTCACTTTTTCTCTCTATTCTGATCTTTTCTCTCTCCTCTGACCTTTTCTCTCTCCTCTGACCTTTTCTCCCTCCTCTGACCTTTTCCCCTTCCCACTTGAGAAGAATACAAACTTGTCTTCCTATTTTCCCAACTTTACACAGTATTTCTGCTACAACCAAATCCTTCAAACGGCAAGCCCTCTGCGAATTCTCAAATTCATTTTCAAATGCAAAGCTAATGTATCTAACGATCAAAGTTTCTTGAAGCAGCAGACATGTCTCACAATTCTGGACGAGCGGGCTTTTGCGAAAACCCGGATTGTGGCCATCCCAATACCATCCATCGTTTCGTGGAATGTTCATACTATGGCTGTGAGAATGAGTGGAAAAGATGTACGGTTCCTAGCCACTGCAACGGGGTGTATTACAGAATTTGCGAGACTTGTCCTGACCACCCAGGAGGTATTCCGGATTGGTGGGTTACAACAAGCAATCAACCACGTTCAACCTCATCGCAGCATCAGGGAAGATGAGTTGATTGTAACCTCGACACAGCATGCAAGATGGATTTGCATCTACCGAACCTACTAGTACTGACCAACTCATGCGAAAACCCCTGCCTGTTGATCTGATATCTTGTTACCCAATGTTGTTGAGCCATAGCTCAATTTGAGCTTCGCTCTGTCCGTCAGGTTTTTCAGTACTATCATCATCAATCTCGTCCGCTCCATAAGCACTTTCCTTCCATATCCCATTAAGCCAGCCATCTTGATAGATCTTTTCAGAGGGGCGACCCTCACCGTTGATATACAACCAATGAAAGATGTATCGCGAAGCACTTCTGGATGCCGTTTGATCGAGCTCTTTCTTTGGAAACACCTCCAGATTCTCGATTCCAGGAGTGGCGCATCTTGTATCGTTTGTCATGGTTGGTAAAGATGATCTTGAGAACCCACGATCCTGAACAATCGCCCCATTCGCTAGCTCCCACTTCAAATAGTCATATTGGTATTCATGTCGGGGGCATTTTAAATGTGAAGCCACCCGAAGAACACAGTCTTTTGTTAGAGATACTCCACAGGGTACCCAAGGTGTATCGGGCCTGTATTCAAAGCTGTATTCATCCTCTTCAGTGGGAGGAAGGTGTAGTAAGCGCCACACATCTTTCCTTGAGATGCATTCGGGATTTCCAAAGGCATATGGACCTGAGCCAGGAATATCCATAAAGCTCTGTGGATAGCCAGTCCAAGGATAGGCAAGTGGATCAAGGGGAGGCCTGCCTCTCTTGACTCTTGAAAGAATGCTTGGGCCCAGCCCGCTTGCAATAGCTCCTATCCAAAGTGCACTTAAACCTGGTCGGCGAATTGCGCCTATCAAGGCAAGAATTTCCTGATTATACTCCGCAGTATCGTCCAGTACCTCATTTAGAACCGGATGTAGCCAGGAGCTAACAAGATTACAAGGAACCTCAAGTTCCCAGAATAAGCCACACAAGACTGAAAACATCAATTCTGGATGGCAACTCAGAGTCATATAATAGGGAAGCTGGTCATTTAAACTCGCCCATGATGACGGAATAGCTTCGATCATAACTGACTTCCCACTAGCTGAGCTTGGAGGTGGAAATCTGACAGTTGAGCCATGGAATCTATGTGTTGGAAGGACCAGGGCCACGGCCAGGGCAATAGGGAATTGACTGCCCAAGTTGTGTAAACATGCGAACTCCGCAAGGGCTTCAAAAGCTCTTTCTGAAGATAAAGGGATGTCGAAGGAAGTTAAGGACGGGCTTCTTTTATTCTTGATGACAAAAGATGTTTCACATGTGCGGCAAACTGTCCAAGGGGTGACGAATTTGCTGTCGGGGCTTTGATCCACAATACCTTCCCATCCGTTGCGTTGCGTGAGTATCGCAGACCACCACCGAATCACTGCCTCATCCACCTCTCCAACATCGATGCTGTGTGTTTTCGAAGACTGCGAAAGGTTCTCAGCGGAGTATTCCGGCTCAGGTTCCTTGTATTGCATACAAGCGCCCTCTCCAAGTATTTCAACGAGCCGAGCCGAGAGAATGTAACACCAGCCGATTATGAGTATCGCCAGGTAATTAGGGACGGCAGATTCTTCTTCCATCGTACCGATCCAAGAATTGAAAATTCCCCCGTCGAATGTGTAAGGGATGGCATCACCGATGCCAACATGTAACAGGGCCGGGAATGTCTTTTCTTTGTCGAGTCTATCGCACTCTGAATTTTCTAGTAGCTTCCAAGTAGAAGTCACTTCGAAGCAAAGGGCAAGATCTGGAGAATCCCCATAAGGGCGCGCAATTGTTTCTTTTGGTCGACCTTGAAGTTTAGGCAGCATATGAAGAGTATGACAAGGGCTTGTGTATTCGGGAGGCAAGCCACGATTCAAAAGGACTTTCGCCAAAGATGCAAGATGATACCAGTAGTCCCGACTCTGTTCTAGCGCCTCTGAAAGTTGTTGATCATCAGGTTGGAGGCTGTCGCTTTTGTCAATGATCTGTTATCAGCAAGTTAGCTTCGGTTGTTATGGGCAAAGGTTTGACAGCACCGACCGAGGAAACATGCGGGGGTGGAAGAGAATGGCTCTCCAGTGCCTTCGAAAAGCGAAGTGGGCACATGTTTAAAGGAGGCGAGGCGAGAGGAGAGAAGAGGAGAAGGGGCGAGATGAAAGAAGAGGAGAAGGGACGAGAGAGAGGGAGAGAGGGAGAGAGGGAAAGAGGGAAAGAGGGAGGGTTGCGCGAATGTGAGATCCCCTAACAAGAGAAGCTCCAGAACGGGTACCAAGCGTTCTGTTACGTGTCTGAGATGAGGGTGAGGTATACCGTATAACCCGTTCCATAAAAATTTACCCATTCATTTTTCCCCATCATCAAATCTCTACCAGACTAAATTCAATCTGACCCCCTTGTATGGTTGGTAGGGAAATCTTTTTCGTCGTATTGTGTTATGGGGTAAATGGCAGTTTTCAGATCTCGTAGCCCATCTAGAAGCTCGCGAGAAACTTGAGCTTCGTAAAGGAAAATATACTCCGAATCGAGTACGTTTACAATGAATATGCGTGACTGGAAGAGGGTTAGTGACTGCTGTGCACTCGACGGTGCTGTTCGAGGCAATACAAGTAATAAAGAGAATTAGCAAAATCTAACATATACAGCTTCAGGGGTGGTTCTGTATATTAAGTTCTACCCAACCTAGCCCGACCTCTTACAAATCTTCGCCAGAAAAACCCCAAAAACATCTTTACGCAGTCCATCACCCTCATCAACAGCCTCAATCATCAGCTTCAGCTCCCGAATGCGCCCCTCCTCGAACTCCGCATACACACTCGGAAGATCCAAATCCACAAACACCTGCCTCACATTCATCTCGCACTGCGCATCCTTCCGTCCATAACACTCATCCAGAACCCGCCTTTGCTCCGGCGAAGCAAGCAAAAGAGCCTGATTAACAAGCCACGAGCATTTATTATCCCGAATATCCGTCCCAATCTTCCCCGTCACATCAGTGTCCCCAAAAAGATCCAGATAATCATCCTGCACCTGGAAATACTCGCCCATCGGCATCAGGATATCATGCGCAAGCTGTAGATTCCTCGACGTCGCAAGCTGCACCCAGTGCAAGGCCAGCACAACAGGGAGATAGAAACTGTAGTACGCAGTCTTGAACTGCACGATAGTCGCATACCGCTCCATGGAGAATTTGCCCAGGTCAACGCTATCCTCTGGCGCTGTGAGAAGATCGCATAGCTGACCGAGTTGGGTGTTGAATGCTGCTTCTTGGAACGTCTCTACCATCTCGATGTAGGCTGGATGGTCTCGGAACTGGGACTTGAGGACTGCGTATACGGAGGACTCGAGCAGGACGGCGTCGTTGACGGCCATTAGCCCTACTTTGGGCTGCTGGTACCAGCATTTCTGGCCGCGGCGGGTGAGCGAGTGGTCCATTATGTCGTCGTGGACGAGGAAGAAGGCTTGTAGCAGTTCTGTTAGCCAGCCTAGTGTGCAGAGGGACTTGGATTCGTGGGCGTTTAGAGGTCTGTTGAGGAGGATGCTGCCTGTGTCTGGGACTGAGAGGCCTCGGTTGAGCTTTCCGGATCGGGTGTTGTAGTAGAGGCACTGGGGTTTGAGAGTGCCAGTCAGCTTGGTCTGCATGGTGGAGACTAGAATGAATGAATATCATGAGGCTGTCAATTTTCCTACTTCTTTGAACCGTGCGACGACTTCCTCTGGGAGACCTTTTTGTTCCACATTCTCCATGATGGTGTCCACGACCGAGGGGAACAATTCCTCGAAATCCTTTCGCGAGGTGCTCTCATAGGTCTCGAGGGAGGAATCTATTGTGGTGGTTTTTGTCATGATGGATGGAACCAAATTCAACAGAAACTTGAATAGTATGGAGATTGGAGGTAAAGATTAGTTCTGAGGGAAAGTATGTGGCCAAAATGATATTCTCAGTCCACTATGTTCATTGAAATTAATTCCCTTCCTCCCCTCCTCTATAGTAGGTAAGTTGACATGCAGGAATGGCCTTGTAACTAATACGGCAGAACTATATCTGGAAAACCGAGGCAGGATGTGAGAGGCGTATTAGGCTAGCTGCATCATGCGGCATGCCGGAGACTTCGAATCGATAAATGCAATGTATGATGCGAAATGCAGTCAATATACGGGTTTTCCAGATTGAGATTGGGTAACACAAAGTACGTCACAGCCTGAGAAAATTAAGATGGCGAATATAGCGAATATAGCGAATATCTTATATCTTATATCTTATATCTTATATCTTATATCTTATATCTTATATCTTATATCTTATATCTTATATCTTATATCTTATATCTTATCTCCTATCTCCTATCTCTTATCTATCCCTTATCTATCTCTATCGGGAGATAGTGTGTTATCATTACGCTATTGGGACTAGCGTGGGGGTTAAATGGATAAACGCGTGAATTCCGATTAATGAACAGCCGTCGTGGTGTAGTGGTAGCACACTCACTTCAAGTTCTTCCTGGTGCTGGATGCACAGCAGTATACTTACTGGGCCAGGAACAACTTGGGTGAGAGACATCGGTTCAAATCCCTTCGACGGCACTTCTTTTTTTCTTTCTATCTATTTTTTTCCTCCCTTCGCCTTGATCTATCATGAATTGTATGCTACTATCACAATCTTATAACGTGGACCCATTGGGAAACAACTTAATAAATGAATTATTCCTGCTCATGTATCATGTGCAGCTAATCTCCAAAAAATATTCAATCACTCCGAGTCTTTAACATAGAACTCGACCACCCGACGCCAAGAGGCCGTCATCGGAATCCGAACGCCCTTCACACGCTCGCGACACCCATCCATACCAGGAGCAAAGTGCAGCCCGGACGACACAGACCGGCTCAAAAGCGGCGAACTAGGATGCAGATCCAAAAGCTCCATATACTTCATGTAAACACCCTGCAACTCATACTTCGAGCATCGCTGTCTCTCTCTCGCAACCGGGGCACCCGTGTCGCGCACAAGTGCACCGCCCAGCATGTTCATGGACAGATTGTCCACAACAATGGTCATGTGAATGGCACTCTCAATGATGCCTATATCCTCGGCACGGTTCGCAGCTAGAAGGGCAACCGTGGCCCCATGCGTGTTTGCCGTGATGTCTCGCCAGCTGCTGCTCAAGGCGGGTGTCGTGCGCAAGATCTTATTGATGTCCTGCTCGCACTCTTGTCGTTTCGCGAGGTACTGGGCGATGTATTGGCGTAGTAGACACATCTCCATGAAGGCGATCGTGTCGGCTTGGACGTTTTCCTTGTGTAGGCCTTCCCATACTTCTGTTGCGGAATGTCCGAGGAGACGAAAGTCACCGGTGAGCAGCTCGAGTGGGTGGATCGTTACGTCTTCTGGGATGATGGTGAAGGCTAGATAGACGTGTTTCCAGTAGTTGTGTTCTAGTGACCCGTGCCAGTGACGCCACCACTGGAGTGCATCGCGCATCGCGTAAATATTCACATCGTTGCCCGAGGTATTCGTGACGAATAAGGGCGACTTTGTGAGAATGTTCGGTGTCGGTATTGCCTCGAGGTCGTCGCGGATGACTCTGTGGAGTCCATTGACCGCTTGCTGTAGATTGGAGTTCGAGCAGATAACTTTCAGCTCTTCTAGCAATGATGCCTGATTCACCCTGTCTCCTGGGTAGCTTGTATCTCTCGAAACGGGCAGGCTCTCTGTTTCGGTATATGGGCTGGAGCGGACAGGTTGTACTCGGTGGAGCTTGGAGTCTTCAGGATATTGGCTTGGGGAATTGCAGATGGAAGTCACTGCCATGGTGCCAGTGGTATGAATTTTCGGCTAATATTTACGTCGGTGATTTGGATCGTGATTGTTCGCCCAGATGGAAATATTCCTGCCAGCTAGGACGATGTGAAAATGTGCTGTTATCGCATTAAATGACCCTGGGGGTCAACGAATGGCCTTACCAACGCTCTGCCCCGAAGGCATGTTGACCTGTTCAGTTCCGGCATCTTTGATTGGGCCATGCCTGGAGAACAGACCGATGCAAACATTGTGGGATCAGCAACCGGTTTCCCAGTAAAGAAGAGTGTGCAGACACGATATGTTTGGAGGAAGGTTTGCCGCTGAAGAATATTGGCTTGGGCAAAGATGGAACAGCCACATGACGTTCCCAAGCGTCAGAATGGGATACCTGGGCATGGATTCATTTTCACGTTACACACGAAAAAAGTATATCGAGTCGTACAAGAGCATGTTTGAACTTCAAGATAAATAGAACTATTTAGCTACAAGTGTGGTGCTTTTTGGGTAACAGATCAGCAATTCTTTGTCCAAGCGGGTACAAGATTGTGCTACTTTATCCCCATTACAGTACGTTACTATACGTACGTTAGATGATAGTTTCTCATTTAGGAAATATGATCATTTGCCGACCAGCTCGATTTTCCTCATATGTATGCATACTCCAGGGTTTTCAAAGGTGATTGGCTTCTTGTACATAATAGAATTGACTAGGCCCCACTCCAAGGTTGGGCTTTAATATGATGTTTGCTTTTCATACGGAATTGATATCCATAACTAATCGACATCGAAAACATGAGCATTTGCCGAGATTCGCTGCACCCTGATCAAAGCAGGCAGTCGCATGCTTGCCAAACCTCAATATTCTGGTATCATGCATGATAATTCCCGATATGGAGATGGATTTCTAGGTTGTGTAACCTCAATTTGCATTGAACACGACATTCTCCCGAGTCTCAAGGTTGCATGGTTACACAAGCCTATGTACTAGTCTTGCCACTTGTATCCGAAGAGATGGAAGTATATTGGATATTGGAAAGTCAATGCACAACCTTTACTTCTACAAAGAGATGAGAACGTGCACTGATCCATGATGTCGTTCAGGTAGAGATGGATTTATGTGGGGCTGCAAAAACCAGGCCGGATATGAATGTGGAGATCGACAAGAAGCATCTGCAAAAATCACTGACGAGAAACTGTTGAAGGAATCAAATGGTGATGGGAATAACATTAGAGTCGGGAACAACAGAAGATATGCATTTCTGATTCGAAATGTTTAGTAAAAATCAGAGGTTATGATAAAAGCTCTAAGTTTTCAAGGTTATGGATTGATACAATCGAGGCGTGGTATGCAAAAAGAAAGCAAGTGGGCTTGAGCTTTACAAGGCCGCACCCACTGTAAATATGATTTGAATAAGTAAAACACGACGCTTTATGATATCATACAATCAGGAGAGAAAGAAAGCACGATTGCCATTGCTTTCCTCGAAGGCTCTACCGATCGGCCAACAGACCGAAGAGCAGCTCCGTCCGTTTCCAGTACTCAGCTGCACCCTTCTGGATTATCTTGACAGCGTCGATACTTGGCTCCGCACTCTTTTGAATACTTTCCGCAACACCAGCCAGCTGGGTCGGGCCACCTAGCATGTTTGCTAGGTAGATAGCATCGAAAAGGAGTTGGATTTTCCAGTCGAGAAGGGTATTATTGTGAGATTTATCATCGTCGGTTTTGTGATCCGCCGACTCATCTTCTTTGGCATCGCCGTCGGGGGTTTCCTCGCTCTTTTCGGTGGTAATCGGAAGGCTCTTTTGGGTGTTCCATGTTCCCATGTCCTCAAGCGTAGACTCAATAGAAATCTCTAACCGCTTCTGCAGCTCAGCCTTCAGAACCTTCACAGTTGATGGATCCCACAAATCAGATCCGTTCTCATCCATAGTGGCAGTGAGGTGGCGCAAAAACTTGAATGCACTAGGAGACGGCTGTATCGGTACAGCAGGTTCACCTTCCCATAATGAACGACCAGGCACAGGTTTCAATTTATCAGAATCGGGTAGTGTCCTTGACAAAGGCACAAGAGATAATGACCCAATTTGTGTAACAATATCAGCCGCAAGCAGTTTTTGTAGGTCTGGTACAACACCACTAGAAAACAGGAAATCGTTGGTGACAAAGCCAGTAGGAATCTCTCGGCGTACAAGTCGAATAAGTCGAAGAAGGAACGTGGCTTTTGCGCTTTGCTGGGTGCTTCCGAAGGCCTTGAAGGCGTCGGTAAACGATATTTGGAGCGTGTCCAAAGCTTGTCTGACAGCTACATGAAGAGCATCGGACAAGACTTTGGGGTCTTCGTCGTTGAGACGGGGCGTGATATCGATATCTTCATCTTCTATCTCTCCGCCAACGAGAATATCAGTCCATTTCAGGCGCCGTAGGGAGGCTATGGATTCATTTCTTTCTTCGATATTTGAAAGCCATATTTGGTATTTTTTCAGGACAGCAGAGACATCGTCATCCCGCCCGAGGAGTCGGTCTGACACAACCTGTTTGAATACAGCTGCGCCGTTTGAGTAATCCGAGGATATCAAATCAGAGCCCCAAAGAGATCCAATAGGAACATGTTCTGCTGCATCCCAGCTGGAAACAGTGGATGAAATTTGAGTTCTGATGTCATCAATGGTTTGGACTTGCGATGTCAGGACTCGTTTGAGGTGTTCGTTAAAGATGTTGCGCAGACGTTCCAGTACATCGACGGACCTATGTGTGACTGTTGAGCCCCAGGAGGATAGCCAAAGTTCAAGGGTTTCAGCGCGTAACGATAGCAGTTCAGAGAAGTCGTTACTGTGCGCCAGGCTTTTGTCGCAGCATTCGGAGAATCGTCCAAAAGCTTGTAGGGACCATTTTTTGATCGATTCCACGCCTTCACTTCGGCTCAACTCGCTCATCGTAATCCAGGGAGTGAAGTTATTGACCTCCGGAGCTGCCCAACGACCTAGCACTTCGATTTCCAACCCTTCTAAGCCGCGGATCTCTGGATCTGACAGAATCGGTCTAGCCTTAAGCTTAGACAGCACATCAGGGAATTGTCGTGATCGCAAGGTTTTCGATGTTTGTAGTGTACGGATGAAGAGACCCAGGGCCTTCGGGATATTTTCGCGCGACAAATCTAGCTGACTGGTAATCACGTCTAAGCGCGTCTGTTGGAAATGGTGGATGGCGTCGTCGGAAGAAGAGCTGGTAGCGATGCAGTGAGCGGCCAATGCTTCTATGATTGTTTCCTCCGTGGCCTTTGTGGATGCAAGTCGTTTATTGATCCGTTTTAAGAGGGTGTGGTGGAGAGACGCAAGTTGGTTGCGTAGATCATCGAAGAACGGCGGTGTCGATTCGTGCTTCGAAAGAGTACTTTGTAGTACCCGGGAAACGACAAGAATTTTAGCGACAAGCAGTAGCGAGGCTCGTTTCCGGAGGAGTCGTGAGATAGATGTTGTGCAACGGTGAAGGAGAGCCAATTGCGCCCCAAATTGATGCTTGTCCGTATCTGCGCAATGTTAGCCATTGAGCTCCAAGTACCACATTTCAGCATGATATCATCTCCATACCTTTATCAGCTGTGTCGCTCTTCATTTGCCGGGCATAGATATGCTTCTTCTCCATCAATCGGGGGTTGCATCGACGTCCAAGATCGGCCAAAATCGTTTCGACCTCTTGTATCTCCGTATTCATAGTCACAATGGTTTCGGCTGTTCCAACAAGTTCTCGATACCGTGTACTATAAATCCCGACAGCGCTTTTGTTAGCAGAGGATACCAGAAACAGTCCGGCGACCAAGCAACTTACCCCACGAGAGCTCGGAGCTTCTCCTTATTGCTGGCGATATCCCGGCGCAGTTCCTGCTCCACCCGGCGAACCGTCGGGATCGGATATTGGAAGGCGTCAGCCCATGACTTGAGGCTCTGGGGGTCTGGAGCCTCCGGTGCCATAGTGAATGATATTGTGAAGTGATGTTCACGAGTGAGAAGGCCATTTGGTCCAATTGGACTGGCGTCTGGAACGGCTTATGTCATACCATCGTTATCGGCTTATCGGCCCGTGACTCAAAAAAGAAAAGCCCCGCCATGATTCAACATGCTTTTCTTTTGATTTCTCACAATTAAATACAGATATTTGCCAATGATGGAGTCAGATTCAGTAGCAGTTAATTTGCCAGTTGAGACGGCATCCAGTGATCTCCCAGATCGTCTACCGTTTCCACCAATCACCTATTCTCACATCCTTCATTGCTCATACCATGACTGGCACCCAAGGTACATTATTTCTATTTATCAGCTTTTAATTCGCAGTTCTAACATTGTCGCAAAGATACCGCACCCTCGCGCCCAAATCTAGGGTGATCCCCTTGACACCTCAATTTGTCACCTACCTCCGCTCCGATGGCATCGTGCTTCCCCCAGAACCGATCCGCCCAAGAGACGACGACGACCTTGACACCTTTTCTGACTCGGGCGACGAAGCCGAAGATCCTTCCACAGAATGGGCTGATATTCACACCCAAATCAAAGACACAATCGCCGAATTCGGCAAAGTGACCCCGAAATTAAACTGGAGCGCTCCTAAAGATGCAACCTTCATGTCCGCCACAAACGATACAAAATGCGCAACACCCAATGACGTTTACCTCCTCCTGAAAAGCAGTGACTTCATCACCCATGACCTCGAACACCCCTTTGACGACTGTGTTCCTGATAACACCGATTCTACAAATGGAGATGCTCCCGGAGCTCCGGTAGTCGATTCGCCAATCCCGGATGTTCCCTACCATCTCGTCCTCCGTAAATATGCCAACTTCAACCCGTCCCTGGAGTTCCGGTGCTTCGTTCGCAACCGAAAGTTGCTGTGCATGTGCCAACGAGATCTGAACTACTTTGATTTCCTGTTCGATATGCGCGATCTGTTCCGCTCGCGCATCCAGGCGTTCTTCGACGAGAAGTTGCGCGATACCTTCCCAGATCCGAACTTCACATTCGATGTCTACGTTCCTGCGCCGCACCAGCGTGTTTGGCTTGTTGACATTAACCCCTGGGCCCAGCGCACCGATTCCCTATTGTTCAGCTGGTTGGAAATCCTGCGCATGAAGGATCCTATCGGGTTTGAGGAGGAGGGAGATGATGATCTCGATGGTGGATTTGTGAGGATTTCCCTTCACGATGGGAGCATTATGACATCAGACGAGGTGGCCAGTGGTGTTGTTGAGGAGGTTGAGGGTGATTCTGAAGATGAAGATGAAACTGTGGAAGAAGGCGATGATGAACTTGCTCCATTCTTGCCCGAGGTTCGTCTTGTGAAGAAGAATGATCCAGAGGCTTATCAGTTTTCTACACCCCAGTACTCGGCTCACAAAGTGCCGAAGGATCTGGTCGATGCCTCTCTAGCGGGACCAGGTGGCATGAGTGAGTTTATGGGCAAATGGCAGGAAATCTTGGCCAGACAGACGATGCAGCAACAGCAAGACGAGAGCAGTGACTCGGAATAGCTTGTAAAATAGGTAGAAAAGGAGTTAGCTTGGTGTTTGAGATGATACCTACGATCCCCAATGACTTTGTTCAAATTGAGCATACGAGTTTGAACTTGGTATTTTTGCATAGCGATTCGAATGGTAGTAGTCAGCAGATATATTCACGCCAGCAACAGCCAATTCAGTTAGATCATTACTACATCCTTGACGTAGGTCCAGTAAGGCCGACCTGTTGTGGGGACTAAGATCCGTAAAGACTGGGCCAGACTTCAATTAGCTTATTCCACAATGCGGTGGTCACGGTAGTGACAGTTTCTGGGTAACCATTAGAGCATAATAAGAAGGCCTGACAAGAATCGGGATTAGACTTGCTATTTCTTCCGTTCACAATATAGCTGGTGATATCGATGGGCTTATTCAGGAATTGGTCGACTCCGTCTACAGTCACGCCGTTTATCTCTAGTCCACGGGTTCCAGTCACGCTACCGACATCGAGCAGTACTTGCAAAACGGACTTCGGCCTCAAGCTCACATCTGTTGGATAAGTGCCGATACCGCTGGTATCCACGAGTAAAGAAGTATGGGTTCAGGGCGCTAATTTAGGTAGATGAAGGGCGGGCAGAGTGACCTTCATTGTATCTGGCGATGCGGCCCCGGTCTCATTGGTTTTGGCAGGCCCCCAGTCCTCGACCACCAAAGTCCAGCTCAAAGGCCTGATGTTGGCTGGCAAAGAGCCTGGCTGAAGTTTGATAGTTTTCTCGATCGATGTCTTCGGAACACGTGTGGTGTTGGAGAATATGGGGGGATTGTTGTTGTTGTCGACGCAAGACTCACAATCTGTCGCTGTTAGATGTAGAACTAGCTTGGAGGCACCCCGGGGTCTGTCTGTACCAAGGCTGATATTGTTAGATCAAAAAGGAATTTCAGTGTAAGGAGTGAGTGAAGCTTACTAGCTGGGAATTGCAGCACTCGCTCGACTGTAAGCTGATGTTCATCCCGGTATAGCCACTCTCGGTGCGGAATGCGGCAATGGGATGCACATAACTAGTCCAAACGTCAATCCAGTGCGGATACTCCTCTCCCTCTATCTGAATTGACTGACTGGCGGAATCATCACCGTCATCATTAATCCAGGACAAACTGCCGCTGTCCACCGTGCGTTGATAGGAGATAAGTGTATTCTTGACGCCATTTGGATATTGTACAGAACGGTCTGGGCAGGCTAGATTCTACTGCGGAATATGAAATGCATTGACGTGATGAGAACTCTTCTCGTAATAAGAGTATAATAAACATTCTACTCATGGATGATGGAATTAAAGTTAAGATTCTGCGGATGAGCGGGGCACAGCCGAGCGTACCGTGTTCCCATTGGCTGGGATTTGGCGCTAATGCGGGAAAGTGGGTCCATAACAAATAGATTTACTCTCGGCTGATTCATTCGGGCGTGCTAATGTTAACACTCACTACAAATACATGGCCACTGCCATCGCACAAACGAGTTCAATACGCAAGAGGTGAGCTTACTTTCGGACTTCCTGATTGGGAGTGTCAACCGGAGCTAAGCGAGAAACCTGGGGTATAAATACGCCGTTCCCCCTCCCCCCATTCCTTCTTTTCTTTTTTCCCCAACTTTTCTCCACACTTGATCTCCCTCCTAAAAAAAAAAAATTTGATCGTGGTCCATCCAACACTTGATTGTGTCTTCCATCCTTCATCCACTTGTTGTCTCATCAACACTTGATGACTCCATCCAACAACAACATGTCCCATCCATCAACATGTTGTACCATCTATCATCATGTTGTCTCAACTCTCATACAACCTTGACCTCATTCATCCTTGATGACTTTATCCAACCACATGTTGTCTCATACAGCCTTGGCCTCATCCATCCTTGACTTCATCTACCCTTGATGACTTCATCCAACAACAACATGTCCCACCTATCCACATGTTACCTCATCCATCAACATGTTGTCTCATACAATATTGACTTCATCCAACCTTGGTGACTTCATCCAATAACATGTCCCATCCAACATCATGTTGTCTCATCTAACCTTGACATAGTTCGTCCTTGATGACTTCTTCCAACATGTCTCATCCAACTTCGACTTCATCTACCCAATGTTGACTCGTCGTCGACAACATTTTGGCTCATCAATTCATGATGACTTCACCCAACGAGACAACATGTTGACGCTTCAAAAATTTCAACTTTTCTTCTTCGGTTTAGTCTGGGTCTCTTCTGAACAGGCGTCGCTCAGCTGGAATTTTCCAGTCTGGGCGTCAGGACAAATTCAGTCGAGATAAGGATCATGATAACCAAGAATCTATTCAACGACCTCGAAAATCTCATCCACCCACCGAATCCCAATACCTCCGACTTCAACTTCCATTCTTCGGTCTAGTTCAATGCTTCTCTGAACAGGCGTCACCCAGCTGGTCCTCCCGGTCTGGGTGTCAGGACAAATTCAGTTAAGATACGGATCATGATGACCAAGAATTCATTCAGCGATCTCGAAAATCTCATGCACCCACAAAATCCCAAAACCTCCGACCTCGACTTCCATTCTTCGGTCTAGTCCAACGCTTTTCTGAACAGGCGTCATCCAACTGGCAGCCCCAGTCTGGATGTCAGGACAAATTCAGTCAAGATACGGATCATGATAACCAAGAACCCGCCTCACAACCTCGTCAAATTCCTCCACCCGCACAACATTGTCATGTTGCTGCATCCCGGCTCAACTCCCGTTCTTCGGTTTAGTCCAAGGCTTCTCTGAACAGGCGTCACTTGGCTGGCAACCCCAGTCCGAGTGTCAGGACAAATTCATTGAAGACGCGGATCAGGATAACCAAGAACCGATCATCACAACTGCATGCTGGTCCAACCTTTATCCACAAGCCGCATGGCAGTTTCCATTATCGATGATCAAATCCGGCTCAGGCTGTCGGCCAGGTGGCTCCAATTCGTTGTATTTCTTTCAATCTTTAATACTGACTGTTTCATAGGCTCCTTTTCTGATCCTCAAGTCCCCCGCCGTCCTCCTTTGACCTCGATCGCTGGCATCCCGCACACACAAGACGCCACACATCCACAAACTCAAACCCCCCCCCCCGGCAAAAAAGAAAAAAAAGCGAAAAGAACGAAAAAGAGGGGAAAGGGGGAAAAGGGAAAAAAGGAAAGAACGTGGTGTGGAGGGACAAGCCACTGGTTCTTGTTCAACAAAAACAGACATGCCTATCACCGCTCACCACTTTTTCGATTCGGTGTTGTCGAGGGACTAGGCCAAACATACACTTGGAAGCTCATCAAAAGAAAAGGGAGTAAGAGAGAGAGAGAGAAAGAGGGTTTCATACCTCGAGGACAAGCTTGTTGTATCGCTCATCATGTATTGTAGTACTGACTGTGATGCCCCGACTTCAGTTCATCTCATTCACCATCAAACAATGAAATGACGTGCATCTTCAGGCCAACTGTTTCGTGCAGAATTTTTATTCGGTGCCTTAGATCTATTCCTCGAACATTGGAAGTGAGCCACCTGTGCAGACTCCAGTATTGCAGACGCACTCGAAACTATCCATGGATATACCTGCAATAGAGTAGTTCCAAGGATTTGAGGGCTTTTTACTCCAGATGTCTTGGTTATCAATCGGCCATTGAGCACTTGAGGACACTAGTATGGACCTACTAAGTGCTTAGTACCTACTAGGTACTACAAGCTGGCCCTTTGGACTTCGAATGTTCTCATGTGCACATCCCTCCCGTGCGGTGGACCTGAGGTCTGACCATGTATGATGTGCACATGTTCAATGTTGATCAGCACTTCAAACATTAGGAGGTCGGAACATTTGAAGGTTGTACAGGAAATATATATATATGCGCCTACTATGTATGAATTTCGGATACATAAATTGGATCTTCGAGGCTATGGGTCCACGGTGCCTGGGCATGGATGGATACATATATGAGCCCGCCTCGGTGCATGTGTCTGTTATGTACGAACATAAATCCCGAAATGATTCAACATTAAAAGTATTACTTTGACTTAAAGAAATTCCATATGAAGAATTTCAAGAATACTGCTGGTGAAGTAACAAGGTCGGTTTTCTGGGTTGCCCAGCTTCGACATCTGGAGGATCTGAAGTCCCCTCTCGTTAAATCTATGTCGGGAGATACCCAGGTGCCTGCTACACGTGAATGAATGCACGTCGCGAAAACATCAATGTCTACTAAATTAATTGATGGACGCAATTATGGGAAGATAGTATGCCATCATGATCACCGGTGGCCATTAGTTTATTACTGCCGCGGTCCAAAGCTCCAAACCAGCTTTCTCCACCACGATATCCACAAACGAGGCATCCGTGCCTTCAATGTTGCACATAGATGCCCACCCCCGACCCCATTATATCATATTCTCCTTCCCCCGTTTCCCCATCATAATAGCCCCCTCAACCTCCTCCCCAGACAACAAAACCTCCATGCCCAACCTCTTACTATACATGTTCTTCGCACAGTCCCCAGACGTGCGCAGCATCGCCCACCGCAGATACGGCATCGCTTCCAGAGTCTCCTGCACGCAATCAATGAGCCACCCGCCGATTCCGCGGCCGTTATACTCGGGCAAGATGTAGACGTCTGTCAGGTAAGCGAAGGTGACATAATCGGTTACCAGACGTCCGAATCCGATCTGGCGCGTGGAGTCGGATTCTTGGAGGTCGTCGTATACGCCGAAGCAGAGCGAGTTGTTGACGATTTTTTGTAGGGTGTCGATTGGGATGGATCTGGCCCAGTATATGGCTTTGGAGTCGAAGGCGGCGTTGATGGATGGGAGGGAGAGGTGGGATTTGTCGGTGCTGATGCGGATGTTGTGCCGGGTCCAGGTTTGGGGGGTGGCCATTGTGGGAGGGGGCATGGAGATGCTGTGGATGTAGTTGGTTTTGTTTACTTTGAGACCAAGTTGAAATGTTTTTCTAAGATTGTTTTCTTCTGGGATCTTGATGGTGATTTGAGTATTTATTTGTTTTGTATGCGGTGGGGTCTAGTGCCGTGAGTCATTGAGTCGAGACTACGCGCTTGCAAGGTCAATTGCTCGTTGTGAAGGAGTCACCGGTATTATGATTTACCGTTAGACCCTTAGAAACAGTAGGAGATGTTCTTACACACCTAGTCCTGAGCTTGGAGCAATACAACACGGTACAAAAGTGAATATTTCGAGCGCGTTTACTAGTATGTACTATATCTATATCTAAGCTGGAGATCTACAGCTTATGCTTCTTCTCACCAGACGCCAACTTCCGGAACTCCTCCTGCGGCGCCCCACTCAAGAAGCGCTCCAACCCCATAAACGCCTCGAGGCCATTCTGACGATCCAGAATCTCCCGCTCCGGCCGTCTAACAAGCTCCTTAATCTTCAACAAACTAGACTGGTTCAAATGGGTCCCAAGTCTCTCATCAACCTCGACAAGAACATTCTTCAAGAAACCCGCCGAGTCATCCGACTTGCCCGAATCCGCCTTGATAACCTTATTCACGAACCCAGCACTAACAAGCTCGTCGCAGGTAATGCGCTTGCTCATGATAAGCGCCTCATTCGCCTTCGCAATACCCAGCCGCTCCACGAACGCACGGCTCGCGCCGCCTTCGGCGACAAGTCCGAGCGACGAGAAAGGCGTCAGCACGAAGGCGTGCGGAGCAGCGTAGATGAAGTCTGCGTGCGCGACCAGCGCGGCGGAGAGGCCGACAGCAGGCCCGTTCAGAGCCACGACCAGGATCTTGGAGTGGTTGTAGAAGGCGCGGGTTGTGTCGATGTTGTTGGCGACGAAGCCGCGGACGAGCTCTTGGCGGGCTGTTGAGCCGATGCCGCCGTCTGAGTCGTTTCCGGGTCCGGGGCGAGAGCTGTTAACATCTGCGCCGCTATTTTGTAGGAAAGAAAGCTGGTTAGCTGTGGCTCTTGGCTTGGTCGGGGCGCTCAGGTTTTGGAAGTTTGGTTTGGGTGGGTGGGTGCTTGGTAGCTTACGCGGAGAAGAAGCGGCCTGTGCCTGTGACGACTGTGATGTAGATGTCGTCCCGCTTCTCGATTTCGCGGAGACGCTCGGCGAGCAAGTAGTACAGTCCGACGTTTAGGGCATTTAGCTTGTCGGGGCGGTTGAGGGTGACGATCGCGATGCGGTCACGGTAGGTGAGGGTGATGAGGTCTTCGTTGGACATTTTGGTGGTTCCCGGTAGAGGATGAGATGTGAAATCGATTTCGGATTGGATGTGGGTTTGAGTGTATCTTTTAAAGGAGCCCACAGCCGAATTGATAACTAATCAGTCTGGGACGAGGTGGCTGTTGAAGAAGCAAGCGAATCGCATGTGCGCAGCTGCCCCCAGACTGCGGCGATAGTAGGCGACAGTAGTACAGCCAATAGATTGCGGGGAATGGGAAGCCGAGGCCCGCGGCTGATGTTGCACTACTTGATGACTAACCATTGGTGAAATTGAGGCCAGGTGACTGAGGTGTCGAGATTACTGATGACTAACCAATCGAATGCAAACGATGCAAAATAATCATCAGCCCATATTATTTGCAGACTGCATTGATTGTCGATCGCGAGGATCCTAGTAACAACCAGACAAGAACAACCTGCTGGTTCCATTGCATATCTTCCTCGAAGGACGATACCTCCACATACATCAATATGATTCCCAACCTCCTCCGCCGACTCCAGGGCGGCAACCTGGAAGTCTTCAAGGTAAGAAATTGTCAAACCACGCAGATGCTATATACCTTGTATATGCCATTTTATTTCGACCGGAGATCATGACAAGGAGCTCCGTTGATACGCAATTGGCTTTCCAAGTCTGCAAAGATGTTTCAATCGCGCTAACAGCCGTTCCACGTCCTAGTTCGGCATGTACGTCCTCTTCCCCATCGGCTGGATGTACTACTTCGGCACAAACCTCGACGACCGCTTCAACGTCAAGAACTTCTGGCCTACTGCCGAGCAGTCGCACAAGATCCCGTTCGACAAAGAGGAGATCGATAAAGAGTTGGCACGTATGCGCATGGTGGAATCTGTGCGCCGGGAGCGGAGGGAGCGGGAGGTTGCTTTGTTGCAGGCTCAGGCTCAGGCTCAGAGCCAGGCGGAGTCCAGCGGAGAACAATAGGTCATCTTTAAAAGTGCTTCATGGGTGGTTTATATTCATGTGGACATTGTTGGAAGGTGGAAGGGCTTGTGGACTTGGTCGGTACTTGCATGCTCGTTGTTTACGCCCGTCGCGATCGATTCTGCTACATCTTCGTTCTTCGTGGATTCAAACAGTCGAGCGCTTTCGGGCAAACGTGGGTTATGGCTGTTTTGAAGATTATTTGTACAATACCACTCGTTCTGGGCATTCATGGCGTTCGGGGACGGGAATATCTCAACTATTTCAATTGTACAGTATCCAAATCTGGATTTTGGACTTCTTTTCTCATATATCTTTTTTCTCGTTTGAATTCATATTCTAAATTATTACTAGTGTATCTGATGAACTGTGTACCATATTAAAAAAAGTTTCGTCAAAATTATGTGCATTGTCCAAACACCCGGATCGAACAGAGTCTCCAAGAGACAAGGTCTGCGGCCGAACTTAAAGAAAAGAAGGTCACGAACTCTCTGCAGTGATTGAGGCACAGGTAATGATATGTTTCGCGGTGAACAAGCAATGCCACGGCGTAATGATAACCGGGGTACCCGTACTGTCCCAACGTCCCGCCCACAAAGCAAAGGACCGTGAGGAAATAGTCGACTTCACAGCCGATGGCAATCCAATGGAAGCAAAAAGGGAAGAAAGCCAAAAGAGCAAAACGCCTTGGATGCGCCGAGTGGAGGACTCGAAGTGGAGCAGGGACATTATAAATGACAAGGGCCTGCTGCGACTCCTATTCATCCGGCAAAGAATGAGTAACGACCCAACAACCCCGATGCCACACCCATTCCACTCCATGATGACGCGATCAGCCGTCCGATGGAATCAGACGGTATGCAGATTTCGGAACACATTACAACTCGCCCATGTGTTGTGTTGTCCGCGCAGCCGCATTCTTGGCCGTTTCGTACATCACGTCGAGGGTCTGTGTCGCGTCTCCGAATACCGAGGATGTAAGTCGGGAAGAGATGAATGGCCGCTCGCCAACGGCATAGTAGTACATGTGGCTGTAGATTGTGCGGAGGTGGTTGGGGAGGTAAACGTAGATTCCGGTGGCGATCAAGGTAATCAGGGTGAGGAGGACGGAGTCTGTACAGAAGGGAGAAAGAATCAGTCTTGTTTCATCGCGATATGAATGAGCCATTGGTTAGATGGCTGTAGGGTCAGGGGTAACATACTGAAGATGAATTTCTCCGTTGGTGTAAGCATGTAGATGGCGAATGTGACCTCGTACTGGTAAATCTTCATACGCACCCAGCGGACGAAGCTGCTGATGAGCCAGAGGATAGAGCCCATGACTGCGAGATGTGTGATTGGAGCGAGAGCGCTAGTTCTAGAGTCGAGGTCTGTTTAGGCGCAGGGAAGGTTTTGTCCCTGAAGACGATCAAATCTCCGGCGCGTGTGGTCGTTAGGGGCTCCTAGAACAGAGCGAATGTAGTGTCACAGTGATCTGTACTCCGTCGGCGGATTATTGGCGCAAGCTTTCTCGGTGTCTCGGCACGTTTTATCCCGTTCTATTCGCGATAGTTGGAAGGCTCAGGGGTCCTGTTGTCTTGTGGCGTTGCGGGACTCCCGTAAACCTGAGAGGGGTGTGGGGATGGAAGAACGGGTCGCCCGGTACGCTTTATTTGAATAAGCGTTTAAAGATGGCGGAAAAGAAGGTGGAGAGGTGCAAAGAATGTCGTAGGAGTCTTAGGATCGGGATCGCTAGGGGCGCTGGAGATGGGCGGAGATCGTGGGGGTGTGGATGCGTGAGACTTTTTTTGGTTGGGGGAAACGTTTTAGTCCCCGATGGCTCCGGATGACACCAAATCGGAAAATCGAAGTATATAAATCCAATTGATGAAATTATCGACCATTTAGCCAATTGCTACTCAACAATTGAAAAAGAATGAATTGTAAATCTGGAGCAATTGCAAATATGAAATATTCGGGATGTGTTTCCACTATGCCTTGCCACTATCTTGTCTACTACATACTACTAGTATCATCCTTCAATCAGATTTTGTGATCAGGCCTATTCTGGCATGTCTGACTATTCTTCGTCTCTTATCGCTGACTCCGTATTAATTAAGATGCGTCACAGAACGCATAGACGATCATTTGAGAAACTAGATCTACTCACGAGTCAGGCTGCAGAATTTCGGAATGCTTACAAGTTGTATTTGACCTTATAAGATGGGCCCGATTACAAAGAATACCAATGGCAGATCAGTAGTAGAAGTACAGAGAGAAAATAAGAAATATCTACTGACTAGTAGTACAGAATATACCATCAAATCAACTTTTTCCACAGAGATTCCAGATCTCTACTGTACCAAGTTGTACTTAGTATCCTGTCACTTATCCCTTATCTCTTATCGCTATCTAATCACATCCCCCAAATCATCATCGGAACCACCAACTTCACATCGAAAGCGCAATGCTACGCCCCAAATTCTGGCCAAGGGCCCTCCAAGCCCTCTTCAAACCGCCCCGACTCTCCACCCCACAACACCCCTTCAGTACAACATCCATATCCCCCGAAAAGGCCCTCCCACCCCGCCTCAAGCTCAACGATGCCGACCTAACAATCTCCTACCTCAAAGGCACCGGGCCCGGCGGACAAAAGATTGTAAGTGATGAATTCATACACTCCTTCCAAGGCTCAGAATATCCGCTGTTATACTAACGCCTCATCCAGAACAAAACCAATTCCGCCGTCCAGATCATCCACCACCCATCCGGTATTGTCGTCAAGTGCCAGGCCACGCGATCTCGGTCCCAGAACGCGAAGACGGCGCGCTTGCTACTTGCTGATAAGATTGAGCAGCGCGAGAAGGGAGATGAAAGTCGGAGTGCGTTGAAGGTGCAGGCGGCGAGGAAGAAGAAGGCTAGTAAGATGAAGAAGACGAGGAGGAAATATCGGGATCTGGAGGACAAGGAGGGGGAGGAGCTGGAGCTGGGAGAGGATGGTGCGGATGCTGATGCTCATGTCGATGCTGATGCCAGGTCAGAAGGGGCTGCTGGGAGCCATGGGCAGTCGGAGGTGTCGATCCAGGACAAGGGTTCGACTTCGCAGAGGACACCCTGATGAAACCTTGACATCTGATATCAGGAAGACGTGTGATTGTTTTTGCCTTTTCGCCTTTTTGCCTTTTGGGCTTGTGTATATATTATTATGGTTGTTTCATGCACCTCCAGGTGGGGTCTGTATTTCTAGCATTGGGCAAATATGTGTTGATGACGAGGTCATATTATGAGTTTCTGAACCTTCAAGTTCGAGCGTGTACTGGTAGAGGCAAGTCGATCCAAGAGGAAAGAGTCCATTGAATAAGACAACCACAGCCGGACAGAGAAGAGAACAAGAGAAATAACAAGAGAAGAGAGCAATAAAGGCAGGATGTATGAGCGTGCAAGCATGTGATTCACCCCGATGCCCCACGCCCGTTATTGCACGGGTTTATACTACGGCATGTGAATTAGTGTGCAACGCGCGCTTTCTAACCCCAAATACCCTAAAAACACCCTAACCCCCCCCCCCCCCCTAATCTCATACTATCGGCTGAGCAACGTCAGTCTGGACTAACATATCATGGCTAATGTTGATAAACTCTTGAGAATCAATGATCGATCGGGTTGGTGGTGGAAAATGGAGATCAACACCATACTTCAGAGTTTGGGTGCGAAACGGTAGGCAACGCGCGAAAAAGTGAAAAATTAGGATGAAAAAAACTCAACCCCAACCGATGCCCTCAAGGGACTTTTGGAAGTTTTGGTGCCAGGCTAGGAATGCGGTCGTGGGAACAACAAGGCTTACTTTGCTATCTCGTGCGAAACTTTGCCTTGGACGGGACGTGCATCGGATACGGGCAAGCAGTTATGTCTCCCAAACCCACGTCAGTTCGGGTTCGGGCACTGGATTTGGGAGAGACCTCGAAAATCACCAGGATAAAATAAGGGCCAGAAAGGCATCACTACCCACATATTGTTCCGGAGATGGGGATTGTACTAGCGGAAAAGAATCAAGAATCTCGAGATACGGACTCGAAACGGCAAGTCTAACCCGCAACGGGTATCTGACAGCCCAAAACAAAGCTTAGTTCAACCTCAAACATCGCTATTTCTCAGACCTAGAAATGTCACCAATTCAATCTGCATTCTACCTGTGTCGAAGACCAAGACTTCCTCGCATCTCAGCCAAAGCATCATGTCTCTTCTCATTATCGCATTACAAACATGTACACACCGAAACCATAGCTGGCTCGCGCCAGGCCCCTGAAAGCGTAACGCCAAACTACGATGTCTTGATAGCGGGCGCCGGCCCTGTAGGCCTTTTGCTCGCCACCGAACTTAAACTTCAATCGCCAGGTGCTAGGGTCTTAGTCTTGGAGCGCAGAGCATCATACGATACAGCCATAAAGGCGGGAGGTATCAACACAGCCTCTCTCGAGATGCTTGAACGCCGCGGTCTTCTCCCTGCTATCAAGGCTGTGAGTACGCCGTTTTTCTCGGGTGCGAAGAAGGATATGGGTGGGAAGAAATCGGCGTTTGCAAGCTCTGTTGGGCATTTTGGTGGGATCCCTGTTCCGGGTGCACCGGTTGATAAGGAAGATAGCTTGTTGCGCGGGCGGGGGCTGCAGGGGTGGTATACGATGTTGCCGCAGATAGATCTGGAGAAGATGCTTTATCAAAGGGCTATTGAACTGGGCGTCTGTGTTTGGAGAGGTGTGGGGGTTAGCGGGTTCGAAGTGGACGTGAGCGGCGTTACGGTGGAGATTGATGGAGAGGGAGAAGGGGGAGAAGGAAGAGATGCTTTGCGAGCAAGTTGGCTTGTGGGTTGTGATGGAGGACACAGTCTCGTACGTCGAGTGGCGGGTTTCGAATTCCCCGGCACAGATCCGAAGATCACAGGCCGCGCAGCCACTGTTGAGATGGAGGGCGCAGAGCACCTGGCGGAGGGGTGGCAGTACACTCCGCAGGGAGTGTATGTTTGTGGCCCGATGCCGGGGCGAGTGCGCACGGTCGAGTTTGACGGTCCGCCCGCGGACAAGTATGCGCCTGTCACGGCCGAGGAGATGCAAGGCAGTCTGCGGCGGGTGACTGGAGTTGAAAGCATTCGGGTCTCGAGGGCCACTGGTGGAACGCGATTCACAGATAATGCACGACAGGCCACGAAATATCGGTCTGGAAGGGTGTTTCTGTGTGGAGATGCGGCGCATGTACACTCGCCGTTTAGTGGTCAGGGGTTGAATCTGGGTCTTGGGGATGCTGCTAATTTGGGCTGGAAGCTTGGCGCGGTGGTGCAGGGGCGGGGTGCTGAGTATCTGCTCGATACCTATTCGAGTGAGCGGCATCCTATTGGTGTTCGGGTTTTGGATTGGACAAGGGCGCAGGTTGCTGTTATGCGTGGTGATCCTGATGCGTCTGCGTTGAGGGGTGTCATGATTGATTTTCTGGGAACCAAGGATGGTGCGACGCATTATGTGAAGCAGATATCTGGGCTGTGGCAGCAGTATAATTTGGGTCATACTAATCATCCGCTGGTTGGCATGACATTACCTGATATTCAGTTCGATGACGGTACTAGGCTCGCTGATCATGCCCATGATGGTTCGTTTCTGCTGGTTGATCTGACGGGTAGCAAAGACTTTGCGACCCTAGCCCAGAGATATACCGGGCGTCTAAAGTTGATCCGAGGAAAGTCGAAGGTTGATCGAGTTGAGCAACTCCTGGTGCGCCCCGATGGCTTCGTGGCCTGGGCTGCTACCAGTGGTGTTGATGATATTGCAGGACTGGAGGCCGCCTTGACCCAGTGGCTATAGTGTAGCCACGAAACCGCCCTTGTCCCTTGTAATTATTAGTATCTTTGGCAATCTTTGTCAGAAACAAATGTCAAGAAATGATAATTAGAAATTTGAATATAGAAAAACACATTCGGTTCTTCATATGAAGATGTAAAAGAAGTGGCACATTGATCTTCTATTCAATTCGTTATTGTAACTGCACCGGCCTAGAAGCTCAAATCCATAGGGAAAAAAGACAACCGCCACTCTCAGCTAACTTTTTGTATGGTTCGTAAAAATGCATCTCCTAGCTCAAGAAATGTAGCTACCCAGCACTGTCTTGGCCTGGTCATCCAGACGCTCCTGGGCGAACTGGGAGATCCGACCACCGTGCTTCTTATCCGCCTCCTTCAGGTAAGCACCAGCCCACTTCTTAAGATCCGCACCAGTCTCGGGCCAGGGGTCCTTCTGCTGAGGCTTAATGGTGTTGAGAGGAGTGAATCCAACACCGAAGGACATCTCCTCAACGTCAACCTCGGCTGAGATATCGTCCTTGTGGGTCACATCAGGGGGAAGCTCGAGGAGCTTGAGAAGTGTGTTGCAGGTGAAGCCCCATCCCTTGGCATAACGAGTGGCGAAGGCATCCGAGTTTGCCAAGATCTTGGTCAAGGAAAGAACAGCGGTCTTGCGGTCCAGGGGTCGTGCAAGTTTCTGTGTGTCCTGGAGGATGACATTGAGGTAGACCGGGGTGAACAAGCTGAAATTTCAGGTTAATAACTGGACCCAAACGAGGAAATTGTCGGCAGTCAAGACTTACTTTTGTTGCACCTTCTCTGTCAGCTGCATGACAGTGTCGGGGTTGTATCCCTTGTCATCGTGGGCAGTAATGAAGTGGAAGAACCGAACGAATCGCACGGACAGATTCTCAGTCTTGGAGTTTTGCAGACGTTGCAAAATGATCTGCATGATCATAACCAGGTACTGTTCCAACGAGGCCCTGGACGAATGAGTTAGTATATTTCGTCCAAATTGACATAGATTCAAGAACTTACGGTGGGAATGTCGCAACAACGGCCTCAAGGAGATCGAAGGCATAACCTTCATTAGCCTTGGTCGAGATGAGCTTCTGGAAGATACCCAAAATTGGCTCGATCTGGTTGTGCTCAAGAATGTACTGGGCACCGCGAGGGATGATCGAGGTGAGCAATCGGGCCAAGGCGGGAATGTTTCCGCGAGAATCCCACATGACAGGCATCAAGATAGGCGAGATAAGCTCCTGGTAGTATGTGGGCAGGCTGGCAGATGAGTTGGCCTCCAACAGGGCAGCAAAGAGCTGGAAAACGTATGGCATGAATTCTTCAAGAAAGAAAAAAGTCAGTTTGGAACAAGTTACTTAGAAAAAGAAATCAGATGGGCTTACCTTGAACATCTCCTGAAAGGATGCCGGCGAAAGGAGCGTAGAGAGCCTGCTCGAGCTTGTCAGGGTTGGCGGGGGCGGCATATCGAATGAAAGCACCCATGGCTTCAAAGAAGAAGTAGTAGAACCGAGGGTTACTTGGGTTGGCACTGATGATCTGGGTGATTGTGATGAAACGCTGCAGCACAACGTCGGTGTGGGGGACCACACCCTCACGGATGACAACCAAGACACGCATCACACAGCGCATCAAGAACTCGTTCTCTTGAACCTTCTGGGGAGCCGGGTCCCTCTGAATGAGCTGGAAAATGTGCTCCAGAAGGTCCTTGGCAAGTGGGGTGATTTCGGTCGGGGGAATGATAGGCTGGCCCTGGCTATCAGTGAGATATAGAACCCGCTCCACAGCGATGGCAGCGTATGTGTACACAACGTAGTTGGAGGAAGCCAGGTGCTTCACCAGAACAGGGAGCACCTGCTGCCACTGCTCCTTCGTGATGATGCTTCGGAAGGTGTACAGGTACTTGATAGCATCAACCTTGAGGATAGGATGAATTCCATCATCGGTGACCAGGTCTGAAGCAAGGTGTTGTTGAAAGAAGTCCGCGATGCTGACCAGGCTGTTGGTAGCAGTGACACCGTGGCTTGCAGTCGCCACGCCCTTAGCTGCCACGGCAGAGTACAGGTAGATGGCGGTATCCTTGGACTTCCAGTTGGAGGCGGGGTCTTTGGCGTACTCGGAAAGGTAGTGCTCAGTGTACTTGAGAACGACCTTGGTCACTGATTCCTCAAACTTCTCGGCCAGGCGGCGGAGGAAGTCTGTGGCGGCACGGCGGCGGGTCTCACTATCAGAGCCTTCAAGATCTCTGCGGATGAATTCAATAGGCTCATCTTCGAACAGCTCCTCGTCGGACTCGCGCAGGCTCACGTTAGGCAGGATAACCTTTTCGATGATCTGAGCAAGGGTTTCCTCCGCTTGGAAAGCTGCGGCATGCTCGGGCATGCTAGCCACCGAGGTCAAGAAGTGCAAGGCTCGGCTCACAAGGATGTCGTACTTGTTTTCTTGGCCAATAGTAGTCAAAAGACCCCACGAGCTCTGGATGAATTGTCCAACCTCGGGGCCGAAAGCGTCCAGGAATTTCTGGACAAACAGAGTCAAGCTTTCAAAGATTCCGGCACGCACATACTCCAGGAGACCAGCCTCCGTTTCGTCATCGGTATGAAGCAACGGGTTGTCGTATGTAAGATATTTGTGCAGAATGCTCGCAATTGCGGAGATGTTCTCTTCGAACATGGGGGGAAGATCGTGGCAGGAGAGATCGTAGAAAAGCTTGACCATTAGGTTAAGCTGAGTGAAACCTTGTGTCAGGTTTTCCTTGTTGTTCTTATTCGCCTCCAAATAGTTGTCCAATCCCTCGAACAGGGCCAAGAATGGGGTGCCGAACTTCTCGAGAACATGATTGATCTCGATGTAGAGGTCGTTGGATTGGAAAAGCGGTCGCCAGCGCTTGAAGATGGAATGCGCAACCTGTAGGACACCGATGTTGACGGTAGGGTTGGATGGCGATAATTTCGAAACAAGGTCCTAGCCAGAGAAAAAAGCAAGGGTTAGATGGGAAGAACGAAGAGAGAGAAAAAAAGTCAGATCCACTGGTCACTCACATCAACAAGGGTATCCCAGCGCTCCCAGAAATCACTGTCAGCGATCACACTGACGGCCTCACCAAGCTGAGACCGGATCGCAGGAGGCACGGAAATCATCAAAGTGATCAGCTCGCGCTTGATGGTCGTAACCTCATCCAGCGCCAACTTGTATTCTCCATCCTCGTTGGTCCAGCTGCGCTTGATGAAGTTCTTGAAGCACAGGGCACTCGCAAGACGAATGTTGTTGGGGGAGGAGTCAGAAGCCGTGATCTGAAGAAGCTGTAGCGAAAAACCGGGCTTCTGTTCTTCTTGACGAAGGGCGTTCTCGGCTGGAATTCCAAAGGGAAAGAGTCAGTAGGGTATTCTAGCGAGATCCATATGGTGTGATTGCCCTACCTTCCTTGTTCCGTCGTGGATCCAAGCTTGCTTCCAACAAAGCTCCAAGAGCCTCCGCCATTTTTACCGGTACGTGGGGTATCAACACAAGCGAGGGGAAAGAAGGTAAAAGAGAAAAAAGGTCGGTCTGGGAGGTAGTTCCAGGATTGGAAGATAGACGCTTTCCACCAAAAGGTGAGATGAATTGTCGAGCGGACAGAAAAGTTCAGCACACAGCAAAGCTCACAGGACAAAGATCATAACAAATAAATGAGGGCGCTGATAATTGTACGGGCAGCCCACTGCGTCAACACACTAGGCCTAATATGGTTAGGGCATCACATGTTGAGAGCTAACCCGTATTTGGAAGGCATTCTGCCTCAGGCCTCAAAAGAATAATTTGCCTTGTTGCCTGTGCCAAGAAGGAGTCATGTGACCCATCGCTCACGTGACTTGATCTCTGCTTGTAGACTTACCGCCAATAAGCTTTCTGCCTTTCTGCCTTGATGCCTTTATGCCTTGATGCCTTTATGCCTTGATGCCTTTATGCCTTGATGCCTTGATGCCGTGCTGCCGTTGTTGTGCCTGAGCCCCATTGCTGACTCAGATATCGGGAGTAACTCCACACTACTAGGTTGAGTGAATTCCAAGGTTTATTGAACGATTCATAGATTCCTGGGCCCCTATATGCACTCTATCATATTATAAAAATACATCTCTATCCTTCAAATCCTAGAATCCATGCATTTTTGCATAGTAAGACTTTAATGCTTCTAAGACCACATACATGCTGAAAGTCTCACCAAGCCTTCCGAAGTCGACAGCCAAAATATACATCCACAAACGTGGAAGGTAACACTGATGTCAAAACGTATGACGAATTATTTGTCTAAGACCTACCTACATTTACATTGATCCATCCATATATTCAGCATCATCTACATATTTGCACTACAAGCACCTGGGTATACTTTGGAACATTTGAAGGATGTACTATTTGAACCTTGGAATAGGCTTCGATCCAAGGTTGACACACATGTGCAGCCAAGTGGGTAGGATCGATTACATACACATCTACTTCCAATTAGGTAACCTTGGAAGGTCCTGAGTCCACATGTGCATGCTTTGAAGCACTTTTATGCATATTTCAAGCTCACTGAGATTGATCAATACTAGGTAGGCGACTACATAATAGGCACATCTCAACCTTGATTTGAAGTTTTGCAATGTAGCCCATGGAAGCTTCTGGGGAACATCAATTGAATTGATAGTAACATCTGGGGCTGCTTTTCCATGCATCAATTGATGGATGTCAGTTTCATTGATATGTCTACTTTTATGCTTCGATCGCACTAATTATTCATCGCCAAGTGCAACATGGGAAGGAATTGAGTCTACGTAGTTGTGAAATAAAGTTCCAATAACCACGAGTAGACGTGCATGGATACAGCCTCATTCTCCCTACCTACTCGCTAAAATCTCCGATTTGTCAAGCAAAACTGGATACTGCATATACTAAGTACGGGCTCAAATGCGGATCTCTCCAGGGCTTAAATGGGGTACTGCCACCGGCGCTTCCGGCCGCCAATTGCTAAGCCAAGTTTGTCTTTTTCATCAAGGAGGCGGCACAACTTAGTCATTCCAGAAAGCCGTCATACTTCCTCGCACTGCAGCTGCAGCTCATGCGCATGGTCAGCTTCCAGAGCTCATTTCAATAATCCACAAACTATATCACACTAAATTATGGGCTGGTGATGGATCCTGAAGGTCCACCATCATGCATGTAAGAAGACTAAACTCACTATTGGTCTCAAGGCAGGCTCACTCTTGCATGTCCACAAGTGGACCAGGCGGAGACTGCTCAATACACGGAAATGGTCTCCCTGATTTCGGAAATTGTTTGGTATTGACAGTTGCGTATGGGAATTTCACACACGTGGCACTGGGGCTGAAAGATCCACATCGCTGTCCGGTTGGTGGCTTTTGGAGGCTTTTGCCGAAGGTGATCTGATAAAGTATGTGGACTACACGAGGGGATGGAAGTGGCACCGGGGCATGGGGATGGGTATCTGTACGTAGCGTGGGGTTTGATGCTCGATGATTTGAAGCACATGCATATGCCTTAGCTCATGTACACCCTGAGGTTTGGATATAAGCACCTGACGATTGTCCAGATGGTTAGATAGGGTGATATTGGCTGGGTGATTTGCAGGATTTGTGATCCTCTTCAGCCGTGACTCCGATGGATCTCTATGTACGGGCCGAAATGAATTGTGGACTTCCATGAACCCTTTGGCACGCCCATCCCGGGATGTGTTTCGTATGATTTAGGTTATTTGTCAAGGCAGTCATCTTAAGACCCGCCTGAAACTACCTTTATGCATCTATATGGAGCAGAGGACAAGCTATTGTGACCTTGCGATTGGCGTTTGGGATGTCTTGCATGGCGGGGGCAATTCCTGTTCAATGACAAAATCTTCAAGTGTCCGTACTAGTATCATCAGAGGCTCTTACATAGAGTTCTACAGCTTAAAGCTATTAATGATGAAGATACAAAGCTCTGTGCGGATGCGAGAATCTTCACGATGGTCCTCGGATGCTGAAGTATCTAAAAAAGCTACGGAGTACATGTATCGAATGTTTTCAAGGTTCTACATAGAATTCAGAAGCTCTCTGCTTCATCTGAAAGCTCCATTATAATAGAGATGTCAATTTCGAGAGGATTAAGTGCCATGAACCCGTGAACCTTCTCTGGAAGAAGACGACGTTGATATTACATAAGGAAAAAACGACATGTTCTTCCTTTGCTACTCTTTCTCCCGGGCATGTCAAGATCCCGACGATCAGAAGATCAATTGCCATGTGAAAAGGAAAAATCTGACGCCATGGTTCTTTCCAAGGAATTTTCGTGTTTAGGAATGGTACATGATCGTCGGTCCAGCCGTGGAAGACCTGGGTACCATATTTCCCCGCCGTGGCAACTTGATGAACACGCAGCTTCAGAAACTATATTTCGTTCCGCCAATGCATAACCGGAGAAGCACGAGCGTTCATTCTGTTCAGGGATGATTTATCAACACAGCTGTCGTGCACTCCGTACGTGCATATTCATACAAAGCCATAAGCCTGGGGAGGGAATAGTTACCGAGCTAGCACAAAAGTACCATGCATGTTGAGATGTCTCCATTATTTGGAATTTGGAATCAATCTCAAACGAATACATACATGTGCCTGTCGTATTACGATTTCAGAGACCAAAACACGGCTGGAGGTCCTGAATTGCAGGTTCCAAGGTTGGAATTTTCTCGATCTATTGGATCATCGCAGCGATCATGTCGGAATGGGGTTTACCGAGGAGATTTGTTGAGTGCGTACGCATGAAATACACGAGGGAATGTATACTTTCGATCTCCACGTGTGGTTGAATATTCGGGTGGCGGACATTTTCCTCACGCCACTGTATAACAATAACCATACATGTACCCCGTAACTATACTCCATTATGTCGGGTACTCGGGTAGGCTACCAAGGTTCGTCATTAGGGTTCTCTATACATGACAACTTTATGTAGCAAAATAACAAGCAAAATAATATATTACATTTACTAACGGAGTACTCCGTATCTTCCGAATTGATCAAAAAACAAGGGGTTAAAATAAATCGTACATTTGTCAAGTACAGAGTAACGAGTCAATATTTAGATTAATCATCAAACTAAGGAGCATTAGTTCGAGGCACGGGAAGTAGTCTCGATCCAGGGTAATTTAATAGATCTGTAATATCTGGAAATCTCGGGAGGTGACAGCAAGTGGCGCTTGTTTATTTACCAAGTTTTCAGTATTATTTTCCCAGTTTTTGATAATTTGTTTTCTAAAATTTCACATTCTCCCGAGTCAAGATGAGGGGAGAGTTCGGTACAACCGGCTGAGGTGTATGAAGTGGAGTGGAATAGTGGGGTCTCGATTCAGCTCGCCAGTCTCCTGTCACTCCCGCATCGCCTTTTATTGCCCACAGTGACGATGCGGATCTTGTGTCTGCAGCACGGGTGGAGCCGCTAAACTTCCGCAAACCAGTTCGATTGTTCACCCTCCCTTCTTCCCCCACAAGACCCATTGAGCTAATGCACCTCGATCAGACGAGAATGGCCCATGAGAAATTAGCACACAGCACTGCCATGTCCTCGGGGGGTTTCTTTCTTTCTTTCTTTTTCCGTTGCCTTATTCGCGGAGTTCACCGGAAACAGATGACAGGGGGGAAGAGTCAGGGGGTGATGTATCGGCTGAGACGCTAAATCCAGCCCCTGGGCCAGAACACGTCTCGCCTCTCTTGGTTCACGGGATAAGCGCCGCTGTCACTTTGTTCATCCTTCCATGGGTACTTCGTGGACAATCGGTGGTCTGTTCCCGTCAATCCAAATGCCAAGTGGCCTGAGGGGTAAAAAGCGTTCGGCAGATCGTAGGGCACGGTTCTATGTATGGGGCACACGGAACCGAAGTGGGCCCCCTGTTTCGTCAGTAAATTTGTACGAGTTCATAAAGGATCCATTTTATACCGATCGGCGATGGCTGGTGCTGCTGGGATCCCGTCATCCAGTCATCATTCCCCGCTTCTCAAAAAAAACCACCCAGAATGCTGGATGTCAATCGATCGACTGTTCGTCCGAGAGAGAAAAAGAGCCACTTTTTCTTGTCCCGTCCAATTTGTCACTTTGTCAATGACGACTTACCACAGGCCCCGTTGCCTACATGATCCCCGCACAGTGGGTAATAATAATAATTCCATATTCTGGATGTCCAGCCAGCCATGCGGGTGCACGGTGCACAGCCTGTCCCTCCAGCCTTGAACTACGCATGCGGGCTGGCGCCAAACAACATAAACGGTACAGAAAAAGCAACTAGCTTGCTACAGAAATGCCCGTTTCGAGCTTAGCTGGCGCTTTTATTACGCTACCCCCTTACCCGGTGATGCCGGAGCTTTTCTTCGAGCTGGCCAGATTGTCAATTATGAGACTGATACCCGTGAGTTCGGATGTGCCGTCTTTCATCACGCCCAGGCAAATTTATATGGGTCCAGAATATGCCCTAGGTGGAGAGGAGAAGTTCAGCCATCTTTCATGGCCCTTGAAGGTCCGATTGAAATGATCCACATACTCTGCCACTCCCCTGGGACAAATACAGACACATGCATGGGACTGGAGTCTGTTTCAAAATACAATACCATTACTTTACGAGGATTTCCTTGAGGTCGTATCCAATTCTCAATTGTCTGTCATCATTGGGTTTCTTGACGCCCCCTCGAACCACCACCATGCAGCTACCAACTAATGCACGTTTTGGCTTTGTGGCAATGATTGACAATGCGTGTGAGTGGGTTTTCGGGGATTCAATTGCCTTCTTTGATTTCCACGCTTTTGACAGATAACAGAGTTGGAGCTATGTTTAATTCTGCAGGCCGTCTGGTAATTTGGTGAGGGTGGAGACCATGGACCCAGCAAAGCTGAAGCTCATACATACCCACCTGATGATATGTACCATCTACTAGACGTAATTCTGATTTATACGAAGCTCCATACAGCTATGTACCTCCACCAAGCCCTTACCCAAAAGGACCTGTCCAGGGTTTATCAATGATTGCCACCAGAGTTGGTGCTGCTACAAAAGCCGAGTAGATTCCCAATCTTACAAGGAATCAGATCCAGCTTTCTATTTTCTCTAACCCCCCTACAACAATACTGTGCTTAAATGCCACTGTATATTTAAACATCTCGCATTTTACCGAGACCACTCGCCGGTTTGTCTCGCCTCCTCTGCTGCTTTAGGGGCTGTTGCTCAAACCAAAAAGCTTTATCAGATCATAATCATCCGCCACGAGAAACGTCCTCCCCAAGAACTCATAGTAATACCCACATCGAACAAAGGATTTCAATCCCGACGACCATATCCATACCTTCGAAACCTTCCTCCGAACAACAGACAATCACTATGGCTCCTGGTCTTGTCTCTCCTGTCCCGGGCAACCTTGCCTCTTCCTTCTATGAGCGCCCTGGTGGCTCCCGCCAGGTCTCCTCCTTCTCGGCTCACTTTGACAATGATGCCTTCTCCCAAAATGGCCGTTCTACTCGCCGGGAATCAGGAATCCTCCAGCGCAGCTTCAGCGGTGCCGCTGGCTCCAACCTGGGCAGCCTGGTGCAGAGCCTGTACCAGCGCAGTGGTAACGAGCTCGGAGCCCACGCTTCGTCTCGTCTGATGAACAGCAGCTACGAATCCATTAAGGAGTGGATCCGTGTTCAGCGTATGAGCCACTTGCCTCCTGAGGGAAGCAACTATGACAAGGTCCTGTCCTGGGCTCTCCTCTTTATTGAGCGTTTGCACCACTTCGAGTCGAACGTCAACAAGTTCGCCGGCGACAGCTACCTGGCCACTCGTCTGTCTTACGGCTACTGCCTCATGCTTCTTGAGGTAAATTGATCAAGGCTGCGCCAATTGAACAAACCAATGCTAACGATATCTTATCTAGCTCGCTAAGGACAACTCCGAGGCTCTGATGACCTCATTCGGTTTCTTCTATAGCACCTCCTCTACCCTCGTCAACCTTTTGGAGCGTACTGAGCTCTTCGAAGTCTCGCAGGAGATCAAGGAGCAGCTCATTCTTGCCTTGTCTGACCTGGTTACTCTGGTTCACGATGTCTCCACTCACTACCACAATGCTATCAGTGGAATGACCAAGGCATCCGTGTCTGTTCACATTTACGACTCTTTCCCCGGCCCGATCATTGCCTTCAAGGAGCGTTGCAGCAAGATCTCCGAGGCTATGTGGCGCCACCAGCTCGTTCGCGATAACATTAGTGCTGATCGTGTCTCCGTCGTCCGCGACGTTCGCGCTTGGCTCGCCCCCGAGGACCGCGTCTTGGCTCACTTGGCTGAGAACACCTCCCACCTTGCCCACGAGCGTGAGGAGATGACCTGCCTCTGGGTTTCCCCCTACCTGACCCACTTCCTGAAGAACAAGAGCCGCACCCTTGCCTTGACCGGAAAGCCCGGCTCCGGAAAGACTGTCACTGCTTCCGTTATCATTGACCGTCTTCAGGACCCCATTGCTGGTGTCTCTTACAAGACCCTCTACATTCCCATCAACTCGCGCGTTCCCGCTGAGACCACCTCAATTGCCATCGTCAAGACCATCCTTTACCAGCTCTTCGAGAAGCGCATTGGAAACACTGCTCTCTTGCAGATCCTGGGCGATGCCTACGAGCGCAGCAAGAAGACCACCGATGAGGCACAGTACGATTCCATCCTCTGGTCTGCCTTGGAGCGCGCTCTCGCGGCTGCCCTCGCGAAAGCCAAGGAGCTCGTCATCGTTGTTGATGGTGTTGATGAGGCCGTTGGCGGCGAGACAGCTCTGATGCAGAAGCTGATCAACTCTACTGCCAACGGTACTGGTGTTAAGCTTATTACTTTGGGTGTTGAGAAGCCCCAGGCTGCCAAGGATCTGGTGCACTTGCAGATCCCCGAGGACCGCGTTGCTGATGATATCTCTACTGTTGTTCGTGCCAGCTTCGAGGATGAGGCTGTCTTCCAGGGCCTGCCTGAGATGGAGCAGGAGATCATTGTTGACCAGATCACTGAGGGCTCCCAGGGTTCCTTCCTCTGGGCCAAGCTGTGCTCCAAGCGTGTTCGCCAGGAGAAGACCCCGGAGGCTCTCCACAAGATCGTGGAGACTATTGTTAACAGCAAGGTCCCTGTCACTATCACTGAGTTTGTTTTGCAAGCCATCCAGGACCCCGCTGTCAAGCCCGAGGCCCGTCAAATCCTGCTGTGGCTTGCTACTGCCGTTCGTCCCTTCACTCCAAAGGAGCTTGGTGTCTTGTTCTCCATTGATATCACCAAGCACATCGTGAGCGATGCCCCTGTGAAGCCATTGGAGTTCTTGAAGACTGTCAACAGCCTGGTCTTCATCCAGGATGGCCAAGTGTACCTGCGCCACGGTTTGATCCGTTCTTCCATTCTGGAGATCCACTCTAAGGGAAAGCTGGTGCCCACTGTCAAGGACCACCATGCTGACTTCGTCACTCGTCTCTTCATCTACATCAAGAGCGTTCTTCCCGAGCAGCACGAGCCTTCCCTGACTCCTCTTGATGGCCACGACACTACCTCATTTGTGCAGCGGAACCCCCTGCTTGACTTCGCCGTTCGCTACTGGCCTCGTCACTTGAAGCAGACTACCGTCTACACCACCGGTGGTGATGTCCCCACTGCTAAGGAGTTCAGCAAGGTGTTCCCCGCTACCATCACCCTGCTGCTGCTCCAGAACACCCTGTGGCACACTATCATTACCCCGACCTTGATCTCTTACCAGACCACTGTCACCAACCTGTGCCGCAACATTTTGACTCCTAAGCACATTGTGACCCTCCAGTCTATCATCACCCTGGCTTTCTTGCGCCGTGACATCAACCTGGTGACCGACTCTATTCCTCTCTTCTACGAGCTTACCATCCTGAGCCGTGATCTGCTCCTGACCAAGCACCTCATCACCATGAAGATTGCCAACATCTTCCTGGAGTTGACTTCGACGCAGACCACTACTTCTCGCACTGACATCATGATTCAGCGTGAGGAGATTTTCCTGCTTATTGTCGAGTGCTACAAGATTCACTACGGTAACTCTTCTGAGCAGGTTGTGTCTACCCTCAAGACCCTGATTGAGCACTACCGCTTGACCAAGGAGGAGCACAAGATCAAGGAGATCACCACCATCATCACCACCATTACCACTGGTTACGAGGCTGGTGACGGCTCCCGCGGTGATCTTCACGTCCACCTCAAGGGCCACAAGCGCCAGGAGAGCGAGGGCGGTATCCGCTTCGTCCTGGACATCGAGGAGGATGAATCTATTGATGATGGCTTTGACTACGAGGCTCTTATTGCCCTGGCCGAGAAGTACCATGCTGAAGGCAAGATTGTGGAGGCCGAGCGCATCTACGTTGAGATCTGGCAACGCTCTAACCGTGAATGCCGCATTCAGACTACTTCCTTCTGGGAGGAGACTAAGCTGAAGGCTGTCGTCGCTTACTCCAAATTCCTTAAGACTGAGAAGCGTGAGACTGAGGCTTCTTCCATCTTGTCTAGCGTTTGGGAAGAGCACCGTCACACCAGCATTGCCATCTCTGAGAAGTCTTCTCACCACTTCGAGGAGATTGCCACTGTCATGGCTTCCGTTGGTCTTTCCGCTGCTGCCCTGTCTATCTTCAAGCAGATCTCCAGCTACTACCAGAGCACCAGCCAGACTAAGTCTTCTCGCTTTGAGCAGATCCAAAAAAGCATCACCAGCACCTCTGAGCACGTTATGAAGTCGACCCAGTCATCCCACTCCAGCGTGTCTGAGTCCACCCTTGAGGAAACCATCTACGAGTCCTTCTCGTCTCAGAAGTTCGACGAGAGCTCTTTCGTTGCTACCACCACTTTGATCGAGCAGTTCAGCTCCCAGCACCGCTGGAAGGATGCCACTCGCGTTATCAAGAAGGTTCTCCAGGGTCTGTGGCCTACTCTGTTCGCTCCTTCTATCGAGGATGTCGCTCTGCCCACTAAGAACGCCAACCAGGCCATTGAGTACGCTGAACGCCTCGGACAGTACTACCACTATCGCCGTCGCTTCCCTCGCGAGGAGAACATCCGCATTCGTGTCTACCGTGCCGTTCGTACTGGACGTCCTGCTGACGACAAGGTGCGCGAGCGTGTCACTGAGGCCCTGATTCGCTTCTACGAGCGCAACTCTCAGCCCGACAACGTCATCAGTACCCGCCAGGAAGTCTTGGACGACTACATCAAGCACTACGGCCGTGACCACGCTGTTGTCATCAAGACTCTGTGGACCCTGGCTGAGCTGACTCGTCCTCGTCCTATCTTCGTCGAGTACTACCAGCGTATCATCCGCTCCCTGAACAAGGACTCACCTACCTGCAAGCCCGAGGCTCTCGAGCCCCTTGTTTTGGTCGCTACCGAGCTCTGGAACCAGAGCCGCTACTCCGATGCCGTGGCTTACTTCACTCTGCTGTTCACCACCTTCTTGAGCCAGCCCAAGCAGCCCCGCTTCGAGAACCCCTCTTTCGTCCAGGAGGTCTTCACCCGCTACACTCACTGCTTGCGCTCCGTTCGTACCAACTATGACATTATCCACAAGGTTACCGTTGACTACCAGACCAAGGTGAAGACTGTCTTCAGTGCTACTGCTTCGATCACCATCCAGGCCACTCTCACCCTTGCCAAGGTTTGCCAGGAGTCCAAGCGCTACGAGTACGAGGCCATCACCCTCTACGAGGAGCTGCGCAAGACTGGTTCCAAGGAGATTGATATCGATGAGATCACGGCTATCCTGGACGGTATCTACGAGGAGCAGACTCTCATTGCCTTCAAGTCCGAGTCTGCCTCTAAGCAGCAGATCGAGACTGCTTCCAAGGTCCTGACCCGACGCGTTACAAGCCTCCGCAAGGAGCACGGCTGGGCCCACGAGGAGTCTATCAACCAGATGCAGAAGATGGTCGAATTCAACTACAGACACAGCTCTGTTGAGTCTGTCCACAAGGAGTTGAAGGAGTCTACCGTCAACATTCTGAAGGAGTCCACCTCTTCCACCCTTTTGGTTTCTGCTGCTATCGCCATTGCCAGTAGCTACGTCGCCACTAACCAGGTCCACAAGGCTACTGAGATGTCCGAGGAGCTTTACCGCCAGGTTGTCATGAAGGATACTACCAACGTCAAGACCTCTGAGTTTGATCTGACCACCAAGGGTCGCCAGAGCCTGGTCTTCCTTGCTCAGCTCCAGCACAGCCTTCACCAGCAGACTACCAGCATCACTGACATTCTTGCGTCCTTGACCACTGAGTACGTCTACTTCGAGGAGTTCCGCAGCTACACCTCCAGCAAGACCGCCACTTTCCACAGTGTCACCCTGTCAGCCACCCGCCTGTACCACTTCCTGCTGCGCGCCCAGCGCCAGATTGCCGCCGTCCGCGTCTTCGACGAGTTCGTGGCCTACTTCGTGGCTACTGAGGGCAAGCGCACCAAGGTTACCGACAAGGCCCAGGTCAAGGTGTTCATCACTGTCATCCTGACCCACTTCAACACCCACCAGTCCTCGAACTTCGTTCGCTCGGTCGGTATTGCCAGCAACCTGCACGTCATCAAGCTGCTCGAGGCGAAGAAGTACGACGATGCCGCCAACCTGGCCCTCGCCGCCTTCCAGTACATCTCCGCCCACGACGTGTTCCGCACCCCCGAGATCGTCAAGTTCGTCTTCACAATCGGTGTCTTCATCACCGGCCGCACCGTCGCTCCCCAGCCCGACGCCGCCACCCAGAAGAAGCTGCACAGCGTCTCCGCCGTCATCATCCAGGAGGTTCTCCACGTCATCAGCGACCTGAAGATCAACCTCTCCCAGATCAACCTGGACTACCTGAACATCCTGATCGGCCTCCTCGGCGAACAGCAAGACTACAAGACCCTCGTCTGGCTCCTCAGCGGACTCTGGGCCAGCCGCAACAAGCAGGTCACCTGGCCCGCCCAGGTCACGCTCAGCCTCGCCCGCCGCTTCATCCTCGCCCGCTACCTCACCGGCGACTCGCTCAAGGCCGTCCGCCTCGCCGAGGACATCGTGTACAACTGCCGCCGCGTCAACGGCCCCCGCCACTCCAGCACCCTGGAGATGTCCACCCTGCTGACGCAGCTGTACACCGGCATCGCCCAGCGCTACCAGACCGCCAAGGGCGGCCAGAGCATGGCGAACAAGTACTACAAGAAGGCGGCCGGCGTGCACGAGAACCTGCTCCGCATCTTCGTCGACCCCTCCCTCGCCGAGATCGAGGGCGGCCTCGACAACAGCTTCAGCATGGATGGCTCCGCCTACGAGCTCAACATCGAGGAGACTGCCAACGGCTCTTCCCTTACTGAGGGCGAGCATGTCCGCCAGCACCTCCACCTGCTCAAGCTTGCTGTCCAGCGTCTGGGTGACTGGCCCAAGGACTACTCTGAGTACAGTGACCTCAACGCTGACCTCTTCCGTGACTTCGGCGGCGATCTCCAGGGTTTCGAGGGTGTTGAGAAGTGGAACTTGAAGGGCTTCGGCGCTGGAAAGGCTGCTGCTAATGATGATAACTTGGCTCTTGAGACTATTACTTGGGAGATTGATCTTGCTGAGCCTTCTTTCCCTGAGGATGAGGAGGAGCTTTGAATCGTTCCTGTTTGACTTTGATTGTTTTGAGCGTTGATTAAAATGTTTTTTGTTTCTATTTCCTGTACGAATTGTTGAGGTTATATAGTTAGCTGGATCCCTAATCTGTATACCGACGACCTGTCTGTTCAACATTTTTCAATATTTCCATCTTTCTCCATCTCTACTGTAGTTCGCCTTTGAAGCTCTATTCTCACCTTAAACCATGAGCATCCTTAATTGATCCTGTCCACAATCCTGGCTCGCGCTCATTGGTTGAGGAAATCTGACCATTTCCAGGCACTCATGCATAATGCATTTATGGTTACACATATGACGTGTGAGTGCATGGTAGCTCCTAGAAGAAGCTGACCCGCTCCCAGCTAACTGGTTCATGCAAGCGCATGTGCGGCGGCCCTTTGGTGTGACGGGACCAATAATATCAGATTCTTAGGACAACTTCCGCAGAAGCCCGGTTTACTACCGCTTTTATTCATATGCAATGCGTGCAATGCGAGATTAATCAACAAAGATGACTTTTACCAATTCCTCTTCTACTGGAGCAGGCTAACTTCTTGAATATTGGTTGACTACATCTTGTCAGCGTGTACCTAGTTTCTGCGTACATGGATTGGCTAGATCAGCTTTGTAAAGTTTTCACATGAAATAAATCTACTCTCTTTGTCTTTACAAAAACTTTCAAGCTTAGGTCTAGGTCCAGCTCCAAAATATTAAAGAGTATTGGACCCACATGATACATCGATGCATAATACTACTGTTCCCCCTCTAATGCACTTGATGTGCCCCCCTGGCTGAAGACTGATCGATGCTGTGTGACAATCTTCCCCGCTCAACCATTGACTCGTACATCAGCTCGCAGACCGGAACCATGGCCTTCTACTGCCTAAGATCTTGATATACAGGGTTCCTCCTGATAATATTCAGCATCTACATCTTCCATTGGATACCCTCTTCTCCAGTAATCCACCTTACCAGCAATATTTTACGTACTCCGCCGGACATTCCGCAGCTGCATCTATGTTGTGTAACGATAAGCACGCTACAATAATGGAGCTAAACGTGTCATTAATTTTTGCTTTCATGGAAACAAAGCTATAAATACTACTCAACTCTCACAGAACATAGAATGCTTTGTTATTCCGCAGACCAGTCTCAAACATTCCAACAGCTCAGATCAAATCCGTTCACTCTACCTCCCTCGAAGCTACTCGATCCCTCGCATATCTGCATCGTCCTTCACAATGCGTGTCTACACAGGCAAACTGAACACCAACACCAGCTACGCAACCAAAGACGAGGTCATCACCCTCGTTACCAACGGTGGCTTCCGAACAGGATCAACTGCCGTCCTCTCCGGACAGTGGACCAAGAGCTTCAGCGGCGAGCTGAAGAGTAACTTTGCCCGAGCCGGCACCATCACCAAGCTTGATGGTGATAAAATCGAGATCTTTGTTGGTGAAGATCAATACTACTGGTAAGTTTGTCCGCTTCTTTCTTCATCGTTTTTTGTTCTTAGAACTACCCACTAAATTCCCAATCCAGGTTCGTTGGAAGAGTTAACGGGGATAAAATTGTGTTGAACATGAAGAAGGATGGTGATGATAACTACGGGAAGGCCGAACTGTCTCTTTTCTATTCCGAGACCTAGATTGAATCATCCTAGATGTATATGATGGGCAGGCAGATATCTATGATGTATCAAGAAGCTTATACACGTGTACAATTGATTCGTCGAGGCGAATACTATTTCTCTACTGGTTACACTTTTCTACAAAACCTTTTATCTAGTGCTACAGTGATATTCGAAATCAGCTTTACCATCAATCTCTCCCTCTTTATTTCCCAGGCCCCACCCAAAAGGCACTAGTCTCTATTAGGATACCTTTCCGCTGGCCTTGGCCTTGGATTTGTTGATGTAGCCTCGACCAGCTCGCGTAAATTACAGTAAGATTAACTCGTTGACTACGAGTGTAATGTGATTTTAAAAGCTTCGGCTTCAAACCCGCTATCTTTTTATGAATATCGCTTCAAAAGATTTGAGTAATTTAATGAGTGAATATGAAGCGCGCTCGACATATGAAATGACTAAAATAATTATCGATCAGAAAATGCAGCAAAGATTGTCCTTTGCTCCCCTCCCGCATTTGCGTAGTGAACGTGGGAAAACCCTGTGGGAAAAAAACCACGCCGGAGCAGTCTAACTCACTCAACCTATCATGCTAAATCACGGATGCTTTGCTCTAGAGCAGCCTGAAGCCGGCGAGCATCCGAACGAATGTGGCAAATTTGCGGAGACTCAATCGCCAAGCTGATAAGCTCCTCTTCCGAATATAAGCTAACCGTCATGGGACTGAATGCATCGGCCAACTTGACTAAAATATGTCGCTCAATGACTTGACGACAGACATTATCCACGAACGTTTTTCGTGCAACCTAGTTGATAGTCAGAGCGAATTCTTCTCAAAAACACCTGAAACTGACCTTGTAATAAGCCATCAAGTCGGTTTTTGCTTCAGAACATGCTTGCTCCTTCATATCGACAATGACACGCTTTTTGAGGGACGACAACAGTTTAACACAGTCTTCTTCTGTGTTCTGTAAGTGTAGAGTACCGCCCCAATCATTATGGATCGCACCACGCACAGAGTCCTCAATGAGGCTCTTCGAGGATTCATTTCTTGCATTCTGGATGTTGTCCGTGTAATAATGATTGTAAGTGATGGGCTGTCGGGTTTCATCTTGAAGTATTTGTTCAAGTTCGTGTTCCGCTGCTTCAGCATTTGCCTCCAACGTGGTGCTCACTAGGCGACCAATATTTTCACGAACCTTCCCATCTTTGATAGCGTACGTCAGCGCCGCGTGGACGAACTGGGAAACGATCTTCGAGACCGCCACAATATGTTCTCGAGCAATTTCAGCCCATCGCAATGATTGCACATGGAATAGCTCCGCGAGGAGAGCTTGATTGTAGTTACCCGGTAACTCTTGGCCCCTCGTTTGATCATATACCTGCGCTGATTTAGTATTATAAAAAGTCATCTCCCAAGCAGCAACTCATACCTGCCGAATCCAGTCAATCATACCCTCTTTTGTCACGAAATTTTGTCCATCTTTCTCTTTTCCGGCGTCAGGGTGGTCCGATGAGACGATTTTTCGATTTTCACCACGCTGTCTGATATTTTCGGAGAACTTTTCATTCTCTATGTGGAGAGCAGCTCGAAGTCGAACCGAGAGTCGTCCGTCTCGTATTTCAAAGAAGGTTGCATCACGACCGCCGTATGATCCATCGACGCCAGCTTGAATGAGGTTGTAGTAATTGGTGGCGATCTTTGTCAAGAACATGCGTATCTGATTTGGAGACTTCCGTTCCGCTCCAAGATCATCGAGCTCTTCGTTCTTCTCCCGGAGAAGACGTCGTATATCTTCACGAACCCTGGGTAGCTCGCGCTCGATGTGGCTGTCCAGAATCTCTTCCAGAAAACAGCGCAGCTTGTCGACTCCGACTCGTGAAGGATCCAGCCCCTGTTTCTTCCAAACCTCGGTGGAAAAATATGCCAATTCTACTTTGCGTCGCTCTTCTATGGTCATACCTGCCTTCAGCTCCGTCGGGCTGGGGTTTTTCAAGATGAAAAACCCAAGGGTGAGCTTGGTGCGGTCACAGTTCTTGGCAAGACGAGCGATACGTGCCTCTGTACCAGCGTTGATGAGATCTGGCTTTGTAATAATGCCGACGGTCCGGAGACCATCTTCATCAAAACGCCTCGCACGTTGGATGATGCCCTGGGTGTCAACATCGCTGGTGGCCGGTATGACTGCAAGAATTATAGTCCGAGAGTTTTGCAGATAGGAGTCCACTAGCTTTTCAACAATATCCACATCTTCTTGAGACTCAGCGACTGAAATGAGCCCAGGAAGATCAACGATGGTAAGGTGGAGGCCCGTGTTACCAACAAGCTCAAGCCTGAGAACATCGGCTGCGAATGCTGGACCCTCCGCTTTTTCATCAATGCCACGCACCCCCATAAGCTTCGCCGCCTGCTCGATGATATTTGGCAGTTCGGCAAAGTCATGAAGAACGTGGTGATAAGCGCTCAAGAGACGTTTTTCTTCTTCACTTCTGGAGGAATGAGGTATGATGGTTGCTGTGGTTTTGATATCCGTGGGTTCATGTCGGAGGATGATTTCTGTTGCGAATCGAGTGCAAAGCCCATCCTGTCGAGGAAATGGTATGCCGCTGATCCCTTCGAGGACCGAACTTTTCCCTGCGGATTGGTCTCCACAAACTACCAACTGTGGTAGCGCGATGTGTTCGCCAACGCCATTCGCGCGGATTCGGTCGATTTGATTAAGACGCTTGGATGTTTTGGATGACTGGAGACTGATTTTTCTTTGTGCACGAGAATATTCATGCTGAAGAGGTGGTTTGTCTGGAGGCAATACAGCCATTTCGGGAGATTTAAAATCGGTCACTGTCATTGGCAACTAGTCTCAAAAGTGTATCACTTTGGAATTAGTTCTCCTGGATACTTCAACACATTTATATCTTTCCTTACTGTTCCTGGCAACACAGAAAGCTCAGCCTCCAGTCATCCAAAACATCCAAGCGCCTTAACCAAATCGACTGAATCTGCAAGAATGTGACTGACAACAGCAAGGCAAACGAGGAATGAGAAGCTGAACTTGCGTTAAATAAACTTATTGGGTGGCCATCAAACAACGAGGACCGCTAAATCCCCCTTGCTCTTGCGAGAGTGTTGTAAATGGTCAGGGTCATTGCATACGCAATGTTTATGTAAGGGATGGAATCTTCATTGGCTTTGATGGCTGGTGTTTCGTTAGCAAGCCTTTAACACGTTCCTTCTGAAAGGAAAATAATTCTGTCGAAGCTGAAAAAATAGCCACATGTTCTACGGAGTGGTCCCAATCTGGCTAGCGATAAGACTAGAGAGACGAACGGAGACGGCAAACCGCTATATAATATGGTTATCAGCATGTGAATAAGTCACGAAAATCAGCGGGAAGCTGAGTCCTACAAGAAGGTTCAATATATAGTACTGTAGCTCGCAAAGAAACTATTTTATTTGCCCGTCCGTGTCACGTCATGTGTGGCTGGTGATTTGCGGAAATATGCGAAAATGACAAGAGGTAACTTTACTGTAATTTATGCGAGCTGGTCGAGGCTACATCAACAAATCCAAGGCCAGCGGAAAGGTATCCTAACACAGAATAGTGCCTTTTGGGTGGGGCCTGGGGAATAAAGAGGGAGAGATTGATGGTCAAGCTGATTTCGAATATCACTGTATTACCATGGAATACAATACAGCCTGACAGGGGTTAATCGGGACGGCTAAAAATAGACCAAATTAGCGTGTTGCAAGGTGGGGCTCGGGAATGAAAGTGGAAGAGTGTCGAGGTAAATCTGATTTCGAATACTACTGTAGCCCTTTTCATAGCTTATTCACACTACACAGAAATAGAAAAACCAGAAAAACTTCCTCTCGAGTGCCTGTGGATTCTTTTGACTGCTGGCTACCCACCAGCTGGTTAGTATCATGTATAGTAAGCTGATCTCAACAGACGGTGCGTGAAGACACCAGCACAGCCCACACACAAATAGTAGCCTGTCCACGACATGCTGACCGTGCGCAAGAGTGGTTACTGGTGGAATGCCTCCAGACATCCATGTTGTCGAGTTTTTCCAAGCATAACTCTTCAAACTTCCATTAATGTCCTCACTCTCTTTTTTTCACCTTTTTTTCGTATCAGTTTAACCCTTCTTCTTCTGTTTCTTCTGTTCTCGAACTCTTCGCCTCCTGTTTTTTTTTGCTTTTTTCTCTTTTTTTCTCTTTTTTTGTCTTTTTTTTCCCATCTCTTTTACCCTTCTCTCTCTCCATTTTCCGTTCTCAAATTCACAGCCTTCTCTTCTTCTTCTCTTTGTCCCCTGTTTTTCCACCCCTAAGAATCCACGGGGAGGGGCAAGAGTGGCGGGTAGAAGAAAGGTGAGAGGTTTCCCTAGAGATAAACAAAGTGATCGGTATACCGACCCCGGAGGGGCTGTAAAAATAGTATTTATATAGAAAGTCTATTGCTTGAGTTAGTAATTTTGATCATGATGAAACAAAGACCTTGCTTTTTTTGAGTTGTAGGAAGTACTTACCCATAAAGCATATTTAATATTTTTTAATATTTTTTTTTGCTTTTTTTTGTCAATTTCTTTCCGGGGTTTTTTTTCGGGTTTTCTTGTAACTCTTTCAAATTTTTTCAAATTTTTTGCCGGTTTTTCATCGGTTTTGTCGGTTTTGTCGGTTTTGTTCTTGTTGGGGTTTTCCTGGTTTTTTATTATTTTTCATATTCATAAGATCATATATAAATATGAAAATAGAATTGGTCTTCGTCAATTTGACTTTTTTGTCGTTTTTTTGTCGTTTTTCATACTTAAGATCAAGTATAAGTATGAAAATGAAATTGGCCTTTGTCGTTTTTTGTCGTTTTTTTGTCGTTTTTACACATTTTCGCACGTTGTTCACGCTTAAGATCATGTATAAGTATAAAGATGAAATTGGCCTTTGTCGTTTTTGTCGTTTTTTGTCGTTTTTTGTCGTTTTTGCACATTTTTGGACGTTGTTCACGCTTAAGATCATATATAAGTATAAAGATGAAATTGGCCTTTGTCGTTTTTGGACGTTTTTTGTCATTTTTCTATCGTTTTTTATCGTTTTTTAAGCTCAAGATCATATATAAGTATAAAAATAAAGTTTGTCTTTGTCGTTTTTTGTCATTTTCTGTCGTTTTTTATTGTTGTTTAAGCTCAAGATCATATATAAGTATCAAAATGAAATTGACCTTTATTGATTCGTCGTTTTTAGACGTTTTTAGACGTATTTGGCCGTTATTCAAGCTGAAGATCATATATAAGTAAGATACCTTATACTGGCACCAGGCTGCTATTAAGGGTGCTGAATAAAGGGTAAATTCAGTGGGGTAAACAATCTTCCCTGGGGGTTCCCCAACCCCCCCTTTTTTGGGTCACAAAGAACACCTGGTAGATATCCGGAGTCTTACTCATATAGAAGAAATTACAGGATTTACGTATGTAATGCAGTTCAAGGGCTTTAATATGAAAGGAAATGCATGATTTACGCATGTAATGTAGTTCGGGGGCTTCAATATGGAAGGAATTGCAGTATTCTATATTGGGGGGAGACCCCCCAGACCCCCCCCCCCCCCATTGTATACAGATCGAGATGCTACACTATAATATGGGGTTATGGGGGGGAATTGGCCAAATAGGAAGGTGTAGAACATATACCCTTAGTCAGCACTGTCATTTTGATACCTAGCCGCTGGAAGTCATGTGCCCGAATCCCATAGATAGCTGAACGAAGTGAAGCTATAAAAATGAAATTTGCCTTTGTTGATTTGTCGTTGTTTTTTATCATTCTTTGTCATTTTTATTGGCCTTTATCGTTTTTTGTCACTTTTGGACGTTTTTGGACGTTTTTGATGTTGTTTAAGTTCAAGATCATATATAAGTATAAAAATGAGATTGGCCTTTATTAATCGAGTTTGATAAAAAAATAACCCACCTTCCACCGGACAAAATCATATAGTCAAGCTCGCACGACCCTCCACTTTCTTACTACCCTCTATCTCTTAAAGGTATTTATAACTTTAATTATAAGCTCTGCGGAGGTATAATGTTCAAGATTTGGGCGAGGAGGGAATGTGCGTAATGTGTCAGATAGATCGGCAGTTGCGTTGGGGGGATCGATTGGTGGTGGAGTACCTGATTGAGTAAGGTCGAGGGCTTGGGAATCGGTCGAATTGGCTGCTAAAACAGGTGTAACAGGAGGTACATTACGCGGCGGAGTAGGGTCAGTTGCTTCATCAGGATCCGAAGCCCAAATATCGGCCCATTGCGCTTCCATCGCGAAGTTTCAGGTGATATCCATAATAGCTGAACGAAGTGAAGCTATCTATGGGATTCAGGCACATGACTTTGACCCTACTAGGGTCCAAAATGACAGTGCTGACTAAGGGTACATATTTGCACCTTTTTACATGTGATCCCTGCACCCCCCCCCCTAGCTGCCGCATAACTACTACATCTGTAAAAAAAAGGGTCTCCCCCCAGTATACATTACAGCAAGTTCTTCCAGTTATACAAACACCTGATGTGTCTCCTGCTCTCTTCTTGGGGGGGTCTGGGGGGGAACCCCCCTGTATAGTAGATTACTGTAAGTTCTTCTAGATATGTAAACTCCAGATGTGTTTCCTGCTCTCTTCTTGGGGGGGGTCTGGGGGGAAACCCCCCCTGTATAGTAGATTACTGCAAGTTCTTCTAGATATGTAAACTCCAGATATGTTTCCTGCTCTCTTGGGGGGGTCTGGGGGGTCCCCCCCCTGTATGGAAGATTGTAATTCCTTCTATTTGAAGCCCCCGAACTGCATCATACACTTAAATTATGCAATTCCTTCCATATTGAAGCCCTTGAACTGCATCATATGCTTAAATTACTTAGATTTGCGCCTCTAAGGGGGGTCTGGGGGGTCCCCCCCCCCCTGTATAGAAGATTGTAATTCCTTCTATTTGAAGCCCTCGAACTGCATCATATGCTTAAATCCTGCAATTCCTTCTATATGAGTAAGACTCCAGATATCTACCAGGTGTTCTTTGTGACTCAAAAAAGGGGGTCTGGGGGGAACCCCCGGGAAACACCTATACTCTAGGATAATAAGAAACATCTGAACTCTAGGATAATACCCCTGCCGTAGGCAGGGACTCGGGGGTCTGGGGGAACCCCCAGGGAAGATTGTTTATGTTAGAGAGAGGTCAGGTGACCCCCTCTATATCTAGATTCCAGTGCTTGCTTCCTTCCTTCCTTTTCCCTCTTCTCCATCCCCCCAGAGAGATTGTCCATAGCCAATCTAGTTGCTTTTCTCTCTCCGTTCTTTCCTTTCCCTGAGCAGCGGTTGCATTCCTTCCACGCTGACAGTTTACCCCACTAAATTTACCTTCGTTCAGCACCCTTAATGGCAGCCTGGTGCCAGTACAAGGTATTTTATGAGTGCTTGTAATGACGGGAAGACTTCAGATGAGAGATATGATTGGTAGGTAGAGGGGGAAGAAGATGCAAGAGAGATAGTATGATTAGTAGGTAGAGGAAGGGGTTGTGGGGGTGAAGAAAGGCGGTAAGAGAGTAGAGGGTGGTAAGAGGTAGAGGACGGTGGGAGAAAACAAGGTGGTGAAGGAACTAGAGGGCGGTGAGAGCTTAACTTTGTGATTCTGTAAGGCAGAAAGTGGGTTGCTTTTTTATCAAACTCCTTATTGATTTATCGTTTTTTGTCGTTTTTAAACGTTTTTAGATATTTTAGACATTATTTAAGTTCAAGATCATATATAAGTATATAAATGATATTACCCTTTGTTAATTTGTCGTTTTGGACGTTTTTAGATGTTTTTAATGTTGTTCAAGTTTAAGATCATGTAAAAGTATGAAAATGAAATTAGTGGTGATGATGATAATATTTATTTAACATTGTTAAGATGAGAAGCAATGGCTTCTTAGTCTAATAGCCTCCCTGGGGGCATATAGATGTGCTATGCTAAGGTAACTATCTTACATGGTACCCATATAAAATCCCCAGAAAGCAATTCCTGCTATTATGCGCGGCTTAAGCCTCCAGTTGGCCCTTGCCCCGACTTCTGCGCTCGCGACCTATAGTCTTCCATTGGGCACCCGGTGCTTGTTCCTTATTTCAGGTCATCCAGTGCCATTTTTCCTCCCCTGACTCATGGGATTCTTGGCATAATTTCTTTTCCTGGGGTATAAGGCCCCTTTACCCGAAGGTTGATTGTATCTGCCCAAAGGTATTAAACTAGGTAAGTACCCAAGGGCAGCGAATATTTTGGTCCTGATGGGTTCTGTATAGTAGAAATTTCGAGGTGGTATCGGGGTTCAAACCCATGTCCCCGTGGTTTTAGAAAAATAGCCCCCACTATTTTTCTGTCCCTAAATAGGGAGTACTAGTTGGTGCTCTACTATTATACCACCCTACTACCGAAAATAAAATTGGCCCTTATTGATTTGTCGATTTGTTGTTTTTGGATGTTTTTGACATTGTTTAAATTCAAGATCATATGTAAGTAGAAAAATGAAATTGGTTTTTATTTGTTTAATATTTTTTATACTTAAGATCATCTTTAACCTAGGAAAAGAAGTCTGAGTTTACCTCAATTTGTTCAACACTCTTAACGGCGGCCTCGGGCCTTTATAAGGTATTTTTTATATACTACTATACCTAATAGTACTATCAGTACCCGGGGAATAACTGTAGCCTGCGGGTATCAATTGGTCTTTTGGCCAAGTTGGATAATCACCTGTCCCTGGGCTAGAGGTTCCTTAAGATTTTTAGATGTTTTTTTACATATTTTCAATTTAGGTTCAATGTTTTATTGGGAAAATGGTCTTTCCCCTGATTTTTTGCAAGTGGGATTGTTCGGATGATCGGATCGTCGGAGTGGCACCTAAGAAGTGGCACCCAGGATGTCAACGGATCACGGTCCACAGAACACGGGCCATACACAGGCCATTCACCGCCCGTCCCCCACTTGAGCTCCTTTTAGGCTGGAGTTTTTTTTGCCAAACCCACCGGGCGGTGAACATATATCGATGACCTATCAGGTGACTTAGGCTGGAATAACCTCATTCTCCCAAGGCAGTCTTTCACACCATCTGTTCCTGGGCCCCATTTTGCACATTCTCAAACATCTGACCTTGTGCGGCCCTGTTTTATTGCTCATATTTCACATTCAACCCTCGTACAGCTACTCAATTCCTTGTGGCTTGCTCCACCCGGGTCCCGCTCTCGCATCAACTCCCGAATCGTACTTTTGTCCCGACTCGTTTTGTGCCATCCCTTGTCCCTGAATGTACAGCGCATGCCTTTGAGAGCTACCCTTGTGGTGTATTGCTCCTTCTAAGCTATCGGGTCCAAGGTAACATTTCCTGCTGGGTCTTATTCCGTGACTCGCTCGTTCACATATTGGTTCTCCTGATCGCCTTACCTATGTCATACGACCCCAAACGCTGATTGTGTGACTTGATGGAACAGATTTACCTCCCAATTGCCAAAATAGCCTTCATTCACCGTCACAGGGCGGATGTCTTCCGACGATGCTCCATCTGTACCCCAACACAAACTTTCTTCAACTAGCTTTGCAGATGTGTTTAAAACGCTAGCCGTTGGTCGTCCGAAATCACACTCCCCCGTATCCATCCCGGAAAGCAACAGCGACTCAATATCACACCATCGACAAGTCCTTGGACTCGACCTCATGCATCGTGCCAGTGTTGTGTCCAGCTCCTCGGACACGCCGAGTGCTCCGGACATTGACAGTTCCCTCCGGAACTTGGCGCAGAGACAAAACCTCGTCCATGCTATCGAGGAGGCTGAATTAATATCAAAGTCTATTTCTTGGTTTACTCCAGAACAATCAGTGGGGCTGTGGGAGGCGGGGGAGTACTTGTTGCATCATGAATCTTCCGTCGATGCCCAAAAAAGTGGGGCCAAGCTTCTAGAAGCAGTTGCCAGTCGTCAGGATCTAAGCCCATCGGCCAGGCGCCTGATATTTGAATCAATTGCTTGCCCCACTGAAGCAGACGTTATTGCCTCGCGCGTTCAGTCACTGATCTCATTGTCGGATCATGGTCGGAAATTGGACTTCACGACCACTTCAATTCTTCATATTATCTCTTCTTGGATTGTCCCCCTCTATGGAGTTATCGCCACGACACGTTCCAAAGCGAAAAAAGGAAAGTCAGCACATCTAAATGGGACTGGGCACGAAGAGGCTGTCCTTGGCGATCTTTTGCAATTCGCTGTAGATCTGGTGACACTGCAACGCAAACCCCCGACGCAGGAAGAGATCGAATTGCTCCTCACGGAAACGTTCGCGGTTTGCAGAAAGACCAGTGTCGCAAATGACATCAAGAATGCTCTGTCCGTCTTTGATGCCGTCATCGTTTATGCGGATGTCCCTGACAAGAGTTTTGCCCCTCTGCTGGAAGTTCTTTGCAGCATCCACGCGTCTGTCAAGTCTCTCTCTGGACCTACTTCTCGGTCAGTGCGTAGCTTGGCCAAATCTAGAAGACAGGAGGAGATGCTCACTACTCTCCATGGCTTCATGAGAGAAAGTACTGACAATGACTCCTCCCGCAATATGAATGTCATTCGTGGAACCCTCTATGTCTTTTCTGACCTGGTTCATGCCTACGGTCAAGGTGGCATGCCTCAAATTCCGTTTGAGCAATTGATCGACTCACTTATGATCGTTGCTCAGAAGGATGACGGTAGAGTTGACGCCGATATTCTGGACTTGTGTCTGAATATTTTGGAGGGGGATTACACAAGCATCGCTCTAAGATGTGACTGGACAAGTTTCATTAGCCTTTTGGTTCTTTGCTCTCGAAGGGTCTTTCAAGAAACCGAAGATTCAATTGTATCGCCGACAAGCCCGCAGCAGACGCCTCCTAAGAGTACGCATGACGATATAAAATCGAACATTCTGGCAGACATTATCCAGATTGCTTCCGTTCTCGAATCACTCTGGGAGCAACTCAATCAAGAACAAAGACAACAGGCTGTCCGGTTTCTATCTAGAAGCCACCAGCATATTGAACCTTCTCAGTCCGAGCTAATCATCAATATGATGAGAGAAGATCAATCTTTCCGTCCCGCTGAGGGTGAAGTTTGGGTTCAACGTTCTCGGGACCTGATTGAACGTTTTATACAACCTCGAAAGCAGTCTTCTGATATTCGGATCATGGCTCTGGATACCTTGAAAGAATCTCTTTCTGGAAATGAACAGCTCATCTTTTCCGATGAACATGGCCTTTTGACCCTCCTTCTGCAAGACTTCTCAGCTGAACATGATCTGCTGTTTTTAGAGTCTCTCGTGTCTTTTTTAACTGAGCCCGCTATCCATATCAACGACGACGGCGTATTCAAGCGGCTGGTGGACACTTTGAGTTTGCCGATGAAACATGACCTCATCAAAGATGATCCCCGACAGACCTCCAGTTATGCGCCTTCATCACGCCGTACTTCCACAACGAGTGTGCTGGAGCTGACTTTGGCCAATGTATGCGCTGTGGGTCTTGTGAAAATGATGCTTCGTACTTTGAATTCCTCTGCTCCAAAGTCGGTCATTATCTATGAGTCCCTTCTACAAATCGCACAGTCTGCAGACCGCCCAACAGATTCTCGCCTCACCGTCTTGAAGCTGCTCTTCCGGCTCCGCTGTGATTCGGCTGGTTCTGTCTCTGTAGTATCGACCTCAGAGGGTGATTTCTTGATGAATGTTCTGGGTCGCAACATCGATGTCGGCTCGAAAACCAGAGGTCCCGGTGATAGCCCCTTGAGAGAAGCTCAACATGAGAACGTACCTCCCCTTCCCAGCAGCAAGTTGATCGGCAAAGATCTTCCAGCCTCGGTTTTGTCCAAGTCAGGTCCAGGTCGAGGCTCAATTTCTTCCCGCTCATTAAGGTTGACACCTCCCGTTTGGACTCATGCTTTGCCGCAAGTCCTTCCTGAGCAGCCACCTGGAGAATCCAGCCCATTGGTTTATGCGCACGCACAGACAGAGGCTCAGAGCCCTGACACTGAAGCCACCCCAGCACAAGTTGGTATCCTCAAAGTCAACATGTGGCTTGAAGTTGTGATCTCATTACTCCAACGGGAAACCGACTGGGATATTTACAGCTACGTTCTCACCCACCTTGGCCCTCAGCTTGGCAACAAGGAATTTTTTAAGAATTCAAGTCCTCAGATCAAGCTGCTGCGCAGTATTCTCTGCGACCAGGTTAAGAATGAGACTTTCCATGAGCCGCCTGGCCTTACTGGCCTGAAAAAGAGCGATGTCGCTGCTTGCATCTTTGATGCGCTAAGCATGCTCATCAGTTACCACGAGCATTTCGCGAAAAGTGAAGAAGATGATCTCGTCAGAGCTTTTATGGCTGGAATCATCGGGTCCTGGGGTGCCACATCTCGTGGCTGCATCCAGGCGCTTTCTCTTTGCTGTCACGAAATTCCAGCGTCTGTGACCAAGTCCTTGATGAGCATTCTCGACAGAATGTCTAAAGTGATCACTATGTCGAACTTGGCTGTTCATATACTGGAGTTCTTGGCCCTTCTTGCTCGCCTACCCGATGTCTACATCAACCTCCGTGAAGAAGAGATTCGTACTGTCTTTGGGATTTGTATTCGATTTTTGCAGACCTCGCGAGAACAGCGTTACAAAGCTGCTGAATCCCCCACTGCCCGTGGTGGTCCACAGCAAGTTCCATCAAGACTAAGTGCTGGCGCACGAGAAATCGCTACAGGCGTGGCAGAGGCAGCAGAGAATTCTTCGGCAGACGCCATGTCCAGCTATATCATGAGTCTCACCTATCATGTTATGATCTTCTGGTATATTTCTCTGAAGCTCCAGGACCGTTCGAAACATGTCAACTGGATCACCAGCCGACTTATTTTCCGTGACGAGCAAGGCAAGGAGGTTGTTGAAGAACAAAGCCAGGTGTTTATCGACTTGATGCAACGCGTCGCTTTCTCAGATTTGGGCGAGACTGTTCCATTTGAAACTTTCCCTCCCACTCCTGAGGACGGTCCAGTGTCCAAGAAGTCCTGGGTCTTAGGCTTGAGCATTGTCACCGTTGAGACTGCCGGCGTCTCTGGGCTGACCCAAATTTCGAAACGCCAGGCATCAGGCACAACATATCTCGTATACCAACAGCGAACGGCGCCTGTTCTACCTCACCAGGTTCCTCCGACGCCAGATGCACACTTACACTCGGACGATATGCGAACGGCAGTTCTTCCCAGTCATGTCATGCTTCAAATGACTACATCGGCATTCCCCACGCCAATGGTGATGCAGCCTATCCCCGTCCCCGAAGACGATATTACTCGGCGGGCGATTGCTAGCTTTGACCGAACCGACATTGTGGACGGACATCGGGTTGGAGTGGTTTATCTTGAGAATGGTCAAAGCAAGGAAGCCGAAATCCTTGCCAATACTGTTGGCTCTCCAGACTACGAACACTTCTTGTCCGGTCTAGGCACCAAAGTATCGCTTCGAAATGCCCAATTCAATACTCAGGGCCTTTATGCCGACACCGATGGCGAAGCTACTTATGCTTGGCGAGACAGGGTAACCGAAATCGTTTATCATGTTGCGACGATGATGCCCACTAATCTTGAGCACGATCCCGCTTGTATCAACAAAAAGCGCAACATTGGCAATAACTTCGTCACCATCGTTTTCAATCGATCCAACCTCCCTTTCAACTTTGAAACCATTCCATCCGAGTTCAACTCGATCAACATCGTGATCACGCCTTCTAGTCGTATCGCCTATGACGAGTCCGGTGCTGTTAAGGGAGAAACCGACCCGGATAAACTTTACTACAGTGTCCGGGTGATGAGCAAGCCCGGTTTCCCTGATGTCTCAGCCGCTGCCGCTCCCAAGGTCATCTCCGGCAAAAACCTGGCATCTTTTGTCCGCATCCTGGCTCTCAGTGCATCCGCTTTCTCGCTCGTGTGGAACAACAAAGGTGGCGAACATACCTCGTCTTGGCGAACTCGTCTCCGTGAAATCAAGAAGGTCCGCGAACGTGCTTTGAACGCACAGGCCCAGGGCTCCGCCGAAGCTGCTGAAGGGGCTTATCCGGGTCAACGCCGCAACACGAAGCCAAATATATTCTCAGAGGAACTTCCCACGCGAACTGCCCCAGTCCGATCAGATTTTGCCACAGAATGGGAAAGTGCTTCGGAGGGCAATATTCTCCAGAATTTGGATTTCTCTCGCTGGGGCCGCTAGTTGATTGACATCTTTCCCCCTTCTCCTGATTTTCGATCCCACCATACTACCCAACAAACATCGCCCCCCCCCCCCCCCCCTTCCCTTGTTCTTTCCCCTAGGAAAGACATTCAACATCACCCTCATTCTCTCTATTCTTCCTTCCTCTCCACCTTCAGATTCAAACATCTATGTTACGCAACCAACCATCCCAACTCAATCTCTCACAGGGAAAATAAAAAGAAGAAATGAAAAATAAAATAAACGACAGAACCCACTCCACGAACGACCCGACCCGATCCGACCCCACGTCACGAATTCATGTACATCTATTTGCTTCTTGTAATGCAACTCGGCAGCATTTGTGAATACCCCCATTGCCCCGAAAAGTTTTTGTTGGTTCCTGTGCTGTATGTTTTTCATGTTGCGCTTTTTTACCCCTTGAGGAAAAAACACCACTCTGAGCCCTTATGTTTGTCTTGTTCTTTCTTTTCGAAAATAAAAAAAAATATGTTTCCGTTTTTTTTTCTTTTCCTGATCTGGAGGCTAGGGCTCTTAGGAAGCAAATAGCAATCACAAAGCTACTATTCATGATGATACTTTCGTTTTATCCTCGTAGGAGGTAGCATTACATCAATTGATGCAAAAGATTCTGAAAACTCCCGCCAGTATTATTGCCCTGCAAGCACTTGAGCCCAACATTTGAATGGTTCCACCGAACTGATTATAATGTTCAGCTGGACCTACATAATAAACATCTTCTCAGAACACAAGGACCCTGAGGTCCCCCATGATCTTGGTGGGACGTGCACTAGTATAAACCAACACAAGTCTACAAATGAAAATCTACAAGGCAGCAAGAAAGATTCGGCGCAATGTTAGATTCCTATATATCAACAACCACAACCACAACCACAACCACAACCACAACCACAACCACAACCAACAGAAGCAAGTAACAAGCAAGTAACCAGAACAGTAACCAGACAATTCCCAAAACCAACCCATCCAAGCAAAGAAACCATCGAACACACAGCACAGCCACAAGAAAACGCGCCAACCGAACATTAAATTATAAGACTTATCGTGCACCCACATCAGAGTCAACAGGGAAAGGAATCAACAATATCTGCGCACTTCTATAATTCCCAACAGGCAGTCCACGAAGACAGAACATCGTCGTGCTCGCTTCCCGTCGCCTTGTCAACGAGAGAAACAATAGCGAAATAGGAGGAGCGGGCGGCCCAAGCCGGAAGAAGACTCGGACTGAACTATGTGCAAGGATCGTTTATGAAAGGTGTTTTTCGTTTTTTTTTGCTGTCGATTGAGCATGTTCTTGTGCGTTGTAGATGTGAATCAAGGTCGTTTCAAAATTGAAGCTTTGAGCATTTCTTTGCCGGCCACGCTGGAGTAGATCAAGGAAGCAGCTCTATCTCAGGCATGGACCATTGGGTGGGATGGAGGGCGGGGCGCTCATGTGGGCAATTTACATGATGACGCAGCCGCCGCCGGGGGAAGCTGGACGAGTGATGTTAGTACTCATGGATCTGCAGAGCGAGGTGTATTGGATGGCTTGGTTTGGCTGGTAGACTTACCCTTGAAAATGGCAGAGTTGCGGATCTGAGTAGAAGACATTGTGAAGAAGTTGGTTGCTGGAAGCGAAAAGATAGATTGGATTGTGGGATTGGAAGCGGATGGAGAAGAAAGTCTTAGGCGGAGAATCTTCGAGGTATTTATATTCAAGATCAAGATGCATATGGATTGGATATTTTGTGTCTGAGCTCTGGATTCGAGATTGCATAGCAAGGATGGTCACTGCGCATGCAGGTGGCGAACAACAATATGAGATTCGTCGAGGATAGCTTAGTATTGTTGTCGCCAGTGCAGGAGATTATTAGTATTGTTCTCCGTCACCAATTGATATTGTCTGAAACCGGGCATGAGTGGACTTAAATGGAGCCGATATCGCATACGCGTGTTATTTCTCAAGAGAACAATATCAAGGAACGCGAGGCTGTGGGGAGGTTTCTTTCTCTCGATGTCGTGGCGATGGGTGGCTCAAAGCGAAGACCTGATAAGCGAAGTTAGTTTGAGGAATAATACTAAGAGGTTCAAAAAAGGATGCGTTAGATGACCTTGAGGCCATGAGTGCTAGTAGGTAAGTGGAAAAGAAGTGGGGTTGATAATAAAGAAAGATTCAATGTTCACCGGGAGGTTGGGGCTTGATATTGTTCTCGAGAACAATACTACCAACATTTCAAGGTGCATAGTAGGCACGTGCGCTGGATGTTATTTCCAGTGTCATTGAGCAGCCGAATTCTCGGCTGTGAAAAAGAATTGAATATTCAGATATTCAGATATAGCTACAACATTATTCGAAACCAGATTTACGATAGAGTAGTCAAACCATGGCTACCTCCGCATGTAAGATTCATTCCGGTTCAAACGCTACAAACGCACGACGACAATATCGAATGTCATACATCCATGTGTTGTCAAATATCTACATACACGTGCAGTTTGTGGACATCTGGAATCTTGAACAAGAATTTAGTGATGATTTCCATGGAGATTCCTCCAACTGAACTGCAGAGCTCCATATACGTAATAAGTGTACAGCATGGATCGAAATCAGTTTCACCATTTGAACACAGAGATTCTTTCCCAAGGGCCCTCTTTCAAGCACGCTAAGCTATATATAGTTGGTTCTAGTTTCAAGGGGCTGAATTGTATTAAAAGATAGTTTCATGGGAACTAGATACGATAGATAACATGAAATACCATACCCATTAATACAACATGACGTCATTCTCCGGCTCGCTCATATGACTATACCCTTCTTGGCAACGATATTCGCTACATGTTCCATTCAAGCATTGGCATGCTTAAGCGTGTACAGACACGCTAAGGTTAGCCATCCATATTAGAGACAACAGAGATATTCTTTACACTCCAATTATATAAACAGATTACAATATATGGTTACTCTCGTATTTTAGATTATACCTTTTGTTCGGAACGGTAAAATTGAACCGGCAAGTAATGTAATGTTATGTATTATTGTTTTTGAACTAATCAGTCTGTCTAAAGGTCGAGAGATTTAAATGATCAAGAGCTTAATATTTAAAGTATAATAAAAACAGGTAGTAATATAAAACAATGAGGGATCTTTAACAGCTGTAAAGAATTATGTAAATATACTGCTTGGGAAACATAAATGGCCACAAGTAAACAAGGCGGGAGCAAACTACTTAATAAAAATATGAAGTATAATTCTTAATAAGTACAATGTATTACACATGTAAAGAGAAAACATTTGAAAAGTTGTGACTAGGACAAAAGAAAGAAACTTGAATCATTATCCCTTGGATCCGGTCGCCACTCAGCCGCACCAGCCTTTTCGAGAATTTTCACCACATCTTCAAATTGTTTGTCCCGCGCTACAGCTAGTGCAGTGCCATATTGCCCACGTTCGTTCAGGTTCGCACCGGCATTCATCAACAAAATCACTATCTCTGTGTTCCCATATTGAGCGGCTCCTAGTAATGCGCTACCACAATAGCCGCCAGCTGTGTTTACATCTGCGCCTCGATCTAGGAGCAACTGCACCAGCTGCACACTCGTGCGTTGAGAAGCTGCCTGAAGTGCGCAGCCATACCAGGAGAACCCTTTAGCATTAGGGTTTGCTCCTTGGTCTAGGAGTGCTATAGCTGTTTCCAAATTCTCCCGCTCAGAAGCCTCGTATAACTGACGGTCTAAAGATCGTTGATCCATGATTTTCTTCAAGAGTTGCCTGGAGGTTTTGTGATAGTAAATCCTGATTTTGACTTTTAAAAGATATTTTTCGTGTTAGTTCAGGAGAAGATCGAAGTCGATCGGGATATATAGCACTTACTGTACAGTTTTAGGATTATTTGAGTTTAGGGTGGGGATTTGAGAAAAATGGGAAAAGGGAAGCTTTTAAGATTTTACCTACTTTTGCTTCCCCGCAGCGGGGCATGGAAGGTGAACAGTAGTGCCGTACCTGTATTCCTAGTACTGTACTCCTTCTGTTTGCCTTATCTGCATGATCAAGGTTCTAGAAGCCCTTCAGACCATACCAGATTATTACTGATGCTATTTCTACGCTGTTTTTTACAGCCGTATGGGAATACTGCCAAGAGAGGGGTTCCAGGGTCGGTTAACTGTAATAGGTATAGCGCAGTTTCAAAGAGGCACTGAGAAAGAATCTCTGTGTGAAGGTGGTGAATCTGATTTCGATCCAAGCTGTACATTCCATTGATCATTTTGTAAATTTGAACCCAGGCATCTCGGCATAACAATACTGAAGCTTTCTCAAATCACAGTACACAATCGAACATTCCTTTCCGCGAATTCAAGTCAATAGAACTTTTGTATCTGTTCCCCTTGTGCTCAGTTGTTCTGGAATAATACTAGACTGATGAAGGATCTTTTGGAATGCAAAGATCTGTTCATGATACAGGCAGAGTTCCTTCATGATGTCACTACTGCCGGAATTATTGACCTGCCTCTTGCAACAGCGGTACTGTTGCTCTGCATAATGTAGGATATCATTTGGAGTCATCTCTTCACAGAAAGAGTTCCAGGATTTGGTGTAGAGAAACATTCTCATTTTCAAGAGATTCGACCTCATTTCGGTTGTTTCCCCCAAGATGAAAATCTTTTCTTGAGTGGAGATGGTACCGTCTGAAATCCTCTGTAACCTTTTCCACAGGTCATGACATTCGTATATAGCATCTCGAAGATGATCACGAATTGTAACCGCATATTGATCGTCAAATATAGCGGTTTTAATAAGTCTGTCCATCGACCCGTTCTCGTCCACCAATTCCGGTGGAGGAGGGTTGAGCTTACCACATGGGTCTCCAAACCATGAGAGCATAGGATCATTGGGTGCCAGGCTGCGCCCTTGGTTTTGTAGATTCTTCCATTCTGCTTCGTTAAGTCGATATATGTTGATATTTGGGTGTTGTTTTGGGCTTATATGCGCGACGGTCATAGAATTCAGAGTTTCTTGGCTGATGACAAGCGTGAAATCTCTGCAGTCAAATATGGCACGATAGGAACCTTCTCCATTTTCAAGGAGTCGTACTGTTCCGCCATCAGCAGATGCTAGAACAACAAGACCCCATTTGTCGATACAAGCTGCCGGCAAAGATGACACAGCTGCGATTGAAAGCAGAGCAGCTCGTGGATTTTGAATAAATTGTGTGCCACTCGATCTGGTTGTAACCGCTCTGTAGATCGGTAACCAAGAGCAACGCCCTTCTCCTCGTTGAGAATACCAAGTCTGACATGCTGGAAGGCACAGAGTTATGACCATCTCCCAGTCTTCCTGGTTTATAACAAAAACTTTTCGGAGTTTCAGATTTATTAACAAGGAACGGCCAACGAAGACCCCACGATCTTTTCCAAACCAAGCTATTGCTGTCTCTTTATTCTTCAGCCATCGATTCAACACCTTGATGGCTTCAGCTCCAATAGCTAGAGCTGATTTTGCAGCAAGCACCTCCATAGCTTTTTTTTGTATAATTATTCAACACCTTCAAATGTTTTGAGAGGTAATAGTGAATTGGTGAACATTTGAGATGAACGACGCTACATATACCGAGTCAACTGCCACATATCTTTATATACTACTAACTTCTATTCAATACGGGCATGGAGTTAATAGTTCCGTTGAAAATATCAGGAAGTGATATAATATTATCGTCATTTATAGTCACCAAACTGAGGTCTATCCTCGTAATTTGCGTGCAACCTAGGTAGAATGATCGTATATAGACGACAAGTTATTTGGTTCGGCCGCAAGAGGAAAAGATGGAGGTTACATGTATGGAGGAGTTATCTTAAGGCATCCCTTATATGATTAGGGAATTTGAATGGACCGGTCTGGATTCCTCAGGCAATAACCCGACAAAATCCATCTCGAAAATGTTTGGTTCCCAAAGATTGACTCCGATGCTTGTTTCTCCTCGGGGTTGAGTATTTGGACGCTAATCTAGGAACGGTTAGCTCAGGACCCTTTCCAAGCCAATAGACGTGAGCTATTATCATAAGTGGATCGGCTCCACCGACGTTATCCTAAAGCGGAAGTATTTTATGAGGTCATGAGCTTCGCTTCCACTGGCAGTTGAACCCTCGTTTAGAGTTCTTTATACACAAGTTTATCTGATATATTCCAAGGCCATTTGAAATCTGGATCTAGCTCTCTAAGCTACTGAAAAAGAATTTGGGATGGGCCTTCAAATGTTGTGGATGTGCACATATATGCATACACCTGTGATGTGTCCTGAGGTCGTTCACGAACACATCAATTAACTAATTGTACCATGATGTATCTTGATTCTCAATGACTATCAAGTGCTTGTGGTCCTGCCAATAAACTTCATACACACATCTGTCCCTCGTCCACCCAGCTTGAGGCTGTAAAGCCTCCCTTGATTCAATCATGCATGTGCAGAAAGTAAATAGCTCGTGTGCACATGTGGTATAAAAATCGCCCCTTGAGGTCCTCAAATTGATTTTTCGATACATACTCTCCAGGCGGATATCCAGTACCTGCATAGCCAATTGTTCAAGGGCCCCTTTCAAATGCTCCGTTGATGGATCTGGGGCAAGCGATATTAATATGGATAATATTAAAAGATATACATGTAGATTCAATCAATTGATGCACATGCGCACAACAATAATTACAGTAGCGGATTGGAAGTGCTCAAGTTGCCATACGCAAGTCATCATGCACACCCGTCTTCTCACCACGAACGCTCACTTTGGCTCCAAGGCAGCGACCAGGATGATAAACACCCAGCAGAAGAACCGCGAGCGCGATAGGCGCGAACTCAAGGCACGCAAAGAATACCTCGTTAGTCGACAGCTTTCCTCCCAGGCCTTCCGCCGTCTCCGCAAGACGAAAAATAGTCCTCAGATAGAGCATAACAGTAGCCACAGACAAAGCAAGGCAAAAGAGTCGATACCCGTGCTCCTTGATAGCCCTCCTCGCGCGGAACAAGAACGTCGCCAACAACACAACAAAAATGCTCAAAGCAAACACCTGGTAAGCGAGACCAGCGAGCAAAATATGGTTTGCCGTCGTCGCATCCTCTCTCTTGGACTCCATAACCCCAACCAGACACGCGCCCGCAATCTGAATAATCGTCGAGACCACATCGGAAGTAATGAAGAAGCTCAGAATAAACCTCGGTTTGAAGAACGAGTACTCATTGCCCAGTCGCGAGATCAGCGCCGAAAGAATCGTGTAGATTCCCGCAGCAAGGAATACCGGCGCAGTGACGATGAAGAAGTATTGCAGCACGAAGTAGATGAGATTGTAGGGGTCTTTTTCGGCGGATAGCGATCGCGCGATGTATCCGATGATTTCGAAAATTAGCCCTGTGGAAAATGTCATCCACCACCAGCTTCGTGTTGAGAAGTTTTGGATCGTGTGCGCAAGTAGGTGGACGAAGAACCATGCTGCGGCGAAGGCGGCCAGCCCGATCGAGGGCGTGTATCCGTAGATAATGATGCTGGTATCATTTTTGCCGTTTGGGTCGGGGAAATTGGGGTCGACGTAACCGAATGAACGGCCTGTTTGTTTGAAGAAAATTAGGATCGCGTTTCTCTCAATGTGCTGTTCGTTGTTCTGGAAGCTAGGTGGACATACCAATTATGGTTGGCGTAGTCATTTGCAACGCGACATGTACTGTCTTTTGCACTGTACGGCAAAATTTGTATTATGGAGTGATAACCCCTGGATGCGTCGAAATTTCCACGGTTGGGAATAGAGTGGTTTATGTACCGTCGGTAAATCTCACGCCAAGTTGATTTATGGATATTTATCGTAGGTGGCGTTGCTCGAAGCTCTAACCGAGGTGTGCAGGCTTGTGGAGACTGGAGAATGTCCGTGCGACGGCATTTTCATTCGTTGTTCTCGTCACCTGCTCCACTATATAGCCTTGGAAGTTCCATATCAAAAGCTCGATCGATCCGTGATCACCAATCATAGCTCATAAACGTTGTATTTCATCCGCAGCTCTTGTAGATGTGGGGATTGCAGCTCCACGTGGGCGACTTTATCGTAAGCACCAGATTCGTCATCATCACGGAAGCCGACTTAAGTAAATACTAGTAACCATTTGTGGGCCGTGTGTAGTAGCTGAGTGAGTAGTAAATACTTGGTAGCAGGTCTAGTTGACCCAATTTTTATTGATAGCAACTTTTTTGTGATATCAGAATTGTCGTGGTGGACGCGTGGAAGTTGACTGCACGCTAATGCTGCTGACTCATCCACCATACCGAAGTGTCTTACTATGCACATGTAAGTTGCCTTGTCAATATACTACCTTCTATTGTCGCTTCTTTTACGTGTGTTGAACACTTGCTCGCAAATGCTAAGAGCGCTCAGAAGTTTCACTACACATCGACATGGCAGACCCGGATCGTCTTTATCGATAAAATGTCGAGGTAAGAAAGGAAAGGGGTATGGCGCACCGCGCAAAGGCATGCTTTCAGTTTCTGATTCTTCAAATAGGCGCACCCATTACTCAAGAGGAACTTTTCGCTTACACCAATGGCCATTTCCTTGCCAACGAATAATACCAGCTGAGCAGACGATATTTCCGATTCGACGTGAATGAGCTTTGCAAAGCTGCTGCAGCCGTCGGCGGAAGGTCCAGTCAGGTTACAGCTATTGACAAAATGGAAGGAGGTTTCAGCAAGGCTTTCTTGATGAGAAAAGAAAATGGATCCGAAGTCATAGCAAAAATTCCGTGCCGCATTGCTGGCCCACCTACTTTGACAACAGCTGGTGAAGTCGGTGCTCTTGAATACAGTACGTTGTATTGGTATCATTCTACTTCCAGTGTCTGATACCTTGTGAAACAGTCAGAAAACACACGAGCATTCCTGTCCCTCGTGTTCATTCCTGGTCTACGAACAACTCGAATGCTGTCGGTGCGGAATATATCATCATGGAGAAAGCTGCCGGTGTTCCACTGTTTCAGGTTTGGGGTACTATGACCGAATTTGATCAGCTGCAGTTGATCAGAAACTTGACCCGGATCGAGGCTCAATTATCAGCTATTCGTTTTCCTGCTTATGGAGGACTGTATCTTCGAACAGATATAGAGCAGCCAAACAAGCCCCTTGACGATGAACTTGATCCATCTTTCTGTATTGGACCTTCCTGTGACCGAATGTACAATCCTGATCCGAGTCTGGACTTTGATAAGGGACCTTGTAAGTCCTCTGCGTACTCTGACATTTCATATACTAACTGCTCATAGGGTACTCGATCTCAACCCTCGGACTTTCTATTGCAAAGCGCGAATTGCTACGAATATCAAACAACCGCCCGCAAGATCACGCACCCTTTTATAAAGGAGATATCGAAGAACAAACCAACCTCTTACAAGCAACAGAAACCGTCATGAAACTATTAGACTCGAACTAAATATTAAAAGGGCAAGCTTCCCAGCCAACTCTATGGCACACCGATCTTCACATGGGAAACATCTTCGTCGACCCTGACGAGCGCTCAAGAAAAGTATCCCTCATCGATCTCCAGTCAATTTCAGTCCTCCCCGCATTCCTCCAAGCCCAATGGCCCATCTTCCTCAAACCCCCGCACAACTACGATTACGAGAAGGGGATACATGCAGTGAAACCGCACGACGATTTCGACACCCTAGACCCGGACGACAAGACCCTCGCAATGCGCGAATGGACCCAAGCAAAGTTAACAAAAGCCTACGAGATCTCAACCCTGCTCGAGAACAAACCAGCGCACAGAGCCACGAACATACCCCGCATCTTCCGCGAGATATTCCTTCGATGCGGCGAAGTCTCCCAAATAGGCGTCCTGCCTCTTCGTGCATGCTTGATAGAACTCTTCCAGAATTGGTCGGAGCTTGGATTTTCTAGCGAATGCCCTTTATCTTTTACGCAGGCGCAGATTGAGGCGCACGATCGGCAATTCGTAGCGTATCAGGCTTGGTATGGGGTTCGGGCTCTTGCGCGGGAATGCCTTGGCACTGATGCGGAAGGATGGGTCGCGCCGGGATTGGACGTGGGTGAGAAGAGGGCGCAGAATGAGGAGTTGTTGACTATGTATGTTGAGAGCGTTGCTGGGGAGAAATCTGCGGATCAGGCGAGGGCCATGTGGCCTTTTCCGGTTAAGGCATAGTCGACTTGTCAGAAAGGAAGACTGCGGGCTTGACACGTGCTGCTGTGGCTGTAGGCGAGCACAATTATGCATGTGGCGGAGTTGGTGGTCGAGGCTGATTTAGCTGCCTTGAGCGTGACGCGAGGTATAAGGGAATGAGCATTAAGAACGCTTGAGTGCGACGTAAATAGAGACCGAAGCCCAGTAGGTGCAGTGTCATCTATACTGTTCTATCTGATACGAGTGAGTAGCCGCTGTAATATTGAATGCAGGACTTATTCCCATTCTTCTCTTTCTCTGTCTCGATACAACAATTCACCTTGAGGTCCGCCGTTTACAGCATACATTTTCCGCTTCTTCCTCTACATAGAAACCGTTATGGATGAAAGCGCCTTAGGAGGATGAAAAAAACCTCTGCAAGAGATCACCTGCAGGCCGGGCGAACTTGAGATGGCAGGGCTACTTATACTAGCTGGAGTGGGAAATAGAGCAAGAGAGTTGTGGAACAAGTTGTGTTTTTGATCGCGCGGCAAAACCGACCGCATGCAGTAATTTAAAGTGCATATATTACATGTAAAATTTTAGACAAGACAAGGTGAGAAGGGAGAGAAGGGTAAAGGAGGGACGGGTGGGGAATGGCCTTGGGTGTACCTAAGGTGGACACGGTAGTTGGGGAGATGCAGTAGTAGGATAGGGTAGGGTAAGGTAGGGTGATATAGTAGTAAATACAAGGATGCCGATCCGAATCACCTCACCAGCCGAAGATCTCGCCGACGCTGACGGTGCTGAAGCGCACGCCCGGAACAGCAAAGACCAGCAGGACGACATCAATGACGCCTAGCACGACGGCGCCCATCATGAAACGGGGGCTGAAGATACGGTAGAGCATCAGGTGGCGGCGGAGATGGCCCGCCCACATTGTCGTGGCGAGGTTGATAGTAGCCAGGTAGAGGATGTGAGTTGAGACGGCCTGGATAACGTCCGAAAGAAGCTTTGTAGCCGGTTTGGGGGATTTTGTGGAAGGGTCTGAAGAAGAGACACGGTCGTGGGTTTGGAGGGGTCGTTTCCAGAGGACGGTTAGGGGGACGGCGAGGGCGGCGAGGATCTGGGCGCCGAAGGTGTTTAGGATGACTAGGAGGGGGGACCAGGGGTATTGGATTGTGGAGAGGGGGATGAAGGCTGTTTCCCATTGGATGCTGCTTAGGGTGGCTTGGTGGCCTGTTTTGAAGAAGTAGAAAGAGCCCAGGACGCCGAGGATGACGGGGCCGATGGAGGAGTTGGTGAGAGTTAGGGCGTTTGTGTCGAGGATCTCGAGGAGGGAGAGTATTTGCCAGAGGAGGAGGGCGATTGCGCCTTGGCCCATTGGCTTGGACATGAGGATGATGGCGAGGGCGAAGTTTAGGACCATGAAGAAGAAGCGTGTGCCGTACATGTTGCCGAAGCCGAGCACGGTCACGGTTGTTCGGGGTTTCTGCTCCTGGCCGACGATATAGGGGACTGGCGGTGCGTTCGGGTCTTCTTGGGGTTGGCTCACGCTGATGCTGACGCAGGGCTTGGCGTAGACGAATGCAGCTGTGCCTGCGGCGAAGGCTAGTGCAAGGACTACTTGGGCCAGGAAGACACGGAGTGACTTGAGGGTTTCCTTGCTCAGTGGGAGCCATTCGCCATCGTCGGCACCTTCAAGCACCCAGAATACCGAGGTGATCAGAAGACCGAGGCGGAAAGCGAAGCCAATCCACAGGGTAGCATTATCTTCGTATGACTTGGAGCCAATGTAGAAGGACCGCACGACGCTGGGAAGGAAGAGCATGACGGCGAAGGGAATGATTAGCTGCCAAGGAGCAGAGATGGAAGAAGTCGAAGAAGAGTAGTAGGTAGAGCGGCAGAACGGCATTTGCTCCTCGCGGCAAAGACGAGAGAAGGACGCAACACGGCCTAGAATAACGAACAAAAGCGAATGGTAAACACCCAGAACGCGGTCGGGGGTAGATTTCTGGCGCATGGACGAGATACCAGCGCACACACCAAAGGTTGTGAGGAAGAAGAGCAGGATTTCATCTTCCCAGATGGTATAAGAGTTCGAGGCAAATCCAAGAGACTGAGAGACGGTGAAGAAGAAAGCAAGCCATCCCCACATGCCAGTGGGAAGCGGTACGGTCAACTGCGCCGACTCCCTAAGCAGAGCGAGGAGCCCGCCCACCATGCTTCCGCTGGCAGCCACCAAAACAGCTAGGTCAATCGCAGTCATCTCAGTGAGACCAGTCACAGCCAAAGCCAAGCCGGCTACAGCACCCACGCCTGATCCAATGCCAACAAAGGACAGGAGACGGGAAGTGAGTTCAGTCCGGTCTGCCTTCATGCCACGGGCATACAGAACCAGCAAAGAAATGCCACCAAACAGAAGCACAACACCTTGAATCATGCTGAAGGCATCAAAGCGAGCCCAGAGTCCACGGCAGATATCCAGAGTGTGTCGCTGATACTTGCGGTAAAGGTCGTAACTAGCACGAATGGCAGCGGACTTGGAAGTGAAGCCCTTGGAGGAAGATTTCCACTCTGCCTCCGCCGCAGACCAGAGATCAAACGATTCCACATCATCACCTGCACCACGAGCAATGGCGTATTCGTGCTGGTATCTCTTGATCTGTGCCGCTGTCAACCTATTGACAGCCAACAAATTGGCCCAATCATTGCCACTCGATCCAGCAAAGGCCTCCTCGATGGGAGAACCCAAGTTGTTGAATGGGATCGGCATTCCAAGGAGCAGAGACAGGGTTGGAACAAGGTCGATTTGAGGAACTGGGCGCTCACGAGCGTGCTTTGGTGGGAGCAAGCTTTCCTTGCTCGTGCGTCCGAAGATTCCCCGCTTAGAGTACATCCACAAAGCCGCTTCGACTTCGTCGTCTGACTCGCCGCCGTGGTCGCCCTTGATATCCATTCCGTGGTCACCCATGACGACAAGAAGGGTATTGTCATCCAATGCGGCGATGATGTTGCGGATTACTTGGTCCATCTCCTGGAGCTTACTAGCCATGGCGGCATGGTTAGGTCCATAGCGGTGGCCTGCGTGATCAACACCGAGGTAGTGTCCAAAGATCACATCCCACTTGCTCTGGTTCTCGGAACGGAGAAGCGGGAAGAGGTGCTCATTGACGCCGTTGTCAACGGTGTGCAAGTCCCACACGTTGAACGAGTCATACGGGTGAGTGAGGTTCTCATCAAAGTACCCTGGGAACAATGACTGCCAAGTATCGTCGCCTAGCTGGACAAGTGTCTTTCCAGCGCCGTGCAACTGGGCAACCAAGTTGTCCTCATCAATGGCTGTTCCGGCGAAGTTGGAGCCCGCATCGATGAAAGTAGGTAGAGTGCCGGTGGTGAGACCCTTCAGTCGTTGCAAGGTTGTTGTCGGTGGGTCCGCAATGAAGGGCAACAAGAACGCATTGGCGGGGTTCTTGACAGCCGTCTCATACAGGACGGGAATGTTATCGTGGAAAACGTGGGCCTCAGCACTCTCGTCATCGGAAACAAAGGGCACGGTGAAGTCGTATCGGAGAGCGTCAATAATGATGACAACAGCCTTGTCGAAGGATTTGCCATGCCAGCACCCGTCTCCATTTTTGTTTCCAGCGACTTGGTTGTTTGAGCTTTCAAATGGAAGAACTTCACATGACGATTTGTTGTCCAGTACCATTCGCGTAAGAAGGAAGCCCTTGGTGAAGAAGTAGATACCGGCGAGATGCAAGAACCTAAAGCACGCAAGCAAACCAACATCAGCGATTATTCACCTCGAAGCATAAAGAATTGCACAGATCTCCACTGCATTCCACAATTACTCACAGTATCCATGCTAATACTCCCAGCACACCAAGATGCTTGGTCTTAAACTCCGACTCAAGCTCCAAGGCCTTGAAATCCGGCCCACCACCTTGTTTTCCCTTGGCAGAGGACTTGGATCCGGCAGGGGGTGCATTACCCCCTGAAGGACCCGCTGGTTTTGGCGCCATTTTCAACAGCAATGCGGACTAGCGACAGTCCACAAAATGGCGATGAGGCGTCTCCGGGGACGATTGGGTTGCGGCGCGATATGCAGGAGGCCGGCGGGCGCTCGGGACGGGGATAAAGGTAGGCACGGGCGCAGGTCGACTCGATTGTATAGGGAAGCCGAGAACAAGCACGGGTTTCAGACACTTGACCCGCCTTCAGAACGGCCGAGCTCAGTTAAAAGGGGGGAGCGCGAGGGAATGAGCGCGATGGATTGGAATAAGAAGGCGGTTTGAGGTTGCCCCTGTCTGTGCTCTGTTGGCGAGCGGCTTCCCGGGATGAAGGCTCTAGTAGCTGCACATTTCTCGTACAGGCAGAAGTTCTCAAACAGGATTGCTGAAAGGAACGTCTTGGAGGGGTTAGAGGCTAAGGGATATGCGAATTTCTGATGCCGCGGAAGCGGCGGGTTGGGGAGAGCTTCGGATCGGCATTTCTGATTGGCCGCTGGGGCTTTAAGTGGATTACACACAAAACAACGAATATGTCTACTTCGTAACTGGTTGAAATATAAACTCATTTGTTCAAGTATGGATTGTAACGACTTGCCTAGATGTAGGGAAAGTTAGGAGGACTAAATACATACATTATCCAGCTGCCGGAAGTACCAATAAGGTACAAGAAAGTAAGGAAGACTGGCGGGTCTGAAAAAATAAGGGGAAAAGAAAATAGACGCCGCCTTTGAAAAAGGTGTAGATGAAGAGAAAAGAAGAAAGAAAAAATCCAAAAAAAAAAGTATCAAAAAGATTGCCATACGTCTTTCAAAACACCCTAGGAACGTGACAGGGTTGAAGATAACATAGATCGCAGGAATGAAACGCCAGGAAAAGAAAGAAAAATCATTGAAAACTCTCCAAAGAAATAAGCGGCAGGCCCTCACTATACACAATCCAGCTCTCAAAAAAGCTCTCCAAAGGGAAAAGAACAGTATGATAATCTTGTAGGATCAAAGTTCAGCCTCGGGGAGTAGTTGCTTGTATTGCTTGGTAGTAAAACAAGCAACGAAACGGGTCAAAGTATGTGCAAAGCCACTGATGATTGGGGGGGCATGGTCGAGAAGTAATAGGTATATGGAAATAGAATAGGGATGAAAAAAAGAGGTTCGCCAAGATGCTCGTCATGCTTTTGGGTCGTTGAAGAGAAAAGGGTGCGTGATGACGGGCGGGAATTGTCATTTGTCAACAACGAAAGGATGAGACAATTGGTCGCAGGTGAGGTTGTGAGATTCGCCCGGGTGATTTCATCACTTTAAGAGTAGTGGTCTGTCTTCTCCTTCAGTCCACCCATGCGCTCGAGATCGAGGGACTGGAAGCGACCGGTATCATTGGATTGGTACGGGGGCAGATCCTCATGACACGGTTCGAGGCCGATGCTGCCGGCATCACTGATGCGTACGACAACCATGCGACCAGACTGGCGCTTGCCAGACGCGTCTTCCTCTTCGGGGAAAGTAATACGAATCTCAGGGACGGGACTGGGTGGGGGGCTGTCGGAGTTCTCCATCAAGCTTCGCTTTTCGTCATACACGAGTACCGAGTCGGTCTTGTTGGTGGTAATAGTTAAGCGGCGGGAGCGAGGGGGAGCTTGACCATTGTGAACGGGGAGGAGGGAGTCTTGCTGGGCCTGGCGTTTGCGGCGGATGATGAGGAGACCACCGACGAGGGCGAGGGCAATCAAGATCAACACGAGGAGGGCGATCAGCAGATCGACCATGGGCGTGGAGAGGCCATCGTTATTGCTGTTGTTATCCCGGGAAACGATTCTGGGGATAATATTGATCATTTTGTTGGTAGGTTTTTCGGATTGTCGGAGGTCGATATTGTCGATATTGTCGATTGCTGATATGAGGCTGGTTGATGGCTCGAGAGAGGTGAATATCGAGGCGTTGTTGTGGCTGTCGACAAAGTGATCGACGTAGTTGGATTCCAAAGAGTGTGGCGGATATGATCCGTGGGAGAAAGAGATCGTAGGAATGAGCACTCGAATACGCTAGTCGCGGACAAGTCGGAAGGTCGAGGCTGTTCGGGGAAAAAAAAAGAATGAGGGGGTCGTAGGAAAAAGGAGTACCTTGGACCGTGAAAGAATGGATGGCAGCACAGCTGAAAGAGTGAAGCTGACACTTGCTCAGAGGAGAGAATGGAGGGGAAGAGAGGGATGGTTGGAGAATGGAGGAGGAAAGGGGAAAAAAGGAAAAGGGAGGTTAGGTTGCACTAGTGCGCTCAAGCCTAGACCGTAACTTGCCAACTCCTCTTTATTTTTGGACTTTGGGGGCTTTTGGGACTTTGTCCGTTGGCCCTAGACTCATCATGGTCTAGTCGATTGAATGGGGCTTGAGTTTGTCGTGTATTGACTTGGATCATCCAATGACAGACGAACCGTTCCTGGGCGAGCGGCAGAGGTGCAGCTGACAACGCAATCTAACTGGTCAATGAATGTGATTGGATCCACCTAACTATGCCTTTCTGTTTGGTTTTTTCCTTTTTCTTCGCATTGTGGTTCCCCCCTGCACTATCGAATCACACGAGGCAATCTCGATTTGACGATGATGAGATGCGCATGACCTTCATATATTAGAGTATATAGTTTTTTATTTCATATAATAGGCGCCTCAGCACTCAATATGGAAAAATATCTATTAGTGGAGCCTGTATGTAAGCTGATGATGCAATTGCGTTTCCTACCAAAAAGGGAAATCCAAAAACAAGATTTTAGTCACACACGAGCAATGAACTTTGGCGTTCTAGAAGTCAGGCCTTTTTTTTGCCCTTGGTGGGTCAAAATGAAAAGTGAATCAAAATAAACATCCTTCATGCCAACTCCAGTAAACATAAACAACACATTTGAAACAATCATGAATGGCGGAGATTACTTGTCTCAGGTCTATGCAAGTTACCCGCTTGTTCTTTGAAATGAATACATGTCAAACGCGGCAAACTCAAGCTAATTTCAAGGTTTCCGGGGTAGATTCAGTCATGCATTTGTTTCCAACTGGAGCTTCTGCATGATTGTTGCCGTGTATGTAGAACTGCCCTAGGGCCGACCCTTATTCATCAGCCACCAAAACAATAGGTTTTTCTAGATTTCGTCAAGAGGGGAGATTTTAATATATCCATGAATGTTCCCCATTTTTTTCTATCATGTATATATACACACTACCAAATATATTCAACATTGAAAGGTTCTAAGCCAAATTGACGTTTGTATCATGTTCATTATATATTCCCCGTCCAGTGACCGCGGCTTCCAACGTTCAGTTTTGGTATCTGGGCACCATCTCTAACAAACATTTGAATGTTTGAACGTTCATGGTTGGCAGCATCCATATCTTATCAATGTATAAAATACAATCATGGATCCAGTCACCTTAATTTTCTTCGAGCATATATTGTGACATGTCTCTGCATGTGCTCAGTCCAGATGTCGGCATGCGTTCTCGGTAGCTCCCAAGGTCCCATAATCGTACCTGAGAGCCTCGGGTACCCGCAGGGAGCAGTCCTCATTCAATGTTCAATGTTGGTGCTGATTCGGGCTCATTGCAAATACCTACATGTATCTGAAGACATACATGCCTACTATATGTAGACGGGTACTATCAGTTGACCAAAGTACAAAGTAAATCCAGGTGTCCGAAGGGATACACACTACCTGACATGTGGATATATATCACTGTAAATTTAGATACTCCCACCCACTCCTTAATTCAAGCTTAATCAAGATCTGGGATCTTTACGTATACAAAATGTATATCTCAACTTGGAAACATTGAATTCAAAAGTGTTCGAACATCCATTGATGGGCCTCATCGGGTTTTATAGTAGACAATATATAGGTACGGCCTCAGGTGCTTGGAACATTTGAACAGCCCCGGAGTCAACTCACGCGACAACTTTGAAAAATGTGTGAATCATCCCGAATTGATCAATTACAGGACTTGAAGGGTCAAATGTTGATAATTGTAAGTAAGTTTAACCAGCACTATGCTTGGAACATTAATCGACATCTGGACTTGAGATTCCATAATACTAGTGGATCGGAACGAACTGAGAACTATGCATGTGCCCATGTGTACAGGAATTGGAATGGACAACGTCCACGGGTGGCCTTGGAAATGGTTACTCGATCACACCCAAGAAACACAATTGAGACATCCAGATGTTGTCCCTGCAACATCGATGATGCATGTGTAGAGATAATAAGATGCCCAGGTCTACATAAATGCCATATAATGTTTAAAGACTTGTGTAGATTTGATAACACCATGTATTAAAAACAATTGTCGACTTCGGCTGTGTTGTTTATTTTCAGCTTGTATTATGATCTGAAACGCAACAAAGAATTTTAATATTTGCAAGTTAAACAAAACCTATGGTATACCCTATCTCCGACCTCCGACAAACCCGTTGAACTCCGGGACAAGCCAGCTTTTATAAACCATCCCCATCACAAGAACATTTGAATATGACAAATCACCAAAAATCAATAAACCAACGTCAGAACAACACTCAAACCCCATACCAAAAAAGAATCCTTACTAGTAATCATTACTAAAAGCCAGGAACACTGCCAAAATCACCTGCAGCCCATGAACCAAGCCCACCCCATAATCAAAAAGCATATTATCCGCCCAACGCCTCCCGTCAGGCCTCTACCCAGGCCCTACCAAGGCCGAACACCCCAACATTGAATATATTATACATACCCAGCTCCTCCCTACCGCGATAGCCCCCCAAAACCCTGGAAACACACGGTCGCCTCGGAGAAGAAGAGAGGGGGATCTCCACACGGAACCCGCACGTCCCCGAGCTGCAAGGAAAAAAGGAAAAAAAGGGAAAAGTTCCTCCCCTCGACTCAACCAAATCAATACCAATACCCAGTCCCAGATCAGATCCGGGGAAGATCGATGGATTCCTGCGAGTGATAGTCTGACGGCTTGTGTGTGACCCGGTTCACCCCCTGTGCTAGGACTCCGGTGTGCGTTTCCTTGCTCGACGAAGACTGTATTACTTGACTTCGGTCATGTCTCGGGCTTGTTGGAAACCCGCCGAGCTGGAGGGCTCCAGGGAGGTTGGAGGGTTTGGAACGGTGTTTTATTTACTTTTGGCGGTGGTGTGTACGATGGGTTTGGGGTCGGACGCTGGGATTTGCTAAATACAAATACTTTGTCTGGTCTACGGGGGGTTGATTGGGATACTAGTAATGAATCATGAAATCAGACATGTTTAGAGGACGGTTGGGTTGTTTAGATAGTCAATAGTAAATAATGGACGTAGGTTTAGAGCTAGAGGGGGGTTGTTACTATCCAGGGCATCTTGATCCATTTCTTGATCAAATGTGATGCAGAAGCAAGGGGCTGAGTCTACATTCACGGGCCCCAGCCGTAATTGATGACCGAGCACACTATTGTGAGACTCGCATGGACACCATTGTTCAGTGAACTGAAGTCGGGGAATTTTTTTTTTTTTAATTCTTTGGTCATTCCTCCTTGCGATGATGCTGCTGGGTGTACCGTTAGCTTGGTGTCGGAGTTTGGGGGGCAAAATAGACTATTTGAATTAAAGAATATTGTAGCGAAAAAAAATCATCAAGGGACTTGAATGTTGCGGATCCGAGTCGATCCATGTCCAAGGCCCCCATTGGGGTTTTGACTGGGCGGAGATCAGAAAGGAGCCAGCGAGACTCCGGGCCTGGAATGGGAGGTAAATCCACAGTTAGACTGGTGGCGGTCCTTGGATCTTGGGATTTTGGGTTATCTAACATTCAAGAATGTTCTTTTATGTCGGGAAGTTGAATCATCAATTAAATGTTAGTAGTGATGATGGACCGAATCCGATGATATTCTGGATAATTTCTTTGGGGAGTAGTACATACTAGGATGGGGGTCGTGTGTGTGTCTTGATCAGATCCATCATCCAGGCTAGGGTCCTGGACTAAGTGGAGCCGATCGGAGTATGTTTTACGGGGAATTGATTTATCATTTGATGATACTATTCTTATCTGTCAGTATGGGGGTCATGGCCTCCATGCAGGGTTTCGCGTTGAGCTTTCGTTTCTGTATTCAATGTTTGTACAAGCACTTGAGGTATAAAGAACCGGAATTGCCGGTTACGCAAAGGGTGGTGAACGTGGTTAGTACGTGGCCTATTGACCCTGAACCCGAAAGTCCATGACCATGGATTTCGAACAGTATATCAGGGACTATCAAGGGAACTGGATAGGAACTATTGCCCGAAACGAAGGTGACATCAGGCTTTCACGTAGAGTTGGTTATATATGGGGAATCAGATGTAGAATCAAGCTTGAGTTTGCTGTCCGTCTGGCGATTGCGAAATCTAGGCCATGGATATGGCGGTCAGGGGGGGGGATTAGGCAGAGCACCAACTTATTTGGGCGGTTTTTTTTTTCTGTTTCTTTTTTTTTTCAATGTTTCTTGAAAGAGTTTCAGTGAGGAAAGGTAGAGAAGGGACAATGAGGAAGCCAAATGTTGATAGGATATCGCTCTCATCGTGATCAGTGGACTTATAAGAATTTAAGGTATGTGGAGAGTTCATAGAAGGCCCGTGAAGTGCGGAAAGATCCAGTGATCGGCTGTAAAATTACGCTGTGGTAATACCTGTATTTAGTGGCGTTCAAGCAACAAGAGGGGAGCAAGTGGTACTTGGTCAATATGCTAATTAAATATGGCAAGACTAAGTACTAAAGCGCAGTGAGTTGTATCTAAACATTTTGGCTGGACCACCTAGTACCGGTAATTTCAGGAGATCTGCCACGAATTTCAATCGTCCAGATAGCGATACATAACAGTGTTGATTTCTACATGTATCAACTGCAAGTTTTCCACCCAAGTTCAAAACGTTTCTCAACTGCGCGCTCCCTCTTCTTTTCCCCGACAACTTCGCGGGCTCGAGTCGCTCTACAGTAGCGTCGCGAACGAATTATAACACCATTATACCTAGTATTTATTCTTCGAGTTCCTTTCCGATTTCTCTTCCTTCTTCAACCCTCTCTCTATCTCCGAACCCACCCCATCCAAACCCACACCGAGCTCTCACCGCAAGTCAAACTTGAAAATTTTCGAAAACCTGGGCGCTGTACGCAAGCGCTGTGTACGACAGTTGGCAGCTACTTCAGGATATTCATTCCACCAACTGACCCACCAGGTCCCGTCTTTTTTGCGCTCGGTCGCGCATTCCACAGCTTTTCAAAACCAATTTTTTTCCCTTCTCCAAGCCGGATCGCATCGTCCGGCCCCCTCGAGCGCGAAATCGCAAACCTGCCTCCCACCCAATCTATCCATCCCTCCCGCGAATCCGCCTATTTCTCCTCCCCCCCCTTGCGCAATCCCCAGCCCAGGGTTCAAACCCAGGTCTGCCATTCTTGGGGATCTGCCTCTCTCCACAAAGGCACATGAGGACGATCGGCAAGCTGGGAGATTCCTTGCACGGAGCAGAGTAACCTCGCGCGTACCGACTTCAATTCTCTGATCCCGCCTACCAATCTGCTGCAGTTGCAAACGAAGGGTGAAAAGGAATACCGTTGACTTCTTTCTTGATTCTTTGTCGCCTTGCATCTTCTCTTGAACTTGTTCGGCCGTTCCCGCATTTCTGACTTGACGTTGGAAATCCGTCGCCCTTCATATCTCTCGCCCTTCTCTCCTTGGGATACGGTTCAATCCACATACACCACCTTTCTCCCACCTGCCTCAAATTACAAATCTGTGACTTGTACATTGCCAAGGGTTTGTGGTTTCTCAGCTCCTTCAAGGGACACCACAACCTACCTGTCGTTTTTTTTTTCAAGGTCACAACGCATTCGATCATCTTGAGTGAGTTCATCCTTCGCAACCCTACACCTTGGCTGGGGAGCTTCATCCTGGCGTTCGGTCAAGACCCCTGCCCCGCGACTTGGTCTTCATTGCTAACAAGGGTGTTCAACCATCAACAGACTTAAAGTTCATCGTGTGCGCCGTTCCCACCGACGCTTGCGATTTCAGAGCTCAACAAGCTCGCACTTAGCATTTTCCACAATCTGCATCACAAGTCCGACTCAATTCAATACACTAGCGTCGGTCACGCTTCAGATCCCGGATAAACGCAAAGGATCACATATCCCCAATCCTCGCAGAGGTTTCCCAAAAGACTATCCGTCTTTCCCCATTCCTGGAATGGCTGCAATGGCGGCGAACCCATCCAACGTACACAACGTAAGCAGCAGTGGCGATATCGAGGGCTCTGGTCAGACATTGACAGCTCCGCAGGCACGTGCGAATCGAGGTTCCAGCATGACTTCCGGAATGAACAATGACCGCTCTCGCGGATCCAGCAACTCCCACGGTAACAATGGCGTGGGATCAGGATTTGGAGCTGGAAGAGCCAGCTGGAGTGGAAATATCTGGGGTGATTCAAACCTAGGTGGTGGTTTCGCTGATGGTATGTCCGATGCGCTGGACCGTGAACTAGGGCTGATCAAAAATGCAGAACAACAAATCGGCGATCAAGTCTATGAAGCCAAGTCCGGCTCCGGTTCTTTGCTATCGACATCCGAGTCGGACAACTGGTCGGGTCGCCCGAACCTGCCATGGAGCACCGTCAACACCCAGATGATGCTCAACCAAAACCGCGGCACTTCCACATCTTCCACCTCCCCAATCCAGACGCGCGCCAATGATAGAAGTGCGCCCCTTATGAATGACGCCGCGGATCAATCTTACTTTGCTCTGCCTAGGAATGCCATTCCAAACACCTCCCACACTACTAACCTGGCCCACCCCGCAAACAGCCGATCCTACCTGGATTCTGGATCTGAAGGCGTTTCTCCCTCCCGTGACGGCATCACTTTCGGTGGATTCCCCGCCCTTCGAAACGGTGATGGGCGCCGACAGATGAGCTCTGGCGGTCTGAGTGGCAGTCCGGTCGGAGCTTCATTCCCTGTAAAGGCTGGATACACCGGCGGAATGGAGGGACAGCGGTCTGACGACATGTCAACTTCTATCGGCATGTCTCTGTCAGGTCTTCCCGACGGTGTGTCCCCGCCTCAGAACCGCAGTGGCAACCAGTCGCACATCTCCCACAACTCCGCCTCCTACGCTCAACGACCTGCACACTCCGCCAATCCCTCATTCTACTCCGACAACCAGGCTATGGATAGTCGATATGCCGGTAACTCGGTTGATCTGTCCCAGCAGATCGGTCAAATGCAGCTCCGTGATGATGGATATGGTGCTCAGGGAAACGCCCAGCGACCTCAATTCGTGCCTCATTCCTCATTTGACGGCTCAATGCCTCGGGCCCGGTACCATGAGGAGGGTTACCAGACGGTGTCCCGCCTTAACGCTGAAGCCGCGGAGTTGCGCCTCCAGTTCCAGTCTCGCCGCGATATTCCAACAAATTCCACTTCTGATTACGCGAGAATCGATAGCCCCATCTACGGTATTGATACTGGCAGCCAGTACAGAAACCCTGGTCAGCGTATGCCTGATAGCCAGGTTGCTGCTCTCCAGCATCGCCTCCGGATGGATGATGATCTTGCTCAGTCTCCTGGTCCTCGCATGCATATGCAAAATTACGACTATGCCAACTATCACAACGCTGTTCGAATGAATGCCCTTCAGGGAATGTACCCCGGTCACCAGCTTGGTGGCATCGGTGGTGCGGCATCAGTTGCGGGTCGCAATCAACGTGAACAAGATCCCACCATGGTCAATCGCAGCGCTCTGCTGGAAGAATTCCGAGCCAATAGCAAGGGCAATAAACGCTACGAGCTTAAGGACATCTACAACCACATTGTTGAGTTCAGTGGAGACCAGCATGGATCGCGCTTCATCCAGCAGAAGCTGGAGACTGCCAACAGCGACGAGAAAGAGCAGGTTTTCCGTGAGATCCAGCCCAACTGCTTGCAACTGATGACTGATGTGTTCGGCAATTACGTTGTGCAAAAGCTATTCGAGCATGGTAATCAAACCCAAAAGAAGGTCCTCGCCAACTTGATGCGAGGCCATGTTCTAGCTCTCTCTACTCAGATGTACGGATGCCGTGTTGTGCAGAAAGCCCTCGAGCACATTCTCACCGACCAGCAAGCCGCTATGGTCAAGGAGCTTGAGGCGAGTGTCCTCAAGTGTGTCCGCGACCAAAATGGCAACCACGTTATCCAGAAGGCCATTGAACGCGTCCCATCTCAGTACATTCAGTTCATTATCAATGCCTTCCGCGGACAGGTGAACCGACTTGCCGCACACCCATACGGATGTCGTGTTATCCAGCGGATGCTCGAGCACTGTCAAGAGGTAGACCGTCAGTCTATCCTCGCTGAGCTTCACAACTGTACCTCCACCCTTATCCCTGACCAGTTCGGCAACTACGTCATTCAGCATGTGATTGAGAATGGAGATGAAGTCGATCGAAACAGCATGGTTAGTGTCGTTGAGTCGTCGCTCTTGGCTTACTCCAAGCACAAGTTTGCTAGCAATGTCGTCGAGAAGAGCATTGAGTTTGGCGAGCCAGTCCAGTCTCGCCGCATCGTCAAGACTCTCATCTCTGCCAATGAGCGCGGAGAGAGCCCTCTTCTTGGCTTGATGCGAGACCAATATGGCAACTACGTCATCCGTAAGTAACTCCCTTGTTCATCTTGTTCTAACTTTCCTCATTCTTTATTTCCATACTAACTTTTTCACAGAGAAGGTTCTCGGACAGCTGAAGGGCGCTGAGCGCGAGGCTCTTATCGTGGAGATCAAGCCGCTTCTCAGCCAACTCAAAAAGTTCAGCTATGGCAAACAAATTGTTGCCATTGAAAAGCTCATCTATGACGCCCCACACACATCTACAACTCCCCCTCACTCTGTCAAGTCTTCCCCTCAGCCGACGTCGCGCTCGATTTCCACACAGGAACCACCCCACGGATTTGCTGCCACCGCTCCGCCAACCCCTCCACCCATTGACAACACCACCTCTCAAACCTCTGTCGATGCTGATCTCGAGTCCAAGGGTCTTGCTCAGACCACCGTATCGTCCCTTTCGTCAAGCCCCGCGACTAGTAACACTGGTGTTCCCGTCCCGGTTGATGTGGACACTGTCCACTAATTCATTGCATAATTTATTTTGCTGATGGCCAACATATTTCTTTTTAACGCTGAACTGTGAACCTAGTGATTTCTGCTTTATCTAATATCGGCGCATACATACAGGGGGACCGGCGGGATATATGAGTACCAAACGTCTATGTGTTTTCCCCTTTTTACCATGGCTGCAGGCGCAAGGATAGGGCTCCATTTTGTTTATCTTATGTCCATTTATTTCCCCTCATGTTGATTCTCGGGACCCTCCTTCCATCTCAATACCTTTTCTTTTCTTGTGTGATCTTTCGATCTGATCTCTCATGTTGTTTATTCTTCCCCCCCTCTTTGGGTGCCTTTTTTTGGGTTCCTTTCTTTAGGTTCCTTTTTTTGGGGGTACCTTTCTTCGGGTCTTATTTCATTTTCTTTTCTATTTTTTCTTCTTTCCTTTTCTTTTCTTAGCGGTGTATTTCTTTCCTCTACTCGTATCTCATTTGCTACAGTGCTGTGATTCCGAGTAGCTCTCGTGGTGGTCCAGAGGATTGAGTCTCCGGGAAATTTTCTTCTCACGGCGTCAGTGTGTTTAACGGGGGCATCGGATATTCGCTCTTCAACGATCTTCAGCATATGACATGGGAAAATCGAAATCGGTTCTGAAATGGAAATACGGGAGAGAGACAACCTCTTTGCATGGCACGGTCCTTTTGTTGTTGTTTTTTCAGATTGTCTTGTTATCTTTTTTCTTCTTATGTTTATGTCTCTTCTTCAAGGTCTATTATTTTTTATGTCTTCCCTCTGAAGGGTCATCTCATCTTTATCAGAGATGCACAACATATCGGTTGTGGGATTTGCTATCTATCTATGTTCGTGAGGTGTACAGTGGGCACTTTCATGTGAAGTGTTGCTTGTACCTGCACTGATATGTCGATATACCTTGCTTGTGGCTGATGTACCCAATATAAATAATCTGACAGCCCGAAGTTACCCAATAGGCGAGTAATTGTAGACAGCAAAGCAAAGCAAAGTAAATAAACCGTAGCTTGCTCCCTACTGCCCATCCATCGACATCACAAAGGAGGCGGTAAGCGCACGCAGTAAACTACAGTTAGTCCACACCAACCCCGATAAGACCACGTGACAGATAAGCACTATCAAACGCGCTCCACCGCAATATTCTCAAGCTCACCTACCTCAGTACCTTCAAGTTGGTTCGCAAGCCCAGCAGCCAAACCACCCTAAACCCCAAACTAGCACAAACCAAGCGCCCACACCTTATAAACCGGGCAAACCAACCCCCACACACCAAACCCAAACCCAAACCTAAACTCCAATCTCAACAAAACCACACCCCACACCAAAATGTCCTCCAACGTCGGCCTGACCACGCCCCGCGGAAGCGGCACATCAGGCTACGTGCAGCGCAACAACGCCTTCATAAAGCCGCGCAGCACAGGCACCGGCGCCCCCTACCCACCCCTCTCCGGCGCAAACGGCACAGACTACGGATTCAAGCAGCGTGTCCCGGACAAGCAGATTCTCGAGCACGACCGGCGCCGCGCAATCGAGGTCAAGGTGATGGAGGAGCGGGAGCGGCTGGAGGAGGAGAACGAGGTTATTGAGGAGGAGGAAGCGAAGCTGGCCAAAAACAAAAACAAAAACAAAAACAAAGAGGCCAATGCCGAGGGCGAGGAGAATGCGGAGAATGAGGACGGCCGGAAAGTCCTTTCGGAGGAGGAGATCGATGCGCGATGCGAGGTGCTGAGGCAGAGGTTGGTGCGGGAGATGGAGGATTCGAGTGCGGGGGGTCATCGGCCGGGCCCGATTCGGGGCGGGAGGAAGTGGGATGGGGATGGGAATGGAAAGGACCAGCGCCGGTTTAAGGCTTATCAGGTTCATGAGCTTGCTGAGGCGAAGATTGAGGAGAGTGAGCGGTTGCGGAGGGCGTTGGGTATTCGGGAGGATAGGGAGACGGGCGCTATTAGTAGTACCCGGGACAGGAGGCCGCGGGATAGTAGGGATTCGAGGGATTAAGTCGGGTGGATGGGATGTGATTTGGTGGGAGATGGTACTAGTAGTTTGTTGGGTTTTGGGTTCTTTCTTGTTTTGTTAATGAGTTCAATGGGTGTTGGCGTTTGTTTTTTGGTATGTACTAATGTATGGTATGTACTTCCTTACTGTTGATAGATAGGCTGGGATTCCTGTCTTATAAATAGTACTGCTTTACTGTACTAATGGTCAAGTTGGAATGGAACGATTTGAATAAAATTTCCATGCTGGATACTGAAGATAAAGATACAAGATGCAACCAATGCGCGTTGGATATCATAATCTCGTCTATACAAAACGACAACAAAAAACAACTATTTTGACAAAATGGTCTAGATGGCTGACACAAATGCTCAGCTCAAGCCACGAACTTCTCAATAACCCAACCCTCCTTAGCATCCTTCCTCTGCACAACCTTCTTCGCAGGCAAAGGCCACCCAGTACCACCGGCATCACCAACCATAGACGGAATAACCCAGCAAGCTCTGCGCTGCGGAATACCCTCCAGCGTCTCAGTCTTACCAATCGGCTTCCCATACTCAACAAGCGGCGTATCATGCGCCAGCGCAGAAAGCTGCAAGCCACTCGGCGCAACAAGCGGGAACATCCTAATCTTCGGCACCTGGTCCGCCACGACAGTGGCAGCCTGCGACTGCTGCAGATGCGAGTAGATGATGTACTGCGGCATCTCCTTAGGGCTCAGCTTAGCCATGATAGAGGACGGGTGGATGTAGACGGCGCGCTGGGCGAGATCGTCCATGGGGCCCTCACGCGAGCGGAACAGCGTGAGATAGGGGACGTCGATGGCGCGGCGGGATGCGCGCGTGTTCTCGGGGGGCACGGGGGCGAGGTCTGCGCGGATAGCGACGTGGTCGATGAAGCCTGCTGTGACGATTTGTTTCAGGGCCTTGATTTGCTTTGCGGAGGGCTCGGGGAGACGCGGCTCGTAGGCGGGGATTAGGCCTGGGTTGTTGGCGCGCACGATGTCGGACAGTTGGCGGCGGAGCTGGCTCGCTTCTTTGAAGGCCTTTGCGCGGAGGAACATTTGTTCGCTGAAGGCGTCGCCGTCGGTGGCGTAGGCGTAGGCGCAGGTTGCGGAGAGGAACTTGAGCGCGTCGGATGTGTCGTCGTGCTTGCTTAGGAGGCGTTGGACGCGGTTGTAGTTCTTGACGCGCTGTTCGCGCTCTGTGTCTTCTATGCGGTCGAGGTTTGTGTAGACGGGCTTTCTGTCGTCTTCGTCGCTGTCGCTGTCGCTGTTGTTGTTTTCCTTAGCCTTGGGTTTCGGCGCGAAGGCTGTAGGGTCGACTTCGTTTTGGGAGACGAAGAGGTCGCCGACTGCGAGCGCGGATACGAGGGCAATAACATATGGCATGCAGCCGTGCTGGTGGCCGATGTATAACATTTTGCCGAAGCGGGGGGAGAGAGGGTATGTTGCGAGACGACGGCCGATCTGGGTGACTTGGCCGTCTGGGGAGAGGGCGCCCAGATTCCGGAGGAGCTTCTCTGCCTTGACGAGACCTTGACGGCTTGGGGGTGTGGGGAATGGGAAGTTGATCACGTTGTGTAGGCCCATGCTCTTCATCTGTAGAACGACTCCTTCGATGGGAGTGCGTAGAATCTCGGGAGCAGTGTACTCCTCGAAATCGGCTTCATACACAGCTGAAGAGTACAGGCGGTAACAGTGACCAGGGCCTGTTCGACCGGCACGACCGGATCTTTGGCTTGCACTGGCTTTGCTGATCCAGCCAATCTGGAAGCTCTGAACACCAGTGAAAAGATCGAACTGCTTGTCCTTGGCTCGACCGCAGTCAAAGACATACTTGATACCAGGGATTGTAAGAGATGTCTCAGCAACGTTAGTTGCGAGAATAATAAGACGTGAGCCTTCTGGTGGCGCCTCGAAGACCCTCATTTGTTCTTTTGTGGGAAGTTGAGAGTACAGGGGCAAGACGTGGACCTTGGTAGAAGAGTCCATGGCATCCTCGCCAAGGTCAAAGCCTTCGTCGTCCTCTGCATCATCTAGTCCGGTGATATCAAGATCACTGTCATCGTCATAACCGTTGTCATGAATTTCAGTGCCGCCAAGTTCCATATCTTCTGCCTCCAAAGGCGCATCATTGGCTGTGAATTGCACCTTGGCTTGTGTGGTATCCAACCGCTCTGTAGGCTTGAAGGCCTGCTTCAGTCGCTTGGAGAGCTGTCGAATCTCATTCTGTCCAGTCAAGAACACGAGCATTCCACCGGGTGGGAGTTTGCGGTGACCTCGAGAGACCTTGCGGAAAGCCTCTTCGACGTAATCACGGTGTGTGCGACGGGAGAAGTGTACAGTGACTGGATACTGCCGACCTTCTGCCTGAACCAGAGGAGGAGGTCCTTGACGGAACAAGCTTGCATTTTCAGTGAAATCTGAGATTCGAAGTGTGGCAGACATGATAACGACCTTCAATGGCTTGACGGTCGGATCTTCCTCGCTCATTGACTTACGCAAGTCTGTGATACGGCTGACCATTCCAATAAGGATATCGGTGTTGACACTGCGTTCGTGGGCTTCATCAATGATGATGACGGAATATTTGCGCAGAGCAAAATCATCCGCGATCTCACGGAGAAGAATACCATCAGTCATGAATTTGATGGCTGTCTTCTTAGAAACAGTTGTTTCAAACCGAATCTGATACGAAACCTGATCCGAGTACTGGCCAAGTTCTTGAGCGACACGATTCGCCATACTGACGGCAGCGACTCGACGAGGCTGTGTAACACCAATCAAGCCTGGGTTGGGACTGTCTGGATTACCGAAGCCGGATTCGAAGAGGAATTGAGGAAGCTGGGTTGTCTTTCCGGAACCAGTAGCACCCCAAATGACGATCGTAGAGTTGTTGTGAATGGCTTCCATAATCTTCTGCTCTTCACCGACCACTGGCAGACCCATGCGGGCAGTTTGAATCTCCTCCGAGCGCTCCACTGCGACGCTAAAAGCTTGTCGGTTAGGTTTTCCAAGAGTCACCTGGAGCTCTGCAGGAAGAGGGTCCTCCTCATCAACGGTGTTTCTTGGCTCTTTTCTCGGAGGGGCGAATGCTTGTTGTGATTGATCGTGGATGATCGGACCGTCAGTTGGCTTGAAACCAACAGCCTCGTTAATTTGTTGTACAGCCCATGTCTTGAAAGCTGATTCCCTGGGCCGAATTTTCCTCTCAGTTCCATCATCTTCATCTTCATCGTCGTCATCATCCTCTTCATCCTCTTCGTCCTCGTCTGAATCTTCAGAGGATTCATCTTCATCGTCTTCTTCCGAGTCATCCTCGATATCGTCCTCCGAAACATCCTCCTTATCGCCCTCTTCCATCTCAGAATCCTCATCTCCAGAACCAAAACCTTCCCATTCGGGCTCCTTCACCGGCGCGACGGGTACAGGAGCGGATTTAGCGGTGCGCTTCCGTTTCGTATAGACTGGGAATCCATCGGGTCCAAGATCGAGGGGACGCTTCAATCCACTTCCGACAGGAGCTAGGGGTTGTTGAGGCTTGGGCGCAGCCACCGGATCTGTCGTAGGATCGGAAGCCTTAAGGTCGGCGTCGGAATCGTCGGTATCGTATCCAGAGAAATCAGTTGGCGCTTTGCCAACCTTGACCACCGGCTCGTTGTCTCTTTGCGGTCGCTTCCGTTGTCCCAATTCTCTTGAGCTCTGTAGGTTGGATGTATCCGCCTTCGCATTCGCTTTGGCAAGTTTCTTGATGAGTTCGAGGTTCTCTTCTTTCTTCAATTTGTTTTCCTATGACATTGTTAGCGATGCGGTCACAAGGTCGAAGGCTTGCACATACAATGTATTTATCCAATCGCTTCTGCTTCTTGGAGGAAACATTGGTATGTTGGTCTCTTAGTTCAGCACGTAATTTCTCTCGCTTTGCCTCCTTCTCATCTTTGGAGACGGGCGCTAGCTCCGCGACATTGGTGTCCACCGACTGAGCAGGCTCTTGCTGCCGGTGCTTCTGCTTTCGCAGACGTGGGACAAACTTGGGCGGCATCCTTTCCGACCCTGTCTCTAAACAAGAGATGCCAATTTAAGTAATGTGTCTGGTCCGAGCTGTTACACGGCTTCGCAAAAAAAAATTGAGGACGGTCAGATGGCGGTGTGATACTGCCGGACAAAGGTGTGGGGCGCGACCGACCGCCTTTTGGGGGAGCAAAGCATCAACACGCGACGACTCCCTTGTGGAATCAGTACCAAAAACAAAATCACCATGGCTTCAATGGAAGATTTGCTACAGGGTTCAATGAACCTTCCATTCCCAGCCCCCACAAAACAAGTTGCGGGGCTGGTCGACGGGGTCAAAACTGATGTCATTGTCATGAATTTCAGCGATAAGATTATGGTTACCATCTCGCAAGAGGGTCGACTCGCACATTGGGTTTGTCTATGTGTTCCGGTATGATGTGAATAATACTGATAATATTACAGCTACATGTACCACTTGGAAACCCAAACCCTGGAACTGATGGCATGCACACATTCTCCGAGGGCGCAGATGATGGTCTATTACCCCTCAGTGGATTGACAGCAACATCTCTTCTTGGAGGTCATGCACCAGGCCAAGATACCATCGGTCAACTGTTGGCTCGCCAAATTGGCACTGCTATCGCAACCAAATCTCCCGCCGAGCAGCGTTTGCTTGTTGTTGGCTTAGGACTGGGCAAGCTGGCCTCTGATCGCGATTCCTTCTTCGCAATCATCGACCTTGTCTTGCAATGTATCTGAGGATGCAACTTATGAAAAACAAAATTCGCAATGCAAATTATACAATCCCCACGAAATGAAATGAATTTCTACCCGTTGTTTGATACCTGCAAACTCTCCGAGACATGTCCGGCCGTGCGTCTTGGCCACGAATCCTTCCCCAAAAAGTACAAGACGATACCCATGCTGCAATGAAGCAAACTTGGCTTTCTCCACGACCTGTCAGAATAGAAAATCCGGGGATGCCATTTCGTTTCAATCTGTTCAAACATTCTTGTAGAAGCTGCGGGGATGAAGCGGGGAAAGTGGAGTGGCAACCCCATGGTCCCTATGCCTAGAAATCACTGGAAGTGTCAGATTGGAGCTGCCAATTAAGACCCTGCCACCAGACTGGTCTGGAGCTCTCCCCAGACCAACGTGCATTGGCGCCGGCATGTTCCTTGAATTTCGGCCGAACCAAGCTGTGGAGGAAAACCTAGAATTCATGTGGGGCTGGACTGTATGTTGTCATGGATACTGAGTCAATTTAGTCGGCCACTGGGGCAAAGTGCATAAATGACCAGATCGAATTGTTTATGCCGGTCTCAAGTAAAAGGACAACAATTACTGGGCATAACAAGTAAACTGACCAGACCTTTCTTGTCACAATTGGGGTGACTATTTTTGCCCAACATTGAACGGTTCTCCAGGGCTGTCTACTTCCAAACATTGAAGTACTCCAAAGTTATACAAGCTATGTGTGCAGTCGTATCGTCAGGTGGATTATCCCAGGGCTGAATGTAGTGCGCCAGGCTACGTCCCCCACACCGAAGGATCCGTGGATCTCCCCACAAAAGGCGGGGAACCGTGTCCATTTTGGAATTGATCAGATATGGTAGATCATTGGCTAAATTTAATCCTGCACTGGACTTTGGCCATGACCATATTACCCACCAATGGAATCAAAGAAGTCGGGTAAATCACTGTATTTGACCTTCACCATGACCGGCTAACGGCCGCGGGAGTGAGCAGCCGAGAACTCAATTTCCTCAAAACAGCCTCTAGACCGGGCCTAGGGAGCTATTTTGTAAGTACGTATATTAACGCGAGCGCGTTTCATATAATCTTATGTAGAAGTCCAAATTGTTAAGAGCTCTATAGACGAAGAATAGACATTGTTTTGGTCTGTCTTTACTATCAAAGCAACCAAGCGATATGTAATATGCCGATCACCCATGAGTTCCTTGCGGTAAAATGCTTGCATTAGGAAGTTGAAAGATCAATTTTGCGAGATTTTTAAGAAAAAAACTCCAAATAGAGGTACTGTGACTTTACCCCGATTCATGCTGAATTACGCCTTCTCCAAGTCCATCCTGCATGCGCAGGCTTATGCTTTCGAAGAGCAGCTGGCATAAAGCAAATCCCGATGCCTTACAATAGACATAGCGAATGGCACATCAGAGCCCCACAATACGTATATCAAATCCTTTTCCAAAACCGAAATTCATATATCAAGCTTAATGGGGATTCTTTGGAGTTATCCGGGATTTCGTCGGATATACAAAATGTACAAGGATGAAGCCGCATTCGTACAGGCAAATTGAAATTTGCACTTGATACCTTTGTAGATATTGAGAATAGCGTCTTTAATAGATTTGAACGCACTAGTGTTATTTTCTCTCAATATGGCATATTGAACGGAATTAGAGAAGCAAATGTACAATAGTCGAAGAAGGCAGGCAGAATAAATCGCCCCAACCAGATCAAAGACCTGAACACTTCTGCAATTCACTCATCTGACCAAGATTGGTCTCTGATATCTTACTTTGAGCATGATACACTCAAATTAACTCCGCACGCGGGGTCAAGCCAACCAGCCATTCCAAAAGCTATCGTTCTCCGAGCCTGTCAAAGGTACCACCAGATGGTCCCCGCACAAAATCACCAAAACGGGCTTATTGCTCAACACATAAAAGGCTCCAGAAATCCCCTCAAAACAAACAGCCAGCTCTTTCTACTGACCTACTATTGGCATTGAGCTGCATTGGAGGTCTGTAGCTATGACCATCCCGGAAGAAGTTGATATCATCATTTGCGGTGGCGGCAGTGCAGGATGTGTTCCTGCTGGCCGCCTCGCCAATCTTGACCACAATCTGTCGGTTCTTCTCATTGAAGGAGGAGAAGACAACCTTAACAATCCTTGGTATGTTCTGAAAGTTCAGTGTGTTGGAATAATGTTAGTACTCACAGAAGTAGGGTCTACCGTCCTGGGATCTACCCCGTCAATATGAAACTTGACTCGAAGACGGCATCATTCTATCACTCCCGGCCATCGGAGCATTTGGATGGTCGTAAAGCTATTGTGCCTTGCGCCAACATTCTCGGAGGAGGTAGCTCCATCAACTTCATGGTATGTTCTCAAATCTCGCGGTATATATTGATTAATGCTGAGCTTTCAAGATGTACACCAGAGCGTCGGCCTCGGACTACGATGACTTCCAAGCTGAAGGGTGGAAAACTGAGCAGTTGCTCCCTCTCATGAAGAAGTATGAGACTTATCAACGCGCTTCCTCCAATCGAGACTTGCATGGCTTTGAGGGTCCCATTAAGGTTTCCTTTGGAAACTACACCTACCCCATCGCGCAAGACTTTTTACGGGCTACTGAATCTCAAGGAATTCCAACCACTGATGATCTTCAGGACTTGACAACCGGGTATGCATTTAACACATCTTCTAACCTTTCTTCATAAAATCTGCTAACTGAATCTCGTATTCTATATAGCCATGGAGCTGAGCATTGGCTAAAATGGATCAATCGCGATACTGGTAAGTTTTGTGTCTTTCCAAAAATATGTTTCCAGTTCTGATGAAGACAAAGGCCGCAGAAGTGACGCAGCACACGCCTACGTCCACAGCACCAGATCCAGACACTCCAACCTTCACCTGAAATGCAACACAAAAGTGGACAGAATCATCATCGAAGACGGCCGCGCCGTGGGAGTCGTCACCATGTCCACAAAGCCCCTAGACGGCGGCGAGCCAGTGCGCAGAATTTTCAGAGCCCGAAAGCAAATAATACTGAGCTGCGGCACTCTCAGCTCCCCCCTAGTCCTGCAGCGCTCCGGAGTCGGCGACCCCGAGAAACTGCGCCAAGCAGGCGTCAAGCCTCTAGTGAATCTACCCGGCGTTGGCCGGAACTTCCAAGATCACTACCTCTTTTTCTCAGGCTATCGCGCGAAGCCCGAAACAGAGAGCTTCGACGACTTCCTCCGAGGAGACCCTGCAGTTCAGAAAAAGGTCTTCGAGGAGTGGAACCTGAAGGGGACGGGTCCACTAGCCACGAATGGAATTGAGGCGGGCGTTAAGATTCGACCCACGGCACAAGAACTGAATGAGATGAAGAAGTGGCCGACACCCGAATTCGGAAGCGGGTGGGACTCCTACTTTAAAAATAAGCCTGACAAGCCTGTTATGCATTATGCGGTTATCTCGGGCTGGTTCGGTGACCATATGCTCATGCCCCCGGGCAAGTTCTTCACCATGTTCCATTTCCTGGTAGGTGACTCCAATCCATGGAAACAAAATAAACATAATCTAATGAAAATGCTATCAGGAATACCCCTTCTCCCGTGGGTCTACCCATATCAAGTCCGCGGATCCATATGAGGAACCGGACTTCGATACTGGGTTCATGAGCGACAAGCGGGACATGGCTCCTATGGTCTGGGGCTATATCAAGTCTCGTGAGACTGCGCGTCGGATGGGTGCCTATGCTGGTGAAGTGACCTCCATGCACCCCCACTTCGCCTACAACTCTGCCGCGCGGGCCCGGGATCTAGATCTTGCGACCACAAAGGCGTATGCTGGTCCGAATCATATTTCCGCCGGCATTCAGCATGGTGAGAGACCTTCCCTTTTCATTTTCTTGCAAATACCCAGACTAATGATGGTTTCAGGTTCATGGTCGGAGCCCTTGCAGCCTGGGAACCCGGCTTCCGCATCAAGCTTGAACTCGAACAGACACGAGGCCCGGGACCCGATTAATTATTCAAAGGAGGATATCCAGCATATCGAGACATGGGGTAGGTCTTTCCAGTATAGAAGTGTCACCTCTAGACGTCATGCTAATATTTACAGTCAAACGCCACGTTGAAACGACCTGGCATTCGCTCGGAACCTGTAGCATGGCTCCGCGCGAGGGCAGCGCTATCGCCCCGCATGGAGGCGTTGTTGATGAGCGCCTGAATGTCCATGGAGTCAAGGGACTCAAGGTCTGCGACTTGTCGATCTGTCCAGACAATGTGGGCTGCAATACCTTCAGCGTAAGCTCTCACAATCCATTAGTTTATTCCGTGATAGACGAACTGACGTTTCTGATAGACTGCTCTTCTTATTGGTGAGAAATGCGCCATGTTGGTCGCGGAAGATCTTGGTTACTCTGGCGATGCTTTGAAGATGGACGTGCCTACCTACCATGCACCGGGTGAATTTGCCAATCTCTCGCGATTGTAAATATGACAAGGATTTCTATTTATGGATATTGAGAATCGATGGAATTTTGCGTATTCCTCTTCATGCCGCTCGGCTCAAGGCTTTATGTTAGCGACAGTATTGAAACAGCCAAGAAGAAGTAGAAGACTAGCGTCTGAATACTAATTGGTGTCGGAAACAAGTGACAATTTTGTTCGTTGATTGTGATTTTTACTCGACGTTAAGGATCGCTAGGAATGAAATTTAATCATTTTGAACCTTTAACATCAATTCACAATGACATGAGAACTTCTCTCACGGAGATACAGAATTATAAAATACTACCATGTTTCCTCTAAGTGACCATTCGAAGTTGGCACCGTTTGGGGATTTGTTATTTAGCCGACAGTGGGTCAGTTGAATCTAGGTGGTTATTGATACAGTGCAGGTCATTCCTCTGGTGCCTTTTTGTTGGTAAATAGTTCACACACTCTCTTTCCTCAACGGCGAAGCGGCTCATTGGTACACTTCCATAGGAGCACAATAGAAATGTTTATGTCCTCACTGTTTTGACTTGAACCCTGCCGCCAGCAGGACCCACTCTTCTTTTTGCCCCACTCGTTCCGTACATGTACTAAACAAAGTGGGGCTAACCAGTCTCAACGCTTCGTTGCAACGCCCCAGAAGCACTACATGCTCCTCGTGCCATCAAAAGTGTAATCTTTTAGCTCCAGGCCTTTAAGAAATGACTTGAGCACCGAAATTTTGGTTACCGATAATGATTGGGGGCAACGGTGGAAACTCCCGTATTGTGGATCATGTCCGAAAGGACCCCGTCGTGGTGTAATGAGTGACTTGATCTTCATCATAGTCCCGTAGTAAGACATTCTGCTGAAAGGAGCCACAGGTATGGGTGAGATTAGCTTGTAGTGCTGCATCTGCGAGGTCAGATACTCGTACATGCTCGAGTGGCGCTCCAGATCACAGCCTTCGGTGCCGTTCAAAAACGCAAGACGTGCCTGATTAAGGCGTGTAATTGAATGATCGAGGGCATCTTCTCTGCCTTTGTTTATTGCAACTGTCCTCTGGTTAGTGTAAAAAGCACCCGAGAGAAATGAGGACTTGTTACCGATGACCCTGTCCGGAATCGGAAGACCGAGGCTGGTAAATGTATCTTTGTACATTGACATCGCATGGGAAGTAAATCTTTTGAACAGCTCAGGTGATTTGAAGAACCAGGCAATCCAAATCCACAAAGCCAAGTCCCGCCGAGATTGACGCACAATTCTTGTCTTCAGATCATCCATCCATCTGGTTTTCTCAGCACCCAAACACTCCTTGCACATATAATAATCGGCAATGACAGCAATTTTGGCAAGCATCTCAAGGGTTAGCTCTTGCGGAACTTGGTCGAAGTGGCCATGGACCACATGGAGTAGGATCAGGAGTGCCTCCATATCCCAGCCTTCTGCGACGATCTCAACGGAGCCTTTTTGCAGATAGTGAGTACTTTCTTCCCATCCACCGGACAGCATGTTTTTGAAAAAGGGGGAAGCAGAAATCAGATGTTCTGCAGAGGCCTGGATACGAAAGCACTCCTCATCCATTGACTCTTCGGTTGATTTTTCAGAAGAGTCATCGGCAGAGTCATCATTGGGAGGAGATTCGTTGGCTGGAGCTTGGTCAGGAGCAGGCTCATGTTTTTGGCGAGGAGACAATTTAGGAGTGACATCGTTTTCTTTCTTTTCCACCGTCAGCTTCCGCTGTTTGACGGATGTCTGTTGCTCAATATTGCTTCCTGTGTTCCAAACACTATGTTAGCAAGGCTCCGCGCAGAAACATGAATTCTTGAGAATTATCTATGACCCCTACCTGTGGATTTTCCTTCTTCGATCATTTCTGCAAATGGAAGATTGGGATTGCGTAGAATGATCATGACTTTACCGTCGCGATCGATGATGTGAGTGGGAGGCATCATGGCGATCGTCGGATAGACTCAGAGCCTGAAGTTTTCAAATGTTCGCTCCTCCACTATTCCAAGGGTAAGGAAGAAAGGAATGAAGAAAGCTTGGATGGAGTGGAGAAGAAGAAAATAACTCAGCAAAGGTAGAGTGATTGGGAAGCACCAGGGGTTCTGATGAGAGAACACCTTATTTAATATGCTTGCTAGCCTCTTCGAGACATAGGAGCGCGAGAGCCAGGTGGTGATAGAACGTTCTTGGTGTTTCCTCACTGATTTCCCCTGAACGGGACAAGAGTCAAATCGTCAGAGATTGCTGATACCTATGTATCAGGCTAGACGAAAGAAGAGACAGACAGAGAGAGAGAGAGGGAGAGAGGGAGAGATATATACATATATATATATATAATGACAGGAAAGAAAAGTAATGGTGAAGTGAACATTGTGCCCTCAAGTGCTGTAGGTAGAGGCGTTGAGTGAATGAGAGACCATTATCGCGTCTTTCATTGAATTTTGCAAACATCGAGTGGGCACCGTCTGAGCCAGCATTTGAAGTGTCACTTTAATTTATTTCTTCCACATGTGCGAGGTTCCCGTGTGGATGTTCCCTGCTGGATAGTATTTGCGGTCGTTCTCGTGGCCCATCCATTTGACCAAATATTCACAGCGGGATCCATTGCGTCTCGAGCCTCGTATCTGCTCGACTTCCCATTCCATTTGTCCATCGATCTCAAGTGGCGGTGACGGATCTTCAATGTTGGATCTGCCCAGGCAATTGTCCCCTCGCCAAAAATATGAGCCTGCTCCTGACCAAGCTCCAGCCAACGAATATTCTCCCAATGATGACTCTGCCGATGACTCTTCTGAACGGTGCCTTCTTTAAACGCGCGACGTAGTTTCTCTGGGTGGAAGACTGGATGGATGTTTAATCAGTCTGGGAGGTCCAACTTACATAAAATAATCACCGATCTTTATGTTCTTCTAAGTACTTGAGCTTGTACTTGTGTGATACACACATCAATTAAATCAATGTTGATGTAGTCAACTATATAAATATAGTATATCTTCACATAAGTTCTTTTCCTAGCAAACATTAGTCTTTATATCAGATATTCGGAATCAATCAAGATCTCGGCATCCAAAAAAGCTGGTATTAAATTACCTGCTGCATTCAATGTTTTATTTGAAGCGCCCCACAGCAGTACCTAGCTGTGTTAGTGGATTTGGAAGACTGCAAGTACTGAGAACTTTCAGGATAGGAACAGTGGTGGATGGGGTACATATTCAAATAGGCGAAAGCCCATCAAATGGTAAGACATTAGAATGAGCAGCCCTCAAGCTTCCCCTTGTTTTCGCAGAAAGAATATATATAGTAGCTGTTGTAGTCTGTTATGTAGTCGTGATATCTTTCAAATATTTCGAAGGTTGGTGACGATGTGTTATATACTACTAGTACTTTCAACGTTTGTCTAGGCCTATCTAATCAGCACTTGAGCACTTGTCACTGCCCGCCTGTCTTGTTTGGGCCTTATGTTCTCCCCTTATGGTCTTGCAGTCTACTTCGAGAGTCTTAACGGCTGCTCTTTAAATTTTGAAATATATGCGGGCCGAATGAATAAATCAAATATCAATTAAGTATTGACTTCTTACCAAAAGTCAGTTCACGGTGCCCTGTGAAAATTTACTCGCCACTGCATGTGTTTGTGGACGATCACTTCCCAAATTAGCAGTGTTGGCATCAACCGGTTACCTGTTTGAAACTCGATACAAAGACTATCCAACAACATTCGAACAAAAAAATGTTGCACACGGGAAGTTGTCTTGGCGTCCAGACATTGAATGCCAGCTATGAAGTCATTTCGAGGCTGAGGCTCCCCTCCGCATGATCTTGTCGAACGGGGCACCTGAACAAGGCTCCACTTAGTACTTCACTAGTCCCTTAGTCGGTGGGGAATGATATCATCGAAACCAAAGGAATCAGCCTCCCCGGCCTGCAAAATCTACATAAATATCTGTTTTTCGCGGGGTATTTATCCGTTTGTTTACCCTCATATATTTACAGCTTGACTTACAACACAAACCTTTCCAAATCCAACTCAATCCATCTACTGCCATCCACAACTCACTCAATATCAACCTCCAAAACCCATTCGCCACCATGCATTCGGGCTCCAACAGGGATTACTACTATCCCGATGAACGGGACTACTACCACGACTCACGAGACCCAAGAGAGACACGATACTTAAGAGATCCCAGAGATTCAAGAGACTCGCTCGCACTCAGCGACCGTCACAGCCACGGCCACAGTCACAGCGACCACCGCAGCCGCAGCTCACACAGCCACGGCGACCACAAAAGCACACACCACAAGAAAAGCAGCAGGGAACGCGATCCCCACCATGATCTCCATCTGGCCGAGGGAGCGGTAGTAGCCGCGGCCGTCGCCGAGGCCATCCACCATCACCGGAAAAAGGGAGGCGAGGACGTGAGCTCTGGGTTCGGCCATATTGCTCGAACCGTGGGCGCTGGTGCGCTTGGAGCCGTTGCTGCCAATGAACTCGAGAGAGCGCGGGATTCGCATCGCAATAAGAGTCCGCGCGAGTCGAGTGGACATCATCGGCACCATGGGCATAACCATGACCAGGACCACGGGTATTATAGGAGATAAGCTATCTCCGGCATATTTTTTCAAGGAGCAAATTTTGGTTGGGAGTCGTGGTCGGAATTTTTACGTCTGTGATGCGCCAATGCCGATATCACATCGGGCCAGCTACAATATAGGATGGCAGGTGCTGGGAGCCTGTTGTCAACCGACCCAGGTTGGTATGTTTGCGCACATGTATTTACTTGAATGATGAATGATGAACAATAGATAGATGAGTCAATGATCAGCATTTGAAAAATTCAAGTCAGGCAAATAAATAAATGAGATACTTTAGTTTAACGTTTGTATATGCCGTCACGGAACCATAATCCTGCTGCGCTGCATGTGGCCTTGCTCTTATCTGCAGCAAAACCGGATAGCCACATCGGCCCCACACCCGCATGGAAATCGGGACTCGGGGTCGGGAGGATCATCCAGAAATTAGAATTACTCAAAAGTCCAGCCTTAACTCGCCAACCACACATCCTGTTTCCGACCATATCCAAACGGAATCCACGAAGCATTAAAATACTGCTGCAAAACAGTCTCCGTATACGTCATATCATCAACACAATAACCGCCTCCCGTCGGCCCAATATGCATGCAATGCACATCAGGCCGATACTGCACCATATGATCATGAACCTCGCGACACAAAAGCGTATTGCGGCCCAGCTCATAGCTGGCCCCAAAGCGGATCTTCGTCGTCAAAAACTCATAGCAGCTAACATTGCCGACGGGGTATTGCTGGTTCGCGCCCGTGCAGTACGTATCGTGCGTCTTGCAGATATCCTGCGCAAGGATCTCGGTGACGATTGCCTCGGCGCCCGCGGCCGTGGTGTTGTATTTTGTCGCCGTCGCGCCGAGCAGGTAATCGAGTAGGTAGGCGAACCAGCGGAATGTGGCGTCGTACTGGGTGATTTTGCCGTCTTCGTCGAAGGCGATCCAGGTGTCGATTGTTACGGGGATTTGGACGCCGAAGGTTGTTGCGTTGAAGGTTACGACGGTTGTGGCGGAGGCGGTGTTGTCGTTTGCGGCGAATTGCGTTATGCTGTAGGATACTGGGATGCCGACGAGGCTTACGGCTGTGGGGTCGGCGAAGAGGCCGAAGATGTATTCGCGGTTTAGCTCGTCGCCGTCGAAGGTGCGGGTTATGTCGACGCGGCCTTGGACCTGGAAGGTTTGGTATACGATTAGCGTTGATTTGGACAGGAGGGGAAGAAGGACGGAAGGAAGGGTTGGCTGGGTAAGCGCTTACATCGGATGCGAAGATGGTGGATGCATTTCCCTCTATCTGGACTTTGTTGGCGGGGTAGAGGAAAGCCTTCCAGAAGGTGTTCTCAAGGTCCCATAGCTCGTCGTAGGTGAATGTTGATCTGGAAGGTTTTGTTGGGGCGTGGGTGGTTGCTTCGACGAGGTTTATCAACAGCGCGTAGACGATCGTAAAGATGAGGGGAGTAGGAGAAACCATTGCGGTCGCAGATATACAATTTCAACCGCTTTACAGGTTGGCTTTTGGAATCGGATCATAGAGTTCTTATATTTCTTCATATTTTGTCCACATATCCTCGCGTTGTTTGGCAATGCGCTGTCAAATTACGGTAACTTTGGAATGTGAGCCTAAACTCCGCGGTGTATACTCTATATCCATACTTGAGCCGACGATACTATAGGTGGATTTTGCTGACACGTTTTGGAGGAACCGTATAAGCAGCTGAAAAAATACCGAACACGAGCTTGGCGATGAGAAATCAATTATTATTGGCTTACATGCATCATGTTTGAAGACCCCTAAGTTCATGCCAGGGCAACCCAGCCGAGAGCTGAACCAGCGTCCACAATTGCCTTTTACGCAGCGCCCCATTTCCCGCCTGATTCGAAATCTTCTATTACAGAATTTAACAGGGTGTTATTAGGCGATCCCAACTTGGCTCATTCCAGCCAGCCTCCTTGCCTCGGAGTTGGAAAGTTGTTGTTATAAAAGTGGGTCCAGACTTCAACAAAATGATTTTCTTTCCAGGGACTTCTCACACCTGTCAAGGTTTATCTGTTAATTTATTTAAAGTACGTAATACGGGCTATCGGAGAAACTATGATCTGCAGAGCCGACTAAACAGGCATAGTGTCGATCATCTAATTTAAAATCCCGATTTCGACCAGCTGACTGCTTTGGCGCACGAAACAATACTTTGATCGTTAAGATACCCGTGGACCCTGGCGGCTTTTTACACTGCTACTTAATGCCATTCAAATAGCGGGGTAAATAGGAGCATCGCACAGCCATAACTTCATCTTACGCCACATATTAGCCCACATATTAGCGAACTGTCTCACTATGAAGATCAAAGCGGATGTGGCGTCTCTAAACACGAAATAGTAAACATAAGCTCGTATTCTATAGCACTCTACGGATAGTAAAGACTAACATCAATAACTGGATCTCTAAGGTTCCCATCACAAGGTATATTTCATGTTGATCTGTTTGTAAATATTTCTTCTCAAGCTCACATAAAAAATAGTTATATGGCTTCTGTTTGGCAATTTTGATAATTATCCACGATTTATTAGGTTCATTTTGACACCAAATGCACTGAAGTGCTTACTCCCGCCACCGCTCCTGGGCAACAATGCGTGGACTCTGACTGCCACACGTTATGTGACAAGTGCTTACCTGCATGTGGAACCTCAGGTTTGCGTTCATTCCTCAGGCTCTCATCCATAAGTCATCAGGCACCCATGCAGTAATCTCCAGGCACCCATGCAGGAGAGGCTCCACCCGTGTCCTACCAGTGGCTCCACCAGTCCACCAGTGGTCATTTAGTAAGTTTGTTTCTTTCTTGTTGCTCTTTCTTTCTTTTCTTTCCTCCCCTGTCTGTGTTTTTATCGTGTTTTCTGGACCTGAGTACAATTGATTTGTTCCCCTGCTTGCCGTGTTACATCAATACACAGACCAATCTTCGCTTACTCACCGCCACTAGGCTTCGGTCTTGGTGTATGTGAGGAAGCACCCAAACAACAATTCTTCCTTTGTCTCGAACCGTACAACAATTGATCACAAGATCTAAGGCTCTGTTTACGACACAGATTCCACTCGAACTTGAACGAACCGAACCGAACCGAACGTGCGATATGTCATCGGCACCGAGCCAGGCCGGGCCTGGAGACTCCCGACAGCCGCGGCTTGCACGCCCTACAGTTTCTGTCCGACTGCCCCCTTCTAATGAAGCAGGACCTACCGCTTCAAGGTCAGACACCCCTTTTGATGGCACCCCGGAGACAGAGTCTACGAACGCAGGAGACTTTGGAACCGCCACAGATTATGCGATGTGGGTCATCGAGAACCCCCACAACGCCTATCAACGGCTGCGGAATTTGGAACTCGGGCTTGCACGAGCCCAGAAAAGTCTCAGAGAAGCTATCAGAGTGCAAAAGATGGATGCGGACAGACCTCAGCGTTCCTCTAAATTACCAGACGTACCCATACTAACCGACGGCAAATCTCCTACGTTCGAAGGATGGATGTTGAAATTGATGAACAAGTTTATGCTCAACAAAGACCACTATCCGACTGAGTGCCATAAGATGGCGTACATCCATTCCAGATGTGAAGGACCGGCTGAGGCCCTGCTCACCCCCCGGGCAAAGTGTGGGGCAAAGAACCCATTCATTAATGCCGAAGAGATGATACACTACTTGCAATCTTTCTTCCATAACACACATCGCCGGGCCATTGCAGGGCAAGAGTTCGAAGCATTGATCATGAAAAAGGACGAGCAGTTCCACGATTTCTATATTAAGTTTGCATGCCTGGCAGTGGAAGCAGAAAGCCAAGAGAGCTACTTGAAGCACCACCTCTTCAGGAAGCTGTCAAACCGTCTTAAATCCCTGGTGATGAATCATTTTTATGATGAGAATATTACTATGACACAGTTCGTTGAAACCTGCCGCCGATCGGCCACCGCATTACTGGTTGAGAACGAGATACGGAAGAGAGCCTGAGGTACAGACGGAAACCTGAGGATTCGGATGAGCACTTGTCACTGGCGCGTGGCGCTGACCATCCGGATGACATGTCTGTTGCGACAACCAGTGACAGGTCTTCCAGATGTTACCTTCCGAGGAACCAATTTCAAGATTTGATAGATGATAGTGCAATATTGTGAAAAGAAAAGCTTCGAACTCAAAAAGATTAATGCGTGTAAACATCCACTACTTACTGCTGGCAATTGTGTCCAAGCTCCTTTCTGTAACCAGTTTGCCCGCCGGCTTAATAATTGCGCCGGGCCGTAGCATCTTTTGTTCCTTCAGAATCTTTTGGCTGGATATTATACTGCCAATACGCGCCAATTGCCTGTTACAGTCATGAGTCGGGATTTCAGTGAGTCACAAATGGCCTGCAATTCATATCTTGGCTTGATGCGTTGCCCAGAACCAATAACATGCATGGAAAACCCGGCAGTTCGGCAGTTCAGTCGGCCGCATCGAGCCGCGTCCGGGACTCCGGGGATTCGGCAACTACCGTGGAGCTGGAGAGGACCGTGCACAGTATACTAATACCAGGATTCTCAAGCCCTTTATATAAAAAACCAGGCCCTTCAGTATTGAAACCATCACAATCACTAAACTTCATTCTCAAGCTCCTACCTTTTCCATCTCTGCCATGTCAAAACTGATTACAATCTTCGGTGCAACCGGGAACCAGGGCGGCTCCGTCATCCGCACCATTCTCGAAGATAAAGTCCTATCCAAAGAATTCCGCATCAGAGCCGTAACCCGCGATGCGAACAAGGAATCATCCAAGGCCCTAGCTGCCCAGGACATCGAAGTGGTGCAGGGTGACATGGCTTCTCCTGAGGACATGAAGAGAGTAGTCAGCGGCTCCGACACGGTCTTCCTCGTCACCAACTTCTGGGAATACCAGGCCGCCGGGCCTGAGATTGCGCAGGGCAAGACCGTCGCGGATGCGTGCAAGGCCGAGGGGATTAAGCACCTGATCTTCTCTTCGCTCATCGATGCGTCCAAGGAATCGAAGGGCCGGTTTGTGAATATCACGCATTTCGATGGAAAGGCGGAGATCGAGCGGTATATTCGAGAGATTGGCTTGACGGCTTCGTTTGTTATGCCTGGTATCTTCATGACGGAGCTGTTCAATTTGATTCAGGCGCAAGGAGATGGCTCTTGTATTCTGGCGACGCCTACGAAGACAGATGCGCCTGCGCCTTTTGTTGATATTGTGGCTGATATGGGTAAGTCCGGCAATTATGAACGGGGTATCTCTGTTCGTGAGCTGACAAGTTTTAGGAAACTTTGTTCGTGCAGCCCTTTTGAATAAGCCTGAGTCGGGTACGAACACGATCTATGCTTCTAGTGATTACTATAAGTTTGAAGATATTCCGGAGCACTTCGAGGCTGCGACAGGGAAGAAATTGACTGTCGTGACTGTTCCTGGGGAAGTCTTTAAATCTTTTCTCTTTGGTCTTTCTCCGGGAATGAGGGAGGAGGTCTATGAGAATTTGATGTTGCTTGAGGGTCCGGGGTATTATGCTGGTGCTGAATTGACTTCGAGTTTGAGTTTGTTATCACAGAAGCCTGTTGGGTTGACTGATTTCTTTGCTCGCAACAAGGACAGATGGTGAGAGAGGAATAGTTAGGCACCGCATGTATTGAATCAATTTTCAACCACCGGAATCTTTAATGGCGAATGGGACTTCTCGACCTGTACTTAAATGAATATTGGCGTTTACTCGAATGTCCCCCATCGCCGATAGTTGAATTAGAAGGATGATATTCATTTCAAAGATTTCATTCAATATACAACAAACATTCATAGTCGCGCACGAGAATGGACCTTCGTATCTCTCATCTTGCTTATGAGTCGTAGTGTCAAAGCAGAACACAGAGATGTGCCCTGGCCAGCCCGCTCACCACCATTGTCTTTCCGAGCAGCAGAGCATGCATTGATACCTTGTCGCGCCACGCTCATCCGAAACAGCGCAAAGGCATCTGCCCACATCATCTCTTTCTGCGGGTTCCACCCCACCATGCTGTCATACCAGCCAAGACACTCAGAGATCGACGGCAGACCCACAGTACTAGCTGCAGAACGCAATGGAAGGGACAGCTGATCAGCTGCACTGGAAGACATCTGGACAATTGTCCACGGCTGTAAAAGGTTCGCAATATCAGACAGTGGATGGCCGATTGTGGCGTTTTTCCAGCTAGATAAATATCAGTATATAATATATGGACAGAGAAACTGTTGAGGAAACTCATAGAGCCATGGTACTTACTTGAGGATTCCGATAATTCTGGGCTCTGTCTCGTGGAAGACTATGTTGCTGATTTTAAAGTCGCCGTGGATAAGGCATGCGCGGTCTCGCGGCTGGTAATCCCTGTCCGAAAGGAAGTGGAGCATTTCCTCTATCCCGGGAACTTTGCCGACCGGGTTCTTTGTGTTAGTGTCCACGACTGAGCGTTGGAAGTGCTCGGTATCTTTCAGGATTTGAGTCTGACGGCTGTAGAAGCTATCTCGGGGTCCTAAATCGCTCAGGTCCATGGCGTCGATGTCGACGGCGTGGATTTTCGCTAGTGCTGTTATTATTTCACGCCACCTGATATAAGTCAGTCGTATGTACATTGAAAAAAAAAAAAGATTGTGTGGCTTTATTGAACTCACATAAGATGCCTCTCTTGGGGTGAAACACCCGGCAAAGTCGGATCTTCAAAGATCCGACCATCCAACGATTCCATGACGAGGAATGGCGTTCCAAGGACACGTGGATCTTCACACAGAATATGAGGTTGAGGCACAGGGATCTCAATCGAGTCCAAGGCACAAAGAACGCGATATTCTCGCTCGCATCTCTGCGTATCCTTTGACCCGGATGCAGTGCGCGGGTATTTGCGCATGACGAGTTTATTTCCGACGCGATCTTTAACAAAGTACGTGGGACTAGACTGATCAAATCCCAACTATTCGCAAAATCAGCCAAATTCTCCCTTTTTCCAAAATAGTACAGTAAATTCAGCATCATGAGCATTGTGCATACCTGAGTTACCCAAATCGGGCCGCGGATGTGCGGCATATTTTGGCACACATACTTTTCCAACGCGGCAACGTCGATCGGCTGGAATATTTGGTCCGGCATCGTAGCGAATGTGCTCAGAAATTTTTGTGTCTGGAGAAAATTACAGCAGGAGAAAGAGAATTTAAATAAGTGCCAGGTGGCAAGCAGATCAGGATATTCAGGGACTAGTACTAGTAGTTGCATGACTCCATGACCGCAGTCTACCCCGCAGTCGTTACCCCGGACTTGACCGGCCAATCAGGACTCGCGCTTTTTCTCGCAGGATTCTTAGCGCGGAATATCGCGTTGTCGCCGTGTGCGAAATCGCATGATTTGGAAATTTGGGCCGGAGTAATTTTTCTATGCACACTAAGGTTATCCACTATATGCGGCGTGACCATGCTGTGATTTTTGATCAGGTGGTTGAGTGGGAGTTTTTGCGGGCCGGTGTACCCGGAGATACGTAGTCCACATGCCGGGAGATTGTTGATACCACAAATTTGTTTCTCACCATCAATATCCAGATCGCCCAGAGATTTACAAAAAACAATCTCACTTAGAAGTGAAGTTTTTGTCAATACTTCTAGAAAGCAAATTTCTTATCGATATACTTCTGGCATCCATTCCCAAGCGGGCAGGGGAGTGTTTGATATTTTATAGAGGCTCAGTCTTTTCTCTTTTTTTCTGTTCTCTTTGCTTCGCTTTTCCATCATCCATCATCATGAACTTTTATCAACCCTCCGGAATTCAGTTCATCTTGATTTTCACCAAGTATGGCTCTCCAGGTGCTGTAGTGAAGCTATGGTGAAGCGGCTGAATCCACTGGGAATCCCGCGTATATCAAGGTCCACAGCGCTGTCAGGCGTTTCTTCTGTCACTAATGATTCATCTCGCAGTTACCATAGAATCAAACACAAACCTTTGAGAGAAACAAATAAAAAGCAACAAGCCTTATGAAAACAGGGCCAACGAGAGAAGACCTCGATGAGAGAAGCAGGAGGAATTCACCCGCTGGAAGAAGCTACTTTCCGCTGGGGATTCCGCCCGCACAACATGCAGCACTGGGTGCGGAGGTTTTCCAGCTACTAAATCGCCACAGGGTGTTCTTCTTGTGGTCCAGAAAGCCTAGTGGTTTGGTGACCGCAGGCGCCGCATACAATCGCTGATCCCAGCGAGAATTTTGGAAAATATCATGAATAATAGTTATTTAATCTCCCCCCTATTGAGGATGAATTTTGACTTTGTGGCTGGAGTCTATCTCAACGTCTCACCCTCTTCCCATTATGTATATAGTAAATACATATAGAATGAAGAGGTATTTTATGTTCTTATCTCAGATTGGTTTCTGGCGCCATAGCCGCCTCCTAATCAGTGTGTGCGTTTTTCATACGGTTCATGTGACCGGACAAGGAGATTTAGAGGAAATAGTTCACTGAAAGAGATCACTGATGCAAGAAAAAAAAAAGCGAGAAGAAAATAGACAACAAGCAGAGAGAGAAAATGGAAATTGCATGGGGATATAGCTGCACAGGCCGCCAGGTGCTCAAGCGGCCTTTCATCGACTAAATAGGTTCTGAAACCGTGTTGTCATGAAACTTCTAGGATTTCAATACAACATGTATGTCACACTTGATCGACAGCGACTTTTCATTCGATGCCCATTTGTGCCATGTCAAATATGGTCTCCAAAGGGAATCACCAGCACTCAAATAAAGGAAACTAATCGATTTGCTGTGGGGACTGTTCGTAGGGTCACGTGACCATGGATTATTCCACATATTCTTCTCACTTGGCCTGCTTTCCCTTCCTTGCTCTTATAGCCAATCATACGCCTTTGATCGCGTCCGCTTGTTCATATCTCCTTTTTTCATAGGTTATGAGCCCTTCCTCTCTCGTTCTGAATAAGCTTACCGTTTGTTCCGATCCCCTTGGTATCCTCCAATACCATCGCTGTAGATTCGACGCACTTTGTCAAACTCGACGCGTTTTGGAGTGTTCATCATAACAACTCGGAACACCTTTTTTTAAGCGGTTCTTCATACCTGCTTGTTTCCGCTGATTCTGTTAACTTCAAAAGCTTTAAATCAGTTCGATTCATCCTGTTCAACACCCTTCTATGCAGCTCATTCGCTAGGCTTTCTCAAGTCCCGCTGCCGCATCTCCATACGTCAGCCAATCACAACTCGGATATCCACATCAATCCACCTCCCGCAACCTTATTCGGGTTACTCAGCGTTCACATAGCACGCTCAAACACCTACTTACTGGCCCAATACATCTCCAACATGTCGTGGCTGTATCAGACCAACAATGCTGTTAAGTCTCGTGAGGTTACACCAAAGCTGGAGAGAACAAAGAACTGGCGCGAGTGGATCGAGGAATTGCGAACTATTGTCGAACCTCTCGGCAATCATCTTCTCGAGATCATGTAGGGAGAGATTACGGAACCAACTAACGGTCTTTATCTTGTTCCACCCTCCGAAGAAGACGCCCGTAACATCATTGCGGATCGAGACTCAATCAAAGTCGTCGATCCGGCGACAGAGCTGGTTACAGTCACTACACTGGTGTTACACGAATCCATCTCCGAAGCAGCATTTGCCAGCTACTTCGAACATCGCTTTGAATGACCAAATGCTCGTCTCAAGCAACGGAAGATTAACATTGCTGGTGCATTCAACCATCCACATGGAGGAATATCTTCCTCTCGTCGATGACTGAATCACTGATGCAGAGGATTCGGACACAGAATCAGGAAAAGGAAAAGCCTATGCAAAGTCTCCAGTCTAAGCATCCAATAGTTTTCCAGGATTGATTTACCATTAAACATGGTATCAGCAAAGAGTTTCACCATTGAAACGACGGTCTCAATGGACTCTTTTGCGTTCCATTCAGAGCACTTGTACGCCGAGTGGGCCCGGTGGTAGTGATTACTGAAAGCAAGGATATGATTCTCGAGCATCTTTGGTGCGCAGATCGCGGCGTGCTGATCGACTGCAGGAACTAAAGACTCACTCAAATGGACATAGGCTAGGAACGGAATGGAGGAATTTGAACTTTCCCTTGTATTCATCAGCAGGCTTCGTCTCTCTCTTTCTTTATTATTTCCTCAAGAGAATTAATTATCATTCCTCTGCTGGTGTCCTTCTCTGACTTAGACTGTTTTGGCCGGCTAGCGGTTTAGCCGCTCTGTCTGTGCTCTCATGGGTAAGATAGAATCAAATACAGGACTTCGCCTTGGTAACAAGTCCTCGCTTTATTATCTGACGTGTAATCTGCATATTTTAGTTGTTGAACGTGGGCTTAGTCATATTTGGCGCCTAGTTAAATGCACTCTGCATCCTGGGCATAGCCCCACGACTAGCGCGGCGGTACAAATCTTACCCCTTTTTTTTCGCGACGAAGCCCAACTCCATAACCTCGATCTGGAATTCCTATTTTCAAGTCGACTCGCCAGCATATATACCCACGTGAAACGCAACTTTGCTTTGGTGACTCCTCGTCCAAATGGATGCGATATCCTCCGCATCGAGCGTTATTGCAGTCATCCAACTCACGGGAAGCATCGCGAAATTTTGTGGGGGCTACATCCAAGAAGTGAAAGATGCACGAAACGAGATCTTCGCACTTCAACAGGCGATTACAGGCCTAGAAGGAACACTACAAGACCTGCAAAAGTTGCTCCAAAGCAACAATGGAACGGTTCTATCTACCTCCTCGCAAGTAGTCAGCAATATGACTGAGTGCCAGGCCGACCTTCGAGCTTTGGAAGTGAAGCTTGATCCAGGAAAGGGAAAGAAGCTAATGAGGAAAGTGGGATTACGGGCCTTAAAGTGGCCACTGAAGCGCGCAGAAGTGGAAGGCATCGTTCAAAAACTTGAGAGATACAAATCTTCGTTCCTCCTGTCCTTGCAGGTAGATCAGACGTGAGTTTCCCAGCAGGCTCGTTGTCATAATCATATGCCCTAGGCTAAAAGATTAACCAGTTCTCTGATGGTCGATAAGTTTCAAGATCTTGATATTGGGAAGATAGAATATGTGATGGAGGCAGGGTTTGAATCATATTCCGATCGAGATGAATTCCAGTGTCTCCAAGGCACTAGGACCGTGCTTCTCCAACAGATCATGGATTGGGCCATATCACCAACTGAAAAAAGCATTTTCTGGTTGAGGGGAATGGCCGGCACCGGCAAATCCACAATATCTCGAACTGTGGCAAGTTCACTCAAAGACAAAAATTGTCTAGGTGCCAGCTTCTTCTTCAAGAGGGGTGGCGGTGACAGAGGGAACGCGAAGAAGTTTTTCCCGACACTGGCAAGGCAACTCATGCTCATAATTCCTAGCCTAAGATCTGCTGTTCACAATGAACTCAAGGATGACCCCGACATTGCTTCGAAATCGCTCAGGGAGCAGTTCGAGAAATTACTCCTATGGCCGCTGCTCAATATTGACCAGGTCGGTCAACAACCCGTTCGAACTGTGGTTATGGTTGTCGATGCCTTAGATGAGTGTGACCATTATCAAGATGTGAGAAATATTATCCAGTTTCTACCCCGTTTACAGAAGGTGGATTCGATTCGCCTCCGAGTTTTCTTGACCAGCAGACCTGAGCTCCCGATTAGCCTTGGGTTCTCAGAGATTACAGAGGATAAATACCGGGACCTAGCTCTCCATGAGATACCCGAAGAAGTGACCGAGCACGATATCCATTTGTTTCTACAGGACCGATTTGCGAAAATTAGACAGGACAGAGATATTTTTCAGGGCTGGCCAGGCGATGAAGCCATCCAACAATTGGTGACGATGTCCGTTCCACTGTTTATTTCAGCCGCCACCGTGTGCCGTTATATCGAAAATTCAAAATGGGAACCCAAATTTCGCCTAACCGAACTTCTCAATGACCAAGCAAAATATGTATCCCGAATGGAAAAAACATATATGCCAATTATGACGCGATTGCTGGACGATCAAGAAAGTGATGAGTCAGAGCAACAGCAAATTCTGCACGAGTTTCACGAAATAATCGGAACTATTATTCTTCTTGCTACTCCATTCTCCGTTAACACACTATCCGAATTTCTCGGCATTAAGCGGGATCTTATTAGCAACCGCTTAAATTCATTTCAGTCTGTACTAAGTGTGCCGCCTAACCGAGATTCTCCAGTGAGGACTCTCCATTTGTCATTTCGAGATTTTTTGGTCAAATCTAGCAGTCAATTTGGGGTTCATGAACCAAAAAGGCACAAAGAAATTGCTAAATCATGTCTTCAAGTCATGGAAAGGCATCTGCAGAAAGATATCTGCAGATTGGAACGTCCCTCCATACTCAGAGAGAACATCGATTATCAACTTCTCGAGCAATATCTACCACCTGAGCTTCAGTACTCTTGTCGCTACTGGATATACCATCTCGATCAAAGCCAGGCTGTATCCTCTAAGACAGAGGATGTGCTGTCATTTCTCAAAGGCTATTTTCTGTATTGGGTGGAGGTGATGAGTCTGCTGGATCTTTTATCTGAGGTTGTGGGTATGCTTAATTTGCTCCAATCGCTCATACCTGTAAGTCAACTGATATGCTATTGATATATCTCTTTGAGGCTTGAACTAATACACTTATATAGCACGATGATAAATCTGGAATATCCGAATTCCTATACGATGGAAAGCGTTTTGTTCTTAAGAATCGGCAGATCGCCGAGGAGGCGCCTCTTCAACTTTATTGTGCAGGACTCATATTTGCCCCCGAAACATCGATAATCCGCAGAGAATTCAAATCAGACTTCCCTACTTGGATTTGCCAGTTTCCAGAAGTTGACGAAGGATGGAGTGCTGAAATACAAACTCTCGAGGGTCACTCAAACAGGGTTAACTCGGTGGCCTTCTCGCCGGACGGCCAGCTACTAGCGTCTGGATCTCATGATTCGACAGTGAAGCTCTGGGACACGGCCACAGGTGGCTTACAGCAGACCCTCAATGGATCCTCACGAGTCAACTCAGTAGCATTCTCGCCTAATGGGAAGATACTTGCTTCCGGATATAGTCATCGTGACATACGGCTCTGGAGTATGCCGACTGGGGACCTACAGCAGAGTTTTAGAGGTTCTTCAGATGTTACATCCGTGGCCTTCTTCCCCAACAACCAGATACTAGCAACCGGCTCTTTCGATAAAATAGTACGGCTCTGGGATATAGCCACAGGTAGCATACAGCAGACTTATAATGGCCATTCAGGTATAGTTAGCTCTGTGGCCATCTCACCTGATGGCCGACTGCTAGCTTCCGGATCTGAAGATGCAGAAGTGAGGCTCTGGGATATAGCCACAGGGCATCTAGAGCATGTTCTTGAGAGCTACTCAGCAGTTTTTTCAGTGGCTTTCTCTCCTGACAGTCGGCTATTAGCATCTGGTACTGATGGGCAGATAATTCTACTCTGGGATATAGCTACTGGCAGTCTTCAACAGACCTTTGAGGAACACACAGACAGAGTTACCTCAGTAGCCTTCTCACCCGATGGCCAACTCCTAGCATCCAGCTCCGGTGACGGTACTATAAACATCTGGAATATGGCCACATCCAAGCTAGAGCAGGCTTTCGGGGGCCACCACGGCTTAACAGACTCAGTAATATTCTCACCCGACAGCAAGCTAGTAGCATTCTGCTCAGCTGATCAGACTGTACGGCTCTGGGATATAGCAGTCGGCAAGATAGTACAGCAGTTTGATAAGGACTGGTCAACCTTCGCTTCCTCTATAGCGTTTTCACCTACTGGTCAGCTACTGGCGTTGGGCTCTGGAGATTCTACTATACAACTTTGGGATACAGCAACAGGCGGGCTACAACAGATCCTTAAAGGGCACTCAAGCCCAGCTTGGTCAGTGGTCTTTTCACCTAATGGGCAATTATTAGCATCCAGCTCTCAAGATGATACCATACAGCTTTGGAACATCGCAACAGGCAACATCCACCACATTCTTGAAGGTCACCTAGGCACAGTTTGGTCTATGGCTTTCACGCCTGACAGCCTATTACTAGCTTCCGGCTCTGGTGATTCAACCGTGCGGCTCTGGGATACCACGACGGGTAGCCTCCAACAGACTATGAAAGGCCACTCAGACGTCGTTCGCGTCGTGGGCTTCTCCCCTGACGGTCGACTTTTGGCCTCCGGCTCTGATGATTCAACCGTGCGACTCTGGAACACCGTAACCGGCAGCCTCCAACAGACTATGAAAGGCCACTCAGGCATCGTTCGCATCATGGACATCTCCCCTAACGGCAGACTTTTGGCTTCCGGCTGTGATGGCCTGTCCGTGCGGCTCTGGGATACCGCGACGGGTGACCTGCAAGATACCTTATGCACAGAGTCATTTGTCAATCGACTGAAATTCTCTCGAGCCGGTTCAAGTTTAATCGTCAATGGAGAGACCTTCGAAATTCCGTCGAGGTTTCATGGTCACCGTGAGTGCGCTTTGATCTATGAAGAGCCAGAAATCTTCTATGAGAGATCTGAACATTGGGTATATGTTAGAGGAGATCGAATGTTATGGCTTCCTCCTAATTGTCGATCTGGATCTGTTGCAGTTCATGGGGACTTGGTTGCTCTAGCGGAACCATCCGGGCGGCTTAGTTTTATTCGATTTTGTCCCTAGTCAGCGGGCATCAGTAATTTGCAGTCTAATCATATGGCTCCTTACTGGCAAGTGAACATCTACTTAGGTATGAAGTGAAATAGTTTTATGAAGTGGCATTATTTGTCTAACTAGTAGGTGCCAGGCATTTGGAACACGCGAAGGGCCAAAAAATCAAGTCCTGGAGAAGAAAGAGACCGTGACAGTTCCGGCGTCAGAATTCGGTTATGATTAAATTATTCCTCGACCAAGTTATTACGATCACTGATAGATGGTTAGTGATAATCATGGCGACAGATAAGAGAAATACTAACGGAAGCTTGTGGTTGGGCATGAACCAAACCAAAATGATCGCCGGCACAGAGGCTGCCAGCGCAGTATAAGTCATATATCTCAGCACATCGGAGAACTGCGATACATATTAGCATTCTTCAAATACTCGGGTAGGGGTGTTGCAAACTCACAGCCAAGTTGACAGCGATACGCTCCGGGGATCCCCAAGCCGGCGCCACGCCAACAATGGAATTAGAGAGTGCTTTGACGAGTGCAGGTGTCGCCTCTGTACCGAGCCGGTTCTTCAATGCCTCTCCAATGGTATTCGTGTAAATGCCGCCCGCAATACAAGCCCCAATACTAGAGCCCAGGAACGAAAAGCAAACAACCAGCGCCGTCATCTGCGGCATTTGCCTATGGGACACGGATATCTGTGCAGGAACCAGCAAATTGGTCTGCATAATACCCGATCCAATACCTTGTACTATCTGCACGATGAAAAGTTCATCAACAGAATTCGATGCGCCTCGCAGCCGGATCATGACACCGTACCCGATCAGCCGCACAACCGCACCAACTACTATCAGCCACTTGTAGCGCCGTGTCCACATCATACATGCTCCAGCCAAAATGCCCGAAAGACACTGCATGACGCCGTTGGTCGCGTTGTAGAATGTAGCATCGCGGACAGAGAATCCCCGCGCAACTATCGCCCATGTGTACAGGTACGTGTGGGTGCATGCGAAGCCAATAGAGTCGGTCGCGATGAGGAACAAGCACAAGCTGATAGTTGGATTCTTGAAGTAAGACGGTGGCATGAACGGGTAGCGCGATACGAGAGTCTCGTAGAATGGAAAGGCTACCAGCATAGCAGCCCCGACAGCAATCAATGCATCGAGATACGGCGTCTTCCATCTGCTTGTCGTTGTCGCTGCGAGGGTAAGCGGGACTAGGATCAGTGCAAAGCCGCCGCTGAAAAGAATGACTCCGCCCAAGTCAATCTGCGAGCAGAAATCATAGACTGTCATTCGTTGGCGAAGCACGAGACCCATTTTCTTGGCGCGCATCTGGTAGTATAAAAGCGTGGTGATTATGAAGCTCGCGCCGAAGGGCATAAGAATAGCAAACATGCCGATTCCCCAGCGCCAGCCGATCCCGGCTACGACGCTTTCGACGATGTAGGCGGATATCCATGGTGTCAGGAGGAAGGGCGTGAAAGAAATACCAATTGCAAAACCGCGCCAGCGGGCGTTGCTGATGTCTGAGATAACAATGTCGTTCATTATATTTGTTCCGGACTGTCCCATGACATAGAGAATGTAGCCCGCGGCATACGTGTTGAGGGATTTGGCCGAAGCCATGATGATATAGGATAATATGTATAAGCTGATGGTCATCATGTACGTTTCGCCACGGCCCATTACATTGGAGAGCTTCGCGATCGGCGGCTTGATGACAGCGAAGAGCACTGCGCCGGCGGTGCTGAGTGTCGCCAGCTTCGACAGGGCGCCGAATGAAGATGTGGAGTAGTTGTTGTAGATATAGACGGTGGAGTTATCGAGTTCACTGGAGCGAGACGTTAGCTGATTTCCAAAATACCCGAGATTCCATGGTCACTTACTAGATCACCATGATCATCGCCAAGCTTCGAATAAATGTTAGTGTGGTCCGATATAGTTTCCAGATATGAAGCTTACCCAATGATGACAAGCCATCTGCCTTGCTTGCCCCAGACCGCAGTGGCTGCTTCGATCCTGGAGACACCAATCTCCCGCTCGACAACCTCCCCCACAGCACCCTTTTCCATCTCCATGTCGGGGGAGTGCGTTTCACCTGACTCTGCAGGTTCCGGCTGAAGATTCGTTTCAATGGTCTGGGTAATTTTCTCCACAATGAGAGCGTAGGCTATGTCGAGATAGTCCGAGAGAAGAAAGCCGCAGTAAAAATCGCCGATAGAATAGTGTGAGGACTGGTTCGGGTATATGTTGAGGCGTGTGATCCAACCCCCGTTCGGCCCCTGGACCCTCTATCGCCGGGGTAAAGCTTTTAGTTGACGCGAGCTAGCATCCTCTTGGACAAAGATGCGAGGCGTTATCGTGAAGTTCTTGGTTGAGCGATATGTGGACGCTTCCTTCCCCGCAACGGCCTATCAAACCCGGTTAAATGTACAAAGTATGATGTGTCCGGACCTCATAAGTGGCTGGCAATAAAATTATCGATGTGACATGTCTTGCTGTGGGGCGAGTGGCTCCGGCGAGGGGGTGGCTTGTGAATCATACCTTGATCCCGGTCTGTGCTTTCCTTTTTGATTCGAGGAATTGAATTCGATTGTCCCAAGATGGAAAGTCGCATTATCATTTAAATTTCGCCCAAACATGTTATCTTGCCATCCAATCAAAATCGTGTTGATGTTTAGTACATTGTACTAGTGTACTGTGTAACTCAACTTTTAGCCCAATGGGATCATGCATTTCGTCAGCCATCGGCACGTGATGTCGGCACCAAATATTGGGTTTTGAGCTGCAGATAACTTTTTTCTTCATGAGCGAACTCGAAATTTTGATAGATCGCAACCAACCTTCATCAGGAAAATGGGACATCATCAACGATAGACAGTGCGGCGACAGTACGATCCACGGATGCGCGGCTTGCGGGAGCGCTAAGAATGTGGGGATTCGGGGAGCGCCGCATGCGGAGATTGGTTATCAGCGCCTAGCTATAGCCCCTTCAGCCTTTGCCCTCAGACTCAAATCCGCAACACGCAGTGTCAGGATAAGTGAATCATACTAACTTCTGAGTGCAGCGCGTGTTGTGTAGCTAGTCTTAGTAGTCTGGGGAAGTGAGAGCTTCTTTCTCCTTTCCTCCTTCCTTTTCTCCCCATCCCTTCCAAAGGCTGCCATTGAGAAGAAATACTCAACCAGAGAGCTGGGATTCTTCCTCCCTTCTTTTCCCCAGGTCTACACTGTAGATCTACCACACAGTCATGACCAAAGATAAACTTCCAGTCTTGGTAGTGGGAGCTGGTCCTGTCGGATGCTTTACCGCATATCGCCTGGGAAAGGCAGGAATCCCAGTACGGATTTTCGAGAAGGAGTCCACCATCCCTTCTAACCCAAGGGCCGTTGGGTACTACGGTGCAACACAAGTGGTATTCCAGGAGTCGGGACTTTACGACCTCATCCGAGCTGAAGGATTCATGACCGCGGGACTATGTTGGCGCACGCTCCCGATCGATGACGGCAAGGGGGGCAAAAGGCTAGGCGATGTAATTGCCGCTCAACCTCTCTGCGACCCCAAGGATCCTGTCAAAGGCTGCCCGTCGGGCCTCCTTAACCTCCGCCAGTCGCAACTGACAAACTTGCTCCTGCAAGAAGCACTCAAAACTGGATATGTGACGATCCAGTTTAACAGTGAACTATCCAGTATCCAACAGGAAGATGGCAAGGTCACAATCGACTTCGAGGACAAAGATCTCCCATCTGCAGCTGGCTGTTATCTGGTTGGGGCTGATGGCGGCAGATCAAAAACTCGGCAGTTAGTCGGGATGCCGTGTCTCGGACATACATGGCCCGAGAGACTCATATCCACAGACGTCGTTCTTGGCAATTATGTGGATCCAGTCTTTCACACCTGTTTCATCATCGGTACCAAGAACTACACCATCATGACTCCCCTCACAGAGCCGGTTCTCGGCGAAAAGAGCTTGTGGAGGTGTGCCATACCCCCGGAAGACGAGCGATCAGATGAAGAATTGCTCCATGACGATGTAATTCAAGGATTCTATGACGAAGTGGTCTCCGGTCCACGACCTCTCTCAACCGAGATATCTGCAAAGGCCATATACCGTATTCATCAACGCCTCGTTCCATCCATGCGTAAGGGTCGCTGTGTCTTGGCGGGAGACGCAGCACATATGAACAACGTGAGTAAGCTTCCAGATATCCACTCAATATCCGATTCTAATTTTTTCACGCAGCCATATGGTGCTATGGGGTTGAACACAGGTCTTCTAGATGGCGATGCTCTGGCAGAGGCTCTGATCATGGTGTTGAACGAAGGTCGTTCCGACGATATTCTCACAAGTTACTCTGATGCTCGCCGGGAGGTATTCCAATATTTTGTTGATCCTGTAACAACGGCCAACAAGCTGAGACTTCACCTACCGAGCGAGACCGCTGCGGAGGATGACAGCTATTTGAGATCCCTGCAGAGCCCCACGTTAGAAGATCTAGAAAAAGGGGCCAGGCCGTATTTTGAGACGTGGAGGACTAATATGAGGAGTGGATTGTTCTAACCTTCCTTAAAGAGTCTGTGTCATGGTTCCTCGCATGTTTAGCCTTTATTAGCGTTCCCTCACCTTGTTTTTCTCTCTCTTACTTCTTCTCAATCCAACCCTCATCTGTGATCACCTCCTGCTGGTAGATCCTCTGTGACTTTGTTTGCAAAATGGAAGATTCTTCAATATCATTCCTTACGCTCAACTACTACCTTCGCTATCAGCCAAGATCTGCTTTGAAAATATGTTGGCATACATGTCTCAAAAACGACCCCATTGAAGTGACGAAAAGTGATCCGACCTGACTGAGATAATCTGGAGTACGCTTTATCTCCACCCGCTTGCTCTAAAACTGCTGGCACCTGCCGGTGTGTGATTTGGCTGCGAACTTTTTGGTTGCCTCACCCACGGAGGCCACGCCCACCTTTCACTGGCAGATTACCATTTGCAACTACTCTGATACGGCGTCCTGGCGTTTTCAAGTCCTTTACTCTCGCGTCAATCTCGACTTTCAACAAACCAGCCCTCGGGGCAGTATGCATGACGCTAACCAAAACATGACGGCCTCCACCGCCCCGTTACCAGCAGTTGAGGAGGTCTTCCCCGATCAATACAAGGATATCGACATCTTAGATGTCACGCATTTTGTCGTCCAGTAAGTACAGTTGTAGCTGATTTTTTGTCAGCTTGTTAATGAACTCATTCAAGACTCTCTCACGAGAGAATGAACGACATCATACAGCATTCTCTGGGCATTCCTTATGACCCGAGCAGATCTCTGCCATACTGGCATTATATCTGCAGGCTTGTGTCACAGACACTCTTTCAGAATGACAGCCAACTTGAATGGCTGAACACGCTTTACATCTGGGGAATCGAACATATCACCCTCACCAATCCCGAGCATAACGTCCCAGAGGAGAAGAAGGAAAGCCAGAATGTAACGCTTCGGGCAATAGAGATTGGTTTCTCAAGGACTCAACCCGGTGAGAAGTTGAAGTTATGCTGGCATCCGGCTCGAAAGCTCACTACCGAGCATGTTTACTCCTGTGAGTCAATGATCTTCACGTGCTTTCGCATACATCCAACGACTGTCGTGTCGTCTTGTTTTCTTTCGGCTGACCATGTTCTCATATAGGGTTGCAGTGGCAAAGACGCCAGGATCGTGAAAATCCTGCCTAGCAAGTAAACCCTCTCCGTTATTTCTTTTGCCTCTTCTCGGCTGATAATCTGTGCTTGCTATTCCCCGGATGGAAAGATCATCGATCAATTTCAATGGACATTTCGCCTTCTCTTTGTTTCTATTATTTGCATTGTGCGATCAAAGAAATAGTCAAGTTAGCCGTAGAGAGGTAGCTTCATTAGTCATCGGTCTGCAGCCAGGAAAGCGGCCTAGTAAGGTTTTATGGGCTTTAATGGGCTCCCATGGGCTTTAATCGGCTCCCGTGGGCTTTAATGGGCTTGACCCACTCCTACAGATCTATCCGTAACCTTATTGGTTAACTACCCCCACTTTCGCCCACGCTATTCCCAACAGCGCTAGTCCCCCTTTTCGTTGCGTTTTCTTTCCTTTTCTCTTGTCGTTTGTTTTTTGTTGCTTTGCCTTCAAGCACCAGTCAGTGAGGCAAACAATAAAGCACTGCGATAAACAGAGATAGAAGAGGGAGAACGCTGCATCTCATCCTGCAAATCTTCCCCATCTCTTGACAACAAACCTCTGAAGCCGAGATGGTTACCCAACCTATCGGCCTCAAACATCAGATTCATCATGAGGAGGAATTTAAATTGGCCCTTTTGAGGGGTCCGAAGCTGACAGGCCCTGAAACTTTCATCATATGGAACAAGAACCTGGTCGAGCATTGCAAGCTAGGGCGCGTCTGGGGTCTGGTTTCTGGCCAAGACCAACTTCCGGTGCCCCGGAACCCTCTTGACGCTGTGCTTCGAGAGTCCCATTTCCGTGGTTGGGAAACGCTTGATTCCAATATCTGCAGGTATATTTCCATGACCCTGGATCGCCAAATCAGTATCCGTGCGACGGATAATTGCGCGAGGATGTACAAAGAACTCTGTGACACTTATCAGCCTAAGCCCAAATATCATTTCAAACCTGGGGTTCCATATTGCCCGGAAAAAGACAGCTTAACGATACTTCAAATCACTAAGACGCTGTGCAAATTGAGATTAACGGACTTCGACTCGGTCGAGGATTATGCCCGTGAATTTGTCCAACTTCAAAAGCGATTGAACGCCATCCGCTCCACCTGTCGTGTCCCGCAATGGATGTTGAACACCTTCTTTATCAATGGTTTAGGTGACGGCTACCAAAGTCTAAAAATCTATTTTGAGACTCAAGAGAGATTCACCAATCCCGATGTCAACATGCACTGGCCTGAAATGGTCTCTTCAACCATGAATCGCGAATACTCACTTAAGAAAGAGGAAGAGAGGCGGTCGCAAAATGTGGCCGCTGGAGCTTCGCCTTATATGAACGAAGATGGGTATCTTTGTGGCGGGTGCAATGACGGCGAAATGCCAGTCTCGGACAAACAGTCGACAGATTCCTGCAAATTCAAAAGAATAGTCGCTGAGGATCCCCTTCCTATCATGGAAAAGAGAGCAAGAGATGAATCTTGTAACGAGGAACCACCGGCCAAACGCATGCGATGATTCCAAAACCTCAAAGTCTCAATTTGATATTTGAGAATATACTCGACACTCCAGGCCCCCAATCCATCGGAATCATTGCTTCACAGAGAGGCGATTGAGCCGCTGAAGACACCAGGAGCGAGCAGCTTCACCACGCATATACCCGGTTTCAACTTTACCGGTCGCATGGTATTGGTGATATTGATCAGCGATAAGAAGAGCATCTGCATTGGCGTCGTTTAGGTTCCGGGTTGGCTATCGAATCCTCGCATCCATGCCCTCAGAAACATCGGAAAAGTCGATTTTGTGGTTTATAAGGAATTTGGCGCGTCGCAGGGGGCCAAACTCTTCCAATGAGCCGTATAAACTTGCTATAGGCAGCAGGGACGACCTCGAAGATCCATCATGCATACGAAGCTTCTCAAGATGGAATGGATGTGATTCCCCCAGAACGCGCTTCGAGAGAGCAAAGCGTTCAAGGTGAAGTCAAAGATCAGGCTCTGCCGCAGGTCACGATCGAAGCAACAACACACGAACGCCTCGATCTCCTCGACTCTCGGCCTCTGTCTTGGCGCCCGGCGGAGGCAGCCATTCTCCGCGGAACTTGGTTCCGGTTTTCTTTGAGAAGGGAAGGCTTTGATGTGTGCAATCTTGGGTCGATATCGATGCATGAGTAGCGCGAGAAAGATGCTCCTGGTTATCAATTGCGAAACTTCTTCTCTGCCCAGAGCAATAAAATACCCCATGTATATACTTGATGTCTCGAAAACCCATCAGATTTCGCAGTTTGCGTTAGATATGACCATACTTCCAAGGTTCAATCAAGATTGACAAGAGCGCAAGGCGGGGATATGAACAATATCGAGCCGCGCAAACCTAATGCTTTTCCCGCAAAACAATAAAATCCCTTCGTAAGAGTAAACCAGAAGCAATCCGACGGAGTAGATATCGATGGAAGATCAAAAACAAAAAGAAAACCAAAATGGACAAAGTTGTCTTGTCTTGTCTTATCTTATTATTACTAAGGAGGAAAAAAAAAAAAAAGCAAAGAAGAACCGAACGCGGGGGTCGAACCCGCAACCTTAAGATTAAGAGTCTTACGCTCTACCGATTGAGCTAGCCCGGCTTATGAGAACAGACCACAAACTTGGTTATATAAGCTAGAACCTAATCAGCACTCAAAAGAATCCCTATCAGATAAAGTAGCCGCGCCACAAACGAAAGATGATTTTTTGCCAAGCCCTCAGCAATGAATACTCTTTTTTTTTGCTTCGAAACTTCAATGATTGTTCGAATACATGTATGCTCAATGAGAGGTTCAAATCTTTCAAGCTGGAGGTGCGATACATATTGATCCTCTGGAGAGACCCATCTATATGTCAACAGACATCTAGTCTGTAGATATATATCACTGAAGTCAACTGTGCATTGAACATTTGAATATAATATCGCCACCAGTGCAATGAAATATCGATGTTATTCAAGGGCTTGACCAGTAGGTAGTATGTACACAAATTCGACGTTTTTGGCAGTTAAAACATTTGAATGTATCACCAAACATTTGAAGCTGGAGATTGCTAGTATTTCCAAGGTTATGCTATGCACATATGACTTTTGGACATTGAGTTCTTAGTATGGGAGGTACAGATGGGAGATCGCACGTGCGTCCACTCACTCCTTCCAATTTCAGACATCTGGATATTACAAGGACTGGTGATCGCGTCTAGCTCTCAAGGGTTGCCCTTGAATTTATACGCGAACATTCCAATGCTGCCTTCAATCTCGGGCGGCGGCGTATCTGTCCAGCCTCCAGGGCTCGATATGAAGAAACCTTGGAACCGAGTGGCATCAGACCGCAAATTCGGGTGTTTTGATTTATCCCTACCAATGCTCATTTTTAACCTCGATGATACAACAAGATTTCCATCAATATCCAGAGCTGTCTGCCAAATCAGAGCCCGAGTGGCTCCAAGTTTCCCCGTTTTGGATCTGTGGCTGTTCTGAAATCTTGACTCTTTGCTAGTATTTACTGCGACATTATCACTGGACTTTTGTACTCTTCCCGCAGCCGAGCTCCTACTGATGAGATCTGCTCTTCAAGGCAACAATGAGCAGCGTCAAACCCCAGGCCTCCACGCTACCGCGTCATTACCCTTCCCGCCCTCTCGAAAACCGCGAAAACGAAGAATTGCTGCGCAGCAACTGCAGCGCCGATACCAAGACGGAGCCAAACACGCACATTTTCGCATCGGGGGAACCATGTCTCCCTCCGCCGGAGATAATCCGCGCGCAGACATAAACCGAGCTATTCATGGACTCAAAAACGTGCTACAAGTTACAAATACGGCCATACCGGGGAACAATTTACGAATTGGCTGGTGACAGCCACAGGGAAGGCTAATCATTGGTCGACTGGACAGGAATTATCCCACACTTCCCTTATCGTGCTCTGTACCTCGTCACACACATAGCTTTCTACGAAGAACCAAGGTAGTTCGAGATAGAATAATCCTTTCGATCTATCGACCACAAGACACATCGCAATCCTAAAATTGCCTTATATCAGCCCACTTGCGCATGGCTGTGACACCCTTGTGGAACTGGCAAACGCTCGAACCCGCCTTATCAAGATATGGGCGACCAAGGAGAACTCAGCTACAGGAACGATGCATGGTTGATGCAAGAATCATGCAGTACCAGCTTGAGTGGGTGTTGCAATTTGGTCGCTGTTAAGAGTAGGTCCTCGCACATTGCACCTTATCGCTGTGACGTGTGTCTAAGGACTTGGATTGATCCGAGGGCCCGGGTTCAACCACCGCAAACCCAGTGCACTTATGACTAGAAATGATCGCTCGGTGACAAATTACTTTCAAAGGTCTCAAATTGAGTCCGTCAATCATCGAGTCGGAACCATGTTTTCAAGATATAAACGAAAAGTGCTCGAATCGAGTTTCGTAGAGGAAACTCTTATCAACAGCCTCCAAGTGGGTGCAATACCCGCACACATCGCATTCATCATGGATGGAAATCGACGATACGCAAAAGCCCACGGGATGCCGGTTGCGCAGGGGCATTTTTTCGGAGGAGTAGCATTGAAAAGGGTGAGTTCTCTCTTTCTCAACCATAAAAAATTCAAACTACTGACTGCTACCATTATCAGACAATCCACCTTGCCTTCTCATCCGGCGTGAAGTGCATCACCGTATACGCCTTCAGCCTAGAGAATTTTCACCGACCAAAGGAGCAAGTCGATGATCTTATGGCACTAATAAAGTGGCAGTTAAGCCAGATTATTCAATCAGCGGAAGCAAGGGAAAAAGAATCACCTTCATTCGCAGTCAAAGTACTTGGTCGATTGGACCTCCTGAGTGCCGATTTGAGGGAAACTATACAAACGGTGGAAGAGATGACCCGCCACTCGGAGCGAACTGTCAATCTATGCATCGCATACACGTCACATGAAGAGATGAGCAGGGCAGTGAGAGGAACGGTGGAAGAATGCTATCGCGGGAGACTTACTTGCTCGAGTGTTACGGCGGAAACATTATCGGCGCGAATGTATACGGGCGCTGATCCCCCAATCGATATTCTTGTTCGAACATCGGGGGTTTATCGGTTGAGTGATTTTATGCTTTGGCAATGCCATCAAGATACTGATATACAGATTGTTGATGGTTTGTGGCCTGATTTTGGAGTTTGGGATTTGTTTTTGGTTATATTACGTTGGCAGAGAAAGCGAACGGCATAGACGGGGAGAATGCAGCTGAGTTGTGATCTGCTTTTCCTTTGCCTATGGCTTTTGGGCACGGAATCATGTTACTATCATGTTGCTTTCATGTTATGTTGCATTTCCATATCATATCACACCCCTGAATATTTCGCTTCTCGCCGAAAACGAGGCCCAAGATGATATCTCAACCCACGGTCGCTTGACTCTAATCTTGAGCAATACAAGAAGGCATCAAGGAAGACGAATCCCCACTGATCGCATTCCCTGATTTATAAAGTTTTGTCTCACATCAGATCCTCTGAACTTTAGGTATCAAGACTTGGACATTTCACCTCAAAAATGCTCGTCTTCAGCATCGCACCTGGGCTCATATAGGCGCAATAATTCATCACCACGGCTCTTATCGCAAGAAGATATGCCGGTGGCAAACACCTCACGGACCAGCCGCGCAAGATCCCCATATATACACCACGCATTTGGACGCGTCGATTGAGTTGCTACTAGCAGCGCTAGCAACTCGACTGATTTTTGGATCAATTCAGATAGGCCCCCATCGCAGCTTTAAGTTCTGAAGTGCTGATAAGAGAATCCCCAAAAGGCTAAACAAAATCCCAAATCGGGAGTTCGTGCAACCTTGGAACGTGTTCAGCGGGATGTGGGGACAATAGAAACCAGGCACCAGGAACCATGCGATCGGGGAGGAGCTTCATGAATTCTTGAGAACAGACCCACCGCCAAGCTTTTCGAATTTGCCGGAGAGATTATGTCGGAGCGCGCGATGTGGGTGAGATGAGGCTGGATGCTTGAGTCGCCAATTAGCGTTGCGTGAAAGCTTGGGATAAGGTGAAGTGGGCTGGTTCCAGTAGTGTAGATAGCCCGCTTTTGAACCATGGTTTGCAACTTTGGCCTTGATAATGGGTCTTTGGCTGGAGTATAGGGACCGTATCGAGGCCGTGAAATCGATTACCCGGATTCTTAACCATGGAATGTAGTTGCAGATCTTTATGAAGTAGGAATATGGGTGAGATTTGTTTCAAGCGTACCACACTATCGATATGACAGATGGATGGTCAGGGGTCATTATAGCCTGTATAAGGGTTTTGCCTGAAAGTTAAATATAAAGACAGCAAATGTGATTCTATTAGCCTATAAGCTATAAAATAAGAACTGCATATAGATTGCAGTGGCTTAATAAATGTAATGCATCGTTATTTAGCCTATATTTGTCAGGTGATCAGATCATACCTTTCGGGGAAGACGTGATCTTCATATTTGTTCCCCACAAAAGAAAATTCTATCCGTTAACGCCTAAGTCCGCAAACTCGTTATTCACCTTCTCTTGCTGGTTTGCCACCACACTTTGAGACATGCAATTTGGAATATTGAAATGCTAAATCCCACGTGGTCCAGGCTTCCCAATAAGAGCTATGTTTCTCCTTGCAAACTCAATCAGCTATCGAGTACAACCTCAATTTCAAGCACGCAGAAACCGTCATAAATCGCGATCGACAATGCCAAGGCGAGGACGATAACCAACATCGATCGCAAGAATGAAAAGACCTCGTCATTGAAAAAACCAAGGGAAAAAACCAAGTGTTTACGTCTTGACTCAGCTAGCGCTGCGTATCACACTTGCCTCCGGAGCGCTGAGTCGGCAAACAAGCCGGGACCCACACAAGCTAGTCTTGAAGCGGAACAGCACAATGGAGAGAATAGGAGTTATACGCCTGTAATCTCCCGTGAAATACGCAGCTCCCTTGGCAGGGCATTTCTCCGAACTCCACTCCTAACGAGTTTTGAACCATTGTGCAGATCACGCACAACGTGGCTCAAATTTCAGTTCCAGAAACTAATTGTGAACACCACGAGGCATGGTCTTGGCTGCATGGCATTTGTACAAAGTTTATTTTCCCTCGATCCCATTGTTTGGGGTCTTGATGTCTGTGCGTCCAGATACATACGGAGCACCTGGGCCTTTGAATTTTTCTGGTGCCTAGCGTACCAGCCTTTGTTTCTGCATGGACATGATCTGCTGGGACTTTCATTGCCGGGGATCATACGGGGGCCCGTACGGAGTATACGCCCGGCGAACTCATACTCGCCGAATTTGAATTTTCTTGCCAAAACACTTGATTGTCAAGCTTTTCACGACGCTAGTGGCTGACCTAGTGGGCGCCCTAGTGGCTGAAGAACCCACAGCAGAGGGGCCGTGGAGAAAGACAAGAAATAAAAGCGGGCAGAAGTTTGAGAATCCAGTTCGATAGGGCAGGAAACCCCGTCAGCCTTCCCGCGTCCGTCCCAGTCTCGAATGTTCTTGTTACCCTGAATGCAAGATGGAAGTGGGGCTGTGGGTTGATAACCAGTCTTCAGGGGTTGGTTCTGATTCAGTGTGTGACTACTCCGTTTCCGTGGAGGGGTTTTCATAAAAGATCCTTGGCTGCCATTCCGGGATTTCTGCTACCCTAAGGTCTCTTCCCGGGTCGGTCGCTTAAACCACACACATACAGCCCACCATGTCGAAGGTCATGATGAGTTTGCTGGTGCAGTGGGCGCTGGATGACGATAATTCCCACGACAGCCACGGTCTCAAGGCCCGTGAGTACGACTCGGCCAAATCTGTGGCAGCCAACTCTGCCAACTCGGCGGCTGGATCATGGATTATTGATCCTCTTCCCGCTCTTCAGCGACGTGGTTTAATTGCTATCGGGGCTTTGGCCCTTATTTCGCTCATTTCGACGTTTTCCTTGATTTGCTTTTTCACCTACCGCTTTATTTTCTGGAAGAAGTATTACAAGCGCTACATTGGATACAATCAATATGTGGTGTTGATGTACAACTTGGCTATTGCAGACTTTATTCAGGGACTTGGGTTTATTGTCAGTTTACGATGGATCGACAAGAACTCAATCCATGCAGAGGATCCGGGATGCTTCTTACAAGGCATCTGGCTGCAAATCGGCGACCCTATGAGTGGAATGTTCGTTTTGGCCATCGCATTGCATACTTTCATGCATGTTAGCTTGGGTCGTCAAATCAGTCACCGTATCTTCGCAACAATCGTTATCAGTTTGTGGGTTTTCGGTGTTATCCTGGTCATCATTCCCATCGCAATCTATGGTCGACACGTCTGGATGCCTTCCGTTGCATGGGTAAGTTCTTCACAGCTCAACTGAATTTGAAAACCATTAAAATCACAATCCGTGACCGATTACTGACTATTCCGCCCGAACAGTGTTGGATGACAACTCAGCACCCAGTCCTCCGCCTCTTCACTCACTACATCTGGATCTTCGCAGCACAGTTCCTGAACCTCGTCTTATACGCCATCATGTTCGTCCAACTCCGTCGAAGAATGGCCCAATCCAAGATCCTGGGAGCAAGTTACACCGAAAGTCTCCGTCGCCTTAACCGAGTCGTCTCATACATGGTCCTCTACCCAATCGTCTACATCTCCCTCACCCTGCCCCTCGCCGCCGGTCGCATGGCCTCCGTCAGCGGCAATTCACCAAGCATCACATTCTTCTGTGTCGCCGGTGCCCTGATGACGCTATCCGGCGCCTGCGACGTCGCCCAATACACACTCACCCGCAAGAGCATCGTACTGGAGTCCGAGACTCGATCGAAGGACGTCTCCCGCGACAAGACGAAGCAGGGATACGGCAACATCTACTCGCACCACGGTACCGAGGATAAGGGCCCATTTACGACCGTTTGTGCGGCGCAGGGTAGCTCGACTGACGCTATCGTTAACCCGGAAGAGGTGGAGTTGGCTACTGTTGACCATGTGTTCCAGCACACGACTATTACCGTGACTCATGAGCCTGCTTATTAGTATCCTTTGAATGCCGCCGGATCTTCCTTTCTTTTACGCAATACGTCACAGTCCCCACATACGTTCTTTTAATGATGTTTCATATTGTATATATTTCATTCTCATGATACCCTTTTTGTTTCACATATACAGTTACTTCTTGGATGTCTCTGGATTTTTCGGTGTTGTTCCGAACCCGTGTTTTGTGTCTCAGGTGCTGCAAAAAAACGCAGGTTCCCAAGTGGTCAACAGAGGGCGGGATGCATTATTCTCAAGCACTTGAGTACTCAATTCATCAATACCCTGCACAATTACTGTGACTGATCTTCCAGATGTCCAACAATACATAAAGCGTTGTTGGTTTTCTGTTCTCACTACACGTTTGAATTACCGCTCTTTACCCATATATTGATAGACCCTACCATATTAAGGCGGCACCTATAAATCGGTTCGTTTTATGTTTTGCGCTTCGTTTTGCGTTTCGCTGTCATGGTCAATTAACGCGCGTTGCCTATCTCAAGCCCTATTAAGCCTATCTAAACCATTTCATCTGCGTTTCGCTGTCACGGTTAGTGATTAACGCGCATTGCCTACCTATTTTAAGCCCTATTAAGCAAGCCTAGACCTCCGCAAGGCCCATGAAAGCCCAAGCCCAACCCTTGGGCCCACTGGTGGGCTTTGCGGAGGTCTAAGCAAGCCTATCTAAACCATTTCGTCTGCGTTTCGCTGTCATGGTTAGTAATTGACGCGCATTGCCTATTTCAAATCCCATTAAGCCTGCACATGTGTCTAAATCATTTCGTTTTGCGTTTCGTTTTCTTGGACTGCGCGTTGCCTATACATCAATCAAGGGCGACATCCCCTGATGCTGAATATGATTCTCTTGAGGGGCTGCCGTGGGGTGGCCCGATCGTCTGTCATGAAGATTACTAGTATGCACCCGATTTGGAAAACGCTTCAATCAAAACGGTTTCTACTCCCACCACGCTCTTTCCTCTTTCCCGTAAAGTCGGGGCGGCACAAGAAGGGCTTCTTCTGCAGTTTCGGTTATAATTACACTGACTGATGATGAAGCCGCTCTGGTTGCTAAAGCAATACGTGAACAACCATTACAGCACCGGATTGGGCGGCAGGATTCGACTTTGACTCCCATATCTACAGAAGTTTCATCATACATGCAGCAGGGTCGACTAAAGATTTTACGGTTTTCTAGGCAGTGGGCCAAGTTCTTAGCATGACTCGCTCACTTGAGCATGATGCTACGTATGCAAATCTGAAAGAAAAAGATCTGCTACAGGCCTTTTTGGCAGGTTCTTTGCGAAGCCAGTTCCAACGATTCTCATCTGAGGTCGAATGAGCTTGGGAAATTGGGAAGAACCGTTGTTCAAAAATCACTACGCTTTGCTTGAGAGTCTACAAAATTCTGCTTGAGGCCCAAAGGTTGGTCTTATGATTTAGGCTTTTTCGAACCAACTCATCACCTCTCCGTTATAGAAGCATCACGTGCATAAATCATTTTGTTTTGCATCTCGCTTCAATGTTTCTTAAACCGCGCGTTGCCTATATAACTTACTAGTTCATTGACCTTAACTACTGTATATTAATAATCATCACCCGATAATTTTGTTTTGCGTTTCGCTTCAATGTTTTCTAAACCGCGCGTTGGCTATATAATTTACTAATTCATTGATCTTACTGTATTAATCATCACCTCAATTACCGCGCGTTACACATAGGTTGACCTTTTGACCCTGATTAACAAATGCCACAGGCATTAACACGTGCACTCATTTTCGTTTCAAGCACTGTGTAACGTGACCCCGAGCACTACTGCTAAAAGAAAAGTCGCCAAGCTTGTTCGTTTCCTAATACCATGAATAGTACTATGGTACTGATCCTTCTTACCGCTCCTGGCCTGTGGCATCGATATAACCTAGTTCACGCCTCCGTACAACAAAAACGAGAACCCCATATTCAAATGTTCAAGAGAACCAGAAGAGCTCATTATATGTTAGAGAGTGGTATGTAGAACACACAAAATATGATCCAGTAGGCTCGACTCTCTTGAGACATCTGAAATGAGTTATGAGGTGGCCCAAAGGAAGTGCCGCCCTATGTAGGGCAGATGATCTTTGAATATAATGATGCTGACTAAGTATATGATGATTTAATCTGCTGACGTAGCCTGCGCTGGGACGGTAACATTTGCCCCCACGGAAAGACGATGGCCGTCCTCGGCGACCCACGCTAAACGTAAATGATAAGTTATACTCGTTTATTTGGACGACAGTAATATGCTTACCACTGCAGTTCGGATTTGGAGTGTGTCAGTCGTATAAGATCAAATATGAGAAAAAGTAGCGCATAGCCGAGCAATTGCAGAATGGCGCCTGGTCGAAATTTCGATCAATGCCGACTTTCCAAGCGCACCCGCAGGAAGAGAACCGATGAGAACACGGAGTTCGTTGCTCGCCTCCTCGAGGTCTTTGGTACAATCAGAGGTAACCTTCTTAAAAGGGATAGAATGATCGCGCTCTCTTGAAACGGTGGTCCGGCCGCCTGTACTCGCATCGTCTGTGCGAATAATAGAGGCCCGAACCGGCCTTTTGCTTCTTCGATACCGTCGGCCAAATCACTTCTGGAAGACTCTTTCGGACGGAGTCAACGAGCATATCGAAGATTCTCCCTTGGGTCAACTTTCGAATCCAGCAAATATCATTCCAATAAAGCACATCTTTTCACTGCCCACCGGCATCGCCTTTCTGCAGCCTACCATAGCACCGGAATCTCCTGGCATAGAGAATGGCTGTGGCGTCGTACACCAGCAAGAATGTATTCCAATGTAACCCGTGCTCGTGACTCCCTCTGTGACCTCCATTTCAATATCTGCCATTCAGAGCCCATTGTAAATCCCAACGACATTACCAACTCCGGAGCAATGCCCAGAGATACCGGTTCCAGCTATATGCACTTCCAGGCTTTGTAAGATTGTACACCGGGCGAAGCTCGCGAGAAGTATACCGGGCGGGTTTTGGAACTAGAATGACGGGATTATTAGTATGTGAGAGTCAGAGAGAGAACGTAGAAGGGCAGAAAAGAGGAGGGAAATAGTTATTGTAACAAACTGTGTGAGAGGGTTGCCGAGCACGCGCAATTTATTTGAGTAAAGTTGATTTGCTCCCTGTTTGACATGAATTTTCGCTGTTTGTACTCGTGTCAGAGTAGATAGGATCAGGAGAAGATGCGATCCGAAAGGAACAGAGCGGATCGAGAAGAGAAAGGAAGAAAGAAGAGAAAAGACAAAGTGATTGATTGATTGGTGGATTTATTGATCGACTTTGTTTATCGTCGGAAGACGAAAGTGATTGCTCTCAAGAGACTTCCTTGGGGTATGTGGACGCGCTATGCTAAGGTAATTACTAATTTGCATGAACTGCATACAAAAACCTCAAAACGACAAAGTGAGGGAACGCTAGAAGCTACGCGTGCGGGAACTGTGTCCCTCGACAACTCTCCAGCACTATGATTGTACTGGCAAATTCTACGCGAAGAGGATGATCCACGCGAGGCGTCTCAACGCCGGCCTGTTTAATGAAACTCGAAATCGTATCGTCGCTTCTATTCTTACATGTGATGGACCTTCTGGACTTGGCCGCTAAAAGGGGTGTTGCGACTAAAATTCACGACCTGACGGAACCAGCATTTGACATTCGTGCGCCGAATACAACCACTTGCGGGACAGTCATGGATATGCTGGTGTCAGATGCCCGATATGCGCTTGAGGTTATTGAATGGCCAACGCGATCAAACAAGAGAAAGAAGACAACGGGCCTTATCTGTATTCAAACGCTCTTACGCTCCGGGCCGTCGGATATGGGACATATCCAGGATGACTTGCTCGATGCCTATGACGAGCTTTGTGCTTTTATAGCCGAGCTTCCCGAAGACGACAATAAGACTCATCTAGAGAAGATCCGTCTCTCGCTTATTGCCTCCATCAAATCCCTCTGTTAAGATAACAGTTCTCCAAATTGTGCGACGCTTCTCACTAAATTACAACGGAAGTCGTCTTCATTATGTTTCTTTTGTATGGATATCGCAACGAAGTCATGTCTTATGTTTCACGATCAAATTGTTTTCTTTTGCGACGATTAATGTTTACTTTGACATCAGATCAGGTTTCTTTACGCCGCTGAGGGCAGCGGACGGTTTTCAGAGGGGGGCCCATGTTATAGTAGAGCTTAGTCATAGGTCACCTGACCTAGGTAGTGTCCTTCCTCTGGGCGGTTAGCGCCATATTTTTTAGAAGAATGAGCCATTCTACTTCATTTTACGTGTCCCACGTAGTCGACTCCATCAACTGGGTGCAGCATCCGACAAAGATAACCCATTGATTTGCACCATTATTGATAATGGAAACGGTTGAAGATCGAAATCTTGGAACTTGAATCCCTTTTTTTGTTTTCTTTATTAACTATCAAGTCTATGCAACCGATTTTCCTCGGCCTTTGCTTATTGGTTAACGCCGAACGGCCACCCTTTCACCAGGCTGTGTTGCCTGTTGTAGCAGAGAGATTTATCTGCCCTCTTAAGTCTGTTAATCTCCTTACTTTCTATCATTTCTGTTTCCTTTTCTTCCATCCTCCTATCTTTCGTTCCACACGCCTATCCTCGATGGTGGTTTCTTCTGCGAACGAAAGCCGAGGTGACTCCCACGAATATTAGAGGGTGTAAGTTTGCGTGTTGTGCCGAGAAATATCCTTCTCGAGCGATGCCTGAGCACTCTACAAGAGCAACTTGCTGAGCCATCCTGCCTTCATGAGAGATCTACGCCGAGCAAGTCGATAAAGACCTGTAGCCGTCTTATTCGATGACAGGGACAAGGAAGAAGATCTGAAAGTCGACCGTTTGTTACGGACCCTCTTGAAAGGGTGTGAAGCCGAGAAGGACAAAGAGTCTTGGTTACACCGAAACTCTTAATCCTATAATGCCAGGTCCTGGTGTATGCTGCGAGTTTCAAAATCAGAAATTACGTAGTGGCTTTGTGTATTGTTACTGTTTGATCTTAATATCTCGTATTACTATCTCCATAAATGACAAAGCCGGGATTCTCGTAGCATTCGAAACGTAACATCTCAGCAAACCACACAGGCTCCAGTTCTTCCTCCGGTATGTGAGACTCAGTTCACTGGGGCAAATATCAGACATGGGCACGAGGACGATGAGGCTCCAAAATCTATCTAATGCAAGTATTCACAGTAAAAAGAGTAAAATTCCACCGGCAGGCGGGCGAGAGACAACGCATGCGCGGAGTAAACAAATCGCCCAAGAGACCAATTGGTTTAGAGATGAAATTTGGTCAGACCTAGCTAGAATCCTGTTTACCGCAGTACATCGACTGGGGACGAATAGTCTTGCCATTATCAATCAAATTTGGGATAGAATTGCACCCCGGCGTGATGGAAGGATCTCTATAGTAATCGCCATTGCAGCCTGCATCCACATAGAAAACACACGTGATGTCGTCTGGGCAGTTCGAGTAGAAGGAGTAGCGTGGGGCCTTGCCCGCGATCCCGATGCATGCCCCCACATCCTCGTTGTTTCCGATGCTGACCACTCCGCCAGTGGTCGAGTCACATGAATCACCGCTATTGGCTTGGATGTAGCAGGTCGTAGCTGCGAGGCTACCAAAGGAAATACCCATGGCAGCGAGTAGGATCAATTGCTTGAGCATCGTGAAGGATTGGACAGGTTTAAAAGGTGCGTGTAATCTGTGAGAGACGTGAGTCGAAAGCTGAGAAAGAGGAATGTAACTTGAGGTTGGCTAGAATGAGCACATACCGGTTGCTCGTTCTGAGTCCAGGAGTTCAACTGTATGTTGCTTTCTTGACATAGAAGAGAGTGTGTGAAAGAGGAGAAAAGCACAAGCTTTTATAATACTCCGGGCGAGTAAAAGAATGTTTTTGAACTCGCTCGCAGGGAGAATGAAAGGATGCGGACAGAACTGCGCGGCATTCTCGGTATAGAGACGTCTCACTTGCATAAAAAAAGGAAAGAAAATGCGACATCGTAAAATCTGAACACGACTCCTCGATTTCCTGTAATCGGGCATGTGGCAGTGTCTCAGAGCCCGATGTGACACCTTCTAGCATAAGAAGTCAGTTAGATATAGTGAAAATTCGGCGACACAATAAAAAAGAGTGGTCATGCATACGGAAGCCTTCGTGATAGCTCTGATTTATCTCGCTTTCTGAGTGAAGATGAGTATCAGTTTTATTTGCTGTAGTCTAAAGATAGTGGAGTTAGCTCCCTGATTTCAGGGTCCGTACTTTAATCACTTTGTTCCTATTGGGCCGCATTCAATGCTTCTTACAGAGAAGCACATCACAAGTTCGATCGTATCAAAGTGTTTGGCAGCTGATAGGCTGGCTATTTTTGACGTTCCATCAATAAGCAGAATTAGTGCTGACCTGAGACCACTTTAAATTATGCAGTCCCGCCCCGGTGGGTGTCATGCATTCATGCACGATTATACTCGTTTTTAGCCGATAGTCAAGCCGAGCTCGTGTCGAGCTACCATCGGCGAATCTTATAGCAAGTACGCTTCGTCGGGATGCTTATTTTCTTGGCTCCGCAGGGAATTGTCCGCGGAATCTGGAGTCCGTACAATAGTCTCCAGCTCGTCATTTTGAAAACTCGTCTTCGGTGTTCACGGCTACGATGGATATACTATGTATCCCGGCATTGTTGCGCTGTCAGAATCCCAAAACTATGACCTTTTTTGATCTTGGAGTTGGCATGGCGGACTGAGAGTGAGAATAAATTGACCTAAATTGAAAATCCTGTGATTTGCGCCACTATTCCCTGCACGTGGAATCCCCTGGACCCTTTTTTTACCCTGGAGCGGGGCAATTGGCAGCCAATCGGCCGCTAAGATATATCTAGATCAATTTTAGTAATCACAGCCACCAAAAGCCACAAACTGCAACTCTACCCCTATGCAAAAAGTTCTGAACGTGGCCTCTTCTAAATGAAGTCCATGGGTCCGACAATCATTGCAGTGCTGGAGGCGAGCGAATCAAAGTCAACGAAAACGCGGGTTTCCATGAATATCGCAACGAAAACGCGAAATACGGGTCTTCTTCCTGATGCGAAAAGGGCTTGTTCCTCGGGCTACGATCCTTTCGATCAAGCGGAGCTTGGTGTACGCTAGTGGGATGTCAGCTTACAATTCCACAAAACAAGCCCAGCATCGAAAAGCGGATGGTTTGAAACACTCAAACTCCGATCGTGCCCAATCTATGAACCGGCGACACAAGGGCATAAGTGTACTTTGTCTATCGCCAAGGAACTCTGGCGTACAATACGAGCTATCCCTGTCGCTCCAGAGTCTAACGCTGTTTGCCTGGGTAGAGACACGGATGTAGAGGTGTGGCGTCGGTGTTTGCTGGAAGATTCCTGGGTGGACTTAACTTGAAGGGGAAAGAATAGTTTGTCAGCAAGATGCATTCAAAGGACCCGGATTGGGGATATTTGTCAGAATAGAATACGGTAGAATCTGATGAACGCAGAGCGATGGTCGAAAGATTTGAAAATCCTAAATCCCGAAACTCCGAAATCGATTGCAGTGCGAACGGTACTTCAGCACTGGCAGGATGCATGATTGTGAAGAAACCACACGCGTAGACGCAGGTAAGCATGATCTACTCTTGGAGGAAAGGGTTACCGAGGCCCTCGGTGCAGAAACAGGTATTTCACCAACCTTCCATATGCACAGTGTGCGATATCGTGGCAAAGTCTGCCCAATCATGGAGTTTCGGCGGCGCTGGTTCCGCATTATTGAAGCAGCAGGCAATTAGCCTACTTAGAAGACGTCAAGTAGTCTCACATAAGTAGATGCTGACAGAACTACAGTGTAGCTCTGGGGAAACGAAAGACAATGAGGTGGGAAGGATCAATCAACTACTATGTTGTATGCTTCTCCAGAGAGCGGGATGGGGAGAAAAAGAAAGAGGAAGGAAAGGAGAGAAAATCTCTTACTCTCCCGGACTAGCTACTACTATGTCATGCGCTGCTCAGACTACCCTCAGGGATGGGTCATGTGACACCGCATGTCCCGAGAGATTCAAGATACACCTAGGAGGAGTGTAGGCTAAGGAGAAGGACGTTTCATCGAACTGAAAATTTGATGGATTCAATCCAGTCAGAGGATTTTGTGCATCATAGAAGTTTTGTGGAGGATGTTATTTAACTGATCCGTTGACTAATTTTGAGGTTTAGTTTATAAAGGATATTCGCAGTTTCTGGCGTCCTCCTTTAAAGACCGCGTACTAAGGATCTTATTAAGGATATGTGCAGTTTCTGACTCGTACCGACGAAACGTCCTCTCACATTTCCCTCCTCTAAAGATCATACGCTAACTTACGGAGAGATTTTGATTTTATTAAGGATATGTGCAGTTCCTCTCTGGACTCCTGTCGACTCTTCCTCTAAATATAATACACTATTTCAGGAAGACGCTATGATTTTATTAAGGATATGCACAGATTTCTATCATCTCGAGTCGTATCGAGCCATCATACGCTAGTTTACGAAGCCGATGTGATTTTACTAAGGATATGTGCAGTTTCTCTCTCGAGTCGTCTCGAACCAACTCGACTCGTCTCGAGCGATGATATGCTAGTTCAGGAATAGTTTATGATTTTATTAAAGATATGTGCAGTTTCTCTCTGGAGTCGGCTCAAATCGCCTCGAGTCATATATGTCAAGCCATCATATGCTGGTTTACGAAGAGGTTGTAATTTTATTAAGGATATGCGCATTTTCCTCAAACAATCGTATCGAGACATCTGATGATACGCTAGTTTACGAAGCCGATGTGATTTTATTAAGGAAATATGCATTTTCGTCTCGAATGAACTCCAGTCGTCTCGAATCGTGAATCGCCTCGAGTCTCCAGAGCCGTCTCGAATCTTGAATCGTCTCGAGTCGTCTCGAGTCGTCATACGCTAGTTTACGAAGAGGTTGTCATGTTATTAAGGATATGTGCATTTATCTATCAAGTCCTCCGGATCCTCCCGAGTCCTCCTCCAAATATGATACGCTAGTTTATGAAGAGCTTGTGATTTTATTAAGGATATGTGCAGTTTCTTCTTCGGTGCTCTCCGGTGCTTTCCGGTGCTCTTAGGTGGTCTTGGGTGCTCTCGAGTCCTCCTCCTAATAGTACGCGCACTAGCTCATCATGGTATTATAATTCAATTAACGACATGCACAGTTTCTGATCTTCTATAGAAAGCATACCAGCCAGCTTGGGAGTGATACTTTGATTCATTATTGTAGAAAGCAGAACGGATCAGGCCAGCATTTCATAGTACTATGTTGACGTATGCGGTCGGCTGGATACTTTTTTCGCGATATCAATACCTGAGGAATATTTACGCCAGAATTCGCGTCGACTAATAGAAGTATTTAATAGACATGTTTCCACCATATTTTCTCCCTCTGCTCCGCCATTGTAGGTTCGATCTCGATTCCCAGCCGAGTCACAGAGCCATCGGGTCCAATCTCGAACTCCACTCGACTGGGAGTTGGAACGTCCCACGACAATCCAATTTGGTACCAGAATGTGCCGGAAACGTGGAAAAAGTACAACTTCGTATCTATAGAGTAATCGTTATGTCTTGGCAGTATTGCGCAGAGGTCAGGCGTTGTCCAGTTCAGTCTCTTGTAAACCCGCTCGTCCCCGGTACAGTTACTAGAAATTTTGAACTCTGGGTAAGCTGGGTGCGTGTAGGATCCCTCATAAGCGGAGAAATTGACGGGGCTTGGAAAGGGAGGATCGGGGATTGTAGGGTAGAGCTCTGATAGGATGTTTTCGGAAAGATGGGTTTGGTTGATGAGTGCATCGCCTCTGTGTTTGACGAAGCAAAGTTAGCGGCTTCGGTCAGAACAATGAGAAGAGGTTAAGAAATTGCGCCAGGCGCGACTAAGTCTTCGCTTCGTGTACCTTGTAACCCAGTCAAATCGATCCTTTAGGGGGACGCCCAATTCTTCGTCAATTAGATGATAAGCGAGGACATCGGCCGCCACACTAACGCCATCCATGTTGTTTCCCAGCAGCACAAGTCCGAACTTTCGCTGGGGTAAGAGCATAACGGATGCTCCGTACCCGATCTGGGAGCCTCCGTGAAATACCATCATCTCACCCTGGTATGCTGCTGACATCCATCCTAGTCCATAAAGCGTGGGGGTTTGGAACGGCTCAACCGCATTTGGGGAAACGATAGAGTGACCACCAAACAATTTCGCATAGCTTTGTTGAGAGAATGGTGGCTCCTGGTTTAGTAAAGTGGAAATCCACTTTGCGTAGTCCGACACAGACGAGAGTACATTGCCTGCTCCGCGAAGGGTATGTATAAACGTTCTCTCACTGGACGCGAATTCGCCCTCCAGATTGACATAATACCCTTGGGAAATATCGGAATGTGCCTTTTGAGCTTCCGAGACGGAAAGATACGTCTCGGTCATATTCAAGGGCAACCAGATATTTTCCATTAAGAAGGATTCCAGGGATTGGTTTGTTACGGTTTCGATGAGGTGAGAAGCAGCCATATACATAAGATTACAATATTGCCATTCTGTCCGGGGAGAAGCTGTGAATGGGAGATCTCTCATTGAGTGTACAGCTTCCTTTAGTGTGATGTTGGAAAGCCACACCCAGTCGTGGCGCGGTAAGCCAGAACGATGGGATAAAATGTCAATGATCGTCATTTGCGATGTAGACCAAGGATCACTCAGAACGAAATCCTCCGGAAGGATAGAGTGCACCGGGGTATTCCAATTAATGGATGGGAAGTTGAGCTCATCGTCAACGAGGAGAGAGATAGCTGCCGCAGTGAAGGCCTTGGTCGTGCTTCCTGTGAAAAATAGAGTGTGCTCCGTCACCGGCTGAGAGCTGATGATATCGGAGAAGCCATAACCCTGTTGATTTTTCTCGTCAATCTCGAGCATCAAGCACCGATGGAGAGACGACTTTTGAAATACAGGGTGACTTACTTTGGTATATGTTTCTTCCCGAACGACGGCTACGGCTAGACCAGGAATCTTGAAATGTTCACGAACCCAATCAACCTTTTCGTCAAAGCTGTCGTCTAAAGGTAAGCCTCTGGAATGGTGCTCGTATACTTGAAGCGGCTTTTGTAAGGCTACAGCGCCGTAAAATAGAAGCCATAGAAAGATAAGGGTCAGCGACAAGCCCATTTTGGACGACGCAACAGAGCATCCACGCACGGCAATTGGAGAGTAAGTGTGTGAATTTGGCTAAACGACAGAGAGGCAGCGAGAGGGCCTATGAGACAGAATTTGTATTCTTATAAGCCGCGGAGGATACAGGTAGAAAAGAGGACTGAGCAGAAGCGGGGAAAGTATACAGGCATCAGTATTAAGGGGCGCACTAGTCCCAATCAGGAATTTGACAGCGACAATTCAGTGCATCAATCTGGTATGAGGTATTATTTGCTGACAGAAATTGAACACGTTGAAGCAGATTGATTTAGGGAGTCCGAGCCCCGTAGAAATATTATAGGTGAGCGCGGCAGAAAGCTTTTAAGGATCGAACGCATGAGGCTTTTGGGTTCGGGGTATCGGAGTGGATCTCGGGGTGGGTCGGAGCGGAATTACCCGGCGGCCCGAGTCACAGGTGCCATAATGACTATTCAAGGTAACCTCCTTGTCGATCTTGAATTCATACCGTGTCATTCATCGGGAATTCCAAGGTCGGAATGATTGACTCCAGCCACGGATCTCCTTGCAAGCCCAATGAGTCCAGCCATGCCATCCACTCCGGATCTTGGGCAACTATATTGGGAAACTCGGCGCTCATGGAACTTGTTCGCTCCTGGAGATGCTGATCAGATTGATCCACATGGCGCACAGTCAGCTCTTCCGAGCTGTTTCTCTGGGTAGAGTCTGTCCGGTTGAGAATCGAATCAAGACTTTTCGAGAATATTGACTGGGCTTGCTTGCAAATTTGATAGTTACTCTGCCCAGATTCTGTCAAAAAGTCGCAGCATGAAATCAGTACACTGATATCCTGGATAATCCCGCTTCGATTCACATTGAGTCGTTCTTCGGGAGATTGGTCTTGCCGCAGAAGCTCTAAAGTCAGAACGCTTGCGCAAGGCATGGCATAAAAGACGAGCTGTCAGATTTGTAAGCTTGCGGGTCTTGAGCTGGAAGGTCTCATATGCTTTTCTGAAATGTCACCACTTACAGTCCATTCCATGTCTGCCCTATGGCTGTGCAGTAGATCCCTGTTTCGCGTTGGTAAAAGGACAAGGTTGACGATCTCGTGTGCAGTTATCATGGTCCTCTGGCGACTACTTTTGCTCGAACGAGCAAGCAGAGAGTACAGAAGAAACTCCGTATAAAGGTACTCAAGCCGCAGATTTAGTAGGAGAAGTAAATATTTGGTTTCACCTCCATATTGTGGCGCGGAATCACATTTCAGGTGTGATGGAATTGCCTGCCAAGTCAATTCCAACTTTTGTAAGATCAATCTAGGGCTAGAGTTAGTTCCAATGAATTGAAAAGTCACGGCCCTAGTACTTACCCTGCCTTTGTCTCAAGGTCCGACGCTTCAGGCCCAAGTTTGAGTTCCAGGGCCTCTTCACGAACCACACCCAGCATCAGCTGTGCTCTCTGGCGAGAAACTGGAAATATGGCCTTTTCTTTACTCCAACCATCCGCGTCCAAATTCTCAACAGCTCTCAACAGTCCTTCAGTTGGTCCCATGAGAACAGAGTCTTCTATATCGAGGGGCAGTTCAATTGCGCAAAAGTGACGACTAAGACGAACAGGTCTGTTGCACACACTGTCAGTAGATATATGGTGTCTGTGCCTAAGAATGAGATATTACCGTGACGTGAAACCTGCACAAACTTTGTCAAGGTCGTGTGCCCAAGCGATCGCTCTTTTTCGAGTTTCTACCATATATAGAGGTATGGAAGGATCATTCTGGACACCCCTATGGAAACCCAAGGCAATAAAGACGGATGTCATATTACCTATGAGCCGTAACGCATGGTAAGAGTCGTCACCAAAGGCCCATGTGGCGAATAGAATGGTCAGCAGTGTGAACCATAGCGTGAGATCGTTAATGGCACCGACTTGGTCACAGAACGATTCGCACTGGATGCAAGCTTTGAAGGCTCTTTGCATTAAGGTTTTGCGATCTGATTTCCACCCTTGGTGGGCATATAAGCTGAATGATTTGTCCTTTTCCCCACCAAGGTACAATCCTATCTGGGCACAGTATAACCCAAGAACCTCCCAGCGTAGGCCCCGCACAGAGAATATTGACTCTAGTGCACCGGCAGCTGCAGTGGGGGGAAATATAGGTGGCGAAGAGGTACGCTCAAATACCGCCTGGGAAACTGAGTTCAGGTTAAATTCAGAGCGATCATCCAGCAGACTTCGTATGGTATTGTTCGTTGAGTTCCATGCTACCTCGAGCAGAGGTCCGTGAAAACATAACTCCATGTCATTAATTGAGAACCTTTCAAGGGGTTCACCAATTTCGATCAGAAGTTCCAAAATATCATTCAGTAGTCTTGCCCCGTCGGAGATTGTTTTCTCGTCAAGTGGAGAAGGCCGAGGAAGAGCCACGCCAGTTCTTGTCAGCGATGTATAACTGGGGTGCGAGTGTGGGGTGTTTGGGTCAGCAAAGCACATCAAATGCCTGTTCATGTTGATGGGTTCGTAAGCACGAGAGTCTTTCGTCGGTGAGCTTGAATCTGTTGCAACAGAACTGGGAACATGCGACTGGGCAGGTGTAACCCTTTCTCTTTGGAGCCTAGGCTGCTTTGCCATCGGAGCTGGGTGATAATGACATTGTGGTGCTGGTAGGCGGCGACGCGCACACCTGCCACAAGTAGGTCGACCGTGATCGCATCGAAGTTTTGATTTGCGACATGGCTCACATGAGGAAAGCTGGCCGTTACGTCTGATCCTGTCCGACATTTTTGCAGATGGCGTTTTGCATGGAGGCGTGAGGAAAGAAGGAGATTGGATGTAATAAAGTCGGACTTTTGAGGTCCGACGCCGAGTGGTGAGTCGGAGCTCGGAGCTCGGAGTAAATTTAGGATGACGTGAGAAACGCGTTTCGATAGCCATGCGAGTGCCTAATTTCAACGCAGCAACTAATTGAAAATCAATATTTGAAACAGCCACGAACATTTCTTGTTTTCAAACTGAGGATAGTTTAAATTTCGATACTAAGCCGGAAATTTTGAGGCTCAGCAGTGATTCTGTGACCCACGGAAATATTTTCCTCCGCGTCAAAACATCAGGCCAATTTGAACTCAAATTGATCGCTCAGAGTAATACCCCAAACGCAAAACCAACCACATTTCATGTCCAGTGCATATCGAGAATTTCGCATAACTAATGCCATACTGATTATGAATACAGGGACAGTCAGAATCCGACCAATCAACTGCAATCTAGTAGGCAGAGCAGCAGCCGCCAGTGTTGGCGTTGGTAATGCAGGATCAACAACACGTGGTCACCATTTGAACCTTCGAGACTCGAAAGGTCCAATGACCAGCCATTATCCAGACAGCATATTCAGTCCCTGTTCGATTTCCAGCAGTTCTTTTGCCAGCTATGAATCTCGGGTCCACATCTTACACGGGTGACTGAGTGTGAGTCGGAAGTGCGAGAGAACCATGCAAGAGCTCCTTGGGCGCTATTTTCCGGACTAAATCTGCGGATGCAGTCTGACTGCTGAGCGCTTATCCAGACGGTTCAGCGATGGATCCCGCAAATAATTCCGCCCGACATGAGGAACTATTTTCCACTTTGAATCTTACTGGCGGAGATTCCAATGCTTAATCAACATCCGCTTTTAGTCCAGGGTCCGGATACTTCGCAGGCTGGCCGCTGCAAGTATCCGGAACCTACACGAATCAGGAGTATCGTGCATAGTAGGATTTATTATCCAGTCATGTGGGATGCGGGATGGTTTGTCATGCTTACATATCCGATCGGGACGGCAGCGTCTTGTTTCGCACATCCCACATCCCACATCCGGCCCGCTTACCAACCTTGAAATTCCCACCAAGACCGTTGATTGGCCTGTCAAGCCCGAATGATATGATTCGGTGGGGATATTGCGAGAAAGCGACAATCCTCATTGGTCCGGTCTTTGGCATGGCTTGGATTAGAAACCGAATTTAAACGAAACGAACAATGCCGATGAGCCATTATTCAACCGAATGCACAAAGGACACCTAATTGAGTGGGTATAGATACGGCACTCGATTCCTGCCAATTCCTATACATTTTCCTTCCACCACCTCCAACTATCAACCAAGACTCGATTCAAACAACTTCACAATGGGCTCCACTGCTGTTGAATTCAAGAACCCGGCAACCACCTCTCTTCTGGAGTTGGTGAAGAGCCGCCGCACTTACTACGGACTTAAGGCCGAAAGCCCCATCTCCGACGATGCCATTGAGCGCATTGTTCAGGATTCCGTTCTCCACGTGCCCAGCTCCTTTAACACACAGACTTCTCGTGTCGTACTCCTCCTGAAGGAGGAGCACAAGAAGGTGTGGGATATTGCTATCAGCGCGATGGAGGGCCTTGTCGCTGCGGGCGCACTTACCCAGGAGGCTTTTGAGGCTTCCACCAAGCCTAAGCTCAACGCCTTCCGTGAGGCTTATGGAACTGTATGTATTATCCTACATGAAATTTATCTCCCCGGCATGCTTGTTCGCAAAGCTAACATGTGATTAGGTTCTTTTCTTTGTTGATTACGAGTCCCTCGACTCTATTAAGGAGAAATTTGCCTTGTACGCTGACAAGTTCGACCCCTTCGCGCTCGAGTCCAACGCCATGTCTCAGTATCTCGGTAAGTTTTGATTAAGTTCCGAACCCCAAGAAAAGTGTATTTCCTAACGTTTTCTAGTCTGGCTTGCCCTTGAATCTGAAGGCTTCGGTGCCAACCTTCAGCACTACAGCCCTCTGATTGATGCCGAAGTCTCTAAGACCTGGGACTTGCCTGCTTCTTGGAAGTTGGATGCTCAGCTTGTGTTTGGTGCTCCCACTTCTGAGGCTGGCGAGAAGGCTTTCCAGCCTCTTGACACTCGTCTCAAGGTTTTCGGTAAATAAATATGCCTATATACACGATAGAAATTAAGTATCACGATAGAAATGAAACTACTGTTGGGTGACTAGTTCACCTATATGACTATTTATTCTCCGGATTACAGGAACAAAACGAAAAATCTAATGGAAGCCCGCGATGAGCAAACACTTCAGGATTTGTTCCCACCGAAAGTAGCCTAGACCATCACACGCCAACTTTCAACGATTTTTGATCAGATTTTCTTTCGCCTTGCGACGCTCAGCTCAAGCTTTGCGAGGCCAACCTTCATGAGGGTCTTGATATTCTTCCGCATGCTCGCCCCGCATCCATTTCCTTCCGACCTGCGCAACGACATTTCTGTTCGTGCTTCGGAACTTCGATTCGGATATTGTTTGGGACTCCGACGAATTTCTCATGGCATTCCACTGAGGGTCACCAATAACAAGCCAGGATTTCGAATAGAGCATACCAAGTCATAACATATTTTGCTACGCTGTAAAAGACTCATTATTGCGCGATATGATTGGTTTTGGTACATGAATGATAGAGAGTCACATGCTCCTCTCAGTGTATCAACGCTCCCCTCTTTACCCCTTCTATACCCCACTTCATTCATGCCATGCCATGCCATCTCCGTGGCAGAGAATCATGGATGGAACGTTCATACATAGTACATTTGTATTATACAGTGAGTATATGCGGGCCAGGCTGTGCAGCGAGGACGATGGGGCTGTGTCGACTACGCACTTTTTTTTTAGGGACTGCATCTGCATGCATGAGCCGACACGTCACCGCTGAATATTTCTCGCATTGATCATTACCCCGCCACATTCCTGCCAAGTCCGTTTCTTCAAGTCCCTTCCACAACTTGAAGAAAATACTTTACTTCTTCGAGTCGATTAATTTCATCAGCAGCGTGCCAAGGTATACAGCTGAAAGAGAACAAAAACCCAGCAAAAGTAGCCGGTTTGAATAGCGTTCTGGGGCGTTTCGTCTACTGAACAAACCTGAGTTCATTTGGCCTGAAAGATTTGTGTGAATTCAATTCTCCCAGTGAACATCTCCTTGGAACACCATGGCATCCTTGTCATTTTACAAAAGCATGTCATCTTTATCATGGTACTGTTGTCATTGCACTGACGGCCCTCACGCCGTCAGTCTATACACAACCTGCCCGAATTGCAACAGTCCTCGCTGCGATACATGCAGAGAAGAAGGAGAGTCCCTTGATGGCCTCGATCGCTCCTCCGGTCAAATCTCTGGCGAGGAAGAGTCCGTACAGTCAACCCATGACTTACCAACTGAACCCCAATCACAAACCAATGGAAAAGAACGCGTTGCCATCACAACAAAATCTGGAGTATGATTTCCAGCCCAGGCCGGTGGATAGTATTCCTTCAATCGGCGGACACAAATTCATGAGACGATTCTATGCGTGTCGAAAGGGGGAATCACTATGTCGGCACTACCACCAATGTCGATCACTCGGTTCCCACACCTTGGATATGCTGAATCTTCTTCTAACCAATTTGAGCAAAGAAGTGATAAAAGAGAGGTCTTTTGGGGCCCCTATGCTCGGGAAGAGGTTCATTTGTGCTTGGTCCTTTTTTACAACGTTGTGTGCATCTTGTCGTTGCTTATATATTCATTGGCCAAAGTTCTGACCTCGCCGGGCAGAGACTTGCAAGATTCGTCGAGAAAAAAAAAAAAAGGCTGTACATTCCATTCAAACTATTTTTTTTTCTTTTCATAATATCCGACATGAAGAAGTGATGAAAAAGAAAAATCTTCAATTACAAAACAAGTTGATTTTGAGGCAAGATGGTGCTGCCTGCATCACGGTCGCATTGAGACGGACAATTATTAGCCGCTCGCTTGGGCTTGCTGACATGAACAGCCCGGGTGGTCTAGTGGTATGATTCGCGCTTAGGGCAGCAACTCCTAAGCACTCCTGCGCGAGGTCCCGTGTTCGATCCACGGCTCGGGCCGTTATAACTTTTTTTGCCGCGTCCGCGACCAAAAGTAGTAAGACAAAATTAGTTAACTCATGAATTGATTTACCTAGTGTTGGGCGTTACATGCTAACAAAACTAATATAAACGAACATTCATATCAAAATATCAAATAAATCGACATTTGAATCAATCAAAATTCTCAAAATCAACACTATCAAATTCCCCTTCACCAATATTCAAACCCGAATGAGAAACCACTGCCCGACCAACAGATTTCACCAGCCTAATCAATTGCCGCACATTCCAAGCAAGAGACCCACCGTGAAATCATCGAAATTCGTAACCACAATGTCAAGGAAGCCGTTATCATTGAAGTCACCCACCGCAACACCTTGCGGCAAATTTCCCACCGGAAAGATGGTCTGCGGCTGGAAGGTCCCGGTTCCGCTTCCGAGTAAGACACTCACTGTCCCATCCCCACCATTTGTAGCCACGATATCGAGATGACCATTGTTCGTGAAGTCACCAACTGCCACGCCGAATGGTAAGGAACCCACCGCGTAAGTGGTCTGTGTATGGAAGCTTCCGGATCCAGTTCCCAGTAAGACGCTCACTGAATTACCACCATAGTTTGTAACCACGACATCAAGGTCGCCGCCTTTTGTTAAGTGGCCTACCGCAATACTGAGTGGCTCAGACCCAACTGCAAAAGTTTTCGCTGTCTGGAATCTTCCAGTTCCTGTTCCGAGTAGAAGACTGACCGTATTTCCATGATAATCCGCAGTCACGATATCAAGATGACCATCCCTATTAAAGTCTCCGACTGCAACACCCCTCGGAAAGACGCCCACAGCAAAAGTAGTCTGTAGCTGGAAGGTACCAGTTCCGGTGCCAAGCAAGATACTCACAGTGTTATCGTTGGAATTGGCAGTCACGATATCGAGATGGCCATCCCGGTTGAAATCGCCCACTGCAATTCCATCCGGGCCAGACCCCACAGCAAGTGTCTGCTGTGTCTGAAAGTTTCCCGATCCAGTACCAAATAAGACACTGACTGTGTTGTCGATGGAATTGGCAGTCACAATGTCAAGGTAGCCACTCTTGGTAAATTCCCCTACTGCCACGCCCCTTGGGTAAACCCCCACCTGGAAAGTGGTTTCTGGCTGAAAGCTTCCTGATCCGGTCCCTAGCAAGACGCTCACTACATTACTGTAGATATCTGACGTCACGATATCAGGGTGGCCGTCTCCGTTGAAATCTCCCACTGCCACGCTAATAGGAAAGTCCGCCCCTACAGGGAAAGTTTCCTGTGACTGGAAGCTCAAGCTGCATGCTGGTATGCAGGAGCCAGCTGAGCAAGTCGAACCGGGGGCGCACTAAAAACCACTCAGTTATCGTCATAAACCTCGAATATATGTTATATAGCTCAGTTGACTTACACATTTCCCGTTACAGACCGCAGACGGACTGCATTCAGAGCACACACAGCTGTTATCTCATGTCAGCTTTCAAGTGAACCGATGGGGAGATATAGGACGGTCAAGAGAGAGACTGACCTCGCAGGTTGTCCAACAATCAGTCCAACGACACTTGGAGACGCGTCCCCACTGCTGCAAAAGCCCGATTTATTCCCTTGTTTTCGACACTTGAATAATCCACATGTCAGTATTGATATGAATCCTTATGCGACACCTGTCATACCTGCGCATCACAAATAGCCGGGTTGCAACCAGCCACAGTAGTCACAACCCCAACTCCGATGCTCCCAATATCACCACCGCCAGTATCGATGTCAATACCGCCGCCATCTCCATTACCAATCTTGTTACCAGCAGAAACATCAGATCCACTAGAAGGTTTGCCCAATTTGTCGATGTCATCTCCAGAAGACGCAGTAACTAGCGCACAAAAAGAAATGATAAGAAGACGGAAACGCATTTTTGCACAGCCGTTAGCTGAAATAAATAATATAGAATAAAAATTGATATTCTTCTCTTCAATGTTTTTAAAGAAAGTGTTTCTACTCATCTAGTGGAAAGAGTCTCAAGGGGAATCAATTATATATCGTGCGCTCAGTGCTGCCAGTTGCCTTGAGCTTCAATTCAATGTTTAATGGACACATAGAGTCGAATTCAAAGACGTTATTCCCGGAATGTCAAAAAAGCTTAACTTTTGACTATACAAACTTGTGCAAGACCTTAAATTGAGCTCAAGGGGCTCGCGGAATGCGTTTGGATTCCGGAGAAATACTCCGGCAATAGGACCGAGTGACATCTGGAAGACGGAATCTGATTTTCCCCTGCAATGGACAAAGCTTAAACAACTTCTGCACATTTCCGATCGTACGGGGTGAAGGTCCGGGGAATCTGCCATTCCATAACTTTAATAACATTGAATATAGTAGTAAAATTTAAACTATTCATTTGACATTTCCATGAAAATATGGGGTAGGTGCCCGCACATATCCAAGTGATTCAGCTCCGCGGATATACTTGGTAAAATCTGAGATTCTTAGCTAAAATAATTTATTTTGGTGGAAATTTGAAAACATGATTAGAGATTGTAATGAGTCTGGAATCTGTTCATTCCTGCAAGCCACGGTCGCAAATCAAAACACGACCCAGAATTAGACGGGAAAAAGGCTTTTGGATGTTAACCAAGAAAGGCAGTCTAGATCTCGCATCTTAATAACACGTTATGATCGCCACACCCCTGGTATATATTACCACTCAGATTTCATGAATGCGAACTTTCCTGTATTTGATGTATTCGATTCCAAGGCTGTACTTCCTGTAGGACCAAATGATAACTATTGATCGATTCAAAATGGATGATCCCCGATTCAGGATAGTGTCCGTGATGTCATTGACTCGTAGTATATAACCTTGTTCCCTCTCAACCTCATGAGATTCAGAGAAACCACAAGAATATCTCAATCTACTCACCATCCTTTGAACACTTCAATTGAATATTGCAATTGAAACTAGTCCGCATTGGAGTGCTCCCTGATACCGCGTCAACCATTCGGAATTCCAAGGCTTGCAAAGACTGCGCTGTTATCACCGATCGGAAGAAATAATCAATGTCGCTAAGGTATCTGAAAAGGAACTCCACCCAGATCTCAAGTGATCCATACCAATCAGGGCTACATACTAAGTCGCGCTGCAGGAGTCTGTACCCAGTAGTTTTCAGCACCGCCGGGGTATGTGGAGGGACCTATCTTGTATTCCGGCTGATGTCACCAAACAAAGATGGCTCTCTGATTTCTGATGAAGAACGCCAGGCGGTACGGGGAGGATCAGACGGACTGTCACCGATGGGAACAAAGACTGCAAGATCGCCACGCAGTACGGGTGGCTCACACTAGGAGGGGGCACATGCCGTGTTGATGGTGAATGGTTCCAGATTTGGCGACTACTTGATTTAGCCCATTATGGCCTGAAAATCTACAGTCGTTTGTGTAAATATAAGACGGATTTTTAGTCATTCAGTCATATCTATGACCCAGCGCTGGACAATGTCCAAGTCTTCTGATCATTCTTTCTATCGGCAAATTTTTTTTTTTTTTTCAAATCTCTCGATCGCGTCTATGACCTTGGGGTATTTGCGAGGCGCATTGGACAATTTATGTTATATTATTCAAATCTCACAACTGGTCTAGTAAAATGAACTCTGTCGTTCATGACGAAATAGCAAAGTGAAGCCCTATCAATACCAACGGCAATAAGAACAGGAGCAGAATAAAAAAGTCAGATGCCCAAACATTCCTATTTCTTGAAGAATCCGCCAAAACATTTTCAGTCACAATTTTGGCACTAGAAAGAGCCACCGGAACTCCCGCCCCGGGATGCGTACTTGCACCAACAAAGTACAGCCCCTGGATACTGGCGTGCCTGATCGTAGGTCTGAAGCTCAAGACATTGAAGAAAGAGTGCGACAGGCCAAGAATGGCACCGCGGTCGAGATTGAACTTCGCTTTCCAGCTAATGGGCGTCTCGATCGATTCTTCAATCAAACTGCCTCGCAGGTCCAAGGCCCCCGTTCGAGACTCAATTGTCTTTAGTACGACATCTCGCGCATGATCTATCAAGCGATTCCAGTCTTGAGGGTTCAATGGATCATCGGTGATGTGCCCGACGGGCACCAGCACCACAACTGCATCTTTGCCCTCCGGTGCGGCTGTGGGATCAATCCGGCTCGGGACATTGACGTAGAAGGACGGCTCGTTGGGTAGCTGGTGTCGGTGGAAGATCGCATCGAAGCTCTCCTTGTATTCTTCTGCTAAAAATACGTTGTGAACTTGTAACTCTGGAATTATCCTGTCGAAGGACCAGAAAAATGAGATGCTGCTGCAGGATGCGGAACGCTTCGTCAAGCTTCGAGAATAGGAGTCTGGAGGCAGAAGATTGTTGTACGCATATACAAGGTCTGCGTTGATAATAACGACGTCGGCAAAAAGCTCTTCGCCAGATTTGAGCTGTATCCCTTGAGCCTTGCTGTCTTGGGAACAGATGATTGATGCGACTTCCGTGTTTAGGCGGTACTCTACGCCAAGTCTCTTTCCGATGTTTGCCAATCCTTCAAGCACCTAGGAGAATCAATAAGCATTCGCTATCCAGACATCTGGAGCTAGGTCAAGGAAATTTGGTAGTTACCTTTACAAACCCCCCCCGGGGTACAGGATTCCGTGCGCCAGCTCAGTGTACTGAAGCAGAGAATATGTTCCAGGAGCCTCGAAAGGATTCATGCCAAGATACATGCTGGCAAAAGTGAAGGCGCGCCGAAGCTTGTCTGACTTGAAATGCAGCTTTATACGAGACCACATACTCTCAAAAGGATGCAAGGATGCCAGCGAAAATAGAAGCTGTGGGCGAAGCATGGCCAACAAGTTAGGAAAATCCTTCGACAAGACATGATCCATCGAGAGATCATAATGCTGACCCGACTCTTTCATGAATCGGAAGAAATTCTGCAGGCCATCTTTGCCTTCGTAGCGTTCGATTTGAGGCTTCATTTTGCAAAGATCTGTCGATGCTTCGAAGTAATCGTGGTCCGAGAACCAGATACGATAGTTGGGTTCACATTTCAGTAATCTCAGCCCCTCATCTTCAGGCGATGAGCCCAGATCTTCGAAGGTCCGGTAGAATACTTCGGGCATCAGCAAGAGGGATGGACCTTGGTCGAATCTCTGGAGTATGTTCAGTTCTGTATTTGAATGCCCAAGTAGAAAAGAGTCACACATGACATACATATTCGCCATGACGAACGAGAGAACATCGACCTCCAACAAAGCCGTTCTTCTCAACAACCGTCACCTTGTAACCGGCCTTTGCTAGGCGAGCAGCAGTAGCGATCCCGCCAGCTCCAGCGCCTGGATTGTGTGAGTGGATGTTCGGATGGAGAACACAACAATCATGTTACTCACCTACAACTATAGCGCTACGGTGTTCGTGTTCCATCTTGATATGAAGAGAGTAAGCTCAATTTCCAACCTTAGGAAATCTCTTGTATCAACAAAGCAGAAGACATGGCTGAAATCAAGCTTAGACTTTCACTGTGCCAGCTGACAAGTTCCGTCATCAATTGTAACGGTATTTCCGTACCGGGACCCACACGTCCCGATCCGGAAAGTGTACGATCTTACTCTCGATGCTCGATCGCTCTGCAGGTCAAAGCTCGCGAGTGCAGATTACAAACCCTTGTATCTAGAAGCAAACCTGCAGAATTGGGTCGTTTGTCTTTCTTGCAACTCGGAAAATCTGCGATTGTGGCGCTGGCCGCCAAGCCAGCTGATAGTGATTTTTCTGGCCTGAGGCTTTCGCTTCACCTCACTGACCTTGGTCGTCAATTCGGAAGTTTCTGAAAATCCCTTCTTAATATCATCATACCTTTCGAAGTCATGTTCTGTTTTTGCCTCTGTCTTTGTTTCTTGATGTCTGTCTACCGATTATTCAGTCAATTTCGAGTTGCGCAGGCGAGGAGGACCACTGACTTTATTTCATATTTCGTTCTTTCGTCTACAACGGCATCTGACGTGTCCAGGTAATTTCAAGCAGTTCTTCATATATTCATTTCTTCAAATCCATATCTAAAAAACGACATTTAGAGATCAGAGATGTCTCTAGACGATATTCTCTTATCGTGATTTATGATGTATATTTTCAGTGCTCCAGTCCTGATGAATCACCACCATTCATTTCCCACCACGCCAGCCTCAATCTCCGCCACAGAGGCACTTTCAATTTCCCTTCCTCTCTAACCCCAGCCTGGCGCCTCTTGCGAACCATCGCCCCAATTATCATATAGCTCTCAACAGTTGTTTTAATAGGCCTTCGCACCTCCTTAGGCAGCTCATTGATTGCTCTGACGCTCCGCGCATGTGCTTCATCCGCCTTGCGCAACATGCGATCTTCAAAGATAGCAAGTCTATCATCATCGGGATTGGCTAGCACATCCTTCGGAGTCATCCCTTCCTCTGCCAGCCATGAAGAAGGAATATACACTCGGTTGATTGCGGCATCCCGCTTGATGTCGCGCGCAATATTGACGTACTGCAATGCTTGTCCCATGTGCTGCCCAGATTTGAGAATTCGGGCTTGTTGGACTGGATCGTGCTTGATTTCGCCGATTTCGTAGTTTTGGAAGACTAGCTCGAGAAGAGAGGATGCGACCGTGCCGGCGACGCGGTAGGCGTATACCTCCAGATCTGCTTCAGTTGCGATTGGAAATTGCTGCTTCTCGGCGGAAAATCCGAGGTCCAATTCGAATCCGGATAAGAGTTCCAGCAGTGGTTTGAGAGTGAGACGGGAAGTGGGTAGTAGTGCTATGGAGGAAAGAAGAGGGGATGGATCATGCGTCTGCTCGGGGCTCCCTTCGACGTCAACATAACCGTACAGAGGCTCTGAGGGTCGCTTAGCCGAAAAGCACCAGTTTAAAAGTTGGGATGCTTCTTTGATGTTTGTCTGCGCTGTTTCGCGATCAGGGGCTTCATCGACAAGGTCGTCTATGACCCGGCAGAAAGAGTATCTGTGACATAGTTAGGAAGTCAGGAAGCAAGAATCAGGGTGAAGTTGAGGAAATCATACAGCATGATCAGATCAGCGCGAAGTCTGTCGTTGAACATCGCGCTGCCTAAAAACATGTTTTGGCTCTTTTTAGACAGCTTTTCAATGGCTGCATTCAAGCCTTTGAGAAACCGCGTATCGAAACTTCTTCTTTGCCCTGTAATGTATGACCAAAAGACCTGGAAGAATGAAGGTCGGTGTCTGTCAGCCGAATTGTTGATTATCACGTCATACTCCGCTATAGCTAGAGCATGATCCATGGTGATTATTCCAAGGACAATCATTACGTTTGTCATGAGAAAGAAAAGCGCCTCTCTATTGAAGATTCAAATCCAAATAAGCAGTCTGCACGACCCACACCACACTTGGACTTACTCTATGTCTAGTGTTCCACCAAGGCGAATATCCAGTTTCGTTTCACGTTCAATCACCCATGTACCACGTTGAAGGGACAAGAAATCAACCATCCAGAGATATAATGTTGGCAGAATGATAGAAATGGCGATAGGTTTCTTCGGCAAGGCCGCAAAAAAGGTTCCGCACAGATGCCTAGCGATCAGCCCAGTAAGCATTTTCACCATTCACATATAGCATTCGACACAGCCTCACCATTGAAAAACCAAAACCGGAAGTGTCCAGACCAGGATAAGACCGAGATATCTGAGGTTGTCCTCACGCAGCATGCACACGATACCCGCGGCGGTTCCCGCCATTAACGCCGCGGACCCAAGCACTTTAGTCAGATCATCATTCTTCGGCAGTAAATATGCCGAAAGCACCAGATGCTTGGTCAAGATAATGTAAAGCAAGCTGGTGAGATATGTCTGGATTATGAAAAAAAATATTTCCTCGAATGGAATTTCGAATAATGTGTATCCCACTATCGCCTCGGCTGGATAAGACCAGATACGGTTGCGAATCAAATATGAGTCCCACGGTATGGTGCAGAAGACCGCGATCTACATGATATTGTCAATAGCAATTCCCATAGTGGAAAGATGATTCTGACGTTGATCAGCGTGGATATTCTGGCTATATCCAATCGTGTAAAGAACGGCCAATAGGCTACTGTTAGCAGGGCCGCGGGTGGGAGCGTCCAGGTTAAATGGCTACAAAGATTGTTTAGCCGGCTTCACAAATTGCATTAAGTGTCTGTCAAAGAAACGCAAGACATACACCAGGCAGTAATCAAAGCCCATGGAGCCAATTTCTAGGTGTGAGTTACACTAACAAGACATTTGCCGACCCAGCACAGGTATTCGAAGTCAATGTAGAAGGAGGAAGATAAAAGAGTTCAGCTTCTGCCTATAAATGTCAGGTCCAATCATTTTGGGGGCTGATGGGATAATCCGGATCACGGGAGCAAGATGTGATATCTTACGTCAAAAGCTGCACGAGAGCTTCCTGATTTGTGGGAAGATGGAATGTAACTCTAGCTAGGATCAGGGTAACTATGCGTTTCTGCTGCGGAATGTCGCGTTTACCAGTATGTAAGCAAAATACGCACGTAATATTGAATTACAGGATGGTAGAGTGTAAGAAACATGAAATAAAACATTATTTCCGTCAAGTGATCGAGATCCATTAGTGTAGGTAGTGAAGCAGGGAAACAGTATTTCATCGGTCTTCCGCTGTTCCCGGCCGATCGATCCGATCTCGATCAAGACAATGCTATGCGGGAAGATCCGCGGAAAAGCTACCCGGTAAATTTCTAAGATATCGAATTATGATAGACAAGTTCGGGCTTACCCTGCCAAGGCTGACCCGATGACCACAGAAATCGAAACAAATAATAGAACCCACTTCCAAAACGACGGGGCGAACATAGCCGATTTCAAGGATCGTAAGCAAATATGCCTAGTCTGGGTATTGGAAGTCTGCCAGGGAATAGAAACTTCGAGATCTTCCAAGACTCGTTCAGCAGTGAGCCTTGCGCCCGCCAGACAGGTCGGAACTCCAGCCCCAGGGTGTGTGCTGGCGCCGACGAAGTATACGCCTGCAACGCTATCATGTTTTATCTTCGGTCGGAAAGACAGGATGTTGAATAAATTGTGGTCAAGGCCAAATAATCCGCCTTTCTCGGAGTTGAACGATTCTTGCCATGTCGATGGTGTGTTTACACTCTCATGGTCGATTAACTTGCCGAACCCGGTGGTTCCTGTTCGCTCTTCGATAGCAGAAATCACGTTTTCGCGTACGTAGGATACCAAATTTGAATCGTCGAAACCTTTGCGGCGCGAATTTATATCTCCAAGGTTTTCGACAAGTACGAGGACAATGACGGCGTCCTTCCCTGGCGGTGCAGCTGTTGGGTCTATCCTGGATGGGACATGGACGTAAAAGGAAGACTTTGTCGTCGATTCACGTTCCATATAGATATGTGTAGATCGATGTCCAAATGAACTTTCGACGAACATATTGTGCGTCTCCAATTGGGGAAAGGTCTTAAAAAGCGACCAGTAAAAAGATATACTGCTGCAGGATATATTCTTGTGGCGACTTAATACATTCGGGGTTGATGGGCCTGGTGGGAGAAGTTTTTTGAATGCGTAAATTAAATCGGCGTTGATGATGACGGCGTCGGCTTCAACGAATGTGCCGGAATCCAAAGAAACACCCACAGTCTTTCCGAGAGACACATTCACTTTCTCGACTGGGAGAGAAAGATGATACTTGACACCAAGCCTTGTGCCAATCTGAAGTAACCCTTCAACCACCTTTGACACTTAGCCTTGGATTCAAAATAATTGAGAAGGGGACTCACTTGATAAAATCCTCCTATAGGGTACCACACTCCGTCAATCAGCTCAGCGCATTGCAGGAGTGTATAAGTACCTGGGACCTCAAATGGCGACATTCCAAGGTACATACTTCCGAGGCTGAAGACTCGACATAGCTTGTGTGATCTGAAAAAATTAGAAACCCTTTGCCAAACTGTTTGAAACGGATGCAGCTGAAACAAGTAAGGCAGAAATGCGGGCCTGAGAAGCGAGAAGAAGCTTGGGAAGTCCTTTTTTAACACGTGGATCACACTCTGCTCATAATGTTGCTGACACTCTTTCAAAAAATCAAGATAACGCTGAAAACCCGCCGGTCCTTCGATTTTCACGATTTCGCGTTTCATGTGCGCAACATTGGTGGAGGTCGTGAAGCACTCTCCGTCATCGAACCAGACCTTGCAGTTAGGCTCACATTTAAGAAGCTGTATATCTTCTGAAGACATAGAGGTTCCCAGGTGCCGAAATGTTTCTTCAAATAATTCGGGCATCAACATTATTGACGCGCCGCGATCGAAACGCTGGGAGAAAAATCAACAATAGTTTTCAAATGCAGGACTCAGGAATCTTACATAACCATCATGAACAATATTGCTGCATTTGCCGCCATAATAGTCATTTTTCTCATAGAGTGAGACTTGTACTCCGGCCTTGGCTAATCGGGCGGCTGTTGCCATGCCTCCCACTCCAGCTCCTGAGTTGATGTTCATGTCAGCTTGATAGACATGCCAGAGCTGGACTTCTCAGTTCATACCAACGATAACCACCCTCTTGCTCTTCTTCGTGCCTTCCATGTTCAGATCGGCTCACAAATCTGTCCCCTAAATACTTTGCAGACCCGAAGTCCCTTAAGTGAGCCCCGCTGGACACTATAAAAGTTTCCGATCCGATCGGGAACTAAAAGTTGTGACCCGCATAAGCAAGCAAAACAAGTCCAAAGACATTTAACTTAATATTGGAAAAGCGCATACCAATACGTTTCCCGATTCCGATCCCGATACAAAGAATTGATTTCCTTATGTCACACCCAAAAATAACGTGGCTTTTACCTTACCTTCTCGTTTTCGTATCCCTCTCCTAGCTTTAACCAAGATTCCAGGTTTCTGCCCGCATCAGACATCGATTACATCTTACCAATTCCACGATTGGCCAATTACAACAATCGGTGAAAAGAAGCCCATCGATCGATTTGTGACATGAATCAAACACATTCAAGATTTTTGGTGCGGTAAATATGTGTTTTTCTTCGTATTGTCATCTCCCGCCCTTTGATTGACGTCATCATTCTCACTCACTGACGATTACCTCCAACGCCATTTGAACTGATAGATTTACCCAAAACGGGCAATGACGATGTGCGCCGACTACCACGTGGCAGAATCCAGTTTCTCTAAGACTGTGTGAAGTTGCGGGACCAGCTAGAATCGCGTTGGGGGGCTGTCATCTAATACCGAACACGTCCAGGCGCCCCAGTCCCATCAGCCAGCTCCAAGAGCTCGGATTCCAGAAATGGCTTGGAAGACAAGCTCACAACGCGAAAGAAGCTTGAAGGGTAACTTTGCCCCGATTCAGTGTCAACGTGATCTAGAGCCATGCACGCACTACGGGACCATTCCCGTTGAGCTGCATGGTGGCCAGTATGTTCGAAACGGTGGGAACCCGAGCTTTGGAAACGACCTCACTGGCCCCGTGCATATGTTCGACGGCGACGGGATGCTGGCTGGTGTTTTATTTCGAACAACCGAGCAACCTGGCATTATTGAGCCGTGCTTTGTCAACAAGTACATCTTAACCGATATCTATCTTGCTACCAAGTCCATGCCGCATGTGCGTTCGCCGATATTGCCCAGTATGGCGACCCTAGTCAATCCATTGACTTCTACTCTTTCAACCCTCTACCAGCTTTGCCGGTTTGTATTTCTTGTTCTATGGTCCCAGTTGAACGTCCATGGGCCCCCAGTGCGCAAAGTCAGTGTCGCGAACACGGCCATTGTCTACCATGATCACAGGACGCTAGCGACTTGTCAGACTGGCCCGGCGATGAGGGTGCAGCTGCCAAATTTGGAAACTGTCGACTGGTACGAAAGCAGTACCTCGACTGATTATGAGCATACTACGCCTGGCTTCGGCGAAATTTTATTCGGTCGCAATGGATTACTGGGGATTTTACGGGATTGGACCACCGCGCACGTCAGTAACAATACTCTTTGCACCGAAATGAACATACTCATATGAAAACAGCCATTTATTGATCGCATAAATGGGGATTTGATTTCTTTCCAGTCATCTTTTCTGCCACCATTTGTCTGGTATTCTGTTATCCCCAGCAAAGCAGAAAGGAAATCCAAACATGCCGGAATACATGCTCCCATATCAGGCATATCGAGCCCAAAACTGATGCATGACTTTGGCGTATCCCTCAAACACACTGTTATTCTGGATCTTCCAATGTCATTAGACCCCATCAACATCCTGAGGGGAAGACCCATAGTGCACTACGATCAGAGCTCGCCTTCGCGATTTGGCATTCTCCCCCGCCGTGACCCTGCTCTGATCCGATGGTTTGAAACAGAAGCTTGCTTTATTTTCCATACTGCAAGTACGTGGGATGAACCCTCTCCAAAACCAAAATCTCCGGAACATGCCGAAGTCGAAGCAGTCAACATGGTCGCCTGTCGCTACACAGGTGCCGATATGCTATATTCTATGGCCTCCATTGATACGCGTTCGTTCTCATCCTCCAACAAAAAGCACGGAAGTGACAGCCGGCTATACTACTATAGATTCTTACTGTCGGACCACACTCAAAATCGCATTACACACCAATGGGCGCTATCAGCTATCCCCTTTGAGATGCCAGTCGTCTCACCATCGACAAACACGCCCAAATACGTGTATGGATGCTCCTCAAAAGACAAAATGTTTGGATCGAGCACAGACAACCCGATGAAGATCAACTGCCTTGTCAAAATGGATATTGGAACTTTGATCCAGCAAGGAATCGAGAAAAAAACAAAGGATGTCGATGGGTGTGTTGATGAAAGACTCATTAGAGAAGTAATACAAAGTGAGGATACCGGAGATTGTATCAAGGTGTTTCAAGCCCCGGACGGGTGGTGCGCCCAGGAACCGTGTTTTGTTCCTCGAAATCAAGCTCGCTCTGAAGACGATGGATATATTTTGACGCTCATGTTTGATGAAGGTCAGTTGGATAAGAGTGGAAGAGCTCCGGAAGATTCTAGGAGTGAATTGTGGATCCTTGACGCACTTGATATGAGGAGTGTCGTGGCCAGAATCTTTCTTCCGCAGAGGGTGCCGTATGGGTTCCATGGCAAATGGTTCACGCATGAGCAGATAAAGATGCAAAGACCGTATAAATCTCTGCGCAAACACCAGTGGCATAATCTATAAGTTCAATTCAATCTTGAAGAAATCAATAGGCGAATCGCGTCGTCTAATCTATTTATTGCTTTCGTTACAGTCAAGCATTAGGCTACACTCCAGATGTTGTTTTAGAACAGTCAAATTGCATCAGAAGAAGGCTTTCAATTGTAGACGTCTTTCTTGAACTTGTCATCAAGTATGTTGTGAATGGTCGAATTGTGAAAGCTGGAACCCGGAGATCTTAAAGAGTCTGGTTGATCTTGCGTTGTCCACCGACAGTGAATAGCATAGAAACAGGATGGTGGCAAACAGCAATGAAGTAAATATGGAGATTGACAACACCCAAGAGCCGTCAATACCACTTAGTATAGATTTTCGAGCTTGATCTTTGCTCCCCCTCGCAATTCTTCCTCGGTAGGCTTTCTTGCCCATACACGATTCCTTCACGGAATCCATTAGTGGAGGTTTCCAAGAAGATCATCGAGTCATAAACTTACGCAGGTTCATAGGCGTGAATCCTGGGATTCTTGAGTTCTGCACGCACTTGGGCCAAGAAGACATGTACCTCCTCGCTAGTCCACGGCTCCGGCTCGCCAAAGTGGGTGAGAAGCCACATTGCCCAGCCCTCCAAGGCAGCATTCCAATGAGCATACTGAAGGTAACCAGCCTCCTTCAATAATGGGTCTCTGGGCCAAGGTCCGATGGGAATTTTGTATTTTACTTCATGTATGTCGACGAACCCTGCGCTCTCCATCGCAGAGCGCATTGTTTCATGGGTTCTGAGAGACCGTCCGGCTTTTTCGGAGCATCGAATGAACATGTCGCCCCAGCCCCATAGCTTATGTTCTCTTTTCAAAGAACCGTCATCGCTGTAGACGCGTACGTCTAGTTCCATTTGCTCGATCCAGCCACCAGGCTCAAGCGCACTATAAATGTGACATTAGCTATGTGTTCCAAATTCTTTCATGATTCGCAGAACTATAATGTAGTTCTGAAGAAAAGGAGTGGAAATAATGGGGGAAGAATCAAAACTGTCTGTGGCCGTTCTTCTCTCCTAGGGGGATGGGGGAAAAGGAAGGGAGGAGGAAAGGAGAGAGAAGCTCTCACTCTCCCAGACTAGCTACCAACACCAATACGAAAACGCGCGGCAGCATGACCAGGAGCAGAACATGAGACCTCAGAAGTCACATTCTTCACTTCCCCAGACAATGATGAGGAAGAAGAATCTTTGTACTCACTCGTATGCTTGTTTGTACAACTTGTCCCACCCTTCTGGAGGGAGCGCCCCGTACATCAAACGCAGGTGTATCAAATCGAATGGCTCTCTCCATGTCCAATCTCGAAGCACATCATCCACTTCAAACAAACAATTTGGTGGCATCCAGGTTACTGGCGGTGGAAACATATCAACTCCTCGGACGACAGCTAGGTAGTAGTATTAACTCGATGACTCAGAAAATTGGCTATGAAGACATTCTTACCGGACGGATAAAGGTCGGCAACATCACTGGATCCAAAGTGGGTTAGAGGTTATACTTAACAAAGCTGTTCATTGACTTACATTGCCCAGCTGCCTTGACCGGTTCCTATATCAAGGATGTTCTAAATCAGAGATTAGTGACACATCCAAGCAGGTTGTATTTGATTGAAAATATACCTTAGGCGAGTTGCCGATAGGGGCGCGGAAGAGAGGGTTATTCTGGTTGTGATCAAGCACAAGAAACATCATATGACTAGATTTGTTAGCCATCAGTCACTTCATTAAAAGGAGTAGATGAGTTTTACCCAATCTCAAACGCCTCGAATTGTTGTTCATCGGAAGGGCCCCTATGAAGGGTTATTAAATGACTTTAGACAGGCACTGGGGGCAACAAACCAGTAGTCATCTTCTTTAAAAGATTGATATCTAATTCCAACGTGTCAGGCTCAAGTTCAACTTCAAAAGGAGCAGGCTTACCTTCGGCCATTTTCATATCGTCCTTTCGCGATTGCGGATGTGATAGAAGTCGTCTCTCTGGAGAATTTTTAGTAACCAAGATGACCGCATGTGTCGGTAACTATGATCCGCAGAGGTACTTACGAATGAAAGTCCTGCGGCTCCGTGCCGTATCCACGGTCATTAGAGTAAAAGTCCGGATCCTACATGAAATTTAGGAATCTCCACGTAGTACCACGGAATCACTACTGACCACCGCGATGTGCTCCATTTTCCAGTTGTTATCGAGTCACTGCCACATTCCAAAAGAGAGAAGAATTAAAAAGGGGTGGGGGAAAGCCGTTTTTTTTGGTGGGCACGATCCACCAAAGTACTTGGCAGGCCGCAGGGACTTCGTATAGTGAGCTGCGGGTGGATTAAAGTGGAGCGGAACTGATTTCCCCGCAGTCTCTGTTTGGTTAATATTGCATTCAATGCACCTATTTTGGCTGCTGACAATCCTAAAGTTTGAGACAATGACGATGTTTTCGGGCATTTCCCGGTAACAATGCAGAAGAACATGTGATTTAAAGAAGGCCGCCATTTATTTAGTGCGCTTGAGGAATGTTCGGCATTCCCATCTGCCTGAAAACTTCCTTACTAGCCGACGCATTACTAACTCCATCTCCCTAATCCTTGTCTTATAGAGACTAAATGTATGATAAGAATATGTATATAGTTTTAGCGTTCGAAATTTTAAACATGATGCTTATCTCCACAATCAATATGGAAGGTTTATGACATGTGTGTTGCAATATTGAATTAATGTAGCAGTCTTATCACATCCACGGATGATCGTGGGGTCAAGCTTTGGTTACCAGCAGACTATCGTCTATCAAGGCTGCTCCGAAAAACATGCAAAGGAGGAGATAAAACGGTAATTCACGAAGTGAAAGCTTTCTGTCAGGCCTCAAGTCCGACCTTGGAAAATGGTCCACGTAAAATTTGACTGTGCACCCAATTTGATCGATATGCCGAATGTACTAAGTGGTCCACTGTACTTCACATGTGCAGGGTTGCGCCGCGCGATCAATTGATGGTCGGTCGCATTGTCACTTGGCACCCAATGGAAGAGTCCCTTGCCCTGTATCTTGGCTTACATAAACATCACGCCAGTCCATAAAAGGCTAGTTGTGCGAGCTGCATTGCCGAGTCTCGCTAGACTTCGGACAGGGAAGGAATCCGTAAGGAAGGCCTTTATTAATGTCGGTCTGACATTCATCGTCGAACATTATCATGCACAACATTTCCTTCCATACCATTCACTATAATGGTTATAATTGTGAGCCAAGACAACGTTCCATTTTATTTTTCTTCCGACCCGAGGCGACACCAAGAAAATATCCATGAACGAGGCTTACGCGTGTCCATTCATCTGCCTTGTTGGTACGGAATATTCGAACCATCATCAGAGGGATCTGATATCTAATCTCGCTAGATTCGGAATTAGCGGGGAAATTGCAGCCATCAATTGATTATATGGAGCCAATTAAACTACGGAAATGGCGTGTCTCCTAACTGTGAACACACTGGGTCCCACATTTCTGGTCCCCACATTTGGCGGGAAAACAACGATAAGAAAAAAAAAGCCAAGCTAACTTAATACATAAAAAAACGGTTAGGATGACGATCTGTCATTGGTCGATCAGATTCCGACGCTGGGAATGAAGTGACGAGTGGATCAAGAGAATTGATATCGAAAGGGTTTGGACTTCAAATGTTGGCGCATCATTTTCCCAAGTACCGGTCGCGTCGTTGTACTGGTTATTTACCGAGGTTCTCCAAGTTACTCCCCCTCCCTCCTTTTCACTCGTAGTCTCTAGAGTTACCCAATGACCATTGATGTGTTCAAAAAAAACGCTCCAAAACAAGGGGTTTATTCGCATATTATCTTTTCATTCAGACCTATAAAGGAGAACCGTTAAATAGCAAGCAAAAGCCGTCGACTCCACAAGGTATGGTTTATCCCCCACCTGGGCTCTATCTATGAATAGAACCTAAAAATTGACCTAGTTCCCGAAATGGAAGCGACAATGTCGGAAAGGCGTTCCTCAAAAACGCCACGGTCAGACCACGATGAGTCTCCAATCCCGTGCAATTTGATGTCGGAATTCTGCAATTCTTGTCAAGAGAAGGGAGTCGTTCAGATGGAAGAAATACTACTCCGGGATAGCGCAATAAAAGAGCTAAAGGAGGAAGTTATAAGACTGCAATCAATTATAGACTCGGAGATACTTGGGAGTTACGATACCTCAAGCGTTGAAATGGAAAGCCTAATGGGCTAATCGGCTGAGAAGATGCACAAATTATACCCGAGCACAGCAAGATAGTCATATTTGTGATATCTGCTTAACCTTTGTTTCAATTTTCAAAGCGAGTAGCTTTACTTCGCAATATCAGCCTCATCCTTGAGAATGAAACGATTGAATCCCTTGAAAATATTAGCAGGCGCTCTTTTAGTGTGATTATTATTCTTCGATTTGGCCATTTTTGATACGCCAAGTTTATCGGATGCCTTTAAATGTGATTTATATGATTCTAAATGTCGATGAAAACTATATGGTATATGACAAAAGAAACTTCTCAGTTCCACATAACGCCATCTTTTCTTTCGCAGATTGAAATGAAGTGAATTCGCTCGATGAATTTGAATAGTACATAATGTCGTAATTATCTCCCGGTGTCTAAAATCGATTCAAGCGGCGCAGAAGCGGCGTAAAAAAACATCGAGGACGACGAGAGAGCAGAACACACTTTTACATCAAAAAATTGGCCTAAATGAAGGCACAGGACAAAATGCTATGAACATTCGCGTCATTGGCAATATAATTCAAGGACGGAAGGATGCCTTGAGAAGGAATTTCTTCGTAGAGGCAACACATCCTCAACCTTACAGGATTTAAACCTTTTCAATCACGGTTACACAATCAGTTGAGAAATCTGCTCATACTGAAAGAATCGCGCATATCCTTACAAAGTGTTTAATTATATCAGGTTTATAGATTGATAAGTTTGTCGACGACCTTAAATTTTTAGCCGTATTTAATCACAGAATGGGTTTGAAAATCTGCTCATAGTCAAAGAATCGCGCGTATCCTTACAAAACGTGTTTGATCATACTAGGGATCATAGATTGATAAGATTGAGGATGACCTTGAACAGCCGTATTTAATCACGGAATGGGTTTGAAAATCTGCTCATAGTCAAAGAATCGCGCGTATCCTTACAACGTGTTTGAACACACTGGGGATCATAGATTGATAATATCAAGTATGATCTTCACGTTTACGCAATCAGTTGGGAAATCTGCTCATACTGAAAGAACCGCGCGTATCCTTACAAATTGTTTGATTATATTGGGGATCATAGATTGATAAGATTGAGTATGACCTCAAACTTTATGAATTGAACCTTATTTAATCACAGGATAGGGTTAAAAATCTGCTCATAGTGAAAGAATCGCGCGTATCCTTACAACATGTTTGATCAAACTGGGGATCATAAATTGATAAGATGTCAATGACCATGACCTTAAACTTTTAGCCCTATTTAATCACAGAATAGGGTTCAAAATCTGCTCATAGTGAAAGAATCGCGCGTATCCTTACAACGTGTTTGAACACACTGGGGATCATAGATTGATAAGATTAAGCATAACCTTAAACTTTTAGCCCTGATTAATCACAGAATAGGGTCAAAAATCTGCTCATAGTGAAAGAATTGCGCGTATCCTTACAAAGTCAGCTTCATTGTTGATTACAGATTGATAACTTTAGATATAGCCGCAACCTTGCTGAGTTTGACTTTAATCAATCACGGTTACGCGGGAAGCTGAAATAATTTGCTCAATAATTTGCTTGCACTAAGAATTGCGCATATCCTTAACAACGTTTGAATCCTTGGTACGACGGAATATTCCAGAAGTCCCAAACATGCTCTCTCCTAGACAACCCAACGTTACACAGCACTAGATTCAAGACATCTGGAATCTACATGACCTTATATTCTACCGCTCGGCATCAAGTAATCGCGTTTATCCTTAATCAGCCCTCAGCCTTCACGATATTTTCTACGCGATTTCGTCGGCTTGCTAGAAGTTTCAGTCCGTAGTTAACACCCAATTGCAATCAATCAATCGCTATATGTCTCAATTGTTTTACCAATAGGATTTTCTTTAACACGATTCTTCCCCACATTTGAAGCCTCCCGAGGTCGGTGATTTTTTCGCCTATGATTCATCCCATTATCTCATCTGCTCTGGTCCGTCTCGAGTATATATCACCAAGCTGGTAGAGACCATTTCGAACGAATTGCAAGTCAAGTCCAGAAGAAATCCTAGTCACCCAGTACCTATCCCATAGAACACAAAAATACGATTCAATGTTAGCAGTAAAACACATGGTTCTGGCCGAGGCTGCCGAGCTGATCTCTGGTTCTGGCCTAAGGCTCCCATCAGGGGCCTAGAATTTCTCACGTGGTACCACGTGGGGCGTGGTCACGTGCGTTGTATTGATTTCTATTTTTTTCGGATACCAAGTATGGGTCACGTGCACGAATCGCCTATTTAGCCTCACTTCGTTCAGCTATTATTTCTGGAACACTGCGATTTTGAAGAGCGAAATAATGAGGATCGTTCCCGTAAGTTAGGCTTATTAAGAAGGGTCTAAAGGAGGCGGGGGACGTGCGCATCTAATTGAACACAAAAGCACAACTTACAAGTGAACATGCAGAAGTCGCTCGATCCACGGGGAATCGATAACTAAATTATCTGTCTGGTTCTAGCCCTGTTTTCATCTCTTGCGCTACATACAGCGTTTATGGTTTCATGAGCTGGGATGTGCCAATAAAATTGTGTCATGTGAACTACATATACCATATGACATCTGATAAGCGGTGAGATACAGCAAGAAATTCACTTTTTAGTAATGGTCTAGACTGTGTCATGGCTTTGGATTCAAATGTTATGTTGATTTCAGGCCGTATGGTCGGATGGTCGTTGATTAAGTATATCATATGGACATGCGAGAAGTTTGACTGAGGCAGAAATAACTGATATAGCGGCCATTCGTGTACGTTCAGGAATCATACGAGCAGATCTGGTCAATATATTCAGCATATAATGACAACGGAGCTAGATTCCACGAATGAATCCAAGAGCCGCTTCAATGGGCTGGCCTTTCAATCAGGACTGGGCTGACAGGCCGCATATGACGGTGGTTAGGATTCTTTTCTTGTAATAGTAATGCAGGATGACGTCGTGTGCATCGAAGGTCCGTGCTCGCACACACTGCACTACCAAATTGACCCCATAGACAAGGAGAAGGGCATATTGCTCCTTGAGCTAAGCTGACAAAACGTCATAACTAATCTTTACTAGCGATGGCTGATATATATTGATGATGTCATTATAAGCGCTGATCCTTTCTCTCAAAGCTTGGTATGAATTGCACACAGTTGACTCTGGAAGAGGTCCACGCAAAATCTTCACGCCAACCTTATCGCTTGATTAAATGCAGTAAAAACTTGAGCATCCGAGTTCCTGTTTTGCATTTGAAAATCAACAATTTCTCGCGCGTGTTGACACACAATGTCATACCAAGATACTAGCTATTACCGCAGGCCCCATAGCCTTGAGCGTGGGTATGCTGCGGACTATTACGATGAAAACCCAGTTGATGGAGACTACCCCGCAAAGCGCGACTATGGTGCGCGACGACCACGCCGTCAAAGAGAGGAATTACGACGTCGGCCATCGTCAGTTGGAGGAGATAATTCCGATCACCTCGATAGACGTTACCAGCGGGATCAATATCGACCATATGAAGGTTCCTGTGGGTCCCCGAATCCCAAATCTATTGGTTCTATATACAGATATGCTAACTTGTAGACTGATAGACTCTCAACAGCGCAAGCGCGACTCTTCACCAGAATCAAGTCGCTCATACCGCCATAGAAATCGTCACAAATCAATGGATGGCGGCTCTAGAGATGGCCGTGATGACAAATCTTACAGCAGCGATGGAGACCGCGATAATAGTAACCATGACCGTGGCTGGGCCGACGGCTTGCTTAGCAAGGGCGGGAAGCTTCTCGCGCAGGCCGCTGTTCCACTCATAGCTGCCGGCGCTGCAGAGGCCTTGCGATCGCGCAATGAACCCGGGGAGTGGAAGGGAGACAAGGGCAAGCATGTGATGAAGTCGGCTGTTACCAACGGGCTCATGAACAAGGATCCAAGCACGCCGCACAGACACCACGTTGTTGATACGACAATGTCGGGTCTGAAAGACGGCCGTCCCTCTCGTGAGGAAATGGCTGAGATTCGGCGTAGAGCTGCTACAAACCATACCCTAGACAACCTCAAAAAGGTTGCTGCTGCGGGCGCGCTGGTCTTTGCGGGCAAAGAGATCTATGATCGTTACGAGCGCTCAAAATCTCAGAAACGAGGCCAAGACTATGACAAAGACTATGACGATAACAGGCATAGCTCGAACAGAGGCAATCGGAGTGATTCCGAAGACTCGAATAGTGAAATGTGGTCTCGCGATCTCGACGAAAGGGCCTACCGGAGGCCTCGAAGTAAATACAGAGATGATCGGTCAGATCATTGGGAAAATTACTCTGGTCGTAATCACGGCTAGAAAATATTCCGGAGTTGACTTCAGAATCAAATGGATCTTCTGGGCATGTTTTTACTCCTGCATTGAAGCTAAAAAAGATCTCCTCTTAAATGTGATATACGCACAGGTTGAATGATATTTATTAAAATTTGGTTCATGTAGTATGTATGTTAATTTGTTACTAGGACACGCATCACATTGCCAGCCCCTTATTATGAGAATACACATGCAAACAGAATGTTCTAGGCAAGCCATGGAACTTCAAACAGCCGAACTTGCACTACATCCTATTCATCAGGCCCCAAATTAAGCTCGCAGCCAACATTTGAATCCTTGAAGCTATATAGACTCCAGATGCTACAGTAGCCAAATGATAATATATTGGGCCTTTGAATCCAGTATACAAAAGTCTCAATGTATCGTCTTCATCTAATGGGCTATTGTTCTCTCTTCAGGATTGATCAGCGAGCTGGGAGTCTACTTTGCTGATGGCGACTGTTATATAGAGAGCGGCACAGGTACACCGACATCTGGAACCTCGGTACCAATACCAGGTTGTGAAAGGAATGTCGGAATTAATTTCCAAAGTTAAGATTCTGTAGCGTTTCCAAGTTTCTATCCACATTTGTGGAGTTCCGAACCCCACCTTTGTGAGTTGTCCAATGATCTTCCCGGAATGAATCAGAGGGACAAATCATATACTATTAAGAAAAGAATGTGATAAAAAAATCGGATCAACCAATAAAAGCAAGGTTGCGATTATGATTTCACTGATCGGCGACAAATTTCTGAAAGCCTATCAAATCAATTGATGAGTTTGATATTTTTTTCTATGCTTTTATAGACATCTGCTTTTATAGACATCCTTGTGTTCCCCCTGCGTGGATGTAGCCACCACTGATCAAGGTCATTTATCCCGCGTACATTCAAATTATATAACCGACCACTGGTATTGCCTTTACGCCACCAATTCCAAGCCTGGGCTTTAGTATGGAGCTCTCTCAAATTCTGGTCAATGGGACGCCGCGCCGAAACTTTCTCATGGACTATGCACTGACTTCTGATTATAGATACTCCGCTCAGCTCGGAGTCTGATGAAAGGGTGGGCGATTTCTCGTATTTCCCCACCTGTTACATTGACGGCAAATTGAAGTATCACATACCAAGACTGAGCTCCACGAGTGCGAGCCCAAAAGATCGTGTAAAGCAAGCGTGCAAGGCTTGCCATACCGAGAAGTCCAAATGTACGGGAGAGCATCCTACCTGTGGCAGATGTATGGCTCTACAGCGAAAGTGTGAGTATGGGCACCGCAAGAACATTGTGAGACAAAGGTAGTACATACTATTGACGGAATCCGATAACTTGGTACTGACGGCAAGCAGGGAACTTGAAAAGCTATCTGCCGAAGTCCAAGTCTACAGAAGCTTACTACAAGAATTGTCTCACAGAGTCTCCGAAGACGATTCTAAACTCATTGCAGATGTGTTGGACCGACACACATCAAATAGAGGCCAACTTGACCAACTAGATACAAGCAAATGAAGGAATTCGAACCCAGCAAATCGAAACCTCTTTGTGACGCCCTCTTCTTAAACAACTTTGTATGGTAGCAGAGATCATGGCTATATGAGCGCCAAGGGTTTTAGAAAGAATCTCTCGAACTACAGAGCCCACAGAAATTATATCACATTAGCCAGGCACCTGCGATAGATAAAGATGAATAGAAGGCTTTGTTGAAGGCACCGGTACCATCATGATAAAATATGCAACGCAGAATCCTGGCCACTTTAAAGAAACACCATTATGTATTCAAGTCTCACAACTTGCCGTTCGCAAATGGGGGTTTAAGCTCGACAAATGTCTTGAAAATAGTCGCAGGTAGCTCTATCTATATCATGTTAGTAATCCGGGCCAGTAGAACGATCCCAACGAGACTTACATTCATTTTGCGCTCTGGGCTTCCTGGTCTTTCATTTCCAGCAGTACTTTCTCCGCAATTCGGAATCCCTCTAGACCTGCCGGCATTCCCACATAGATGGAAACCTGAAGCAGTGCCTCGCGAATTTCGGTTTCAGATAATCCGTTTGTAACTCCTCCTCGCACATGGACAGCCAGTTCAGCACTCCGATTGAGAGCACAGAGCATGCCGATGTTCAGCAAGGATCTTTGCTTGCGATCGAGGCCAGGTCTAGCCCAGACGGAACCCCAACAAGCCTCTGTAACAAGATCTTGCATGGGCTGAGAAAAAGCGGAAGCGGAAGCTAAAGAACGATCCACGTATGATTTTCCCGCAACCTCGCACCGGATCTGTAATCCTTCCTCATAGAGCCGCTGGTGGGCTTCTTCGAGAGAGGGTGCGGTTTTGTCGGCCATTTTGTCAAAAATGTGGAACGAGCAAGCCGACTGCAAGAAGAGGAATTATTTGATAGAAATCAGTGTCCTTCAAGTTGTGGGGTTGAGGCAAGTGGGGAAATAGTATGTGGGGTAAAACGGGTGCCCTGGCGGTGTTGAAATTATTGCAATAACTGGTCAACTCACAGCTCAAACCCACGATTTCTGTCTATGTTCTGGGATTAGTGTTGGTGAGAACTAGCCCTTTCGCACTACCCACCTTCGGGTGAGTTCCCACATCACCATACAATAATGGAGTCAAATATTCTTCAACCCTTAAAACAGTTAAGAAAGACACAACTTGCTAACCCGTGGATTATCCATCCAGCACTTCAGGAGCCCCAAGACCCATGATTCCAAGGATATGGAATTGAACGTGAACTCCTTCTCCCGTCTCTTAAGGCATCCCAACGGCCAAACAACGCATGTGATCGTTGATGATTACACAAATCCTTGGGATAATCCACAGACAGTGCTCATACAAGGGGGGTTTGGAAGACACTCTGCATTTTGGTATCATTGGACTCCCTCATTGGCGCGGAAATACCGAGTAGTCCGACGGGACACCAGAGGTCATGGCAAGTCATCCACCCCAATGCCTGGTGATGGATACCAGTATACCCTCGATACGATATTATCCGAAATTGTCGACACTCTTGATCAGCTTGGCATCGAACAGGTCCACTTCATTGGAGAGAGTACCTCGGGAATGCTAGGGGAAGCCTTCGCCGCAAAATTTCCCAATCGACTACACAGCTTAACCGTCATCTCGAGTCCCTCATATCTTCCACCGGAGGCACTTCGCTTATTTTCTTTTGGCCACTCTAGCTGGCCAGAAGCATGTCGGCGGCTCGGGTCTGGGGGTTGGGCAGAACACCTTGCCCGTATGCCAGGGACCCTCTCGACGGCAGACCCGAATTATGAAGCTTGGTGGATTTCACAAATTGCCCTCAGCTCCAGCGATGGTCTTGCTGGATATGCCGAATTTCTGTCAGGACTAGATGCGCGGAAATTTCTTCCGGACATCTCTGTGCCGATGCTGATTCTCGCTCCAGCGAAAAGCGCTGCTACTACGCTTGAGGAGCAGCTGCAGATTGCGAGACAGGTGCGAGGCTCAAAGATAGTTGTTATCCATGGGGCAGGGCATGAAGTTTATGTCGACAAGGCAAGTGACTGCTTGCATGCTGTGCATGGATTCTTCTTGGATATCGAGTCTGGCCTCGTCAATAACCTTGCGTAAAATTTCAATGTTCCAATGGATATCTAGTTTTGCATGTGGAAACAAATAATACATCACATTTCAACGCACTGTTTCTTGCGCAGGATACTAAGAACAAAGTGCTATTGGAATCGCATCAATCTGCAATAAATACCTAAATACTCATTCAACGTTACAGTGAGATGATATATTACCGATCACGGTTTACGAAATGTTAGCTTTCAAAACTTGAAAAGACTGTATTATGTAGCAATTGATTTCATAGAAGATACACAAGACTGTGTGTTGTATATTGAGATTTAGCCTGAGGTCACCTTGAGTCAATTTATATCAAAGAGCCAACTTTGAGTTCAAATGTTTGGAAATGCTCTATGTTGATTGTTCGCCCACCACTGCCCATCGTGTGCCATAACAATCTCTACATCTGTCCCCATCATCTGTTGTAATGTCCTAATCCTAGAAAGAGTATCCTCTGCCTGATTCTTATCCACATGGATACAATTTGTTTGCCCATGCACATCAACCCAAGTAGCCATTTCCCGCTCCCCACTAAGAAGCCGAAGATCATGACAGCTATCTCCACCAAGGTAGATCCATTTTTGGGGTCCTAGACGACAAAGGAGATTTATATGCCCTGAAAGGTGGCCCGGGGCATCAACAACATACACTGAGCCATCACCAAACAGATCCAGCGTTGCTTCAAAAGGGCCAATAGGCTTCCAAAGAGGTGGCCGAGGTTCGGGGAGCTCGCTCACTCTTGACATGTCGCGGAAGAGGTTTGGATCGAAAAATTGATGTGAGGCGCTAAGTCCAAGGCCATGATGAAGTAGGTCAAGGGAGCCAGATCCGAGAAGGAATTGCGCCCGAGAGAAATCTGCCGGATCGCCGTGGTGATCATAATGGACATGGCTGAGTATCACGGTATCGATGGAAGAAGGATCCAGGCCCCCGCTGCACAAAGATTGGGCCACTCCTGGGCCAAGCCGGTAAGGAATGCGGGATTCAATATGGGATTGATTTTCTTTCGTGTAGTTGTCTAACTGGGCCCGGAGGCCTAAATCAAAGAGAAGGTACTTTGGTTCGGGTTGACCGTCGGATCCGGGGTGGATTACCAAGAAGCTTAGTGAAGGCACGGTGATCACGGTGTTGGGGCCGTTGGGGGAAACGAATGATGCTTCAGGGAGGCTGATCTCGCCTCCGTTTATTGCGGCCACATTCACGTAATTCTGTGCACTGGATGCAGGCGGGAGAGAATTCTCAAACATCCTGATTTTTGGAAGATATGCAGCAAATTGGAACTTTGCAGATGAAAAGAAGGCAGTATTCACATATTCAAAAAAGCAAAAGCTGTCCAGGTGTGAGCCCCAGGGGTGGGGTAGGATTGTGTGGGGTGATTGAATTCGGCATATGGCTCCTAGCGTAGTCGCGTATAGAAGCTCGATGTTTTATGTGCATGAATTGATTGACCCAAATCGGTGGCCTAGCTAGCTTAGACTAGCTATCCCACTTGGTCAGCCCAACCACACATCATAAATATTGAGGTCATGGTCCTTGCGAAATATACGAATCTGGGGTAGAGGGCATTGAAATGATCGCTTCGCACCCGTAATTTCCTCAAGTCTTGAAATTGCTTGAACCCTTTAGAGTCAATTTACTCCAGCATTATTGATTATTCAGCTTCAAAATTCAACAGGATTTATCGGAATGGCCTAGAGAGTACACTGTACAAATTCTATTATTTCAAAGTTCTTTTTGAGGTGGTGGCGAGGCAATTTGTGTAAAATGGCGCAAAACAGGATTGCCAAAGGTGATTATCGCTTTTTTTTGCGCATTGCCTTACATTCCTTTTATGAGTAAAAGTTTTTATATGTCAATAACACCACCACTGTTAATTACTTCTGCTTGAAATAATTCATATAAGCTCTGTATACTTCATCGATGATTCCTTGTAGGTATTAACTTATTTGAACTAATAGTGGTGGTGTAGAAAGAAATTGAAAACGACCATCAAGTTATTGCTGGCGAAACATTTCGTCTCGGGCGCTCCAAGTTCCCAGAACATAGTACACTCTACCGAATCTTGCAAAGAACCTTCCGACATTGGCCCAGCATCAAATTGGTATTCCTCTACTGGTTCAATTTCGAGTCTATCTTTTGTTGCACATGCCCATTGATCATTGACATTCTGAAAAACTCTGCGATGGCCTATGAGAGAGCAACCGACTTGGTAAGGCTGCCACCGCAGCAAGTAAACCCTTCATCGTGAAATTCCGAGAAATAACTTCAAAGGATGAGTTCATATCTCCACAGCGGTATTCCAATTTCAGACTTGCCGCAGCTTCTACAGGACAGTCGATGGACTCTGTACCTCGATGACCTCAACAGGCATTCCTGTACAAGTAACCGGCTTGGGGGACTGGATCGAGAGAAGACAGAAATTGTGATTGTGCGCCCAGATGATTATTGAGGAGAGATTCACAGGTGGGAACTAGATAGTGCTGCTCAAGCAGGACGCTGTATAGAACAGTATCTTTAATTCATGGTCTAAGGTATTTCAGGCCAATGTAGTCGAGTCGATTGATGAAGAAACTCAAGTTAATAACCTGAGAAATATTATGAACTGGAAAAGGGCGTCAATTGGAGACTAAACCCGGAAAACAACACGCGCGTAGAAAATGAACCGAGATGGGGGGTAGCGGTCACGTTACGGCTCCTCACCGGAACACGACCCACCTGAGCCCTGGGGACCCGCTAGCCACCCCGGGTTGCCCAGGGCCCAAAACCGAACTGTACTCCAGGGCTGCACTATACTGGACCCAGTGTTCCACCGTTGTGTGACCTAAACGCGCTGACCAGGGGATACCTGCTCAATGCATGTTGGTTCGATCTGGGCAGCTACCTCCAACTTTTGTCAAAAGGTACCTACACCCTAGACTCCTTGAGCAAACAATGCCCATAGTGATCACCAACTCGGCCATTTCCTTCACCACACTTTCAATGTTCATTTGCCCCACCGTAGGCCGGCTGCTAAAACATTCCAAGGGCCAAAGGTTCCAGGCCTCCGGAGGGCGTATTTTACCAAAAAGCAGGCATCAAGAGCGGTGAACCTGGTTCGTTTCCTTTGTCTTCCGACCTGCCTGGTCCTGCACTCCGCAATCCCCTCATTTCGGGAAATCCCCTTCCTTTCCCCGCAATATAGTTGCCGTCGAATGTTTTTTTTTTTTTTTTCGCTGCTGCCCCCTGCCACGAAAATAAGGATTCCCTCGTTGCACGAGCATAGCGGGACCATGAAAAATCACGATATCGCATCTCGCAAATGTGCCAAGTGCTATCGGGTTTTCTCAAAAGTCGAGCACTTGAAACGCCATGAACGATCACGTGAGTCTCTCTGTGCTCCACTCTGGAAGATTATCCGCTGACTAATCCGATCCCGGCAGACACGGGGGAACGGCCTTTCAAATGTAAGACTTGTGGCCGGGCATACGCTAGGAGGTGCGTGCGTATTTCCTGTATTGATCGTCTGCGCCCTGACATAAGTATTTTCTGTCTAGTGATGTTTTGAATCGACATATTCGTCACCATCATGGAAAAGACGGGGACAATGATGCAGAAAAAAGCACTCAAGCTGATGCGTTGCTGGAACGGACCAGCCTGTCACTAGACGGTTCTCCAGAAAGGTCTGAAGGGCTCGATGGAGTAGGCAGAAGATTGCCATCTGATGAGCTTTCCTCGTCACCACAGAACACACCACCCGAATGTCCGACTCCGGAGCATCTTATTGTGCAGGACATCGCCAACAATGATTGGAATGTTGTTGACTATGGTGGCCATATGTCGGGACCCTCCAACCAATGTCCCCAGGAGCTACCTGAGACCGTCGAGCACTCTCGCGCCCTGGAAATGCAGATGGCGGATGACCAGATTTTGCCGCAGTCACCAGCAATTTTCAGCCCTCGGGGGGCGCTCAACCCCTTCGATGCGCATTTAGATTGGTCTCTTGGTCCTACACAAATATTCGCTGCCAGTGGAACACCTAATACAATACCTCCTACCATGGACTTTAGCACTGTTTTGCTGGATGGGTTTCCTTTGTCGCCACCAACGCCTCGAGGACAGCATGCCTCTAATTCTCCGAAAGACGGGATTTCAAATGAGCAGTTTGAACAGGTGCGGCGCTCATGGCCCACGCGGCGTCGGGCTGTGACGTTTTCACCGTCCCCTGTGTCCTGGGATGACATTCTGCTCCATCCGGAAGCCAATATCTTCTCGTCGATTTCATTGAAAGCATTGGCAGATCTTGAGCCCATAGCAGTGAGGGAATCATCATGGGGATTTACTGAGTTCCGCCGGAACAGTTTAGTCCAACTGATGGCTCGTTATGCACTAGTTACGGCGAATGATATCGAAGGAGCCTCTCCAGCCTCTCTTTCGCCATGGAACGGCGAACCACCACCCACTGATATTCTTGACTTGTGTCTTGATCTATACTTTGGTCAATTTCATGTCAATCTGCCTTTCATTCATCCAGGAACATTCGACGCATCTTTAACCCCTGAAATTCTTCTTTTTCCTATGTGCCTGGTTGGTATGATGATTCTCAACAGAAGCGTAGCTCGTCAGTTGATTGCGGACTTCTTGCCAGTGAGTTATATTGTCCACCTAACCCAAGAAGGTTGATTATTCTAAAATTTTGCAAATGCCAGGGTGCTATAAACCACTGTAGAGCCGAGCTTTCATCGCAAGGAGCTCGACACTGCCCAGCTCCTGATATACTGACCGTGTTGGGAAGCTCTTGCTTGGTGCTGTTTATTGCGGCTTCGACTGCGGTTAGTGGCCTCGCGCTCAGACTTCGTGTGCATACTAACAGACGAGAAGGACGTAGCATTTGAAGAAGAGAGGCAAGCTCTTTACCAAGAGACCTTATCGGTAGGCTCTACTCTACGGTTGCAACGATTGGCAACGGTGCCTGCTGACTTGAGTCCTTAATAGTTGGCGAAAGATAGAGGACTGTTTGCATCCCGCAATTACAACTTTAGCCCTATGAAAGGCGTGGTGGATGATGATGTTATATGGAAAGGATGGGCTCGTATCCAGTCGGCACAACTGTAAGCTATTCCGCCATGGATGTGGTTTGACAACTTTCTAACCATCGATCAGTCTGACTGTTTGTCTAATGTTAGCTGATGCGTACTCGGCAAGCATGCTGGGTATTCCACCTATCCTTCGCACTGACAAGATTGACATGCCACTTGTGTGCAGCGATGCCCTGTTCAAGGCGCATTCTTCACACAAGTGGAAATCCCTCATGGGGACCAGAGACCCGTGGAATCAGCCGCTCTCCGTGGTGCTTGAGAAGCAGCACTCCTCTCCGAGACTGACAGGTCGTGATCTTCAAACAATCTTGTCGGTAGTCTGGCTCCATATCCTCGAAATCCGGCATCATTTAGAGGGTCGGGAAAGCTCGACTTCCGCATCAAGGGACCCATATTCAGCTTTGTCACCTGGAAACCCACATTCTAGCGGACCATCATCTCCTGCCTCCTCTCTTTACAACATTTACAAAGTCCATGCCTCAGAGCTAAACGATGGAAACATGAATTCGTTAATATTATGGCATTACCTATGCATTTCCCTCATGACCAACTTTGAAGTCATTGAGGATGCAGCCGGTCGGAATGGCCCCGAAGCAGCGAAAGCGGCAGTTGAGAGTTTAAGAATATGGGCCGGAACCCAGAGCGGCCGTCGAGCCTGCCTCCATGCAGCGCAAATTTTGGTAATCATTACACGACATTGTAGGTCTGATGGAATGATGCTCCATTCTGAAACTGCGTTATTCAACGCGGGCCTAGTCATGGGATTTTACCTGTTCACCGCTTCCGACTGCATACCGGTTGGTGACGGCCCATGCTATGACCTCTTTGATGACGTGGATTGGATCCAGGTTGGGGCTCTGGGTCTGGAGCCAGAACAGCCTCAAACAAATAATCTCCCCTCAGCTTCGACCGCCTCTGCATTTATCCGTGATGGTGGTCATGTTTGCTTCCATGGCGCCCAGTTCTACAGCTCATACGGTGCCTCTCGGAGGACATTTATGAATGTGGCTTCCCAACTGGAACAAGTGGGCAAATGGAATGTCGAGGAGTATAGCAGGGTGCTACGGATAATTAGCGCTACTTTGCTCACATCAGATAACCAGAGTACCGGGTGATCGTCTTACTGGGTTTGTGGAAGACATTGTCCGAGTTTCCAAGCCCACATTTGCGAATTCATAAGGCCGATTGAAAAGGTTGACCTAGTTTCGCTACTTCTTCGTGCTGGGCGGCGGTTGATGGGAACGATTTGCTTCCCACAATTAATTTGTCGATCATATCAAACAATTGTGATGCAATTGAATACAGCTTGACTTTATCGAACCAATGCACTGCCGTCATTGTTGATTTTGTTTACATCGTAACATCAAGAAGCAAGTGATTGTCAAATTTTGTGTTGTGTCTTGAAAATTACGCGTCAAAGCCTTACCCTGTGTACATCATTCTAGAGGTAAGACCCAAGAACTCTCATTTCTGGTAATGTTGCCTAAAGTCATATTGAAGAGCATTCCCCGCTTTCTTCAGTGCAGCAACGACCTCGGGGTCAGTCTCTGCTTGCTTACATGTCTTCAAAAATGCGTTCTCAACGGAAGCAGTGTCGGGGTCCTGCTCAAACAGAAGTCGAATGTTACCGGAGGAAACTGGATCGATTATTTCCTTGTATTTTCCCCGGCGAACAGTGTCGTAGATGTCCAGAATACCATCCTCAGCACGTCCAGTGTATATACCTTCCAGACAGTCGGAAAGTCCACCAACGTCCACAATTCCACCTGTCAATCCCAGTCCTCCAAAGGGGTTGCATACTATAACAAGAAAGAACTTAGTTCTGCCATTCGAGACAAGCGCAATCAGCTGGGTCAGAGCCACTTACAGTGTGCCGCGTCGGCAGCCAATAAAAACCGTCCAACCCTCATTTTCTTAGCGAGTCGTTGATGAACCTTGTAAGGACTGAAATTGACCATTTTGTAATCGCCAGGTTCGGGATGACCTGGCAAGCAAGCCTTGAACTTCGCCGGCTGTCTAGCCTTCAGCTCATCAAAGCTCAAGCCTGGCACTTCACCGTATGTCACGCGCCATAATCCGTCATCGCTGATACGGGCAGCCATATACCAATGCTCTGGGTCAATGATGAAATTGGAATCCCAGTCAAATCCGTGTTTCTCAAACGGGTAGTAGGTCTGCCGATGAACAGGTCGTATTAGTGAAAGGGTCAGTCACTGTGATGTAAGGAAAGTATGTAGTTGGAGGTCAACGCACATTAGTAGCAACAATTTGCTGATCCCAAGTGAAACCAGGGAATTCCCAATCCCCAAACAGAGATCGTCGAATCTGGCTGTTTGCCCCGTCGCATCCGACTATATACCGCGCCTCGGGTTTCTGTGGACCACCAGGCGCTTCTACCTCCAGCCACGCCTTGCTTTCATCCTGGCCGATCCCAGTCACTTTATGCGAATATAAAATCTCAACATGGGGCAGTCTGGAGATATGGCGCTGCAGAACAAGGTTTAGCTTATTCAACGGAAGGCAGGTCAAGGGGTCCGAAGTCGGGTCTGCGTTTCTTCCTGCATCAATTCCCGCGATGAATTCACCGTTGAGTTTCCTCCAGCAAGCCCCGTCAGGTATGAATGCGCCTTCGCCTTTCATGTCTTCCAGTACCCCAGCCCGGCGTAGCTCGTAGACAGCTGGCGGAGAGTAATGGGTGGCACGCGGGCGATCGTCCAGGGATTCTGCGGCTTCAAAAAGGCGTACAGGTATTCCCCTTTGGCCCAGCATGAGTGCTAGAAGTAGGCCGCTGGGGCCGGCGCCAACGATCGCAACGAAAGGAATGGACATGAGGTCTGGTGATATTCAAATCGGAGTATGTATGGTTGCAGATGTGTGGACTTCGATTCCTTTCAAGTTTCAGAAGTGGTGCACAACATTGACGACAAACCCATCTGGGCACCCGTTTGGGTAGTCCACCAAGAAATTTTCTATTCAGAGCTTTTTGTACGTATTGGCTTATATTCATCCAACGGGAATTCAATTTTCGATGCCTCCTCGAGTGGGGGATCGGCCTAACGTTCTGTACCCCACATGGCCTAACTGAGAAAGGGATTATCCCGGGGGTGACGAATCAGATGCCCACATGGCCATATCTGAACTACAAACTTTTGCAGCTCAGATGCGGCTACATGACTTGGAGAAGGGCTGGGGAAACGAACGTGGGAATACTTGGAGACACGTGCAGACGCGCCGCGTTTCCATCGTTGAATTGTTTGAATTTCGGAAGCAAAATGGCGCATCCGCTTATCAAGCAGGGTTTGGAGTCATGGCTAGTATTTTACGCATATCGACATAACGGCGTGAACTATGTATTAGATGAATGAAAAAAAAAACTCAAACCTACGCAGGTATCTATCATTCTTCAACACGTTGCGTGATCCTGAACTATTCACTGGGGTTTATTCTTTTGGAGGCGATCACGCTTTTCCAAGATTCCACATCCCACTTGAAGTGGGGTGAGGGGCTAAATTCAAGTGAACATTAAGCATAACACGTGTATATGGCTCAAGGACAAAGAAGTGCTAATCAGACGACCGGATCTGAAATGCAATGAAATCTGGAACAAACCAGCAAGAAAAAAAAACATCCAAAATGGCAACTTTCGTGGAAAATGTCGCATTCATCGGTAATCCTCGCCCTGGTGCTTGAAAAATATCTATCTTTTCTTCGTCCAACTAACTTCAGCCAGGTTTGGGTGCCATGGGATACGCCATGGCAAAAAATATCCGCAAGGAAATGGCACCGAGTGGAACCCTTTATGTTTTTGATGTCTTCGGACATGTCTGTGAAAAATTCCGAGACGAGTTCAAAGGCTTTGGCCCCATTGTGATCGTCGAGTCCCCGAAGGAGGCAGCTGCATTGTCCCAAACAATTATTTCCATTGTCCCTGGTGCCAAGGAAGTCCGAGATGTCTATCTGAATGATATCTCGGGAGTGATTACGGCTCCCAAGAACGAAGACCGATTGATAATGGAGTGCAGTACAATAGATTCCCAATCTAGCCGAGAGATCGGGCAAGCGCTTGGGACTGCGGGTGCAGGAACATACATCGACACACCTGTCTCGGTAAATCCCCTATCTTCTCATGGCATACAGGCTCAACTTAGCGGGTTCTGGAAGAGATTTCTAATCAACAAGAATGCAGGGCGGAGTTCCAGGTGCAGATTCCGGAACATTATCATTCTTGATAGGGCACAGCAAGCCCTCTGATACTGATCCGATCTCTCATCGACTAGAGAGAGTTGCAGCGATGATGGGAAATCCGAAGAAGTTCTTCTACTGTGGCAAGCTCGGAGCTGGGCTGGCTGCGAAGATCAGCAATAACTATTTGTCCTGTTCTATTCTACTGGCAGTCGCGGAGGCGATGGCTATTGGTATTAGATCGGGCGTTGATAAGAAGCTTCTCCATGAGGTCATACACAATTCGACCGGTCAAAGCTTTATGGCCGATGTGGTTCAGCCGGTCCCTGGAGTCGTTCCCGATGCTCCTAGCAGCAATGATTATAAATTGGGATTCAAGACGCAGATGATGATCAAGGATCTGGGTCTAGGTATTGATGCGGGGTACGCGACGGGGATCAAGCCTACCATGGCGGAGGCCGCGTATAGTGTTTACGAGAATGCTGCTGTTGACCCAAACTGCATTGTAAGTGGATTTCCTTTTTTGGGGGGGTTTGTAGGGTGTGGTGAGTGTTACTCGGATTAATAATACTACTTTATAGGATCGGGATGGATCCTCCGTTTATCTGCATATCACTGCAAGCCAAGAAGGCAAGGAGGATTAATTAGCTACGCTTCGTGGAGGATATCTGACTGTGACTATTTTCTGATATCTCAACTCTGGATGGAGTGTAATTTTAAGGTGGTTATGGGGCGGGTGCCTGTCAAGTATTGCTATAACACTTCTGTCCTGCGAATTTGGGTGTTTCAGTACGAAATCCACATATTCTGGTCGGAAAGTGCATATATCCGTCATGGTATGTGAATTTATCATTTTGAATACAAATCTAGTCATCAATTCCCAGGTTCGATCAATGCATAAGAACCTCCCGTTAAGGTGGGGTGACAAGTCAACTGGTAGTGCCTTTCGCCCTTAGCTCCAATCTTAAATGACTTCATAGCCCCGTTTACCCCTCTCGCGAAACCTGCACGATTTGACACAAATTTTGAATGTGATCGGTCCTTATAGCATAATAATCATACTCGCAATAATGCCTGATTCTCAGATTGAACTTCCCCCTACTAGCTCGCATGTCGATGTCCAACTGCTGAACGGCGGAAGCATGATGGCTGAATACCATAAGCTTCATAAAGGTGAGCCAGCCAAAAAGTTCCGAATGTATAACTGGGCTTTTTTCATCCACCACACGGGAAATGGTCGAAAGGTAATTTGGGATTTGGGAATGTCATCGGTACGTGGATTGGCCTTCTAAAACCATTCGCTGATCGGAATCTCTTGAACTGACGGACCGAAGAACGGAGATGACTTCCCACCTGTCATTGCAAATGGACTGCTGAAAGAAGCCCAAGTTGAGGGTCCTCGTGAATCAATTGAAGCGCAGATTGAACGCCGCAATGGTATCAAACCAGCCGAGATCGATAATGTTTTACTAAGGTCAGCATACGTTCGTACCTGGTGGTTCGTGATGTGAATTTTCTCAACTATTTCATAGCCACGCACATTTCGACCATTGCCGGCCAGTACACAATACGTTTCCAAATGCAACAGTCTATTTCGGTCCTGGTACATCAGAGCATTGCGCCCCAGGCCACCTGCAGAATGAATCATCAATGTGGGACGGCCGATTCTTCGATCCGGAAAACGCAACTGAGAATTGGAAAACCTTGGAAGGACCATGGAAGAACTTTGGACCGTTTGAAAAGGCACAGGATTTCTTTGGCGATGGAAGTTTTTGGATCATTCAGGCTCCTGGGCATATGCCTGGTAACTTGCTTGCATGCGCCAAGCTTCCGACGGGCGATTGGGTTATGCTGGGCTCTGACTGTTGCCACTCGCGGTAGAGATCCCAGTTCCTTGCAAAATTATGGCTCAAGAACCGAGTTGACATGAATATAGAGAGCTGTTTACTGGTGAGAAAGAGTTCGCGTCTTTCGAACTTCCCAATGGGACAACATTTTGTCTCCATCAAGATGTGCCGGCGGCTAGGGACACCCTGGAGCGCATGCGGATAATGGAGGCGAGCTTCGGAGCTCATGTTGCTCTTGCGCACGATACTGCATGGATGGATAAGGAAAATGACGAAGTACTTTTATCCCTACTGGATAATGAGCTTCGGCGTGATATTCGCGACGCATTGAAACATCAGGCACCTTTTTAGAGCACATGTGGAAACTGTCAGAGAAAGTGGAGGTCGTTTTTACTATATACTCTCCTCGTATTGCACATGCACATGTGTGTTTTACTATTCAACTAGCCGGCACCCTGTTATGTTTCATTTCACTCAAATGTTCTCAACTTGAAATGTTTACCCCTGTCATTTTCTATCTTATTTCAAATTCCGATCAGCCTAATCGATTGCTACAAATTCAAGCTCACATGATTTCATTCCGACATTTAGATCCGCAAGCGCTGTATAATTTTCGGAGGCTCGAGCTCATTAATCACGCTCTGTTACATGGAAGTTGAAATTTCCCCCTTAAATATCCTTTAGATACCAGCAACCATTCCCTCACTATTCACTTTAATCGATCCAAGCATGTAGCCATCCTTTTCCGCTTCCTGCCATTGGACCCTAATAGTCTCCTCTACTGTTTTACTGCGAGGCACAAAGCGCAGTTTCCCAGGTTTTGGGAGAGTGTTCACCCCCTCTTCATAGGCTGCATCAGAAACATCAACCGTATCAACTTTGCCATCCAAAATTGGCGGTAGAATCTCAAATGCCCAGTTAAGGGATGCAATTGTTATGAAAAGGCTGTTCTCGGCCAGATGCATACCCGGGCAGATTCGCCTACCAGCGCCAAAGTCGAAATGGTCTCGTTCATAAGGATCGGAAAGCGCTGCGTACGCACCCGCTTTGAGGGGATGGTTGAGGTAGCGGTCTGGTATGAAATCATCGGGTCTATCGTAGCGGGCCGGGTCAAAATGAAGTGCATATTGATTGACAGAGACGACTGTGTTTGCCGGGATGAAATAGCCATTGTAGACAATATCGGCTGTGGTGTAGTGGGGGCTTCCAATACTAATAATAATCGCATCCCTAGGTTAGTAATCAGACAGCGAGAAAGGGTATCGAGGACAGTCTTACTTGGTGACAGGTCTGATTCGAAGAACTTCTTTCACACAAGCCCTTATATATGGCAGGTCTTTCTCATCCTCAAAATTAGGCATGCGGTTTCCGCCGATCACGCGGTGAAGCTCCTCATATGCCTTAGCCTGGGCTTCTGGGTAGGCCGCAAGATACCTCACGCAGGAATTTAGTGCGGAGGATGTTGTTTCGGATCCAGCCTCGATCATTGCTGGAATCAGGTGGTTAGTTTTGGGGGACATTGTGCGAATAATTGCAACTGAAAACGTACTACCCGCCACAAAGGCAGCTTGCAGCTCGCTGATGCCATTCTTCTCATAGTCGCTCTCGATGAACTGTTTCACAAAACATTCAGGGGCTTGATTGGAATCCATCTGCTCCTTCAGTTTCGTCCAGTATTTCATCCAAATGGCCGCTTGGCGATGAAAGGACTGAAGTGTAGCTTTCCTCCACCACTGCATGAAAGTAGGAAGATTGGCCAAGACTGGAAACATTTCGGCGATGTGCTTTCCCGGGTTTGCAGTCTCGCTGAACTCCTGCATTAGGCCGTAGACCTCACGAACATCTTCGCAATCCTAATAGAAGGTTAAAAAAACATTCGTGTGAAGGAAGGAGACAATTCTCATACCCATACAGGGACCCTTCGTCCGTAGGTCGAGGTCATTACCACTAGGTAGAGTAGTTCGTTAGCAACCCGCACAGGATGATCTTATGAATTGAGACTCACCCGATATAGTATATCTCCGGATGTGCATGTAGAAGTTCTCCTGGTTTTCGTTATTGGTTAAAATATCCCACAACAGTCTTTTCGCTTCAAATTCTTGGGAGGGCAAGAAGGTGTTTGACGACTTTGGGGTCAGGAGCTTGTGCACGATTGCACGTAGCTTTCTCCAGTGAGGCGAGTACGGCATCAGTAGCAATCTGAATGAAACTCATGGTCAGCCAGGTCACAACGTAAGAAATTAGTATAATCCCTGCTCCCTTACCTCATACCACCGGACAGAATATCCGACACAACTGGACTAGGAGCTCGTGAGGACGAGTATTGTGATTGCCTGTCGAAGATCTCTTTCACGGCCGCTGGACTGTTCACGAATATCCATTCCTCGCCACCCAAGCGCACCTTGAACAACTCGCCGTGTTCCCGACTCCAATTCTGTAACTGCCGGTGTGGATAGGCGCCCATAAGAGCTGCTTGGTTGCCGGCGACAGGGACATCTCGGAGTCCCTTCGGTGCTCTCCTTCCAGCCAGGGTCGAGGCCAGAAGATGGAAAACCAGACACGTGGCCAGGGACGCCAAAATACCGATAGTCAGAAGCGCCATGAGTCGAGCATTAACAGCCAGCAGGTGGTTAGTGAATAAAATGACTGTAAGCTGAAAGATTCCTATGCTGCATGCATGTGAAACCTCGTCACCCCACATGAGGCAAATGTACGGTGTCCCCACCTTCAATTTCTAGGTACCAACATTCAATGTTCATTGTTCCAGATGTCAAATGAATCCGCAGCGAATATTGATGCTAAAGTTATGACGAAATTTAATGTTGGCCTCTCAATTGGAGAGGTGAAAATTCGTGACCACCCCGCTTCTGCTCAAATGTTCGCGTACATAGACACTGGATGGGCATTCCTTGATGAAATCTTGGATCAATATATATACATATTCAATAGTTGTCAGTACCGACATCTGGACATCTGGATCACGACGTTAACACGCTCATTCTGAGAGATAAAAAATGAAAATGCGACCGTCTATTTGGTTCGCACTCAACTATTCTGAATATCTGTATGTGACAAAATACCTCGTGCTGGCCCAACATTGAAGGCTGGCATCAGAGTTTGGGTCACGTGGTACCACGTGTGGTCACATGATGTTGGCTTTTTGTGTTGATTTATTTCTGGGACCCATAGTCACGTGCAACAATCCCTTGGAAGTTGGTCCTGACAATTTTGGAAAAGAAATTCAGGGAGTGACATAAGTAATTGCAAGTGAAGCAGATTATCAACAAAAAAGCTGTTCACTGCCCGGTATGAAGATGATTCAATGCGGAATTATAGAACAGAGCCTTGGAAGTAATTGCATTGATTGAAGGGACTATATGTGTTCGTGGATATTCTTGGCCGTTACATAACAGGGATAGGCCGTGTCATTGGACAAATCGGCCGTGGCAGTCCAGTGCTTATGTAGGAGCTTCGGGGACTCGATTTCATCCACAATGGCAGCGGCAAGGTCCGCCGCTGAGATTCCCGTTAATCGACCTTCCAAAACATTATTCTCGTCTTTTTGAACTCCCTTTAGAGGAACATAGTCGATGGTAATCTCATAGCTTCCCGTTCGTGGACCTGGTCTATACAATGGACTAGGAGAGACAAAAGTCCACGGAAACGACGTGTTCCCTTCGAAGAACAAGAGCGAAGCCCTTCCAGCTTTTATGTAATCGGACGCACGATCATTTTTGCGAACATTATTTTCATATGCATCGATCGTCTGCAGGTCCGTGGTTGTAGCCTTCCCAGATTTCACGGCAAGATGGGCATTCCGGTATACTCGCAAGCCTTCCCCGATGGGACCAAGACGTTCCTCCATATATTGTACGTGCGCGTCGCTTTCCGCCATCTGCCGCCGGTATGAAAGGAAAAATGACGGGTGGTCCGCCAACGAATCATGTGTCGTTGGGACCAAGAGGCTACCAGCTCCACCTACAAACACGAAGTATTTGATATTGGCTAGCTTGACAGCGAGAATCATTTTTCGAACCACCTCTATATAAGGCACTGTCGGATATTACATCATATGAGTTGGGGGCCGAAATTCAGTTCTGGAAAAAGATAGCTCACTTACTGTATTGAAGTGCACCCGCCCCTTGCGTATGTGCGCCATATTGGCTGACCAGTACATCAATATCGCTGAAATCTCTGGCCATATCTTCTATGCTGGCTGATTCAATGTCAAGCCCTCTGGGCGTATAGCCTGGGCATGAACCGAATGATTCAGGGTTGCGCGAGAGTCCAATTACTGCGTGTCCTCTGCGGAGAAGTTCAACACACAGGTACGAACCACCAAACCCCGCGGGGCCTATGACACCAATAGTCCGGGTCTGATGAGGCCCGGACATCTTTAGATCAATGTTGGCGATGAGGAAGGCGAGTTGATGTTCGAAAATGAAGGAATGTACGGCCTATTGACATTCGGAATTGGGATGCCCTTGAAATGTCGTAGTCCCATGTGGGGGCTCAAAGCGTTTAAATTGGTGAATACTACAAGCCCGGCAATGGAACTTCCCGAGGTCAAAGGTTGACTGGAACAGGTCCTGGTGTATCTACTCCTGTAATTTTGGGTTGCGTCGCTTGGTTGAGGGGAAGCTTGGCTGCTTCAGTGTGAGGTGGGGCCGAAAGACACCATGCCACATGGTAAACCGTAATATACATGTACGCGGAGTCGGCTAGTGTAGCAGGCCACTGGTGAGTTCTTTGATCACTAAAATATAAAATGGGGAGGATTCAAATTGTTCAATGAGGGTTTACGATAGTAGCAATTCAATATTGTAAGGGAGGATGTGAAATCAATTATCTGCTTTGCAAAGTTCATACATCGTCTTCAATAACATCGCATGAAAGCTGTATATCGCCTCGCAGAACCCCACACCCGGTTAATAATCTGTCCAATTTACCGTAATGCAAATTGAATTCCTTCCACTTCTTTCCAGTTCTTTGGGTAGCCTGAAGACGCTCTGACGGTAGAGAAAATAGACAGATCAAACGTATTGAGATAGATCGAGGTACAAAATCAAAGCTTTGTAGATGCAGGGGGCGGGTTTACACCATCACCCTCAGAAGAAATCCTCTCCCCGTCGATTTCCCAACCTCTTCCTCTGTACCTTGCAGGCCAGATGCCACATCGACCAGGCGCCAGGATCCCGTTGGGATCAAGGGCGTCTTTGAGCTTTTCATTCAACTTCATAAGCGCATTGTCGTTCCAAGAGTAAGTTCCAGCGACCTGGTCACTCAGAAGCAAATGCGTCCGATACTCACCATATCCCTTCTCAGCTGCTTCTCGAATAAGGGACCTCATTGCCTGCAGTGCGTCCGCTCGCTGCTTGGGATCATTGCGGTCATAGACACATTCAACAATAAGATGGAGCTCACGGAGCCCGACGACGAAGTCGAAGAAAAAGTCCAGGCCAAATTTGACCCAGTGCTCCTTCGCCATCTGCCACAGCCGTAGTGCATCTGCCCCACGAGTGGGCGCTACTGGGCTGAACGCGACATGTCCACCATTTGGCCACCAGTTAATCCAGGCAAGCTCCTCGAGGTCGGGCTCCCCGCTTGAAATTCGGTCGCGAGACCAGAAATAGTCAGTCGGCGGTAGCTTGGCTGGGTCTATGCGGCGTGCCCCGGGCACTTTCATAAACTCCCGGTGGATGATATCTAGCTTTAGCTGACGCACTTCCTTGGGTCCGTAGCAGGTGCCGTAGTATAGCCAGGTGCATTCACCATATGGGTGGCTTCGGAGATACTCGTGCATCTTGTCGGTAGGAAAGGGTCCATTTCCATCGAAGAATGCCGATCGGGGCTTTCCAGATAACGCCAAGATTTGCAACGCGTGCCGGATATTTGCAGCATTCTCGAGAATCATAGCAATTCGAAGAGGTCGCACAATCTCCACAAGCTGTTCAAGGTCGTCCTCTTCCCGGAAAGTATAAAGCTGCCGCGAGAACGTTAGCATTGATTGGAAAGTTGGTATTAGAAGACTCACGAAGCTTTCATGGCCACCTGGATTAGGCATCAACCCAAATCCCATTTTGGTGACGATGCCATAGTTCGACTGAGAGAAGATGCCACTGTCCGGGGGTGTTAGATTATTTCACGCCATTCGGATGTGCTGTCTAGACGAATCCTACTCAATAAATGGCCCAAAGCCGTAAGGAAACACCTGCCACGTGTTATTGCCTGGCAGAGCACCCATGCCTGTCCGAACTATCTCGCCAGTGGGTGTTACCACTTCGAGGCCGGAATGTGTTGACCAATGATCGCCATACGGTGTATATCCAACCCCGCGATCAAGCGCATTTCCAAGGACCGAGCCACCGCCAAGATCCGGAACATCAATCCACAGATTTTTGTACCCGCGCCTCTGTACCTCCTCATATAGTGCGTAGTAAGAAACACCCGGCTCGACCAGGCAGGTGCAGTCATCCGGATTGATGTCGAGGATCTTATTCATGCGCTTGCCAAGGTCAAGAACGACGGCTCCGCGAACACGTGGTGCAGCTCCACCATAGCCAACTTTTGGGATGTAAAAGTTAGCCAAAATTGCAACATTGATAGCCTTGGCTGTATCGGTGACATACAATTCCGTCCCATTGATATTGGGTGCAGAGGGATGAGGTATTTGTTTGCCCAGTGAACCACCTTTTGAACCTCATCTGTAGTACCCGGATAGATCACTGCAGAGGCGACTAATTCTTCTTCGTCGACAATGGCCATTCCGTCATGGGTATTGGGGGCTGATACCAGCGTGATATGTTAGAGCTCTTTCGTTTCTCTCAAGACAACAATCAACCTGGGCACTTACGTTCCATGTACCTATGAATCAATTGACTGTTAACCCTTGTTATCAACCTTCACTTCGCGTAGATTAGATCTTACCAGCCGTCATCCAGTGGTTTATCGTTGATCTCGACATTTCCATTGCCCAGTTCTCTCGATATCTCATCAATAGCAACAAAAAAGCGAGCTCTTTCAATTCCCTGAGGTATCACCGGCAAGCGCTTTCTAGACTGCTGTTTCTTCGTGGCAATATCTTCTATGAGATCTTTTGCACGATAAGCCTTGTGTAACAGACGCGCTGGGGTGCCATTGTGCTTCTCCTCCAGGGTAGGGATAGATGGGCGATTCTTGAAAGACATGTTTGAGTGTCGACCTCCAGGAATGGCCGGAGAAGCCAATGCTGATTGCACCTTGCAAAGCTTTATAGTGAGAAAGAGCTTCCACGTGATTTCATTCCTGGAGAGTAAAACGGGGAGTTGTTGACAAGGCACAGGATATTCTACACAGCTCGATTAATAGGTGGGGTATTGCAGTCAGATGAGCTGGCTCCCTATCGACCCCACATTGCACAATTCGGTCGGTATCTGAGTTCGGAGCAACGGCGATTTCCAAGATTTTAAATATCGACTTTAATCGCTTACAAGCAGTCGGGCTTCTTCATTATTCATTCTTCAATTTGACATTTCCACAATAATGTCCCAGCCAGTTGCCGTTATAACCGGCGCATCGTCGGGAATGGGGCTTGCCGTGACAAAACATCTTGTTGCAGGTGGATGGCGGGTTGTTATGGCAGATATCGCCGAAGAGTCCGGAAAAGCCATTTCTGAAGATCTGGGGGATCAAGTTTTATTCTCCTGTACCGATATCAGTTCGTATTCGCAACAAGCGGATCTATTCAAAAAGGCATTCGCTTGGGGTGGCAGACTGGATCTTTTCGCCGCAAATGCTGGAATTGCCGACACACAGTTCCTCCATGAAAACGACTACCGATACGATGAAGATGGCAATGTGATGCCTTTCAATCTCAAGGCAATGGATGTCAACTTCACCGCCGTCGTGCAGGGTATTTGGCTCTTCAAATATTATGCCCGCCAAAACAAAATCCCGGGTGGGAAGGTTATCATAACGTCATCTTCAGCAGGGCTGTATTCAATGGCCACGAATCCTATCTACACGGCCTCAAAGCATGCTCTAGTTGGACTGGCCAGGGCACTGGGTCCGGAACTAGATCGGCAGAATATCCAAGTTAACGCCATTTGTCCAGCCTTTGTACCCACTGCGCTCTGCCCGAAAGATATGCTAGATCGGTTTCCAAAGGAGCATATTACTCCGATGTCGACCGTCATAAAGGCATATGACACTTTTCTCAAAGACGACACCCTTACTGGACAAACAGTCGAGCTAAGTCTGGATCAGCTATACTTTCGTGTCAAGCCCGATTATCCAAATGAAAGTCAACGTTGGTTGGGAGAAGACTCGGCAAGCTTTTGGGAAGAAGCTTACAAGGGAGCTGCTTCTTGATATGTATGATCTCCCTAGCATGTCCACTGGGCTGGCCGTCGCCAATCTCTTAGTACTGCGTCGGGTCTTTCTTGAGTCATTTTTATTCAACCAATTCATCTTAGTTTCAAGGCCATTATGTAATGTTGAGCGGAGTTATATTTTCAAGAGTTGCTAGGGTATGTTCAAATTCCGATAGGACCCACGCACCATCTAGAAACTCTTCTATCAACTAAACATTGAAGGGACTGTTGGTCTCGTTATTCGTGAAGGCAACATTTGAATGTACGATCAAAGTGCGCTTCAAATGCTTGCTGGTTGTAGCACTTGTCAGTCTCGGGATACAATTTTGAAGCTTGATAATGCGCTGCCCCCTTGACCCTCGACTGGGAAACAACTCTGTTTATGAAACAGCGCGGGAGGCTTATCATTTTTCTTTCACGTAAACCTTGGAAATTCCATGATCCCACGGGGGCAAATTGTCTCGTTCCTCTTCTCATTTTAACATGTGGGGTAGCTCCCCAGGTGGGTCTGGGAACTCTGGGCGGTCTCCACATTTAAACGATGGGTGGGGTGATTTCAGTGTTGTCCCCAATTATACGGACGATCATCTGTTGTTGAAGGAGTATGGGGACTTACTGATCATGTGAACATGCTTCGAGCAGTTTCCTTCTCTAGACACAGGATTTCACTTGCAAAATCATTGATATCTACCATATGGTCCAAAAAACCACGTGCATTTGCTTCCACTACACAAATCACACGGGTCACAGCTTACGCCACAAATCTCCACTGGGACTATAGCTCTGAGTTGACTAGACTTGCGAGCACTGTGATCAGCGCTCATCCCCCACATGAGCTCTTTCACAGAATCAACCTTTGAGTATACCACAACTTTCCTATATAGCACGGTTTGTGCTGATTTGCTTTCCTCAAATTCTAGGTCGATTTTTTACGATACTCTGTTGCTCAATCATCACTCGCCCGGGCTGTTATCAACAACACATTTCCGAAATGGGTTTTGGTGTACTTGAAGACCGTTCCAGGCTGCCCAACGTCCCTGGAACGGTCGCGCTCGCCGAAATGAATGAGCAATCCTTTGACAATCCCGCAACACTCAAACGAGGCCAGGGGGGTGACAAGAACATCAACCTGGTGCCGCAACCATCAGATGATCCGAATGACCCCTTGAATTGGCCTTTGCGGAAGAAAGTCATGATCGTGGCAATTATGGTTTTTGGTGCATGTTTGAATGCTGGTACAGTCGGGCCACTACTCAGCGCCAGCATTGTGGTTATTGCGGATGATTTCAAACGGCCTATAGCAGAGATCACTCTTTTGACCGGATACTGTCTGGTTGTGGCTGGGGCTTCCTGCCCTCTCGTTTCAGCCTTTGGCACCAAATTTGGCAAGCGTCCCGTCCTTCTTATGTCGTCGATGGCGTCTCTTATTGGGAGTATTATCGGCTCGATTAGCCAAAACTACAACACCCTGCTCGTCGGTCGAATTGTTCAGGGATTCTCCATTGCGGCATACGAATCAATCACGTTTACGTTGATCGGGGACCTATTCTTCGTCCATCAACGCGGCTTATGGATCAATGTCATCTCTTTCACTCTCACGGCTGTCTCAAACTTGAGTTCTATTGTAGCCGGGTCTATCACATATAATCTTGGCTGGCATTACCTATTCCATATTCTGATAGCATGCTCAGGGCTCCAAGTACTCTTGCTTTTCTTGTTTGCACCTGAAACCTGCTACAAAAGAGATACTCAACTCAACGAACGACTTGCAGCCAGGGATGGGAAAGCTCAAATCAAGGGCACTGAAACGATAGAGCATCTCGAGTACTCCTCACCACCTCGAGATCTATCTACTATCCCCTTGAAGTCCTTCCGACAAAATCTCGCTTTTTCCACCGGCTCATATAGCGACGACAGTATTTTCAAGCTCTTACTCGGCCCCTTCCTATGTCTTACAAATATTTTCGCTTTATGGAACGTCGTCATGACGGGCGTGGTCACCTCAACATATGTGGCAATATCCTATGTCGTGGCTCAGATCTTCTCTGAGCCACCCTATCTCCTTTCAACTGCGCAAATCGGCTACCTATCGGTCGGTCCTTTTCTTGGCGGTGTCATTGGATGTACACTGGTTGCCCAGGCTTCAGATCCTTTAGCTGTCTGGATGGCAAAACACAACAACGGCATCTATGAGCCAGAGTTCAGACTTCCGTTGATTATATTTGCATTCATTGCAACTGGAGGCTTATTTGGATTTGGTGCTACATCAGCAGCACATGAGAGTATTTACTTAGTGGACTTTATGTGGGGGTTGACACTGGCTGGAATCTCGTTTGCAGTGGGATCTTGTTCGGCTTACGCCATCGACGCCTTCGGGAGCATGAGCAATGACATATTCGTGGCTAATGTCATGTTTAAAAACTTCCTGTTCTTTGGCTACAGCTATTTTATCAACGACTGGATTGTTAAGGACGGGGTTGCAACTCCATTTTATGTGTTCGGGGGCATCAGTGCTGGGCTCATTGTGACAGCCCTGCCTGTGTATCTTTTCGGCAAAAGATACAGGAGTATGTGGTATCGTCATAATGTTATGGACATGGTGAAAGTCAAGATTCTCGGGTGGTTATAGTATTCACTGGTCTCTCCCAACAGCAAGGACACGTTTTTCGGTGATACCAGATGTCAATGCCATTGGACTGAGACTTCGAATTTCCTTTTGATACTTTTGGTTTAACGCTCAATGCGTTTTCCCTTCTTCAAAAATGCCCTGCCCAACTTTTGGTAATAGTATGTATAAGTTCATTATATTGAAAGAAAATCTTTGGAAAAGCCCTTCAAATATTTGAAATAATAAAATCTATGTTATTTATTGATCTTCATTCCAATATCCTTTTGGGGAAATTATTCCGACTGCTCCCAATGTTCATCGCCCCCAATATACCGAAATACAACCCGTGAGTCTCGATCGCGACATCTGTCGTCCTCACTAGCCTCTTGGTACACCGCCAGTCCCGACTCTCCAAGGCGCAGCTGAGCGCCAACTCTTTTCGCCGTCTCAACGGCGAGATTAAAGTCCTTTTTCATCAACTGCACCTTGAAACCACCCTGGTAGTCTTTGCTAGCTGGAGCATCTGGGCAGACGCCTGGCACTGGATTCCATTTGTCGTTGATGGTACTCTGGGCTGTACTAGTCGTGAAAATCTTAGACAGCAAGATAGGATTGATGCCAGACTTGATCCCAATATTCAAAGCTTCTGCGGTAGCAATTGCGATGAGACCGGAACAGTAGTTATTGCAGAGCTTTGCCGTCAGGCCGAGCGAGAGCCCACCGCAGGGGAAAATCGATGACCCCATGGCACCCAGCAAGTCATTCAATATTGGCAGCTTTGGGTCGTCTTCTCTGCAGCCTAACATGAATGTCAATGTCCCAGAAGCGGCTCCGAGAGAGCCTCCAGATACGGGCGCGTCATAAAATCGTGCCGTTGAGCATTTCTTATTAACAGCGTCATTTATCTCAATCGACGTGCCTGTGTCAATGGTAGAACAGTCGACAAAAACTTTATCTTCAATCGTACCGGATAAAACCCCGTTTTTGTCATCGAGGTACACGGTTCGGACGTGTGATCCTTCCGGAACGATCGTAAACAGGATATCCTGAGCCATGGTCAGCCGCGTACCTCGGTGTCAATGGTATCTCTGGATCGTACAGATCTTTCCATAACTTCGCGCGAACTTGAACAAATAGACACCAGGTGGGGAGCTTCGTGCTCGAACCTTCTCAAGACCTCATCTGAGACGTCATACACGTGCAGCTTTCCGCCATTGTCGAGTTTCTTCAGCAGGTTCAGTGCCATGGGATACCCCATGACACCCAAACCAATGAAGCCAAGCTCACGTGATGGCATCTGGACACAATCTCCTAAGTCAACTTCATTCAGCTTTCAATTGTTGTCGACTTGCCAGAATATAACGGTGGACATTTGAAACTAGATTTGGGTGGGGGACTTGGTACATGTGGGGGAACTTTGCATGTGGGGCGATCCGAATCCAGATATAGATGAAAAAGCACTAGTCCTAAACAGGACATCAACACAATTATTTCTGGACAAGAATTGCTTAGATCACTAGATCAACGCACAAGATAGAAAAGAGAAATACAGAAACCCAATTGAATGTGCCTTTGGAGTCTTGTGTATAAAACTCTATTTAGCTTTCTATGGGACAACAACACCCTTTCCCGCGCAAGATTTGGCCCTCCGTATTTTCCCAGACCCACGTCCGGCCTGAAAGGATACAAAGAACAATCTGTATCCCCCCAATTACGAATGTTGATTCATAAGGAAGTTATTGGTGCGAGCCTTGTAAGAATATTATATAATTTCAACAATTTGTCTGGAAAACATAAGATGGTGCGCACATGAGGTGGAAGTTATGACTGAATGTAGACGTCGTAGTAAGATTTAATACCGTTCGTAATTTCGCTTCAATTTCCGTAATGTTATTATGTCCTATTTTGATGCTGAAATGTGTGGATGGTATTTTATAATTTACTGCAGGTCCTGTAGTACAGCAAAGTACCCGAGGCCTAGAAAGCCTATGACTCTATGGACAGTATATACGGGTCACATTCTAATTATCTGAAAGATGCGTAAAAATCAGGCCAAAGTTAAGTAACAGAACTTAATGAAAGGTTAATTATGCATGTGGAATTCGATACAAAAATAACCAACTGTTACTAGTACTTACGGGAATCTTGTATGGAATTATAAGAATCTGACCGCCCTAATCACGTCCTTGTATTAGAAAAGGTTTAGCTACATTGCAGAATTTTGGTGGAGTTGTTTTGTTATCAAAAGTCGGTCATTTTTGTTTCAAACTAAGTAATTATAATTGAGTATTGTATCTTACAGTATTATGAATTAGACATTCGGCCACATGCCTCTTCTATCATATCCTCTCTTCTACAATTTCCTCTCCTCACTCCCTCTACCTCATTACACTTTCCGAGAAGTTGTATCTCGTCCCTTCAGAAGATTCAAACATCCAACAGAAAAACAGGCAAAATGGCTCCCGAGTTTCGCATCCAAGTCGCCGACCTACCTTTTCCGCACAAAGACTACATCGAAGCCAACGTGCCTGTCTTTGCACCCCAGTCAGAATATCTTGCCAACCTTCAACCTATTGCCATGGAGATCTACCACCAGTTTCGGGCAAATGAGTGGACAGACGCGGACTGTTACGAACACTTCATCGCCATAGAAAAATCCATGGGATTCCACAGTGAATGGCTTCGTCATAAGGGCTGGGAGGAGCAGAAAGTCCAGGATTGGAATAAAGCTTGCGAGGGTTTTTACAGTGTTCCAGGTTTAAGAGACAATGATTGCAAGGCTCGTTCTTTGCAGAGGGCTCTTGCGTGTCAGAGATCCATGATACCACGCCTCAGACTCTGCGAGAGGATGGATGGGCGAGCAGAAGGAAATGAAGGTTAGGGAACTTGATCGGATGGCGGACGGTAAATTGAATGCCTCTGAGGGCCTTTCTATTGCTTCATTCGTATCACTTGCTATGGAATCTTTACCCTATGTACAGAAAATGATGACGCTTTAACTGCTTTTTTAACAAACCCCAATATTGATAGTATAGATGAATCTCTCGGCTCTGGCCTCCAATCCCATCCCACAAGAGTCAAGTTGAAAGTTGTGCCAGCATCTCAGATATCTGCTGATCATCAGGGTCATCCAGCTTTCCTTGAATGTTCTCAATTTCAACATCTCCATCTGTGCCCGACCCAAGACTGTCCACTTCACCCCCCTCCTTGCTCTCCTTAGCTTCTTTTCCGCTTTGCTCGGCGGCATATGTTTTCGCAATATCTATATGAGACTTGGTGTACTCATCTGGATCCCAAGCCAAAACCCTGCTTTCCATCTCTTGTAGCTTTTGGCTAACAAGCTGCTCCATCTCATCCCTCTCTTCGTCACTCAAAAGACAAAGTCTCTCCTTCCACGCATCCTCGATACTAGTACTCTCCACAGGCCCAAAGAAGCGCTGGTCAATCTTCTCCCAATATATTGAATCAAAGGCAAAACTGTTTCGCGCAGCGTATGTAGTCCAGAAATCGCCACTCTCCCAACTCTCCTGCATGGGGGTGGAGAGCCGTTCGTTCTCCGTCAGCCGACCTTTCTTGATTGCAGCATCTTCGCATTTGATCATCCCCTTCAGGAATGTCGGAAGGCGGCGACTAAAGATTTGTGTCCAATCTTCAAGACCATCTGGCCAGTACTCGGGCTTCTCGATGAGGAGCCACCAAGGTGGCGAGTAGAGGAATTCGATTGGAGCCGTATATGTGAACTCGAAGTCCACGATACTCGCAATCTTCATTTTGTTCATAAGAACGTTGCTTGGTCGGAAGTCATCACCCCAGATCTTGAAGGGACCTTTGTCAAACGCCGCCCATCGCTTTGTGAGCTTATTTTCACGAGCTAATTTGCGGAAAAGACGTCTGGCAGTAAACTTTCGTCGACAATCATCTGCAGAATCAATCGCGTCATTTCGCTGGTGTTTGAGATGAGCAATATGAAGGTCCGCAAGAGCTTCGAAGTAGGAGGACGTCGAGTCAAATGCTTTCTTTGGTAGGCATGATTGAGGTAGAGACCCCACTCGAACAAGTTCATTGGCGCCCATCGACAGGGGACGATTTTCCACTTCCCAGGTAAAGTCATCAATCTGAGTCAAAGAGCCTATCCGTGAGAAGGATGGTTTCGATAACTGCAAAAGAACATTGGCCATCTCCGTATATAGAGCTTCAAGAGTGTTCTCGTCGATATCAGGGTCAAGCCTTCCCCGATCGCTAACCGGGCACCCAGGGAAATTGAGCAATTTGTACATGCTTGAGTCATGCGTTATGTATTCCATAATGATATAAGGACCCACTTCCAAAGGACAGCTTTCTTTGGGGCCCCAATGGTAAACAAATGGTACAGGGATCGAGGTCTGATCATAAAGGTACCGCATAATGGCGACCTCAGATCGAACTTTTTCTTCCGGAAACATGACGGCACCAGGCATGGGAAAACGGATGACCGCAGCGGTACCGGAAAAATATGTCATTTGAAGGGATATATTGTATCCGCCCTTTTCCAATATCTCGAATTGGACGGCTTCATCTGGCTTGTGGTATCGGAGGATAAAGTGTCCAATCGGCCTTGAGATTTCGGTGTCGAAAAACCGATGCACCCAAGTATCGCAGATTTCGTCGCTCTTTTCCCAGCCCGCATCGTCATAATCCATGCGTGGCTGCATGGTTCTGTGTCTGGTAGACTAGGACGAAATCGCGATAGGACGTGGTTTTGGGGATAGTATTGAAAGAGAACCTGCTTGAAATGAACGTTCAAGTTGGGTCAGGGGTGCTCTTAAGAAAGCTAAGCCAGAGGATGAGTTCACCTGACTTCAATTCTTGCCTCTGCTGTTGCTTAGGGAGTGGTAGTGAATGGCCAGAGTAGGCGCTGGTCCAGCAAAGCTCTGTCTTGCTTTATGAACGCACGTTGGTGATTGTGTTGCTCAATTTGACCGGGTATGATGGGAAATAAAATGGATGGAGGGAGGGGCAATTGATGAAATGCAAATTTTTATAGACAAGCATGAAAAGGAGGTGAGAAGGCAAAACTGATGTGTACAAGCATCCCTGACAGTTGGGCGTATAGAGTTTAGCGCCACGGTGCCTGGCGTCGTCCTATTGCAGAAGATCCTGTCCTTCCCATCCAACTTGCCCCAACAAACCATATCCATCTTCTCCTCTACCTGCTATCCGAGCCTCGCAAATCAGATATTCGCTAGTGATGTAGATCGCCGATCTCCCGAGCCCCCTTATTCGCGTTTGCCCGGTTGCGATCTCTTTACAGTTCCTCGGAAGGGGTCCTTTCACATCACGTTAAAAACGAATTCCATTCATTTACCAATTTGCACCATTTGATTTTTTAATTATTTTCTAAATCCTTTCGTTTTGTTGACAAAGACCAAATCACTCCCGTGACGATAAATAGACGCCATGAAGATGAAAAGCGGCAGAAACCCCCCCCCCCAAAAAAAACGAATGTATTACAGGCTTAGTCAGGGCGGCCAGTCAAAATTTAGATAATCTTAATGGGGGGACGAGAGTCACGAGATGTATAGTCCGTTGGAGAGGCTGCAATTTAAAAAGATACTCTGGAGTCTGGAAAAATGAAGCCTATCAGCAAACCTTCAAATTGAACAATTGAACAATTGAACAATTCTACTCCGTAATTTTACCTACTATCTATTGATCCAGACCTCATACGGAGATTACACCGAAACGATTTTGAAAAACCGAGTCTTGCCGCTTGCGCTTCCCCGCGCCTACACGGGACGCGAGCCAAAACCTTAAATAGCGGATTTCCATAAATGTTTAGTTACGAAGTGATGATTCATAATTCCCCACGTTCTCGTGATTTCCCGACCATCAATTTATAGCTGCTGGCATATCAACTCAATCTCAAAACTCGGCGACCGTGCCCGCATCCTGAATGACATCCCGACCCCTACCACCTCCCTGACAACGGGGCTTCCGGCCGCTTTTCTGCATCGCTAAGAAAGATGGAGGCTACGGGAGCCAGCGGCTCAACGCCCTGGCTACAGACGGCGAATCGGATTATTGTCGCGATTGGGCTGTCGCTAAGCACTAGTTGTCTTGCAATGCGAATTTTTACCAAGGCGGCGATAATGAAGAAATTTTGGTGGGATGATGGTATGTTAACTTGGATTCTTGGCTCCGATCTCATTGGCTTGGGACTTTTGTTAATCCGATGCGTATAGTGTGCATTATTTTTGCATGGGTAAGGCCATTCTCCATAAGCCCGCAGCTGAAGCATCCAAATTGCATAACTTATCCACATTCTTGACAGATGCTGTCCGTTGGCACTCAGTCATGCATATTGTGTAAGCTTGATTTCTGTCTCTACTAATAGGAGAGCAGTATAGAATATAACGGATACTAATGAAAACTTCGTCGTCAGATGGCTATGCCCATGGCGGTATTGGACGCCATATAACCGAGCTCTCTCTGCCAATTGTGGAAATATTCTTAAAGGTACCACACTTGCATGGCTCCGCCGCTCTTGTAGAGAAATCAACCAACTAATTTTGCTAAAGGTCGTTTTAGCGGCAGCGGTCATCTACATTCCTTGCCTTGCATTCGCGAAACTGGCATTGCTTATGCTATACTACCGGCTACTTAACGCCGTGCAAGCCTGGACATACGCCATCTACATCATCGCCTTCATCATCTCGGGTTATAGCATCGCGCTGCCTTTGGCTCTGATCTTTGCATGTAGCCCTATCCAGAAAGGCTGGGACATTACTATAACCGGGGGTTCTTGCATCGATAGACCGGCCGTGTATCTCGCAACGGCCATTACAAATACTGCCAGTGACTTGGTTCTGATCTTGATCCCCATTTGGGTGGTGTGGGGACTTCGAATGCGTCTCCTCCCCAAGATAGGCGTGATTTTCATGCTTGGTATCGGGTGCCTGTACGTGCTTCTCGTGTAATGGTGGAAAGATGAAGAATTTGCCCGCATGGAATTTGAGTTTTGTGGAGTGTTATGCTAATTTAAATCTCTTCCAGAACTATCGTCACGAGTATCCTAAGGCTGGCAACTTTATGGCCTTTGGTGACAACGCAAGATGTATCGTACAAACTTGCTCTTGCCAGCATATTCATGTAAGTCACCAGCCCGGTGCCTATTGTCCTTGCACATATGAATGACAAGAAACGTATAGTAACATCGAAGCCAATTTCATCATCATATGTGGCTCTCTGCCTTATCTCCGTCAATTCGTTCGTCATTATACAACAAACCCATTTCCCGGTTACTGGATCATCAAATATCTACACAAGTCCCCTCCAGACTCTACGACAGAAAGGGTCTGCGACATGCAGGAAATCTGATCGAAGACCTTCCTCACATAACGAGTATCTCTGTATTTGTGGTCCCAATTCCCGAATACATTTCATACATACACATGTGCATGTGAAAGGCAAAGATTTGCCGTTTTGAAGACATTATATATTTTGGACGATTGTCGATACCAATAGACAAGGGCCCTCAAATTTTCTCCGCTGATGGCACCCACATGTGCAAATTTTGTCGAATCACCACAACATTGAAGACCCTCACGGGATGGCAATTGACGGCCGACGAAGAAATATCTCAGGCTTTCAAGCACTACTGGCCTACCATCGAAACCTTGCCATTCTTGGCAACCTAGTCAACTTGGGGGCCTGGACGGGCACAAGCAAACGGATAAATGGCTGGTCTTTACAAGAGGTTCCCCGCATTTGTGAAGATCAAGTTCGGGATCATGATGACTTATATTCAGTCGACAGCTGCACGGAGTGGGTGACGCATAATGGCTCCAACATTGAAGATCCTCGACCTCCCATCAGATATGTGACCCAGCACTTGAGAGAGGTCAATGCCAGAGGGAACCATTTGGTGATGTTATCTCTCCAAGGGGAGCTAGCAGCTCTGACATTCACGCCCCTGTCGCAATACGGCGCTCTCTTGACCATAAATAAATACCCTGATCTCGGTCCGTGGTATTCTTAAGGAAGAGTGATGTCTGGTATTTCCTCTTTCAGATTTCCTTCCGCATGGTTGAAATTTTTCCAATATCATATTAAGAATTGATGGAATAGCGGGAGCAATCAATGAGTTCTTATTACAAATTTATACTTCATGACGATATGCTCTGCAATTTTAATCTCCAAATAAACGGAGTCGATGGTCCAAATGGTTCCAGCCCAGTCAAAACACCCATTGCATATTGAACCTCAATCAATTGATTTTGGCTTTCATCGCGATAAATTATATCTCAGGATATCAGCTGCTTTCTTTCGAACAGTTCGAGCAGCGCGGTAAGCATAGCGTACGGATCAGGTAGTCAATGCTGGCCTTGATCTCGCTGATATCGTCCTTGATCAACTTGATCTCTTCATCAACTCCAACCTTCGAATTCATATCCTTGCCCATTGCATTGACAAGGTCTCTAACAGGTCCAACCAATGCGCTCAATTGGTGGAGATTAGAGGTTTGTTCGAGATTAGCGCCTATCTCAGGGACCACTGGTCCTGGTTCCGGAGTCGCCACCTGACCAGCAGAAGATTTCGGATAAGCTTGAGCTATTGAGGCATGTGAGTTTGGAGCGAGTGGAGTGTGTGATTTTGAAGCTTGTGCGAGATAGGAACGCGACGGAGGAGCTCCTTGCAGAACTTGTGGATATGAAGCTGGTGCGGGGCGAGAGTATATCGGAGGAGCTGCTTGTGAGGGATGTGGAACTAGGGTCTTTTTGCGACCGTGATTTGTTGGAGGGACTGCCGGTGGGGCTGCGTTGACATGAGTAGCGGGAGACGTGTCTAAATGATTCTTAGCATGTAATACAAGGGAAGACATCCTTCACCTTCTCGCTTACCCACAGGGCTCTCTTGAGCAGCTGGGCCACTCCCCCCAGCGAGGTTTTCACTTTGAGTTCCCAGGATTTGAGCATCCAGCATCATTTGAACCCGCACGTCTTCGGCTTCCTTTGTAGAAGAGACCCTTTGCTTGATCAAATCAAATTGGGCAATGATATCATCGATGAAACGTTCAACTTTCTGCGAATACTCTGACGTCGCACCCGGCCTGGTCGGTTCCACTGACGCCGATCGTTGAAGTTGCCAGCGACGATCTCTCATCCCGTTTTGGATGTATGCCTTTGTGGTTTGCCAGTTATATGGGGTTGGCAGACGTAGCGAATCGGTGAGAGCAGCGGCAACCGCCTTGTAGTAAGCTGTATTTCCTATCTCATTGGCGATCAAATGGCGATGTTCCGATGCATGTCTGAGAAGAGCTAAATTCTCGTTGGGTGTGAGACGTTTAGACCGAGGACGAGTTTCCTGTCGACGCCGTGATGGTGTTGCCGAGGACGGCGTAGAGTTTGCAGGTGGAGGGTTTTCGTGTAACAACTGTGCTGAGTCTGCTTTTTGATTTTGAGGGGTGGATTGCCCACCCCCGGATCCTTTATCGATTTCCATATGGAAGGTGTACCACACAGGGCTACAGGCATAGACCGAAAATGGACGCGATTATCGTGAGGATAATAACAGACATTCACGTGATATTTTGGAGCTCCCCGCCTTCACAATTGGCCCTGCGCTAGGCCTAATGGGGCTGTATCATTATTGGACCCACAACTGCAGAAACTATCTTAGTCATCGTCAGTTCTTTCTCCTGAGAGCTTGCTGTCTGTGATCTTCCAACTTTTACCCAAGGTCTTCCCTGCCCTCCCTTATACGAGAGAAAATTTAGAAAAGTGGGTTCAGCTAATGAAGCTTTCTCTTCAGTTATTTTCGGTGAGTCTGAACGACTGCGCTGGGGTCTTTTTTGTTCGGGAATCCCGTAAAACCCGCGTCTATCTATCGCGTGTGGCCTCGAAGGATCCACATCTGGCGGCTCGACATCCCAGCCAAACAACCTCGGTCCCTCTGCTTCTTATTCTCGGATAACCCGGACGCCACGAAGAAAAAAATGTGATTACAAAGTTCAAGCAGGTTTCTTACATTGCGAGATCGAAGATGAGTGGATATAAGTGGTCCAGAGTGGATCTGTTCAGGTACAGACCCTGTACAGACCCTGTACAGGCCCTGACCCAAACCTGTTTCCCTCCCAGCAAGATAATGATTTGGGCTTCATATCTGGGCCTAGGGAATTGTCCACATCCAAGGATGTCAAAACGATGCGCAATTGAGACTCAGGCTTCAATGTGTTCCAAATTGCAAAGCCGTGAATTCCATCCTCATTCCACAACATATAATGGCAGAGTTCTTTCCGATGAAAATTACGTAAAACGGGGTCTGGCTCCACCAACCAGGTTACCACTATTGAAATTCGGGCATCGTTTAGCTCTGAGGGGAATCGAACACGGAGCCTACTCATTGGCCCGATACACCAAAGCTTCGATATGCCAAGAAATGGGATTGCCGATATCGACAGCAGCTAGCGCCAAAATTGCCGGTCATCTTCTAGATCGTGCGGATCTTGCTGAATTTGTACCTGATGTTCGGCCGGTCCGGTACCTATCGGCTTGCAAAGCTTCATTTAGAACGCGCTAAACGCCAGAGCTCCATTCGGCCCGAACAATCAATGTCTTGCTCGGGCAAACATGGGCCGAATCAGTGGATTTTACAGTTTCGCCCCATTGGTTGTCATGCTTCCTCCCAGTAATACTTCCCAGCTTGTTTTTATACCAATACCCCAGCGAGATAAAAATGGAAGCGAGGAGAAATTTTCATGCGCACGACTATAAGATGATCAGGAGGCCCACAAAACATCCAACGGATCGTCTGCACTCTTTTTTTTTGGCACTGCCATAGTCCTTCGTTTTTGTAATAATCCCACACTAGTCATTCGTTATAATATTCACCTGTCATGCGTTTCCTCAGCCTTGTGGCAGGCGCTGCCTCTCTTGGGGTTGCCGCTGCCGGCGTGATCCACGCTAAGTCCAACGACGAGACCTGCGCTAATGTTGTGAACACTGGCGAGGTTTTGCACCTCTCTGTCAACATCATTGAGTATCCAGTCATCGTTGATGTTGAGCTGGAAGAGGATGCCGTCATTACCATCGACAACACCATCCTCATTGAGTGCACCAATGCCCCTACCCACCTGCACACTACCGTTTATGCTTTCGAGACTTCGACTGTTACCAAGACTATCTCTACTGCCACCATCTCTGCCGAGGGCATTGCCACTGAGACTGCTGCTGCTTCCAACGAGAATGGTCGTACCGTTGTCACCAAGATTGCTACCAAGACCAAGGCCTCTAACGCGTACGTTCATATTTTAATAACCTCAACAGAATGCCAGCCCTAATATGTTTTCTCTAGTCCACCCACTGCCCACACTAAGAACCAGGCCCCCGTTGCTGGTGGATCTGCTGTCGGATCGGGCTTCAACACTGCCCTGAACACCAAGCCCGCATCCCAGACTGATGTTCGCACCATTGTTCGCACTGCCACCCACCTTGGATCTGTCACCACCAAGACCTACACCACCACTGTTGCTTCTACTACTGCTACTGTCGTGCCCGGCCAATACACCAACTGGACCACCTACAAGGCCAACGGTGTCAACCTTGGTGGCTGGCTCGAGCAGGAGGAGGTCTTCAACCAGTACTGGTGGGACCAGCACGCCCCCGAGGCTGTCGATGAGTGGACTTTCTGTGAAGATCTCGGCTCCCAGTGTGGTCCTGTTCTCGAGGAGCGCTACGCCACCTTCATCACCACCGCTGACATCGATAAGATGGCCGCCGTCGGTACGTTATACCCTCACACCCTCACCCGCACAATCGAGAATTATAATAGCAACTAACCTCATGATGTAGGCGTCAACACTCTTCGTGTCCCCACCACCTACGCCGCCTGGATCAAGGTCCCCGGCTCTGCTCTCTACCACGGAAACCAGAAGGCGTACCTGAAGAAGATCACCATGTACGCCATCGAGAAGTACAACATGCGCGTCATCGTCGGCCTGCACTCCCTTCCCGGCGGTGTCAACAACCTCGACATCGGCGAGGCCGCCGGCCACGACGCCTGGTTCTTCAACTCCACCAACCTGGACTACTCCTACCAAGCCGTCGACCAGATCCTAGCCTTCTTCGTCGAGACCGGATACCCCTGGGCCTACACCATTGCCCCCATCAACGAGGCCTCCGACAACCCCACCGCTTTCGCTTCGGCCGAGACCCTGACTGCCAACGGTACCGCCTGGATCGTCAAGTACACCCGCGGTGTCCTGGCCCGCATCGCCAAGGTTGACAAGCGCATCCCGCTCATGCTGCAGGATTGCTTTGTCGGCGAGGAGCACTGGTCTCCCTACTTCCCGGCCGGCACTAACCTCGTCATCGATATGCACGTCTACTACTTCGCTGCCTCCGGTGTGTACTCCCAGTGGGCTGATGGCGCTATCTGTGGACAGGCTTCTGTTCTTGGCGGTGATGGCAAGTTCCCTGTTTTCGTTGGTGAATGGGCTCTGCAGACTCTGTACAGCAACACCTATGCCAACCGGAAGGATCTCTTCAACACCCAGCGTTATGCTTGGAGCTACTATGTCCAGGGTGGATCTTTCTGGAACATTAAGCACAACAGCAGTGTTGCTGTTGATGGACAGGGTACCCAGAAGGATTACTGGTCTTATGAGCTTCTCATTGACGCCGGTGTTATCACCAAGCCTGTCTCCAATGCCACTTACTGCTAAGTAGGCTTGGCTTCCCGATGCCCCCCCCCCCCCCCCCCCGGGTCTTATAGACTCTTTCTTAGGTCTGAATCTGATGATATAGATACGGCTACTTTAGGTACCTAATGTATATTTATTAATTGTTCAATGTTTGTCCATTCAAAGTAATTTCCACAACCATCGTTCCCATGATCTGCTCAACTCTCCGTCTGAACTTTATTTACATTCGCTGCAACGTCTTACTGTGACCTGCACATGTGCACATAAGACTCCCACTATATCAAAACTCGCATATGAAGGTGTTGATGGGTAAACCGTGATGTTTTACATGGCATGCGTGGGCTGTGACTGGGCCGTATTGTCACCGATTCCTCCCCTACTCATTTTGTCTCGATAAGGGTATGATAAAGTGAATTTGCAAAAATTGAATCGCATAATGAAGGACACGTTTCTATCTAATGCTATCGGCGGGGTTCTAACCCCGTCGACCTACTAATCATATGACTTTCTCGACAATGGGGAAGTCAGCTGATAATTCCCGCATAAAAGACACAGTCGTCCTCGACGCGTGAAAAAAGAAAGAATACATACGGAAGAATCTCATAACACGTAACTGATTAAGAGCACCTGTTGTCTCGTAAAGCCCATACCGATAGATCTGCTCGAGTGCCACGTAATTGATAAGGAATGAGTTTAGTCGTAAAAGCCATGTCCGCACACATCTCCGAAAACCCACCCCGAATGGGTTGACCCGTTCGTTCTCAGCGGCCCCGTCGCGCTCTTTATCCTCGTCATCGTTGTTTTCTTCATTATCTTGGATACTGGCGAGCCTGAGATAAGTCCAAGACGTTTGGTGTTTCAATGGGAAGAAGGTTTCGGGGTCCTGGATAATACTCTCGAGAACACATGCAGGAGTGAACTGCACGTTTGGGACACGCTGTTAGAAAATGATCTCGTGAGCCATTAGCGTTGCACCGGGGTTGGCGCCAACGCTGCCCTTTCAAAGTTGTCAGGCTCCAAGCGATGTTGTATTCATTGATGCACGTACTCAGAGCATATGATAGTGTGCCAGTTTCAAGGAAGTCTCGTAATGCTTAACCTCGTTTCTTACTGTCGGCAGCCGATTTCGTCAGGGATCGACGTAGGCTAATGACATGCCCGATACTTATGGATAACATTGAATGCACATGTGCTGAGTCCTTTGTTCAAGCGGCTATATTTTTGATGAAGCCTTTGTAGTCTGCAAAATTTCCACCGGCTTGGTTATCTATATCAAGTTGAGGACGGGTAAACCATGATGGTTTAAGTGATATGCGTGGTTTGCGACTGGGCAACATCGTTGTCCATTGCATCCCTGGGCGCTTTTCAACACAGGCGACGGGGCCAGCATAGAGTCAGTTCGTGTAGAACGCCCATGTAGAACAACCGTATCGATTCATCCCCTCATCGCCACTGGCACGCGGAGGTAACATAGTGTCACGTCGTAAAGTATGATTCTCATCGATGATTCCCAAAATCTTGTTGCATCATGAGCATAACTTAGAGTTGGTTCGTAAGAAACATTCACGTCGATTATTGCATCTTGTTCCAGTCCCAGGGGCATGGAGACGTCGTCATCAGTTTGCCATTTTCACTGGCCGGTTTCCAAGCGCCAAAATAGATTGGAGCATCAGGACAAATGCGCAGTCTACATAGGTATCACAGTAAGAGCAGCTGAGCGGATCTTATGTCGAGTCGAAACAAGAGGGATACGATAAAGAGGTAGGTCTCCCGGCTCATCGGTGCACGGTATGCCGTTTTGTGTCTGGATAGTAAATCGTTCGTAGGGTCGGAAAATTTTTGATAAAACAAACTTGAAGTTATGGCTCGACTTGGAAGGAGGGAGACCCTCGGATACTCGCCCTGTCAGCGAGCCCTTGGAGGATACTTGATAGGATACTGATGAGATGGGACTTTCCAGTCCTTGCTCTGCCGTCAAGGTTAATCAGCAGCTGTTCGGGAATATAGGGTAGAGGGGCCCCGCAAAATGGACGTGATGACGGAAGATCATGGTCCTCTAACCAGCGCGCATAGTGCCCCACCACTAGCTCATATAACAACATCTGTTTGGTGTTCAGGGATCTAGGTGAAGCATCAGTCGTATTACCTAGTGTGGCAGGAAAGTTGATCTTCTGGAGCTTCCAGTAATCCAGGCCCAGAAGGATATCTGGGTACTGGCCGATGTGCTGCTCCCACCGATATTCTGTATCAAGATCCCGGGAGCCTAGGGCATCTCCATCCGGAAGATAGGTAAGTGTATCATCAGCAGGGCACTGTCGGGCTAATGCTTCCCATGATCCAGGGTCATCATCGTCGACATCCGCCTCAAGATCCTCAGCATCTTCAAACAGGTCTTCAGGAGTATCATCAACCTTTAGCTGGTCATAATGATCATCTGGGTGTGTATGTGCTTCCTGGCAGTATTCGAGGGCCGCGGAGAAGGTTGGATATGTGTAATCGTCAACAGTCAGAAGATCGTCACCGGGAGGGAGGGGCGGAGTGAATGAAATGTGAAGCGGAAGTGAAGAGGAAAAGGGAAATGTGTTAGGAGGGGAGAGTTGAGATATAAGGAAGAGAGAGACCAAGAGGATGCTGTCTTTATATTATAATGTTTTGAACGCAGGGAACAGAGAAAGGAAGATGAAGATGAAGTGAACAAGAGAAGAAGTATATAATTAAATACCTAGAGAACTAAGAGTCATAGTAGGGAGGAAGTATAATATATATATTAACGAGGGGAACGCTATGCTGTGCCATCAAAGTGCACGGGTCGATCCAGCAGTGGACAATGCCGAGACTACTGCCTAAAACAACAATCTAGGGGTCAAATGAGAGATGTGTAGAAGTGTGTATTCCAATCTAGTCACTACAGCCGCTAGTTATACAGTAATGACAATGCTGACTGTACCGTAACGATATGCAAGGACGTACTATGGCGGCCGATAGAGGCCACCCCTAGGTCATATCCCAATTTCAGTTTCTAACTTCACCGCCCTGTTTCCCGCCTGTATTGTATTTATCATATATAGGATTATCTCAAGGGATTTGATCTAAAGACCGGTCACTTTTAGAATAGACTTGAGAATAGACTTTACAATAGACTTGAGTGTAGTCTTGAGAGTAGTCTTGAGAAGGGACTTAAGATTGGATTCAAATGTTATATGACTAGGTTCTCAGCCTCTCTTTCTTGCCAGTTGTTGTGATAATTTACCTACAGAAAGAACAGTAGTTAATATAATATAGCATTACAAATATATAATAGAGTTCAAAGATTTAATGTATAATGCAGCGCTGAACTGCCTGAACATAATGGAGTTCAAAAACTAATATGAATTTGGAACTACTCGTCATTCAATACTTTCTGCCGGTCGGAAAGTTGAAATTGGGATTTGACCTGGGGGTGTCTATCGGCCGCCGCAGACGTACTTCCCCACTACAATATTTAGAGAAGACAACCCCCATTCCCCACAATCGAGGCACCACATACCAGGCACCACCTATCGTACTGAAGAAAAGAGAAAAAGACATTGATTGTTCCGAATCTTCTTTGGTTTTGTAGGATTTCGAAAAATTGTAACGGTTTGAACTTGGGCCTTCAAGAGGACGATCACCTGACCTCCTGAAATCCGCCATCTCTCTCTCTCTCGCCCCTGGCGCGCTTTTGGCGATCAAATCAGTTCAAACTCTCAACTCTACTTGAAATACATTCATTTCCCCTCCCTTTATCCAAATTGCTATCTTATAGGCGCTCTCATTTTTTACTAAGCTATGTTCTCGTCGCTGCTGCGTTCTCTTCCTCAGCTCGGGCGAAGATGGAAACCTCTCAATTTCTCCAACCCCAACTTCGTTCGTTTACCCGACTGGCACAAGATTGAAGAAGAGACCCTACCACATTATATCGCCTCGCAGTATTATCCAGTACGAATTGGCGAAATTATCAACCAGCGTTATCAAGTGATCGGGAAATTAGGATTTGGTTCCACGTCAACGGTGTGGCTTGCACGGGACATGGAGTAAGATTCGCTATCTTCCAAACTGGCTGATCAAAGATACTTATAATCGGTTTTGTAGTGATCGGAGTTATGTCATGATCAAGATCTTTGTTCAGGCTTCGTCTATGGGCCAACAAGTTGATAACGAGTTGAATATGTATAGACACATGGAGCAGTCCTGTGCCACCCATCCCGGTCGCGACGTGATAAGAACTTTACTTGACATGTTCTACATCGACGGACCTCAGGATAAGCATCGATGTCTTGTGCATACCCCACTATGGGAGAGTGTCCTAGCTTTCTTACGCCGCAATCCAATTGAGAGACTACCCTCTCCAGTCATTGTAGTGGTCCTCCATCGTCTATTTCTGGCTTTGGATTATCTTCATACCGAGTACCATATTGCACACACTGGTTCGTAGCGTCTTATATCACCCCGTCTGTATGATTTACTAACCCTTTTTCATGCCAGATATTAAAGCCGACAACATCATATTCGGAATTAAGGACGATTCAGTCTTCACTAACTTTGAAAACTACGAACTTCAGACCCCTGTCCCGAGGAAAGAGGTAGACATAAGCGGGAGAACAATATACATGTCTCAGGAACTCAAAATACCCAAAAAAGTCACCTCCCCAATACTTTGCGATTTTGGTTCGGCTGTATACAGTGATCAGCACCACTCAGTATTTATTCAACCTCAGATCTACCGAGCACTAGAAGTGATTTTAGGCGTTCCGTAGACGTTCAGCGCAGATATCTGGAATGTGGGATGTATGGTGAGAATAACGACTAAAGTATGGTATGAAAATTTGCTAATAGCCAATTTATAGGTCTGGGATATCTACGAAGGTGGTTCCTTATTTATAGGCCAAGACCCCGAATTTAAAAGATACCGAAGCCGAGCCCATCTTGCTGAGATGATCAACCTTCTTGGCCCCCCACCTCCTAGTCTTATTACTCAGGGGGAGCTAAGCAACAAGTTCTTTTCGAGCGAAGGCATGTTTCATATCAAAAATAAAAATCAGCGTCGAAGTCCACTGACTAAATTACTCCAGGCGATTTCTTGAACCCAGATTTACTGACTGGCCTAGTGCCGCTTGGACAGAGGGAAACCACTCTTGAGGGGACAGTGGAAAAAGAGGCTTTCCTACATTTCATGCGCAAAATGTTACAATGGGAACCTGGCAAGCGGAGCTCAGCCAAGGAACTAGCGGAAGATGAATGGATACATAGCCATATGTAATAAATCAAAGAGCGAGAATATTGATAACGATCAACTTCTCTGCTCGTTTGCTGGGACAGGCAAGGAAGATCCGATAAGCCGCCGCACGAACGCCTTCACGAAACCATTATTGGAATATATTCCTAGGAGCCGAAATGGTTCTATCATTCTCACGAGCCGTAACAGAGATGTTGCATTCAAGATAGCAAATCATAGATAAGGATCTGGTTGAGGTTCAACTGATGGAGGAAGCCGAAGCGCTAGAGCTTCTCCAAAAGAAGCTTTATCAACGAAGGGAAAGTGAAGAGGGTCAACAATTAGTAATTGCATTAGAGCTTATGCCGCTAGCGGTCGTACAGGCCGCAAGCTATATTCGAAAGCTAGGGCCTCGTTCATCGATATCGCAGTATCTGAAAAAGATTCAGAGAAGTGACAACACAGCAATTGAACTTCTGCAAAGGGAAGCAAGTCACTGCAATCTGGACTAGGAAGCAACGAATTCAATTTTGGTGACGTGGCAAATATCTTTTGATCATATACGCCAAACGAAGCCGTCTGCAGCGGAGTTACTTTCTCTTGTGAGCTTCTTCGATCAGCAAGGGATACCAGAGAACTTTATCCGAAATGATATCAAAGCCAACTGCCTATCAACTTCAGACCCAAATGACTCTAGCGACGGAGAAATATCCGACTCTGATCTCGACCTTGGATTCGATGATGACCATACCTCGCTCCGTAAGCAGCTCAAGTCCATGGTCACCGCTGATCCCTATCAGCTCATCCGCATCCTCATCATGTAGCCTGGCCTGACGGCAAGCCGACCACAGGGGATGATGGAGATTGAAGTCTCCCACGACCACCTGTTGGCCCATGTGCCCATGGTGCAGCGCCGTGCGGAGCACCGTGAAGGATCCCCGAATGGCTTCACCCACCCGGGCCCTGTCCGCGGGGGCCACACCAACCTTGCTAGGGACATAGATATTGTGGATATCCACCAAACCCAAGGCGGTGCGAACGGTGAGCCGCGAGCATGCTCAGATCTCGCGAGTGATGCCTGACTGACCATGTCTTTGGATCCATCTTCTTGTTGACGTAGAAACATACACGCGGCTTCCCATCCTCGCCATCCTTAACCGGCGTCGGGCGAAGAAAAACATGAAAGTTGCCTCTCAGTGCCTGCGAGTAGGTCGTCATCAGCGTACCCGCATTCCGAAGCCATAGACCTCCGGCTTTGGATCGCTAGGATCTCCATTCCCTGCACTTCTTCTTCGCCGAAGAGGTGCATCATGACCTTGTCCCTTGATTTCCAACTGTTTGCTTGTAATATTCGGAATGTCGCGTTTGACATTGATTGTTCCAAGGATCGTGTTCGGTGCTGCGCTCGACTTCTGGCTCTCCTTCAACACGGCGGCTTCGGCCGCGGCATAGCGTCGCTACCAATTGCGGCTGGTCTTTGGTGCTTGATGGCTTGTCAGGAGCATCAGTCTGGACCTGCACGTCGCTGAAATTCTCGATAGGCTGGTCAGTGGTGCCAACGTGGGCCCGCAGATCCTCGTCGATCACTTCGGTGCCCTCATTCTCGTCAGCTGTGACGGTGCGGCGCTTCTTAAATGGGGATCGGGAGCGGCTGGCAGGCCTGTTCACTGGACCCTTGCGGTGGGGCTGCGGCACTTGGGTTTGGGCTTGGGCATGAGCCTTCGCCCCCGCTGATTCCAACGGCAGCGGATGATCATGGCCGGTGGAAAGTGACTTTTGGAATGGGATGTCCGCAAGCCTCGATTGGTGCAGCTGAGGACCCTTCAAACGGTTGAATCCAAGGAGGGCGATTTGTTCCTTGCGGACCGGGCATTCTCTGTCAAAGGTAGAATGATTTACGCTCGTCTTCTCGGCTTTGACACACGGCCCGCACTTACCCCTCTGGCGGTCGTGCGGGTGCGTGCAATCCTGTGTGTCATGAGGCTCGGCGCAGTAGCCGCACCGAGTCTCGCGCTTGCAAAAGCCGGCGATGTGTCCATATTGAATGCACATGGATGTCTGAAGAGTGGCGGTTCATATGTACAGACATTGGATATGTCCAGAGCCACGCACATGCGTGCATTCATGCACATGCATGTGTAGTAAGGTCAAAGTTTCAAGCTGATCATCCATAGATACTTACGATGGGCATATATATATGCACCACATGCACTGCGGCTGGAATTTGGACATTAAAGAGCCGAACGCTCCAGCTGTGGAACATTTGAAGGCGCAATCCGTGCGCACCGTAGGATGAATGTACTGGATATTGAAATGCAGAAAAACCGCCAGCGCCTGAGGCTGTCCAGAGACTCAAGAAAAGACCAAGCCCTGGAGGGCCCGGGGGCGCCCAGCTGGCCTCCAAAGCTGTAGGAAGACAAGCCTGAGTTGTTATCTCTTGCGCGTAAGCGCAAACTTACATCACATGCTTCAAACGCTACTGGTAATCCCGAACCGCTAGTCTCGCTGGCTACAGTATGTAGACTATATATAAACATTTGAAGGTCCCAGCAGCAGGTTGAGATTGAATAAACATTGGAAACCTCCCGGTTTCACAACGAGTATCCAAGTTTATCCGACTGTGATATACATCGATATTGCCATGCGAACATCGTCAATGTTGACATCACGAGAGAAATGACTTGGATTTATATCAAGATTTCTTGAAGGAAAGATCTACAATCTGCTTATTAATGGGAGCATTGCGGCATTTTAAACGGGGAAAGACTCCCGAGGTCGGTATGCCGTCACTGTCGGCGTCCAGATACTGTAGCCACGTGGTACGATGTAGATCTCACGGGGAAAGACACGTCGAAAATTGAGATTCGGAGGACAGGAAGACAGCAGATAAAACTGATGTGAGGTATAAAACAGGAAAGAAGTGATTGATTGGTAGGGTAAAATATCTGTGAGGGGAAAAGATCATATGTTGACAACATTCCTGAAACCCCTGGACTAAGCAAGGTGTCATACGACCAAACTGATCTCGGGCAGAGTCCTGAGACTGAGATTTTCCGTTGGGTCTAGTCGAATAGCCCATTCTTCAAATCCTCAAATCCCCAATTCCCCCTCTCCTCGGCTAAACCTGCCGTGTCTTGGCATTCTTCCCCAGTCCTTTCTCCAGAAATCGCATAACAATCCCATCTTCTCCCCCAAAGAAAAAAAGCCACAGAAATCCCCAAACCCAATGCAAATGACGTCGAACCTTAAAAGCGCACTGCAACCCCGTGAAATGACGTGCGGATAAGTAAATGGTAAACAAATCCCCGGAGAAAAGGGTGGGGGTAACAGGTCCAAAAGACCGGTGTGCGTTTCTCTCCGCATATTTGGCAAGTGACGAAGCGAAAGTTCATCGCAACCCCGGAGACAATCCAAGGTCATTTCTCACTTCGACCCGATTTTCCACGCACAGTCCGGCCCGACTGACCAATCAGACCTGCTGAACCAAGATTTCACGACGCCACTTTGCCGGTTCTCGGAGACCCTGCACCCGAAAAAATTTGCCGTCCTGCGTCCATCCCGACTGCCAAGACCATTTCTCCACTGGGGCCCCCGCAAATTACGATAATTTCGGCGTGGGGGTCACCCGATATTTGTACGCAAGCAGATTAGCGTGGGGTGGGGGAAAAAGGTTTTTTTTGGTGAGTGTCTTGGGTTGCACGATTGGGTAATAACTAATAAGAGGGGGACAGGTCCTGCTCTTGTGATTCCTTTTTTTTCTTTTTTGTCTTTCTTGTGCTCACTTCGCCTCGTGGAAGATCGCAACTTTTCACACATCATCATGGCGGACGATATCTCACGAAATGGTGACCGCATCGACATCGAGGTCGAGAAGGAGAGGAGCGAGAACCTCGAACATGTCGCCGAGCTGCAGAATACTGTCCCGCACATCGACCCTGCTCGTCGAATCGTCGTCGAGAAGAGCCTGAAGCGTAAACTCGATGCTCGCTGCAGTTTGTTCATTCTCATCTACATCATGAACTACCTGGATCGCAACAATATCTCCGCTGCCCGATTGAAGGGTCTGCAGACTGATCTGGCAATGACCGATACCCAGTACTCGACTTGTCTGAGTATTCTGTACGTCGGATACATTCTCATGCAGGTGCCCTCCAACATGTTCATCAACCGCATCTCCCGCCCATCAATCTACATCTCCGTCGCCATGACCCTATGGGGTCTGATCTCCACCTGCTCCGGCCTGGCACAGAACTTCAAGCACATGGTCGTCATCCGTTTCCTGCTGGGTTTCGTCGAGGCCGCCTTCCTGCCCGGCGCCCTGCTCATCCTGTCAAAATGGTACACCCGCAAGGAACTGACCACCCGCAACGCCCTCCTCTTCTGCGGTAACCTGATCTCCAACGCTTTCTCCTCGCTCGTCGCCGCCGGCGTCCTGTCTAACATGCAGGGCGTCCTCGGCCACGCCGCCTGGCGCTGGCTCTTCTGGATCGAGGGCGCCATCACAATGACCATCGCCATCTCCGCCGGCTTCATTCTCCCCGATCTCCCCACCAACGCCCGTGGTTTCACCGAGGAAGAGCGCCTCGTCGCTCAACTCCGTATCCTCGAGGACGTCGGCGAGGCCGACACAGATGACAACGAGGAGAGCCCCTTCTCCGGCCTCATCATGGCCCTCAAGGACGTCAAGATCTACGTCATGATGCTCTCCTTCACAGCCTACGTCGTCGGACTCTCCTTCAACGCCTTCTTCGTAAGCACACCACCCCCCTACCCTCCCATCTCCCATCCCCACTAACTAATACCCTTCAGCCTACCCTAACCGGCACCCTGGGCTTCTCCTACGTCCCCACCCTGCTCATGAGCGCTCCCCCATGGGCCTTCTCCTGCATCTTCTCCGTCCTAAACGCCTGGCACGCCGACCGCACCCAAGAAAAGGTCAGTCCCCCATCCCCCATCTCTCTCAAATCCAACTAACAACCGCAGATCTGGCACATCTACGGCCCAATCTTCATGGGCCTAGTCGGCTTCATAATCAGCATGTCCACGCTAAACGTAGCAGCCCGCTACCTCGCCCTCTTCCTCCAAGCAGGCTCCTACGCAGGCTTCATCGTCTTCTACTCCTGGATCAGCTCGTCGTTCCCGCGGCCCCCCGCAAAGCGCGCCGTCGCCCTCGCCCTCATCAACGCCTTCAGCCAGCTCGGCAATGTCGCAGGCTCCTACGTCTGGGACCTGAAAGATAACGGCTACCGCAAGAGCTACGGTATCGTGACTGCCATGTTCGGTATTACGATTGTCGGCTTCTGGGGCTTCAGGATGATTCTGGTTGATCTTAATAAGAAGATGGAGAAGAGCGAGGCTGAGTGGGATGCTGGTCATCCCGATGCGACTGGTGGCGACTTTATTGAGAGTGCCGATGAGTCTTTGCGTATGCGTAAGGGCTTTAGGTACTTGGTTTAGGGACTGGTTGGTTTTTACGATTTTGGTTGGGTTTGGTTGCGTGGTGTTTGGCTTACATAGCTGGGTTACATATGCTGCCCTTGAATTGATTTACTTGCTTTGCACATTTAGGCGGGCAGGTTTCAACTTTTTTTTCCCTGTGCGTTGTATACGTACTACCTACTAGTAGCCTACTTGTAGTTAACCCTTAAGTCGCACAGTTGGGGTGTTCTAAAATGATCGGATGATTACTTTCATTCTTGGAGTAACGTTCCACCAAACCAAATTATCACCGCTGATTTATATGCCGATCTCAATATCCAGGACACCAACAGACCAATCATCACTCATTTGCAAGCTCACATATACTGCATTTCCATTCCATCATAAACATTCATATAATACACATACAGCATTGATAGGTAAACCGACCCCACGCCCAATCCCCCAAAAACCTCGAAACAAAAGCCAACGCCCCAGTATCACAAAAACAAAAAACCAACAAACAAAAACCCAACCCAAAACGCCCCAAAAACTAGCACCAAAATCCCCCGTAAACCCCCGGCCCAGCACCCCCCGAAAGAAATTTCTCCAATCGATCCCGAGTCCCGACTAATTCTTCGCATCATGCGCGTGCCCCCCACGAAAAGTCTGCCGAATCCGTTGGGGGCGGGTCCCCACGCGCCGACGGACCCACCCCTTTCCCGCGCAAGAACGAATTACTTCCGATCCCCATCCCCATATCCAGCTCGACTTCCATTTCCATTTCCATTTCCATTCCGAGCCCAACCCCGATGTCAGCGCCCATGCCGGACCCTATGCCGAGAAAAGGGTTCAGGCTGCTAGCGGACATGCCTGTTTCGTCGACCATCCATAATGTGTTGTCGTCCAGGACTTGCGGGGCTGGTGCCAGTGATGTGCGTCCTGTGGACGGGGGTTGAGCTTGGTCTTGGCTTGGGTTTTGGGTAGTGTTTATTGGCTGGCAATAGGGCCAGTTGGTGAATGGTGTGTCGGAGATGGGCGAGGGCTTGGAGCTGGTGGCTGGGGTTATGGTTGTGGTTGTGGTGAGTTTTGGGGGGAAGAAGAAGCTTGAGGGGTCGTCGGTTGTTGTTGGGGATGTGGAGGTTGATGTGGATGTAGATGTAGATGTGTTTGTGTTTGTGCTTGTGTTTGTGAATTTGAATGTTGGCGGGCTGGAGGATGAGTTTGAGCCGGGGGATTTTTCGGAGGATGTGGCGCTGCTTGTTCTTGATACGTGGGCCTGGGAGGGAGGGGGCGTGTATGTGTGTGTTTGTTTTTGGAGGTTCAGGAGGTGCTGCATTGTTTGGAATTCGAAGTCTGAGAGGCGCTTGTCGAGGATGCCGATGCGCACGAGACATTCGTGGAGCTGGAGGGTTGTTGAGATGGGGGTTGATGGGGCTGTGGAGGGCGGAGTGGGTGTTGAGGGGGTGGTGTTTGAGCTTGAGATTGGGTTTGTGGTTGACATTGTGGGTAGGGCGAGAGCTGTGTTTAGTCTTGGGGGGAATGCTTTTGGTTGGTTTGATTGGTCTATGTAGGACGTTGTTAGTTGGGATTTCTGGTTGAACTTTTGGAAACATATGTTTCCAGTGATGGAAGGTGGTGCTTGGGAGTGCGTACATGGGCTATCTGGAATGGGGGCATCGGAAAACCGATTACGCCACGAGATTTCCCAGAGCTCTTCTTGACTGCATGCATTTAGTATTGGGCGGGTGCACGTTTGGTAGTGAATTTCGCGTTGCTGGTTATCCTGGAAGTATAGGTAACAATTCCTACAGACGTATTCTCCATGGGTACGAGTAAGATGTCGGCTAGCGGAGCGTCAGTAAATATCGGATGACTCAATTCTAGACGTCGGGACCAGCAATCCATCAGTGGAGCAGGAACTCACTTCATCTCAGATATATATTGAAAGCCAGTACCGGTAGCACAGACATGGTATTTGCGGTTACTGTTGAGGCCCCATGTATCCGGATCGAATTTGTGATACACACACGCGAATCTGCGTTTCTCGTCTCTTTCAGGAGAATGGAGCCGCTTCCTCTTTCTCTCTTGATTGCCATCTTCATCATCGCGACCTGCGCCTCTGTTGTGGCCACGAGGTATCTGAGACCCACTGCCATTGTTTTGGGAGGATGAGCCCTTCCCAGAACCGTTGGAGGTGCCGAGACCGGAGGGACTGTTGTCACTGCTTGCTCCGGTATTTGGAGCCGATGATGCTTCATTGTCGGCTAGCTCTTCATTGTCAACTTCTGACATTGGGGTGTCGTGAAGTTGGTATCGGGTGAGATGCGGTTTGGGTGTGTCTAGTAAGACTGGAGCAGTGTCTTGATGAGAGGGTACATCGTTAATCCAGCGCCCGATCTCCTCTCTCGGATCAGCCTTGTCTGGAGACTCTGGGCTTTTTGATTGCCTGACGTGACTCATGCGCTCCAAAGAACAGTTATTGCTGTCTGAGGCCCGGTCGGGGCTGGGAGGGGGTGATTTCGGTATGATTAAAGGCTGAGTCGAGAATGGCATTCGTATTTCCTTGGCCCGAACACTACAGACATCTTGAGCAGGGACTATATTTGTCACGCGGTGCTCTGTTTGAAATTCGTCTGATGAGGTATCAAAAGAGAGCCGTCTTGCTCTACAAACTTGACTTGGAGCAACGACCGGAGCCGAGGTCGTCGTCATAGGCCTCGGTGAACGAGAAGTGACCGATGGGACATCGAAAGAGAGCCGTCTCGGCCTATGATCTTGATGCGGCTCATGATTCCCATGAGCATGATGCGATTCATCTCTCTTGTATGCGCCATCCGCATATTTCGGCGTAAAGGCACTCGTTCTCTCATCACGGTAAGAAGAAACGGCAGACTGAAGTGGAGACAGGCCCGCGAAAGAGTCCAGCGGGGAGAGTGGGGATTGCGGGTTGTACGACCGCGGAGAAATAGCGGAGACGAGAGTCATTTCCGAAATCGAAAAAGGTCTGCCCGCCACACTGTCCTCCTCAAGGGCCTCGAACGTACTCGCGCGGGAGATGGAGTACGTGCTATGGTCAGTTTCGTCTTTTGTCTCCCCAATGCAAGTTTCTGGCAGTTCTGCCGGACTGGAGTCTGGCAATTCTACCAGCCCGACCAGATCGGCAAAGTCTTCTGACGGGACGCTTCGCTCGTACTCGGTATTTGTGTTGGTGTTGGTGTTGAAGCTGATTTTGCTGCGTGCGCACCAGGCCTCGGTCCGCTTGTGCGGTCGGTGTCCATTTCCAACGCTGGAACCGACCGCTGTGGTGGTGTCTGATAACTCGTACTCGGGCATTGTCTCTGGTGCGGTGCTTTCTGCGACACTGGGACCGGCGGTAAACTTCAGCGCCCACTTGATGCTCTTCGTTCTTTTGATTTTACCATCTTCACACTCAATCACGGCGCGGAAGAGAGAGTTGGTTGCTAGGTCTTGGGCGACGATCTCTTGCCATCCGGCATTTTGGTGCGTGCGGTACCAGTCGTTCGTACGCATGATTTCTTTGCAGATGCCTCTGGTGGATTGTTTCTTGGAGGGGCTGCTCTTGATGGCGGTACTTATTAGGGAAGTGAAGTCCACACACATGTGCTTCATAAAGTCGCCCGGAGTGAAATCCGGTCTTTCCAAGGTGGATTGGGGTCTGGTGTTGACGGTGATGCTTTTCGGCCGCGTAGTACGAAGCCAATTTTTGATGTAGTCTTTCTTTCCCAATTTATTTAAAAACGACTACTTTCATAGTTAGTGAAGAGTAAATACTCACAACCAGGGATTGGGTCATTCAATCCATGGATCGATTTAACTTACTCGAGTGGAATCGGATCGTTGTGGGGCCGAAGCCACAAAGGTGTTGGGGTCCATTGTGGTAAATGGTAGTGGGCAAGACTCAAGAATCAAGATGCTAACCAAGCACTTTCAAGACAAAGAATCTTGAAGTGTTATGGGTACTGACGTGATTTTTTCTCTGCTTTGGACATCTGGTCTTCTTAATGTTTGTCAAGGAGGAGAAAAAAAGGTTAATCAGCCGCCTCACTCCTCCTCGACAACTGCGCAACTGTCAAGCGGGTTGTCAAGTCACTTGTCGCCAATGAGAAGAGGGAATCGACGTCTTGGCTTTTGCCTAGTCGCAAATCAACAACAGAGCACGCCAATCTGTCAAGCCCACGAATCAAGCTCATAGGAAATCCCTTGACATCTGGCAAACCTCTTGTCTATTGCGCATTTTACTTGTCAAGTATGAAATTGTATTAAAAAGCGCTCGATCCACGAACTTGACTTCCTTCAAAATCTCCAATTGCATTTAAATCTACGATCTAGTCTTTTCCAAATCATCATCATCATCATCTGCTCTCTTATTCCATCTATATCAAATCACTCCAAACATGTCGTTCTATAGAAATGCATTCGGCAACCCGGTCGTCGCCGAAATGCCTGGCTATAGTAACACCCCCCTCTTACTCGACACTCGCTATTACAATTACACGTCAATCCCAGAACTTTCTCCCAACGTCTCACCTGCGAGCTACTACGCAACCCAGCCTGAATCAACCGGTATTCCCGAGCCAAGCTACTGGCCAGAAAACTTTATCGACCAGACTCCTCCAACCTCAGGATCAAACAGCCCGGACGAGGAGCGCCCCGGTGCCCTGTGGCCCCTGTCTCCACCTTCACCACATGACTCATCAAGGAAACCAACCAGGAGTCGAATGCCACGTACCCGGTACGAGCCTTACCCATCACATCACCCCTCATATTAGAAATACCTAAACTGATCCATATCTTGTGCAGTGTATCTCAGCATTCGGATTCTGCTCCTTTGGAGTGCAGATGGGAAGGTTGTACATATGCCGGGCGGTTTGCTAGACAATCTACGCTACTTCGTCATATTCGGCTGATGCATCTTTCGCCGAGACAATATCTTTGTCCGGTGGGTGAACATTGCAAACCGTTCAATCGGAAAGATAATCTCGTTTCGCATATCCGATCGGTTCACAACATGCATTCTTATCCCGGCGGCTCAAAACCGGCCTTTGATTCTGACCACTCACGTTCGCGGAGTCATACCTGTATCTAGTAACTCTTCTGCATTTTTCTTGTTCTATTTCAGCGTTTCGGGTCTTTTCTGTCTCTTTCACGGTTCTCGCATTCATGACTCGGTGTTATTTATTTCGTCATAGTCAAAGCCAATCTACCCCATTTCTTAAGGCAACCGGGTGATCTCAGCTGGATACCTTAGGTGGCTGCCTAGAGCTCCGACCTTATCACCTTATTGGGTAATCAATAATCTTGTTCATGTGCACAAGAAAGGACTTCTCCGATCCTTTTCCAGGTCTTGACTCTCATAATCCAGGGACAAGGGGAGTTTCCCAAAACCCCGCACTTAAATCCCCTGAGCACAGCCACCCGGGCACTGAAAGTGAGGCGTCATCCCCCGACACAGATGTAAACAGTAACTCCGACCGGCCAAATCGATTCCTTGCCTTAATTCCAAGTGGTAAAATCATACCTGCTGTAAAATCCTTTCCAGACTACATTAAGAGCCCAATGGGTTCTCATGAGCCCAGGCTAGACATGAAACACGCTGTTCCCTGCTCAGCCGACTGCATCCCAGCCACCCCCGCACCCGGGTGACCGGGTCCACGGCATAACTGCCAGGCACTCACCACCCAGGCATGAACTCAAAGCTGAGTGAAGCTGCCACTCCTAAGCTTCGGTGCTCAGCGCTGCGCCAGCTGAAATTCAATTGGGAAGATGCACCGAGTATGTACCCGAGCATGTACCCGAGCATGTATCGCGTTCTCCAGACTCCGAGTCCCCAACGAACGCCCTCCCACCAGCTCGGAAAACTCCGGTGCATCACCTGCAGAGATGGGTGGCCTAATCACCTTAAACTGGGAACAACAGATAGGGGTCCGCAATGCAAATTGAGTTCGGAAAATCCTTCTTGTCTTGTGATTCTTGCCCAGCTGCATGATGACGGAGGAGGAGATTTAGGTGATGATCCTGGCCCCTGATAATTTTCCTCGCCCGTCAAATTTGATCGACGCTTTGGTTAGTCATTCCTGATAGTCGTTGTCTGCACCAATAGATTTCTGTGTTGGATCTTGTCGGCATGAATTATTGCTGAGCCCTTAATGTTGGTCAAGCTGATCTGTACATAAGCCGCATAATTATTCTTTCACAGATTGCGCGTTTCTTTTATAAATCTGAGAGTTCGCAACCTGGTTTCTGAAACGAGTAAAATGTTGAAAATTGCGATTATCCTCAATAAATCTCACGGCTCGTGAGCTAGATGTTGAACGTTTTCAAGCGGCGCATATCTCCATGGTGCCCTGAAGATATCAAGCCTTGCAACCTAGTACTGGGTGTGCTCTTCGCTACCTCTTTCCAAGCTTATGAAATTGAAAGATGAAGAGACAGGATATGTCCGCAAGCGAAGACGCAACATTGGCAATGAAGGAAGACAAAGGAAATGAAAGCTGACTGAGTGAACAGAGCAGGTGGGATCAGTCACATGATTGCCTCCTGGACTATGTACCGAGTACAGCGCGAGATCTAGATGAGCAGATCAGATACTCAGTCTGGGGAAGTGAGAGCTTCTCTCTCCTTTCATTATTCCTTCCTTTTCTCCCCATTCCACTCATTGGAGAGGACATATGTACGACATACCGCTCGGATTCTTTCCCAACTCATCTTCCTTCGGTTTCCCAGATCTACTCTGTAGTTCTGCCAGCTCCCCATTCTACTCATTGGAGAAGACATACGACATACAGCTCTGATTCTTCCCCAACTCATCTTCCCTCGTTTTACCAGATCTACTCTGTAGTTCTGCCAGCTCCCCATTCTACTCATTGGAGAAGACATACGACATACAGCTCGGATTCTTCCCCAACTCATCTTCCCTCGTTTTACCAGATCTACTCTGTAGTTCTGCTAGCGATTCGCCTGATCCGACCCCGCCGCTTTCTTGCCCATCAAGCTATCCAACCCTGACTTTTCTACCGACATCAGGATGTACCCACCGACTCATATCATCGATCCAGATGGTGAGGTGATCATAGTATTGCGCAATGCAGGAAGTCCTTTCGCACGCCCGCCTGAAAAGAAATCTACTCAAAAGCCCGCTGTCGAAGTCGAAGAATCCACTGCTGATTCTCTGGCCCGGAGCTACATACGGATTCAAGCATCCGCAAAGCATTTGATCTTTGCCTCCCCCGTCTTCAAGAAATTATTGACAGGGGGGTGGAAAGAAAGCGTCGACTACTTGAAAATGGGCTCCGTTGAAATCACTGCGGATGATTGGGATACTGAAGCCTTCTTGATTGTACTGCGTGCTGTTCATGGTCAATATCATGATGTTCCTCGGATGCTGAGTCTCGAAATGCTCGCCAAGGTTGCTGTGATCTTGGATTACTATCAATGCAAAAAGGCTCTAGATCTCATAAACGAGATTTGGATCAAGGACTTGGAGGACAAAGAGAAGATTACCCCAGAGATTTCTCGGGATCTGATCTTATGGCTATGGATAGCTTGGTTCTTTGAACGTCCTGCAAAATTCAATGAGTCAACCTTGATTGCGATATCGAAGAGTGGAGTATTGCTTGATAACTTGGGACTTCCAATTCCCACAAGTGTTATTGGTAGGAGCAGCCCTTTTTCCAAAAGTGATTTACTACTGACGGGATTATAGATTCGATAAACAATCGTAGGAATTATCTCATCCAGAATTTGATTGACATCGTTTATGCAACACGGGACGCTTTCCTACATCGCAGCAAGGGATGTGGTTTAGTGTGTCGCTCAATCATGTATGGGAATCTAGCCCTGCAGATGCAGTCAACCAGTCTGCCTTTGTCAAAGCCTAGGGCTCCCTTCCGGACTGTGAACTACAGCGATCTTGTGAAAAAGGTACTGGCTTTCAAATCACCACAGTGGTATCATACCTGCAACGATCTCTTACCTCATCGTTGCAAGGACGCATCATTTGCACCATCATTTGCGGGCATCAAAGATCTTTCCAAGGGCTTGAATCTGCAAGATTTTATCAGCTAAGAGGAACTCCTGTTCCATACTTGAATTCGCCTGAAGAAGAGAAAGAAATATTATTTAACTCGCTGCAACAGAATAAATATAAGTTAGCCCGCCAAGGTTCGTCAATTTGATTAATTGTATTTTCACCAAGTTTTGAATTGAGCTCTGTGACAATTCGTAGAATGTGTATAGTCCTCGAGTGCTATTATTGATATGATTCAATGTTCGTAACACTGCATTTTTAGTAATGCAGAAGACAGGTGAATACCGTAACCCATTATGGCAAATTTGAATGATCAAGCTATTACCATTTGGAGACTGAATGTGAAAGAGTATCCGGAGATAGGAGGCTATTGCCCACATGTGCAGGTGCCGCCTACAAATATATTCTAATTCCAATGTTTACCCAGAAAGCTCCCATGAGGTCAGAATTGCAGTGTTAGGCGACACTGCAGAGTCCAGTACACATTGTCCGTCCGGACTACAGTGTCCGACGAGACTTCGGCATCCAGCAAGGCCCAGGAGTGCGGCGAGACTAGAGAGTCTGTCACATGTGCAATGTAAGGGAGTCCAACGAGTCTAGTGTACTTTTACCAGCGGTGTTCTCACCACTGTCCTTAGCCTGAACAACATTAAGGGAAGCGTTGAAAGTAGCGCGTTCTGTGCGCTTCTGGTGGCTACTCCGACTGAACCTCGAGCAGTATCGGTGTCACAGTCAGTACGACCACTCTAGTCTATGAAATAATTAACTACTAATTCGAATAGAGGAAAATTGACGAGAATCACAAGATCAGAGATCCTTCGCATGCGCGTAGGCCTTTCCGCGTTCCCTCCATGCTACTTCGTCTTTTCCCTTCGTTCTTCCTTCTGAATCCACGCTGTCCCTTTCAGATCGCATCTCCTCCTGAGATGAGCTGCTCTGAGACCAAACCCGCCACTCATACTGTGGGGGAAAACGGGCCAAGAGCTAGTTTCGCCTCTGCTATTATAAGGCGGCCCATGTAGAAGACATGGAATCGGAAATCTCGATAAAAAAAATGATAAAAAGGGGAAAGAGAAATGAGAAACGAGGAAAGACACACTTGAAAATAGCGAATTATGGAAGCCTGTTCTTTACTACCCGCCATGGTATCTTTTCCCAATCTTCCTTTAACCTTGAGTCGGCCTGCTTTGTGACTAGAAACCTGGCCACTGCTTCGGGTCCATACCTTACTGCCAATAAGTACGGTCTTTGCCGTGAACAGCTATTAGGCTCAAGCTCGGCCCCCCTCTCGAGTAACAGCCTGATCACTGCTTCATATCCGTTACTCGTTGCCAGTGATAACGGTGTATGTCCCTGCTTGTCCTTCGAGTCAAGTTCAGCCCCCCTCTCAAGTAGTAGCCTAACCACTGCTTCATGACTGTTCCTTGCTGCCCATGATAGCGGTGTTTGATCATGCCTATCCTTAGACTCGAGTTCGGCCCCCTTCTCGAGTAGTAGCCTGACCACTGCTTTATATCCGGTTCTTGTTGCCAGTGATAACGGTGTTTGATTATGTCTATCCCTAGACTCGAGTTTGGCGCCCTTCTCAAGTAGTAGCCTGGCCACTGCTTCATGACCGTTCCTCGCTGCCCATGATAGCGGTGTTTGATCCTGCTTGTCCTTAGACTCAAGTTCAGCCCCCCTCTCAATTAGCAGCCTAACCACTGCTTCATGACTGTTCCTTGCTGCCCATGATAGCGGTGTTTGATCATACCTATCCTTAGACTCGAGTTCGGCCCCTTCCTTGAGTAGCAGTCTAACTACTGCTTCATCTCCTCTTGATGCTGCATACAATAATGGTGTTTGATCATTCCTATCCTTAGACTCAAGGCTGGCCCCCTTCTCGAGTAGGAGCCTGGCCACTGCTTCATGACCGTAACTTACTGCGTGTGATAATGGTGTTCGATTATAATTGTCAATAGATTCAAGCTCGGCGCCCTTCTCGAGTAGCAGTCTCACTACTGCTTCATCTCCCCTCGATGCTGCACATAATAACGATGTTTGATCATTCCTGTCCTTAGACTCAAGGCTAGCCCCTTTCTCGAGTAGTAGCCTGACTACTGCTTCATGTCCCCTCATTGCTGCCCATGACAACGGTGTCTGACCATCCAAAGTTTCGTCATATTCCAGATCATCCCTTTTTTCACTTTGGCTAGCAGGGCTTTTTGTATCTGCTTTGACTGGATTCTGGAGCAGAGCTTCGATTGCCTGCGTAAGCCCGAAAAATGCTGCTAAGTGAAGCCTTTTCATTTCTGTATTGTTCGGTAGGTAGTACCTGTCTCCGATGAGGTACATCAAGGCTTGCCCTGCTGCTTCTACCTTTGGCTTAGAATTGAGAAACAAGATAACCTCTGGGCAAAGAGCTGAAGCTTTCCCAGCGTGGCTTCCCCAATTTCGTGCCACGTAGCTGTACAGCTTATTGAACTGCATCCTCTCGTGCATTTCATGCAATGTTTGGCATTCCCCACTCTCAAAGATATCAAATGAGAGGTAAGAAACGCAAACTTTGGTGATATAGATCTCTGCGTCTGGAAACCAATGCTGTTGTGTTCGCTCGAAGTACTCCTGCGTAGTGTAGTGGACCAGCCGGATGATGTCGCTTTCCTCGTCGACGGTGACTAAGCCAGCACAAACGGAAACCAAATCTGCAATCTCTGGCAAGTTATCTTCATCCAGTTTGGGCTCACCGACTTCTACAGCAAGGGCGTGTTGGAGCTCTGAAGTGGTAAGTGGCCTCTGTGCATTGATGATCCATGCCAGAGCTTTATTTGCAAGTTCCCGAAAGCCACTTTTTTGTCCATTGATTCTGTTAATTGCTTGATCGTATGCTTGTCTCAGCAACTCGAGTTTGCCTTCCTCGTCTATCCTGCGGCTTTGGCGCTGGAACTGGCTTAGGGCATTTTTGATAGCTTTTGGTGTTGGCTTATCATAAAGTGACCCCAGGTAGATTTGGGCTAGAAGGAACCTATGGAAGTCAGCAATAGTACAAATAATTAACAGGCAAAACATACATCCCGTCAACGGCGCATGAGATTCTGGTTTTGATCTCTTGTTGAAGCTCTTGGTTTCTCCTGACAAACGCCGGTAGCTGTCCCATATGACCCTCAAGATACCTTCTGACATCTTGGCTACTTGCACGAATCTCTAACATTGTTCCTTGGCTGAACCTGGTGATAATCTCCGGAATAAATCTTGATGTTGCGAAAATATTCACTTCACAGTGAGCCTGGAGGGTAAAGATCTCCGAAATGAATCTAGAACGACATTCATTATCTGCTTGACACTCATCAAGGGCATCGACAAGAATAAACACCCTTGAATAGCCCGCCACCACTGAGTGGAGAACCTTCAATAATTGGTCAAAAGATGGCCGCGTCAATCGACTGTTATGCTTACTGTAGAGATTAACCAGGCTACCTGGCAGCGAGGGCAGGTCTTGACTCAGTTGCTTCAAAATGCTTGCGATCAAGTCATCGAGGTTTTGTTCATTTTGCCGTCGAAAATTGCAGTAGACATATGCAATGCCAACAGATCGGTCACAGTGAAAATGTGTATTTAGGTGGTCGACGACTGCTGCGGTCTGGATGGTCTTTCCCGCTCCGGGGATTCCGGGACAGAACAACGTTTGTTTGGCCAAACTCAGCCAGGTTTGATACTCCTTGGAGTTCAATAGCCACTGACCAGTTCCAGGTTCTCGCCTTTTGAGCAAATCACTTTGTTGGGGTCCGTAGTCAAAAGGAGTGAGCCAATTAAGCACCTTCATGTCCTCTCTTTTATCCAACCTGGATCTCACTGTTTCAACATCGTCCCCAATTCTATCCATATTATCGAGGACTATTCATAATTTTAGGTATTGCAGCATATATGTGTGGATTGATATTTACTTACCTCTGCCCAGAATATCCTTCACTGGACGCTCCGCATCAATATCACTCGGTTGTACATATCCAAGAAGCTCCTTTGCCAATCCCGCAGCCACTGCAGCTGCATACTCTTGCCAATCTTTGTTCTTGTGTGAGTCTGCATAATCACAGACTCCTCTGATCACAAGACATGGGAAGTTGTTCATCAGACCAGCCGCTTCCATTTCGACACAGAGGACATGACCACCAAGGTACTTTTTCAGTTTATCTCGGAAGGCGGCGTCCTTGATTACTTGGTTACCAGATGCGATAAGACCAAAATGCACCCGCATCTCTCTTGGCTTCCTTTTCACAATCTCATTTCTGTCGCAGAATGAACAGCTTTCTTCTTCCTCGCTGTCTCCCTCGTCTTCATGCCCGTCAAGAGGAACATCCCGAGCCGCGACATGGCTATAAGTTGCTTTGAACAGAACATCCTCAAGCAAATCAGACCTCAAATACTTATTTACCAGTCTCGGCCATTTCTCCTTCAGCTGCAGAAGATACTCTGGTATCTTTGATCCGGTCAATTCGTGTTCCGTCTCCAATTTCGTCAGAGCTGTTAACAGCCAAGTCGGAGGATTATTCAATGACCCAGTCCGCTCAAAGCCCCCCTCTTTTGTTTTACCAAGATCCCATTGCACAACACCAGGAAATTGGCCGACCGGCGTACTGACAACCACATCGCCAAGCCTGACTTTAGGTGGAACACCGCCCCCAATGCCGACCATCAACCCGAACTTGATGCATGGAAAAGTGGATATCATCCGGGAAGCAACATCTGCCGACTGGTTGTTACCAATTTGGCCCTTAGGGAGGCAGGCTATAACAATATTGTGCTTTCCAATAGAGCCAAGTGTGTATGTGTTGGGATCGGTTGAAGGATTGGGGAGATCGGGATGCTTCTCATCCAGCATAGCCGTGGCTGCGGTCTGTTCTTTCGGGAGAGCACACACCCATCCAACGGTGTACTCGCCATGAGTTCTGTTGGATGTTGGCGCGGACATTTCTGTCGCAAGGTGAACGGAGGGAAGACGCAAGTTGTTGGAAGGGAATCGGGCGCCTACAAGCGGTCAGCTGATAGGAGCCACGTACATTGTGCGGGGCACTTCAATGTTTGGGGGCCGTTTATATCATACTTTTCAAGGCGGAAAACTGCCCAAGAATGGGATTTCTTCTGTCATTTTTTAGGTAATCTTGACCGCTGGAAAAGTGATGTGCGCTGAGGCACTGGCTATGGTGCCAAAAAGGAGTGGCCAAGTGTGTATTGGTCAAGCCGAATGTGAGAACGACTGTAAAACGCCCTACAGGTGAGGAGGTCCACAGGGACCGTCCCGAAAATGTAGGTTTTATACCAAATTTGTCTGGCACAACATTATATTCCCATGTTAAGTGAAAAACTATTTCATACCAATTTTTCTTGTTGAAAATTCTTCGAAGTCCCAAGGCAAAGACTGAAAAAGTCATACGATGTTTTAACACTCACTTAATTGCCAGCGCCAGCAAGGTCTCGCCGTCATCAGAGCCCCTCAGTGAGGCCTCGCAGTCTCTCACCGGTGACTGTATGCCGCAGCTTGCGGAGATTGGCATGCCATGCGTCTCTGTATTTTACATGTTCTTCACTCCAATCTCCACTACTTTGAACCCAGCCTTAACTTTATTCCCAGCCTTCAATGTTAACTTTATTTAATTTAACTTTAAAGAAGGTTACAGAATAATTCTAAAAGTCTGCTCATGATAAAAACTCGCGTATTTCCTGAATAATTCTGTAAGAAACATTGAATTGGAGATTATAGATTGATAAGATTAGATATCAACTTAACCTTTTGAATTTATCCTTTTCAATCACCGTTACACAATGAATTTAAAAATCTGCTCATAGTGAGAAAAACGCGCTTATCCTAAATATTGGATCAATAAATATTGAATTAGGGCCCAAGATTAGATATAGATTTAACCTTATCAATCACCGTTTCACGAGTTTAAAAATCTGCTCATAGTGAAAAAAACGCGCATATCCTAACATTGAATAATTCATCAATAAATATTGAATTAGGGCCTAAGATTAGATATAGATTGAACCTTATCAATCACCGTTTCACGGGTTTAAAAATCTGCTCATAGTGAAAAAAACGCGCGTATCCTAAATAATTCATCAATAAATATTGAATTAGGGCCCAAGATTAGATATAAATTTAACATTATCAATCACCGTTTCACAGGAAGTTTAAAAATCTGCTCATAATGAAACAACCGCGCATATCTTAAATAATTATTTAACAAACATTGATGGTAGATTGATAAGATTAGATATAAACTCAACCTTTTAAATTTAACCTTTTCAATCACCGTTACACAAGAAATTTAAAATCTGCTCATAATGAAAGAATCGCGCATACCCTTACAATCTTCATGCCATATCAGCCATTGTACAATGATAACTTTGAATATGACCTCAGCATCTGTTACTCACAGAGTTGCACTTATTCTTAACAAGCGTCAATACCATATTAGAGATGGAATAGCGGAACTGCCAAACCTCATCAAACCTTGTGATCTCCCAAACCTTCGATTGTCCTTTTTCGACGCCTTTGGCATATATTACCAGATTAAGAAAACAATTCCACATTCCGCGTTTACGGCGACGGAAATTAGGTTAGTGTTAAGAGATGCAGTTTTCACGAGCATACTCTGGAATTTTACTGCGCAAGCATTGAATAACAGGCAAGGTAGGTATTAACAGGATGGCTCCTACATTCCCACGTCGCATGGCGATAGCTCAGGTTTTGCTATGCGGCATGCACATGCATTTCATTCCGTTGGCGCGGTGTGTTTCACACGACTTTGCGATATCGGCACCGCCAAATATTAACGGGGCATAATGACTGGCAAGAGAAAGTGAGATTCCGAGAATACGGCAGGTGCAATAAATTTCTACATATACTGTACAGTATAGTTCTCACATGAGATCGAATAGTCCACAACTGTGAAATAACATTGAATCTTCCACAGCCCTCTTATAGAAAATTAAATATCACACAGCAAGTTTAAAACTAATGCTCATACTTGTCAAATTGCGCATATCCTTAATAATCCTTTCGAATTAGGGATTACAGATTGATAAGATTGAATATGACCTCGACCTTGCTGGATTTAACTTTTTTAATCACGGTTACATAATAAGTTTAAACATGAAAATTTGCTCATAGTAAAAAAAACGCGCACATCCTCAATAATTCTTTAATAAACATCCAATTATGCACTATAGATTGATGTGATTAGATATAAATCAACCTTAGGTGAAATTAACTTCAAATGTTTTTCAATCACGGTTACACAATAAGTTTAAACATGAAAATCTGCTTATACTAAAAAAAACGCGCACATCCTTAATAATTCCTCAATAAACATCCAACATTTGACGCACTATGTATATATTGATCAGATTAGATATGAACTCAACCTTAATGATTTCAACCTTCTTCAATCATGGTTACAAGATGAGTTCAGAAATCTGCTCATAGTAAAAGAATCGCGCGTATCCTTAATAATTCTTGAACAAACATCCAATTAGGCAATCCAGATTGATCAGATTAGATATAGACTGGAATTCACTAAGGTTAATCTTTTTCAATCATACCGGTTACAAAATAAGTTTAGAAATCTGCTCATAGTAAAAAAATCGCGCGTATCCTTAATAATTCTTGAACAAACATCCAATTAGGCAATCCAGATTGGTCAGATTAGATATAGACTGGAATTCACTAAGGTTAATCTTTTTCAATCATACCGGTTACAGAATAAGTTTAGAAATCTGCTCATAGTAAAGAAATCGCGCATATCCTTAATAATTCCTGAACAAACATCGAATTAGGCAGTATAGCATAAACTGAACTTTACTAAGTTTAACCTTTTTCAATCATACCGGTTACACAATGGGTTTAAAAATCTGCTCATAGTAAAAGAATCGCGCATATCCTTATAAAACCATGAAAGAAATTGACTGGGGAGGACAGATTAATCGAATTAGAGAGGACAGATTGATCAGATTAGATATAAATTCAATCTTATTAAGTTTAACCTTTTTCAATCATGGTTACAAAAGGAGTTTAAAAATCTGCTCATAGTAAAAGAATCGCGCATATCCTTACAAATTGTTTAATCTATATTAGAACTTATAGATTAATAACTTTAAGTATAACATTAATATTACTTCAAGTGCTTAATTAATCGTAGTTACACAGGAAGTTTGAGTAATTTGTCATTATAAATGAATCGCGCATATCCTTAACAAACCTTGGTATCATATCAGAGATGGAATATTCCAGAACTCCAGGAGCCTCTTCTAGCTTGAGAGAATCAAACGTCGCACAGTAAGTTCAAAAATGCACATAACCTTACATTCTATAGCTCAGTGTTGAATGATCATGTATATCCTTATTCGCTCCTAACAAAATACTATCACAGCACTCTAAAAATCTCAAGGGCGCATCAAAGTGAAAGTTATCCCTTTCAAGAGGTGACACTTGGGGAGATCGCAGCGAAAACTCCATACGGCATCGTGTGGTGGAAACAGCGAGCGAAATGCAATCATTGCGATAAACAGCTGACACACAATTCATGCGAAAAGAGTAACACGCGCTTCCTCAAAATTCATCTTCAGCTCCGTGTGCATAATTGTGATTTTCCGTTCCAACCGTCCAGCACATAACTCTCGCCCCCTTTCGAGAAAATCCGTACGCTGGTCGCTGATCCCCCAGGTATGATGTGATTAATTGATGTTGTGGGACTGCAGGTCTGCGCGGAGCGCCCGGAGGGAGAGCGCGGATGTCCAGAGCTCGTTGATCGCGGCATCGACCCGTCTTGCGTCCTCCGCATGTATCGCCAATACTTGCTGCCATTAACTTCGGAACTAAGTCCTTCGCATCGCTTGGGTAGGTAGTCTTGAGAGGTTCGCATCAGTGGGATGCGCGGGCCAGCGCGGTGCGTGATGACGGGCGCAATTATGAAAGTAGTTCCAGTTTAGGATCAGGGAGACCGCTAGTTTATTAGTAGAGATTTATCGGCCTGCTACATGTCCCTATTAGTAAAAAACTTCCAAGATTTACCCAAACCTGGTTTTGCCCTGCTGAAGTGCTCACAAGGTACGGTAATTGCTCATCCTCCAAAACCACTTGGTGGTCTATTGCTGCTGGAATGGAGACAACACCCACCTGTGCAGTTTTAGTAAGTAGTTTGAGCTCACAAATAGATAGGCTTTTATTCCATAAACAATCAATAGATGCATGTGTGCAAAAGTGGAGATTTTGGCATTCTGCACAGAGAGACAAAAGGGTATATTTAAAGTTCAAGCCTTTCGCAATAAGCACTAAACTCCTAGACTAGAATCATAGAATGTGAGGGGGTTTATTAATAACCCCCACGACTAGAAATACTTCCGGCGCTACCTAATCCCCTTCCAAAAATTAATTGCAGAAAGTCATTCGACCTGAAGCTGTGAAATTTCGTTGATAAACATCCTGTTACGCCCAAATTTCCCATGCAGTAAATAACCGCGAATAGCCGCGCCCATTCGGCCGCGTCCAAAAAAGTGGGGAGAAAAGAATTTACCCCGTGCCAAACGAACACCGCGATGGTATCATCACCACCATAGACAAAGAACCTTATCAGATCCCGTCATCTCCATACGTGGATCATATCATAATTCCCGCCCGCTTCACCCGTCACCCATCACTCATTCCCTCCAGCACCTCAGACTTCAACTTACCGACCGCCCTGCACATCATGCCTATCACAAGAGAATTCACCCCACCGGCCAACGCCCGGCTTCTCGAATTGCCCGAGGGGCCCAACCCCAAGTTCTTTATTGCATTCGTGTCCTCTGATGACCCCATCACCTCCCAGCCTTGGTGTCCTGATGTCCGCGCCGCGTTGCCCCATATCAACGCCGCTTTTGAGGCTGAGGATGCGCACACCGTAGCTATTGTCCCTGTTGGGCAGAAGCCAGAGTATGTTTTGTTATGACGATGTTTATTTTTCCTTTTTTTCGTGGCTTTTTGAAGAGCTGGCGATGTTTTGCAGTTGGATTTTGGGAATCAAGGCTGATTTTCTTTAGATGGAGAGATCCCAAGAACGTCTACCGCGCGGATTGGAATATTCACAATGTTCCTGCCCTGGTACGATTTGAGCGCGTTGATGGCGAAGTCAAGGCAACTGGAAAGTTGATCGAGGGGGAGATCTTAGATCAGGCTAAGCTTGGTGCTTTTCTTGCTTGATTCAAGATTAAAAGGAGCCGAGGGTCCCCGGCTTGAGGAGTGTGTGATTACCAGCGGTGATTTTGAAAATATCATTATTCCCAGAACGTGAGGTTCATGCCATGACTTTTGATCTTTTGATCTTTCCATCTTTTTTATTCTCTCTCTCGTGCATTGTATTTTTTCGTTGTGGGAGCCGTTCCCTCGGATTCAATGAAACCGATACCCAAAGTGCTCAAGTGCTGAAACGACCACCCTGTTCTGTCACCTCTGAATATATTCCGTCGCAAAAGATTTGAACTAGGACTAGACGATCACCTACTAGCCTCAATAACTTTGACCCCCTCAACAGGACCCGCGGCGACCATCACCTCTCGAAAGATCGCCATCTTCTGTAGTTCCGTTCTCAGCCGAACAGCGTGCGCTTCATCCCTCGCCAAAAAAGCGCATGTAGACCCAGAACCACACATCAAACTTGCAGCTGCCCCAAACGCCCTCCCAGCTTCCAGCGCAACCCCAATATCAGGCAACAACCTCGAGGAAGGCACTTCAAGATCATTCACAAGCGAACTCAACAGTTCCATGGGTGGCGTCGTTCCCCAGGGAGTATCAATACACCCTTTCCGGCGGCAAGTATATGCCTCCTCCTCTTCAGCTAGAGAACCAGTCATATCACTATCATACTCCTGGAAAACACCCTTCGTCGACAGACCGCGCGTAGGAACAGCCAACACCCATATCCAGGGATAATCCGCTACCTCCAACGGAATTAATGGCTGCTTATGACCCAAACCGAGCGCCATCATCCCATTAATGAAGAACGGGACGTCTTCCCCGATCTGCGCCCCCAGCTCCATCAGTTCGTCGTCGTCGAGCGTACTTCCCCACATCAGATTACACCCCACCAGCGCCGCGGCCGCGTCAGCACTTCCGCCTCCAAGACCCGCTTCGGAGGGGATCATTTTTGAAAGCTCGAAATGTAGTCGTGGCGAGACGCCCACCTGCTTTGCTAGGAGGGCTGCGGCTTTTATCACTAGATTGCGACTGTCGTTTGGGACTCGGTCGCTGTCCATGCCTGTGACGGTCATGGTTGGACCTTCTGGGTTATGTGTGATAGTCAAGCTATCGTAGAGGGATATAGCTTGGTAAGCTAGTGTGATGTCGTGGTATCCATCTTGGCGTAAGGGTCCCACGCGGATCTGGGGGTTGATCTTTGCGGGGACTTGTAGCGTGATTTTTTGATAGGGTGCGATAGTCATGATGGCTTCGATTGAACTTGGAGATTTGAAAGTTCATTTATAAATGAAGTTTGGAAGATGTGGAATTGAAATAAGGTGTGAAGAAAAACGGAAAGGGAAATGGACCACGCGACACGTCAAATTGACTTGAATCTCATTAGCCGGGTCCTTGCCGATCTCAACGAACTGCAGATCGTAGAGGGGCAATCTGCAGAGATCGCGCTCATTACATCACCCGCATCATTTTAACTATTTCTCGCACAGCCAAGTCACCTATCCAACATTGTTTATTCGCATTAGATCCCCATGTTCAACATGCCCCAACAAACAAAACTACCAGTCGGAGTCGTGATCCCCGCAGCAGGGAGGGGCACACGCGCAGGACAGGGCGCGCAAAAAGCATACCGCCGCATAATGGGCGACACAGTGATCAACCGCACCGTGAAACTATTCCGCACCTGGAATCCAGATTGTCCCATCGTGATCGTCCACCACCTAGACGACACATCTCTCCTCGAAGCCTGCATCGACCGCGACGAAAACATCCATTCCACAACCGGAGGCGCAGAGCGCGGCGCCTCCGTCCTAGAAGGTCTTCGCTTCCTATCAACACTACCCGAAGCTCCATCACACGTCTTCATCCACGACGCCGCACGTCCATTCGCCTCGCACAGATTACTCGATGCTGTCCTGGACTCTATCCTCCACGACCCGTCCGTCGGCGTCATCCCCGGCCTTGCTGTCGCTGACACCCTCAAAAAAGCAGACGCGAATGGCTTCATTACAGACACCGTGCCTAGAGACGGCCTCTTCCGTGCCCAGACGCCCCAGGCTTTCGAGCTAAGGGTTATCCTGGATCTGCACGAGCAGGCTGCGGCCGCGGCTATGAATTACACGGACGATGCATCGCTTTTCGAGAAAATGGGCTTGCCTGTTCGAATCGTGCCCGGCGAATCTGAAAATGTTAAATTAACCTACAGCGCTGACTTCGACGAGGCGGAACGCTTCCTGAAAGCCAACGATCTAAGCCAGAGCCAGAGTCACCTGGCTAGCACCGCGTCTCTCCCAGACGTCCGCGTCGGTCACGGTTACGACACACATTCGCTCGTCCCAGGCACCGAGATCACCCTATGCGGCGTCAAGATCGCGCACAGCGCAACGCTGCTGGGCCACTCGGATGCTGATGTCGGTCTGCACGCGCTGACGAACGCGTTCCTGGGTACGATTGCGGCGGAGGATATTGGGAGCCATTTTTCGGATAAGGATCCGCGGTGGAAGGGCGCGTCTTCGGATATGTTTTTGCGCCATGCTGCGGGCCTGGTTAGGGCTGCTGGTGGTACGATTACGCATTGTGATGTGAGCTTTGTTTGTGAGCGGCCAAGGATTAGTGTGCATCGGGATGCGATGCGGGATGCTGTGGCGGGTATTGTCGGGTTGGATCGGGGGAGGGTCTCTGTTAAGGCGGGGACTAATGAGAAGAATGGGTTTGTTGGGCGCGAGGAGGGGATTGTGGCTTTTGCGACGGCTACGGTGGTTTTTCCGTGTTTTGTTTGAAGGTGGCGGGTAGGCTGGTTTGGATAGGATTTGTTTATATATATTTGCGTTCTAGGTTTTTGTGTGTATATTTTTGCGAGAGGAGTACAGGGTCAAGTTTGCATGGTAGTTGGCGGTTGTGTTTGTGATGATGTATACATCTGGTATACTACAGGTCGAATATAGATATCGTTCCAAGGGTTCAGGCGGCTGAAGAGAATGCAGAGTATAATTTTGGGTGAAACATGGAATGTGTCAAAATTGGCGTGACCTGTACCGTAGTGCGACGTCATAAACACGGTTCTCAGCTGTGTTGTGCTGCCGGCGATTTGGTTCGTATCCACTTCAATCCACTTCCTCCATCATAATCCGATCACTTGCCCTTTCAGACCAGGGGCGGTGTGAATCTTGGCTCAAGATGGCAAGATCCGTACGATAAAGGTACCGACGAACGGAAAATCGGCGCTATCAATGACCAATCCTGCACAATGCTGAAGATCGCTTATTCAAGGCGTTCATGCAGATCTGACAAGGCGGGGGTATTTGTCTCAAGGGCACGCGACATCCGTCGCGTGTCCAACCATCAATCAAGCACTTCTTAATTCAAAACTCCCCCCTGAGTCCTGACACATAACATCAAACCCGCATATCCCCCACATTCCCACCTCACAATGAGAATCTGCGTATTCCAATCCTGCTTCGAGGAGCTCCAAGCATCAGTCGGCGACTCCGAGTCCCAGCAACTATGCATGAACCCAGCCATCTTCACAACCCAACACAGCATATCGCACAAGACAATCCACAAAAAGACCGCCAAGCAGCAAATCGACCAAGCCACCGCAGAGGACCACGACTTCTACCTCAACTTCCTCTGGGGCACACACGACGACTCCCTCGCCGGCATAGACGCAATCCGCTACTTCGAGTCGCTCAACCTGCCGCACGCCGGCGTCCAGAGCTCCGAGCGCTCACAATCAAAATGGGACTTCTTCGCCGAGGCGAAACGCGCCCGCAGCCCGCTCGTCCCGGGCACAGAACACTTCCCGCTCTTCGTCAAGCCGGCGTCCAGCTACGGGAGCATGTTCATCGATCGGCATTCGCTGTGCCGCGACGAGGCCGAGCTGCGCGCCTGCATCGCGCGTTTGAACGGGCTGATGCGTCCTGTGCGGATCCAGCGCGCGCTTGCGCTCGGTCACGAGGACGCGGAGAGCTACGCTGATGCGTGCGAGGGCGCGGGCCGCTGTAGCACGGATATCGTCGTGCAGGAGTTTATCGGGGGCGAGGAGTACTCTGTTGTTGTTATTGCGATGGGAGAGAGCGCTGTGCCGCTGATTCCGCAGCGAGCGAGGTATAAGCGGGTTGGGGATGAGGCGCGGATCCTGACGCTGGAGTTGAAGTTTGATGCGGAGTCCGGGTATGAGTTGCTTTCTGAAGAGGCGGATCCGGTACTATGGAAGCATTTGCAGGATACGGCGGTGGAGGCGTTCACGACTAAGAGGATGTATACGAATTGTATGGGGTGCGATGTTGATATGCGGATTGGGACGGATGGTAGAGCTTATGTTATTGAGGTTGATCCGTTGCCGGTGTTTTTCTATCCGACTGGCTCGCAGCTTGAGGATACGGATGTCAAGCATGGGTTTCCTGGCTCGTATCGGGCTGTGATCAACACGTATATTACGAACTATTTTCTCCGGAATCCGGGCGCGCGCGGAGCTCGGTTCGCGGAGTTGGAGGCGCTTTTCGATGGCATAGCTGTGCCGGGGTCTGGTGCAGAGGATATTGCGGATATCGCTGCCTTGTCACCGTTCACGGGGACGGCGATTGATCTCGGTTGCGGAACGGGAAGTGTTGGCCGTGCTTTGCGAGATGATCCGCGGAATCACATTGCACATCTGACTGGCGTCGATTTCTCAAGCAGGAGACTGGGTATATGTCGGCAGGAAGGCGTGTACGGCGACCTGGTCCACGATCGCATGGAGTCTTTCCTTGCACGGCGAACGGAAATGGTGGACCATATATTCTGCCAGTCGGCGTTGGAGTTCCTTCCCATGGAAGAGCTGGACTTTGTTCTTGCAAGGTGCTTCCAGCTTGCGAGATCATCGATCACCATCGTGCTCGAAAGCCCCGCGAGTGGAAAGTACATGTCTGCGCCGTGGGACCAGGTTCGGGCGTATACTCAGGACCATTCCGAGAACATCAAGACTTTCCAGCTGCAGCGCGGCTGGAGTCTGCGTTCACCGGTGCAAAGAAATCATTGCCAAGAAGCCCATCGCTCCGTGTTTCATTTCCAGCGAGATCAGAATGTATAGACGCAGCACCATCATAACAATACCAAAGACTAAAGTTTCCTTTTCATCACCGATCTGATCTCTACCTTCTACGTCCATGGCCATAAGCAATGATGATCATCTAACTTCTTGGCAAATTTCCGTCGAATACGGGATGTACGTGTACGGATACGAAAAAGCAGCCAGCCCAACCCGAATGCGAAACGACGCCAAATGCCCAAATCAATCCAAGACATGACCGATTTTCAATCTAAACACTAATCTAATCTTATCCTTATCCAGCCGCCAAGATATCCCTTTACATAAACCCAAATCACATGAACAAGCATGAATGACCTAATGACCTCACGCGCCCCATTTTACCGAGATAAGCCCGGCCTCCTGTCCTCACTAGCACCCGCCACCGACCAGCCCAACCCAACAGCCATCCAGGTACTCCGTACTGACTCACTGCACAGGGTATATGGGGTGCATTAACCCGACCTACCACACAATGTACGACGTGTGACGTACTACTCCGCGTCCAGGATAGCGCCAGCCTAATCAATCTGCAATCTCCAATACGTATCGGAGTACGGTACTTGCGGGGGTATCTCAGCCGCAGCCCGGAGTAGCCTTGTACTGTGTTGTGCCTCCTTTTCCATACAGGGTAGGTCCATGCAGATTGGACTTGCCCTTCGCGTGTTTATCTCCGGTCCAGCTCGCGTACGGCCGTATCTGGAACGTGTAACGGGGTGTATTGATTCTTTTGGGATGCGGGTGGAGATGCCTGTTAGGGCTGTTAATGTTTAGGGTGAGTCCTGCCGAACGGCGATCTGGATCGTCGGGAGTTGCGAAGGTTGATGATGAGTAGCGGGGCGAGTGTGTGTGCTCTGTATGGAGGCCGGGATCCAATGGTGTGGAGCTGGATTTGTTTCGGGTTTGGTTGGGTGCGGAGAAGGATGCGGATGAGAGGGTTGGGCCGGGGTGATTGGATTGGATCGGCGGGGAAGGTTGCATGGGCTTTATTAGTATGTATGTCGTGGTTGGAGCAAGGCTTGGGATTGGTTGCGAAGCTATGTACTAGTACTAGATTTCAAAAGGGTTTGATATTGTTTATGGAGGATATCTACGGAGAAAGGATGCTATTTTGCAGGGTTTGGACGGCAGGCGGAATGAGATGCATTAGGTGCGACTTAAATCTGGGTTGGGATAGGGGGCGTTTTTCGATGACTGCGGTTTAGAGCGTTATCTATAAGCGACCTTCATGCGGGGATTGGGAGATAAGGCTTAAGCCTTTCGGGAAGAGGCTTAGCGTTGGCTTGATCCAGATCCGGAAATTCTCCACCAGCGGACCAAGAGCCCGAAATGGATACTTGGACCGGGTTTCCCTGCTTATCGTTGCCACGCATGGGGATTTGAGTTTCATCCTGTCATCTCACGAGGGGTAAAGGGTCAGACTTCGGGGTTAGCCATGGATCGACCCTGGAGCTTGTGCACTTTATTTGATGTGGATGTTTGATGTACGAGGGTTTAGAGGTATTGGAAAGGAATGGTTTTGGAGAAGAAAAGTAAATGGGTATTCGGGTGAGGTATCGCCCGCGCTGTTCAGTCTAGATGTATGCGAGATGCAGTAGATGTAGATAGAAAGCAAAGAAAATAAACATAAGATGTGCAGATCAACGAAATATGTAAAGCACGCAGGAACGTAGACAGGAAAAATTATGAATACATAATGCGATGCGAGAAGCGGAATGTGATGCGATAGTAAGTCGCTAAATAGCTGCAGAAATGCAGTGAGTGTAGTAGTATTTACCAAGTGCGCTTGGGAAATCTCTCTCTCGACAGGACCAGTGAGCTAGAGATGACCGTCGCGGATACGGAGGAAGTTCTCGTATCGCTTTTGAGTAAGGCGACGGCACTTCTTGCCCCAGTAGATCATGGGGGCAGTCGTCATCAGGAATACAAAGCTCAGCACACCAATGGCGACAAAGACCTGAGTCAAACTCTGTGCGTCGATCCAGTATTGGGCGGAGAAAGTGAAGATGCATCCGATCGTATTATTGATCACGGACACACCCACCATGCCCTCGAGAACCATATCAGGGTATGCGTCCTGAAGATAGGCCATGCTGAGATCACCTGCACAACCCCAACCGAATCCAATGAAACCCAGTCCAACGTAGGGCCATGGCCAATCCCAGCCCTTGTCGGACCCAATACCGAACAACATCAGACCCGCTGGGCCGATGAAGGCAACGGGGAAGAGGAGCCACAGGCGCTGCTCCGCTTCGAAGATACCACCATTTCGTCGGGCCGTCCAAGTCACGAAGTAATCGGAGAACCAACCACCGTAAACACAGCCGATGCAGGCTCCGATCAAGGTAGGCACGTTCATAATGCCCACCGCGGCATCGGTGTAGTACCAAGGAGCCTCGTACCAATTATCCTCTTCAATGGTCAGATAAAAGGTGAGCCACGCATCCTGGGCGCCCCATTGCAGTCCCGAGTAGATAACTGCAGGGAAAGTGAAAATGCGCAGGGTGTGCCAGATGCGGAGGTAGTACTGCTTAAAGCCGGTACCGATCATGGTCGGCGAAGGAGTGATCAGCGCGATGCGCTGCCAGTAGGTCTTCCCCTTCTTCTGACCGCTCTCGATGTCTTCGGCGCTGGCGCTGCTGACGAGGATGGGTTCGACGTTGGCGGGACGGTCGTCCTTTTCATCCAAGGTCAATTGGGGCGAGGTAGCACCCCCTGGGCGCACGTTCAACCCCTGCAGGACGGCCTTGCGATCAAAGGCGGTCTCCTCCAGTCCAAAGTAGAACACGATGACCAAGAATCCCGAGATAATGGCCCCAAGCCATCCAGCCCATCTCCAACCCATCACCGGGCTATCAGTGATGAAACCGGCGACCAGTGGTCCCATGAATGTTCCAATACTGGTCGCAAGAATGTAGAGACCCAAGACCATACCACGGCTATGCTGGAAAAAGAGATCCGACAGGGATAGCTGGGCCATAGCTTCGGCGCATGATTCCGACGCGCCGACGAACAATTGATTCCAAATGTTGTCCTGGACAGTTTCGACGTTTGCGAACCAGATCGATCCGATGATGGAGAAAAGCAAGCAGAGCAGGTAGGAGATACGACGGCCGTATAGGAAAGGGGCGGGACTCAGGAGAAGAGTACAGTAACCGATTCCGACAAACAAGACACCAGCAGCAATATTGATGTCATTCCAGCTGATGCCGAGCTGTTCATTCATACCATTTCCAGCGGTGCCTGCATCGTTGGAGGTTGCGGCGGTGAATGCGACGATGAATAAGATCAGGAACGCGTGCCAATAGCGGCGCCACGTGCTCCAGTTCAGTGGATCATCGGGGGAGTTGGTCGGGGTTGGAATCAAGGTGATCTCCCCGTTTGCGTCGGCCAGGCGTTCCGTACCGTTCAAAGGTGGTTCTTCCTCCATCGCTAGTTGAGGATCGACTGGAGTATTGAGCTCCGTCGGTGCCCACGTTGGTGCATTTAAGTCAACGTTCATCGGATTCTTCTTATGGCGGTCCCGAGGGATCACTGGATCACTGGATCACTGGTTGGAGATTAGAGAGATAAGGACAGAAGCTTAACGCTTCTGTCAATCCGCAAGGACTTGCTTAAATATGACTAGCACGGGACGTGCTCATGCGGGTGTGAGAGGTAGGAAAGATAAAACAAAAACTCTGAGGGAAAAATTAAAAAATTATTATTGTGGTTTTTATTTTTTTTTATTTTTTACGGGAAAAAAAAAAAGGAAAAACCTGGTACGGAAAAGAGGGGCGGGTAGAGATAAGCGCCGTTTACTCTGGATTATTATGGGTAATTCGATAACCCCTTTGGATTTAGTCCAGGTATTTTCCTTGGTTTTTTGTATGTGTGTTTTCGTTGGTGCGGGGACTTTGGTCTCTTGCTACGTAGTGATTTTGATGTGGTTGATTGGTTTGATTGGTTTGCTTTGGTTTGTCGTGGCTTACGTAGACTTGGGAGTTACTCCTTATAGTTCGTAGTATACGGAAATGGAGAGATCAAGCATATTGAACGGTAAACGGTAAGAGCTGACTCTCAATGAACAAGTACCAGGCAAAAAGATACTATCAGAATTACATATATTGATATATAATTTTTTAGAAGCTTGTATTTTATAAATCTGAGATTAGAAAAAAATAACAAAAATAAGAGAATAAAAAAGAATTTATTTTTATTTATTTTTATGAAATTCGATTCTAATGTGGCGTGGATACTGTATCCATACCAGTACATTTCGTAACCGTGGATTACCCAACTCATTCCCCCCCCCCAGGGCTAAAAATGTTAAGTACCCCTCGCCACCTCTCTCCTCCTCCAATTTCTCAACCTCCAAACTCTTTTTTTTCCACAACTTGCTGTTCAGCAGCCGAATGTCAACTTGTCAACTCAGAATGGCCCAAGAATTTCACATCTCCTCTGCCCTCTCCAGCAATGGTCCCTTAAAACCAAGTAATTGTGGCTCCGACCTGGCTGCGCGCCTCAACGCCGCGACTCTGGTGGAGTCTGCGCCCGATGAGGCACCACGCACAGCAAGGTCGGAGCCCAAGAAGGTGATTGTGGTGGGGGCTGGTATTTCGGGCCTTCGGGCCGCTGCCGTTCTGCAGCGTCACGGATGTGAGGTCGTCGTGCTGGAAGCGCGCGATCGCATCGGTGGCCGAATTTTGACCAGCCGGAACGGAGATCACGTTAGAGATATTGGTAGGGTTCCGAAGAGGTTACAATGAAAACCGGTGGTGACCCTGACCTTCCAGGTTTCGTTTTAATGCGAAGGCGACAATTGCGAAACAAAGAAAAATGTTCCGGCTAACGATCCCCTAGGTGCTGCCTGGATGCACGAAACTTCCCAGAATGGTCTGGTGAAACTCATCCCTCGGCTAAACATCCCCTATTATTATGACGACGGTGCCCCGCTGTACTTTACCCGAGAGGGCCGAGCCGGTTCCCAATTCAAGGCGAAGAAAGTCGCCGATGAATTCGCGGATTACTGCGAATGGTTCTACGAAACTCATCCGGACGCTGAGGATCGTCCCGTCGATGAGTTCGTGCGCCAGTTTGTCCTCGAACATCAGCTGATTAGTGATGATGAGCGGATCTGGGCTCCCCAGGCCGTTCGCGAGGTGGAACTTTGGCTCGGAACTAGTACGCGTGAGGCCTCGTCGAAACACTTGTCCTACTTTATAACCGAGCGAAACCTGTATATGAAAGGCGGTTACGACCGCATTGTGAATTGGACCTCCCAATCCCTCCGCCAAGATCCCAGCATCATCCGACTCAACCATCACGTCGAGAAAGTCGAATGGAACGACGAAGGCTCCAAGCCCACGCGCATCCAATACAAAGATGCTACAACCGGAGTTGCTGGAACCTTGGAAGGTGACGCCGTGGTGATGACCTGCCCATTGGGCGTTTATCACCATAACTTGATTGATTTCAACCCGCCCTTGCCGAGTGACATCCAAGAGGGCATGTCGAAATTCAGCTACGGCGCCCTGGGCAAAGTCTTTTTCGAATTCACCGATGTTTTCTGGCCCAAAGACAACGACCAGTTCATCTTCTACCCCTCCCCCTCCGACGAAGAACTGGATACCGCCTCCGGCTCTTCCGTCTCATCCTCCAACAGCATGAGTTCCTCCATCCAGGAAAAGGACAACATCCTCAACTACGCCACCGTCACCATCAACCTCTGGATCATGACCGGTGGCAAGGAACTCTGTGTCCAAATCGCCGAGCCCCTCACGCAGCGCATCGAAGCGATGACCGACAAAAAGGAGATCTACCGCTTCTTCGAACCCCTCTTCAAACTGCTCCGTGCGGAGCCCTATAAAGCCCTCCCGCGCCTGGTCGATGTTGAAACTACACACTGGACCCAGGACCCGCTGGCCGGGTACGGGACTTACTCTGCCGACAAGGTCGGCGATGACCCGGATCTTTTGATCGATGCCTTTGAAAACCACAAGGACAGCGCCTTGCAGTTTGCAGGTGAGCACTGTACCATGGTGGCTAATGGCTGTGTGCATGGCGCGTATAAGACGGGTGAAACCGCCGCTGCCAACCTGCTGCACCGATTTGGTATTCCGTATGACGGACATGATGCCGTCAGCGATGCATTTGACATGTAATTACGATGTCAGGTTTAAAGCCTTTGGAGGTGATTTAAGAGTCACTTGGCTGGTCCTGATATTCAACATTATCACTCGAGCATAGCCAGAGCGCACCCCAGTGCACTCAGTATAGCCCTGGAGGTTTGGTTTTTCTGCTTTCCTTTTTTTTCCACTCACATTTTTTGGGCATTTCATACTCACGCTTTTTTTTTACATATTCCATTATATAGCATCTAACGGCCATGTAGCAGTCATCAATATGAATACAAGCCTGTGGGTTGTGAGATATAACTTTTGAAACCAGTCTTGTTTTATTTCCGTATTGTTTAGGACTGTATGGTTCCCTAGATAAGTACTAATACTGACAACTGGGCACAACCTTGGCTTGAAATTCACGGGGCCGAGGTCCAAGGTTGAAGTAGAACCAGGCACCATCTTGGGATATGCACAAATGCACACACAGTAGCTCCAGCTCCAGCTCCAGCTCCGATTCTGCACCTATCATGCAGCCCCATGTGGTACCTGCATCTCATATCCAGTAAACTGTAAATTAGAGTTTAAAGTAAGCAATGAACCACCCGAAAACAAACTTTGAGGCCCCATCTCCTTCCAAGGTTGGTAACATGTATTAACCAGTTTGGGGAGCTCGAGATACTAACGTCCCGTGTAAGTTGTAACCCATGCAATGGATTTAGCCCGACTCGGTAAGTCCGACAACGACAGAGATTTCGATGCTCAAATGTTCAACTTTTAAACTAAACAACGCTCAATTGGGCATTTGAGTGCTTATACTCCATCCTTCATGCAGGATTCTCAGCACCGGCTTATAATCATCGTGTAACTTTCATGCACATCAGCTATCACACATGTAATGCTTTGATGCCGCTTAATCTATGCATGCATCCAGTGTATAACTCATGAGCTGCAGATGTGTAGGGGGCTTCCAGATCAATCCCCTAATCTTAAACACCGGCCTCATGGCCATCTAGATTCCAGTCACACCGTTTAATACGGGTAAAATTGCACATGGATGAAATTTTGCCCGGGGAGTACAACGTGCGACCTCAATTTAGGTACACCCGAACGGACACGTTCCGTTTCCTTCTGTTGTGTTCTGTCTGATTTCTGTTTCTGTTTTGTTTTCATGCAGCTTGCATCATAACGCGTCGCCACAGATTCGTTCTTGAGCACTTCAAATCAGACATGTGGGTGGCGGATGACTCAGCGCTGCTTGCGGGATCCACCTGTGGGTCGTGCCGCGAATTCAAATTTTCTTATCGCGCGATAAGTGATTTCACCTCGGGAGCTGACGTAGGACGTACCGTCGAGAAGGTCGGGGCGCACAGAAGGATCACGTGAGGCGCGTCCCTCAGTGGTCAAGCACCAACCTATCCTACGATAGGATAAGAAGAAAGACAAAACATATCTAAGGACGAGAGGGGATCCCATTCACGGCAATGCACTTATACAACGTGGCTGTCTTAAATTACTCAAGTGCTAGTGCTGGCCCAGAACTGCCACCAAGGGGGCTGAACCGAGTATGGGTCACGTTATACCACGTGGGGTCACCTGACGCTGGTTTTTAAGTGAGTTGCTTCGGGGCCCGAATACGCGTCACGTGCGCGAATCCTTTAGACAGCCTCACTTCGTTCACCTATGAACTACTCTGGGTCAGACACCGTCTGTGAAGGGCTGGTGCAATACATGAGTCAGGCCCACTGAGCCTCTATATTATGTAAATTTCTGACTTGATTACCCACCACTCATGTAGCGAGATATAGCCACGCAGCCGGCACAATATATCTGGCTCCGGAAAACGTGTTTTTGCCGTTGGCCCCATTCAAAATCTCACGCAAGTTCCAGAAGCCCATCGACTAGGAAACGAGGGGCAGGAGAAACTGATAATGACGACGACCGGATGATAGGTTACTTATAAAATGAGTGGGCGTGGGTATATTTGCGAGTGTTGACTGGGGATCATACTAGGTCGGAAGAAAAGGAAGCACCGCTTGTGGCGCGCCGTATTCGCTGACAATGCATAATTCACAGCCTCCATTCACCAATCATCGTGTGCGGCTCGTTGTATATTTCCGAATACAGAATCCAAATATGGATCGCAAAGGGTCCATGCTCGGCTCATCAGAAAGACCCAATGATGCGATGCCACGCGTGCACAGGTTCGCTGCAGGAGCTAAGCCTCAGCTCTAATACGGATGTTCGTCCCAAGGCATCTCGGCATAAACCCCGACCTATATACATGTATACTTCCCCATAAATAGAAATGGGGCTGGATCCTGGTTCGGATATAAGGTGGATCGCCCTAGTGATTGTTGTTGATCTTCCTTGGGTAGTATCTCGTTCTTGCCGTTCCTATCCATCATGACCTCCGAGGAGGATGATCGTTATCATCTTCTCGCGCTGGAAGGCAGCCCACAACCAGACTTGGACTTCACTCCGTCCTTGTTCACTCCCTCGCTGAATGATCCCAGGACCACAATACCTCATCCAAGCGAGCCTCGCAGCTCATGCGAGGATGAGCCAAAAGGGTACCACTTGATGAACTGTCCTACCAGAGAGAGTGTGTATAAACGTCGTTTCTCATGTACATTCATCACTTTCCTCATTGTATCCATCTATGCAACGGTTCTCTCAGGAATATTCTTGGTGATTGCCTGCGTAAGGCCGTTTTATCACTTCATCAACAACAACGCCATTTCACCGCACGACGCATCTACATTCAGCACTTTCCTGTCCAAAACTATCGAGTTGGCGTATGTTACTGCCGGTGTCGCTCTTTTGGGGCAGATTCTCACTCGAAAAGCCATAACTCGAGCCTCCCCTGGAATCAGTCTCTCCGACATCAACATGCGATCGTGGATGGCGCAGCCTGGATCTCTTATTCTACACTGGAAGACTGCCCGTCACTCGGCTTGGTCCGTTCTGGGTGTCTTCACTCTGGCCATGACTTTGGTCGCAACGCTGTATACCACAGCAGCCGAAGCCCTAGGTAGGCTGCTGAGCATACCAACAGACTTAGAAGAGTCATGCTTGCTAATGCCTTTTGGCTCCCTGTTTAGTCTCTCCGAAGCTATCACTTACCCCAGTGAACTCAAAACTGATGAACGGCGATTATTCCGTCATGTTTGCCTCGCCACAATGGCTGCAGGACAACTGTACCGCCCCTCTCAGGAACACAACGAGCTGCTTTGCGTTGGAACTCGCCGGACAAGCCTATCATGACCTGGATCAATATCTCCAGGGATGGACAGCACTGGGAAACCAGACAGGCACCACCCTGACCTCGCGCCCGAAACCAAACACTTCCCTATACGACAATACCACCATCACAGGATCCTGGATCGAAGTCCAAAATATGACCGAACTTTCGCAAAAATATGGGCGTATGGTGAATAATGTCACGGCTGCGTTTCCACACGGCGGTCTCTTTCGAGCTGCTCGGGATCCACGCAATAACATTGCACAGCCAGAGGACTTTTCTGGCGAAGGCAAATATACTCTTGACGCATCGGTTGCCGCCCCGGCTGTCAATGTGCTGTGTGTTGGCATGACGAAGGAGGAATTAAGTCCCCTAGTATATTCGGCGTGGAATACAAGTAAGCCCTTCGATGCTACGACATGGTACGACCAAGACGTGGCCACGATGACTCTATTCAATCATACAGTCGTCGATGATCTTTTTGGATTTGAGGATATCAACATTCGCTTCGGTTCCCAAGACTACGATACACAGGGTGCGCCGATTTTCCCCGAATACCCAGATGCGTGGAATACCATTATCGACCAGAAGGTCAACAACTCCTACGCAATCTACATCCTGGGTGCCAATGACCCAGACTACAATCCACCATATACTCTCTGCTCGATGCAGGCGAAGCTTTCAGGGCGATGTTCTGCTCAATACGAGGTCGTTTCGAGTGGAGGCCAAATGACGGTGAACTGTGAGAATTCATCCAACAAGCTCCAGTATGACCGGCTCAACCCCAATACAGACGAAGGCCAATATGATTACAATTGGAGGGAGCTGGCAGCCACGTGGGCGGCGGCCGTCAATCTGGGATCTGGGATCAATGACGACGACGCGAGCATCGAGCAGCTTCTTCTAACAATGATCCCGTCGTTCGATAACACCACCAACTACACTGCGTTAGATCCGGCGTTGCCCTCGATCAGTGAGGCTCTCGCCGTCCTAGCGGCCGGTACGCTCATCTTGGGTAGTCAGTACTCTCCATTCGTCCAATACTGGAATGACTCCAAGCATAATAATTACACAACGCCGCATCCTGCGACTTTTCCCGCTACCTTGCAGTCAATGGCATATGCTTCCGGTCGCGTCACCGGTTGGACGCAGATGTTCTATGTCATTCTGGCACTTGCTTTTCTGACTAGCTTCATTTGCATGGGCTTCATGCTACTGGAACTTCGTGGGAAGTTGGTCACTGACTTCACCGAGCTGCCGAATCTCTTCGCTCTCGCTATGAGTAGCCCTAGTTCTGAACAGTTGCGCGGCGCTTGCGGGGGTGGGCCGTCGGATGAGCAATTCGCCGAGCGGTGGCATGTGGGCTTGGTTGAGGATACTGAGCATTATTATATTCGGTCCAAGGGGGAGGAAAATATTGCCTCGCCTTTTCAAGAGCTTGCGTCTCATGACATGGTGAGAAGAGGAACGGCTAGGTCGGCTATCAACGACTTTCGGCGATTGTCGAGTGGAGCTGTTTCTAAGATCTCTTGGCTTTGATCAATATTTGGATGATCGTGATGGAAATGGTAATGATATGTTTTCCATGAGCTTAGACATGTATAATAGAACATCTAGGAAGATTCATTCGAGCATTAATAATAATCATATTCGTGACAATATTAGGATCCACATATTGATCTGTTCAATGTCGAGCTTCTCTTCTCGGTTTGAACTTGTAAAACTTATGGTAGTGGCTGGCCTTCAACGTCAGACCGGCGTCTAGCCAAATCCACCGAAAGGAAAAATATTCTCAAGGACTCATTTTCCATCGACTTCAACTGGCTCTTTCAGCCTTCAGCGTGTCATTAACGTCCTCTGACTTGGTTCCACAAACAATGCGCGCGCCTTAGCGACTATGACGGGTGCCCCCTCCGCAGGCAAAGTCTCAATAAACCCCTCCGCCCAAGCCTTTCGCTCAACAACACTCGTTGTCCACGCTCTCAGAACTCCAAAGCTGCCCGTCGGCATAGGACTCTGGTAGTCAACAGTAAGGCTTACAGTAGCACCTGCCTTTCCAGGTAAAGACGGAAAGCAGGACCAGCCTAGCCCTTCATCGAGTATGGTGGCCAGGAGCCCGCCGTGGACAATCCCAGGATACCCAGCCACGTGCGTTCCCAGATAAAATATGACGATTAAACCCCCGCCGGCGCGTTCGGTGAAGACATACGGCGCGACGGATATCTTTTGCGGCCCAGTGAGAGGACCTGCAGTGAGATTCATATGACGTATGTGCTGCGGGTAATCTTCGTATCCTTTGGATTCGAAGAATTTCCCACTTTGCCGTAGTTCTAGGACCATAGGGTGACGTTCGATGAAATTTTGTACGTCAAGTGAGTTGTCTAGTCCCATTGTGATAATTCTCTGTTATGCAGCAAGAAAGCCTTGAGTTTAAGAGTGGGAATAAATAGGAAGACTCTTTAAAATGTTGGGATATACTGAGAAGAATAAAATGCGAAGGGGTTTGAATCACGTATTATATTGATATTGATCTCAAAAGATATCGTACTTGTTTATTGTCAGGAAAATCAATGTAGCGAGAGCCAAATGAGTAGGAAAACATGAATCATGTGGCGATCAAAGCGCACCGAGCCCACTATGGATCACTTGGAGAATTCTTCCCTTATCTTGTCACCAATGAACCAAAGAATAACCATCCGCAACGATTCTGGCTCGATTCGGTGTCTTGAATACGAGAAGAGCTCCGTGATGTTACCGCCCCGATCCCATGATCTAAAATGCCACGTAGCTTGACAAATGCATGATGATGATAACTAGATCAAATAGTCGTCAGATCGATCGATGGCTTAGAAATCAAATAGCTGCAGATTACAAAAAATAACTGCCAAGCGATCACTCGTCTCGCTGTCCCTTTCCTATCAGTTTGACCCACTCTTCCATGCTATATCATCTGCAAGAAAAACCTGATAACGGTCCAGGTATACTCGATCAAGCTTGACGAAATCGCATTTTGCCGCCCACTCCACAGTCTTGCAGGACTCATCTTTGAACACGTATTCGACGACTCCATAAATCATGGCGGTATTAGAGTTCGGCCCTAGTGGGAAGACCTGTTTTGGCTGGTGTCTTCGCTCTTTGACCGTTTCCCACATGGAACTTCTGAGGGCACGAATTCCTGTGAATGGATCAACATTGAACTCTCCGATGGTTTTTCGCGTCTTACCTACCTTCTCTGCCTTTAATGAATTTTGCTCCTACACTTACTACGGCGTTGGCGGTGAAACATTCGACGTACTTGGCGTGCTCCATTGGCGCATCTGTGAGGAGATAAAATAGATCCAGAAACCTTTTGAAAGCAGGGTCAAACGGAACCGCCGGGTATTCTGGGGTTTTTGTCGACGCTTCCAACGCTGCTTGAATTAGATGCTGCTTCAGTTGAAGGTTTTCGAACATAATATACTGACAGTAGCTTGGTGTAATTGCGGCAGCCTCTTGTCTTAATTTCTCCTCTGAAAGCACACTCTCCGCCGTGCTTGAATCGATAAAGGCTCTCACTTGAGTAATCTTTTTCTCTGAGTTGAACTTGCAGAGCCAGCAGTAATGCTGGCTGTACAATTTCTTGCCCAGCTTCGTTCGTGTGTGAACAGTTTTCAACTCAACCGCCACCCACCCATCCTCATTTTTCAGCATGTTTTCCGTCGAAACCAACTCAAATTCGGGGCCAGGGTCTGCAATCAGCTTGATGATTGGCAACCAGACTGTATTCTTGAATTCGGACTTTGATGTCCAAACCCCCGAAAGAGCGCTCGACCCGGTGATCTCCCATTTGACGTCGTCTGCAACATGGTCGAAAAATGCCAGGTAACCAGACGGTCTTTCGCCGAGCTTCCCAAAAATGGATCGAATTTCTTCTTCGCTAGGGGTATTCATTTTGAATGAAAGACGGAAAGTAACATAAAAAATCCGCGGAATTCGGATATCGCTGGCTGGGATAATCAACAGGCCCTAACGTTTTAAATAACTTGATGGATACTAAGTTCTTGTCGACGTCAAGTCATTTTGCCCATGGATATGGAGCCATGGCATATACTATGCACCTCATTCTGCTGAACATGCATGTCGCCGCATATAGCTAGACCTAAAATCTTACTTCTGCAAAGCCTTCTGCCACTAATAAGCAGTATTGCCAATCTGACGAACTAGATAAAGGGATTGAAGCTTTTGATCTAACGTCATATCCACACCACCTGTTCCGCCCTGTATTACACCCTGCATATAACCTCGGTACCCGTTGCCTTGCAATACGTGACAGATTGAAGTATTGGTTGGAACAGTGAACCTTATTCCCAAACCATCCTTTACCTCAGCTCTACTTTCCTTTGAAAATACTTGATCTTTCAGTGGACGACACCATCCGGCAGATACCGGAATTTGCAGAAGGAAGCCATAGAGAACCAAAGGATACTATCTCCCTTCTTTTCTATATAGGCCAACATTAAATGCAAGTAAAGGTCTGCTCGCAGGAGTGCCGCTTATCCGCCTTGTATATCTTTTTCCAGAAGGTGGTGTCTGATATGTCAGCCGATGGAACCTAAACTCCGATAAAATGCGCCAAGAGTCCCTTCAATTTTAATTCTTGGAGGTCCATGTGGCGGGTGTGGAGGGAGGGGGGGTAACGAGAAATAATTGGGCGGGCATGATGAAGATACGTGACGGCAACTGAAGATCTGCTCAGCATAAAAAATTAGGGGCGGAAGTTCCGAAAAAGTACCTAGCCAATGATAGATTCAAAGATATGGTACAAAGTATAGCGAAACAGAATTTGTGAAACCAATCCTCTAGGCCGCGAAGAATAGGGGGCTTCCCATTTCCCATGACCAGAATGTCGGTGTCAGAAAGTAGGACCAGGGGCTGTTGCTTCCAGATGAACAAGAAGACATCAGGAACGAAATGAGATAATACTGCTTTGTTCAGCCACAATTCGCTCAGCAAGGCTGCTCTGGCCTCCAGTAGTGTCTTGTTCATGCGTCCAGTGCAGCGATGTCCAGGCGTGCGAAATCTTGCGCGAATATTCAGGCATCAAGGGTGAGGAATACAGAGCCCAACCGATCGCTCCATTCGGTGTGATGGGGAGCGAAAATGCAACTTGGCCACATTCACTAGCCAGAATCCAGATATCAGTACCCACATGTCCTTGAAGACAGCCACGTGTTGTCCAAGCCATCATGCGGATGCTGGTGTCCTGAAGAAACATGATTTGCAGTGGATACTAGAAATCATCACGGAGAAAACAACCAAGCGATATGAGGTCTGATCGCGGAAGGCAATGATTTGAAATTGTACGACTCAGCCGGTCCATATTTCCATTATATTTGAAGCGTTTGTAAACCACAAACTAAAATATCGTTAAAGAATTCAAGAGAAATCAGCAATTACCTCTTCCAAGACTGAGATCATTCAAATTGGTGCTAACATTGAAGGTAGATTTTAACGTTATCGTCGAATTTTATTATAGGTATCCTCTGTCTTTTTATTTGAGGCGTGGATTATCCTTGAAAGACCTTCATCAAACCTTGATCTACCTGTACGTGTATTAAGCATGCCCATCCCTACCTGATGGGTGTACAATAGACGATCCAAAGCGCCACTGATACCAACATAAACAGGATATCATTTAACCCGCCGTAAGCGTTTCATTTATTCAAACTTCCCCACTCGGCGTAATAGGCGAAGAGAAGAGATTGAATGTCATCCGGCGATATGTCCTTCCTATATGTCCTTCCTGGCTTCTTGCAGCATTCACATGTGATTATCATCATAGACTTCCAGATCGGTAGCATTGAAGAGTCTGTCAGGAGGAAGTGACAATCAGATGTTGCAGAGCATTTGTGGCCCAAATCTAATGCCCAGGAGCCACATACCCAATAATGACGAGAATATCACCCTGTAATCTTGTTGAACACTTAGATCTACATCATATGTGTGTTACGTATTATCCCGTGGCGGTTCTCATATCGGGCTCTGAGCCCAGTATACATGGACCTCCCGGAGAATTTAACAAGTATAGAGACCGTGTATAAGTTCTCTAATGCCTCAGCTCTAAGTGGGTTTTCATGAAAAATCGCAATAGCGAAGAACTCAAAAATTCGAACTCAAAAATCCCAATGTTTTTGCTATCGAAAGGCCTTCAGATGGAGAATTTCTTGGACATTTTTCACTTTTGTGTTCGTTGGCTACCTATTCTTATCATCTTTTTACTTATTACGAAGTACCTTTTGGGAGTAAAGAGAGCTATTAAGTCACCTCTTTCGCGCATCCCAGGCCCTTGGTATGCCCCTTTAACGACATTACATCTCAGCTACGCTTTCGCGAAGGGTACAATCTGGAAAGATGTCGAGAAAGCCCATCGGAAATATGGCCCCATCTTTCGACTCGGACCACGTCAAGTGTGGATCTCCGATATGGAAGCCATGAAAGCTATTTTGATGACGGTTGATCTTCCAAAGGTGACAATGTATGCTGAGATTTCCAGAGACCGGACAGCTCCAGGACTATTTGGAGAGATGTGAGTGGCTCACCAATTAATCTGACAAGGAGGTTATGAAAAAACTAACAATCTTTTTTCAAATGGTAGTCGGCCAGATCCTCATAAACGCCTGAAGAAATTTCTATCTCCTGCTTTCACAGTCTCATATGTCGATAATCTCGAGTTTTTATTCTCCACGTGCATCGGTGATCTCATTAGAAAATACGATGATTTGCTCTCTTCACCATCATCTAATAGCACACCAGTGGTTACGGATATCATGCAAGATCTTCATAATATTGCACTTGATATGTCAGTCTTCTCATTGCATCCTGAGTCCAATAAGGAATTTTTTGCTTACTGTTCGGTATCATCTTCAGTATGGGCGAATGCTCTTTCGGGAAAGGCTTCGGTCAGACAAATCCATCACAGAATTTCGAGCTGGATCTTGAAATGGATGAGAAAGTTTGGAAGAGAATCCCAACAGCAATTTTCAAAGGAATGACTCAGAGATATCAGGTAAATGCACTCTTCTCGTACCTCATTATCCAAATAGGAAACTTAGCAACTGACTATAGTCTAGCTTGTTTATATTAAACGTTCATTACGGCGTTTAGGCTTCAAGTTCGAATTCGACTGGCCCCGAGAAATGATTTCGGTAAGCATCACATCACATTCTCTATGAATATGTCTAATGAAATTGAATAGGCCATCGGAGCTGTGAGAGGGCAAAGAATCACCATCCCGGACAAAGTCCGCCCAGACCTTCTCCAACACCTTATCGACGAGGGAATGAATCCCGACAGTGGCGTCAAAATGGGGACAAGAGAAGTGATCGACCAAATGGCCGAAATTCTCCTAGCTGGCTCGGAGACTACCTCTGGAACAGTTGCTTGCTTTTTCTTAGAAGTCCTCAGGAATCCAGACGTGAAAGAGAAACTGGTGAAGAGCCTCCCAGTGCTAGGTCCAAATGCTCCGATGATTTCAAGTCAAAAGGTCCGTGCTGGTGTTGAATTCGAGTATCTGGAAGCCTGCATCAAAGAGGTTCTCAGACTACACCCGATAGCTTCCGAAATGGGTCGCAGGACTGGCGCCAACTCTATTGAGCTGATGGGTTATCATCTTCCTCCCTATACTGTTGTGTCCGCTTCGTATAGGGAGCTTCATCGCGACCCGAAGCACTGGCTTGAACCCATGCGATTTTGGCCAGAAAGGTGGCTGCAGAATCGGCCAGAAGGAGTCCCGGCTCCAAAGTAAGCTCAATTCCTTTATACTGGATAAGATATGTACTGATTTTATACAGCATGCAAGCCTACTACCCATTCTCCGCGGGCAAACATGCTTGCATCGGAAAAAAGTAAGTACACCTTTTGCTGGGCGCTCATTTTCCCAATGAACTAAATCTAACTCGAGCTAGCTTTGCATTGGCCGACATAAGAATGGTGACAGCGAACTTGTTCTCACGTTTCGATTTTGTGGAAGTTTCAGGGCAACGTATTGACTTTAGGCAATATATCACGATGCAGTTTGAGCATGGATCTTGGAAGGCTTTCCTTAAGCCTCGATATGAATGCTAAACTGTTGATAGCTTGTTCATGTTGCCATTCAATTTGATTTGTCTGAAATCCAGCACCTCTTGTTCTTAGCCCCACAGCACAGCTCCGTCTTGCAGAGCACTGTGCGTCGTGTCAATTATGTATTCACACCGAATCAAACACACCACAGCACACTTGTAACCATCTCTTTCTAGCAAGGCTGCATTGAATTTTCGGTGGCGGCTGATCGGCCTATCCATCTAAGCGCTGAGTGCTTCGGCATTATCGCCCCGATTTGGGTTCTGAGACGGGACTCGGGTAAGCGGATCTGCCTCTGTCACCTTGCGGTGCGGATGAGAGGATGCCTCTGGGGAATCATGTACGTCAGTGTCTCACTCGGAGCTTGTAAAATGCCACATGGTACAATACCGACAGATTACTCACAGCATAATTCAGTCCATATCTGTTCCTTGGCGGCTATATACTATGCTGCTGCTCAGGGGAAAACGTTGAATGGAGAGAGAAGCAACTTGACTGTATTTGCTGAAGACAATCTCTCTCGTGGAGATAGAGAGAAGAAGATGAGGAAGAGAAAAGGGAGAAAGTAAGTACTAGATATCAGCACCATGAAAAAGAAAGGGCTTTAATCTAAACACACGTCACTCTCATAGTCACACAATATGACGCGCTAAGCCCAATCGGGACGTATTTCTTTTTCTGCTAGCCCTTTGTCAGAATAAGAAGTGATGTGGTTTTTAATATACATATCCTTAAATCACTAGGCTATATTATTAGTAAAGAAAAAATACATATAAATAATAAATTTTAGTTTTTAAATTAAAATGGGCTCGGGGGTAGACTTTAAAAACAAACTTGAGACGGGATTTGAACAAGGGGTTTAAGAAAAGACTTAAGAGGGTCATGTTTGTATTGAAGGTAAATTCACTGACATGAGATTTGCTACTCAGGATCACATGTTTCTCCGCGGCCCTCGCCATAGGGAGGTCCTAAGGGTGTTCCCCAATCATAGGATTCCCCAATCTCCGCATATTCCCAGCACGGATACTCTTTGAGATAACAAGGATCAAGGCTCGCAAATTCCGCTGCGTCCATCACTTTCTCACGAAAGTAGCGGATTGTCCGACCACACTCGTCAAACCACACCACGATGACTTTCCCTGCGTTGCGGCCTTTGGAAGACAGAGTTTTTCTATCAACGATATAAATACGCCCTTGTGCTAACTGGAACATATACTCTGAGTAAAAAGATATCCAAGGGTCTTCATCCTCTGAGTCAAGGGCTCTGGCATCCTCAGCAAGGTCGGCACCACCACTTTCCGCATCAATTGCATAATCCAGGGCCTCCTGAAGGTATTCTTCGTGATCTTCAATCGACTCATGACTCTCAAGTAGCTGTGGAGCGCGAAGAAAGATTTTCTCCCAATCGGAGCCGAAGTCATATAAAGATGGGTCGTTGAAAACTTTTGATTCGCCCATGACGGTGTTTTCAATAGTATTTTGAATCTGAGCCCAAGATTCCTCTAAAGAAGGGTCATAGCAGGTGCGAACCCAGTTCAGATCCTGCATTTGACGCTCAGCAGGTAGGCGGACACGATCCAATAGCTCTTGGCAATTTTTTGGAAGATTTCCTGAAGACTCCCTCCTTAGTTTTTCCAGCTGCTTTCGATACGGCTACTCCGATACGTTAGTCTTGTTGTTGGAATGTTGGATGGCTAGAATAAATCACCTCGCGGTCACGCCTTTCAAGCGCCACAAATTTAGCGAAGATTTCCTCGCGTTGGGCATCAATAGATAGAGGGGAGTCTTCTTCCCAATGCTCCTAGAAAGGTGTTAAAGGGTGTGAATAAGCAGTGAGTGGATGGACTTTTCACCAAAAGGAATAAATCTGCCTGCCAGACTCGATGTTGGGGCATATTGCAGAGCGTTTCCAAGGAGGTTGGCGAAAGAGTGTGTGAAATGTGATTATTCTAGATTGTCTCGTCACTTGAGAAGTTAGCATGGGTCAATTTTCTTCGCAGGGGCTTAATCGGAAGTTGGGGGCCAAAGTACATATACCAAGTGTTTAATGTCTTAAAATTTCCAGCCCGAATTGTACAAGTGAAGTGGAGTTCCCAATTTTTTTTGGGAAACTGGATCTGAGAGAAAGGAAAAGAAAGAAGGGTTGAGGGGGGGAAAAAGAAGGATCCAATCATCTATCTGATGGGAGCTACTGAGCGCGTAAACAAGGGTCCGCCCCACTATAATACAATAGTACGGTCCGCTAAAGTAGCCCCGTAAACCCTGAACTAAATTCCTAGCGGGATACGGTACAAAATTATTCCGTTGCTTGCATTGTTGAGTTTTTATTACTAACTGGCTGTTCAACAATGTCCTACGTTGCTTGGATGTATTGTGGATTTGAACATTATCCATTCGAGCCCGATTTTATCTCTGCACATCATCAAGGAAAAAAGCGCCAACACCGTGTCAATTCGGATCTTGGAATCGAGTCTCGAATGTCGACAAGCTGTATTTCAGACTTTCAGTTCGATCCAACCCGCCATTATTACAACTCGTGGCAATTGCTTTGGTGGAGGTATCACGTGGGAATCGTGACAAGCCCTACTCAGTTTCATCGGCCGCTCATAAACGAGGAATTAGGAACGACAGGATTGCCGCAATTTGCGTACCAGGCTGCAAAGACTTATTTTATCATGTCACATGTCTTCGCAACAGCATAGAATGTGCCAGCGGGACCAGAACATGCGATCTTTGACCAACTGTAAACTCCTTTCCAAGTTTGGGATTTCGCAATATTGACAATCGATCATGTATCATTCCCACCGGATCTTTGCTTTGAATAACCAATGTTTTCGGTTGACAAGGGCCTGGCGATCATGTCAGCGGGGTGATCCTTCCAGTCAGTCAAGATAAAATCAACCTTCTTCTTTTCATATAAATCATGCACCAAATTGCATCTTGATTGGAGCCGTTTCTTACTCCTCTTGTATGCGTTATTAAATAATAATATAGCGGATATATCGTTGTTCATGAAGATCTAGATGGGTGTGTCGTCTTCTGTTCAGTTTGTTTCACAAATCGAGGTACAAGGCCTATCATATGACGCTATTAAACGCAATGTACTCGACACTTGCGGTGGAAGGCGCCATCATATCTTGCACTTTTGACGGACATGATATGCGTGTTGGCTCTGTCAAAGAAGAACAAATAATCCTCAACAGAGTTTCTCAAGTAGGTACGCTCGTTCGCATGAGATGCGTCAATATGAACAACGTCAATCTAGTCAACATAAGCAACTGGCCCTGTAATGTTGGAACCCAGATGCCCTCAAACCTCAGCCCTAGTTTCATGTTCCTCTTGAGATATCCCAGAGCTTGCGTTGCAAGATTGTGTGATTTCCAGGTGCAGTTATTGTATAAGTTGGCGATCGGCGCAGTGCGCCAACAACATAACACAGGCCCAGTCTTGTCCTGGACGCTAATCAACCAATCCTCCCGAGCATCCTTGACAGACTCTTAGAGTTTATGTCAAGTGGTACTTCCTTGTTGTGGTTCTTTGGCCGTATTTGCTTGCATTTTGTCTTTCGAGTGAGTTCAGTTCCGGGATTCATTCATTGTTGGTATCTCGTGTGATGTAGTCGTTGTCAGCTTGCTCAATGATACAAAGTCTTGTGCGTATTGGACCTTTTGGAGCGTGAGTCTGGTATTGCTTAGAATCTCTGATACACGGATGAAGGAGCCAACATTCATAGCAGCATGAGTCTTCGAAGGTTGCAATTTGCCAAGCTTTCCCACTTCTTTTGTGCACGGCCAGCAAGAAACAAATGGATTTGTACCAAGCACCAGAAAATAGGTGAGTAACACAAGCAGGTAAGAAAATAAGATAGAGAGAGAACCACAAAGAAAAGAACAGTGTTAAATAGTCATTGGTGGGGCACCTGTCCTGCATGGGTGCCTGAGCATTATGCAGTAGAGCCTGAGGCTCTGGGCTTTATTCGAGTAGTTGTCAATCGCGACATCTTTGATCTCCAGTCTCAGTGATATCTCTTGTAAAATAACGTCGAGGTGTCGTTCTGATCTTTGCGGAATCCTAATATGTTGTCGAGTATGCGAATATGAATGGATTTGATCCAGGTGGAAGGGGAAAGAACCTTGCAAGAGAGAGAGGGAGAAGCCCGAATACGAAGAGGAAGCACATGAGTTGCTACATACATCCATGAAGCTACGGTTCTCATTTTCCCACACCAGGCTCAATCCATCTGTACATACATCGATTCTCTAGTACTCAACGCCAGCAATAATTTTCAGAGTTACACCTTTCCAAGTCCCTTCCAAGGTTGACCCAAGGCAGGAAACAAGGAACATGATGAAAAGAGCCTTAAAACTTTACAAATATCTCTCTTCTGCAGAGAATCAAAGCAAAGATTGCTGACTCAGTGCATGCCTGCAATCAATTTCGATCAATGGTCACACGATAAACCTTCGAGCCACGACCCACATCCTCGCAGCTGATTGCTCGACGGCACAACCTTGATTATCCGAGACCCACCAAGCACCTTCCAACCGACCAATAGCGGCGCTTACTGCATAAACTAGCGTAAAATTATCCAAGTGGAGATCTGCGCGTTCTGGACAGCTTAGGATCCAGAGGGCCGCGTAATAATGGCTTGGTTTTCATTAGTGGGTTTTCGCGTGTCACCACTCAAAAAGTCACCATTCCTCAGGAGCTCTCTTTCTCCGGGGAACATGCAGCATGACCATGTTCTGCAACCCCGATAGCTGTTGATGGGACCCCACCACGCTTGGGATATATATGCCATGGTTGTGTCTGTTTCAGACTGCGTGATTAATTACGTGCAGAGAGCTTGCCGGCAATTCCAGACTACTCATATCAGGCGGGTTCTGGCGGGTGTCGGTCTTTGCGCGCTGTTTGCTATAGTTTTGCTTTTCCCTGGCGCTAAGGAGCATATTATACCCGTTAGCACTGTGCAGGAGTCTGGGGAGCTTGTTAGACCAGCGTAGGTGAACTGTCAATGTTTTGATTTTTCTGGGGAATCGAGGGGGACTTGCTTAGCTCCACTGGAAAATTTTGTGTCAGACCCACTAATATCTCATTTTATCTAGTTCGACTCCGGAGCTGAGCTTTTATGTGGTAAACAACAGCACCGTGGATGGAGGGGATCCAGTGGTGAATATTATAGAGACCTCACAAGACTCAGAAGAGATTCCCTATAATCCTTATCCGGATTACAACAGTGTTGTTTGGAGAGCGGAATGGAAGGGAGAATACCAGCAATGTACTGGCCCGGCTGGAATCCTTCTTGACACAAGCAACAGGGATCTGATGATGAAAGCTTATAAGTGGAATACTTCAAGTACGATGACAGAATGCATCTGTTTTAGCTGCCTTTTGGTGATCCAAACTGACTGGCTTAGGTTTTCCAAGTCCCGTTTTCGGCTCATACGAGTCATGGAATCTCGACAACAGTCTATGTACCGATCGTTATTCTCAGTATAGTGCATATGGCTACGGCAATGAAAGCGGTGGCATATGGGCAAATGTGAACTTGGGAGAGCTACAACATGACTGTTTACAACGCAACGCAGAACGATATGAACAGCGTGACGCCACTAAGAAAGGACTGACGCTCGACAAGATATACGATAATAACGTGACGAAAAACGCTTCCACGTCCAACGCAGAAGAACAAAGTACGGGGCCAGATTATCATACTCGGACAGCGATTATCTTACGTTCGTGGATCAACAAGGTCTACACAGAAAATGATCTGCACTTCATTCGATCCATGGTGATGGAACTCTCGTTATTCTCCGGCGCGGAATACGAGGTTATCCTCCTCGTCGATTCAACTGGGACTGATTTGCCCGACCCAACGGATAAGGCAGGCCTGGATGAGTTCAAAAACAAACACCTACCACAAGATCTTCATGAAATTGCGGTTTTCTTCGACGAGGACATGTTGGCGGAGTGGTACCCGAAGATAGACGTTCATGTGTACGCGTCTCTGCCTGCGTGCCATTCATTCTACGTGTGACTGGAGTTACTAACCTCAGCAATAAACACAGTGCAATCCTCCAATATTTCCAACCAATCCAGATCTTCTCCCGCCTCAATCCCCAATACGACTACATCTGGCAGTTCGAACTCGACTCAAGGTACACAGGACACTTATACCATTTCCTCGAACAAGCAGCCACATTCGCCAAGCAACAACCGCGCAAGAACCTCTGGGAGCGAAACTCCCACTTCTACATCCCGGCGGTGCACGGCCCCTGGTCAGAATTCACAAAAACAATCAACCGCAGAATGGCCGACACCCAAGAAATCTGGGGCCCGCACCCCGCCATCGGCATCCACGTCGAAAAAGACGCCCCGAAAGTCCCCGCCTCAGACGACCCAGCCAGCCAGTCAAACTGGGGCGTCGGAGAAGAAGCCGACGTAATAACCTGGATGCCGCAATTCGATCCCCGCAAAACAGGCTGGCCGTTCCGCGACCGTATCTTCAATTTCTGGCAGATGGGTGAGACGCCCGTGCGGGCGTCGCCCGTTGCCATGTCGAGGGTTTCGGCTCGCCTGCTGGCACTCATGCATGCTGATAAGACGCGGCGCGGGTTTGGTCTTGCGTCGGAGATGTCGCCGGTTTCGTGGGCCTTGTATTACGGGTTGAAGTCGGTGCAGGTTCCGCTGCCGATTTATCATGAGCTTAGCTGGGATCCGGTGGAGTTGGATCGAAGGGCTAATTCGGGGAAACCGGGACGTGTTAATGCCGGGCCGGATAGTGTTTGGAGTTGGGGGATGCATGATGATATCTTGTTGAAGCTGTCTTATATGTTTTCGTCGAAATTCCCGGAGAAGCTTTATCGGGCTTGGTTGGGACTTGATGGAGCTGGTGATGTGAGTTTTTATTGTTTTACTAAATTTGGATTTCGGATTCTGACTTGTTATAGTGGGAGAAGTCTCATCGGCGCCTTTGCTTGCCTCCTATGCTTTTACATCCTGTCAAGAAGACGGCGTAGTTGGTCAATGCACATCATCCCAGCACTACAAGCTACTGTCACGGTTGTGGTCGATAATTTCACAGGGGAGCACCCTCCACGTCACATTGGCCTTGGATCTGGATTTTTGGGAGATCCGTCAAGCTCCATACAGCGCCATTATCTCTGAGCTGGAGAACGCCCTACCACGTTTCTCGGACTTCCGAAACTGTACCATAATTCAGAAAAACTTAATTGATCATTTTCCCAAACAGAAACCTGCGATGGACGCGTATGTACTTATATTCAAATTTGAAAAATAGCGGCATCCAGGGGTACACAACACAATAATGGAATCACCGGTCTCACGTCCAGAAAAGTATTGAAAAGACCTCTCAATGCATCCGGAGTAGATGATCTTTCAAGTTGTCTTTGCGCTTGCAAACCTTCTGACAATGCTCAACGGGACACGCCAGTGGCTTCAAACTATGCTGAGTCCTGATATGCCGTTGAAGTGAACCCTTGGAAGAAAATGTACCAGCATACTCGCACCCTTCGTGTAGACATCTCTGGGGAATTTTCTGACTATAGACCTTTTAGAAATGGTACCATTGTATGAAGGAAGCATGGCAGAATTGCGTACATGGCTGCAGAATTTCTCATAGCAGGACTGGCTCGAGTAGGGGCAGTTGGATGAATGGCTGGTGTAGTTGCTCGCATCGAGTTTCGAGTATTCAGTGGAGCTGTAGAAGTGTTGACAGGATCTTGAATTTGAAGAAACTGTGGTTCGGATCCGAAAGATATAGTCTCTTCCAAGTGTGTGCAAGTGCCGGACGTGAACAGATTGTCAAGCTCCAGTTGGAAATTTCTCAAGTCATTTTCCGAGGCTGGATATCCGGTCAAGCTCCGGTAGTCAAGGTTAATGTGGTCCGATGTCCTGGTATTGATGGAATCCATGTATCCTTGATAGCAGGTGGGAATTTCGGTGTCTTTTTTTGGTTCAAGCACCCTGTTGTTCTCTCCATAAGGATAAAATTCATTGCACTGCATGATTGAAGAGTTTGGTTGAAGTATGCGTTGTAAACATTTGAAGTGATGGAATCAAGGTATAGTCAGAGAAGAGAAAGGGGGAGGCGCCATATTTATATGTTTGAGAACAAAAGCACGACAGCTCCATGAGTTAATCTGGCTCTGGACCAGTGTGAAGGAACTTCAAGTCCCAGCACTTGATTGGCCGCCACGTAGATCGTCACACGAACAAAAGCTGCAGGAGGGGCCCAATCACATTAGATCTCATACATTGACGAACGCTTACAGGTCCTTTATGAATATCAACCCAGCGGGCGGCTAAACTGATTTAGGCTAGGCGTCCGTGCGGCTACGTCAAACGTGTTGCCTGTAGATATGCACTGGTTGCCATGGTGGGTCAAACTGGTGGCATCGGCCCAACTACCGTAACCACTGGCAGAGATCAGGCCGGAATGTTCCGTGTACAAATTGCTTCACTTTTACGGCCCTCGAGAAACGGTCTTTGAACGGCAGTGAACAGGGACCCATACCCAGCGACCCAGGGTCCCTTTGAAGCACACATCTACGATGGCCCCGCTCCTACCCGAAAATCTGTTACCTCAAAATATTACCATAATTTATCACCAAATTTACAAGGCAAAACAGTATATTTGCGTGAAGTACCATTTCTTCCCGTCTTTGAAAATATCTCCAAGGCCATTACCATAATTTATAAGCATGTTCAAATCAATCGAAGATATTCCTAACATACAAGATCTTCCATAATTCAGGTATGAAGTAAAAGAATTAGATTTGTAGCGAATATAGACACCCAGACACACCGATGAAAAATAATGGCGTACGACCACTGGGGAGTAACTACGGAGGGTCACTAGCGATCGGTTGTCAGTCTGTGACGACGTCGAAGTCACTGAATCAATTCACAGGGAGATAAAGGTGTACCGTGTAGGTAATATTCAGGGCGGTGAAGATAAGTAACGTAGGATTTGGTATGGACCGTATGGCCGTATGAACTTGAAATTATGGTTGGAATTTGGGCTGGTGCCCAGGACACCTCGAGTCCACCTGCGATAACTTTCAACGTTGCTTACATTTTCAGATCTGACCCAAAATCTGCCTGGGTTAAAACTGAACGATGGGCCAATGGAGGCTTATACCCCACGCTATGTCTCTTTTTACGAAGGATATTGTGCCTCGCACGGGCCGCACCTAGAACCTTGAGGAATTCCGAATCTGGACCTAAAACCCCAAGCGGGATAAAAATAGATTATACAACTACCGGGGAGACAGTAGCGGCTCAATTTCTCTGATGTGGCACTTTGGAGAGTAAGCGGCTCCCCCAGGTCTGCCGAGGTCCTCCGCGACCCTGATGTAAGCATGAAGCCTTGGACTCTGGAGGTTATAATCGGTAAGCCAGTGCCTATACACGGATCCATGCCTTCCAAAGATACATTCCCATAAGACCGGAAGTGACGTTCTCTATATGCATTCTTATTGAAACCACCATGTGCATCTAGTTTACTGTGACTGAGAATCACATACTCTGTCGCAAACATCTAATACCACAAGAACCCAAGGACAATAAAACTGCACCTTTGGACACGATGCCGCGGGATGAAATTCACCAATACTCAGCAAATTATCCAGCTCAACAAATTCCCTGCATCCCGGCGCTATCAAAATACCATGCTCCTTTTCAATGGCCTCCTTGGCCGTGGTGTATAGTTTTTGCGCATTCCAGGCTGTCTCAACAGTAGTGCACTTTTTCCGAAGAAGAGCCAATGCTGCGAGTCGAATGCCCAGGTTGCGAGTCTCCATAAGCATGAAATAGAGGACGGGAGAAAGCTGAGCACAGGAAAGAAATTCACTGAAGGTCGAAGTATTGACGCCGGTAGATTTCAAATCACGACATGGTATGCTTTTCGGGATTTTCTGGTTGCCGTCGGCCTGGTAGCCGTATAGACCGGCATCTGTCCAGATCTTGCAAGCCTGCCACCGCGTCTGTAGGAGTCGATAATCCCCCAATTCTTGGAAGGATCCAGGGAGAACAAGTAAGTACGCGTTGAATGCGCGCGACCAAGTATTCAAGTCCGTATCCAACAACGATTTTAATGAAAGTGCATCCTGCCAAGCAGTTCCACTTGAATCGTTCGATATACATCGATCAAGCGCAGATGAAACTTTCAGCGACCGGTAAACAAGCCAGTCAAGTGCCTCCTGGGCTTGGATCAGACTAGTGAATGGGCCCGGTGAGCAAAACTCCTCCTGATTCAACTGCGGCAGACCCCATACGTCGATAAAATAGAGCATGAACACGTTGACTCGGCGGTAAAGTCCCAGGAGCGTCCTCGACGCGTTATAAGAAGCCAGAATCTTCCGACCGTATTGATAGTGAACCATTGCCGCCTCTGGGTTATTTCGCATGAACTCGATGCACAAAAAGAGCATGCAAGATATAACAACGATATCGGGATTAGAATCGCTCGATGTAGAAACCTGTCTTAAAGCGGTATTGTACCGAGAAATCGCGAGTTTTCTTCTCGAGTCTTCGATTTCAACGCTCAGCCCAGAATGCTGAAGACACGCTATCGCCACAATCGAATGCCTCACTACGGGCTGCGTGTGGCTCATCTGGGTAATCATCCCGACCCAGAAAAACCGCGGTAACGGTCCGGCCACAACGCCGGCCAACATTGTTCGATAAAAGTGCAAATTCCGCAGGTCGGCAAGCTTGGCGCCGGGGAATGTCGAGGGCTGGACTTGTCGAGCGACGCCGACGCGAGCTGCTTTGGGAATCCATTCCTTGTAGCCTTCGCATTTCCAGCCGGCGGATTGGCATCTTTTGCAATGTGGATGGGTCTCGTCGCATTTGAGCCGGCGGGTCCTGGCAGATGATTAATTTGAATTTTGGGGGACGGGCCGCTGTGTTTGTGGGGTGGTCTTACTTGCAGGTTACACATCCCGTGTGGGTTCTCCGGACCCCTTTGGGAGGCATGATAAGGTCAACATTCAAATATGCTCGTGGGACAATGGGGTTATAATATGATTTTTTGTAGTTCCACGTGTGTTGGCAATACAAAGAGCCCCTCCCCCTGTCCTTGCAGATCCCCAGGGATGTGACTCGTCATTCATGACTGCGCCACCATGCGGCCAAGCCACATGAGGCTGAAAGGCTTGAATGTCCCAGCACGTCTCACTCTGCATAAAAATGTGGTTTTTACCATTTTACCCTGAGTCTCTTATAGAAGATATCGGCTTTATCTCATTTGCGGTCCTTAACCCCTTGCAGTTTGCCGGAGTTAAACATTTGGATGTGGATTTTCTAATGTACGGAAATGATGACTCAGTCTAACCACATTGGGAAAGGTTGATGACAGGGATCTAACCATAATTGGACATTCTACTTCGTGAATTGCATCATGATGCTATAATGGTTCCATAAATCACTTAGGTGTTTTGCCAAACTAAAGAGATCCATTTTTTGATGCAGTACGAAGAGATTTCTCCATCCATGGATACGTTCAAGAACTTTGTATTTTGCCCTCTATTTAAACACTAACAATCCCCAGCAATTCTTGTTCCAGACATTCAACCATCCACCATAATTCGCTCTCTCACGACCTTTCATCGTTCAAAATGGAGTATTTTCGAACAATTTGCCCTCCTTCACCTACCTTCACAGAGAAGAATGTTCCTGATCAATCGGATAAGGTAGATACACATATTTACCTCCTTCCCCTGCACACTGATCACCGCATCATGGTATCTAATACGTGCGCGCGATAGGTTTTCATCGTAACAGGCGCAAATTCCGGCGTCGGTGCCGAACTAGCCAAAATTCTCTACAGCCGCAATGCCACCGTATACGTCGCCGCCAGATCCGAAGAAAAGGCCATGACTGCCATCAAAGAAATGGAGATTGCACACCCCGAATCAACCGGAAAACTCGTGTTCCTCCGCCTGGACCTCTCCGACCTGACAACAATCCAGAGCTCTGCAGAAGAATTCCTCGCAGTGGAGTCTCGTCTTGACGTGCTGTGGCTAAATGCGGGAGTAAGCATGACGTCCACAGCTTGCGGTTACCAGCGCTTCTCTAACTATTCATGAACAGGTCATGATGCCACCACAGGGCAGCAAAACAGAGCAGGGATACGAGCTTCAGCTCGGTACCAATAACCTCGGTCATTTCCTGTTCGTCAAGTATTTGCATGATATCTTGAAGAAAACGGCGCTATCAGCGCCGAAGGGCAGTGTGCGTCTTATTTGGGTTTCGTCGTCTGCGATTTTGATGGCGCCGAAGCCGCCAATTGATTTCGGTAATATGGATTATCATGAGGAGGAATCTGCTATGAAGAAGTATAGTCGTAGCAAAGCTGGGAATGTGATTCACTGCGCCGAATATGCGAACAGGACTGCTGGGGATGGGGTACTTAGTTTGGTGAGTGGTTTCCCAAGTCTTAATGACGGCATTCCGCTTGGATGGAAGACATATTATCCATTTCCCCCGTGATATTTACTGACCCATGTGATTCCAATAGTGTCTGAATCCGGGAAATTTGAAGAGTGGTCTCCAGAGACACATGTCCACGTTCCAGAGTGTGGTGACAGTACGTACTACTTTCTTCCAAGTCTGGATTCCAATAAAGCTGACCGTGACTCACAGAATATGATTCTCTATCCCGCTATCTACGGCGCTTATACAGAGCTCTATGCGGGATTGAGCGCTGAGATTACGGAAGAGAACAATGCTTCGTTCGGTAAGAATGACCCGCTGTGAATAACTTGATTGCGGGGGTGCTGATTTAATTTTAGTTGCTCCTTGGGGAAGAGTTATCCCTATTCGACAGGATCTTTATGATCCAGAACTTACAAAGAAGTATTGGGATTGGTCTGAGGAACAGGTCCAAGGCTACTAATACTTTCCTGGACTCTGAATTGTGTAACTCTTAATTCTCAAACCATCTGTTTCTATTGTGAAAGGCATTTGTGACTTGTTATTGTGGAGATGCGGAGTTAGTAGTATACCGTATACGTATGGTTTTGCTATTGTTCAGTCACCAGTGTATTGAATGCCAAGCGGCAGAAAGTATTGTTACTTGGAAATGACAGCACTCTGCACAACTGGATGGGGCGGTGAGAGAAGCCCTAACGGCAATTTAGAGTTTATCAAGAAACGGTATAACCGTATAGAGTAAGATTCCAAGAACATGAGGCTCCGGGCCCTATAGACCCTTATTCACGAGCGACAGGACCCGCTTTTTATCCAGAAAAATATAAACTACTATAAATATTTTACTATGAATACCATCATCTCTAACTTTTCAATCTTACCTCTGTCGCCAATCTTCCCCTCTTCAACTCCCCATCTCATCCTCCTTCTCCTACAAGCAAAGCCGTTCTTGCAACATTATCCGGACCAAAAAATATGCCTCACCACGGCAGCTCAAGCCGGCGGCTTTACTCAAGACTTCTCCCTCCCCAGTGGGGCGCGCTTCCAGTGGAGCAATTCATCATTGTAACCATCGACTATTCCTTTCCATGTTTCCAAACAAAAAGCTAACACGAATCTCTTTCCAGCGAAACTGGGACAGAAATTCAACCATGCCCAATGAAGCCCAGGCCATGGACCTGGCAACCCAGTTTCTGAAAATCCAAAGACTGCCCTACTCGTGGTGGTCCTTGCCTCTTGAAACCGAGCCCACCCGAGAAGAAGTCACCACCATGCTGCGTCCATACAGATCCGACAACCTCCGCAAGCTAGCCAACCTCATTTGGAGCAACAGACACGGTTTCCCGATTCTTCTTCGCACCTGGTACAACGGCGAAAACAACGGCGGTGACGATGTTTGCATGCGCAACTGGATGAACGCGGGCTTGCATATCGATGCCTTCTCGCCGTGGGCTGTCATCAACGATTCGGCGTGCTTTGGCCTTATTCAAAGCCACCCCGACCACCCTGAGGATTGGCGCAGAGTCCTCGCTCTCCTTCCCGAGGTTGCTGGCCCCGATCAATGCCTCGTCATGAAAGGTGATTTCATGCGCTTCAACTACATTCAGCCTTGGCACATGGATCGCATTCGCAAGTTCAAGGAACAGCTGGCCTTCGAGAAGAGCTGTAGACCTCATGAATGGGATTTGGACAGGGTCAATTTCATTGAGACTTGTGCTGCCGGTGTTCAGCGTGCCATGGCTGCTATGCCCATCATTCTGTGCGACAAAGAGGCTTTCCGCACTGGGAACCCCTTACTGATGTACATTGACTATTACCAGCAGGTCATTCGGCAGACTCGCATTACGTTAACTGAGGATTTGCTCAATGAGGTTATCATCGACTGGGCTATGGAACTTGTTACCCCGTGGATCTGGGAGAATAGTCAGCTTGGGGAGCATTACAAGCTCAATGGGCGGATGGGTCAGATTCTGTACCAGTTGGACGAGAAGGATCTGGGTCCTCCTGAGAGACAGGGCGCCGCTCAGTAGTATCGATGAGGTTTGTGCAGATTACACGTGCACGCGGGTGTTTCTCATTTGTTATGGTTTTATGGTTTTATGGTTTTATGGTTTTATGGTTTTATGGTTTTATGGTTTTATGGTTTTATGGTTTTATGGTTTTATGGTTTTATGGTTTTATGGTTTTATGGTTTTATGGTTTTATGGCTTTATGGTTTTATGTTCTTATGTGATATGATCTTACGATGAGAATCTCAATGAGACTGAATACCAGATTAGCCTAGATCTAGTGGAATCTGATGGAAATTTAACAATTGAAAACGTATTTCCCATAACTTCATCATCTGCCAACATTCAATACTCAAGCAGACATCATATCAGCTGCCTTCTCAGCAACCGCATACAAAACCGCCTGATAATGACCCGCAAGAGATAACGGCAACACACTCGCATCAACCACCCGCAAGCCCTCGACTCCATACACCCGCAACTGAGTATCAACCACCTTCCCCATCGCCGCCGATCCAGCCGGATGATAAAACGTCGCACCCCCAAGTTTAATCGCCTCGTCAAGCTCCGAATCAGTCGAAGAAGCGCTCAAAGCCCCAAGCCCCGGCCGAGGGACTTCCTCCACCACAATCTCCCGCCCCTCCGGCGTACCCGTCAACAACTCAGTAACCTGCCGAACACCCGCCCGCAACGCCGCACGATCAACCTCCGTCGCATAGTAGTTCGGGTCAATCAACGGCGCCACACTAGGATCCGCCGATGCAAGCGTAATGCTTCCGCGCGAGGTGGGGACGATTCCCAAGACAGCAGACGCAATATGCGTCCCGTCCATGGGGACATCAACACCTGCAACAGCTGCGCCCGCAGGCGCGTACACAACCAGAGTCTCGACGTGCGCGAACCTCGGACCGAGGTACGGGTGGCTGGGGACGTTCTCTGTGCCGTCTGCGCGCAAGGCGCGGTCCAGGTCCTTCAGCGGTGTCTGCACTGTGGCTACCCAGTTGCCGGGGAGCCCGAGCCCGTACGCGGGGCTATTCCAGAGGGGCGTGCCGATCGATAGGCCCTTTTCGGGGCTGCGCAGTTTCCACCACTGGTTGAAGGAGAAGTGGTCGTGGAAGTTGCGGCCTACTTCTGGCGCCGATACCTGCACGGGGATGTTGTGTTTGGAGAGTTGGTCGTCGGGCCCGATTCCTGATAGCAACAGGAGTTGCGGTGTGCGGTAGGCTCCTGCGGATATCACCACTTCGCGCGATGCGTGGAAGATGGTTCCGTCCAGGATCTCGATTCCGGTCGCTACCTTTTCACTGCCGCTGCCCTCGGAAAGCAGGATGCGCTTCACGTGTGTCTCTGTCTTGATGGTGATGTTGGGCTTGCTGGTGAGTCCGTATGCTTCGCTAGCGAGTTGGCGCTGACCGTCTTTCCAGTTCTCGGTTAGTTCCCCTAGTCCTAGGGGTGAGCCGTCGTTCGCGTCGGCGGTCGTCTCCACGCCCAGTCTCGCCCATGCATCTCGCAGCGTGTCTTTCAGTGGGTATTGTCGATCGGGACTGCTCGACGCTACCGTCGCGTTGTGAATAGGACCAGATCGACCATGGACGGACGCATCGGCATTTACATCCCAGTGCGTCTCTGTGCGTTTGAAGTACGGCAAAAGCGACTTGTAGCTCCAAGCTTCGTCGTTCACCAGCTCAGCCCAGAGATCATAGTCAGCCGCATTTCCGCGAGTCCACGTCCCGTAATTGGTCGCTGTTCCGCCGCCAAGCGCCTTACCGGCTGCGGCGTAGCATTGTCGGCCGTTTAGATGGGTCTGCGGCACGGTCGTGTATGCCCAATCTAGGGGCGACAAATGGGCCCCGAAGCAGGCGAGCGGGGAGCTTGTCAGCGGGTGTCCCACGACGTTGGAGCCGGCTTCTAGGATTAGAATCGATCGTGAGGGGTGGTATTCTGCTAGGCGGCCTGCGAGAGCTGAGCCGGCAAGACCGCCCCCCACAATGATGTAGTCGTAAGTTTCTTTGGTTGACATAGTGGCTTCCTTGCTGCTCTTCTGAGGTGGGAGTGCAACTGCATCAGTGGATATCACTCTGTTTAAATATCCTAGCTGGATTTCTGCGATCGCCGACTTGAAATGACTTCATCACTGACATCTGGATTTCCCTATTCGACTGGGAGGACCATTTCCCATTCGCGGATACGAGATGAGGCTGGAGTCTGGGCTCCACTTTCTTCGTGGGGGCCAGAACCAGGCCCCCGCACCCGCGGTCGCGCCGCCAAAGATCTCTAGTGTGGACGTGCACATGGCCCACTTATACGCATGGAATCTTGACAGAAAAAAAAGTACACACTTTGTTTTTCCCCTTTCCCTAGCTTAGTAATGTCGGAATGGGCTCAAACATTGAAAATGAAAATATTGATAAGCTTGAGTGGTGTAAGAAAGTGGCTGGATCTTGCTCGTATAGAAATCGACACCTCAGTCCTCAATGCGGGGGTGGATTTCAGCTGGAGACTCGCAGTAATCTGCTTCGGTCTCTCTTCCTCAGTCACGCCACCCCTGGCATGCTCTCCAAGAGGTCGGGCTTGCCAAAATGGCGAGCAATATATCTATTGACGGTGTGAATGATGGGATCGAAGTTGTTTATAATCACGAAACTGTCAATCAATATATATCTGCTCCTGGTAAGGTTCTTCATACCTTGGGCCAACCCAAAAATTAACCATACCTCTCATCCAATAGAACGCGCTCAAACACCACCCGAACCCCTCTCAACGGTACCCTTTCCTCGAAACCCGGACTTTATCGATCATGGCACATTGCTCAAGGATCTGCGTGAGAAATGCTTGGCACCAGACGCGAGAGTAGCGTTGGTCGGCTTGGGTGGAGTCGGGTGGGTCAGGCTGGGCTTCTCCCATCACGGTGGCACCCCTGCTAACAAGCATAATTAGAAAGTCACAACTGGCCATCGAGTATTGCTTTCAGACGCGGGACATCTCACCAGAAACATGGGTGTTCTGGGTTCATGCCAGTAACATCGCTCGTTTTGAGCAGGGGTATCGCAGGATAGCAGAGCAGGGGAGGGTGCTGGGGTGCGAGGGCTCGAGTGCAACGTTGATGAGATCGGTTTTTAATTGGCTTCAAGACCCAAAGAAGAAGTGGATTCTTATCCTCGATAATCTGGACGACGGCGACTTTCTTTACGAGCCTCGATATGCCGACAACGGAGAAGGTGGTGCAAAGCTTCCGCCGGTGGAATTCTTGCCCCACAGCCCCAATGGATCGATCATAATGACCACGCGAACCAAGCGCGTTGCCCGGGATCTTGTTGATGAGGCGAACCTCATCCCGATCAATCCTATGACGGAGGCCGATGCGGTAGCTCTGCTTGAGGCGAAACTTGGAAATGAAGTCAAAGGGCATGACAAAGAAGATGTTCTGAGACTTGCAAAAACCCTGGAATACATGCCTCTAACTATTGTACAAGCTGCAAGGTTTATCTACAGACAGAGTCCGCTTCTTTCAGTTCGACAGTATCTTGAAGAATTCGAAAAGAGCGACAGAGAACGATTCTGGCTTCTCACCGATGAAGCTCGCCATCCCGATCGTGACTGGAAAGCAAGTAATTCAATTCTTGTTACCTGGCGATTGTCATTCGAACAAATAAGAGCCAAAAGACCCTCAGCAGCAGACTTGCTCTCTCTTATGAGTTTTTTCGATAACCATGCAATCCCGGAAACCCTACTTCACTTCCAGGACTTTGACTCTGACTGGGACTTGGTAGCCAGTGAAGAGATTCCCACCACAGTTCTGGCGGATGCAAATAACAAGAACAAAGACCAAGAGCAGAGCAAGCCCCACTCCACCGACTCCTGGTTTGATCGATTTAATATGCTCCGACTGTCGGCTTGGCCAGCTATAACTCGTTCGCAGAGTAATGAGCTTTCAAGGTCGAATGAGGAAGGGGAGTCGTCTAGCAAAGGCGACCAGGAAGCTGTTCGGACGTTGAAAGAACATTCGTTGAGAGATGACATTTCTATACTGAGGGATTATTCGTTCATATCAATTGGCCAAGATCCGTCTCACTTTGAGATGCACAGATTAGTGCAGGTTGCAACAAGGATGTGGCTCGAGGCCCAAGGAGCATTGGAAAAATGGCTGAAAGACTTCATTTACCGTCTCGAGAACGCAATTTCAGTTCACCCAGGCCGGGAAAGCCGGACGGTGTGCTTGCCTCTTTTCCCCCACCTTGAATCCGCACGACTGCAACGGCCCTCGTCCCAGGAACTCATTATTAGGTGGGGCAAATTACTTTTCCAAACGGCTGATCATGCATTTGCCCTGGGAAATATGGCAGTCGTCCTTGCTATGCATATTGCTTCAACACAGGCATTCGAGGACTGCCTTGGCCCACAACATGGAGCCACCATAGAAGCCATGATATTGACAGGCCAGGCATATGCGCATTTGGCGCAATATATCGAGGCCGAAAAATTCTTCCACAAAGCGATTCTACATGGGACGGATGAGTGGACAGTATTATGCGCAAAAGCTGAACTGGTGGAAGTCTATCAAAGTCAAGGCCGACTGGTGGATGCAGAACTGCAAGCATTGGACGTTATTGAAAAAACAACACGATTATCCGGTCCTGAACATGCCATTTGTCTTATGAGTATGGAAAGACTAGCTGGGGTATACCAGATTCAGGGTCGATTAAAAGAAGCTGATGTCTTGGCGCTTGAAGCGCTAGCGCTACAGACGAGAAGTCGACTGGAAGCTCCAGATCACGCTGATAAGGCTCTAGAATACACTTCTATGGCGTGTTTAGGGTCGATCTACCAACAAGCGGGAAATTTTTTGATGGCTGAACAGCTTTGTCGCGAAGCCGCCTATGGCCTCAAAGAAATCCTCGGTTCCGACAACCCCCTCACCATAGAAATTCTGTACTGTCTAGGTGAGATCTGGTTTAAGCAAGGTCGAATGGATGACTACGAATTGTTGATCAATTTCTTACTCCCGATCTGCACCCGGGTCCTCAGTCTAAAACATCCCACCACACTCCATATAAACATCGACAAAGCATTCATGTATTCTTGTCGCGGGCAGCTGCATGAGACTGAAGAGCTAGTTGAAAACATTCTTCTTGCCCGCCAAGGGGTATCTGGATTTGACGGTAGCTCTACATTATTGGAATTGAAGGCAATTCTTTCTCAATCGTATATGAGAGATGACCGATTTTTGGAAGCAGAAGAATTGGCAACCCAGTGTCTACGTGAAAAGAAAGAAATCCCTGGTTCTGATCACCCTGACACTTTGATAGGCACAGAATTATTAGCTTCGATGTGGAACATGCAAGGACGAAAAGCAGATGCCACCAACCTGCTTATTTATTGTCTAAAAAGCCGCCTACGCGTACTTCCAGAGGATCGCGATGCTATTGAAAAAGTGCGAAACTTGTTAAGAGCTTGGGCATTGGATTCGGGACATGAAAGCATTGATGAGTTATTATCACCGAATGGTGGACAAGAAAACCCCGAGGATATCTTTGAGGATGGTCTATCCTTGTTGTTTAATTTTGCTATGTGAATTGTACAAACTTCCTCATGAGTTGTATATTTTTGCATTCAATGCAAAGAGGTTTGAACGCTATCGAAATTGGTGCTTGACCAATCGCTTCAATGTTTGTTTAAACGAATATCTCCACCGTACCCATTCCCATTGACCAATTCCCTTGATGCACTAGCCAATGTACACGGCTACGGTCTGGAGGGTCTAGTATGATCAGGAATTGGTCCAAAAGAAACGGGTGAATTGAGAATGAAGAGGCAGTGGGGAAGGACGAATGAAGGGCACGCTGAATGGTCTAAGCATGAGATGTATCGTGAGACCCTCGACGCCCCCCCCTCCTTCGGGATAATCAAGGGCCTTAAGGGTTTAAAAACTAGCTAAATATGCACGTGGTGTACTTGCCGAGGCCGGTGACAGCGATCCCGTTCGCGCGATAATATGTTTTCATTGCGTACCAAGGTATTCCATGAGCCCAAATAACGACCAGGCAGCCACGAGTCTGCGTCGAAGTCCTTGGGGTGAACTCTTCATCAGTCATGCTCTTCGGAATGCAGAGCCTCAAATCCCCATCTTCTCGAACAGAGAACAACAGCCCGTCTTTTTCTATATGTGAGATGATCGGCGCTGCATCGGCCTCGTCAATGCCGGAATACGGCGAATCTCCTCCAAGGCCATAGCCCATCGTGAGTTTTCTTCACACCCTTAGATGGCAGGGTGTCGAAGCTCGCCACCCGCTTGTTCAGCCTCCACTTCATCACTCGAGCCATCATATTCAACGACAAAGACTCTCCGACCTTGATACCACACACATCTGACGAGTGAAGACCGGAATGGGCCCTGTCGCTGGTGACACTGCTCACAGGTATTGCGCTGGTCGCCTTCTAGCCGACGGCGAGGCTGTCCGAACCGCTGCGCAGCAGCAGAATCCAGCGCAGTATGATGCATCAGGCTCTCATACTTCCGCTTACCACTGGCGTACTCCTTCCAATCAACAGCTGGGTGTCCGGGGCGGATGCTGTTGAAACATTCGGCTTCAGGAGGGGTGGCAGGGCACCGGTGCGGCAGCATAGGGTTGCCATGAATGTCTAGCCCGGCGTTTCCATCTATATAAAGTCCCAGTGTAAGTACTTCTATCCAAAGTAGTATGAATACCCGCAACTTACTATGCAGGACATCATATGATAAAACAGGGGGGTCCCAGCTGAGTCTGGGGGAGAGACATCAAGTGGCCGCCTAGCAGCTAGCTCATCCTTGTAGGTTTGGGGGAAATGCTGTGGGTGTAACCTCGGAGCTAAATGAACCGCGAGAAGAAGATCGATTGTTATCATTCACTGGCTCAATCTCAGCCTTTCCAGCTGGTCTCCGCTTCTTTTCTTTCATAACCCAGTGACGTGAACCTTTGTTATATTTGAGCCCCATGATAGTACAGGCTTGCAATGGCGAACCAGGAAGATTTGGAATTGTGACTCCGAGAGCGCAAGCTGCTGGAGTAAAGGCGAAAGGCAGGACAGACCCTGGCTGGAGTTCGTCGTCGAATCTCGCCGGTGTGGGTTCTCTTGATCAATGGCTGCCTAGACAACAAGTCCGCGATCTAGTTAGTACGCCTCGCACGATGATGCATCTGAGTTGGAGCTGCTGAGAGTACTAAGATGGGCACGCGAGCTTCAAGTTTACCCGGTTGGAGGCAGACACCGAAAGCGAGACTGCAATCTTGATTCTCGCGCCATGATCTGCGTAGACCACAAGCGTAAGGTCTTCCGGTGCCGCTTCTATCATCAATCGGCGTGCCTGACCTTCCTCACTGTCCAAACCGTACATAGCATTGAAGTTGCGGGTCTCTTGGACGTCCGATTCCTGGTCTGATTCCACGTAGGCTGGTACCGGTCGCTGGGTGTGAGCCATTTTCGCTATCCTCAGTCTCTGGAGAGCACAATGGGAATCCTCGGAATCAACCAACCGACCGATTCACTAAGCCTTGGGGTTTTCTTTGTATTCTGCTTAGCAATCATCTCTGCCGTATATAGAATTTCCTGGTCCCACAAGGCATCGGGTGCATGAGTTAACTTGTCCGTCTCTATCAAGGAAGGGTGGTGTATTTCTGTAACGCTCCAACCACCTGATACGACCGGCGGACCTTTCGTGCCTAGGATCGTTCATCGTTCCACGTTTGCCAATCCCCGAAAAGCCTTTTGTGAGACGCGACGAAGAGGAAGGGGTAGGTGGAGGGGGAGTAAGGGTGATGAAGGAAAGAAGAGGTAGGCAGGAAGGTTTAGTAATGATAGGTGGACGGCGATGATGAAAGGAGAAAGTAAGGACAGAGTCAGGACAGAGTGACGACAGAGTAGTGATAAAGTGAGGATACAGAGATGAAAGGTATACATGTAGTGATCTGGATATTAAACAGATTAAATAGTGCTTGTCTAGTTTACCAATTTATATATTGCTCATGAAGTCTTCATAAAATGCTGCAATTTTGCTGAAGTCTTACGTTCGGAGCTCTAAAAGCTGAGATGAGACTGGGTTGTCGAGACTACAAGTAGCAGAATAATGATTTTCCTACTGTCTAGTGAAACATTCCAAGTTTTGTGAGATTTTTGATTCGGTCAGCCAAACTCGCTGGTTACTTCAAAAGCGCAGGAATCCGAAACAGCCTGATAGCCGTTAGATCCGTTACGCCCAGGAACTTGTACACGACAATGGGAAGCTTCGACTGCCATGCGATCTGTATTTGAGCTTGTCATTAGAATTAATCATTTCAAAACATAGTAAGGAACCCTCGTGAACGTTCGGAACATTGGAAGATCTTACTCTTGTATAGAAGTCCTCAATGTCAGAGGCGTGTGCATCAAATTCCAGATGCACTGGTGGCAGGCCAAGGGCGAAGTCGGCGAAGAACTCCTTTGCCTCGTAGATAAACTGTAGAGTATCCCGGACACTGGTTCCACCGCATCCCATGGACATCAATTGAACTTCTTTATATCCATAAAAGTCGAAATAATAGCAGAGTGAGCAGAGGAGAATGCGGCGTGTGTGGTGGCTAAGGATAGGGCCGTTGCTGCCCATCAGCACGAGTCCAGTGACGCCCCTTTCGGCAATGCGCTTTGCTTCCTTGTGGGTCATTCCCAGATCGACAGTTCCATCGTCCCTGAAGAAGGGTAACTAGGTGCTCTTTGATGCAGGTGCTAAAGTTGGGTCGTGCGAATGCCATTTTGTAAGATCAGACATATGTGGGGGATTCGAGATATTCATCTTAAGCTTAGGTCATTCGAGTGATTTATATATCTGAAGCATCGTATTCAATGAGCCTCTTGTCCGGCGACCTGGGCGTGTGTAGAACATTGCATGTACTGATAGTCGGTGGGGCTTCAATTGAATGTGGTCCGTCGGAGTCACCAGTCTGGGCCCCGCAATATTCAATGTTCAATGCATTTGGACGGCAAATGAGGTAGCCAAGGCTAGTATAACACATTTCATGAGTTCAATTTACCCTTTTGAGCTCTGGTGGACATTAGACAGTATGTAAATTCACTTACCTAACATTGAATGATCTCACCACCATAATGGGCTGTGTTCCTCCGGCATCTTTTCTAACTATATCGCTCACGCCCCAAACTATCCCGGAGGTCCATTTTCCAATCACTCTGCTTGTTTTTAGTTTCAAATAATGGATGGTATATATAATATATGTATATATGCTAGTGGCGAAATACAGTCGTGGCTCAGGGAAAGGAAAGAACGGAGAGAGGAAAGTAACTGGATTGGTTATGGACAATTGCTCTTGGGGGGGGTGGAGAAGGAAGAAGAAGGGAAAAGGGAGGAAGCAAGCACCGGATATACCCAGAGAGGGTCACCTGACCCCTCTCAGACAGTCATTTCGTTTTGCGTTTCGTATCTCTCCTCTCCTCAATTACCGCGCGTTGCCCATATAACTCTTAATGGACCCTGTTGGTTGAGCCTGCTACATATATTAAGACATCACCATAAACCGTTTGGTTTTTTATTTCGTGTTTCGTTTCGTGTTTCGTTTCGGTTCCTGAATTACCGCGCATTCCCTTTACATTTCCTACAGTAATGGAGATTGAAATATTCATAGACATGACCAATACAATACAGGCGGGAAACAGGGCGGTGAAGGTAAAAATTGGAATTGGGATATGTCACCAGGGTGGCCCCTATCGACCACCGAACGAGACATGCAGTGTTCACAACCACGATGAGTTACCTCCGGCCCCGGACTCTCATATTCCTTGACTGCCCACGTCTCCGTCACGCCGGTGAACATATACTGTAAAACTGGAAGATCCGTTCTCTCTACGACCTGGATTTTGCTGATTATTAGAATTCATCATTCCAAAACACAAGGAACCTTCATGAACGTTTGAGATATGGCAAGATCTTACAAAATTGTAGAAATCGAGAAGAGGCCCCATGCTCATCGCCTCTACCAAGTATGCCGGCGGTAAGATGAGGGCGAAATCGGCAAAACACTCCTTGGCCTTGGTGATATATTAAAGAGTCTCCCCCACAGTAGGTGCACCGCATCCGACGATCAGCGCCAGGTCTTTGTACTTGATAAAGTCAAGGTAATTTCAAACTCAGCACACGAAAACCATGCGCGTGGTCCAGGCAAGGTCGGAGCAGTCTCTTCCCAGCAACACGAGTGCAGTGTAGTCCTGTTTGGCCAGGCGCTTTGCTTCAGCGCAGGTGCTGTCGAAATCGATTGTTCCGTCTCCCTCAACAAAAGTTACAAGATGCCCCTTCATCTGAAGGCGGGGTTGTATGGGTGCCATTTTGGACGAAGATCGGATATGGGTGATTCGGCAAGTTCATCCTCTGCTCAGGGCTACTCCCATTCTTTTTATGATGATGGATAGCATTCCATGAGCTTCTTGTCCGGCGACCTGGGTCCGTGTAGAATGTACTGGTAGTCCGTGGAGCTCCGTTTCTTTGTTGTATGTCAGATCGCCTCTCTTCCAGCGACCTGGGTGCGTAAAGAATGTCCTGGTAGTAGGTGGAGCTTCACTTCGTTATTGTCCAGGCATTCACCGGGCCCCGTAATATTCCATGCTCACTGTATTCAACGGACGGCAAATCAGGTAACCAGGCTAGTATAACAGAGTTCATCCATTCAATTTTGCCCTTTCGCTCTGGTGGATATTCTACCCACAATCAAGTGCTGTCAATCCACTTGCCTAATATTCAATAATATAAGGAGTTTGGTGAAAAAACAACCCTTATTCTGCCGGTCAAAATTCCCATTCATAATCCTTATTCCATCATCCATAAGTACAACAAAGATAATGGTATATAATGACTCCTTTCTTCTTTATAGTACGGAGGGTTGAGAGGGTATATCCATATGGTCGGATAAATGTATTAAGAGCTTTAATCACAAGCTCTGCGGCGGTGTAATATTTAAGATTTAGATAAGTAGGGAATGTGTGTAATGTGTCAGATGGATCATTGGTTGTGATAGGGGGATCAATTGGTGGTGAAGCACCTAATTGCGGGGGGTCAAGTGTCCCGCCGAGGGCTTGGGAATCGGTTGAATTTGCTGCTAAAACAGGTGTAACAGGAGGTACATTACCCGGCGGAGTGGGGTCAGTTGCTTCATCGGGATCCGAAGCCTAAGTATCAGCCTATTATGCTTCCATCACGAAGTTTTAGGTAAGATCTATAACTATAGTTATAATGTGCGTCAGCACAGAGAGAAACAATCAGACCATCTTTCCTTCTACAAGCCACCCCTAGGTCTTCCTTTCTTGTCTTCCACTACTCCCAGTGACGAACCTGTCTTCTCTTGGGAGGGATTGATTCGTAGTGGCTAGCAGGTTCGCAGACTGTTCCCCTCTTCAATATATATATAATATAGAAAAAAGGAAGTCTAGCGCTTGAGCCCAGACACGAATCCAAACTATGCCCAATGTTGGTCACAGATAACATTTGAATATATATAGGTTTTTTGATACATAATGCATTTTCAGGAAGTTTCCCTAGATTGATTGCAGCAATTCCGCTGGAGTATGAATTACATGTATGTTTGGGATTCTAAAAACGGAGATGACACAGTGCTGGGTTGTTAACATCGACTATAAGTAGCAGAACATTGAATAATGACATCTGGATGTTCCTACTCTGTATCTAGCGAAATATTCTAACATTGAAGCACAGTACGGGAAAATCGGGTGCTTATGATACTGCAACAATACCGCTAAATACGGTATCAAGTTGAGAATGGTTGTAAGATAATTGTTAACTTGATATTGTATCATAAATGGAGATTTAATATTATAAATAATACTATATAGTTTTTTAAAGTCAAGTATCATTAGCAGAAGAGGCGAAGGAAACAAGCAGTGGAATGAATATGGAATCTTGATTGGGGTGAGCTAGGAAGAAGCTACAGGCCTGCTAGTTGTATAAAAAGAAGAGCGCCAGGCGGTGAGGGACGGCAGAATCTAGAAACCGGTATCATCCGGTGGAAACTGTATGGTCATGTGATTCCAACAGCTTCCTCTTTCTCGGTGTCTTCGGATTTAACCATATGGCTTTGTGTAGCCCGTGGGCATCGTGCAAATGATGTCGAAGGCCGAGCTCATGGATCAAGTTTATTTTTGAAATTAGGAAAACCTAAGATTAAAGGATTAGTCTAAAGAGTGCTAAATTTAGTATAAGGAGCTGTTTCAATCCCATACATTAAGTTGATTAATGATCTTTAGGTACCTTTCACGCTCCACTAATATTAGCACGCTCTTATTTAAGCCTTATAATAGCCCACGGGTCGCCCTTTAGAGGCCGCTTATAGACCTACAGTTTTATAGATAGAGATAGGTATATATATTATGCCAGTTTTAACCATATCTTTAAATATTCAATACATAGCTAGGTCCTATATATTAAATAAATAGACTATTACGATGATGAAAAGCATCCTAAAATAGATAAATTAGTGATTTGGATTTATAATATTTTCTACTAGCTAGAATCTGTAACAAAATTCAAAAAAATACCTAAGCACCCTGCGGATGTTACCGTACCTATTTCACAGGCGGCAACTTTGACACCAATTTGTCGCTTAGTGCTGTCAAAGAGCTCGCATTCGTGATATCGAGGGTACTTAACTCGGCCCCGGTCTTCTGGCGAACCCACCCCCGCAGCTCCACTGCGGACAGCGAGTCCAAACCGTACGCCATGAGCGGCTTACCAGGCTCCATCTCCGCTTCCAGCCGTAAGATCTTGATCAGTTGCATCTGCAGCAACCCCAAGGCCGCCTTACTGAGGGCCGTTATATCTGCTTGAGACGCGTGTAGCAGGTGTAAAGCCTTGATCGCCCCGGCCGTGGGATCATCCTGTCCCCCATTGTCGTTGTTCCCACCACCGCTGCCGATGCTGTGGTTGCTGAAGAAAAAGCCAAAACGCGCTTCTTCCTTCAATTCAGCACTGCTGTTCGCGACAAGCGGGTAGGCCAGGCCAGTGATCAGCTGGGCACTGTTGAGACTGCCGCGAATGCTCCGTTGCTGTTGAAGGATGGAGTAGGAGAGAATGCGGCGGAGCATGCCTTCATTGATGGGAACCCACTGGCTGCGATCGAAGCGCGCCTCGAGATTTCCACCTTGCTCCGCCACGTATCCCACGTCCTCGATTAGGCCGAGATTGATGGTGTTTGCGCGCAGACCGCCAGCGTTACGGTAGCTGGCGAAGGCGTCGAGGAAGGCATTGCCTGCTGCATAATTGGCCTGGCCTTTGTTGCCGACGACGCTGGAGATGCTGGAGAGCATTGTGAAGAAGTCCAGGGGTTGAGGTTGTTCTTGCTGGGCTGCGAGGTGCAGGTTCCAGGTGCCGGCTATCTTGGCGTGGATGGAGGTGATGTAGTCGTCGTGGGTCATTGTCTCGTAGGGCTTGTCCTGGACAGACAAAAAATAACGAAGTTAGTCGGGGACGCCATAGTGAATGCATCACAACAAAATAAGCACAACATACCCGGAGAACCATAGCACCTTGTATTAAGCCTGCGACTCGCCGAGGTTGGATGGACCGGAAAACCTTTTGCACAAAATCCAAATCTGCAACATCGCCCTTGGCCTCGACGATCTCGCATCCATACGCAGCGCAGTTGGTATGCGCGCGGGCGGAGGCCGGATCCTGGATGCCGCTCCGGCTGATTGAGATGATGCAACGGGCGCCTTGTCGAGCTAAATACACAGCCAAGCTGCCACACAGACCACGGAGTCCCCCCACAATGAGGTATGCGGCTGCGGGATCTAGTCGTAGCGTCGGGACGGCCGGCCGAATTGGCAATTTCAAATCTGTTCCCTCCGTAGGACCAGAGATGACGATCTTGCCCATGTGTTTGCCACTGCGCATATAAGACAGTGCGGGAATAACCTCTTCAAATGGGTAACGGGTGATGGGATTGATTGGCCCAACATGACCACCGTTTATCAGGTCGAATATTTCGCCCAGAAGATTCCCAATCAACTCGTTCGTAATCTCGCGGGTGTAGGACAAATCGACAGCACGGAAAGAGCAATTGCGGTCAAAGGGCTCCATGGCCAGGCTGTTGCGGTCGACGATATCCCTCTTGCCAATCTCCACCATGATTCCTCCATCGGCAGTCAACCGCCAGGATTCGTCGAGGAGCTCACCGGTCAGGGAGTTCAGAATGACGTCCACGCCGCGGCCGTCTGTCTCGCGGCGAATCTCTTCAGCGAATCGTGTACTACGGGAGCTGAACATACGATTCTCGGGTATATTGAACGTGCGCGCCAGAAATTGACGCTTCGCTTCAGTGCCGACGGTGACAAATACATCGCACTTCTTGTGCTGCGCCAGCTGAATGGCGGCTAAGCCCACGCCACCGGCTGCGGAGTGAATCAACACGGACTGGCCTGCTTGAAGGTTGCCCAGATGGTATAGAGAGTAAATGGCTGTCAAATAGACTAGCGGGATTGTTGACGCCTCGTCATAGCTCATCGAGTCGGGAATGCGATGGACGCGTTCAAATGGACACTGTACGCGATTTGCATACGTGCCACTTCGCATGGCAGCCACTCTATCACCTATCCGGAGGTCCGTTTGCAGCCCCGGCGCAATCCGCTTTATATACCCGGCACATTCGCATCCAATGGTATGTTCATTCTCCGGTACGATGCCCATGGTTGTGGCCACATCCTATTGACTGCCATTAGTTCCCACATACAGTTGGATGAAAAGTTAGGCCTTACCTTGAAGTTGACACCCACGGCCATGACCTCAATCTCCACCATCCCCGGTTCCATCGGCACCTCGCCAACCGCCGTTTCACACCAAGTCAGACTTTGCAACGTGCCGACCTTCTCAGCCTGGAGACGCACCTGCGCCGCGGTCTCGTGGAGCGATCTGACTACCGGCTCAGACACCTTGCCGTCTTCGGCCGCCTTGAATTCGTTAATGGCGCGATCTGGTATCAGGCGTTGCATCAGAAGGATGCCGTCCCGTTCAGCGTACTCGGTTTCGCCATGTGTCCCATCAAGAACCCGCTGGAGCAGCGTATAAATCGCCTCACTTGTAGCGGGACTGGTCGCAGACTGCACATCGAGTGTGGTGAGGTTGGCCTGTGGATCCTCGCGACGAACTACACGAAAGAGACCGTGCACCAACGCATTATCGGGATCTGACACCTTTGAGGTCTGTCCCCCTTTGGTGACCCAGAGCAGGGGCTGGCCGGTGCTGATAACCATTTTGAGCGCCTCCCATTGGGATTCGCTGATCTGCGTCAGTACGGGCTTGAATAGTTCATCCATCACCACCACAACCGACTGGGAAGTGTCGCTATTCTTTGCCTCAGTAGCAAGCTTTGTGATGGGTACAGTCCGGATAGACCAGCCCGATGGCTTAAGTAGGGCTTTGAGCGTCGATGACAGAGTGGGCGAATCAGCATGGAAACGAGCAACAATGAGTTGCTTGTGGCGCGGGCTAGCTGACTGTGAAATGTTGATCAGGGGTCTCCAGAGATGAGCGTCAGCATGGTGGCCGGGATCGGGGGTGATTCGAAGCACCTGGCCGAATTGCGAAAGTCCTTCCAGCTTTCGAAGTCCCGTCCATTTGGCCATAGAGGACTTTCCATTCACGGAGCCTAATGAGGTGAATGAGGACTCGTCGGACGGTGTCAATGAGCCAGAGCTGGGGGATGATTCTTCAAGCGGGACCACGTTTATGTCACTATTCAGCTCGTCCTCGAGAAGGTCATCGCTTCGAGCTTCAATTGAATTTGTCGGTGTGATCACCAGAACAAAAGCCGCCGGCGTTAACAGAATCTTCAGGCGCTCTAAAATACTCGCCGAGCTGGTGACAACGTCTTTTTCCGCCGCGGCCTTGAATATCAAAAGGTCGTACAATCCATGGTTATTGGTGAGCCCAAGTCTGTCCTTGGAAAAATCCAACAGATGAAATTCGGTATTGGGTTTGGACTCATGGGTGGAATTGAGATTTGCGACGCTGGTCGCACTGGGAGATGCCAGGTGGTAGAGCCTATAAGCAGATCGTGCTTGCTTGTCGCGCCTCTGTAGCCATAACGAGGACTTATCAGTTTCGTCCATGCTGACTTCCAGTACCTGGAGGGTAGGCACCTTCTGTGCCACCAGGTCCAGAACCATATCAAGTCGGCTCGAGCCCGGACTCGATGGCGTGAGGTACATGAGTTGGTCCTGCGTGAGGAGCGAGATATCAGGCTTCCAGATCGGCGTGCTGAACACATGAAAATCTGGCTTTTCATCCACATCCAGACGGATATAGTTGAGTCCCCGCACACGCAGCAGTAGGGCACCGGTCTGCGGATGGTAGATGGAAATGTTGGCGGTCCAGCTCTTGGCCACATCGCGACGCCCACGACCAGTGTAAAGTGATTCGGCGACCGACAAGCCCTCTACGAGCTCTCGGGGGACCTTGTTGATGATCATATCATCCACGAGCGCGGGGATCATGGTATCTTTGACCAAGCTTCGCTCCCCAGCGGCATTCGCTGGCGTCGCGGTCTGAAGACATCCATCCAGAATCGCTGGATGGAATGGGTAGTAAGACTGAGGATCCCATTTGGATGCGGGGGGCTCGAGCGAGACAATTGTCCGACAGGTGCGACTCCCACTGACGGACTCGATGCTCTTGATAGTCTGGAAGCTTGGACCAAATCCCATCCCCACCTCCTGCTGTGTCTTGTACCACAACTGCGCCGATTGCCGGTTCTCGATTGGTGCGAGCTGTTTCTGATCGAGTGCTTCATCGTCATCAATGGGGTCCTGGATGCGAATAAATCCGGAGCAGTGCTCGTAAATCACACCTGCAGCTGTTGTGCGAATGCGAAATTCATGCCAGTCATGGCTGCCAGGCATGTTCATCAGGGACAGGAGAATCGTGGTGGACTTACTCTCCTCGACAACAACCGCACGCTCGAATTTGACGTTGCGGAACCGATATGCCAGCTCGTTGGGTGATGCAACGGCATTTTCTGGGTTCAGCGCGCAGTATTTTTGATACATGGCCTCTAGTGCCATGGTAGCCAGTCCTGCACCCGGAATCAGCACATCTGGGCCCATCTTGTGGTCTCGCAGCCAGGGCACATCGGCCAATTTGAGGTGCTTGCGCCAAGTGGGTGACTCCCACGCCGTGCCCGGAATTTTGGACCCCAGCAGGTCATGCGTAATGAATGGCTTGTACCGCCAGTCGTGGCTGGCTGTGTTTTCATGCCAGTATTTAATCGAATGATTCCATGAGTAGTTAGGCAGATCAACTAAAGTCCGCACTTCTGTTGCAATATATTCGTTGACCTGCGCGAAATCAATTGGAGCGCCAATGGCGAAGAGATGTCCGGCCACATCGAACAGGGCTTTCCCTGAGCTTGCGCCGCGGGCCCAGGCAGCGCAATATTGAATGTCCCCGCTATTGGGCAGAGCTTTCAGCACTTGTAAAGTGGGCCCAGCCAACGCCCCCGAGGGGCCAATCTCAATGATCATGGTGGGAGCGTCTGTATTCACGAGCTCCGTTAAGGCTTCACTGAACCGAACCGGAGAAACCATGTTAGTCTTCCAGTAGAGAACATCTGTGGTTGTTTCCTTGAGCGATCCCGTGACAGAAGAGAACATCAGTGGTCTTTTGGTATCATCAACCTGTAGCGGCTTGAACTGGACGTCATCCTGGAGCAGGGTGAAGTAATCTTCCCCGATGGGGCCCATAAGCTCCGAGTGGTACGCCAGGTCCACTTGCAACGCGCGAGCAAAATGACCCTGCGCCTTGATATCCTCTGCAAGGGCGTTTAGCGTCGATCGCTCTCCTGAAACCGTCACACTGCTGGGGCTATTGAAGCACGCAATCCACGCGCTTCCCTTGTACTTATCCAGATACTCCAGTGTCGCATCAGAGCCGAGACCAATGGCCAGCATCCCGACATTCGAATCTACCCTTCCCTGGCTCTTACAGTTCAAGGCCGCCCGACCACGGTAGAATGCAGCCTTGATGGCACTAGCCCTGTCAAGATAGCCCGCCGCATAGGCCGCGGCTATCTCCCCGGACGAGTGGCCCACCACACTGGACGGGCAGACGCCCCACGTCTCCAGCACGGCAAAGATACATAGTTGGAGCGCAGTGACAAGTGGCTGCGAATACTCTGGCTGGCGGAGATGCTCCCCAGAACGTGGTTCCGTCAACTCAGCGACGAGCGACCACTTGGGGGGATCCGGCTGCGACTGCAGCGCCGCGTCGAGTTCCTCCAGGATCGCCCGCGTCCAAGGGAAGAATTGCAGCAGTTCCTTGCCCATCTGCGGCCACTGTGCGCCTTGACCAGTAAACACAAAGGCGATCTTAGGCGCCTGGCCACGATTCTTACCCACCACGAAGTCCTTCTCCTCGATCTCCGTCGAGCGGGTAGTCAGAAAGGCCCGATGCCACAGCCGGGATCGTCTCTGTGAGAGGGTTGCTGCCAGATCCGCCAGGTTGATCCGCACGCGTGGATTGACCAGATGCCGAGTGAGCCTACGAATATTCTCGCGGAGCGATTGCGCGTCATTGGCGGACACAACAAGCGTGTATGGTCGATCGCTAATCTCGTCATCATCCTGACAGTGCTTCTCCTCGTCATAATCCTCGTCTTCGATTTCCGGGGCATACGAAGACCGATAGAAGCTCCGTACATCCAAGCTTGCTTGCTCGACGATCGCATGCGCGTTGGAGCCCCCGTAGCCGAAGGAGTTGATACTGGCACGACGTAAAGAATAACCTTGGTCAGGCCAGGGGACGGCAGTGCGAAAAGCCTGGACCTTGCAGCCTTTGAAGTCAACTGTGCAGTAAACAAACTGACGGTTAGAAAACTCTAACAGCGGGGAAACTCTGGAAAGGCAATGTACGTACTCTTGGTGCTTGGCTTGATGAAGAGAGGCGTTCCGGGAATCACGCCTTTCTCCATGGACATAATGACCTTAAGCAGGCCTGAGTTGCCCGCCGCAGGTTCAGAGTGACCAATGTTACTCTTAATGGAGCCGATGAGTAGCGGGTTATCGCCTACACGTGTAGCTGCAAACACTGACCCAGCGCCTCGAACCTCCGTCGGATCACCCGCCTGCGTACCCGTACCGTGGCATTCGAGATATGCGGTTTCGTGGAGGCTGGTGATTCCGGCGTTAGCATACGCCGAACGAATGGCGGCAGCTTGGGCTTCGTGACTGGGACTTGCAATGCCTCCCGTTCGCCCGTTGCTGTATCAGCAGTTAGCGTTCTCCTAATAGGATATGGTATATTGGTTGAGCTCTGGAGAGAGCGAGAAAACGTACCTGTTCGAAGCGGTTCCTCTCACGATCCCGCGGATGGGATCACGGTCACGAATTGCAGCCGACAGGTTCTTCACAATTACACAGCTGACAGCTTCAGCTTTGACGTAACCGTCTGCATCGGCGTCAAATGTATGACAGAGTGCCGTTGGGGAATGCGCCTGGCCAACATTTCCGGCATCCATGACATGGTCCGGGTTCAGGTACAGGTTACTGGCGGCCACAATCGCAGTGCTGACCTCACCAGACTGTACAGAGCGACATGCCAGGTCCAGGCCCACCAGGCTGCCGGAACAAGCAGTATCTATGGTGATACTAGGGCCTTTAACATTCAGAAAGTAGCTTAGCCGGTTGGCCATGATTGAACGACCCACCCCGATGGCGCAGTTGGCTGGTCGGTCCTCTGCATCCCGGTTCTGCATGTCGCCATAATCTAAACCCCGTGGGTGTCAGTTCTGAATTTCTTTCATTGACCTTCTTAGTATATAATCTTACCAGAAGCGTAGGAGGCCACATAACAGCCGACTGGTTGTCCATCAATCTTCTCTAGTGGGATTCCTGCATTCTCCAGTCCTTCATACACCACCTCCAACATTTGACGCTGGTTTGGGTCCATGGCAACGGCCTCCGTGCCCCCGATTTCAAAAAACGAGGCGTCAAAGTCAGCCATATCATGGCTCCCGATAAACATACCTCCCTTCGGTCGCATGGTCCCGGGCTTATGGGACCCATCGTAGTGGCCATCGATATTGAAACGCGTCTTGGGCACGTTATTCGATGCAATGCCCCCTCGTTCTAAGAAATCCCAGAGCTCTTGAGGGCTATTGTTCTCGCCTGGAAGCCGGCAGGCGAAGCCAATCACGGCAACAGGCTCCTGGCGGAATTGTGTTTGTGTCATGTTGGCGGCGCTGTATTCCTGATACTTTATGGGGGCCTCCTTCGTGAAGATGCGTTCTGAATGACTCGGAATGATCGATCAATCGGTCAATACAGAGCTATTTACATTTCCGAGTGACCTGGCGCGGGTTGGGAGCTGGCTATATTTCGGGGAGTGTCAACATAGATTCACCATCTTACCCGACTACCATGTCATCTTTCGTACCCGAATGATCATACCTATACAATGGCTGTGGATCTGTCATCACTAAACGTGTCTTCGGTGTTGTATGAGGAGGTGAGAGTAAGCACAATTACACGTTTAGGCAAGGCTTCATGCATGCTTATGTGATATAATATAGGATCCGCCTATCCAGTTTAGCTGCGTTTCATCATCATCATCTGGACATGCACGATTACCAATTATCACCACGTTAGCTCTGTGTAGTTTCTAAGTGGCGGAATTTATCCTCCGTTCGTCCGTCAGTTTCATCCACTGTCGGCGAGGATATAGGCATCCTTTCTCTCAGCAAGACAAGCTATGCACGCTATCGCTAAGGAAAACGAAGTATTGTGCCCATCATGCCCCGGTATCAGCTTGTTGAATGTCCGACTATCGACGGGACCACCATCTCTGGATGGCTGTATACCGTCGACGGCCCTGCAGCCCCTGCCATTATAATGTCTCACGGGGTACGTACTGTCTGGTTGTGTTCCCATTTTGGGAGAGCACGGCCTTCCCTAGATATCTATCTCAGCTCACCACCGTAAAATTGGTTCTTTAGTTTAACTGTGTGAAAGAAATGACGCTCCCCGACGTGGCCGAAGCCTTTCAATCTGCTGGCTACAACGTCCTTCTATACGATGCCCGCAGCGTCGGGGCCAGTGGTGGAACTCCCCGAAACCTCCTGGATCCACTGCAAATGGCCGAAGATCTCTCGGACATCTACACCTATGTTTCCAAGCTACCCTCTGTGGACTCCAGTAGCATAATCCTCTGGGGAATGTCCTTCGGCGCCGTCATCAGCGCCACGTCCGCCGCGATCGACCGCCGCCCCAAAGCGATCGTCATGGTCTGTCCGCTCTTTAGCTACGTGCAACCGCACAAGGCCGACAAGGCCTACGCGCAGCTTATCAAGGACCGAGTCTCGCAGCTGAGTGGAAATGAGCCACATTCGCTGCGCCCCTTCACTTCTAAGGGCGATAACCCCGTCGGGTTTGGCGGTGCGGGCGGACCAGGTGGCGTCGAAGCCGCGACGCTAATGAAGGCAGCGTCCGAGCTGGGGCATCCAACATTCCGGGATCGAATAAGCCTGCAGACGTACCAAAAGCTCGCGCTTTTTCGGCCTATGGAGTACCTTGATATGATCCGTGTACCAGTGTTGATGATCGTTCCAGAGTTGGACGATATCTCGCCTCCGCGAGAGCAGAGGGAGGCTCTCGCACGAATTCGGAGTCCCAAGAAGGAGTATTTCGCGAAAGGCAAAGGGCATTTGAATATTGCAACCGGGGAGGGGTCGACGAAGATGATTGCGGCGACGCTAAGGTTTTATAAGTCTGTATTAGAGCAGACCTTTGAGCCCTCTTGCATCGCGGAGGAAGATAGTGTAGAGGGACGAAGCGGTGTGTGGTGATTAGGCAGAGATGATGTACATTAGTTATTTATTGGTGACCTCGCGCAGTCAGGAGGAGCAAGAAGAGTGTAGTTTGGCCATAACGGGTCACCTGTCGCTGTAGTCGTAGATTGTAGCGTCAGATAGGCCCCGTTCGCGCTCCGTGGTAGGGAGGCAATGTGTCTGTATTGTGTACTGTAGTAGATTCCATATACAGAGGGAAGGGCGGGAGGGACAAAAGCGTGACTTGACTGCGTGAGCGGTAACGAGCTACTCGCAGAGGCAAACAACTGACTCTCGTGAGGCAGTTGTAGGAGGAAGAGGCCCTCAGCAATGTCGGTGTAGACATCACTTGAGGCTACAGCCATTGTGAGGCAACCCCAATAAAACTACTTCCTTTAAGCGTTTCAGCACAGGGATAAGCAACTCAGACCGTTTCCTCTTGTCCAAGCCACCTCTAGGTCTCCTTTCTTGTCTTCTGCTGTCCCTGCGCACAGTCCTGGACGTGGTCCCTACTTCGCAAATACACCACTTGCCTCGAGGCCCCCACGGGCCACTACAATAGGTAGAGGAGCAATTCACTGTTGTTATCAAACGGATTTTTGGATTCCGTGTATAGTTTAATACAGTACCCTCATTTCTCTAGTCACTCTTGTCATGGTCGTGATGCCTCAAGTATTGGTCGACTTGACATCACAATCTAAGTCTTTCGCTCACACATATCATCCACCATACCCTCATTCATACAGCAATATCACCCGTGCTTGGATTTGACCATCACACGCAAACTTTGCGCGGAGTGCACTATAACCCGGTCCAGCCATACCATATCCTTATGCCCATTCGGCGTCAGTTCGAGGTCAAATCGAGTTACCAGGTTGGCCAAGATGAGATGCATCTCGGCATATGCCAGGCTGAATTTGTCAGATTGACCAAGTCAGCGTTTGGAGAAATTGGTGCTCCCATACTGGGAGGATTGGCAAATAAAACTTACGTCTTCCCGATACAATCAGTCCGCCCTTTAGAAAAAGACAGCAGCCAGCGATTAAGTGCCTTGCCCTGTTCACCAATCCAACGTTCGGGCCGAAACTCGTCCGGCTGCTCAAATACATCTGGATCGAAGTGAATAGCCAGGTGACTCATACCAACAACCGACCCTGGTGGGATAGTTTGCTTCGTTGATGGAACGTATAAGCCTTCTCCCGGCGGTACTGTGCGAGGCAGGCGGCCGGGGACGAGTGGCATGTAGCGGAGACTTTCTTTAACGAAGCCCGTCTAATATGTTGGTTAGTCAGAGATTGATAAGCACTGGCCTGGAAATTTCTGTCCTGCCTTCTCTTTCAAGAGGAAATGAGCCCGCGGGAAAATATTGACTTACAAAATAGGGCAGATTCTCCAACTGCTGCAGCGGTAATCGACCCTTTACTTGTTGAACTGAGGCCAGCTCCTCTAACACCCTGGACTGAACATGAGGGAACTTGAGCCAGAAATAGGTCGCATAGCTCAGCATCGTGGCTGTAGGCTCAGTGCCTGCGTTCAGTATCCCCACACTCTCGTCAGCCAGTTCGCGGAAACGCAACGGTCGCAGATCCTTGCCGCTCGCCTGTCGCCGGGCGCTGTCTGTGAGGAGACGGTCGAAGATGGTTTCATCGATGGGGCTCTTAGCCAGTGCTTCTTGCATGTCAAAATCCTGGATAGCCTGTTCGGCGAGCCTTTCAGTGAACTGTGAGTGGTTCGGTCAGTCAGGCACAAAAGAAGCGGATTGTCGGGAACGGGACGTGATGTGCGTGTTTGTGTGTCTGTGGATTGTATATATCCCACACTTCAAACATACCCAGAGGATTTTCACGAACGTATCACTCAAATACGCAAGTATCCACCGTGGTAGGGCCAGCAGGGTATTACGTATGAATTGAAAATGGATCGCGATCCAGATACCCTTGGTGAAGGATCGCATCTGTTCGGCGCGCTCGACGAAGTTCGATGATGAGACCAGATCTAGACTCTTTCCGAATAGATAACGGGAAATAATATCTCCCTATTTGCATATATTCCCTCGAGGTTAGCTATGATGTCCTTCTGGATGCGTCTCAATGTGTGATTGAGAAAAGAGGGATACCGACAGTATAACAAAAATAGAGCTCCATTACCGGGAGGGGCTCGCCTCGCTGCTCGTACTCGGTGATTCGGTCAAAGACCAGTTCAAGCTCTTCGTAAAAACCGTCCTCCATCAACGCGACCCGGCCCTTGGAGAAGTTCGGGTCCAATGTCTTGCGCTTCTGGCGGTGCTTTTCCACCGAGACGGTGAAGGCCATGGCTTCTGAGACGCCCAGTGCATACGAAGTGGCGTCCTTTGTAAACATGGAGTTATTTTTGTATATTCTGCAGGGAACTATAAGTCTTCAGATTCTCGAGTCAAGGTACATCTACTTACTCATGGTACATAGAAGAATCGTTAAGATGAACCTCATTGGGACTGATTCGAACTACGGGTCCTATTGAGCACGTTAGCTCGAGCTGGAATTGCGATCTACAAATCAATCAACTCATACCATATCTCCGGTGATACTCGGGAAATCTCTCCAGGAATCTACCGTTCAGTATTGCTTCGAAGTAGCATTGCTGGAGGGAGCTGATACGACAAAGGAATGGACCGGGGATGTGTGCTAAAGGGTGCAATGTGAGCCGGTACGTGACCACCCCGATCCAATATAGTAGATATGCAACCCCAAAAATCCCACCATAAGTGCGGATGAGGGCGAATATAGTCTTCTCGTGTACATCAAGCGTGAGCCTATTCAGCGTTCCCACTGCAGAGTGGGCAAACAAGTACCAAAGGTTCGGCATATTGTCAATCATGCACATGTGGTATCCGGTAGAATAGGGAACCCGGTCCAGAATTGTTCAATGTGGTCTTTTTCGAAAGAGAATCACCAATGGTGAAGTATATCAGCTGTAGAGTGTACCAATGTGATGCACAAGATGCTCTATTTTTTCAAATTTCTAACCGTGACTGGTTCATGTATATCGAACTAGCGCACGCATGATTACCCTGACTCTGACATGCACAAAGTGGCGCTTGCGGGTAAGCAAACATACTCCCTTACGGTAAATGTTTCCATGCGTACATGGATATGCGGGATGACATACCCCGCCCCCGGGTCGATATAGATACAGATAGACCTGAAACACTCTTTCCACTTACCCCTTAACATGGTTCATGAAATTTCCAGATGTATAGTGGAGGTTCAAGTGGGATACAAGAAGCAAAAGAGCACAAGATTCTTGGAGTTTATACAGTCAACGGGACTAAATAGGATCATGACTACCCTGTAAGTCTTACGTAGCTTTTCCACAAGGCCTAGGTATGCATGAAAATACATCAATCCATGAATATACACAACAATGCTAAGGATTGGAGTTTATAGACCATCAGGTCATCACTAAAGACATTAACTGGTATGTATAATTCTTTTTTTATGTAAAACTCATAAATATTAATATTTACAAAGTTGATAATTCTAATACCAAAAAATCAGTTTATTCAGCTTAGTCAAATCAGTAGGATTATAGAAATCAATCAATCTCTATATATTGATAGTAGTGGTGGCATGCAATGTATGTGCACATGTGGCACTGGAAGGGTAGTGATATCTGCTGGCGGATGGTGGTGCTATATTATCGGGAATATATATATACCAACGAGCACTTGAGGGGAACGCTATGTATGCTGTGCCATCAAAGTGCACGCACGGGTCGATCCAGCAGTGGACAATGCCCAGGCGAGACTACTGCCTAAAACAACAATCTGGGGTCAAATGAGAGATGTGTAGGAGTGCGTATTCCAATCTAGTCACTACAGCCGCTATACAGTAATGACAGTGCTGACTGTACCGTAACGGCATGTCAGGAAACCGTAACGATATGTAAGGACGTACTTCCCCACTACATTAGGTACTTCTACAGAAGAATTCTGACTTAATTAGGTAATATTCTAGAAGGGGTCGGTGGGGTTGAACCCCCAAAATAGGAAAGATAGACCTACTTTTTCATACATCTTCCTAACATAGTAAGAATCTACAATGATCCTTATGCAAACCCATGGGATGGGTATGGGTAAGGGTCCTGTCCACACCCCATGGGCCCAAAACCCATGGAACATATGGCCTATATGGGCAGGCCCATGGACAAAACCCATGGGGAATACACATGTCTACACTTAGGCTGGACCCGAGAGATAAGGCAGTCTGTTTCACTCACCGAGAGACCAAGTATCCGTTGATATATCATCCCAAAATTCTGCCATGGTAACGAAATTGAAGCTTATCTTCACTGTTTATCTACCCCATTGTATGGTATCAGTTGCTCCACACGCCGATCACGCCTTCCGAGGCTCCAAAGTTCCCATAAACCATGAAAGGATTGCTAGCGGCAATTTATGGGAAATGGCAACCCGAACTATGATTTCGGACCCTGACCCGAAGCCCTTCACTCCCCTTCGCCGGCACTGGAATAATATAGTCCATGTTGGCGTCAATATCCCTAGCGCGCTGCGTATCATAGAGCTCCAGCGTGGGACCTTGGCCTGGGCTGCCATCATAAACATCGTATTTAAGAAACAACGTCGCCAATATGATAGCCATCTCTCGTCGTGCCAGGGTCATACTGCAGGCGATGTGAGAAATGGCCCACTCACAAGAGGAATTCTAGACTTACCCAACACAATTTCTAGCACCACGAGAAAACCCAATAAAATAACGTGCCAGCTTCGGGTCGTCGATGAAACGCTGGGGTCGGAAGGCATATGCGTCACTACCGAAGGCCGCCGGGTGCATGTGGATATCGAGCGGAGACATGCTGGTTACGGTGTTTGGCGGGACGATATAGGTCTTGCCCTGTTGCTTGTCTTGGTAGACGATTGGGATCTCGGGCGAGATCCGCACCTGTCGGGCCATGACTCCGGGGTGTAAACGAACCGCTTCTTGGATTATGGCGTTAAGATAGGATAGACCGTCAACCTGAGAGAGGAGAACATGCTTAGGGTCGATTTCGGCCTGGAGGAGTTCTTTTTTGAGCTTGTCCACCTCTTGCGGGTGGGCGAGAAGCTGATAGAGGCAGCAGGTTAAGGTGTACGCTGCGGTTGTTCGATCAGTACACTGTTTCTCCCCTTTTATGGTTTTTTTTTTTCTTTTTTTCTCTTGCGGCACAGAACGCTTACCGGTGGTGCCTTCACCGGCGAAGACCACCAATTGTGCCTCACTCGCAAGCCGCTCATCTTCTTTCTCCTCGTCAGGCAGCGAGCTGTTCAAGATACCCTCAAAAATGGTACTCTTAATGCGCTCCGGATTCGGAGATTTTCGAATTTCACGGACCTTGGTAAGCCACCACTATATAACAAGGTGAGAATATGTTGCAGTTGCAGCGTACATGCACACAAGCTTACATCTTGTCGGTCGCGTAGCTCACCGAGGGAAGGTAGTAGCAATTTGACAAGCCAGGACGGCATGTTCTGCACATAGTGCACCAGCGAGGGTACTAACCCGAAGATGTGAGTGAGATAGAAAAAGACGTCAGTCGATTGAAAAAAACTGCGGCCGCAATCGGGTCGATCTAGAAAATCAAAGCACTCGCCGAAGGCATATACAGTGATGACATCGCTCGCACAGGCCTTAAACAGATGGTGCATGTGCAAAGTCTGGCCTGTCCTGCCAGCATTTTCCATTATCGTGACCATCTTGCCCATATATCTCTTCATGATGGGCTCCAGGCGACGGATGCTGGCCACAGAAAAAAAGGCATTGAGGGCGTTCCGTCGTTGACGATGCAGCGAATGGTCGGGTGTCGACACGATGGAATACGGGGCTGCGTAAATAATTCAGTTTGCTTTCGATTAAAATCTGGGTGTCTATGATCTATAATCTTGTCCTGAGGGGGACTTTAGACTCACTGCCCGTCCGCTGGGCAAACCAGGTCGGCTTGTTGGTCTTGCGCGCCGGATTGGGGTAGACCATATCGATAAATTCGGGGTCATTGAAATGAACCTCATTTGGAGTTACTCGGACAATAGGGCCTAAATCGCTCTCGAGATATCAGCTTATAGGAAGCAGCAAGGCTTATGGTATATTTGGAGGACGAACCGTATATTTTATGGAGTTGCGCCACACGCTTGAAGTACTGCCCACCCTGAACGATCTCGTAGTACGACTCGTACAGATATGTCAAGGCTAGACAAGTGCTTGTCAGGCCGTCTGTGTGGCTCGTGATATTGATTATGACATATGTACTCACCAGCTAGCTTTGGTCCAGGAATATTTGCGAGGGGTGACCAATATACTTCCAGGGTTGAAGTTAGCCTTGCACTACAAGCCGTCACTAGGTCCACTGCTCTTACGTGAGTAGATTGCCCATACCACCTGATAGGCCATCAATATGACTAAAAGAATGGAGATTAACTGAGTTGAATTCCCAATATTCCCAATATTGAGGGCTTCAGATCCCCCGGGTCGCAGAGGAGGGGTCGAGTCGGACATGAGACCAGATACCAAGCCAGACATCTTCGACAAAACAGAATGAGACAATTAATCAAACCTTCGTCAGTCACCAACGCTAATTAAATGATATATTTATGTCATGTGAAGTAATAATCGGCGGTAAGCGTGCATTGAGAGAATAAGCATCTTGGTAAGCTGGCGCAAGGTAAGCCCACCGACTCCCCGCATCCTAGTGTAAAAGGCCGCCGTTGTATGGTTACAGACAGGGAGGTAAGGAGGTAAAGAGAGACAGTAACCAATTGGTTACTAAAAATTGTTGAAGGCACCCCCAACCCTACGACCTAAATGGATCACAACATATCATCCACATTTGTCATCATATTTGGGGTTGGTTTCGTATTCCTCTGGAGGATTTACCGTACTATCCTCCCCAAGCCCATCCCCGGAATTCCTTACAATGAAGCCTCCGCCAGGAAATTGCTGGGCGATATCCCCGCGATCCGGGCGCATATAGCATCCACCAAAGGAGGCACCTTCATCACCTATGTTTTGGAAAGCATGCAAAAAATAAATTCGCCGCTGATACAGGTCTTTATTCGGCCAATGGGCAAGCCACTGTTGATATTGGGAGACTTCTCCGAAGCGCATGATATTTTGGTCCGGCGGAACAAGGCCTTCGATCGATCGCACACACTCGGGGATCTAGTATCGGGTCTGGCGCCCGATCATCACATCCATCTGAAGACCAACGCCGCGTGGAAATCACAGCGTCGACTCATACAAGACCTGATGACCCCGTCTTTCCTCTATACGGTGGCAGGGCCCGTTATCCATCATAATGTGGGCAACTTAATTGACCTGTGGCGGGCGAAGAGCAGGATTGCACAGGGACGGCCATGGCATGCTGCAGGTGATATTAATCTGATGGCGCTCGATGCGGTAATGGCCTTCGCTTTCGGAGAGAAATTCAATCATAACGCGACGAAACCCACTTTTGAAGCGATCCAGGCAATAGGTGTGGAAGCTGCCACACAAGCGACTCGGGATGAGCCGTTCATTTTCCCAACAGGCCTGGTAGATGAGGCATTGCAAGCCACACTTGACCTGACGGAGACTGTGGGGGAAGTGCAAGGCAATCCAATCCCGAGCTTGACATGGGCTTACGTGGTACGGCGACCAAAGATCCGAAAAGCCATCCAAGTCAAGGAGGAGTATATCTGGCAAGAATTGTCCAAGGGAGTCGAGCGACTACAACAAGGCGAAACGTCAGTTATCCAGTCAGCCGTGGACCAGATGATTATGCGGGAGAAAAGTCTAGCCGAAAAGGATGGACGACAGCCCGATTACTTCTCGCGAGTCATGATCGACGAGGTAGGTTTCGCCATGTATTCCGGCTATATTTCACCCGCTCATTATGGATGAACAGATTTTTGGCTTCGTATTCGCTGGGCATGAAACCACCAGCACGACTCTATGCTGGGGCCTCAAATTCCTCGCTGACCAGCCCCAGGCTCAGTCTAAGCTTCGGAATGCGCTGGAGTCAGCATTTGCACCCGCCCGTGCCGCTAGACGTCATCCCAACATTCAAGAGATTACCAACACGCATATCCCGTACCTTGACGCGACCATAGAGGAGATCCTCCGTTGTGCCGGTACGGCACCCGTAGTCGATCGTGAAGCGCGGGTGGACACTGAAATCCTCGGGTACGCCATCCCCAAAGGCACAGTGGTGACCTGCCTGGTGACCGGACCCAGTATGATGAGCGCAGGCTTCGCCATCGACCCGGCCCGACGAAGCTTCACCAATCAAGCCACGGAAAAGAGGAGCCAATTCCGATCGTGGGATCCCACCGACATTGCCCTCTTTCAACCCGATCGCTGGATGGCTGAGGGTCCGGACAAAAAAGGAGGGGAATCGTTCGATCCCACGGCCGGGCCGCAGCTGGCGTTCGGGCTGGGCACGCGCGGATGTTATGGCAAGCGACTGGTTTATCTGGAGATGCGGATTTTGCTGACCTTGGCGGTGTGGAACTTTGAGTTACTCGCGTGCCCGGCAGAGCTATCAGGATACCAAGCCTCCTTGATTACCACCAACGAGCCACAGCAGTGCTATGTTCGCTTGCGCGAAGTGGCTCGATAATGGTGATCCTCTCGGATCAGATGACTACGCAGCATAAGCATTGTCTACCTAACTTATTTTACCCCTAAGCGAGCCATCGGCCCGGACACCTCAGAACACATAGTAAATGCACTGGATTACAACTTGATAATTTAACAACCATAGCTTCTCTTGAGCTGTCCTTATAATAGTTCATTCTTTAGGCTGTCTATGGTAACGCCATAAAAGCATATGTTAGATTTCACCAAACTGTTAATCTAAAATCCAGTTCTAATGGACACATAAGATACGAAATTTGAAATAGTTCATATGCGTGGTTGTTGAATTATAAAACTTTCTAAAAACCATGTGTACTATGTATTCTGAGGTGTCCGGACGTCCGATTCGCTCGTGAAATACATTATTTAGAGAAGCTGAATCATGTCGCATGAACCCCTCTAAGGACCGGCAGTGCTCAGATTGGCCACAAACAATTTCTCGATATAGATAATATATGACCCTTGGATCTGCTAGCCCTAAACAGCTAGATGTTAACATGCATTAAAAGGAAGTTTAATGAATCTTCTTTCATTTCGAGCTCATGTATGTTACGTTTATTCGATACTTTCTAATCTGAAACACCCAAATTTCAGATTCTGACCCACTTGAATTTAGTGATCAATACCCTTGCTGCTGCGAATAGTTCTGATAATGTTATTTGAGCAGAACCGGGTTGGAAGTGAGAAGTGGATTCCCGCAATACGAGGAGGAGTGTAGGTTACTCTCACATTGTGTCTATATTAATCATAATCACGTTGATAACCCTGTGATCAGGAAAACGCGTCGTGAGCCTATTGGTCTGCAGGCAATCTAACCATGCATGCTTACCGTGAGGCTTTACATAGCGACCCACTAGGATTCAGTGAACAGTGCCTGTAGGGAAATGGAAGATGAGTTTGCTTGGGGCCAAAAGATTTGAGCAAAAGCAATAAAACAGAATACAAGATACCTGGAACCCGTTTGCTACGGGGCTCTTACTCTCTAGAAAGGCTGCGAAAGAAAAATTTCTGTTGAGCCTCCATTTATTGAAGCGGGTCATAATGCGCGGTATCATGCTTAGCATCATGCACGCGCTGGTCTTTGCAGCACCGATCTTTTCCGCATTTTCCTGCGCAAGTAACTCTACAAACAGTGGACGACCCGCATATCGCTTTCTTCCAGGTGATCCTGACTGGCCAACCGAGGGTGAATGGAATAAACTGAATGAGACCATTCAGGGACGCTTGATCAAGGGAGTCCCACTCGCCCACACGTGCTTTGGTCCAACCACTAGCCAGGCTGAAATTGTCTGTAATGCCCTCTCGAATGATTGGGATTATGTCACTCCCTTGTAAGAGGATCTATCCTTTGACCTGCCCCTGCCACAATGAATATGCTAATGATATGGGACTTTCTAGCCTCGGGGACCCAGTTAATGTCATGTCGCCTTATTGGCAAAATGACTCCTGCAATCCGTTCTCAGCCTCTAATGGTAGTTGCCGCTTGGGCAACATGGCGTCCTATGCTATCGAGGTGACCGATGCCGCCACGGCAATTGCAGGAATGTCGTTCGCGAAAGAGAAAAACCTGCGACTGACGATCAAAAATACGGGGCATGACTACCTCGGTCGCTCCGCTGGAGAGGGTTCTTTGGCTTTGTGGATGCATAAATTAAAGGGGATTTCGGTACTCACCAATTACACTGGTGTATCTTACACCGGGCCGGCGATCAAGGTCGGGGCTGGAGTCGAAGTATGGGAGGCCTACTCTGCAGCACAAGCAGAGGGTATGCGCGTCGTAGGCGGTGGCTGTCCCACCGTGGGGGTAGCCGGAGGGTGGCTGCCTGGCGGCGGCCACGGCCCTCTGACCTCGGCTTACGGGCTCGGTGCGGACGAGGTGCTGGAGTATGAAGTCGTCACGACGGATGGCCATCATCTTGTAGCTTCCCCCGCGGGTCCCCATGCTGATCTTTACTGGGCGCTCAGTGGTGGTGGACCGGGTAATTATGCCCTAGTACTTTCTCTAACGATCAAAGCTCACCAGGATGGGCCTGTCGGGGGCTTGTCACTAACATTCACCAACAACAATGCGAATGCCTACTGGAGCGCCATCGCGGCCTGGATCCGTCACCTGCTCGTAATCGACCGGACTTTGCCCGCTGTGCACACCTCTGCCACCTTCACCAGCTCGTTCTTTTCTGTCGATTTCGTCACCTTCCCCGGCGCTACGTCCGAACAGAACATCATTAGCGCGATAGAGCCGTTTCTGGCCCAGCTTAAGCAACTCAAAATCTCTCTCGCAAGTATCGAGACCCACCTCTCGCCAACATTTTATGACCATTACCAGTACTTCACCACGGCGTCCATCAATGCCACCAACGAAACGCTCAGTAATCGCCTTATTCCCCGCAAAACGGTGCAAAGCCATCTCCCTGCCCTGATTCAGACTTTTCAAGACATCAGCAACATCAATTCAGCCGCTGTCTTTGTCATCAACAGCGCCAATGTGACCCATCAAAACGTGGGTAACGCACCCGGATTCAACTCCGTCCTGCCCGCCTGGCGCTACGCACTATTCGAGTTGAACTTCGGGCTAGAACTTTCTCCGGAAGCATCGTGGGATACCATTCGCAACCATCAGATGCAGGTCAACGACTGGGTCGACAGGTTCCGACTGCTCACCCCAGAAAGTGGATCCTATATGAATGAGGCGACGTGGAACAATGCGCACTGGAAAGTGGATTATTTTGGCTCTAATTATCCACGCCTCGCAGCGATTAAAGCTAAGTATGATCCAGAGTACTTGCTTTTTGCGAATGCAGCAGTGGGCAGCGACGTAGCATGGCGGACAGATATAGATGGCAATGGGAGGTTGTACAGCCGGTGAGGCTTTAGGGCAGGGGTTTTTGTATATTCATAGACCTATCATATCTCAGTACAGCTTGTGTGTAAGTGTGTGTGTGTGCGTGTGTGTGTGGAAGCCAATCTCGATTTTGGCTGCAGTGCGGCCTGCAGTGCCCATTTGACTAAAATATCGAGAAATCAATTTTCTACCGTCAAATATAGAGTATTCAAATCAAAAGCAATCATCTTACTGATGCGCTGGCAGGTGGTTTATACTTGGAACAAGCCAGGCTAAAACTCCAACACACCATGTAAAGAATCTCTGTCTATCTCTCTCTCCCTCTCGCGCGCATTACACTAAGCCCATGCTTGGTCCTACATCAACCACGCTCTGTCATTTCATGTCCTTCAAACATCGCGGAGTCCTGCCTCATGTGCAATTCCAGATTTCCTCGCCTCCAGAATCTGCAGCGTCTGCTCAAACACCTTCTTCTGTGCACGCTGTCCGACCTCTGTATAGATCCACGCTTCCACATCCTGGTTCGACCCATCGCTCTGGAACTCGCCATGCGAGCTGGCGGGAGCTGACGCCGCAAGAACAAGGGTGCGGCTGCCAACCTCGGTAGTGCGATCTAAGATGCGCCGTATAAGGCGAAGCACTGCGGGAGCTTTGCCGCTGTTGCGCTCTAGGTTGGAGGTGCATAGACCAGGGTTAACGAGATTGATAATCACACTAGTAGAACCGAGGCGAGCGACAAGTTCGCGCGTGAAGAGAACTTCTATAAGCTTAGTAGCTTGGTATCTAGTTATAGTAAGAAGGTAGATATTAGTAATCATACATAAGCGAATGAAGAAACTCAAGTGCTGACCTTGGTTGCTGACTAAAGTCAGTCTTATCATTAAGCTTCGTATATAGCTCAGGGGAATTAATCTCCGGGAATTTAGTCAATCGGTGCGCCTCAGAGCTCACAATCACTAGATGTGGGTATGGCTCCTTCTCCGCTAATACAGCACTCGTCGCCTCCAGCTTAGGTAAGAGGGATAGTGCTAGTAAAAAGGTGTTTAGAACATTAACCTGGACGGCTTGTTCATACCCCTCGTGGACCTTCCACTCAGGCGAATTTATTCCTGCGTTGTTTATCAAAACATCTAACCGTGGAAGGTCTATCTTCACGCGATCAGCGAACGCTAAAGTTGACTTAGTGCTCGAGAGATCGAGGGGCCATATCTCAATGGCGTCCGGCTCGGACCGTTGCGGGTTGTTCCGCAAAATATACTCTTTAGCCTCTTGACCCTTGGCGATATTGCGTACGGCGAGGATCAATCTGGCGGAGTTGAGGCGGTAGAAGTGCTGTGCGGATTCGAGGCCCAGCCCAGAGTTGGCACCGGTAACGATCACGGTTTGCTTGGTGAAGGACTGGGTTGGGAGCTTAGGGGTGACGAATAATTGCGAGTAGAAGAAAAGACGAAGCCCCTTGCCGAGATTGGGGCTAATGGGGAAGTCCTCCCGATTGGAGTTGGCGGACATGTGTACGGGTCTGCGAGACAAATTGAGAACTGATAGCACAAGAAGGCCGAAAGAACATTACTGATTAGATGTATATATAGAGTCGTGCGTGCGAATGGATGGAAAACGCATGTGGATGTCGTAATGATTAATAATTCGATCTCCCAATCAAAGAGATTAATTGATCCAGATTGTAGCCTACCGATAACCCTAGAAGCGGGCGAATAATTCCACCGAACACCTACTCTGCTCCTGAATGCACCCGAGCCCGACGGAGAGCGGGCTAATTCGTAGCCCCGGAGAGCAGGAACGCGTAAGGGTGCTTTACCCGAAGAAAGAACTTCTTATGCATGCTTACCCTGCACTAGTAAGCAGTTGGCCTGAGAAGCCAAAGAAAAGAGCGGAGAAGAGACAGTTTCAAACAAGGTTGGCTTCGTACCATGAATTAATTGCCTTGTCGAGAGCTGTTAAATTATTAAATTACGTACTTTTGCGTCCACTGATATTGGGAGACCATGGCCTCCCCTATGCAAACATTAATCCAGGCCGGTCTGAAGGAGCAGCTCCTGCTCCCTTCCCAACCAGAATACCACACCCTGCAAGCTGCCTCTTGGTCGAAGAGCGCCCGATTGAGCCCAGCGGCTATCCTGCGCCCCCGATCGGCTTCGGAAGTATCAACAGCGCTCCACGCTCTGATCACCGCGGGCCGGAAATTTGCCATCCGCAGTGGGGGCCACACGCAGTATCCTGGGGCCAATGATATCGACGGGAACGGGGTGACCATCGACTTGGGGCTGCTCGATTGGACCCGCTATGACCCCACCACGGAGACCGTCGAGATCGGGCCGGGGACCCGCTGGAAACAGGTCTACGCGGCACTGCGAGAGCACGGGCGCGTTGTCGCCGGCGGTCGCGATGGCAACGTTGGCGTCGCCGGCCTGCTGCTTGGCGGAGGCAAGACGTTCTTTGCGGCGCAGCGGGGGTTTGCTTGTGATGACGTGGTGAGCTTCGAGGTAGTGGTCGCCGGGGGGAACGCAAACAAAGACGAAGGCTGTTCAGTTGTGACGGCGTCGGCCGAAGAGCACCCGGACCTTTTTCGTGCGCTCAAGGGCGGTTCCAATAACTTTGGGATCGTTACAAATTTTACAATGCGCGCGCTGGTCTGCGAATCGGTCTGGGCAGGGTTGAACTTCTTCCCGAAGGAACGAACAGAGGAGACCGCGCAAGCGCTCGTCAACTTCACGGACTGTGTAGACCAGTATCCCGATAGCCATCTCTTGTACTTTCTATCGTATACTGGTAAGTTCCATTGGAGCCCTGTGGGTGAAATATCTGACCGAATGTCCTAGTAAGTTGTACAAGATTCGCCCTGTGGGTTTACCAACCTTGAAATAACGATATCTGGCATGGCAGCCCGCATTTCATGACATCGTCGTTGTTACCGCGTATGTGCAGCTCGCGGGGATTGTCAAAGCCCCGGCCTATCAAGACTTTCTAGCCTTAGACCCCATCCTCGACACGACCAAGATAACAACAGTCGAGAATGTAGTGTCCGAATATGACATTGCGCCTCCCAACTACCAGTGCGCTCCATTGCTATCCCCTTTCCTCGTCGTAGCAGACCGTCATGAACGAGCCCCCAAGGAGGGCGTATGCTAATACTTTTTCGTTATCCTCTGCAGCAACAACTTTTTCACCTCCACCTTCAAAAATGACACTCGGGTCGTCGCAAAAGCTGCATCGCTTCACCAATCCCTAGTCGATGAGCTGAAAGCCTTCATTCCCGACGGCGACTTCATTACCCAGTGTCTTCTCCAACCGCTCCCTACGCGGTACGGGCAATTGTCCGCCCTGTGTACCGGCGGAGACAACATCATGAACGTCTCAGCACAGCCAGTGAACGGACTCCTATTTGTTGCCGTCGCGATGGTGCGTACCCCCGAGCAAGAAGCCTTCGTCTATCCAAGACTTCGAGCCTGGGTAGAGGCGTTGAAGGCGTTTGCGACGGATGTGGATCCGGACTATGGAAACCTCGAGTGGGTGTACATGAATTATGCTGATAAGAGCCAGAAGGTGTTGGAATCGTATGGAAAAGAGAATTTGAAATTGATGCGAGCGGTCGCGGCGCGATATGACCCGGGCCAGGTGTTCCAGACGCTGTGCCCGGGAGGATTTAAGCTTACTCAGGTGCGGGATTAGGGGTATTTTTAAAGCCTATGAACTTTAAAGTATTGATTCAAAATATATCAATGTCTCAATCTAACCGGGCATTCCATTTCTATATTCTATATCATCCCTTGTCCGGGCCCTTTACAATGTACATCTGCTCCCGCATCCAGAAGCATCTCTACAGCCGCCTCAAACCCTGTCTCAGTCGCCAAGAATAGAGGGCTCTTCCCCTCTCTCGTCAGCCCATTGATAATCGTACTTTCCCCTGCGCAGTACCGCAATAGGCGTTTCAATAGCCGATCTCGACGATTTAGCACGGCCCAGTGGAGCGCTGATCGATGTTGATCATCTACGATGCCGATCTGCGCCCCGTGCGACAGCAGCAGATTTGCAACCTCTTTGTGTCCACCTAAGACGGCGTGCACTAACGGGGTTCGGCCCTTCCCGTCCTGTTCGTTGCAGTTGGCCTGGTGCGCTAGGAGAATCTGCACGATTCTTTGGTGGCCTCGTCGGACGGCCTGGTGCAGTGGACTCAGCACCCGCGGGGGAACACCATCCAGGTTTAGGTCTGGGCTCACTAGATCGATGCCCTGGTAACCCACAGCTACTCCAGTTTCACTGCTGCTGCTGCTACTGTTCCCGTTGTTGCTTTTCTGGGGGCTCATCATGGGAATTTCGTGGTGAATGAAGGGTGTAAACGCATGCTGGGTGGGGGGGTCTGTGGTGGTTGGGGCCAGGATCTGCTGTAGCAGATTCGGGGCACAGAGAGTTTCATGGTCAGATAGGAAGCAGTCGTCCGGACTGGTGATGTTGATGTAATCTGGTAGGTCACCCGTGCTGGCTTCGGATCCTGTTCCAATCCCGGGAGGGCAGGTCCGCTCGTAGAAATCAAATGCAGGCGCCACTGTGGCACTCGGTGATTGCAGATTTGTGTTGTGTTGATGGTGGTTGTCGCCTGTCCGTGATAATTCTGGGCCCTGAAGCTCCGAGCTCAGGCTGAAATCAAGGAAGTCCTGTGGGCCTGTGGCTTTTCTTTGACTATATCTCTCTGTGGCAAGACGAAAAGAGGAGTCAGCTGGGAGCCCTTTGTTTAATGAAGTGCCTGTTACTGACGGCGAAACCTCCGCTGCGCAAGTTTATTCTGTTCCCGCCGACGCTCCGTCTTCTCCTGAAACTGTGAATCATTTTGCGCCATCGGGCTTTAATTACTGCCAGTTGATCGTGCCAAAAAGGACTCCCCTTGCAGCAATTGCTCACAATACACTGTTTGGTTACCTTTGTAATCTTCGTGTCCGGAAAGGTGACCGCCACAGGCTTTGGAGTCTGGAAAGTGAGATCTGGTCCTATCGCCACGGCGCGTATCTGGCTCTAGGTGTTTGCTTCAAATGCTGATGGGGGCTAATCTTTACCCCTCTTTCTATTTCTAGTAGGGATTAAGTCGAGAGTGGTTTTTACTGGCCCCTGCTGCTACCTAGTGGGTAGTCTCGCAGCCTTGTGTCGATAACACAAGTACGGAGGAATATTCTGACTTGCAGGAATCCGTGTTTGACCAACGGCACTTAAGCGACTGCAAGAAAGATTTATGGATCCAAAGCTCCCGGTAGGCCTAGAAACTTAGTCCCGATTGCGCCATAGAATGGGATTGAACTCGTTCGGAAATTACCTCATGGCGTTTACCCAATCCATTGAGCGATATGGTCACGACTCACGATGTCCAGGTACTGACTGCCAAGGTTGCCACCGGGGCCATTCTTCTTCTTCTTTTTTTTTTTTTTTTTTTTTTAAAAAGGCAATTCTTTGTTTGGTAGAAAACGAAGTTACTGGGGCCTACAGTCTACTAAAAGAGCCCCTTGTGTGTAATTGGCAAAATGAAGGCATAGCTAGACTTCTCCACGGCCGGCCCACGGAGCCCATACAAAGCTCTTGAAAGTGGGACTGTTTTCAAAGTGAAATTCTAGCGCTCAAGTTGGCAGGAATTTTGGGTTTTCAAAATTATAAACATTATCTGGCACAATCTAAGTATGAATCTGTCAGTTCTTGCTCAAAGTGTATGGACTAGTATGCAGTCAGGGCGAATGAGATCAAGCGGAACCAATCCAGGATCAGAAGATTGATTGATTGGATGGAAATAAGCATGCGATCGAGCCCAAATCATTTTTCGCTAATCAAATAGGAGCGCGCCCCTTTCCCCGCTTTAGTGCTTCCCTCGGCTTTGGCTTCGGAGGCGTTAGGCTAGATTGCAGCAATTCCGCTGTTGTATTACATGTATTTTTGGGGCTCTGAAAACGTCTGGAGATGACACTGCACATGTGGGTTGTGGAACATTGAATGTGCATCGACTACACTTGAGTAGCAGAATAATGATTTTCCTACTGTCTGGCGAAGTATTCAAAGTTTTGTGGGGTTTTTAATTCGACCTAAACAACCTTCTTGATTTCTGCCCTCGAAATAGTAGGCCGGGGTCTTGGTCGAGGGACGGCAGGCAGTTCCTCAATCTCATCTCCACTCTCCACCTCGATAATCGCCCGATCAGTAATCAGGAGGGGCGCCTGGGTTGTACGGATGGGGGGTGGGATATACCCATCGTCGCTGCTTGGTGCCGAGCCTGACTCTGCCGCATCATCCCCAATGACCAAGGGATTCTTAGCACTGTTCCTGTGGACCAGAGGGGGCACTGGTGGTGATGGCAGGGGGGCCATTGGCCAGGGAATAGTGTTGTTTCGAGTTTCGGAGTCTCGTACAGAACAGGTAGACCCTCAATCCGGCCATTTGCAGTTCCCACACGCCCCTTGCCAGTATCCTGGCCTCCGGACACAGTGTTGGAAGGGTTGCATGATGTTCATCCCCACACATCAACTGCATGCTCGTACAACTCGCCGACCACCTGACTGGATCAGTAGCGCATTGATATATGACTGCCGTTGGGAGAAGATTTGATACCGGAAGAGGGTTCGGGGTTCATGAAGGACCCCCCGTCCGGGCAGGTCCAGGACAGTTCGTTGTTCCGCCGTGCTACACAGTCGTTCCAGTAGCCGTCACCGCGAATCGGATTTGACATCTGGAATTCTTCCCCTTCGTGGGTCCCAAAATGTCGCCATACTCTCAACGTGACCCCTGTATAAGATTCGTGGATCCTCGAAATTGAGCCCGTGGTTTGACTTGGTGCACATAGTTTGTGGGTGGCCATATTCGGATTTCCACGCGACCTTGATTTGAGCTTGTTATTAGAATTAATCATTTCAAAACAAGAGGAACCCTCGTGAACATCGGGCACATAGTAAGAACTTACCTCAGTAAACAAATCGTTGATGGCCGATGTGTGCCATTTGAAGCTGCTTCCAAGTCTGTAGGCGAGCTGATACCAGCCCCCGAATCTCATATTCTTTTACTGCCCACGCCTCCGTCACGCTGGTATGTAAACAGTACTGGTTTAAGGGTGGTGACGTCTTGGCGGATTCTTGTTGATGGATCCACGGTACACCTTCATCAGTCTTCTTTATTGTCATTTCTCGATTTGAAGTGTTGGCTTCGGTGGTGTATTTGTTGTTGATGTTGTGTTATGTCCTGAGATGTCACGCAGGTTTTTCTTGATGAAGACTGAAGGGAAGAACATTGAAAGAGAGAGAAGGAGAGAACCTACAAGAAAGGGACAACCTTAAGTACCCATAGGTGGGTCCGATAGCAAACAAAAGGCTGAAACAACCAGTTGACTATCAGGTTAGGGCTACACATGGTGACAGTGGCGTATGAAAAAGACTATCTTCCAGTCATCCGAGATTATCAAGATTTGTGGGAGGCTAAATTCAAAAGAAACAGTTAATTGCTCTAGTTCAGAGAAAATCAGCCACGTTAAGGGACCATTTGTTTTATGTATATTAAGATTCTCCGGCTTAGCAGAATAGAGACCTACAGATTATTTATACTTCTCAACATAGAGGCTTGACTTAGTGACAGTCAATACCGTGATTTATCTTAGAGAAGAACATTTGAATAGGTAGTTTGTGTATCTTATCAATTGTGCGTGCCTTATTCAACGCCAATTGCAAAACAAAACAAAAACAAAACCAAAACAAAACCAAATCAAAATCAAATCAAACCCAAATCAAACCCAAATCAAACCCAAATCAAAATGAAAAGATATCCCCTGCCACATTTACGGGATGAGAGAGGGAATCGAGTATGGCAGGATTGTGAGTTCCCCCATCCGGTCCATGGGACCGAATCTGAGGACTGGAAGTACTGATTTCCACGCGACCTGGATTTGAGTTTGTTATTAGAATTAATCACTTCAAAACATAGTAAGGAACCCTCGTGAATGTTCGGAACATTGGAAGATCTTACCCGTGTAAAGAATTCCTCGATTTCAGAGGCGTGCGCCTCGCGATCCAGGTTGACCGGTGCCAAAACAAGTGCATAACCGGCGAAGTAATCTTTCGCCTCGGAGATATACTCCAGAGTTTCCTGCACATCAGCCCCGCCGCATCCGATAATCAATTTCACATATTCGTAGCCAAGAAAAAAAAGCAAGTCATGTACTGTGCACAGCAGTATCTTCCGCGAAGTGTGTCCAAGGTACCGGCCGGTGAACCCTAGCAGGATAATTGCAGAAATTCCGCTCTCGGCCAGCTCTTGTGCTTTCTTTTGTGTTGCTGGGATATCGATTTGTCCATTTTTCAGGACAGTGTTGAGGTGGCCGGCGATGGCGATTTCGGGTGCCGGGGATGCCATTTTTGAAAGTCTTGTGAAAGATCCTTGAGTATGGGTGATTCGGGAAATCCATCTTGCTCGGGGGATTCCCATTCTTTTTATATTCAAGGATAAAATTCAATGAGCTTCTTGTTCAGCGACCTGGATGCGCGTAGAATGTCCTGGTAGTCGGCGGAGCTTCACATGTTTCTTGTCCAGACATTCAATGGGCCCCGCAATATTCAATTCTCACTGCATTTGGACGGCAAACCAGCAATTGAGGTATCCAGGCCATTCTAACGGAGTCCATCCATTGAATTTTGCCCTTTCGCTCTGATGGATGTTCTGCCCATGCTCGCAATATTCAATGCTCGCTGCATTTGGACGGCAAATCAGCACTTGAGGTATCCAGGCCATTCTAACGGAGTCCATCCATTGAATCTTGCCCTTTCGCTCTGATGGATGTTCTGCCTGTGCTGTCAATTCAGTTTCCTGACATTGAATATTTGGTAATCCAACCACCAAAATGGGTTGTGTTTCTCCTGCCCGTTTTGGAAGTATAAAGCTCATGCCCTAGCCTATTCCGGAGGTCCATTTTCAAAGCACCCTGCTTGATTTTAGTTTCGCTTATATGCATATGAAATATATATAGAAAAAGGCAAGTCGAGAGATGAAGCACAGATAAGAATGATGTCCAAATTATTCCTTGGTCGCAGACAATATAAGTTTTCCTGATATGGATATTCAGGAAGTTTCCCTGCATGTAACTAGATTGCAGCAATTCCGCTGAATCATCATGTTCGCGGATCAACAATGACATCATGTTGGGCAAGTGTACAAAGGGATTTGTGACTGATTCCTCGGTATCAGAAAACCAAGAGTGGAAATGTGGTGCGCTGTCGTCGGACGGTGAGATACCAGTCTGAATCCCTTCTGTCGATGGTTTCTTCGCTATTGTTTCATTCATTGAGCTGATAACTGTCATGATCTCATCATTTTATTATATTTGTAGTCGAAACAAAGAGGCAAAGAAAGTGTGTTTGGAAATTTGTGCCTCTGACGAATCGCTTTCTTCGTTAACAAAATCGAAATCATTTCCTACCGAGACTCCAGCTCGGCCAGTTGAACGATCGTTTGAGCAGCAGTCTCAAAGTCCGGCTCCACGGTGAGGTTTCCCGCATTCGAGTTCGCAATCTACAACAACTTAGCTCGACAAAGGCGATCATCGCACCCAAGAAGAACTTACCAGCTTCAAGCCCTTGTCAGAATTAGTACCCTGCAATCGAACAACAACCGGGACCTTGAACCCGCCCATCTCAGCAGCAGCAGCAATAATCGACTCAGCAATCATATCGCATCGAACAATTCCTGCAACCTCCCCGTCAGCAGAGCGCCATGCATCCACAACCAGTTCAAAACCCCCTTAGAAACTCACCACCATAAATATTAACCAAAATCCCCCTTATCCTCGCATCATTATTCAGAATCTCAAAAGCCTTCGACAAAGTCTCCTTCGTCGCCCCACCCCCAACATCCAAAAAATTAGCACACTTCCCCCCACAAAGCCCAATCAAATCATTAGTCGCCATCGCCAGCCCCGCCCCATTAACAATATTCCCAATATCCCCATCCAGCCGCACATACGAAAGCCCCAGCTCCGCCGCCTCAAACTCCAGCTCCTCCTCCTCCGAGCGCTCCTCAAGACTAAACAGGCCTTTCTGCCTAAACCGCGCCGAATTATCAAAACTAAACTTCGCATCCAGACACACAAAGTCGCCCTCCGGCGTCCGCACAAGCGGGTTGAGCTCCAGCAGCGTCGCGTCCTTTTCTTCGAATAGCTCCACCATCTGCCGCAGGATGTGCGAGAGCGTGCCCATCTCTGCGTCCGAGAAGCCTAGCTGCGCTTGGATGTAGGCTGTTATCTCGGGCCCGATCCCGTGCGGCATGTGGAACCAGTATTTTTGGAGCTGGGAGACGTCGTCTTCGATGTTTACGCCTCCGTGGTCGGAGATTAGGAGGACGGGCATACCGCGTTCGCGGTCGAAGGTTAGGGCTACGTAGAGCTCTTGGGCGACGTCGACGGCTTTGTAGATGTAGAGCTTTTTTACGAGAAGGCCTTCTGGGGGTGTTTGTTTGGTGGTCAGGTAGTAGCCCAGCATTTTGCTTGCGCTGTCGAAGGCTTCGCTTGGTCTGGGTTGTAGGTTGCTGGTTAGATTAGGGGTTCTTGGAGTGGAGTGGGTTTCTTTTTGTCGAAGGTGTTGTGTTGGGAGTACTTGCGTGTTGACCATGCGCACTCCTCCTTTGCCGTCGCTGCTGCATTTGCCTTTCCCGCGGCCGCCGGCGAGCACTTGGGCTTTGAGGATCGAGGGCGCGTCTGTATTTTCGTTGATGTTGTTAGTGGGTGCATTGGGGTTGAAATCAAAAATCAAAAAGGAAATGAAATTGAAAACGCACGAATGGTCGTTACAACAGTCTGAGCTTCCTCTGCATTCGTCACCACATGTCCATTCGGCACTGGGATGTCGAACTTGGTCAAGCGTTAACGAGCGTCACGCTAAGGACATTGGAGTTATCCTACATGTCGCAGAAGCTTGTGGGAATTAAATTCCAGCAGTCCCAGCCCTCGTCTCTGGGACTTGAGTAGTTTTCCTGCCTTTTCGGGCGATCAGTCTTAGTTTCCTTGTTGTCGGGACGCAGCACTCACATATCGAGATAGACGTGTAGTCGGACGCCAAGTATTCATCATGACTCTTTTTTCCCGAGTGAATTTCCTTTTTCCTGTGCTTTAGATCACAAGACTTTTGTTGTGATTATATTCTTTTTCATCGTGTGTCACATGTGGGGTTTTACCCTTTTGATGACATCAACACTGTATGTCACCACAATGTCACGCGAACGTTGGTAGAAGCTTAATTATAGGCTTTCTTTGGTTCTACCCCGGATTGACATTGCGGATCTCCATATTCAACAATGGTCTTTCATGCAGTTTACTCTTTGGGGGAATAATTTGGCAATTGAGTGCTCGGGTGACATCACGATCGAACGGGAATCGAAGGTTAATCGAATAAGCTCCACTTGATATTCATTGAATGGTTGAATCCTCCAGGATCTCCATTTTAGCTTGGAAATGGTTTCCACTATGCACGCTTCGCTTTGCTTCCCGACCGGTGCAATGGTTTTCATGACTTGAGCACAGCAACTAGGTAACCGCTGTGCGCCCGAATAATTCGGTCAGATTCCACGTATACTCCGCGAAAGTCTAAACATGCGGCCCATCTTTTTTCTCGGTAGTACCCATGCGTTTGAAAAAGTTCCTGTACGGTCGCTGATTATAGGGCCTATTCGGGTCTGACTTTCATTTTGCATTATTAGCACCCGGATTTTTACGAATGGGTGGGCCAAGAAAGATGACAGTATATGTGCCCATTGGCTATACACCTTGGTAAGCTTCTCCTGTGATGGACTTCAAGCAAAAGCGGTGTTCCGGGAAGTTCGTCAATGAGCATGTACGCAACCCCAATTTCATTCTTGGGATCATTTCGGAGACCAAACTTATAAATCTTCGGAATAAAGAGCAAATTTGAAGTCTCGAGAAACGTAAGAGTTACACACTCGCTCTCAATGAATTGATTAGTTGAATGGTCTGCAAAAGACGTATAATTGACCCTAAAGAGCAGCCAAGAGACAGCTAGATTTGATTTTTGGTGTACACATGTGCATAAAGCCCCGCTCGATAATGCAAAAGATATCGCAAACAGGCGACCGGTCGATCCGGTGTATTCCTTGTCCCCCAGTAGGTCCAATAGATGTGCAGAATGATCCCTAACTGCGCACAGGAGAAACTTGCGCGAGGTGTGGCCAAGGTAGCGCCCGGTGCATCCTAGCAGCACAATTCCAGTGATACCTGTTTCAGCTAGGTGTTTTGCTTCCGCGCGGGTGGCTTCCAGATCATTAGTTCCGTTGTCCTTGAAAAAAACTCACCAGATGCGCTTTCATGTTCAGGCTGGGCCCTGCGCTTGCCATTTTTGTGGGAGATCGGATGTGGGTGATTCGGGAAATTCATCTTCTGCTTGGGGTATTCCCATGGGTTTTGTTGAGTTGTTGAAGGCCGGGGAGCTTAGTCGAGACCCAAGAATGACAGCAATTCTGGATCGGCTGGCGTTGACATACTAAGTTGGCCTAATTCAGGAGAGATCAATCCAGAGTAATCTACTGATCTTGTTCACCCTAACTGACATTTGAGAATAATTTGAAAAACATACTCTAAATAAATATGGCTTGCCGGCTCAAGAAAGGATTGAGAGTAGTATGAACGACAAGTGCTTTGATTTAACAAGCTATTTCAGGTTTACCGTTTATGGCAATGTGCAGATACCAAGGAACCCCGAGGTGTGGTATTTGGATGGCATATTAGAATACAGAATGAAAGATGCCCACTTGTGACTTAAACTTCTCTTCTAAGCCTTGGGCTCTTCAATTTGCATTCAATCGTAGCGTGCCTCTTTCATACGCGCGGAGTTGTTAGTGGTTTTTATGATGCCCACAGGCGGTGACAAATTGGTGCTTACTAATCCTCCCCCTCCAATCACGAGACTCCACTTTTCTGACGGACCCACCTTGTGAATCGGGACGCGTTATCGAATCAACAACGGAGAAACCGGGGAATCACGAATCCAGATCTTGAACACAAGCTTATTTCCACATCGCAATTACATCTGTCGAAGCTTTTTGTTTCCAAAGTGATTTAAAACTTGCGCACGGGCTTTCAAGAGGAGACACCGTGAATGTGTTGATTTTGTCAACATCATATCTCCCTTTCGCACCAACCAAAGCACCTTACCTTTTCAGGGTATTACGGCCGCTTCTGCCGCAACTTCTTCTTCAATCTTTCCCGCCATGGAGTCCGACGGCGAAGACGATTATGTGCTGAAGGCAGCAATCGAAGCTTCTCTCAGAGAAAGCAAAGAGGGTGCCAGCTCCAGCTCAACTTCACCTGAGAAGCAGTCTAAACCTGTCGTCGACCTAACTTGCGAATCTGAATCAGAAGTCGAGGTAGTTTTTCCAAAGTCCAACTCTACAATTGGAAGTGAAACCGACGATGAAGCGGAACGGGGGTTGGATGGCGCTGATGAAGAAATGAGGCGCGCAATCGCCATGTCTTTGCAAGATTCACCGTCTATTGACACCCCCGAAATGGATGTCGAGCCAGCGGCTACAGAGGTGCCACCTGAATCCACCTTGGCGAAATCTAGCGCTCCATCGCTTGGGTTCCTAGGTCTGAATCGGAAGCAAATGGAAGAGGAACGTCTCGCCCGGATGAAAAAGCGGAAGCCGGAGGATTCGGGATCTCCGCCCCCAGCTAAACTCTACAAGACTGAGTCCAGTTCGACTAAGCCTGTCTTACAATCATTTTCCTCGTCGGTTTCTTCATCGCAGGCTTCGTCGGAGGCCTCTCCATCCCCTGTTAGGCCTACTGCGCGACCGATCATCCAGTGGCCTCTGGGAACAGTGAAAAAGACACACGTCATGGGTTCCATGAGGGAGAATAAAGAGATCCTCATCGAAGAGGTCATCCAGCGGGGTGATTTGGAACTCGGTGTCTTCAGTTCATTCCTATGGGATATGGAATGGTTTTTTACTAAGTGTGACACATGGAGCACCAGATTCCTTCTCATCATGCATGCCAAGGAACAAGAACTGGTGAGTAAATGGAATCCTTGCTCTGAATAATGGTGAAAATAAACTGACAATGAATTTTCCACTACGAAATAGCGTGATACTATGGTGAAAGATGTTGAGCACATGAAAAACATCCGACTATGCTTCCCACCTATGGACGGCCAGATCAGTACTATGCATTCGAAACTGATGTTGCTGTTTCATCCTGGTTATCTGCGTATTGTTGTTCCGACAGCTAATCTGACAAGGGCTGACTGGGGCGAGGACCGCTTGATGGAGAATGTAAGCTGGATACTACCGGGGGCGAGTTCTTTTTTTGCTAATCTGACGAATCATAGACTGTCTTTCTTATTGATCTCCCGAGGAAGGTTGCCTTTAGTCATGAATCTCCAAAGACCTTTTTCTATCAAGAGCTGGTTTACTTCCTGAAAGCCAGTACTTTGAATGAGCATATCATTGCTAAGTTAGATGAATTTGATTTCACAGAAACAGCACGTTATGCATTCATACATACGATGTGGGTTTATTGTCCATTCCTTGCACTGGCTTCCTCTGGAAAACTGTTCCTTGGCTTAGCACGCCCACATACCCCATGCGAAGTTTCCGGAGGGCAGGCTTCGCCCAACATCCCCTTCCCTTGGACATTGATCAATAACATACACACACATACACACACAAACACATACTTCATCCGGAAGAATCATTAACCTTATTCTTAGTGGTGGGAGTTCTCCTCGCGGACCCGAAGAGCTATGGAGACACACAGGATACTGTGGCCTAGGCCGAGCCGTGAATTACTTAGGCCTACGATCTCCGTCGCCAATCAATGTTGACTACGTGGTATGTTATCTGGGCGGGAAAAGAACATTCAAAGCTCAGAGCTAATCGAGCACAGGCTTCATCCATTGGATCACTGAACAACGAGTTCTTACGTGCCATCTATCTTGCTTGCAAAGGTTGTCCCTAATGTGCCTACCCCGTCTCTGTCGGACATGACCTAACCATAGACTATAGGAGATGATGGCCTCGCCGACTACACACTCCGCTACGAAAAGTCTTCCGCTCGACAGAGCAATCCGGAACAACAGATCATGATGAAGGCTGGAGAGGAGTGGCAGAGCCGTTTCAATGTCTACTTTCCCTCCAACACGACTGTTCACGCTGCACATGCCTTCCCCCAGGACACGGGAGGTACTGTTTGCTTCCAGGCCAAATGGTGGTCTGGCGCAAAGTTTCCCAGACAGGTCATGAAAGACTGTGTCAGCGAAAGATCAGTTTTAATGCATAATAAAGTACGTGACAACCTCCCACAACATTCACTGATCAACAGCAAGTTGAAAGGCCTGGTAACCTCGGCTGACGAAATTGAATTCAAGCTTATGTACGTCTGGCCTTCGAAGCCAATCGAGCTCCCAAATAATCGCCAATGTAAAGGATGGGCTTATGTCGGAAGTGCCAATATGTCAGAGAGTGCCTGGTGAGTTGTTGTTTTGCCTGCCAATAACATGGCCAAAACATCCGCTAACAAAACATCACTGAAGGGGCCGCCTTGTCAAAGACCGCGAAACCAAGCAACCTAAACTCAACTGTCGGAATTGGGAATGCGGCGTCCTGGTTCCTGTCATCTCTCCCGCCACCGCATCCACTCAGGACGCCAACATCACCGACTCGCAGCCCAAATATCTCCCAGCCGAGATCTTCGCCGGCACAGTTCCCATCCCAATGGTACTTCCTGCACGCCCGCTATCTGAGAATAACAAGCCGTGGTTCTTCATGGGCGACAAGTAGACCGTGTCTGATGCAAGACCAATAGTCTTTAGGCGCATCTTGCAATCCGATTTCTCTGTATTTGTTATTATCCCTATCTGTTCATGCCTTTTATTGTGGAGGGCGCATGGCCTGTTTTTTCTTCTGCTATCTAGGGAAAGATTTGCGTTGGGTTGACCTATGTGGGCATGTATCTTAGAGGGACATCGAGATGTTTATTCATAGATGGATAAGACCAGATTTTTCTCGATCTGAAGGGCAATAAAATGAATGGTATTTCATCAAGGACATTTTTCACAGAGTCCCCCGTGGGCCCTTCTAGCCTGACTTGTGGCATGGATGAAAAAGAGAAGTTTCTTATAGGAACCTTGGCAGTATGAGAGTACACAGCCCTCTGAAGGTCATACTTTAAGGTCAACGTCGACAACAAAACATCGCAATGCGACAGTGAAACTGTCCAGGTTAACAATGACAACAAAACAACGCAAAACGATAATAATAAAACAATGATAATAATAAAGCAACATAAGGTAACGACGACAAGACTGTTAAGGTCAACGACGACAACAAAACGACGCCATGCGACAGTGAAACTGTTTATGTCAACGACGACAATAAAAATAAGAAAAATAATAAAAACAGTAAGAATGAGAAGAACGAAAAAAATAATACAAAATCATAAAATAATAAAAAACGAGAAACGAGAAACGAGAAAAAAACAAGAAAAATAATAAGAGTGAAGGAGAAGGAGTAATGGTCAAGCTTAAAAACTAATATGAAACAACCAAAAACGATAAAAACAACAAAAATGATAAAAAATAAGAAATATAATAAGAGCAAAGGATTAAAAGAAGTGACGAAGGATGAAAACCAATATAAATTGACTAAAAATGACTAAAAACGACTAAAAACGACCAAAAACGATAAAAGACAACCAAAAACGACCAAAAACGACAAAAACGATAAAAAACGATAAAAGACAACCAAAAACGACCAAAAACGACAAAAACGATAAAAAACGACAAAAAGTATAAAAAATGATAAAGATAATAGGAGTAAAGGATTTCGAGTAAAGGATTTCAAGTAATGATAAAGGATAAAAACTAATATAAATCGACCAGAAACGACCAAAAACGACAAAAACGATAAAAACGATAAAAAACGATAAAGATAATAGGAGTAAAGGATTTCAAGTAATGATAAAGGATAAAAACTAGTATAAAATCATGAAAATAATCAAAAAATAATTAAAAAAATAATTAAAAAATATTAAAAAAAACCATTGAAAAAAACCATTGAAAAACCCTATTGAAAAAACCATTGAAAAAAACCATTGAAAAAAACCATTGAAAGAAACCATTGAAAAAAACCATTGAAAAAACATCGAAAAAAACATTGAAAAAAAATATCGAGAAGATATCGAAAAAATATCAAAAAACATCCAAAAGATAATGAAAAAAACATTGAATAAGAACATTGAGAAATGGATATATAGTCTACTAGGACCTTGTTAAATAGAGTATACTAAAAATGTAAATGTAAAAAAAAATTGATAGAAAAAAAATAAGTTAAGGCTAGCGGAGGGGAAATAACTAGTTCCATAACCCAATTTCAACTTTCCGACTAGCAGAAAGTAAATTATAAGTAATTCTAAATTGATACCTATTTTTGAACTCCATTATATGCAGCGCTACATTATATGTTGAATCCGATGTCCTTGAGCTCCATTATATAAAGCGTTCAAAGTATTGTATGCTGTATTACACATATGCTGCATTTTACATACGTTGAGTCGCTATACTCAAAATTTGAAGTCCGTATATATTGATTGATCAATTGAACATTCAATCCTGGACCTCCATTCAAATGTTATACATTTTGAACTGATTGACTCCCTACACTTCCTTATCTTACTTTTTTGAATTTTTCTCTTCAAATGTTATTAAAGAGAATCATTACATACTACCAACTGGGGAGAAAAAGAGGTCGAGTACTCAAGTGCTTGAGATCTAGCTTCCACATGTGCAGCTTGCAGGAATAGGCACACGCTCTGCGTGCACCCCAGATAGCTTATATATATGTATTATTTAAAACTTAGTATACTTTATCGACATCAATTGATTTAAGCCAACATTTTGGATATCTAAGAGAACGATCAATATCTGGAGTGAACAGAGGAAGGAGGGCAAGAGTGTAATGCTATATATTACCTGTGGGACCTGCGGGGAAGAAAAAAAAAGAGAGGAAGAACTACCGACAAGATAACTGAGAGTACCCTCGTCACATGACCAAACAACATTTAAGTAAGATTAAACATTTGAAGCGATGTTTAAGCGAGTAGCCTTAGAAGCATCAGCCTGATGTTCTTGTATGCCGTAACATTTAAACAAAAGCATTCAATATTCATAAATACAGCTCGAGGGGTTTGAGATTGAGACATTCCTGTATCATGTACGCGATAAATACAATACGGGCGGGAAACAGAGCGGTGAAGTTGTTAATTGAAATTAGGTTATGGCACTATGGTGGCGTTTATCGGCCGCCATGAACGATAGAACGACGTAAAACGACGACGCCGAAGATTGGAGGAGAATGGTAGTCAGGAGTCGTGACAGGAAGAGTAGTATGAATACTAGGATAATATAAATGTGAAGATAATCCAAATGATGGGATGGGATGGTCAATTTTTTAAACCTGCCAGTGAGTAAAATGTTTTTCTGACATGATAATAAGTAGTCTAAGGCTATGCGCAGTCTTTGAAAATGACTCGCTACTTTTGAATGTCATATAACTTCTACGGACCTTGGAACCTTGGAACCTTGGAAGACGGTACAAATCTTGCAAGGTTAGGCATATTCTGTCAAACATTTGAATGTACATAAACACACATGCAGTTCTGAAGGCCACTTGGCACATTGGAATAGTATTAAGGTAGTCCTAGATAATACGACAGGAATTCCTAATGAACTTCAATGTTATATTTGTTAAGCCATTTGAATTTTTTCAATCTAAATTATGTACTTTTTTGGTGTCGAAAACCACGACACTAAACCATCTTCACACAAATGAAGGAAATTTTCGAAATATCGAACAAAAAAAAAACGAAATATAATGCACGCCTTGACAGCATCATGTCCTTCACGACACGCTGCACACGCTCCATGTAAATGCAAATCCCAAAGGGATCTTCGAAAATCACTGCTGAATCTCCTTCTTCTTCGGCTGGAACACGCGCTTCACGCCCTCAACCAGCATCCCACCCAGACCGAAGACATAGCCGAATCCAAAGCTCCAGCCCCGCACACGAACAGAGTAGATAAAGAAGTAGACCAGGAACCAGTTGATGATGACGAAAGCCAGGAAGATTCCGAAGCACCGCCACTTGTCGTCCGCGTGCACGTTCAGCTCGGCCATGTACTCCGCTCCGCTGCTGTACGGGCAGTACTGGCACTCGGAGGTCGAGGACGAGTCGACCAGGTAGCCGATGCCGGCGATGTTCTTCACGTAGTCGCCTGCGTACTCGCCGCATGTCATGCCGGACGGCGGGGTGAACTTTGTTGTTTCGCCTTCTGCGCACTGGATTGTGACGGAGGGCAGGACGGCGGAGAGGACGCCGCGCAGCCACCAGGTTACCGGGTTGACGTAGTACATCCAGTATTTCCAGAAGACGGGGTAGTCTGCGTAGGGGCGGACGATTCCGTTGAACAGGTTGACCATTACGAAGAAGAAGGGGAGGACGTTGGAGATCACGGTGAAGGATGGGGCGAAGGCGCAGATCCATTGGCCCCAGGAGGCTTGGAAGAGGAAGAAGAGCATCGACATGAGGAAGACGTAGCCTGCGCTTGAGGAGTCGGTGGGTAGGCCGACGGGGTAGTACCAGAGGACCCAGTAGACGAGGCCTGTGACGATGGCGGCGGGGATCTCGCAGACGATGTTGGCGGTGCAGAAGGCGACCCAGCCGTAGATGCGGGATGGGTATTCGCGGGCTTCCCAGAGGGCGCGGTTGATGTAGAACTTGGGGACGACGGAGTTCATGACGATTGGGGGGATAAGGATGATGAGGAAGGTGGAGAACATGCGGTCTTGCATGCTTGCTACTGTGTTGGGGAGCATCCAGAAGGTGAAGCCGTTGAAGATTCCGATGATGACGCTGACGAAGAGTTTGCCGTAGTAGTAGGATGGGTCGCGCCAGTAGTTGATGAAGAGACGCTTGATTAGGAGCTCGGTTTGGACGATGGTTGGGGCGGCGAACTCGTAGTGCGTGCTGCCGGACTCGTTGACGGGGATCTTGCTGCGCTCTGTTCGGATGCGCTGGATCTCGGTGAGAACCTCGCGGTTTTCCTCTGAGTTGCGCCATTCTTCGTTCCAGTCGATTTGTTTGCCGTTTCGCTCGGTGGCCTTGGCTGCGGTCTCGAGGATGAACTCGGCGACATTCTTGGACGGGGGGCAGACAAATCCGCGGTCGGCGAAGTATTTGACGACTGAGGCACCCTCCTTTCCGACGGGTCCGAAGTAGAAGGTGTTGCCACCAGGGTTGAGGGCGAGGATCATATCGAATTGCTGAATCAACATCGAGGAAGGCTGGTGGATGGTGCAGACAATGGCTTGGCCGGCCTGGGAGAGCTTCTTCAAGAAACGAACAATGGAGTATGCGGCCTGGCTGTCGAGACCCGAGGTGGGCTCATCCAGGAACAAAAGAAGACTGGGCTTCGCGGCAAGTTCAACACCGATTGTGACACGCTTCTTCTGCTCAACATTCAAAGAGCCGATGATAGCATCCTCGATGTCTTCCAATTCCAAAAGATTGATGATCCGGTCAACATACTCGATCTTCTCTTCGCGGGGTGTTTCCCGATCTTGACGCAGAATGGCCGAGAACTCGAATGCTTCGCGAATGGTAGAGGTGTTGTCGTGCAAATCCATCTGCTCACAGAATCCAGTGCCACGTTGGAAATCAGGTCCAAGCGGGTGACCATCAACAAGCATGTCACCCTTGACAATACCCATCTTCTGGCGCTGAGCCAGAGTGTTCAGCAGTGTGGTCTTTCCAGCACCGGAGGCACCCATCAAAGCGATCATGACACCAGGCTTAGCGTATCCGTTGACGTTGTTCAGAAGCTTTCGGGTTCCATTTCCATATGGGACAGTGTATTCCACGTCCGACCAGGTGAAGCACCGCTCACTGGAGGACAATCGGTTGAACGCACCATCTTCAGAACCTGACGAGGCTTCACCACGGGCCAAAGCAGCATCGTCGCTAGCCTTGCCAACCTTCTCCTCGTCGGTGCCGGCAGTGGTCTGAGCAGCAATTTGCTTAGAGCGCTTAGACTTCTTGAAGACCAGGGCACCGCCGCCACCACCCACAAAGGAGAGGAACTCAGCGGCCCAAATGGTGACCAGGATGTAGAGAACAGTGAAGGCGATGACAACACCAAAGTTGCGCCACAGGTGGGAACGGGTGAACTCAAAGTTTGCTGTCAGGTATTGGGTGCCGGGCACGGAAGTCTGGTCAACAGATGAACCAGTCAATGCACAGCCCTGGTGCCCTGTGACGGCTCCAGCTCCAGAAGGTACAAGCTGAGAGGCTGCGCACTCCATAGTACGACCAGAGAACTCGTTGGTCAAGACAGCCTCATAAGCGTATGAGATCGGGTTCACATAGAACAACCATCCGAACCAGATTGAGCTATCTATGAGTGTTTGCTTGGGAATCACGTAACCCACGTATAGAATGAGAAGGTTAAGCGCGATACCAGCAAAGCGGACAGCGTCATCAATCGTTGGCGAAAGAGCCGCAAACATTCGGTACATGGACGTAATACAGAAAGTGGTTGTGTAAACGAACAGGAAGTAGATGAAGAACTGCGAGGCAGTCACATCCAAACCAGCCATGAAGTACACAATGATACAGAACGGAACGACCATGCACAAAATTGCGGGGAAATCGACAACCACACGAGCGATTGAAACGGCGGACGGGCGATAGAAGGCGTAATCCTTATGACGGGCGACAATTCCTCTGCCACTGACAGCGGGCATGAGCTCAGTCAATTGCAACCAACCAAGGAACAGAATAGAGAAGAAGAGGGCACCGCCGCGCGAGAAGGCGCCGCTGGTGTCCATCGCTTCACCGTAGAACAGAGATGAGACAATGAGACCGTTGGAGATGATGATGAAGTACTTGGTGTAGAGGGAGGTCTTGTCACCAAACAGGAGCCAGAACTCGCGCTGGACGCAGGCAGCGACCTGTCGAGCTAGAGAGACCGTGTAAGGAGACTTCTTGGAGACAGTCTTACTCTTGGACTGAGCAACACTGCTCTCGAAGCGGCGGGTGTCCTCTTGCTGGGTCTCCTCGAGCTGCTTTTCGTAGGTGCTGACATTATCCAAAATCTGCTTGTAGGCATCGCTACTCTTGAACACACGCTCAAGTTCCTCAGCTGTCTTGGGGGTGGAAGCTTCGCGACCGGGCTGGAATTCACGGGCATTGACGTCGCAGACAGAGGTCAGGAAATCGGCAGTGGTCACCTGGTCCTGGCAGTAGAATCCAAGATCGAAGAAGTACTGGCGCGCTTTGTTGGCAGGGCCCTGGTAGAGCATGCGGCCTTCGTCTATAACCATCACCTTGTCCATGAGCTCGTAGATGCTCTCTCCTGCTTGGTAGAGGGTAACGAGGGTAGTGCGCTTGCTGACATCAGTCATGATACGGAGCGATTTGGCATAGTCCAGAGCAGTGCTGGCATCCAGACCACGGGTCGAGTTATCCCAACAGACAACGGTGGACTTGGTTGCTAGAGTCTCTGCGATACTGACACGCTTTCTCTCACCACCAGAGACACCACGAACATACTCGTTACCAACCAAAGTGTTCTTTGTGTGACTGATACCGAACATCTTCAGCAGCGCATCGATGATAATTGGAATGCTATCGCGATCATGCTTGCGAGTCTTGTTGATGAGTGAGAACTTCAAGGTCTGCCACACCGTAAGAGACGGGAAGTGTTGATCGTCTTCGGGGTTGTAGTTGACTTCGCCACGGAAATGACGGTTCTGATCCTCGGCAGACATACCACCATATCTGACCTCGCCATTCACACCAGCGAAAGCCTCGCGATCATTGGCAATCGCTTTGAGGAAAGTTGTACATCCAGCACCGGGACGACCCAGCACCAGCATCATCTCTCCCTCACGCACGGATCCACTGAAATCGTTAATCAACTCGCGAACCGGAGGCTTCTTGCCGAAGCGCAGTTGCGGCACAAAACGGCAGACGACGTTGTAAAGATCGGGACCGAATGTACCCACCACCGCATGGGGCAGAGTGCGCACAAACGATGCGCCGGTCTGCACACCCATCACAGTTAGGTTTTTGAAAACAACGCCGACCTTCTTAGCGGGCTCGCCAGCGGTAGTGCGGCGCTCCAAATGTCCGCCAATCAGGAACTCGCCCAGGTCGAAGCCGTGATCTTCAGAGTCGGCTTCATCTTCGATGCGCTTTTCTTCATCGTGGCGCTGGCTGGCACGGGACTTGAGGCGCTTCACGCTCTTGGCAGTAGCGGAGCGGGTGCGATGCAGACTGAGGCGGGTCAATTCCCGGCGCATGTCTTCAATATCTTCCATTGCGCCGCGACGGGAGACGGATTCCCCCTTTTGCTCGCCCCACCCGCCATTGGCAGTACCCTGCGAAGACAGAGTGGATGATGGGCTCAGGATAACTGGCTCGGCGACTTCATTTTCGTTGGATTCCTCGTGATAGGATTCATTGGCGGACTCCCTGACGTTGCTCAAGTTGGATTGCTCGGTGCTGTGAAAATTGGATTCAGACATGGTGCTGGAGCTAGTCACCGTGCTCGTTTGGTAGGTCGATTGCTCCGGGTGGTGATTTTGCGCCTCCAGCGTTTGATGGTCGGAATCCATCTCGCCGGAGTCGAGGTTGTTGGGTCTACTAGCGAGCCGCAATTGTAGGTATTAAGTATATTAGAAAGGATGATAAGAGTGTGTATATGGCTGTGTTTGTGTATATACAGAAATCACGAAGAAAATAAAAGAGTGGAGAGGGGGGGGGGGTTGAATAAGAAGGAAAGTTCCAATTGTCCAGGGTATAAGAAAGAAATGCTACCTTTATGCGAAGAAAATTGGCTTAAATCCGGGACCCATTTTGGATTTGTAAGAATGGCATCCATGGGATTCGTTCATATATTGAACGCGACCGGGGAGGAATCATTCATGGTGGATCCCATGAGTAAAGGTGAATCATGGCGTGGGCGGCATCAAGCGCAAAGAGGAAATTTCAGATTTAATTCTGATTTTTCCGAGCTGCTGACTGGTCGGAGATAGAAGCGGCGTTTACCCGATAACCGAGTCAGCAATGATTCCGAATGACTCATGAGCGATCTGATTGGCTGCTTCAACCTCAAACGGAATATGAAATTCCTGTCGGCTTCCGTTTTGGGTTTAGCGCGTGTTTGGGAATTCATATTCCGCCCACGGATGCCTGAATTCGCCTTAATTGGTTCAAGTTTGCAAGGGTTTGAGTAATGTGTCCGAGCCTCTTTAAGCCCCCACTATCACTTACCTGATTCAGGCCAAGGTGCCCCACTCCCCTTTGGCGACTTTCCCATGCACCATAATTCCGATTCGGCATTAACATCCAGTCTTCTCTTTATAAACACCGTGTGCAGGTGATATATCCGATGGAAATGTGGAGTTAATTGTGGGTTTCGGCAGAACTTCGCACGGTCAATGAAGATTCATCATTAAGCCCAATGGTTCTTCGGTTCTTCTTCGGTACCCACATGCAAATTTCACTACGCACTATTTACCCACTTAGGCTAGCCGGGTCAGATCTAGACTGAAGTTTCATCTGCCGAATTCTGTACACTGTGGATAACGGAAAACACATGGAAGATAGGGGGGCCGTGTTTATTTTGGCTGTCAGGATCACCCTGGAAGATCAGGCTCGTGTATGCATACGTCGCACGCACCCTGCTGTAGGTAGTCTCATGCACATAGTATGCATTCGCGCCACGTAACTACTATGTACAGGTGGTTCCGATCTCTCTTGCATATCCAACGGGTATGAATCCCAAACCGTAACAATCTGACACCTCCAAGGTTGATCTGGGATGGAGAGCAAAGCCCTGATTTGAGGATGAAAAGTCGAAAAAATCACCGAATGCTAGTAGTTGAATGATGATCGATCGCATGCACTTGATTCAGATGCTGCGTATTTTCTCTCAAGGCTTTCGCGTTGCTGCTGTTGCTGTATTGGAATGCGCGTCTGCATTTACTCGTACTCGTTCCTGGGGACTTTCACCGTGTTTGCAATTGAGCAGGAGATACTGTAAGAATAGCAATTTTTCCGGTATTTAACAAATACTACCACTTACACCGTTAAGTTACATGCCATATGCTTATTTGTGTACGGCAGATACGAGCATTGCTGGAATATTACGGCACAACGCAAACAATTCAAACAACTCCAGCAACGATCTTATTCTTGCGGACCTGACAACTTTTCATCTTCTCCTCCGTTCAGCGTGTGGCACCATAAATAGGCTCCTCGGCAGTATCTACTGCTTGCAAGGGCCATGCTTTCGATAACGATTTATAACATTGAACGTCTAGAGAAACAGATGTCCCCCCAAAAAGCAAGGAGAAGGATCAAGTGGATTGCTGAACAGATCTGGCAATGCCTCAATTCAAGGCTAAACAGAAGATTTTTGGCTACAAACATTTGAATGAGAAACAGCATTATGTACAGCCGGAAACCCTCGTGCAAATCAATCAATTTCTTTCCTCATGTATGTATCAACAGCAAGAACGCAACAGGTCAAACGCACAATTCAAATACTTTCAAAATAGCCAGACTTCAAGTAAGTGGCTAGTAGCCCAAAAAAGATCGCAGAGAACATGAAAACCAGGCCCAATGTAGTGTTTGAAATCAGAACGTTCTTTCCCCATACTGTGAAGGATGAGGAATCTTTTGGTAGCTTCATCTCGGATTGATTGATATTCTCCCCAAGAGAATCACAGTGAGGATGATCGAGGAAGTATGTCAATTTCGGAGGTACTGGTCCAGTGAGTTGAGACTTGTCGTCAGGCAGGCCAGACACTTCAAAGAGATCATGCTTTTGATTCGGATGTGATCTGTCGTGAAAAGGGTATATGGGCACGCAGGAAGAGCAGATATCTATATTTTCGCAGATTCTGCATACAAAACGATATCCAGGGGTAAATTCGTGACAGAAATTGCAGAAAGCTTTATACATATAGTCGTCAAAGGAGTTTCTCTGAGGGATTCGAACGTGAAAAAGATGGCGTGCATTGTTGGTGTCGTTGAGAAATAGGAAATACCGAGCTAATTGCTGTAAAACAAGCCATGAAGACCGGTTCACGCCAATCTCAGGAAGAGTATTAGACAACTGAAAGATGGATTGTCGAACAATTGATTGTTGCTTGTCGTGGGGTGTTAACGAGAGCTGAGGACAACGTTCACGTATTTCCCGCATTAAAGGCTCGTGCCCGGGTGCCCAGTCCATAGCATTTCTACCATAGCCGTCTGAAGCAGAAGGGTCCGCTCCCAGATGGAGAAGCTTTATCGCAAGGTCGATGTGGCCAAAGTAGATAGCCAAGTGGAGAGGGGTTTGTAAGAGCCTGTTGCGCTTATTGATAGCAATAGCTGAAGCAAGTTGGGGAAATTGTAAGAGAACATGAACGTTGTTCCTTGAAGCTGCGATGTGAAGAGGCGTCTGATCGAGTCCATCTGTAAGGGAGGTATCCGCACCAGCATGAAGAAGAACTTCAATAGTATCAAGATGACCCATAGAAATAGCCATCAAGAGGGGTGAGGAATACTCACCACCCTGGGCGTTAACGTCAGCATGAGCGTCAAGTAGGATCTTGACTATCTCAGCATTTCCACTAAATACAGCTGCCTGTAGAGCATTGCCGTACTCACCACCCTGGGCGTTGATATCAACATGAGCGTCAAGCAGGATCTTGATTATCTCAGCATTTCCACTAAATGCAGCTGCCTGTAGAGCATTGCCGTACTCACCACCCTGGGCGTTGATATCAACATGAGCGTCAAGCAGGATCTTGATTATCTCAGCATTTCCACTAAATGCAGCTGCCTGTAGAGCATTGCCGAACTCACCACCCTGGGCGTTGACATCAGCATGAGCATCAAGCAGGATCTTGAATATCTCAGTACTATTCCATAGAGAAATAGCAGCTGCCTGTAGAGCATTGCCGTATAGACCACCCTGGGCGTTAACGTCAGCATGAGCGTCAAGTAGGATCTTGACTCTCTCAGCCTTTCCACTAAATGCAGCTGCCTGTAGAGCATTGCCGTATAGACCACCCTGGGCGTTGATATCAGCATGAGCATTAAGCAGGATCTTAACTGTCTCAGTACCTGCATCCTGTAAAGTAGCAGCAGCAGCCTGTAGCGCATTGCCGTATAGACCACCCTGGGCGTTAATATCAGCATGAGCATCAAGCAGGATCTTGACTATCTCAGCACTTCCAGTCTTTGCAGCAGCCTGTAGAGCATTGCTGTACCGACCACCCTGGGCGTTGACATCAGCATAAGCATCAAGCAGGATCTTGACTGTCTCAGAACTTCCACTGCTTGCAGCAGCCTGGAGGGCATTGCCGTAATAACCACCCTGGGTGTTGGCATTCGCCCCAGCCCTAAGGAATATCTCGACAATTGTAATGTGACCATTCGATGAAGCTTCTTGTAGCGCAGCCCCAGCTCCTATCTTAAGCTCCACGCCCTCATCTAGAAGCCATTCGACAAATCTTATTTGTCCATGGCTAGCTGCCTCCATTAAAGGAGTCGCTCTCTTATTGCTCTTTGCTTCTCGGTTTGCTCCTTTTTCCTGTAATGTCTTGCCAGCTGTTATATGTCCAGCTCGTGCTGCAAAGTGTAGTGCTGTCTCTCCATCTTCGTTTGTTTTCTCAATATATTCACCCCCTGATAATACAGATATTATCAAATCCACTAGATTCGCAGACGCTGCTATATGTAAAGCAGTTGTTCCTTTAGCTGGACATGCTGGGCCGTAAAAATGGAGATGCCGGTAGATTTGAACCCAAGGACTCATTATTCGTTGAAGGATGTCGGTTTCATTATGTAGCAAAGTACTTCGAGAGCTGGCAGCCTTTTCTGCATGAATAAAGATATTCAAAGCCGTGTAGATAAGAAATGGGTTTTCGTGATTGAAGTTATCTTTGGATCTTTGAAACTGACTCATCTGTTTGATTGAACAAACAGTGGTAAGATATGCTAGACACGATCGGTAGAGCGTTGCCTGGGACTGAAAGATGATATTGTTCATAGTATCTACTATAGACCTAACTCTACCACTGGTGTTATGGTAGAGAAGGAGCAGCCCTTTGTTGTGTAAGAAATCATTGACTGACTGGTGTACTACCTGTATAATCTCCTCATCATTACTGGAGACTACTTCGGCTAGTCCACCAGCAAGGGCCTTGACTCTTTGCTTCATGCGTTCATCGCTGTCGATGAAACCGGGGAGTTTCTTCCATATCGTTCGAGACGGTAATGATATTTGAGCATTTGTAGCCGCTAATGCGTATCGTATCTCAACTAAAGTTAAGGGTCGCTCGGCTAGGCATATCCATTGAAAGAATAGAAATGACTGCTCTCGATTGCTGGTCGTGATCACATTGCTCAGAATATATGTGTAGACGTTTTCTAGGTCGGCTGGAACCTCGGCTAGCCAATCCCTGATATCGCTGATTGACTCCCCCTCGGTAATTTTTCGCTTAACGAGGGGATTACAAGACGGGCCCATTGGAAGATACCCTTGGTATGCTGGGCCAATTCTCCCACTAGTCCCTCTCTTATTTCTTGACTAGAAACGTCCCTGGACTCTGTCTCAAGAAGTTCATCCTTGATGTATGTAGTGATATCGTCTTGATTGTGGTCTTCGACATGTATTGCTACAGTCTGGGCACTCTCCACAATAGGATAGTGTCGGCATGAGATACAGACCTGAAGGGCTGGCTTCTTTCCATCGGCATGATTTCTATCAGCACGATCAATGAGACGGTGGAAATATGCTGCGAGCTGTTGAGCGGACTCAGCGCCAGCCTCGTCTAAAGCATCCACAAAAATGATGATGTGCTGGGCTGATGCCAGGATCACACTTGCTAGCAAGTCTTCTAGCACTGTTTGTGGCCACTCCCACTGACGTTCACCAGATCCAAACTGCATACATCGTTGTTCATAGATCTTGCGCACCTGGGGGCGTATGGTCGCGTCACCGACAAGAAGCTGGTTTAGCAGCGATCGGAGCATTCCTAGTGGTGTACGTTGCATCTCCACGCCTCGGGCGGAAAAGAAAAACTCGAGCCAAATAACACCGTGGCTGTCGTCATGGAATTGCTGACCGTCATGGAATTTCTGGAGTATGCCGTGTAGGAAAACCATCAAGGTTGATTTTCCAGCACCAGGCTTGCCCTTAATCCATAACAGACCAAGGGGCTGATCCCTCCACGACTGGTATTCTTCCAGCTCCAAGATCCATTCGCAGGTATTCGTGTGACACGCCTCGATGTTGTCCCTCCGATCCAGCATCTGTGGGAATGCCAGTGACTTGAGCACCTCTGTCCCCATAGTAAGTCCCCTGGTAAGTCAAATTGTCTTCGATTGGTACAGGGTGGAGCGAACCTGTGTCTATCTTCTGTACTGGGTCTTCCGGTCGGTCTGGGCCAAAAAGTGTTAGTCAACTGACTACGGCTTTCCAGGGACTTTGACGCATTCACCAGATGAAAAGTTGTTTATTGTCCCGTGGTTATGAAGAAGTTGAACACCCGCGTTCGTACCGCCAAAAGATGTTGAGCTCATGCTGGATATTCAACACAGAAAATAGCGCTGTAATCAATAAGCCGATTGACCTTTCTAGCTGCTGTCCGCTGAATGTGTGAGATTGTCTTTTACCCCGCTCTCAGGTGACCGCCAGGCGCTGAACCTTGGCACCAGCTACTAGTACTTGCTAGGATAAGCGCGAGGGACGGGCCGACAAACTCTGGCTGGGCCCTTAAGTGCTGGATAAGAACTCAAAGACTGGCTATAGCCATTTTCTTTAAGGCTCATTAATTGCTACTATTTTCCGTTCAAGTGCTTGCTGAGATCGCGAGGTCAGGAGCCATGGTTCGTTTGCACCGCCCGTCAACCAAGAAATCAATCATGGTGAGGCTGAGGAAAGTTGACTTGGGCCAGGTTGCAGCTAAGAACCTTACAGGTAATAAACAATTACCTCGCTAATATGATAGTCCGGTAATTTACAATACAGATCAAATACGCATATCTTGATTATTTTCGTTGCCATCCAAAATCTGTACTTTGCTGCATCAGGAATCAAAATGAACCTATCGAATTGTCTCCATGAGTCCTTACAGGGCGCCTTAAGTCCCTGAGAGAAGTTTGCTAAAGAAACAAAACTCCGCGAGTGTATAGTGTGGAGATAACGGATTTAACTGTAAACACCACCACTATATACAAGGATTCAATTTTCACATCCCCATGGATATTGATCATCTGTGCTTTGCCAAACTCTCTTTTGAAATCATGTAAAGCAGGCATCTTCGCGGCAACGACCAATAATCCCAGAGAAATGAGCGTGGCGATAGATTAAGAGGGGTCTATGTACAATTCCCCTCCCTCTCGGCGGACGCGGTAGAATTCATGCGGAGACATTGTCGATAGGGCCTGAAAATGTGGCTGTCTCGAAATCAATAACGAAGTTTTTGTACGGGGCATTTTGATTTTTAAGTGAGTGTGCACAGACTCTTGACCCTACGTAGCCAGTTCCATGTGTGCATTCGCGCCACGTACCTACTACAGCTAGATGCATATTTTATCAGTCGGGCATGGATCTCAATCCGTAAGAGTCTGACACCTCCAAGTTTGATCTGGGGTTGAGAAAAAAATGCTGATTTGAAAATGAAAATGAAAATGAAAATCGCCTAATGCTAGTAGTGTACAATGATCGATCGAATCAAACTTCATGCAGATGTTGCGTGATTTTTAGGGCTTCCGCTTTGCAGCAGCAGCAGCAATGCGCTTCTGGATTTCCTCGTTGCTGAGAATTTTCACCGCATTGTTGGACAAGACGTAGCTCAATCCCGACCAGATGGTAGTACCCGCCACAAGGTACCTGCAACAATTGTTAGTAAGCCGCCATACCCAATCAAAAAGCAACTCAGAAAATTACACAACGCAGTGAAATGACACGTCAAATCACAAGGAAAGACATTGGGGGAAAAAAGAACGTCGGAAAAAAAAAAACATACAACAGTCAGGATTCGCATGTGGTCACCCACCATACTACTAACTGACCGGCGTGTGGCTTAAGTACGGCTGAGCGGACGGGAAGCCCTGTTCTCCACACCCTATGGTCGTATGTACTAGGTGCTTCACTGAACTGGCTGAAGGGGCCCCACAAGTCCGTACATCGTCTTGGGAAAAAAAATATGCACGCAAAAAAAAAGGGAAAATTGATCTGCCAAGGGTGTATCACTTACTGGAATCCAGTCATGGCCTCTGACAAGTGCCAAGCACTAATAACAGCCTCGGGAAGCACAGGTAGGCCAATTGCGCTGCCTACCAACACCAATTGCAGAGCAGTGTTGATCTTGGAAATTTCGGTAGGCTTGACCTCGGCGGAAGGGAGCGAAAAGTCCCAGTAGCGAGCCATAGTCTTAGGGGGTGGAAGAGAAATCCATCGGTAGTAGATGGCCGATATGGCTAGGCCAATGTCACGACCAAGGATGATCACGGCGAGCCAAACTGCAGTGGGGGGTCAGGTTAGATGCATGACAAGACAGGGAGACGCACACATACTTGGAAGCGACCCATTCACCGCTAGACACGCGACTCCGACGGTCATCAGCAGTTTATCAGCCATGGGATCAATGATGGTTCCCACGACCGTTTGCAGGTTCCATTTACGAGCAATCCAGCCATCGACTAAATCGGTAATACCTGCATAAGCGAACAGGGACAAGGCAGCTGCGTGGTAGTCGTGGACTAGCAAATATCCCACTACGGGGGCCGCGATTAACCGAGTAAAGGTGAGAATGTTGGGAATGGTGTAAATATTCTCATGGCTTTTGCCCATTGGAAGCTTGGACAGGAGACGCTTGGCAGCAGTCGTTGGTTTGGAGCTGACTCTGGTCAGTTGGTATGGACACGCTATAAATAATGGAAAATTTGACGTACTCCTCTGATTGAGACTCCTTGGGTTCCCCCGATGGCTTTGATGATGTCCATCTTCTGCGATCGCCTAGCAGCGTTATCCTTGGAATCGAAATTAGGCAGCCACGAGACTGCAGATTCCTGGAAAAGGTCAGAATTGAAGCTGTAAAAATATGCAAATCACCATACCTGGTTGGCAAATGAACTGTTGATGGGGAATTGATCAACGTGGACATGCATTGAGGACGTGACACGTTCCGTTGACCCTGGACAAGTAGTCGGGCAGGGCCACAGAGAGGCCGGGAGACTCGGCATGTTGGGAAAGCCCGCATCGTTTTCGATGCAGTTGCAGAGAACATATTGACACGGAAAGTAAAAGGACTGGAATATTCAAACACCTGATCCTCCGGAGAAAGGGCTCGGAGGGAAAATGGCCTTTAAACAAACTCTGAAAGTATTCTCGGCGAGAATCAAATTATCAAAATGCGCATGCCCTGGAAACTGCCAGTGGCTTCCAAGTACAGATGCAATTAAACGAAGTATCCCTACACTTCTACCTTAAAAGGAAGGGAATGAAGAGCGTGGGCGGATACCGGCAATCACACGATCACGCGATCAAAAAGGTAGCTGTGGTTTACAGTATAAGGCGGGCTTTTGGAAAAAGAGGGTATCTCACTATTGGGTGTGTAGAATACCAATGTGGACCAATAACCCTCCTAAGCAGCCTCAGAATTGCGAGTAGTGTTTGTCTTGGTAGAACCGAGGCCCCCGGGCCCCGGATGCCAAAGAGGATTTTGGGTGGATATCCGGATAATCAGTTAATCCGGATTCCGACCCCAGCTCCAAGGATCCACCATCTTTAAACCTTTAAACCTTTAAACTCATCTACATGTACATCTAGTGCACAATATCATTGAATTGGCTTCAAAATGCCACTTTCACTCTTGGGAACCACTAGGCCAACCTTGCTTACCCACATCAAAGCGAAATCTGCCAAGAGCGATAAGTCATTATGGCTGTTCACAATGTTTCACCCACCTGATGGGAAACCTCACATGACGAAGCGCCTGATGATCGACATCATCCCTGGACCAGGCAAAGGCCATTTCTGCTTTAACACTAACATATTTAGAACTACGAACATCCTAGCTCACATCTTTGATAAGTTTTTTATTGTTGCTGTAAACTGCAAGCAACTCACATACCATCTCAAAGAATTCCAGATGGAGATCAGACGGCGATATTTATATTCATATATCCAGGACTGTGGTGTGGACCCACGCCGACGACTAATCCACACCGGCGACTCATCATAATGGCGAGTCGTATCCCACCGCCGGCTTGCGAGTCGATTATGTCGTCAAACACCTCGCCGGCGGTGCTCCGGAAACAAAAAAACTTGGATTCAATCTCTCCTCCTCCTCCTCCTTCAACTCTTCACCCTCATTCCTTTCATCCTGCTCCGGTCCCTGATCCATCCAAACCTGACGCTAATCATCCAAAGAAAACCCCTAAAAAGTCAAAGAAAGGCTCTGGAGATCCAAACATGGCTGATCCACGTCTGTTTGTCAATCGGCCTTGTGTCTATGAGCGCCAGCTTCCCGGTGGTGCGTACATAACGGCGCACGTTGAACGTTTGCAGCATGGCTTTTACTCGAGCGCTTCAGTTGCGGATATGGATGCGGAGAACGTTGATTTCTTAGCAATCAATTTTGTTTTCCACCCATCTCATACCCTTTCCCACCGTTTCAAAAGCGCTACCATCCGGGCTTCGGTACGCGGAAGCCAAGAGATGCGCACCTCTGAGATGCTTCCCCATGGCAATCCCCGCTTCCTAATGCATGCGCCTCACCTTATCTTTGGAACTGTTTCCCCCGAGAACATGCAGTGGTCCTTCAGCCTCGCTGGCTCTCTTGGAATTTCCGAAGCCCCGGTTACCGCCAGCCTTATCCCATCCGGCAGCTTGAGCAGACATTTTCGCCGCTATGAGATGATGCGTATTCAAGGCTCCTCTCGCACCCTGAAGAGCGCCCTCGGTCCTGAGTACGATGTTGAGTCCGGTGAGATTGTCTGGTCTCTCGAGGAGAACACCCTCCAGCGGTCTGGTCTTCCTCGTGAATTCACTTTCGTCATGCTTGTCCACAAGCCAACTGCCGATGCAGACATCAAGCTGAACCTTGACATCAACCCTGTTCTCGACGCGTGGTTCGGCAGTTACCCGAAGATGCTTCTTTCGCTGGCGAAATACCAACCCCAGGATCGCCGAGGAGTCAATTTCCGTCGAGAGGTTGGTCAGAGGTTTGAGCCCGTGGACAAGGCTGGGGGATTCAACTTTGCTGCCCTGGAGAGCTCGTTCGATCACTATATCGCCATGCCAGGAAGAAAGTTCACGCGATCGGTAAGTTGCATCCCTTTGTCCTTCTCAGAGATATATGCAGTCAAAATGAGAGAAAGATGAGAGATATATAACAGCAGTCTACTAACTTCAGTACCAGGTGACGATCCCTTCAGATAATTCAGCATCCCAGAATAACAGCCTCGCGGGAAACAACAATAACACCAACAACAACTTCCAACAGGGCTTGAACACTCAGTACGGCAATGGGCAATACGCAAGTGGCGGATATAACCACTGGAACCCCACGCAGCAGCTAGGAAACGGCTTGTTCTCGGTCCGCCAAAACCTCGAGGTCGGACTTACTCCGTCGAGGGTGCGCTCGAACCAGACAAATAGAACCCAGATTGAGCCGACTGCCAGCACCATCAACACCGGGACATCAAGTGTCGTGCCTGCTCAAAGGCCCAACCCTCCGTTACGCTCAACCGTGGAAGCCTACTCCGCGACCAGCCCCCGTCTCCTTCGTCGTGTCCGAAAACTGTACAACCTACATACCCTTCGGTCCCCACCTGCGGCTCACCCTGCCTTTGGCCATGATGTGGATGATGTATATTTCGTTGTCGCTCATCTCGAATCGCTGGACAGGGACCGGGCAGGTGTGATTGGGGGGAAGGTGTATGAGGAGGAGGAGGTGTTCGAGATGAGCAGTGCTCCCCGTCGGCAGCGTTCTGCCTCGCTCTCGGAGGCGCACAGTATGCCGGTTGGCTGGCTTACCGACCGAAATCTGGAAGAATTTGTTCCAGACTGGCCCTTCCTGCGGGGATAAGGATGGAGGTGTAAGTCTGCAAGTCGTGCGATCTGTGCTCGGACATCCAGTTTCTTCTTCTTCTTCTTCTTCTTCTTCTTCTTCTTCTTCTTGTTTTTATTTTTTTTTTATTCAATAGTTCTTAGTCCTATCGGGCAGTCAGCCCGATTGCCTTGAGTAGATCGCTCAATGATAGGCGGACAACCTCTTCTTCTCCAAGATACTTTGCGGCATTAACTTTAACTTTAATTCAGTCAAGTCTATATCTTAAATGTGTTCTCAATCTACAGTCTCTTTTCTGCTGTGCCGAAGAATCCTTCTTTTTATGGAATAGATGGTCCCGTAACACGAAGAGCTACTTTGAGTCCCTTGCCTCCCTTTCTAGCTAGGCGCCATTCCTTGAACTAAACGTTAAATAAACCTTAAAGGCGGCCGTATTTAGTAGGTTCAGGTCATTTCAAGAGCTTGTCTTTATAGATATCCTATCTATCACCTCCTAATTGTATTGAATCCAGGGCGTAAATATCCTTTTCACTGCTGAGCCATAAATTCCACCAAGTGAGTCGCGATCTGCATTAGAGGTACATATCTCCAAATATTGCTCTGTTACCTCATCAAATCTCGACATGGTGTAGTTGGCTATCGCATCTGACTGTAATAGAATTTCAGTTTATCAGAAAGTCCGCGGTTCGATTCCGCGTGTCGAGATAACTTTTTTTTTGGCTTTTTTGCGGGGGCTGACTAAGATCCCAGAATTGTGGATCTACTGTCTAGATAGACTCAACCACATACTACTACTTCCTGGTGTTAACTTTAATGTACCGTTATCGCGAAATCCAGGCTTTGAAGTCGATAAATCCCGATGCAGAGTCGGTTGATTTTGAATAGCGAAAATTTCAGGTAGCCTCTGCAAAGGATCTATGCGGATCCATGGTAGATATTCGAGATGATGCAACAGTGCATTTAATCCTATGAATTGACAGCCAAGCAGTATATCTCCACTTCCTCTGAGCTTCCCTAGAAATGGACTTCTTATCCATCTTGTGACTAGCTTTCTGGTGGGCGAGAATATCATCAACCCACTTACTCACGAGATAGAGATGGGAAGTTTATGTCTTGACTACTTAAACCTCCCTGTGTTCGCGGATACCATTAAAACATATACCGCCTGCCGAGAAAACTAGGGCTTGACGGATTACATGTAATCTGTCATTGACTGGTTCAAGCACCTCGATGATTCAATCTCTGAAGCCAGCCGAAGAATCACGGCAGCGACAAGAGAGCAATAGCGTTCAGGCCGTTCCAGAGGATGAACGCCAGTCTCTTGTCTGCCCAATTTTACGGGGGGACGATCATAAGCGGGTCATCATGTGGGTCGATTTGCTGAATCTTTGGAGATCTTCGTTCAAGAGCACTGGACTTCACCAAAGGTATTCCTCAAAGGTATACCTTGGCGTTTCATACCGCAACTGGAAAAAGCTACAAGTCTTTCAAGACAACCAATTTTACGAAAAGTGGGAGCAGATATACGTATTAAACCGAAAGCACCTCCACTCTTTGAGTGTTCTGAAAAGCGTGCAAGGAATGTCAACTGATATTCGCAATGTTGTTTGCGATGTCCGCGAGGAGATTGAATAAGGATTCACCGGTGCCTTGGACCGTGTTCCAATCATTAAGGACTCGACTGTGAAAATATACATATTCGAGACGATTTATTTCAATGCCCTCAGCTCGGCTATCGGTCTTTCACATCAAGTGCACAATTGGCTTTCCAACTGCGATGGAAGAAATAAACATATTGCAAGACATGAACGTCCGCTCCGATGCAATTACAAGGATTGCATAACCGGCTTTCAAATAGGCTTCGCCAGCCAACATCACATTACAATAGACACATGAAGACATATCACCAATCGGATTCTTCAGGCTGTCGAGTTTCCGACTGATCGGGAAATCTAGCGTAGCAAGCAACAGGCCGCGATGTCGACTACAACAAGCACTCAGCCACATGCAGTAATTCAACATTTCACCCAAGCTCAACACGTGCAGGATCAGGCACAATCTGCTCGCGCCTCAAGTTGAAATGTCACCCATGATTCCCTGTCAGGTCCAACCCGACAAGGCATAATTGACCCCATCAAACCCAATCACGATCCCAGATCCGAACTTTCCACAGCCCGATGAGAACGTGGCGAGCACTCTAACTCTATAATCACGGACGTCTTCATCTTGCGTCTTGGAGCCACCAAAAATCCGACCTCTCCTCAAGCCTCGAGTCAAATTGATACCAGACAACCTCAAATGGCCCAGCTTGGGGGCGCCAATTCACCAAGCTATATAACCTCCGCGTCCATCTCCAACCACTCGGTCTTTCTCGTGCGAATTCCGTTTGAAGTCGTTCATCAGGAGGAATGATGATACGAGACGTAAGAAAATCCATTCGGGGATCAGGGACTGGGTATGCGGTGGGTGTTAGCAATCGTTTTCCCGCTCAGATGTGTTGAGTGCGCATGATCAGTCTCAGAGGGGATAAGCTTGTCTCCGGCTGATTGATCAACAGCAATAGCAGCAATAAGGCTATTTTTGTGATCGATGAATATATAAGAGTGGAATCATGATATCATTAAAGCTAGATGAGAGGAGAAATACATACTATACATTTACAAGGAAACAGGCCAATATACGCCCACTTACGAACGACTATAAAAGCGTTCTATCAATGGAACGCAGACCTCCACAACCTCCTCCCCCACCCAAACACCAAGATTCCCCTCCCAATAAGATGTCCAAAAACAAGCGGAAGCCCAAACCGAACCCACGTAACCGGCCTCCAAAGCCTAGCAACAGGCACCAACACAACCTGTTTCCCCTCCCCCGGCCTCTCAGCAACCACCTCCTCCTCCTCCCCCTCAACACGACCATCCCCCACAAAATCCTTCACAGCCTCCATAATAACGTCAGCCGTCTCAACAGGCCTACTCAAAAACGGCGAATGACTCGTCCCGATCTCCCGATGAACAATAACACCCCCCATCCCCCTCGCCATCCCAACCCCCATCCGCTGCACAACAACCGGCAGCCCCCGATCCTCCGTCGTGCCCAAATACCAAGCCCTCACATCCATCCACCCCGCATAACTATGCTCCCCGCCCTCAAACAACGCCTTAAGACTCTGCGTCCCCAGCTCCGCGATCGCGACCTCCGCATCCGCCTCGTCCACGTCGTGGTAGAAAAGCTCCCGCGCAGGCGTCACTAGCTCCGCGTACCCGCTTTCCCAGTTCGCGCGCCACCCCGGAGGCGGATTGCCCAGGAACGGATCCATGAATGAGAGCCCTGTGAAGGTGAAGCCTGAGGCGATGAGGATGAGCCCGATTACGGCGCCGGTGGCGCGGTTGGTGTGCGGTGGGCTGGGAGGCGCGAACCCTTTTATCGCGCTGTTGGCGACCATCCCGCCGTAGGAGTGTGCGATTAGCACGACGGAGAGCCCGGCGCTGGTTTCGGTCTCGATTGCGAGCTGCGCTGCGGTGAGGTCGTCTTTGAATGTTGCGGAGGGGTTGTCGGTTGTTGAGGGGAGGGTGACTTTGACGCATTTGTGGTGCGGGGAGAGCAGGGCTATGATTTTGTTGTAGCAGGTTGGCTTGTGCCAGGCGCCTGGGATGAAGATGAGGGTTGGCATTTTGTTTTTTTTTTTGGTTTTTGGTTTTTGGTTTTTGGTTTTTGGTTTTTGGTTTTTGGTTTTTGGTTTTTGGTTTTTGGTTTTTGGTTGTTGGTTGTTGGGCGCGACGCTGAGCTTTGCGCTGCGGTGGTCTTGCTTTATAAGTTGAGTTCTCTACAAGTCTAGGTATGATATTTTGTGGTTGCGGTGATGTTTGGGGTGTGAGAGTTCGGCGTGGGTGGAATTGGTGGAGAAGTGAGGTGAGGTGAGATAAGATGGAGAGTATTTGTATGCGGGGAAATTCGGGAATCTGCCAGTGCATACTACTAGTACGATAACGGATACGGTAATAATCTAATCGTTCTTATCGGCTTCGAGTGGATCCTCTGGGGTTTTATCAGTTAATCGGGGTCAAAAGGTCAATGTATGGGTAATGCGCGGTAATTAAGGAAAACGAAACGCAAAATGAAATGATTTATTATGATATTTAATATGGCGGGTCAATTAATATATAGGGAATGCGCAGTAATTCGGGAAACGAAACGAAAAACGAAACGGTTTATGGTGATGCCTTAGCATATGTACCAGGGTCAATCAACAGGGTCGATTAAGAGTTATATGGGCAACACGCGGTAATTAAGGAGAGAAACGAAACGCAAAACAGAATAATTTATGGTACTCATTTCGCCATCTCTCCCTATATGCAGCAGCATGGCGTTCAAACAAGGTGATCGCCATCTTCATCTTCCTGTGCCACATGTGTGCAGTGTTCGCAGCATATTTCTCTCCATTCCACCCGACGTGGAGGACGATCGAATTCTCGTAGACTCTGCCATTCAGCTTGTTCCTTCCAGTCAACCAGAACCCAGAACTCGGTTCGCCGGAAACCGTCGAATCAACCACATACTTCCCATCTGCTCGTCGACACCAGAAAATTACAACATTTTCTTTAAGGCCTCATTTGTCCGCAAACTGGATTTGCCCAGATCAAAAACCCACACCTACCGCCATCGGATTCCGCGCCGAGCAGGGAATTATCCAGCCTGAATTCATATACTCGGCGCCAAGGCCATAGGATTCTACGGACCTGGCGAGCTTCTTTCCGGTGACTTTTCATCAATTACCCCCGGCTTTTGCGAGCAGTATCCTCAACAAGTGTGCCGGGGCTTCAAACTGAGAGGATTGATGAGTGTCGGCCGTCCGTCGAAGGTGTCTTGACCGAGAACTCGCGGGACCAGTACACCCTGGGTCTGTTCAATGTTAGTTTCGCCGCTAAGCGACTATCTCGCCTTGGAATTCTTTTCCCTGGCCGTCTTTATGTTGTTTGACGATCAGTGTTGAACTACCAGGTACAGCAGGAGGGGAATCTGATACCAATTGGATGTGGCTCCCCACGCGATGGACGGTTTCTCGATAATCAATAGGGTTGTCTGTTTCGAGTGGTAAGTGACTTGTCGTCGAATGGAGCGTCTATCATGCGTAACCCTCGTTATTTCGATTCAGCTGGACCTTTGTTCGTTTGCTGAAGTTTTAGGTATCTTGCCTGAGCATCAGAATCCTACGTGATCCCGGGCATTTTCATGCTCTGAGAGTAGCTGCCCAGTGTGAAAAATTCCAACGAGGGAGAAAGGCGGAAATTACTCCAGATCTTTATATGACATTAAGCAGAACCGGGGGCTGGCTAGGCAGCTTAGGCTACCAGTTAGTAGAGTAAGATATGCAAGTGCCAGACCCTGTTATTTAGTTAGCATTTCCTTTCCAGCGCGAAGCCGACCTTAGCTAGAGGCCCCAAGCTGGCTTCGAGTTATTATGTATACATAGCATGTAAGTGGCAGCAGATAAAACTATGTGTTGACATGTTCAAAATTTGATAGGATCATGTTACATGGTGGTCCGTTCGGGTGGGACTTTATACTACGTTGTAAGATCGGGATCCGGAATTCTCCGATGGACGGATCATGCTTTGAACTTTGGTGGGGATCATTGGGTTGGTACCTGGGTACTAACCTAACTGCATCCATGGATATGGCTACATATTACTAGTACATAGTGAGTTCAACTAGGTGTGCCTGACGTGGGCATCGCAGCGTTTATTCCGGGTAGTAGATTTGAAATTTTAATGGCGTGGTGTCAATGCATAACCACTATATGTCGATTAGTACGACGTGCTGGTATTTGATGAACATTTGTTGGGATCGAACGAGCTATGTCATGGTTCTGATCAGGGTCCACTGGTAACAATAAATCAATCAGTCATAATGAGTAAGGTACTAGTAGGTACCTGGTGGTATCAGCTAGGTACATCCTTGGGGTAAAGAGGTATCATTTTCATTTCCAAGGTCGACGATTGAATGATTTGAAGCAGAGATCCTCCCATAAGTGAACAGCCACATTGAACATTTGATGAACATACGCCCAGACCACTACAGCTATCCCACAGATCCACTCGACTCGGTACGGTATATAAGGAGGAACGGGAACACAACAATCCACCCAAACATTGAACTTACTCAGTGATGGAAATACCGACCGTGCGTATCATTAAAGTTCAAGTGGAGAGAATCCATCAACCCTCACGATATTGGCACAGGACCCATAGATCCATAACTAAGCGAGCTGCATTAGGCAAAGCGAAGCCAAGCCAAGGCCACGAGCAAAAAGTAAAAAGAAAGTAGGTGGGGAAAGAGGACATTTCAGGTATTCGGAGACGGGTAAACATTCATGATCGAATGAGGATATGGAAGAAGAAAAAAACAGTTTTGTCGGTTGCATCACATCGTCAGGGAATCCAAACAAAACGCCGCCCAGGTGGGGTTGTTGCCCCGATATCGAAACGTGGAATCAGTGGGAAAAGGACACGCATTGATCGAGAGAAGAAAAACCAAAAAGAGAAAAATCAAAAGTCCCACCAGAGGAAAGCAAAATGACCGACAAACAGAAAAAGCATATGGACAGACATGAGTACACTGCGTAGAACGGGCTTAGAAGGGAACCGAAGCAAGCTTCAAGATACCCACCAACGTATGTTTCCAGCCACGTTTCAAAAGCCAGAATAAAGTCTATTCGCCAGCAAAAGCAAAATTTCACACGAACCCGTCCCTAAAAGCTAGAACCAAAACAAGGGGTAATCGAAAACACAAAGCCACCCTAAAAGACTCCCCACGCTCCCAAATATCCTTGAAACTTGGAAATGATCATCGTGGGAGAACATGAGAACAATAAAAATAGAAAAGGGCCAAAAAAAAGGGACTAAAAGAGTCCTGGTACCCAAACAAAGGAAAAGTAGAGAGGAAACAAAAAAAAGAGAATGGAGAAACACAAGGTCGTAAAAAATGGAAAACCCCAGGTCAACGTAAACGCTGATAACGTTGAATTTGAGAAAGATTAAATTTGGGGTTGTGCCGGAGCGGTGGTTGTCCAGGCTGCGTAGTGGGGGTGATTGACGGGGGCCGCCGCACCGACATAATATTGTGAACGATCTGGGGTGGCGTAGTATGAGGGGTGAACGGGGTTGGATTCACGACGAGGTACATTCGGGTCGAGTGGGCCAATACCGCGAGAATCAAGATGAGTGTTTTCCATGTGGCTAGGTAAGCCAAAACTGCTTCGTGAATACGTGCCTGGCGTGGAGGAATCCATGGGAGATGTGGCGTCGGTTGCAACACTTCGAGATGATATGGAGGAGTTGCGGTATGCGGATGGGCTATGATCCGATGTTGAGCGATTGCGCTCGCTCAGGGAACCGGACATGCTGGAGTTGAGTCCACCAGGGATGGATGAGGAGAGGCTGTGACTCATCGAATCCATACTTCCTCCGTATGGACCAGCGCGGAATGCATGATAATCTTCCTGTTTCACCATCGGGTTTGCGACTGAAGGGGATGGGAGATATGGGTTGGGTGCTGGTTGTCCAGGCATGCTGCCGCCCATGGAGTATCCTGGGATGGGACCCTGTTGTGGAGCGTGAGTGGCTGCGTAGTGGTTGGGATGCATGTAGAAATCGGGTGGTGGATTTGGCATTCCATAGGCTGGGGGAGCCATCATTTGTGGACGGTATCCGTAGAGGGCTGCGTGCGAAGGGTCATGAGCAGCACTTTCCATGGCATTTGACTCGTGGTCGTCGATGGGAGCACGGAAGCTCTGTTTGGAAGTCAAGTCGATGCGCGGTCGAATGTAGCGTAGCGACTCGACTAAGGAAGGACAGCTCAGTGCGCCACGGATCACGTCGTCCACACTGTAATAGGAGACCAGGTGATGGGTGATACCCATGACAGTCACGCTCATGGTCTTCTTGACCAAACCCGAGTCCTTGAAGCCGTATGAATCGACCAGCGACCCCACCAATGCTCGCTCGACTTCGGACTGATGTGCTCGTTCCCCAAAGGCGGCTGGAGGGGATGTCGGAGAATAACTCTGACCGTTGCTGTCGTGTCGCGGATATGGCTCACCAGGTCGAGTGGGTGGTACGGGGCGTCGATTGGCCTTTTTCATGGCGCGTTTCTTCTCACCGGGAGGGAAAGGTTTGTCCAACTCGCGGTAAACCAAGAAATTGCCCAAAATGCGACTGGGACTCCAAGTGACACCGTCGGTCCATCGTTTGATCCCTGAGGAGTTCTCCTCGTAAATGAAGACACTCCCACTGCGCACCAAATGACTTCGCTCTCGATCATGTGGTCGACGGGGGACATGATGCAAGACGCCTGTCAAGCATGCCTCGAAAAGAATCAGCGCATCCTGTGTGGTAGCCACATACCCTGTGAACGTGGGCTCTAGCACCGCCGCGGTCCCGTTCACCATGATGGGGAAGGCGGAGATGTGATAGGGAGGTGTTTTAGAGATGTGACAAGACAAAAAAAAAGACTAAGGAAAAAAATAAGCTAAGGAGATCGACCAGGGTATGGAGAAGTGGGAGCGGAGGGTGGTTTTGAGTTGAGTTAACCCCTCCTCGAGTCCAGGGATCGACCAGGGAAAGCACGGACCCCCAAGTCAGCGTAAAGAGAGGTTGCACCGATCTGGATATGGGGATCTGCTAGAACACGGTTCCACGGAACCTGCGGCAATTCCAAGCTTTCTTTTTCTTTTTTTCTTTTCTCTTTTTCTATTTTTCACTTACATTTATTATCGGGTTTTGGAAAATAAAAGAGGGGGGGGGGGTCCACTGAGGAGAGAAGGTAGAGGTAACCAAAGATACAGGGGAGATCAAGTTACGGTAAGCTGTGTCGAATAGAGGAAATAGTCCCAAGTTACAAAATTGGTGTTAGACCTGGGGTAATATAGGTTATAAGCCGAAAAAAGGAAAGAACAAGAAAAAAATAAAAAGGATTCGAAAACAAAAAAAAGAAAATAGACCCAAAAAAAATAAAAGAAACAGAAAAAAGAAAATCAAGAAAAAAAAACCCCCTAACAAATTAAACAAATTAATATAGGCAAAGGGGGAAATCAGGGGGCCAAGAACTGCAGAAAGGATCGACGTATGGAAATGCGGTAACTGAGTTACGGAGCTAAAGAGGATTTTATCGGAGGGTTCAAATTGCGGGGCGAACTGGCTAGTCAAGACTTATCTGACAGAACTCTGTATATAGTAAAAGAAAATAGTAAATAGATCAAAAAACCAAAAACCAAAAACCAAAAAATCAAAAAATAATATTATAATCTTTTCATACGAAATGATCACTAATTATCTCGAGAAACCGAGTCCACAAAAAGGAAAGGTCGGGGCGGAGAAATACGGGAGCTTTTCTGACAGTTGGGAATATCGCCGATGATTTCACCATCTACTCAGAAGGAAAAGAAAAGGAAACATAAAATATAAAAAAAGAAAAAAAAAAGTCAAAAGGTAAGAATAACCAAGCAGGTACCGAGTTTATTCTTTATTCCGTCATTTTATTTTTCTTCTCTCTCTCTCTTCTCTATAGATTTGGATGATCAGAAGAAATGCAATCATCATCGACGTGCCATGGACGATCCCCCAAGTGGAGTTTCCCCGGTCACCACGTCAATCTGACTCAGCCACCATAACCACCTTCTTATTTAAGCATCGGTCATCTACTATATATTAAAGGGTGTTTTTGAAGAAGAAAAAAAAAGAAATTAGGAAAATGTTTAAAACGTTAACGTTAACGTTAATGTTAATGTTGTACGTACAATGAGAAAAGTACGTAGAAACAGAGAGCAGGAAACATCCAGTGATTGGTCAGCCACATCTCTCGATTTCCCCACTTCCTTCTTTTCTCTCCATGGTTCAGTCCTTTCCACTCACAGAATTCGGTGTCAGCAGGGTCCGATCGAGACTCCAGTCTCCCTCCAATCAGCTTCCTTCCCATTCGCTCCCAACGGGAAATAAAACGAATATCCTTTTTTTTTTCGCTTTTCGCCAAAAACACGAAAAGAAAAGAAAAAAGAGGTCAGGAGAGGGGAAATCCCCCCACTTGGGGCAGAAGCGCCCGAGTGGACACCGGCCAGTGCACCGGAACTATTGAAAAATGGACCTCCACACACCTTGGGGCGGGACATGATCACCCAACGGCACGTCAGAGAGATCTCGGGGAATGACCTAAACAGGTCCAACCTCCTCTGCTCATCACGGTGTACGGTGTACGGAGTATGTCTACAAAGCGGATATCCGAAAGTGCGAATATCCCCAGATCCCCGAGATCGGGAAACAAGTAAAAAAAAAAGGGAGGATCCAATTCCCAAATCCAAATCCAAAAATGAAAATGAAATGGGAACAGAATGAACGGACCCGAGAAAAAGGATGTCGTCAGCGAAATCCCAAAGGGATGGCTCTGATTCCACTACGAGAGGACTGAGCGTAAATGATTATTGCTTTGGGTGCTTGGTTCTTGTTTCCTCCCGGCTCATCTCCGTTCGCCGCTTCCCCCAGGCGTTTCCAATCAGCACCGACGGATGTGCAGAACCGTCCCACGCGTCGCAAGGTTTGGTTTGGTTTTTTTTTTGGTTTTGTTTTTTCTTTCCCGGTAAAACTTTAGACAACGCTGGGTAAGTTTGGGAACCTTCACGGTCTGGGTGTCTGAGGGGCAAGAGGGTCCCGTACCTGGTGCACTGGGGCTCATTGGATCCTGCTGAAAACTTTCGCGGGAGATCCTCAGCAGATCCAGCGCGACTTGCGTTTTTTGGTGGTTTTTGGGGGAGGCATTTGGGGGGCTTGGGGCTTGCCTGTCAGCCGCCCTGTTCTTTCTTCGTCTTGGAGCTTGGCTTGGCTTGATTTGTTTTCTTTGGTTCATTACTTGGCTTTGGCTTGGGGGGAAATGGCAACAAATCAGATTCTTTTCCCACACTTTTCACCACTTGATCATTCTTCACGAGGTACCAGCACGAGCTGCAGTACCGTAAAATTAAAGATCGACCATTCTCCCCCCACCAGGAAACTTTGTTTTTATTTGGGTTTCAACTTTCTCGTGGTTATTCTTTGCTTCTTTTGCACATGGGGAAGAGATGGCACTCGTCCGTCGTTTCAGATTTATCGGCAGGGTCCCAATGGTTTGGGTGAACAGAGACGAGCTAAAGTTGGCGCACGCTTGCGCAAACTCAATTGGCGCCCATGACAGATGTCACTTTTTTGTTTTATCTGTACGGAGCACTCCATGATGTATGTGATTTGTGAGGTGTCTTATCACGCAAAAAAGGGACCGACATCACAAATCATCCAGAAATACTCAAAAACGAGCCAGAATTACAAATCCGTACTAAACACAAAAGGACTAGAGAAACTCGCACATGTGTATCCATCTTCTCTTTCTAGATAATATTCTCCGGCCCTCTTCCCGAATCATGTTACGATATCGAGTTAGCACGAAATAAGGAAATATCGAAAAATTTGGCACTCACTATTGGCCGTAACAGTAGTAGGCTGTACCTGGTGTATGGTATTTTTGCCCCTTAGACGGCGATTTCCCGTACCGCGCACGGAGTCCCAGACCAACTCGATATACACGATTAGCTCCTATTCCCGTGCAATTAGGTAGATTGACCCGACCCGGATTCCTCGATTTCATGGATCACGGGCGATCAACAAAAAAAAAAAAAAAAAGGTCTGGACCACGACCCTCTCAAACCCATGGATACAGCCTATGAGATTGACGCCGTATATAAGTGTATTCCAAGGTACGGAATAATACCAGTGCTGGCAGGGGGGAGTAGTACATCCAGATCTTTTTTTTTTTTTTTTTTTAGGTGATCAATATGAGCAGAGCTCTCTCTGGTCTGAAGGAGGCAACCTGCACTACTGGAACTCGAATATGAGATCAAGTACAAAAGTACTCGTGCACACTAACTACTCCGTAAGCATCTTCCTGTCCCCGTAAGCGCGCAGGAAGCGGGGACGGAGTACACGACAATGCTCCGCCCGGTTACGAGGTCCTGAAAACCCGGGCGCGCCAATCTGCTTCTACTCTGCTCTTCCCCCACAATCGACCAACCAACCATAACCCAATTCTAACTCTGGCCTTTTGTTTTTTTGTCTGTTGGGCGTGGCTTGGCTTGTTCTGGTCTATAACCAGCCCACCAACCAAGAAGTGCGGGAGTACATACAACAATCTTAGTACGCAGGTGCAGGAAACCAACTTGTTCATATTCATGTTGAATATTCACTGCGAGGGTATTTGACATTTGGTATTTGACGTCGTCCACGTCGACGTATACGTGGACATGAAGATACCTGCGTGTACGTGTGGTTTGTACCTGGAGAAAGTCGCTTATCGGTCCCCGATTCGATCAACTGGTTACTGGGTTGTTGAGATTATTGCTCTTTTCCCCCTTCTATTTTGTCTATTCGCACTAAGAAATCCACAGCCACGGACGGCGCACCACCCGTACCAGATACTCGGGCCAGGCATCCGTGCCACATGAGACAGGTGGGGAAATTGTCTAGGGAAATGCAGGGCGTACTCTTTTTTTTTTTCTTTTTTCTTTTTCTTTAATCCTTGTTTCTCTAGCTTTGGACCGTTGCTTTTTTAAATTCTTTCCTGGGTATATACTCCGGCAGCGAATCCAAGCCAAGGAAGTACTAGTTACGTTACTAGTAGTGCAGAGCAGTCCCTGGGGTACCTAGTCTAGGCTGGGATCAAGTACCTTCGCGGGTTCTGGATTCTGGATTCACCATTCGACCGGGGGTCTATTTTCTATTTTCTATTTTCTATTTTGGCCCTTTCTCGATCTCATTATATCATTGTGGACACAACCTCGTAAAAAGGAAATCGCTTCCCCTCCCGATCACCTATCCTCTTTTTTTATTTATTTCATTTTTTCATTTTTATTTTATTTTTATTATTTTTTATAAAATTAATTCCCTTCCCGCCCTTATCTACCTCTCCCCCTCTAACCCAACTCGTGGGTCGCTGGCGGTCGATCTTCGTATTTGCGCCACTAGACCACTAATTCCAAGAACCAGGCCAAGGTCATGGCGCCACACATCACCCGAGGTTAAACTTGTTAAGGACTGTCCGGAATAACACGCGCCCACTCTTCGCTGCCGGCGCCCAATCGCACCATTCGATCAGACCCCTACCCAAATTATCTGCTTGCCTCCGTATTCATCCTCATCCCATCCAATCCTGATAATCCTTAACCGATGCGCGTAAAGAATTTCTGTGAACTGACGAACTGCAGTGCGCTGCATTGGATAAGCTACGTACGTACAGCTTGAGCGAGAACGGATGCATTCGAGTCCTTTCTTTCTGCCTTTTTCTTCAATGTTTTTGCCTGGGCGGGGCCACGCAAGGCCCCAACATTCAATGCACGTACCTCCATTTGATCCAGACTTGCACGGAGTACTCCGT